TTCATCGCCTGGCACAATGTCGGGTGAGGTTATCTTCTTGTCGTGGTTTCTGATCATGCGTAGCTGTGCGAATTCGATGTTTTCCTTGACTATTTCGCTAATCTGTTTAATCTTCAGGATTGTATCGTCGGCGTCGGTATTGGGCTCAGCAGTTTCCATGTTGAAGGCGATGGTGGCGGCGTTCAATGGTTGGAAGCTATAATTTGCATAGAATGGGCTGTGCTGTGTCGAGCTGTTGCTGCGACTATTATAGGCGAACTCTGCATGCACTATGTGTTGGTTCCAGTCGTTTTGGTAATTGTTGCACGTCGCACGCAGCATTGACTCCAGTATCTGGTTCACACGCTCAGTCTGTCCATCAGTTTGTGCATGGCCGGCAGTGGACATGTTGAGTTGCGTTCCAGTTTGCTTCCACAGTGCCATCCAGAATGCAGAGCGGAATTTCGGATCACGGTCTGATATTATGGACTCGGGCAGGCCATGTTGGCGGTAGATGGTCTTGAAATACAGGTCGGCGGTTGTCTGGGCGGTTGCGGCATTGTGTGTTGGTACAAAGTGTGCCATCTTGGACAGGCGGTCAACGACGACCATGATTGCATCATATCCGTCCTTTGTCTTAGGTAGGCTGACAATGAAGTCCATGCTCACACTTGACCAGTTGCGTCGCGGGATCTGTAGCGGCTGTAGCGGTCCATCGCTTGGCCTGTTGCTGCCTTTGACTCTTTGGCACAGGTCACACGTTGTGACATAATTCTCGCAATCCACATACATGCCTGGCCAATAGAATAGTTCACTCAGCTTGTCGTATGTTGCTTTTATACCCGGGTGTATTGCAGCATCATGGAACTCGGCCAGCAGTAGTGATCTGTCTTGCTTTGTTCCGACGCAGCGGCGTCCTTTCTTGAACAGGACACCACCCTGTGCATGGAATTTGTTTGTAATGTCGCGCTCGGCTCTGGATGTTGGTTCTTCGCCACTACTAATCCTCTCCATAATTTTCTCCAACTTGCTGTCGCCCTTGTAGGAGTTCTCAGGGTTCGCGCTCGTCTTCAGCGTTAGCGCTTTGACAGCAGCCATGCGGACTGCTATCCTCCCCCCTTTTCCTGAAGAGCCGAACCCGTTGGCTCCACCGGCTGTCTCCTCAAAGGACTTGACCTCAGTGATGTGTGAGTGTGCGATCTTGGTTGGAATCAACTGTGCTATGCGGTCATGTGCAGCGAACGGAATCTCTATATTGCCTGTGTTGAACAGGAGTACTGAAATCTCACCGCGGTAGCCCCCGTCGACTATTCCTCCGAGCACCACAACACCCTTGGCAGCCAGGCTACTGTGTGGGGCAATGCGCAGGTATGTGCCTATTGGCGCCTTGGCGGCGATGCCTAATGGGACAAGGTGTTGGGCCTTGGGCTCGAGCACAAACTTGGTTATACAGTATACGTCAAATCCAGCGTCATCTGGATATGCCTTGCAAGGCATCGTCGCATCGTCGTGTAGCAGCTGAACCTCCATGCTGTTGGCAGTTGTGCGTGGCACAAACAGTGCGCACAGTTTCCATTTTTCAAATTGGTCTATCAGGTCGTCGTTGTGCGTATTGTCCTTTGGCTGGTCAGTCTCCATGGTTGCACTCGTCGTTTCTGCAGCCACTGTCTCTTGTGTTCGTTTGGCTTCTGTTTCGGCTTCAGCGCGACATCCGCGTTGGTAGTTCTTGTAGTGCAGCGACTTGCGCACATATTCAGCACGGTTTAGTTCTCTGCGCTCATCGGCAGTCAAATATGTTCTGTCGACCACGGCTGGCGTTGGCGGAAAATTCGTTGTCTGTGCAGCTGGAGTGGTTGTCTTGATATTGGGCATGGGTATGGGCATAGGTATAGGTACGGATGTGTGTGCGGCGTCATCGTTTTTACTCGTGTTGTTCAGCGGGGCATCATTTAGTGGTATAGCTGGTGCAGTCAGTCCTGTCGGTGGCGTCAGTGCCATGTGTGGCACCTTGCCTGAATGTGACGCTGCGTATACTATGTTGTCGGGTTGCGATTCGAGTGAGCGTGACAAGCCGTCAGCAACTGCATTTTGAGCGCCCTTGCGGTAAATGATTTTCATGTCGAATTCCTGCCAGATATCCAGCCAGCGAGCCTGGCGCGGGGATATGTTGTTTTGCGTCTTAAGGAACTCGATTGATTTGTGGTCTGTAATCACTTCAAACTTGATGCCATGTAGGTAATGCCGCCAGAGGACCAGTGCACGAATGATTGCAAGAAGTTCTTGCTCGTGGACTGCATAGTTGCGCTGTGCTGGTCCCAGCTTTGCCGAATAGAATGCCACTGGGCACCACATCTTGTCATGTCGTTGGTGTAGGACACCGCCAATTGCAGAGCCGGATGCATCTGTCTCGACTCTCGTTTCGCAAGTTGGATCATACTGATGGAGTATTGGTGCTGTGGATAGTTGCTGCTTCAGCTCGGTGAAAGCCCTGTCAGCCTGGTCGTTCCACGAAAAGTCGGTATTGCATAGCAAATCGGTCAGCGGTAGTGCTATTCTAGCATAGTTTTTAATAAACCGGCGGTAGTAGCCGCTTAATCCAAGGAATGCGCGGATGTCTGTAATTGTCTCTGGCGTGCGCCACTCTTTAACGGCATCTACTTTGCGTGGGTCAGTCGCAATACCCTTGCCTGAAATGACAAACCCAAGGAAGTCGACTGTGTCTTTGAAGAATGCACATTTTTCGGGTTTTGTGTGCAGGTTGTGCTCCTTGAGGCAGGCGAGTACATCCTCGAGATCTTTTGCATGGTCGGCGTCATTCTTTGAAAAGACTAAGATGTCGTCTAGGTACACGATGCACGTTTTGCCAAGTAGGTTGCGCAGCGCATGGTTCATGACACGTTGGAAGACGGCAGGGGCATTTGTCAGCCCGAAAGGTACAACTGTGAATTCAAATGACCCTTGTTTTGTGCGGAAGGCAGTTTTGGCGATGTCTGCATTGCAAATTCGCACCTGGTGGTAAGCCTGTACCAAATCGATTTTCGAGAAAACTTTTGCGCCACGGGTGTCGTCAAGCAAATCGTCTATACGCGGCATTGGGAATGCATCTTTTATCGTCACTGCGTTCAGGCCACGGTAGTCAACACACAGGCGCATTGATCCATCCTTTTTCTTGACAAAGAGGACTGGTGCACCCCATGGGGAAGATGACGGGCGGATATACCCCTTTGCAAGTAAGTCAGTCACTTGTCGGTCTAGTTCATCCATCTCTGCATGTGACAGGCGGTATGGTGCCTTGGTCACAGGTGCTGTGCCCTCATGTACATGGATTTCCATCTCAGGGCCGCCTGGTGGTGGTCGTTTGGAGGGCGGCTGATCAAGGACTTGGGTGTATCTGGCATGTAGCTCCTGTAGCGCCCTGTCTTGTGTCGTCGTGGTTGCTGCCACATGGATTGCTGGATTGGTATCGTTGTCAGGGAATGTAATTCGTAGCCATCCCCATTCCTCAATTTGGTCGTTTGCACGTGCAGTTTTCAGTGCACTGATTGACATAGGCTTCAGCTGGTCCTCGTCGGTCCGAGGCTCTGCATTACCCCGGATGGACCAGCTTTTCCCGCCATAGTCAAATGTCACCTTGTCAAGGTGGCTGTGGATCGTGGCCTTGTGTTTTTTTAGCCAATTATTTCCTAATATTATATCTTCGGAAACTGGGAGAACAAGGCAATGTACTGTAATTGTTAGGTTGCTCAGGAGGCGCAGCGTTACTGTGCACGACTCGGTGCAGTCCTTGTAGTGTGCGCCATTGGCCAGTTGTATTGGTTGGCTGTGTTGTAGTCGTTCGGATTTCAGTTTAAGTCGGTCGCGGGTCTGTTCGTTGATGATGGTAATTTGTGATCCATTGTCGATGAGCACACGGATGGCTTTGGTGTCTATAGTTGCATTTAAAATCAGTTGGGGCTCAGGTGAGGTTTGTCTGTTAATAGCGGTTTTATTTGGGGGGCAAACGGCAATTTCAGAGATGATAAGGGCAGAGGACTCACATCCACTCATGCCCTTCTTGCTTTTGGGTGTGTATTCTTAGGGCAGCGATGCCACTTGTGTTCATCACTGCCACACCCAAGGCACACGTTGTTGGCAGCCCACTTCTCAAACATCTCCTTGGTACAGCCCGACTGCTTGGAGACACTTGCAAATGGCGGCAGGCCACTGCGTCTCCTTTCTGTCTGCACTGCATTCACCATTATTGCATCCACATTCATAGCTGTATTATCATGACGGCCATGAATGCGCAGGAAGGCTCTGGCACGGGAAGTCAGTGCATCAATCTCGTATACTGTCGAGCTTGTCGATTCGCTCAGAATCTGCTGGTTGAGCATTGGTGGTAGCTTCATGAGGAAGGTCGTGGTCACATGCCTGTCTGAGAGTTTGAATTCCAGAATTTCCGCGAGGTACTTGAATTGCACCACAAACTCCTCTAAGGTCTCTAATGTCCCAGGCTGTTGTAGGTGGTAGTATTTGTGCAGTGTGTCATAGTATGACACTGCACGCGAGTATGTAGTTGTCAGGAACTCCTTGAACGTTCCCCAGTCGCGGTGGTCCTTGTTGTGTTCTGTACAGTGTCTGCGGTACTCGTTTTTCTTGTCTGTTGGGATCTTGTGTGAGGCTACAAATACCCACTCACTCTCGTCTAGCTTTGCGTGGATAAAGTGTTCCTCAGTATCTCTCACCCAGGGTCCAACGGCAATTGCCACCTTCTCTGCGTTGTCCTCGTCTGGTGCCAGTGTCGGGCTGAATCTCATTGCCGATTCGTATGGCGACATTCCAGTCATGGTTACTGTTTTTTTTTTTTTTTTGTTTTTTTGTTTTTTTGTTTTTATATATATATATTAACCAGTTTGTCTGTCGGTCAGTCAGTCGTTGATGAGGAAGCGCGGGTTTTCGAACTTGAGGTGCTACCAAATGTAATGCGATTTGGACTAGCTAGAATATATATTAATAGAAATGAGACTACGGAAAGAGCTAAAGAGCTCACTATTCAGAATTCGCCGTACGCGTAAAATATCATAAACATATTTTACGCGTCTGCGCTGTCACGTGACTCGGCCCCCATTTCTGATGTCACAGGAAATGTCGTATTTCTCAAAGTATATGAATACACTCCTGACACAGGGCCACTGGTCAGAGCCACATCTCATTATTTTTTGGAGTCTGGGGACTGTGGCATTCCTAATCCACAGATCCTTCAGTCTGGGGCACAAGGCATTGAGTGTACTCTGTTTTTTCTGCTGCTCCTTCTGGCTGCTTATGAATTGCTGGCATTCCAAAGCAATGTACTCACTTTCATTATCCTCCTCATTCTCAAAACTCTCTCTGTATTTGATTTTCAAGTATTCCAAGCACTTAAAGCATATATTCTCAGCTGTCAAATCATTCTTTAGCATTTTCTCCCATGCAAATCTAGGATCTGCATAGTCCAAGTCCAAGTATTCCAGTGTTTCAAAAAACACGTTTGGAAGGCTCTGCAAGGTATTCAACTTGAGATTCAGCGACAAGTGCACAAGCTCGCAGGAAAACTGTGCTGCAGTAAAAGTCATAGGGGAGGGGATGCTGATGTGAACAAGCTGATCAATGTAAAGACTAACCAACTCATCATAAAATGCAATCTTGTTATTACAATCATAATAACCTATCTTTAACTTAGTCACACTTGGAATATGCTGTTTTATACTGGCTGCTAGATTTTTGCTGTGCTGCATTGAGATATTAAAAGCACCATCTAAAGGGTCCCTAAATTCACCAATGCCAATGTAAAGCTGTGTAACGTGTGGGCACTTTAACGTCTTAAAATCAATAAATTCTTCCAGCATGTCAAATGTTGGGACTGTAATGCTCAATTCCTGGAGAGCTGGGAACTGTAATCCAATTGAACTCCCAATGCTTTGCATATCAGAACTTTATGATTCAAACTCTAATTGTGCAGGCTAGAAACACAATAGTTTCTGTCTGCTTGGTATTTGCCAGCCTGCTCCAAGAAAATATGCTAGTGACATTGCTTAGCACCAGTGTCTGCAACTTCTGGCAGCACACATATGGAGTGTACTGCACATACACATATTGATATTGAGTGTTGTGAGCTGGGTAAACTCAGTTGGCTTTGCTGATTCGGCAAATGTAAATGGTTGATAGCTGTGAAAATACTTTAAATTGCATGAATACAGTTGTGCCAATAGACCAGCATATCAAATATAGGGGCATATCATGATACATCATATTGTCCAAACTATCCACACCTGGCATGTACTTTGCCATTTGCTGAGCAAATTTATTTGCATTGTCCATAATATCAGACTGAGATTTGCTGCCAATGTCGTTATTGTTGTTGTCCAGGTAGCCGCTGATGTTGAGTGCACTGACTCTGCTCCAGTCACTCATTTCAAATGAGAATATTGAATTTGCTTCAGCAACCAGGGAGCAATAATATTCAATATTATCAATATTGATGGTCACAGTTTTTACTAGGTGTGTGTTTCCAGTAGCCTTAATCAGCCCAATATTAGTATTAATGAGCTTGTCTTCAACAGCAGTGTCATGCAAGTGCTCAACAAAACTAAGACCATATTCATTAGACCCATCAAGTATGGCATTGCAATATACCAAGCCAGTGGCCACTTCTCTCCACCTGCGGCAGACGCCCAGCAGTGGCAATCTGTCTGCCATGCATTGATATCATGTCCACTGGTGTCAATGGCTACATGTAGAATGTGGTTGAGGATGACAAATGGAAGCTGGCTGAAGCAAGGCATATTGAAAGAAATAATATTGATAGCAATGTTGTTGTTTAAAGTGGCTAAATGTGTTCTAAAAGTACTCTAATATTTTAAATAGTAATTGCTAAAATGATTAATTAAAAATGTAAGAGAAGAGTAAAAAATGCTCACATTCCACATAAAAACAATTGGCAGCAGCTGTGCTAAAAATGGCAGGATAAAAATAAGTAAAGCAAACTTGGCATGCATGTGTGTGACATCAGAAATGGGGCCGAGTCACGTGACAGCGCAGACGCGTAAAATATGTTTATGATATTTACGCGTACGGCGAATTCTGAATAGTGAGCTCTTCAGCTCTTTCGTAGTCTCATTTCTATTAATATATATTATAGCTAGTCCAAATCGCATTACAGTTTTGGTGTTGCAATCTTTGTGTATGCATGCATGTTATAAAGGGCGATCATATTTGGATAATATTATTGAATCCCTGATCTAATACTCTATAATCTTCTTTGCCTTCTATCAGTTGGCATGCAAAAGAAAAGCAGTCACTTGAATCTCAATCCCAACATTCACACCTATGTTATTTGGCTGTGCAACATTGTGTGTAAAGGCTAAAAGGTTGTTTCAATAAAAGCCAAGTTGGCAGAACAAATAGAACAGAATAAATAAAACAAGTAAGAATACATATTAGAAATAAATAAATGGCATGGCTGTAAATATGTCCATTCATTCTAAGCAAGAGGAGGGAGTAGATGCGAGTGTCATAAAACTATTTTCTAACAAGAGCCGAGGGTGTGTAATGCACAAATTATGCGAATGCTTATTAAATGGTTGCCCCAATAGCTCCTGAATTGTAACACCATTTGAAACAAGTATATGTATTTATCTCCAGTGCTCTTGTGGTTTCATGTTTCTCCTAGGTCTTCCAGGTGCCAGACCACCGTGAGGTGCTGTAATTAGTGCCACCCTGATTTATTTAAATGTTATATATGTTGTCGTACTCTATAAAATCTGGGCTAAATTAATATATTTAAGTATCAAAGTTACTTTAGGAACTGAAAAGGGGCAGTGTTGTGTGGCAGTGCTGTAAACATAATGGTGTTCCTTGGTGTCAGCCAGCAATAACAGAATATGTATAGCGCATGAGGGCAATCTTGATTATTGAAAAGGGAAGATAGTGGCTTGAAATGTGTGTTGAGCACCACATATGTATCCATTTTTATTTTAAGCACTGTGGGTCGGCAAATTGCACAGGCTGTCGAGGTTTCTTTTTTCCAGACTTTGAATTAAACTGAGTATATTGTTAGAAACTAGTTTTACAGCGTTGTAGTTGACTTTCCCTGTAATACCCAATCCCTAACTGGTCTATTAGCCATTAAGGTCCCTTCATGGATACTTTAAATTGCCTTTGTCGCATGTGCATTTCGCTAGTTTTAAAGCTTCATGGCATGAAATACCCTATTGTCGTCTGATTAGTGGGCCTTTGTGGACAAGGTAGCCGCTATCATTGGTTTTGTTGCATGTTCCAGAGCATTTCACCTATTGACCCCATTCAGGCTTAATAACGGTCATCCAAATTATTATTTGCACGCTTTGAAACAAAACATTGTTTAGTGTCCTATCCAACGCTTATCTTGCTGTTTGTGCGGCCTTGGCTTGTTTTTACCTTGTATGTGATACAAGAAATTGCGGCTTGTCTCCAGCGATTGATTAATGAATCAATCGCTAGTTAATTCCTTGGATATATGGGAATTAATACACACGCATAAATACCAATGGATATGAACAGTGGAGGCTGTTCATCCTTTAGCTTTCTTTTAGTTCATTTTAGTTCAATATATATATTTATAACATAACACTCTGTGTCGTCTGCATTTGTCATTAAAAACTCGGGGGCTACAGATTACTTGTTGGCATGCGGCAGATGAACACAGCAATTAGGGATTATTCATGGCCGCTGCCTAATATTGGCACTCTACTTGTGACATCAATTATTACAATGTCATGTGACAACTGCAGTTGTGAGATTGCGATTATTTGAAATTGTGATTATTTACAATCACGATTTCTATTTAATCTGTTGATAGCTTTGAATAGATAAACGGAGCTCTTGAAGCTCCCTTTTGGTGGATTTTAAATCATAAATATATTACAGATAAACTATTCTTATTACAACAATAGTCATTAGTTCAGCTATCTTTTCTTAGTTAAGATATATATATTCTATTCAAGACATTAATCAATTGTTTAACACACATGGCTTACCAGCACCATACTCCAATAGTGCGCCTAGGCGCTGGTGCCAGAGACAAAAATCGCCAATACATGCCACAAGTTCTCTAGCTGGATGACCTTCGCCAGCACAGCCAATGCCACAGTTGCATCCTGCAATGTGCACAGACACCAGAGCGAGTGCAGAATCAGCTGGTCGGTGTATGCATACTTGCTTGGCACCAGCCTGCAACACGGCCAATGCACCAACCCAGGACTTGCTGTCAGCTGTGCCTTGCCAAGGCTTCGCGACACAAACTCATGCAGAAACCCAATGCCCCATGGGGACATGCCCTGGTCATCCTTGCAGATACACGCGGGGATGACATCGACAGCGCCCAGCTCCAGCAGCTGCACCATCTGTGGATTTGCCATCTCCATTGCATTTTCTTATGCTGCTGCCAGCCGATATGCTGTGAGAAAAGTACACAGCCACACGAGACTTTCCACTGGCATGCGCAAAAGCTCAAGCTCAGACACTGACTGGCGTGCGACACTGAGCAATGCAGACAGAAATACCAGGTCGATTATCCGCCGGTGGTACTCGGTACGCAGCGCAAACTGCTTTACCATGGCTGCACATACCAACACAATCACAGAGTCTGACTGCTGCCTCTGCTTGCTGCTGCCTCAAGCCGAGCTGTTGGCTGACTGCATAAGTGTTTTGCTGAGCACCTCAAGCAGCCTGCCGCCAGCTTCCTGCTGCATGTGCCGTCAGCCCAAACTACCCTGCCATCCCACTGCAGTGTCATTAGCAGCACATGCAGCAACACAACTGTCCTCAACCAGTCCCCCCTCTGCTGCTGAATTGCCCTGATCCTGCACAACTATCAGCTGCAGCACCTCTCACCGCATAGCCGTATCGAGCAGCAGCTCAGACACAGTATCCAGCAGCTTAAAGCTTTCTGAATTCAGCGCCAATTATCCCAAGGAATTAACCATTTCGGGCATCTGAATGTCCAATTCTGCCTCATTGTCCGCACTCCCTTTTGGGATTATTGGTCCTGGAATATCAGGCGTGTCGCTGTTGCTGTCTTTGGCTGTGTGCAGCAGAAATCTAACTCATACTGTGATTGGTCTAAAAGATGCGAAAGTACCCGGTATGTGCCGAGTGCTGCTCCGACGCCAATTGCAAGGTGGTACCAGCTATCGTCTATGCTAGCAAAAGAATATTGAAAGGGTGTAAAAAAGAACAGTAATTTGTTAATTACGAAATGTGAATTGGAAAGGAAAGGAAAGGAAAAATAAAGAAAGAAAGAATAACGCTAAATTGAAATCATTTGGCAAAATAGCAAAAATCGAAAATTATGGATGAAATCAACCATGTTCAAGTAAAATTGGCCAATGTGCGAGTTTAAAAGTATGTTGTTTACAGCTAAAGTGATCGGCGAAAGGTGATCGGTGGGTTGGTGAATCTGTAAATAAAAGAGGGACAGACAAGAGTTTTAATCTTTATTAAACGTGAAGAAAAATGAATAGAATGTATAATTTTATCTTTTGCAGTTAATTTTTTGGGTCGTAAAAAGATTTATTAAAAACAAAAAAACCTAAAGTGCTAGCTTCTTGAATGACCCAGCGTTGATCTCGTCCTCAGCTGGTCGCTTAAACTGGCCACTATCCTCTTTGAGGAGCTCAACCGCCTTGGGATGCATAAACCTGGGAGCAGCATCCCAGTTAGCCTGTCGTTTAAATGTACTGTCCCACCAGAGCTGGTGGCTAATGTACTGGTTTCCCGGTTCAAATAAGAACCGGCGCATTGAGTGGAATAGGTTCCTGAATATCTTCCCTGGATTTCCTATCCCAAACAATTCCAGATACTTTTCCTCAACCATCATGATGCTGTACCGACTCAAAGCCAGGCTTTGGCTGTCCAGGAACTTGAACCCCTGAACATCATCCCTCTTAGTGTCAGCTGGGCGCACTGCGTCCATAACGACATAGAAAACACTCTCCATGTCGTCAAGGATTCCCCGGATGGGGCTGCTGCTGAGCATGGGAATTCCCATGAAAAGCGGCGTCCCTGTAAATGGGTCTTTGGCCACCTCCACCTGTCCCACTGTTGTCGCATTGAACCCCCACTGCTCGGCAACCTCAATATGTTTAAGTTGGGTTGGGCCAGTGTCCTCAGTGGGATCCTCAACAGCATCCTCAGCGGCATCCTCATCAGTCTCCGCATCAGTGTCCTCATCAGTGTCCTCATCAGTGTCCTCAGCAGCATCCCTAGGAGCATCCCTGGCAGCATCCCTGGCAGCATCCTTAGTAGTCCCCCAGCCAATGATCTTGGCACAGCCCCAGTCAATGACATACACCTTGTCGTTTTTGATGCACACATTCCCTGCTGAGATATCCCTGTGCAGGACACCAGTGTCATTTGCCTGGGCAAGGCACAGGGTCAGCTGCTTGACAAAGCTAGGAACTAGCTTTCGTATCTCCTTTTTGGTCTTGACTTTCAGGTACTCGGCCATTGACTGGCCGCAGTATTCCATGAGCACGAACTCCAGCCGGTATCCATTAAGGTCGCTGATGAGCAGGCCACTCGAAAAGATCTTGGGGATACATTCGACTGGTCTCTTGTTGAGGATGGCGTATGCGGCGCCCTCGGGCAAACGATTGACTGGGGTCCAGGAAAGCTTCAGCACAGCATCATGCTTCCCATTGAATTTCCCCCTGAATAAATGGACATGGCGCCCAACCATGTATGAATAACGCGCTATTGTCTCCTTGATACAAAATAGAGTAGCGCCATCCTTGACATCCTTGACATTCTTGACATCCTGGGAAACCGAGTATAAGACTTCGATCTTCGAATCGCCCTTGCTCTCCACATCGACTTCCTGCGAAAAAATGAAAGAGCCAGATTTCTTTGAGACATCGCAGAAATGCCCGAAAATGTCCGACTCAAGAGTCAGCAGGAACCAGAACTGCATGAGGCATGACTGAATTCTTTTAGCTCCATCAGACGTCCAATAATTCGTATCAAAGCATAGCTCGCCAAGCTCGATAATATACAGCCCGCCACGATAATATGCGTGAAGCGTCAGGATGTGCCCATGGAGGTAGAAGACAGGCGCAAACGTGCGGGTTGCCTGCTGATCATTAAGCACATGGCCGTAATCTGCGAGCTGGCCACGAGTATCCTCTGGGGTTCTAATGGGGTTTGGATCCATCTTGGCCTCGAGTATAGCATGGACAGAATGAATGTCACGTCTCTTGTAGTTGTGATAAAACGCGATATCTGGCTTGTGCGGAGTGCCTAGTATAGCATCACTCTGATGGTCCTTCAGACTAACCCTGCAGTCTGGGATTGGAGTTCTGCCTGCTGGAATATCTTCATTTGCGACACCAACCACATCGATCATCGCTTCAAAGAGGAAGATAAAATATTCGACCAAACGAGCTTCCTTAGTCAGCCCCATCAACCTCGGGTAAGATATGAAAACGTCAGTAAAGGGCAAACCCCTGAGTCTGGTTTCCGAGCGACCTGTATTGGCTACGATGCCCTTGCTATCAGCCACTGGCGACCCCCTAGCTATGTCGAGAAAGAGATCAGGCCAATCCTCGATGAACTGATCATACCGCTGCTCCACACCCAGTGATTCGACAAAGTCATCGAACGGATAGTCGTGCCATATGTTATCGCCGAGACATTTCAGCAGCCGCTGACGGCGCCTATCGCGTACTTCGGGGGGTTCCGATTCCCCGGGTGGCAGTTCCTCCTTTTTTTGATTTTTTGAGGGCGTTTGGATAGTGCCGCCTGTCTTGCTGTTCTAATAAAAAATAATACAAAATGTTTTAAATTAGTGTCCGAATTTGTTTTATATGCACGCAGAATAAACAACAAATAATTCATCAATATCATAACGATCCGTTTATATTGAAGTACTTACGCCTATTTGATTCGGCGGGGTCTTATTCGGAGGAGCTAGCTCAGACATCATTGAGAGAAAGGGAAAGAGAAAGAGAGGGGAGAGAGAGAGAGAGAGAGAGAGAGAGAGAGTGTGTGTGTGTGTGTGTGTGTGTGTGTGTGTGTGTGTGTGTGTGTGTGTGAGAGCGACGGTGAGAGAGAGTGTGTGTGATAAGCACTGAGGTATGGTAAAAGTAATAAAAAGAAAAGAAAAAACAAATTGAACGAAATGGTGCGAATTGGAAAAAAAGCAAATATTAAAAGTAGAAGGTGGAAAGTTGCAAAGGTGAAAATTTGTTGCGATAGATTGCGCAAAAAATGAATAATATTTTTATTATAAACAATAAGCTTTCGAGCTAATTTTAGTGCTTGCATTTGGTTGGCTGAAATATGGAAACAAGAAATAATTATATTTACGGATTAATTTCCAATCGGCATTGTTCTTTTTCCTTGCACATTGATTTTGAGCTTATATTGTTTCTTTTGGGAGCATGGTGGCCCTGCCATTCACTGCTGTAAAAATATGCTTCCCTGACGTGTACACTGAACCAGAGATGCGTTTATGCTCCATCACCTGGCTGTCAAGCCAATTGAGACACAGAGCCACATGTTTCATGTCCACAACAGGAGCATAAAATTATGAATGCGAGAACTTTGGCTTGGATCTTTAAGACCCAGCTGCAAGAAGATCACTTGGCTGAAATGGTTAACAAACTCCAGGTGCATCCGGCACCAATAGATGGCACATTGGAGAAACTAAAGATACATGTAGATCACCATTACCAGGATAAGAAGCTGGACCTGGATATGAGTCGTAGTTGGCAAGAGCTGACAGAGTATAGGTACACAACGCTGGTCAAGAAAATTCAAGGGAATCAAGCAAAAACAAGCAATGGTGTTTGTAAATGAGATTGTACATAATCAGCAGGGCTAGTACAAGAGACAGTGTGAGCTTGCATGTCGAGCGGGAAATGAGGGTATCCTTGACGCCTAATAAATGCCGATTGTTGATAAGAACTCCAATCTCGACAAACATCCTGAATACTAACTCTATGACAAGAAGATGATGATGGCTTGCCAAAGTGGCTGCAGACGATAGCAATGAGGGCAGGATATATGCACACTAGCTATATGGCCACGATTGATGCTTTAGTTGGCAGATTGAGTGCTTGGGTTTAATTTTACTAACGCCTCAGCAGACACTTCCACCGCCAGAAAATTAGACACAGCTCTGAGTAACCAGAGGCATGTAGCCAGGTTCTGAAATAGGGTTCAAGATGGGTACGGTGGTGCAGTAGAAAATCAATTTTATTCATTAATTTCAGTTTTTATTTTTTGCTGGAATCTGGGAGTTCTATGAATGTTCAGTGAAGGTGAAGAGATAAACACTATGTATATATAATTATGTATTGTAAAAGCGCTATACATTGATGGAGTGCGACAGTACATTTATGTGATGTGTGTCCCTGTATGACTATCAATTGAGTGTTTGTCTGGCTAAACAACCAAGGCTGGCTAATCAATTGATCGCGACCAGCTAATAAAATATAATTGCAAGTTTGCAGAACTGCTCGGTTTAAAATATTAGTTCAACAATGGCGCTGCAAATAATTCATTTAAAACAGGCTTAATGTGTTCAAAATTTACATGTTAAAATACTATTTTAATAGATGCATGGTAGTTTCTATTTTTAAAAGACAAATGCCATTTTGAGCTTGGCATTCTTAACCACCCTTGCCAGTTTAGTCGCATTCTTTACAATGTTTTGGAAAAATTTACAATAGGCTTTCAACAAAATATTTACTCGGACAATCCTAATTGTGATACAAGAAATTGCGGCTTGTCTCCGGCAATTGATTAATGAATCAATTGCTAGTTAATTCCCTACTTGGATATGCGGGAATTCATACGCACACATTAAATACTAATGAATATGAACAGTGTAGGCTGTTCATCCCTTAGCTTTTTTAGTTCATTTTGTTCAATATATATATTTTTTTAACGTAACAGTTGGCATAATTATTGACAAATCAGCGATAGTATCCAAAAGTGTCTAGCAGTTGGCGTACCTGTTTTGGATTTATTGGCAATGGCCATGAGGCAATTACTGAAACCTTGCGTGGATCCATGTGTACACCATCGGCATCGACTACATGTCCAAGGTACTCGACCTGGTGCTGGAACAGCTTTGTTTTTGAGCGACTTGCATACAGACTGTTCGCGCGCAGCACCGCAAACACCTGCTGCAGATGTCGCTCATGTTCCTCCTTAGTCTGCGAGCACACAAGCAGATCGTCCAGGTACACGCAGACAAATGGCATATCCTTGGACACAGTTCATAAGTCTGCAAAAAGCCGACGGCAAAACCTTGTATCCCTGTGGCAACGTCCGCCATGCAAAGACGCCCAATGGACAATGGAATGCTATCAGTGGCTCTGAATCCAGATGTATGTGTATCTGCTGGTATCCACTGACCATGTCGAAAACCGAAAAGAATTTACATTCATTGCAGCGATCCAATAGAGCGCCGATATTAGGCAGCGGCCATGAATAATCCTTAATTGCTGCATTCATTTGCCGCATGTCGACAAGTAGTCTGTAGCCTCCAAGTTTCTTTTTAATGACAAATGCAGGCGACGCAAAGGCTGCGTCACACTCATAAATCTGGCCGCGCTCAAGCAGTTTACCAAGAATTTCGCGCAGGCCCTCGAGTTCAGGTGCTGTCATCCTGTACACAGCGCGGTTCTGTAGCTCGGCATTCTGACGCAGCTCGAGCGTTGGATCCTGTGGGCGACGTGGTGGCAGTTCCTCTGGTAGTTCGTTGCAAAGTCGGTCTTTGTAAATTGTGCTGAACCGTGTGGCTTTCAGGTGTGCTGTGCCGTATTTTTATTGTTGCTGTCTGCTGCTGTTCTGATGGTGTTAATTTCCACTGCCTGCTATAAGGTGTGTAACATCTCGGTGACTGGGGAAATCGGGGGAGAAAATTTAATGTGTGACAGCGAGTCGGCAAACTGCTCGCTCAGCACCATGCCAGTACAACCACTGTCAAATAATGCAACACAGCGCACGCCAGCAACAACAATTACAAATAAAAAGGCGGGGGAAACCCACCCGATAAATACAATAAAAACATGAGAAGGTCTGTGAAAAATAGTATCTAATTTATTGGCGGGATAAAAATAAGGAGGGAGGAAAGAGGAAATACTATTTTTGCCAGTAGAAGCGACCTGGCGGTCTACTGGCTGGTGTGAAAACCCTGAAAATTGTAAGGAGCAGGGGGTTGTTGCTGCGGCTGGTGATAACCGTGCAGGTGCATAAATGGCATTTGTGCATAGTACATGGTCTGGGCAGCAGGGAAACCAGGAGTCTGGCCGGCAGGGTAACCAGGAAATTGGGTTGCAGGTGGCACAAACATTTCAAAATTATTTACCTGGTACCCATGGCTGGGTGCAAAACACTACTGCTGAGGAGCGCGACCCTGCGGGCAAAAACGCGAGATGTGGCCAGGTTGGTGGCATTTAAAACAGGCGCCTACTCGGCGCAGGTGGTTGCGCTCACCATTGGAAAGACGGTTCAGGCGTGGTGCCTGGAAAGCATCAACATCCATTACCAATGGATTGCAAGGGGGTGGTGCAGGCGCACGGCGGGATGCAGAATTTGTGTGCTGGATGGAAACCGAAAAATCGATGTCCTCAGCAAAGGCACGTTGGCGGGCGTCATTGTATGTTTGTGGGCATGCAATCTCGACAGGCTTGCGGATTTTTTTAGAAAGACCATGCATGAACCAGCGGCGCTGGTCATCATCTGACATGTTGGGAACACGGCTTGTTATGCTCTGGAATTCATTTGCATTAGCATGCACAGTTGTCGTCTGGCTGAGTGCATGGAGCTCAGCTTCAGCATGGGCAGCATCTGCAAAGGGTGTGAATTCTTGGGTCAGGCGCTGAATAAATTCCGTGGAGGAGAATTTTATGGCCATATCGTCGTTGAGCTGCATCTGGACCCACTGGTCTGCAGTGCCTGCCATATTGGTTGTCAACGAGTTTGCAAAGGTGTCTTCATCACAGCCAGGGTGCACACTGTGGGCAAATGTGCGCATCTTGCGCAGCCAAATGTCGATACGACCAGTACCATCAAATGGGGCTGGACGGGTAAACAGGGCGATAGGTGCTGGGCGCTGTGTAGCTGTCGGCACCTGTTCATTGGCAGGGGTGGGAGTTGTCATAGGAACAACCTCCTGTTGGGCAGCCATTGGGTCGTTCGTTGCGTCGAAAAATGGCAATGGAAAAGTGGCGTGAGAAGGTGCCATGTCCGAGTCGGAGTCAGACGCACTAAAGTCAGGGCCAAAACGGGCCAGTGCAGCATGAAAATAAAAAATAGAACGAAAAATAATAAAAACTGGAATTGGCCAATAGCAATCAAAAGCTATGAAAAAAATGATCGGGAAAATTTTAAGTGAAAGATAAAACAAGGGTAGCTGGATGACTGGGTGACTAGGGGAATTTGACACTAGGAAAGAATTTTGGACTCCACCAGTGTTAACGGGTGTATTTCATAAGTATCTAAAATTGTATTCTGCAAAAGCTAGTAAAAGAGAAGGGCCAAGAACTGATCAATGCTGTTGTTTTGCCCTTTTTATGGCTGTGAGTCTTTGTACTCACAAAAAAGGCAACTGATGAGCATTGCATATAAAGGAAATCTGTGCCTAACAGGTATCATGACTGACCCATGCAAAGTAGATGCCATTAAAGAGTGGCACATGCCAGAGACAATTACAGACAGCTATGCATTCCTTGGATTAAGCAGCTACTACCACTAATGTAATGCGAATAAAGCTGGTTACAATAAATATTACTTAAAAGAGATTACGAAAAGAGCTGAAGAGCTCACTATTCAGAAATCGCTGTGCGTATGAAATATCATAAACATATTTGATGTCTACGCTGTCACGTGACTCAGCCCCATTTTTGATGTTACACACACACTGGTGCTCCCTTTTGTAGTTAAGTAATTCTTGATACATAAAAATATATTATATTAGTTTAGACCCACATTTTTCCAGAGAATTACAATGCCTGTCCTGCCACAAGAACTGCCTCATATGTCTTGGCAAAGGATAAATGGATCATCCCTGGGCACTCAGTTTTTTCTTTTTTACATATACTAAAAATAAGGCATAGCCCAGAAAGGCACAAACCATGTTGAGGGCTGGCCAAAAGTCAACCTTTATTATTAGCCAGAAAGATGTAATGCCTCCAGTACAGGCTCAAAAACCGCACGATAAAGCCACCCAAACAGTGACGATGAGGACTTTCCACTGGCCACATCAGCAGCCACAGAACCAGCAAAATCTGTTGATGCAGCAGAAGCAAATAAATGCTCGACCTCATTACTCGACATAACTGGCAAGCGACCTGAGGTATCCACAGTCTCGCTGAGCACATGCAGCACCTCATTGTGAACAGCCGTGCGTGCGCGCAAAATCTCAATCGGCAATACCACAGCCACAGCTGCGACCGCTGCAGGCATTCCCATGACTGTAACTGGTATCTCATCTGTGACTGTATCGATATAATGCATCTGTGCTGAGCTCTCAGGTATTTCAATGAAATACTCCGTTACAGCAAACAGTGCTGCGGCAGTAATCACCAGGAAAAGAGTAAACCACAGTATCCAGACTAGCACTCGCTGCATTTTCTCCCAGGCCGAGGGCTCTGTTCCGAGTACGATTTCATGCAGTGGTCCCAGCAAGGGATCGGATTCAGTTGGCACCTGCATAGACATGTCCAGAGCCGAGGATGTCGGTATGGCATCGGCAAGAACTCGGTTGCGCGTGTGTCGATTGCGTAATGAGTGTGTGGCGGCGGCAGCGGAGGACGACATCGAGTGGACTGAGATGGAGTCAGCAGGCAGTTGCTCCAGGGACACACAGCTGACTGCGGCGGTGTCGTCCATGACTTCCTCTGCAGAGACAATGGCATCGTTGTCATCTCGCTTGTCATCACTGCCGTCGTTGCTGTTGTAGTCTTCCTCGGGAATCGGCGGCACTGATGGCAGCAGCGGCAGCAGGTCGTCAGTATCAGTGGATTTTGAAACTAGTTCAACTGTGTACTGCTCCAGAGGTGGCTGACCCAGTGCACAAGCCAGGCGCAAATCAAGACAAAGGCCGGCGAGACTAGATAGGGCAACTTGAAGTGTGTGGGCGACAAGCGGTTGGCGCTCATCATCGTCACCATCATTACCAGCATCACCAGCATCGTCTATGACGACTGCGTTCATATCGGTAGAACTGGCTGTACAGCTCGGCAGTGTGCAAACAATAGCAGAGATGTTATTCTCATTGGTCGTCTGCACAGTGGTGCCGGCGGCAACAGACACGGTAATGGTTGCGGCCGAAAACAGCTCAGCACACGACTTTGCAAAATAAGTGTGCTCGAGCGCAGGGCAATCAGAGCCCAAGCCAAAGACGGGCACCGGCAGCGGCAAGCTGAATCCTGATGCAAGCGCTGACTGGGGGTGATTAGGCGCAGGGGTGCTGGCAGTAAATACACACGTGACCGCATCGATGACAACCTCGGGTGCCAAGTGGCCGCGCGTGTGCAACAGATGCGACAGGGGCACAGCCACTGTGCTGTCGTCGAGCTCGACAAGAGACTGCACGGGCATGGTGGTGCTGACCGAGCCAACCAGGCAAGTGAGCTCGACAGAGTCAATTTCCCAGGCGATGTCCGACCGAGGCACACTGAGCGCCAAGCAGGGGACAACCTGCGGCTCGCCAATGCTGCTCTTATTGCGCTCGGCGGCCACCATCTGGGCGCGCCACGAGTTAAATGTCGCCAACGAGCATGCCACGCTTACGCGCACCGCCAAAGCGCCCAGGGCGCGGCGCTTGACGTCGATGGCCACCGTGGCTGACGACGCGCATGTTACTGGCTCCTCCATTGCGCCTGACGCGCGCATGCGCTCGTAGGCTGCAGTCATCCGGCGCCCAAACATAACTGAAGCCCCCACGGCCGGCCTGCGCTCAATGACAACCACGCGGTGCAGGCTGGCAGACGATACCAGCGACAGAAGATCGGCGGCAATGCCGTCAGAGTCCGCCAGCACGGCGTGCACCCATGTGTTGGCGCTGTTGACCACGCTCACAGCGGCGCCGACAGAAAACGCGTTCACAGATAGCGAAACCAGGTGCGTCGGCACAGCGATGTAGAAGCGATGCGTCAGCCCCATTCCATGCAGTGGGACCGACAGGCCTGGCTCTGACTCAACGGTCACTTCCATAACAGCACCATCCGCCCCCAGGCCGTCCTCTGGCAGCAGAACAGCAGCGCTGTCGGCAGTGGCTGCAGCCCACAGCCGCAAAAGCGATGGCTCGTTGGAGCCCAACTCGCCCAGCGCAGGGCCCGACGCCCAGCGCGCCTCGACGTGCCTGCCACGATACCTCACGCTGACCGAGCGGTGGGCCAGTGCCAGCGAGCGCACGCCGCCGATGGCGCACAGCAGCGGGGAAAAGTGCATATCGATGGCCGTCGGCCAGCGCTCCGACGTGCTCAGCGTCACCTTGGCTGACACCAGCAGACCATCGGGCCGCACGACCAGCCGCGCCTCGACGCTGTCAATGCTGGCAATGGGCTCGGCGCCAGCCACAGTCGGAGCAAAGGGCAGTGTTGTCTCGGCAGGCACGTCGATGGTCGGCGTTGGCTCAGCTGAAAAGATGGTCTCCAGCGCCGCGCGCGATGGCGGCGGGCGTGGCCTGCTGGTGGGCAGATGGAACTGGTCGGGCAGTTCGGGCTCGTCAGACAGCATCGGCGACAGCGGCCGCGATTCGAAAAGGCTCGACGCGACGTAGTCGTAGTCTGTGCGCGGCGCCCACGACACGCTGACGGCATCGGCCAGCTTGAGGCGGAACGACGTCACCTCGCTGCGCCGAAAGTCCCAGCCATCGTGCTCGGACGCAAACTGTGCCCACGCGTGGCGGCGGTCGGCCGAGTCGGCCGCCACCAGAGCTTGCTGCGCTGGCGCGTCGGCGGCCAGTGTGCGGTGGCCGTACTCGTCGATGAACCGCCGCAGCTTGCGGTCCAAAACGGCCTCGGAATCGTTGTCCACCGGTGCTGGGCAGTCCTGTGTGTCCGAGTCGTCGGTGTTGAGCCAGCCGGCGCCGCCCGACGCCTCGGGGCCAGCCGGGCTAAACAACGGTGCCGGCATCTGGCCGCCAGCCGCCAGCGCCGCGTCGACGGTGCGCACGCTGTGCGGGTCGACGCGCGGCGGCTGCACCATGCGCACGCGGTAGAAGCTCCCGTCGTCAGCCGGCCCGTGACTGCGGACATGGCGGTGCGGCAAGCGCACGCGCACGCGCGTATGCAGCGACCGCGGCAGGCCCTGGATGCTGACGCCGCCGGCCTCCCATGCTGCGCAGTCGCCGTGGCCGAGCTGCATATGTGCCGCGACCGGCACCGAGAACCACACCGTGAGCCGGTAGCGCCGCGGCTCGTGCAGGCGCGCAAACAGCATGCCGCGCGCCACGTCGGTTTCAAAGTCGCAGGCCGGCGCCGGGCACTCGCCGGCTGCCGACCGCGGCACCGCGTCAGCGCCCATAAGCAGGCGACCGGTGCCCAGGCCCATCGACGAGTGCGGGCGATCGGTGGCATCTGCCGGGCGCTGCATCGGCTGGCTGTGAATCTGAGGCTGAGCCTGGTCCTGAGTCTGGCTCTGATCATGCCCATGGCTCTGATCGTGGCTCTGATCCACCGGCTGCCCGTCGTAGTGAGCCATGGCGCTGGCCGGCCGCAGCCCCAGGCCGACCAACCCCCGGTCGACGTCGAACGAGTGTGTGCGGCGCGTGGTCAGCGACTGGGCGCGCGCCGGCGACGCACTCAGGTTATTGAACAGCGCGACGCGGTCGGACACGCGCGCAAGTGACCGCGCGTACGACGCCTGCGTGTGCATCTCGAACCGCGCCCAGCCCTCGTGTGTCTGTGCCTGCGCCTGAGTCTGCGGCGGGCTCGGGCTGTTGGGCGCTGGTGGGTATGGCGCCGGCTGCGCAACGTGCAGCATCGACATTGGCCGTGCGCGCGGCTCGGACCGGCCAGCCGTCGGCCGGGCCACCGGCACCGGCACCGGCTCAAGAGCCGGCACGGCCGCCGGCTCGGGCTCAAACCTCTGCCAGTTCACGGCCTGCGGCGACAGCGCTGGCGAGGCCGCCGACTCGGCGTACTCGGTCGGCTGGTAGTGCGACGGCGACGACGACACCCTGCACTCGGTGCGCTCGACGCGCGGCCACCCGCGCTCAGAGTCCGAATGCGCCGACTGTGCTGACCGGCGACCGCCAAAGGCCAGCGCGTGCGCCGACTTGGGCGCTGCAACGGCCAGCAGATCGACGCATTGCTCACCGGCATGCAGAACAGTCAGCGACACGTCCATGCGCACCCTCACGCGAGCGCCAGCCTCCTGCCCATCAAACACAATGCCCTTGCGCTGCGCCTTGAACTCATCGAGCGCGCGCGAAACAACCTTGCAGTCCAGCTTGACGCCGCGCACCAGCACCGGCGACTTGCCCGAGTGCGGTACCGATCCAAAATGCCCCGACGCTGCGCTATTAACTGATCCGCGCGACTCTGGCCGCGGCGGGCTCCGGAAGAAATCCTGTGCGGGCGCGTTGTGCCACCCGGGCGGCGTCGTCTCTGATTGGCGCCGCGGCCGCCGCAGCATCGTCACGCTGTGCGAGCCACGCAGCGATGGTGTGCCTTGGCTGGCCCGCGGCGGCGTTGCGAACAGCCCTGCTGTGCGGCCAACCGTTGATGCCGACACTGATGTTGATGTTGATGCTGGTGTGCGGCCTGTGTACACGCGCAGGTCCGATGCGCGCCCCGCTGCCGAGTCGGCTCGCTGTGGCCCCGCGTAGTACTGTGTCTGCGAATTCGAGCGCGCGCGAGACTGCATTTCGAAAATGAATTATGCTTGAAGCCACACCCCACTTTGAAATGTCAATAGCGATGACTAGAATAGTTTAATTAAACAAGCAAAGAGTGTAATAACAATAACAATAATAATGCTACTAATAATAATAGCAACAAAAGCACAATAGAAAGCAGAAAGGTGAAAAGGTGAAAGCGGGGCGGTGGTGGAGAGGGGAGGAGAGATGCAAAGTATTGACACCTTTTGCCTCCGCGCTTTGCTCCACTTTTTGCTTGAATGGCCAGCCTAGCTCCCATTGGTTACGCGCATTCAGCTGAGTTTGTTTAGCGTAGCCTCTCTCGCCCAACGGCGCTCCGACACTATTCCAATGCCCGCCGCACACTCTTCCGTGCAGATTGCACATTCATTTTTGCCTGATATTATTATGACCAATATTATGAAGATCCAGCTCATGCTATTGCCAATGCGATGCTTGGAAAAAATTAAATCAACGCGTTCACATGCCGTACCCGCCAGTAAACGGCACTCTGCCGGGCTGGCCGGGCTGGCCGGGCTGGCTGTGCTGGCTGTGCTGGCTGTGCTGGCTGTGCTGGCTGTGCTGGCTGTGCTGGCTGTGCTGGCTGTGCTGGCTGTGCTGCGTTACTGCAGCCGAGTGTGAGAAGCTTGAGATCTCGCTGCCGCCGGAATACTCGTGCGCCAGCCCCGCCTTTTTCAAGCCGTGCTTATCTCCCGCCCCAAACGTGTCGCCGACCGCCGTGGTGTGGTTGGACGGCGCAAAGCTGGGGTAGTCCGTGTATACGTTCTCGTCGTAAATGTCGATTCTGCGCCGGCTGCGCTGCCAGAAGAAGCAGCCAAACACCAGCAGGACCAGCACAACAACGCCGCCAACCACACCGCCGATCATTGCGCCGCTGAGCTTACCGTCGCTGTGTTTGGGCTGGTTTGTCGCCGAGGACGAGTCCGCAGCCGATGACGACGTTGTCGTGGGGCTCACTGATGACGACGGCGATAATGTGCCCTTGCCATTATTGTTAGCGCTCTCACCATCAGTGTCATCATTTGGCTTGGCTGCGCCCTCGTCCGCCGTATTGTCAGCGGTCTCAGCGTTGCTATTGTCATTGTCATTGTCGCCGTTGTCTTTGTCTTTGTCATTGCTGCTGTTGCTTGCGGTGCTAGTGCGCACACTTGTAGCCGGCAACGATGTCCCGCTTTCCGAGCCATCGACGACGCCAACACCACCTCCGCTTCCCGAATTTCCACTGCCGCTGCTGCCAACCGGTGTAGTGCTCAACGGCTGCTGAGTGCTTGTATGTATCTGCGTCGGCGTCCCCTCGTTGTTAGTATTAGCCGATGGAGTGGGGTTTGCACTGGAGGGTGAAGTGGGCGGGCGAGTCGTAGTTGTTACTACCTCATTGTCACCATCATCGTCAGCATCACCAGTCTCCACCAAAGTCGGGCTCTGTCTTGTTGAACTACGCGCTCTGCTCGATGAGTTTGTGACCAAAGTAGACGGCACGCTGGTAATGCTTTGGCTTCCAGAAACGCTAGTGGTTATTGTGTCGATCGCCGAGGAACTATCCCCCGGCCCAACAGATCTGTCCGGCGATTCTCTGCCGCCACCATTACCATTATCATTACCGTTACCGCCACCGTTGCTGTTGCTGGTTTGAGCGCCGACAAGTGTGGCGACTGCTAAAAATAGAGTCGATACAAGAATAATGTGCGGTATTGGAGCCTTCATTATTTCTTAGGAATATAATAATAGGTGAGAATAATTAGCTGAAATAAATAAATAATAAAAATTGATGCCAAATAAGGAATACAAGAAGCAGAAAACGAATAAATAAAATAGGGAGCCCGAAAAGGAACTCTAGAACTAAAAAACGGAGAGCACCAAATAAAATAATACAAAATTCCTCATTTATTTTCCCGAGTCATTTTGGAGACATTGTAAACTGCAAAAAAATAATTTACATAGACGAAAAATTTGGTGCAAAGAAAATAAATTACAAGCAAATTTTATAAATTTGAAAGTAAAAAATGAAGGGCCGGAAAAGATTTTCATGTCAATCCTTCTTTCAAATGCCTGTATTCCACTCCTACACTTTTCTTTCATTTGTAATGTTTGCATGTTTCTTTTTTGGATTAATTCATACATTTCGCTTCTTCTGCAAATGTATAAATAATTCGCTAATGCATAAATAAAAACGGGTTTACTCTACAAAAAAATTTTAAAGTGTCAGTTTATTGTGAGTAATAGTAAAACAAACTAACAAATATTACTGTTATAATAAGAGGGTGGTGACTTGAGTGAAGCACTAGTCGCCTAGTGTTAGAAGTTTGGTTGAATCATGAAAGTTTTTATTATCAATTGAATCAAAGGCGTAACTGAGGCTGACCTTGTCTTATACATATATGTCTCATTGCCTTTATTGTACACTTCACTGGTTATGCACTCCGTTGGCAAGAACTGGTTCTTCTGCAGGCAGACCGGTGTCTTGGCGTGTCAATACTATGATATTTGCATGTACGCATCCATATGTGTACATTATTAAACGGGGGTATATCAGGGTGTCATTATTATGTTCCCTGATTTGATCCTACATGGTACCATCAATGCCCTGTTAATCGGCATGTTGAGGCTAAGGATCGTGAAACGAGTCTTCATCGACATCCACTTCCATATAATCAGGCTGCTCAACATTGCAAATGAACTAGCAGTATTTGCAAATGTAGAAATATAAAAGCACTCTCGAGTGACATGTAGAAATAATAGTCTGTCTGTAATGAGAATTGGACTAGCTATAATATATTAATAAAAATGAGACTACGGAAAGAGCTGAAGAGCTCACTATTCAGAATTCGCCGTACGCGTAAAATATCATAAACATATTTTACGCGTCTGCGCTGTCACGTGACTCGGCCCCATTTCTGATGTCACACTGTCAAATGCTGATTGCATTAGTCATTCTGTATTAATACTATTAACCACAGCAATATAGCAATGTGAACATATAAAATGGTTACATCATATATTATTTTCAGGATCGAAGATTCAAATAATAATATTCTTTAATGTTCTTAAGCTTATCTTTGCTTAGATATCCTGGGCTAACAAACATATAAGTGGAAGCAAAATTTTCTTTATGGTATTTAAAATAAGAGTTGTCCAATAAAGCCCCAGTATCTGTGCCATCAAATAACTTTATTTCGTCACATTTACTGGGATTCATCTGTGCGTATATAGTATACTCTACAGTACTTTTTGGCCTAGCTTTTTTATGAATTTTATTGAGAATTTCAAATGTCATTTCTTCAATGTCCAAACTTTTATGGTTTTCATAGATTTTTGCATCAAGGTTATGATCCTTAATAAAATCTTTGGCCTCTTTTTTTAATTTATCTTTATCTTTATTTTTATTTTTACCTATACTAATAGTCATATTTTTTAGTTTAGCAACCAATTTTGGCTTATCTTCCTTATTACCTTTAGTTATACTTTTCAGTCTATTAAACATTTTAAATGTAAATGATAAGTTTGCAATGACGTGAAATGAAGATTATATATAGATATGTAGTAAATTAAATAGTATTGTGCATTAGACAAGACAGGAAAGCTAAAGATAATTGATAAAAATAATAATACGAGGAGAGACAACTCAAGGGCATTTTATACGCATTTTGAGCGTATTTGCTCATTGTTCACAAAATAATTTTTCGTCTAAAATACGCGGCATTATTTTGCTAATAAACCTGGCAAACGTGTAAAATACAAAAATAGATTATCATTTTTCACCATACTTTTTACATTCATATGACAATCACATGTTTCTTTGTACAACACCTTACCTGCTGCAGCATGTTTGTCATGTGCTTTTGCAGGCTACATTTTTTATAAACACCTGATGTCTCTTTAATCAGCTGAACATTATCAATAGGTTGCACCCTCAACATGGTATTCTATGGTTTAGTTCGAATGAAACAAACAGACACACAATTGCTCTTTATATTTACTTTGTGCGTATGGGTTATAAAGACATGAGAAAATAAAAAAAAGTCATGCAAACAACAATGGCAGCTGGACGTAGCAAAACAAAACAAAAATTACACTAATGATTTGAGTTTTGCGACTCATTATTTTTTAATCGATGGAACCTATTGCTGCGGTATATACATCAGTTGGCATGGTGCCTAACATTTTTATTTTACATAGCACGCGTTAAGTTTGCGCAACAGCCTGCCATTGGGTTGTCAGTTTGAAAAGGGGCAAAGCAAGCAACCATGTGTTGATAACAGCTAATGAACAAAACCATCCCTGGCATTATTACCCGGTCTGCTAGCACAAGCAATATTTTGCTGAAAGACGTGAGTGGGATTGTGAGCATTAACAATAACTAACAGGGCATCATAATATTTGGTTAATCAATGTTATCAAGCTTGCGTCAATGTATTTGCCCGAGACCCACCCAGCTGCTCGTTCACTTATTCGGCAGTCTGCCATTCTCCCCGTCCCCTTCCCCTTCCCCTTCCCTGTATGCGAGCCAAAAAATAAGAAATGAAATGGTTCGGATATCAAAAATAAAAATAGCAGGGTGATGCTGATAAGGAAACAAGACAAAGGGGTGAGCCGTCAATAAACAGCGAGCCGTGATCGCCTTTCTCACCCTCTGCCTCTCTTTGCCTCTCACTCGGAGAAATTAGATAGCGCGGAGGTTGCAGTTGCAGTTGCGGTGTAGATAGATAGCAGATAGTAGGCCTATGCGCAAACGGGAAAAGTAGAAAATACGCTCACGACAAGCCAACCAGCCCAGCCCAGCAGGGAGAAATAGTCATGCGTATTCCGCAGATTATCTCTACTTTTTCAATAATTAATTTTTCTAATATAATTTTTCTTTTTTTACCTTTTTTATTTCTTTTTGAATTTGCCACTTGTTTTTTCTCTTTAAATTTTCCTTGTAACTTCAATCTTTATTTTCTCTATATACAAAAAAACCACCTTATTTTTCTCTTTCTCAATGTCGTTCAACGTAATTGCCAAACGCACTATCAGCAGCTCGCTGGTCTCTGCTTCCCTCGCTCATCGCTCAGCACCTATGGTTGGAACCATCAGCCACCAGCTGCAGCAGCGTATGACGCTTCGCACCGGTAAGTGAGAACACTATCAGCGTGCGCTAAAAGTTGATTTTCCCCCCTTGTTTAGCAATGTAATGGCCACACAAGAATGACAAACGACAAATCCAACCGACAAATATACTAATAAAATAACAACTCGTTAATATAATTTTTTATATTGTAGCCCAGCCGCTGCTGTTCAAGGCCACAACGCCCAAGGCGCTGTTCGGAGATGAGGTTCCTAACCCGGCTGGTAAGTAAACCTACATTTGTGTCATAGGGCAACCCTTCCTTATTCTTAATAAATGATACCGGGACCCGTATCGCAAGGACACATACTCAACATTCCCTACCCCTCTCTTTCCTTATTGTTTCTTCTCACTTTAATAGCCGTTCCCCAGCCTCCTGCCAACCGCATGCATGGCTCGTACCACTGGATGAACGAGCGCGCCATCAGTGTCATCTCAGTCCCACTGCTCGCCACCGCGTTCATCTACGGCTCGCACCCGATTAACGATATGTTGATGGGCATTGTCCTGCCGATGCAGGCGTACATGGAGTTTGACCAGATGCTGCTTGACTATTTCCAGGCACGTCGCTGGCCCGTTATCAGCCGTGTGCTCAAGTATGCGCTGGTGACCATTACTGGCTTGGCCATGTTTGGTGCCTGGAGAATCAACACCACGGATGTCGGTCTGACCAACTACTTCAGCAGGATCTGGAACGCCAACAACAAGAAGGAAGAGAGGAGCGACTAAGTGTTGTTACCTTTATTGTTGATTTTTTTATTGAAGGGAAATAAATGTGACGTTTTTTAATTGAGGGTTATTATTGTTGAGCAGCCTGATGATATGGAAGTGGATGTTGATGAAAACTCGTTTCACGATCCTTAACCTCGACATCCCGATTAACAGGGCATTGATGGTACCATGTAGGATCAAATCAGGGAACATAATAATGACACCCTGATATGCCCCCATTTGATAATGTATATGCATGGATGCGCACATGCGAATATCACAACATTGACTTGCCAAGACACCGGTTTGCTCGCAGAAGAACCAGTTCTTGCCAACGGAGTGCACAACTGGCGAAGTGCACAACAAAGGCGACGAGATACATATATAAGACGAGGTCAGCCTCAGTTACGCCTTTGATCCCATTGATAATAAAAACTTTCATAATTCAACCAAACTTACTTCTAACACTAGGCGACTAGTGCTTCACTCAAGTCACAACATTATTTATTTTTTGATGTCTGTACACTCAATGACATTGTGATTGGAAGTTCCAAAGTGCCAAAGTGCCAGACAAAATATAAAAATAAAATTTAAATGATGCTATATTTAAGGCTAAAGCTGGAAGACATGGAAAGCTTGATAGAAAATAAATGGTTAAAAGATATAATAAAAAGAATAAAACATATTAAACTCGCCGAACTTTTGTAAAATGGATAAATGTAAGCGCAGCAAGGGGCAAAAGAGACAGGTAATGAGAGAAGGAAAAAAAGAAAAGAAAAAGTTAGGAGGCAACACCGATGCAGCTCTACGATATTTCGACATCATCCTTGCTGTCATCAATGTCCATCGAGGACTCGCCAACATCAGCGTCAACGTCGGCGTCGGCATCAGTATCGGCATACGCAACACCGTCGGCCACGCTAGAAGCAGCACCGTCTGCCCTGGCTGCACCACCGCCAGCAAACAGCGCGGGATTGTCCAGGGCAGGCACCTCGCCACACTGATGAGCCAAGTTACTGTTGATCTCAGCAATGTCGACGTCGCGGAAACGGCCAGTCTCAGCATAAAACTGGCCGCACTCGTCACACAGGCTATGCATGCTCTCTGGTCCTCTGCGGATCAGCGGCGTGCGATCGGGCGTCTGGCCACAGCACATGCACCGCCACTTGGCGCACAGCTCCTCCAGAGGGCGCCCAACCAGCTGTGCCGGCACTGCGCCCGACCGGACAAAGCGGTGGCTGCCGCCGGCCGGCGATTTAAGAAGCGCTGTGCGCTCCATCGATGCATCACGCAATGACTTCTCCAGGATCGACGGCCGACCGCGCGGACGACCGGTTGGATTGCGCAGCCGGTCGCGCGCCTGCTGCTGCGGCGAAACCTGCGGCACCGACGGTGTCGACGGCGAGGCACCAGCGGAGCCAACAGAAGCGGAGGCGCCGACGCCGCCGTAGCCGCCCAGGCTGGTGTCAATTCCCTGGAGGGATCCGCCAGAGCCGCTGGCATAGCGCCGGCCCAGGACCTGCGACAAGCTGGCGTGGTGGCTGGACTGCGCGCCGCCAAAGGCCGAAGACCCGGCTCGCCGCGACGTGCCCAGCTCGTCCGAGCCGCCAGCCGCCTCGTACATGCCGGTAGCGCCTGCCGCCCCGGCCTGCCCTAGCGCGAAAGACGCGCTGCCGGCACCCGCACTTGCAGCGGCCGCAGCTGCAATGTTAGCCAGAATAGCGCTGCCCGCAGCACCAGCACTGCCGCTCGCTGAGCCCAGCCCGGGCACTGCGGCAGGCACGCCGCCAACCAGCGCCACCGACGCGGCCTCGTAGTTCGCGCGCGTCTCGAAGCTGTCCAAGAAATGCGCGCCCTCACCGGGAACCTCGACAAAGCTACGCGTGTCGGGCGGCAGGTCGTCGTCGAACCAGCAGGGCAGCGCGATCATCGTGCGATTCGTCCGGTGCACCTCGCGATCAGGCTGCAGCAGCGAGCCCGACGCTCCTGCTGCACCGACGGCCGAAGCCACAGTCGCTGCCGCTGCCGCAGGCGCGCCGCCGCCGATGCGCCCGCCGCGGCCCCTGCCCTGCCTGCGCTTGCGCCTGGCCTCGCGCTCGGCGTCCTTCTCGAGCCGCTCAACGTCGGCCGAGTTCAAGTGCGCAATCAGCGGCTCAAACGTCGTCGCCATGCCCTTCTCCCTGACCCCCTTGGTCACGGGCGGCAAGACGCTGCGCGCCAGCTCGCGGTCGTCGATCTGGATGACGCGCTGGCCCTTTGCGGGCCTTGCGCGGCTGCGCGGCGTGATCTGTGGTCGGTAAACGTATCCGGCCAGCAGGAAGGACTTGACAAAGGCGTGGAGCTGCTCACGGATGGCGTGTGCGATGGCCGTCTCGAACTCGCCGCCGAGGCACTTCTCTGCGCACAGCACGCGGGATACTTGCTCGGGCGTCACCAGCTGGCCCTGCACGGCGCCTTGCACCCAGTCCCGCAGCAGCGACCCGGCTCCCCTCTTGCATCCTGCGCCGTCGTTCTGCGAGTCTGGCGACTGGGGGACGGCGTCGTCGCTGTGTGCAGGGCCAAGCGGAACCTCCTGGCAGAGCTCGTCTTGGAGCAGCTGGTCGCGCAGGTCACCTATGGCCAGAGGCCGCAGCAGGGGCGCGACGTCCCACTCGAACTGGTCGCGCAGTGCAATGTGCCCGATGATAATGTCGATGCGGATCACTACGCGCAGCTCGTCGTCCACCCAGGCGAGCTCTGAGTCGTCGAAGAGAAGGGTAGAGGGCGCAGCCGTGGGGCTCCCGTTCTCGCCTGCACGGCTAGCAGTCTGTGCCGCCACGCCTTCTGCGTCCTCCGCCTCGCCCGACAGCGCGCTCGCAGCCGCAGCGGTCGGAACCTCGTCGGCCTTGGCCCCGCTGTCGTCGTCGTCGTCATCATTATCATCAGAGACAGCCTCGGCCTTGGACTCGGGTTTGGCCTCAGCCTCGGCCACTGCCTCAGCCTCAGTATCGGGCCGAGTCTCAACATTGACCTCAGCCTCAGCCTCAACTCCCGTCGCCACATCGCTCTCGGCCTCGGCAACCATAGGCTCTACATCAACCACAGGCGCTACACCACTCTTGGCCGCCTTCTTCGCGCTCTCGTACTCGTCGAGCAGACTCCGCCTCACCGCGGCCGCCGTCGACTCCATGACGTGCCCGTACTGTCTAAAGTCGTCCAGCTGCTCCTCGATGGCCTGCGCAATGCTGTGCACAAAGGACTCGACAGGCAGCTCCAGGTCAATGCATAGATGCTGTGCGAACCGCTGCGGTGTAATGAGCTCATTGTTGAGATCCCACGTAAACGCGTCGCGCAGGCGGAGCCCGTCGGCATCCAGCTCCAGCCTGATCGGCACCAGAACCTCGCGCTGCTCAGCCTGCCGCCTCAGCTGGCGCTTGGAGAACCTCAGCGTCGGCAGTCTTCCTGGGGCCAGGCGGCGCTGCGCCGGCATAATCAATGCGACGGGGGCGACCCACCGCGCAGCCACAGCCTGCGGCACCGCTCCGCCGACAAGCAGGGCCTCCTGCAGGCTGGCGGCCAGCGGCACGCCAGAGCGCCCTCCTGGCCCGGCAGCCAGCGGCGGGATCGTCCGCCCATTGCCGAATCCGCCGTAGCCAGGACCCCACGCGTGCGGCTGCGAGTAGAAGCTGCGTTCGAGCTCGCGCTCGCTGCGCATCTCGACTACCATTTCAGCATTCGCGTGCCGCTGCTGCTCCAGGATCCGGCGATACGTGTCTTCGCGGCCCTGGTATATGGCAGTTTCGCGCTCCTTGAACGCGTTAGACCGTGTTATCCGCTCGACCTCGGCCTGCCATCTTTCCAACTGCGCCTTTTGCTCGTCGTCGAGGACTTCAATGATCTTGTCCGCCGGTATTACTGTGGGTGGCGCTGGCGGGACCATATAAAAATTTACAGCCTGCTGCTGCTGCTGCTGATGCAGGGAGGAGGGGGGGCAAGGAATGCCCCCAACAACGCTACTGCTACTGATACTGCTGGCGTTGATGATGTTGTTGCTGCTATTGAGCAATGGTGGATGTTCATGGCGGATGGTAGAGGAGTTGGTCGCAGATGCTGCCAATGGGATAGTCGGCTTTTGGTCGACACCCTGGTTCGCGAGCCCACCACCCAGACTAGCACCTGCGGCCAAGGAGGAAACGTTGGAGGCCGCCGAAGCGGGCGTCTGTGTCCCCTGGTGTGCTGCTGGTAATGAGGTGGGCTCACTCACGTTTCCCGAACTACCATCCTGCCGAAAAAAAACCGATTCATTCGATGCGCCGTTGGCCACTGGCGCAGCCGCTGTTGATACAGCCTCAGAGTCTGGGGCTGATCCGCCCGTCTGCTGCTGCTGCTTCTGCTGCTGTGAGGGCTCGTTGGTATACGGCGTGCCGCCAGAATCCTGTGTTTGGGGTTGTGGCTGCGGTTGCGGTTGCGGTTGCGGTTGCGGTTGCGGTTGGGGTTGCGGTTGCGGTTGGGGTTGCGGTTGCGGTTGCGGTTGCGGTTGCGGTTGCGGTTGCGGTTGCGGTTGCGGTTGCGGTTGCGGTTGCGGTTGCGGTTGCAGCTGTTGCTGTTGCTGCAATTGGTGCTGCTGCTGCTGAGGCACACCGCCATTGAGCATCATGCCATTGACGGGCTGCGCCCCCGGCGGCACCCCTGGCGACATGCCGGGTGGAATACCCGGCTGCATTCCGGGCGTCATTTGCTGGGGCGTCATTTGCTGAGGCGGCGCCGTCATTCCAGACAAAGACTTGGCGTAGCCGATCTGGGCATGCAACTGGTGGTTCACAGCCTGCAGGTTGCCCTGCATCTGCTGGTACTGGGCCATGTATGCATTGCGATGCTGCTGGTTGAGCGCAGGCGATTGCAGCATGCCAGAAATCTGCTGAGAAATCGTGTGGAACTGGCGTTGCTGTGTTAACAGGCTCATCAGGTTCATCTGCAGCGTGCCGGGCAACTGCATGAAGTTTGGAAGCATCGCCGACAGCGCTATCTGGATCTGGAGCTGCTGTTGCTGCTGCTGCTGAGCCTGTAACGCCTGTTGCTGCTGGGGTGTCATTTGCGGGCGCTGCTGCTGCTGCTGCTGACCTTGCTGCTGACCTTGCTGCTGACCTTGCTGCTGCTGGAGCTGAGCTTGCTGCTGGAGCTGGAGCTGTTGCTGCTGAGCAGCGGTCATCATCGAGTTGACAGACAAGGGCGCCTGAGACATGCCCGCCTGCATCTGCTGCTGGTGCTGCTGTTGGGCCATTTGCTGCTGGTGCTGCTGGATCATCAGCTGATGGCGCTGGACCGGCGTCAAATTGGGGTTGGCCATGATCGCCGTAGCAATATTGCCGGCCGGCAAGCCAGGCGACACGAGCATCTGCGACTGGGTGGGCGTGCCATTGCCGCCGCCACCACCGGCACCCTGCTGCTGCCCCTGGCCCTGGCTCTTCGCGGGCGTGCCGGGCGACTTGAGCTCCGAGATCAGAGCCTGCGCGGCCATGCCCGATGCCGATGACTCAGCCGCGGCTACAGAAACCGCCGACACTGTCGTGCTCGTCGCCATCGCCGGCGCACTAGCGCCCTCGGAGCTAGCAGGCGCGTCCTTGACAGCATCGCCGCCGCCCTGCTTATCCTCAGCCTTGGCCTCTGAGTCCTTGGTGTCCTCCTTCAGCATGCCGCCCGTCATTGCCGCCGTCGTCGTGGCTGTGGATGTGGCCAGAACGCCAGGGGCAACCATGGGCGAGTTATCAGTGCCCTGCGGTGTGTGCGGATGGTTGGCCACCGATGCCGACCGGTTGATTGACTTTCCTGCCGTGGGCGGTGACATGACGCGCGCTGTTTTGTTGGCACCCTGCTGGGGCGTGTTGGCATCGGCCATGGCCGGCGAGCTGTTGGCGCTCTTGCGCTTCAGCCCACGCTGAGTGCCCGCCGGCGTGGCCGAGGCGCTGGCGCGATTGACAGCAGCCGCACTGGCAGCTGCCAATGCCGCCGAGGCAGCGCTCAGGGGAGGCGCTGGCAACTGTCCTGGAGACGGAGACATGATCGGGTTCTGAGGACGAACACCGGCCACTCCGCCTTGGGCCGCCATCTGCTGTTGCTGCTGCAGTTGCATGCGCTGGAACTGCTGCTGCTGAAGCTGCTGCATCTGCAGCTGGTGGTGCTGGAGCTGCGGAGACATCCCCGGCTGCAGTCCAGGCATGCCGACAGCGCCGGACATTGCCCGATTGCCAGCGGCAGCGGCGCCAGTTACTGCCGAGAGCATCTGTTGCTGAGCCTGATGCTGTTGCTGTTGCTGAGCCTGTTGGAAGTGCTGGATGCGCTGCTGCTGCTGCTGCTGCTGTTGAGCCTGCTGCTGGGCCTGCAGCTGCTGCTGTTGCTGCTGGAGCGTCTGCACAAGCATAACCAGAATTTGGTTAACGAGCGGAATGTTGGCCAGTTGGCCGTTGACGAGGTACTGGTGAAACTGCTCGAGCGAAACGGGGCCATACATCTGCGGCTGCTGCTGCTTAAGCTGGCTATGGAGGATCTGCACATGGTGCTTGCCTAGCATTCCCACCAAAGCCATATGCTGAGCGACATTGGGAGGCAGGCCGGCCGGGATCCCAGCGGACGCGGCAGCGGCGGCAGCATACATCTGCTGAGTCATCGCGTTGGCACCCGCGTTTTGGTTATGGTTCTGGCTCTGGCTCTGGCTCTGGCTCTGGCTCTGGTTCTGGTGCTGGTTCTGAGCCAGCGGAGTGGCAGTACGGACCGGGAGCTGTTGGGGCGGCTGTATCGTGCTGCTGCCGCCAACAGTAGCAGTACCAACAGACGTGGTGCTTGCCGCGCCCATTGGGTTGGCCATGCCGTCAGTGCCATTCTGCTGGCCGGGAGCTTGGCCGAAGCGGTTAGCCTGTTGCGCGGACATGAACCTGGCCATCACTGATTGCTCCAACGCCTGCTGAACAATGTTCAAGTCTGAGCCAGCAACCGCTTGCGTCCGGTAAACGCTCATCTGCCGGTCGACTTCAGCGGCCATGTCGGGAGGAATCGGGATGTTGGTGCCAATAAAGGTGCGCTGCTGTTGACCATCAAGTGGTTGCTGCGGTTGCTGCGAGCCATTAACAGAAACAGGTTGCTGGTTAGCGTTCACGGGTGTCTGATGCGGAGTCTGAGCTTGAACCTGAGCTTGAGACTGAGCCTGAGCCTGAGCTTGCGGTTGAACCTGAGCCTGCTGCGCGGCGCCTTGAGCAACATTGGGGGGCGGTTGCTGCTGAGGAGTCATGGACGCAGCAGCCGAGGGGTTCGCACCAGAGCTCTGCATCGGCATGGACACTTGAGGGACACTGCTTGTAACCGGAGTGTTCCCGCCCATGCGACCAGCAGCATTCATACCCGAAAGCAAAATATGCTGCTGCTGCTGGGATTGTTGTTGCTGCTGATGCTGTGCCTGTTGCTGCTGTTGAGGAGACAGGACACCAGAGGCAATAAATGGCGAACCTTGAATACCTGAAGTCGCAGCCACGCTTGAGCCTTGCTGCTGCTGCTGCTGCTGCTGTTGGGCTTGCTGGAGCTGAAGCTGATTATGCTGCTGCTGCAAAGTCATCAACAGCGCCTGGTTGTTCTGACCACCACTGGCTTGGATCTGCTGGATCATATGGCTGCGTTGCATGGGCGGCATGTGGACAAAGTTCTGAAGCGCTGCCATGTTCTGGAACTGCTGCTGGGCTTGTTGAGCCTGCTGTTGTTGTTGTTGTTGCTGCTGCTGCTGGGCCTGCTGCTGCTGCTGGACCTGTTGTTGTTGCTGCTGCTGGAACATAATGGCCTGGTGCGCCTGTTGCTGCTGCAGCATGTAGGCGTTGTGTTGGGCCTGCTGCTGCAACGACGGCTGTTGCTGCTGCTGCTGCTGGCCTGGCTGGAACTGTTGCTGCTGCTGGGGCATCTGGAACATGGCAGCAGCAGACATGGATGCAGCCGAAGCCTGAGCAGCCGAAGCCGGGCCCATCGCGCCAGACTGCTGCATCTGCATCTGCATTTGTTGCTGTGGGTTCTGAGCAGACACTGGAGGCGAAAACATATGCTGCTGCTGGCCGTTCAGTATACCAGTGGGGGTGTCTGACAGGCCACGCGGGGGCACCTGCTGAGACTGCATGACGGCTTGCTGCACTGAAGCGGATTTGGCGCTGGGGGTCGGCGACGCACCAACACCCACACCAGCAGCAGCGCCTTCAGCCTTTGGCCTGATCTTGCGCATGATCTCGGTATTGGGCGAAATAGTGGCGTTGCCGGGGCTGCTGTCCTGGGGAGTGGTCGGTTGGGGGGTCGGCGACTTGAGTTTGGGCGTAGCAGCCTTCTTGGCCTTGGACTTTGTGGTCTTTTCGCCCTTGGGTGCGGGTGCTTTCTTGGCCTTGGGCTGTCTTGGCTTCTTGGTCGTTGTTGCTGGTGACTTGAGCGTGGTGGCTGGGAGTGCTGGTGGCAGCGTGGCAGCGGACATGGGCTGCTGCGGCGGTGCCCTGGTGAGGGCCTCAAGGTCGGCTGGCGCTAGAGTACCCATTTGCAGCTGGTGCTGGTGCTGGAGGTGTTGCTGCTGCTGCTGCTGGTGGTGGAACTGATTCTGGACCTGGCTCTGTTGAAGTTGGAGCTGCTGCTGCTGGTGATGCTGCTGCTGCTGGTGATGCTGTTGCTGTTGCTGTTGTTGCTGGACCATCTGCTGCTGCATTTGCGACCCCATCTGGGCTGCTCCCGCGGCCTGTGGGTCAAGAGCGGTAGAGGCCAAAGCCGGGGCAAAACCGCCAAACAGATCATCCATTGCTGGATCGCCCTGCAATAGCATCTTCCAAGCCTCCGGATCCATACCGCCACCAGTCATGTCAAATCCTAACGATGCCAAATCCAAAGCCCCCGCTGCTGCCGATGCCGATGCCGATGCCGATGCCGATGCCGATGCCGATGCCGATGCCGATGCCGGTGCCGGTGCCGATGATGCAGGCATAGCAGCAGATGGCGTGGCGTTTCCAACAGCCGATGTCGGCGCAGAACTAAAGGCATCCATGTTGAAGAATATATTGGCAGCGGCGTCCCCGCCTATACCCCACATTTCATCCATGTTTCCATCGTTGTTGGCCATAAACATTGAGTTTTGTGAAAAGTTCATGGCAAAGTCATCTGTGCGTCCGTTGCCACCGCCGCCGCCGCCGCCGCTGTGGTCGTTTGTGTTGCCGGCAGTGGACGAGGACGGGTCTAGCCCGTTTGCTCCATACCCTGACGACATTGTATATGATACTACGCGATCGACAAGTTAAGAGAATGGTGTATCAGAAAAAATAAATAAAAAAGAAACGGAGTGCAATTTAGTATTTATGACTTAAAAAGAAAAGGAAAAAGGTTACTGGGTTGACAGGGCTAACCGAATGACCAAGTGAGTCAACGAGTACGTGTTCAAATTTACTATTTTTCAAAGCTTGTCAGTGTCCGACAGTTTGGGCGAGAAATTAACACGAAATTGACAATTGCTTTTCCAACAAAATATATAAAAAGGAGTAGGGGGGAGGGGGGGGGGAGAAGGCTAAGGAGAGGAAACAGCTTCAAGTTTATAAGCACTATTATATACTATATATTCTTTTATTCCCAGGGGAACACAAGAATAAAAGATAGAGAGTGTGCGAATTTGGCAATAAACCTACAATCTAAACTTCTTGAACAAATAAGAATAAAGTATAAAAATAAAAAAGCAAATAAGCGATAGAGGGAAAAAAAACAAAAAAGAGTGAAACAAATCCAGACTAATTTAAAAGTGAAAACGCGTCGGTTTCAAGCTGTATTATTCTCACTCTTAATTGAAAAGAAGAAAAATGAAAGCAGCCCATTTCTTTGTCATTACGCTCCAAGTTGTGAATTTTCTTGTCAAATTATGTCTTACCTTGTGTCGTAACCCAGAACACAAAAAATAAAATAAAAATGAACGATAAAAAAGAAGAGAAAGAAAGAAAACAAATGGATATATAAAGCCCTGCGTGCTAGTGTGTGTTCCCAAAAAACTTTTATAGTAGAAAAAAGGTAAAGAATAAATGTACTGGAACCGGAATTGTATTTGGAATTGGAATTGGAATTGAAAGTGGCTGAGCTAATATAAAGAATAAAATGAAATAAAAGAAAAATAGTAAAAAGGGGAGAGGAGAAAAAGGCCAAGTAAGAAAAGAAAAAAGAATATGATGCACAGCGAAATAATAAGGCAAAAAAATAACGGGAGAAAAAGAAAGAATAAAAAAGGAGGGGGGAGGAGCAAAAAAAAGGAATTATTAAAAATAGAGGAAGCGAAAATGACCTTGTATTTATTAGTTCTGTGATGAAAAAACGCGTTATTTTTTCTTCGAGGTTTTTTAGAAGAGCAACAATAATGAAAGAACCCCTTTTGCACCTCGATGCTCTGGTCCAAAAAGCTTTTTTTTAATAATGGATGAATGAATGTTTGTTTGTTCTTTCTTATTTGTAGTTGCGCGAGATCCTCTCCTCTTTCCCCAAACTGCTGGTGATGCAGTTTATCAGATGTGAAACACTTTGTGTCTATCTTTTGTCACCAAATACAAAATAAAGGAACTCGCTCTCAGGGCTGAGCAAAATTATTGAAGCCCAGGAGAGGTGGAGGAAAGGGCACGGTTGGTTCGGTTTAACAGGCGGCAGAACGTGTCAAGGGCCTTGCCAGCTAGAAGCAAAAGCCACAAGCCAATCAAGGAAATAAAAAAGAAACAATAAATGCAAGGGGTCCAAGACAAACTCAATTCCTCGACTTTACTCAATTTCTCGCGTGTTTTGCGTTATTTTCTATTATTGCGCCACCTGTCAAAAAGAAAAAAAAATTGGATGAGGTTGGAGCTCAACCTCGCTTACGCGAATTTGGCCAACCACCGTTCCTCGGTCGCTACCCACTCAAAATGAAAACGCATGCGACTCGAGCCGACCCCCAAGCAAAACGCATGGTCCCCCGACCAAAACAACAACAACAACAGCAACAGCAGCAGATGGTCCAGCAGCAACAGCGACAGCATCGCCAGCAGCAGCAGCAACAATGAAATTAATCATCATGCTCCTCCAGCCTGCATCGAGTACTTGATGATATTGTTCTTGCCAGGCACAATGATGTCGTCCTCGCCCAGCTTAACATTGCCAACAGTTTCAGCTCCAGCGTACGCGCGGTCCAGCTGCTGATTATGCAGCTTCCTCGCAAACTCGCGCACGGTCGTGCCAGGCCGCACCAACACACAGTCCTGGAAGCAGCCACTGCTGCCAGCCGAGTCGCCACCAGCAGACGCGCCAAAGTTGGCCAGGCTCTTGACCGGGAACACTGGCACATAGCCGAGCGCCTCGACTGCGCGCACCAGTACATCCTGCACGCCCGTCGACCCATACCGGAACAAAACCAAATCGCGAATATTGTCCAACCTTCCACGCACCCGATCATCCAACGGCCGCAGCCCACCACCACCCGGCTGCTTGTCCTCAGCAGTCACAAAGTCATCCTGGCCGGTCTCATATAGGATGTACTTTTGCTTCGCCATTTTGCGCAAAAAGCATTCGGCAAGAGCCGACGTCAGCACGATGTTCTCCTCACTAACGCCATCCCTCAATGCCACGCCCTTTGCGCCATGGTAGCGGCGAACTATCGCCGAAATGTTCTTGTCGGCATCTGGCATGTCAATCTTGTTCAGCGCAACGATGGTCGGAAACCGACAGTCCAAGAAGACACGCACGAAACTACGCAGCTCCTCCGATGACCACAAGGAAATATCCTGGCCATGGGCGCCGAGACGGTCCAGCGCCCGCTGTACTATTTCGCGCCCGGTTCCGTACCCCGCCAATTGCCCATGCAGGGTCTCCACCGGCGTCGCCTTGATGGCCACGTGGCGCCGCACCGTGCCGCCCCATTTCCTATCCAAATTCCCAAAAATCCACGCCTCAATTTCGCCTCGCAACCACCGGATATCGTCCACCGGGTCGTAGCCCCTTGTTTCCCTGCCCTGGTCGTCCGTCATCCCGGATGCGTCCACCACGTGGATCAGCGCATCAGCATGCCGCAGGTCATCGAGAAACTGATTACCCAACCCACGCCCCTCCGATGCACCCGGTACCAATCCAGCGACGTCCATTAGTCGGATCGGCACATATCGTTGGCCGTTCTGGCACCATCCGTGTCGCGGCTTGCATCGCGCTGAGAGATTGTGGGTGGCACAGGGGCAGGCAATCGGGTAGTAGGCGATGCCCTGGTTGGGCTCGATCGTTGTGAAGGGAAAGTTGCCCACTTTGGCTGTGGCGTCGGTCACAGCATTGAGGAAAGATGATTTGCCTGCTGAGGGCTTTCCGACGCAGGCGACGACAAAGCTGGAAGCCATTTAATTTATAAAATAAAAAAATTGAATTAGAAAAAGTAATTATTATTGATTTTTTTTTCGCAAAAGAGAGAACATGGAACAAGAGTATGATGAAGAAAAAACGATGCATGACGACGTTGCTTCATGCTTGGTCTTGGTCTCTGGGGAAGGGGGGGGGCCAAGAGCGACCAAAGAAGAGGAAAAAAAAAAAGAGAGAAAGCTGGGCAAGAGCAGCTTTGGGTCTTTTTTCTTCCTTCCTTTCTTATACCCCCCCCAACAATCCACCCTCATGGGTGCGAAATCAAACGGATTTTGATGGCCAGTTTTGTGACACAGAAAATAAATAAATAAAACCGAATCTCGGCTGCCAAAACGTTTGAACGAAAAATAATTAAGATATAAAGCCAATTCCATTGACAAAAAATAAAAATAAAAATAAAACAAAACCAGTCTAAATCCCCTTATTTTATCCCTTTCACTCGAGCTTCTTGGTCTCGGTGGTCTCAATGGTCTTTCCCTGGTGGAACTTGATCATCAGCAGGTCGCCGATCTCGCTAATATGCTCCAGCGCATAGTCCAGATCCTCCCTAGTGTGCGACGCCGAGATGCAGAAGCGCACGCGGCCAGTAATTATGGGCGTAGCCGGGTAGGACACGACGACAACAGCAATCTTGCGCTTCAAGCACTCGCGCGAGAACGCCGGGATCTTCGCCGGGCTAAACAACAGCAGCGGCACAACCGGGCTACCAGAATCCCCAAGCGTCATAAAGCCCATCTCCGCCAGCCTGCGGGCAAAATACCGCGCATTAACAGCCAACTGATCCAGCCTCTGCTGGCCCTCCAGCGCATGCTCGCGGTCCTCGCCCATAATCATCCGCATCGACGCCGACACCTGCGCAAGCACCGGCACGCTCATCGCCTCAGCATACACCGCTGAGTGCGAGTGCAGGCGCAGATAATTGATCAGCGCCTTGCTTCCAGCAATGTACCCACCGGCCGCGCCAAAGCTCTTCGTGAAGGTGCCCATAAGCACGTCGACGTCATGGGGGTCGATGTTGAAGTGGTCGCAGACGCCGCGGCCGCGCTTGCCCAGGGCACCGATCGAATGGGCCTCGTCGACGAACAGGTAGAAGCCGTAGCGGCGCCGCAGCCTTACGATTGCCGGCAGGTCGCAGAACTCGCCCTCCATAGAGTACAGGCCCTCGACGACCACCAGGATTTTCTTCCACGGCCGGTGCGTACGCGGCTGGCCCTGGGAAATACTGCGCCGCAGCTGCTCCTCCAAACTCTGCATGTTGTTGTGCTTGAACACGCGAATGGTCGCGCCCGAGAGACGCGCGCCAGAGACCAGCGAGTTGTGGTTCAGCTCGTCCGAGATAATCAGGCATCCGCGGCTCACCAGCGCCGGAATATTCAGCGCATTGGTCGCGTACCCCATAGAGACAATCAGGGAGGCTTCGGTGCCGACAAATCGCGCGACCATGTCCTCGGTCTCGGCCAGCAGCCGTGTGGTTCCGGCCTCCGCTCTGGTCGATGCCTGGGTCACGCCGTTTTCGCGCATCGCCTGCTCCACCTTATCCGCGCACGGGCCCTCGCTCTGCGCAAACCCCAAGTAATTATACGAGGCCAAGTTCAATACATTACGCACGCGCCCGGTAAACTCGAAAGTCGCGTTCGCGTCGTGCGAGACGCGCTCGAGCAAATTGACGTGGCCGCCGGCAACGCCAGTGATCGGCCGGTTGAAGCAATCGCGGATGCGGCCGTACAGCCGCCGAGTCCACAAGCTCTCAAAGTCGGATACCATTGGCGCATACCCGTTCTGCTCACGCAGCTGCACGTACTCCTCCGGATGCAGGAGCTTGCCGAAGAAGTCGCGCAGGTGGGCAAACACTATGAGCATGAGGAAGCTCAGGTACGTTGTCACAAGGATGAACGACGGCACTGACTCGAGCTCCGACGGGCGCTCGGCTTGAGGGGAAGGAGAATTGGAGGTGGCGGCCGCAGCGGTCGTTGGTGCTGGCTCGACGGAGGCTGAGGCGGATGAGAGCTTGCTGGCCTTGAGTGCCTTTTCGCTGTCGACTAGCAGGCTGGAGCTGTTGCTGGGCGCCAGCTTGAAGGGATCGGCGGGGCCGTTGATAAGACCGTCAGAGTCCCTTGCGTGCTCGATAAACTCGGTGCTCTTGTACACCTGCGTAGCACGCTGACCCTTACCCATGGTTGAGAAATAAAAAATAAAGTGTTGATGTTACTGTAAAAAAACAATAGAATAGGAAAAACAAAAAATATTTGGTGCGCTTTCAGAATATTAATAGAGTGTTGAAATACATGCGCGCTGTTTGTATGTGTGTTGTATGTGGGAGGATGGAGAAGGGGAGAAAAAGAGATGGAAAATATTAATATTGCAAAAAAAGAAAGAAAGAAAGAAAGCACAGCAAAGCAAAGCAAAGCAAAGAAATGAAGAGGGAAAAGGCCTCGGTCCTCGTTACAAATTTTTTGGGTTTTTTTTCCCTGAGATGGAATTAGCAAATGCGGGAAAATGGCAGAGAAGATGGGGGGAGCGGTTTTTTGTTGGTCGCTCTTTCCCTTTAAGAAAAGCACCAGCAGCAGCAGCCAGCCGGCAGCAGCAGCAGCAGCAGCCAATGACAATCCCAAAAACGAGGTTCCAGACTTTGGATGCGAAAGGACGCTTTCCGCACTCTTCCTCTTAATTCACATTGTTTTATTGTTTTTTGTGAGCATGCAAAGGGATAATAGTAAGCAATCCCAGAGAGAGAGAGTGCGACCACGCACCGCCAAACAACTCTTGTTTCTGTGTCTGTCTGTGCAACAAGAGCAATTGTTTTGGTTTTTTTTCTTTTTGATGTTGCCGTTTTGCGAAAGAATACCAACAAAAAGAACAGTAAAACTCTGTCTTGTGTTCAAAAAAGTATTTTTACATTCAGTATTTTGTGTCCCCGCCCCCCTTTTTTCTCTTCCTCGTGGTTTTCCATCTACTTTTCTTCTAAGCTTGGCTTTTTTTGTGACTCGGAAAAAACAATAGCATGAATCCCGCACTTTAGATCTTTTGTATTTGTGACAAAAGATATAACGTGATGTTTAAAGTGTCACCTATAAAAGCAAATAGAGAGCATACAAAAGTAGTACGGTTGCAAGCCGGTTTGCTTTTGCTTCATTTGCCGCAATGTAATGTGAATAACGATAAACAAGGATCTCAATGTGTCAGTCGAGCACCAGTGTAGCCAAGAGCATGGCATGTTTTATCCTATCCTTTATATGAGCGAGAAATCATCTGTTGATCGCTGCAGACGAGACCGCTTAATATCAGTGGTGAAATAAATGTATATCAGTCCTGGGACTCCAAATCGACCAAAAAACTAGAAAGCATCAGAGCAAATCCCGCCTTTTCCTTTGCGCGTGTCTGGTTGTGTTGATCGAGCCGAAGGAGAAAAATGGCTGCAAATGGATTTGGGTTGGGGGGTTAGAGAAGCCCTTTATCTCTTCGTGCCGGCCATAGACAAAACAATCACGCAATCACGAAATCACGCGATCACGCGATCACGCAATCACGCAATCACGCAATCCCGTGATCGTGAAACCGCGCAACCGTGTAATCCCCGCTTCAGTTGCGCCACGCGTTAAGCATGATCTGCTGCACGCACATCAGCGCCTCGTAGCGCACCTCGGGGAACTCGCTGGTCATCAGCGCCATGACCTGCGCCTTGGCGCCAATGCGCGCCAGCAGCCGCTTTCCGTCCGGGTTGAACTTGACGTACTGCGCCAGGTCGTGGCACGCAACAGCCAGCGCCGTCTCGTCGTCGCGGCCGAGCACCTGCGCCAGCTGCCGCACAATGCGGTGGTCAGCCTCGTCCATCCGCGCCACGTGCATTTTCCAGAACTGTTCCGAGCGGTGGGCCGGGCTCCAGTGCAGCTTCCCAGAAGCGACCTCCGCACAGTACTCGTCCCACGTGGTCATGACGCCCGAGTGGCCGGCCAGGTCCTCGGTGAGCTGCGCCAGCGCCGCCTTCAGATCCTCGTCCTTGAAGCTACGCCCCACAGCCAGCGTCCGCAGGCACGCCGGCACGCCGCCAACCAGCATGCTGGGCACGTTGGCGTCGGGCGCCAAAAGCAGGTTGCTGAGCGTCGACACGACGACGCGGATGACCTTCTCCTTGCCCGTCGACCGCGCGATATCGACGAGCACAGGGATGATGTCGTATGTTTTGTCCAGCACAGCCGCCAGCTGGCGCTCAAAGCTCAGCAGCCACAGGCAGAAGACAACCTCATACTGCGTCTGCGGCACGGCCACGACACCGCGCACCGCGCGGCTGCCCTGCGGCTGCACCAGCGTGCGCCTCAGCACATCGAGCATCTGCGCCAGGCACCCGGGCGCCTCGTTGAACAGCGTGTGCCGCGCCTTGGGCACGCGCAGCGCCGACTGCATTGCCTGGATGGCCACGTCGACGACCGACGTCAGCTCGCTGTGCATGTACCGCTCCAGCGTGGCAAACAGCCGCGCAAAGTCCACCTTGGCGCCTGCCGCCACCGCCACGCCCACGAGGATCTTCGCTGCCTTGAGCCCCAGGTAGTCGTCCTTCTTCTCCATGCACCGGAACAGCACCCGGTCGCCGCCAGCCGCATCCAGCCGCTCGCGCAGCCCAGCCAGGCTCTCGCCGTCGCCGGCCTCCACCAGATCATCCAGCATCACCAGAAGATACTGCAGCGCGTCCAGGCTCGACAGCTTCTCTGTTAGACTCACCAGAAGCGGAACGAATTTGGCCAGAGATACTCCATTGGATTCTTGCCTTTGCTGTTGGAATGCCTTGAGGGCACTCAGCTCGGCGCTGCTGATAAGGCCTGCTCGAGAGTACCCTTCCCAGGGAATTGGCTTCACCCGCACTTTGTCTGTGAACTCTTCGAAGAATTGATTGTGGACCATTGCCGCTGGAACCGCCGTGAGTGTTGCCATTTGCAAAGTGAAATGAAAAATTACAGAGGCGTGGGGGTAAATTTAATAGTACAGACTGCAATTGAAGGATACAAAAGAAGGAAAAAGTAGACCTCTTTGCCTGGGTAAATCGAGTGCAGATTGCAGAGTTGAGAAACAATAAAGAAAGCTATAAAAAACAACCTCGAGCAGGGGGTGAATTGAATTGAATTGAATTGAATTGAATTGAATTGAATTGAATTGAATTGAATTAGCAAGAAATAGTGTGCAGTGTTTTTATTTTGTTGTTGGGATGACGCCACCTTGTTTCAATACACTCCACTCCGCTCCGCTCGGACGAACCTCGTCGGTTCGGGCTGCCGGCTCAATATGACCAACCGGCTCGCAGTAACATTGAGCGAGGGGGTATGGGTTTTTTTTAGTCAGCTCCACCAAGTCATTCGAATACCATCGCTGTGCTGTTTGTTTGATGGCCTGGTGATGCCACACGTAAAATGTTGGTCGTTTTATTTCTACCATCGCCAGGGGGGGGCGCGTTCATTTTTCTTCCTTTTTCCTCAGAATTCACGCGATGTGGCTCTGTCGCGTCATTTAGTTACTGCCATAAATCAAGTAAAAATGTACTATGAACATTGCCGAAATAAACAGGCAGTCACCAGCACCAGCACCAGCACCACCAGAAAAATCATTACTTGGCGCAAGCAAGTGTTTTGTTAAACGCTAAAAAAAGCATGTGTAGCTTCTCTCCAGTCATAAAAGTTGTCTAAAAAAATTTAAATTACGGAATAAATTGCCTCAGTGAACCAAAAAATACTAAACAAAACTAAGCAAATAATCGACACGTTTTATTACTCATTAATCAAATAAACGAAAACATTAGAAAAAATATCTCAACTGAAGTACTGCGTTTTGCTCCTTAAAAATATTTACATACCATGTTGCACAGACTGAAGATATGGAATGGATGTCGAGGTTGAGAATCGTGGAACAAGTTTCCATTTGCATACCGATTGACAGGGTATTAATTGGGTTATACAGGCGTAAATTAGGGAGGCATTACATTGATTCCCAGACATGCTCCCCATTTTGCAATGCACACGCGTGGGTGCACACACACGAAAACCACAGCACTGACTTGCCAAGATACCGGTCTGCTCACAAAAGATCCAGTTCTCACCAACGGAGCGCACAATTGGCAATGTGTACAACAAGGGCGACGAGGCACGTATATAAGATGAGGCCGGCCCTAGTAGTATTTTAGAAACATCAGTAATAAAACCTTTTATAAAATCATCACTACTTTTAACACTAGGCAACTAGTGCTCCACTCAAATCACAACACCGTGTAATTTTTTGCATTTGCCCAGGTGCACAAGAGAACAAAAGAAAAAATGCGTGTCGGATTTCAAGTGTACTCCCTCTTCAGATACCTCGTTTTCTTTTGCAGAATTGTTTTTTAGTTGGTCAGTCAGTCAGTCAGTCATAAAGCCAGCCAGTGACACTAAAAAGAAGTAAAAGAAGGAAAAATAAATAAAAGTAAAATAAATAATAATATTAAAAAAAAGAGAAATGAATTTTCTTTGACAGTTGGCTTGTGAAAGAAAGAAAAAATATGTTGTAGCCCCCTCCCTACAAATGAATGCTTTGTATCGACTGCTGGACATTGAACATTCGGACAATCCAATGCTTTTTTTTATTTCTTTTATTCAAACGTGTCTCGCCAAAAAAAAATTTCAAGTGCTTTTTAATATAAAGAAAATAATTAAAAGGAATTAAAAAAACCGATATTCCTCCATACATACTCTATTGCTTCAAAGATTCGTACACCCGGTGAATTTCATCTACTTACTTTACTAATATCATACGATTTTATTCTTTTTTATGCAACTTGTATGATGTTTCTCAAATTTCTTCATCCTATATAATGTGGGCCATAAGATTCACACCAATTAAATAAGACCACATCTCATAGTTGAACTGCTCCTCATACTTTTTTGTTATTATATCTGCGCAAAATAACCCTTCTACCTTTAACTTTTTTTTTAATTTCTTGTCAATATATTCATTCTTTTTCTTAGGGTCACCCTTTTTCATTGTACTATTAACTTCAGCATGCCTAGCATTACAATCAAGGTTTACTACGACGAGTTTCAGTGGGATTTTGTCACTATCGATGACACAAAGAAAGTATGCGACCTCTTTTTCCAACTTTTCAGCGAAAACCCAAACTTTTACGATGTCTTTGTTCTCGGCACTTTTATTAATGGCGAATTCAAATCCTTCGATCCTATTGTGAGCTTGAATCAATGCGGGATAAAGGAGGATAGTCTCGTGTATACTGCCAGGGTGTGCAGTGAACCCATGGATGTGCATGTGGATTCCATCTGTAAATACAATATTGCTGAATGCAATGACCAGTTATATTGTTAATATTTATGCTTTGCTTTGCTTTGTGGCGTACTGCCTAAACATATCCACATTTGTGCACCTATATAAATGTACAGATAACAAAACTAATTTTGTTCTATTTCATTAGAACTTTTATACACGTATTATTTAAACCGCCTTTAAAAACTTTTTTATTTAAAATAAATTGACAAAACTTGCATGTGTTCAACAAGAAAGCAAATGTGTAGATGCTTTTGATCATGCTGTATTTGTCGAAACGCACAAAACATGCATCTTTTATAATATTTCTATTATAAAATTGTTATAAAAGTGTAAATAAAAATAAAAATAACATAAAGCCACACCTCTCACTCCTTCAACTCAAAGTTTGACCTTGAGCTTGTCATCGCCTCTGTGCTTCACCCACCAGCGTTTAGCCAGGCGGCCCACAGGGCCCACAACGACAAGCTTCTCCCACAGCAAGCACAGAACAATGTTTGTCACACACAGAGCCCACAGGGTCCAGCGGAATTTCTGCGGGATGACATTATGGCCCGTAGGATTGTTGTAGTCCGAAATGCCCCACGACGGGCGCGAGTATCCAAGGTCGACCAGAGTGTCTGGGTTACCACAGTTGATGCGGAACAGGCAACTGAATCGGTTGGGATCGGCCAGCGTTATAATCGATATGGCCGCCATGAACCCGCAATACAGAACAACCAGAACGTAGTTGGTTGCCCATCCGCGCCGGAAGTAATGTCCGAAATTGTAGACAGCAGCGCCGTTGACAAACTGGAACATGCAGACGATGGAGATGATTGCCGCCTCATAGTTGTCGCCCAGAAGCCACCACAGGCTGGTGTCAATATCGCGGCTGTCAAACTCACGGCAGCGGAACCACGATTGGCGGAACAAAAGACCCATGATTCCATATAAGAAAGAGTAGTTGAGCACGGTCTGACCCCAAATCGATGCCAGCGTCCGAGCCCCGATCAGGCGCGCGGTCGGGCGGGTGGGAGCCAGCGTCCGAGCAGTCTGCGCCTGCGTCAGCGCAATGCACAAGCCGACAGTGATAAACGAGTCAACCATGATCCAGACATTCTGCGGCACAATGACCGAGAAATAGAACTGCACAATCTCAAGCATGCTCATCGTAGTGGCATAGTTGATTAGGAACTTGTAGCCTGCAACCGACGTGGCCAGCCCCGCACGGCCCTCGCGCAGGAGCGTGACACACGAGTGGATCGACCGGTTGCTTGTCGAGAACGGCGACACGATCGACGCCTCGGAGTCAGACAGCGCGATGCCCACATGGGCGGCCCTCAACGCACCACAGTCGTTGCCGCCATCGCCGCACATCGCCGTGATCGCACGCTCCATGTGCAGCTGCACGCAGTCGACCTTGCCCTGGGGCGTCATGCGCGCAAAAATCCGGATGTCCAAGAGGTATTTCCGGATGGCATTCGTCGCCATCAGATAGTCAAAGGCAGCAGCTGTCACAGCCAGCTCAATCATCGGCGTGCGCTTCGCAACCACATCACTGAGCCAGTTCTCGGCCTCCTCCTGGCCCACGCGCTCGTCATACAGCAGCTTGTCAACGTTGTCCACAACGACGTCGTCGGCCGTGTCGCGCCACACAAGCTGCATGTCGGAGCCGCTGCGCTCCATATCACCCAGGATCACGTGCGCCGCCGGGCTAACCATGCCGCACTCGCGCGCAATGTACACGCCAGTCAGCGCAGTGTCGCCGGTGATCATCACAGTGCGCGTGGCACCCGCCTTGAGCGCCATGATGGCCGATGGCGTGTCTTCCTTGAGCTTGTTGCGGAACAGCAGGAGCGAAACCAGGTCGCAGCCACTCTCCAGGCTTTCGCGCGATAGCCGCGTCACATCGCCCAGGTCCGCCACTGGTCCGAGATCCTTGTGCGCCAGCGCCAGCACGTAGCAGCCCTCGCGTGCCCACTGCGCTGCGACTGCGTCGTAGTCGGAGGGCATGGTCGCCGCATTGGCGATGCGCTTGACCCGCTCGAAGGAGCCCTTGACATAGACGTGCACGTGGCCTGTCGCCTGGTCCAGAACCGCGACAGACATGGACTGCCGGGCATGCACAAACTCGAACCGCTTGATTACATGGATGGTCTGCCGGCCGAGTTTGTCGCTGCCCTCGTGGATGTTCTCGAGGAACGGCGAGATCAGCGTGTCGAGGTACGCGCTGCTATCGCGCTCGCCCTGCTGGATCTCCCAGTCCGTCGCACGGAACTGCTCGACATCGACAGGGTTGCCGATAAGCTGGTCGCCGACCATGGTGACTGCATGGCACGCTGCAAAACCAACGTGCATGATGCTGGGCAGCCGCGACATGTCGGTCTCCTCAGCGACGAACTTTGCGCTGGTGATGTCGACGCCTTGCACAGCAAAGTAGTCCATCGTCGGCCGTGACAGGGTGCCAGTTTTGTCAAAGCAGAATACCTGCACTTTGCCCGCCAGCATAATGCGAGGCAGGTCGACACAGTATATGTTCTGGCTGCCCAGCCGGCCGGCAGCGACAGACTGGCCGACGACCAGCGCAGCGGGCAGCAGCGGCGACATAATCTGCGAAATGACAAACACGCCATAGAACCAAGACGTCGCATCGTGGCCCATCAGCCAGATCGACAGCGCAAAGCCAACGCCGCCGTAGCCCAGCAGAATCAGCAGCGCCACGCGCAGCTGCTCGTCAAACACGAACGAGTAGCGCGCCGGGAACAAGATGCGCTGGATCAGCTTGCCCTTATCCGTGGCTGTGCGCGTCTGCGTGACCAGAATCTGCGTCTCGGGTTCGGGCTTAATGGCCTTCTCGTCGTCGCTGTTTTTGAACTGGGCCTTATCGTCTTCAGCAAGCGATATTCCAGAGAACAGCGTGGGCTGCGACTGCGACGCCAATGCCACCATGCTGCCCGTGCATTGCAGCACGCGCGTACCCGCAATGACCGAGTAAGCCTTGCTCACGCCTTGCTGCGCGTCATACGCCATATCGTCGTTCTTCAGCGGCAGCTTGCGCACAGGCATGGCCTCGCCAGTCAGCGAGCTCTCATCGACGACGACCTCGCCCTGCAGTACGCAGCCATCGCACATGATTTCCATGCCGGCCTCGACAGCAACCACGTCGCCGGGCACGAGATCTGCTGTGTTGAGCTGTACCCATTTGCCGTTGCGCTTGGCGCAGCACTCGCTCTTGTGCTCAGCCAGCGACTTGACCTTGTGCTCGCTGTGCAGCCGTATCGCAACCTTGATAAATGCTGAAACAATGATCACGCTGAACTGGACAAGCGCCATCTTGTAGTAGTTGAAGTAGAACCACACCCACATGCACATCATCTGGTACAAGTAGAAAAAGCTGAAGAACTCTTGCAGCAGGGCTACTGCGAACGACGGGATGGCAACGCGGATAAAGTTCTCGCCAATGTGTGACGCACGCTCCTGTGCCTCGTCGGTGCTCAGCCCGTCCCGGTTGGCCAGCAGCGCCCGGTGCGTGTCGCCCAGGTCGAATGTATGACACTGGAAGCGGCCACCACTACTGTCGTTGTCGGACAGCACGTACCGCGTGCAGTGGTACTCGATAAACGCACGCTCACTAGCACTGTGCCCGTTGCCGACGGACACGCGGTTGATCGGGCACGACTCGGTGGTAATGTTGAGGTTGAAGTGCTTCACCAGCGCGTCGCGTATTCCGTTGACCAAGAGCGTCAAGTGGTTCTGGCTGCCCTCCATCATGATGACCTCGTCCTGTCGCTCCTCGACCTGGACCAAGCGCGCCTGTGCCAGCGGGCACTCGATACGGAAGTAGTTGCGAAGCCTCGACATGCATGCCAGCATGGTGATCATCCAGATTCCACCCAAGTGCCAGACAAAAATAAACACGGCCATGGACGTGTTCGAGTTGGCCAGCAGCCCGTAGGCGATGCCCCCCTTGACCTTGCCGTAGTAGTCCGACACGATAATCGCCAGCAAAACAATCCAGCCGGCCGTCGACAGCAGCGCCAGGTAGTAGAGAGACATGCCGGCAAGGTTATTATCAAATCCACGCAACAGCATCATGCCGCTCTGCAGATCCACAGCCGAAGACACTGGCACACCGCCGCTAGGCGATTGGTCTTTGGAGGAGACCAATATTGTGCTGACCTTATCGTTCTCGACACCCTTGCGCACCAAAAGGCGGGTCGGCTGCTGCGAGCACACCTGGCGCATCGCAGCCGCATGGCGCTCGCAAAAGATCTTGTACACATGCCACAGCAAATAGAGAACAACCTCTGCACCAATAATAGCGTAAAAGGCAATGCAAAAGCTTTCCTTAAAAGAAAGTTTTGGCTCCTGCAACGTCGGGCAGTCGTTCCACATGCGTCGCTCGCTGCTGGCCTCTGACGACCAGGACTCGATCCCGGAGCCATCGTCGACCGTCGAGTTGGAGGGTACAAGGTCCCACGCCTGGGCGCACACAAACATGATCTGCTCCGTCTTGATGCTCGGATCGTAGTTCCTGGCGGTGACTGTGTTTTCATACGCTGGGCACGCCTTGTACACAGCTGCCACGTCGGCGTCCGCTAGACTGCATAGGCATGGGTTAATAATGCTATCACAGCTGGCGTGGCACCTGCCGTCGTCGCAGAGCTGCTCGTTGGACGCGCATGTCGGCGCTTTGAGGGCGCTGGGACAGTCGTTAAAGTCCCGTACACACAGTAGTGGGCATTTGAGCCCCTGTCTGTCCAGCAACTGGCAGGCATTGCCGTTGACGTCGACGCTGTTGGCTACAATGCAAAAAAATAGTAAAAAAATCAATGTGCCAGTGAGTTTTTTTAACCATAAGATTTCTAGTGTCTAGAGCGGTGAATAGAAAATCTGGATGACGCTGGATTTTTTGTTCTTTTCAGAACATAGAATATGCAAGCCATGCAAATCAATTCAAGTCGGTCTTTGTTCAGCAGGGAATACCTTGTGGTATCACTGCGCGCAATGTCGTGTCCGAAATGACGCTTTGTCACTCCAATATATGAGCTAATTCCGCGTTCAATTTTAGTCGATCAATTGATTGCGCTTGGATGTAAAAGATGTTTTCGTGGCTCCCAACGGTTGGGTGCAAAAGAGAAGCCACAGCCAAAATGACATTTGACATTTTTTCCTTTTCACATGCCCATTGTTTTTTTTTGTCTGATAGAAAAATTGTGAGAATCAAAGCAGGAGTACTTACGCGTGTTGAATGCCGGGAAAGCGCTGGTAAGGGCCAGGGACTCGAGGAGCGCCACTGTTATCGAGTAGCGCTTGAACAACATGTAAATGCAATTATAGTGAGAAAAAGTGTTCCTAGTGTGATAATTAGAAAGTGATACAAGACAAAAAATTAAAAAAAATATTTGCTCTCCCAAAAACAAAAAAAGGAACAAAAAAAGTAGGGAGTAATTTTTCGGGAAAAAAAAATGGAGAAAAACACAAAAAAAAGAATAAAAAAGGTGGCAACGTTAGATGGTACATTTTTTATTTCTCTCTGACCGGCGTTTGGTAACAGTGCCCCCCTTTTTGGTATTGTTGTTGCGCCAGCTAGTAAAGAAGTTATATTGATGATGTACACGCAAATTTCCTTTATTAGCCAAGTTCCTTGAAAAATTTTACTTGCTCACTCAACCACGCCTCCAGTGGACGATTCTTGAAAATGGTGTATTTATCCTCAGCATTAGCCAATCGGTTTTCCTAGAACTCGTCTTTATTTTTTCAAAACTTTTTTCGTTCTTTTAAGGCTTGTTCAAGTCCCACACGCTAGATGATCTCTATTCTCTTGTTCCCTAAAAGTGTAAATTGTAATATCTCTTTTAAGAATTATCCAATATACTATGGCAAATTTTGACAAAGTAAAGCAGGATTACCATGCTGAAGGCACCCATTTTGGTTTGAATAGCTCATTCACGATAATGAAAGCCCACTTGGTTAATGTGAAAATAACGGACATGATAGCGGGCAAGCAATCTTGAAACAAAAACTTCAGTTATATCTGGCTGACAATCGCACTTTGTCTTGTCTGAAAGTCTGGCAAATAAGCGATAAGGAATTTAACATGGCTGCTTTTTTTGTTTGTTTGCTTATTGTTTATATTGGGCCGATCGCCTTGTGCGCTGAATGATCTTTTCTAGCTGAAAATGTAAACTTTTTTAGTTTGACCGGAAACCCGGTTGAAATACCAAATCAAAATTTGATCATGGATTATGAACCGCGGTGGGCAAAACCAGTTCTATCATTTTTTTGCCAAAATACCTCAGATTAAAAAGTGCCCGGAACACGTGCATTATTCAAGTTCAAGCATTGGCTATCAACGCAGGTGGATTTCAAAAGCGCTTGTTTTACACAAGAACAGCGCACATGTGCAGGTTCAATGGCTAAAAATTACTTGCAGCTGAAGTTTTCAGATGTCAAAGGGGGAAGAGGTTCTTGAAGTTGTCTGAATATTGAAAATTTGAGGATAATAGAAATGGGACTGCTTTTAAGATTGCATATTTTTCTTTTAAACAAGCCACTGTCAAGAAAGCTGTACTCTATCCACGCTTGTATATACTATTGCTCAGTTCTTCCAAATAAATTCCATACATTCATTTTTGTTTGTGTGTCTGTCTACATTTTATTTTATCCTCACCAAAAACTGGGTGATTATCCGCTCGTCAATCAAATCAAGGGTCAGTGGATACTTTCCATGTCACACCTTTTTTTTTTTTTTAAAAAAAGTGACTGCATCCATTTTCCCTTTAAAGTTCATTTTCCCCTTCTATAGAACATTGGTTTTTCTCATTTTTTATTGCCCCAGTTGTACATACACAGACACTCTTTCTTATTTGGTTTTCGCTGGAACTCGTGAGCTCTTTCTCTCTCTTTAAACTGTTATTTACACAAGCAAAGAACACTGCAACCAGCTCTTTCTTTTTTATCCTTTATAATTTTTCTCGCGCGCGTACACACACACTATCTATCTTGAAAAAACCCACCCTTTAAGCGTTAATAAGAGCAGGGTCTCATTTGTATACACTTAATTTTATTTAGATATCCAAGTATTTTATTCTTGTCGCTCGAATAAATAAGAGGCAGCGCAAATGGTACCGCGCCAGGACAATTCGGGCATTCCACATAACATATTCACACACAACGATAGCGACAGCAACAGCAACAGCAACAGCAAGGGTATGTCCTCAATTAACAGTAATGCATCCCTAAGAGGCAGCCATCTCAACCAGCAGCAGCAACAGCAACATCATCGCCAGTACCAGCAAGGGGTCAACCAAAGTCTAGACACAATAATTTCATCCTTGTCGCCGCTGACTATTGGCATGGGGGGGCTGACGGAGGGTATGACGGAGCAACAGGCAGCGGAGGTGGTTGAGTTGCTGACGCCGTTTATGTCGCCGACAAGCACGCCGGCGTTTGGAAATATGGCAGCGCAGGGGTTTCTTAGTCACCCGACAGCGCTGGGGCAGCAGGGGATGGCAGATGGCGGGCAGAGACGTCAACAGCAACAGCAACATACAGTGTTTAGCCCACTGACATCCCCAGCGCTGCTTCCTCAGCATGGGTTTTCGTGGAATATGGCTGGGAATGTTGCTACTGGAGACTCTACTCAAACCCAGACCCAGGCACAGCACCAAATCTCACAACATATTTCACACCAGTTTCAGCCCATCAACCAAAACAATCAAACGTACCAGCAGCAACAACGGCAACAACAGCAACATCAACAACAGCAACATCAACTACATCAACAGCAGCAACAGCAACAACAGTATATTCAGATGCAGATGTATAACTCAAGCTTGGCCTCAATGCCACCACCTTCGCCATCAATTACGGTCGAGCACATAATGCGGCGGCAGCAGCAGCAGCAACAGCAGCTGCTGAGCCAGCAAAGCTCGCCCTCGTTTGCCACATTCTCGCCCTTGGCACTCACTACAGGACGGGCGCCCAGCACTCCTCGACGCACTGCAGCGAACATGTCACCACACCACCACCCCTACCGCAACACTAGTAATGGTGGCTCATCGGCATCCACAAAGCCGGGCAGGGCACGCGTGGGCCCAGGTGGGGGGCAGAGAATCGAGAATGTGGATGATTTTAGGCTGGACGCGCTGCCTGACGGGTCATTGGAGGCGGCAATTGCAGCAGCAGCGGTGGCAAAATCTGCGGCAACGGTGGAGATGCAGCCATTGGGTGACCTCGAGGGATCTTCCGAGGCTGTCAATGCCGAGCAGGCGCTTAACCGCACACTGCACCAGCTCAACGCATCGCCGCACTTCAACCCACGCAGCTCTTTCGACCATCAAATGACGCTTTCGAGACAACAGAAGCCATCTCCACAGCAGCCACTACAGGCGGACGGATCCGAGTCACCGCAGTCAAGCGCAGTGAGCGCAGTAACGGCCACACCAGCATCACTGATGAACCTGCCATTGTCCGCCCATCACTTGCCACATAGCAGCACCGGCGAGATCATCAGCACCACTCCATCCCCACACTCCTCCTTGATATCTCGTCCACCGCCGCCATTGCAACCGCGCACACCAACCGAACCACAACAACACCAGTCACCAAGCAGTGTTCTGACACAGTCAGCGCCGATGACCAAGATTGCGCGACCGCCATTGCCGCCACCGTTGCATATTGGGCCGGCAACCGTGGCTGCACAGTCGGGCGACGCAATGTTGCCACAGCAGCAGCAGCAGCGGGCACGCGGCCGGACGATTTCACAGGGTGACTGTGTGCTACCGCTACAGCACCAACAGCAGCGGGCAAGGCGCGGCCAGACGGCGCAGAGCCGACGCCGATCACGCGCCTCCCTTTTGCTATCCCCACGGCCCACACCGCTGGTACCGTCGTCGCTGAAATCCACGCCATTGTGCTCACCAGCCGCGCTCGCGCCACGCCCTGACCAACAACAACAGCAACAACAACAACGGCAACAACAACAACGACAACAGTATCATATTCAGAATCAGCAGCAGCGGCTGCCGGTGGCAGCAACCTCCACAACCAATATCATCAACCTCGAGGCGTCCGTAGTCACACGTCTGGCGACCAAAAGCAACTACCAAAACATTCTCTCAGGCGACTCCGAAGCACTTGGGCTCACATACCACAAAGAGTTCAAGACTGGGCTAGAAAAGAGACGGACGAATCATAAGCAGGCAGAGCAGAAGCGTCGGGACTCGCTAAAGTCATCGTTTGAGGATCTGAAGATGAGAATGGATGGGATGCTGGATCCGAAACTGGTCAGTAAGGTGTATTTGCTCAAAAGAGCTAATGGGTATATTGACCGGCTGTGTCGCGTGAAAGATGCGCTGGAGCGCGCTGCGGCGGAGGCCGGAGTGGACGTGGAGAGTGTCGTGAGGGAGGCCGAGATGACGGGCGAAGAGGCTGAGGTTGGTGCTGAGGACACTGAGGAGTTGGACGGGATGGACGAAGACGAGGAGAGGTGAATTCTCAATTGGCTTTTTGGCTTGATTTTTCTGCTGAAAGATTAGGATTTAGTCGATATCAAATTTTTTAGGTGCGAGCGCCTGAGTTTTTTCCATTATTTCTTTTTCTTTTTGGCGATTCCCATTTTGTTTTCAATATATCATATTTCACAATGTTTGCTTCGTTCGCTTGGCACGCGGTGAAGACCGGGCGCAGACCGCAGGGGTTCGGCAGGATGCAGCGCATGAGCTGCTCGACCGAGCACCCAACGCAACCAACAGCCCCGGCCCCAGCACCAGCAGCACCGGCGGACTCCGATCCCGAGGCATTCCAGCCAGGCGACATGGTTCTTCTGCGCGACTGCACGGCACCCACCACCAAATTGACTCTTCTGGGGCCACTCGCCCCATTGCAAAACCACGGTACCCGCCACGGCATCCTCCCACACGCGCTGATCCTCGGCCAGCACCCGCGTGCCCGAGTGTCCGCGCAAACCACCAAAGGCCCTCGTGGCAGTTTTATGCTGCACCGGCCGACATTGGCCGAATACACACTGCACTGCGCGCGCAAGTGCACGCCGATTTACCCTAAAGACTCGGCAGCAATCACCGCCATGCTTGATTTAACCACAGGCGACCGTGTGCTGGAGGCCGGTACAGGCAACGCCGCGCTGACACTGGCGCTCGCACGTGCAGTCGGCCCTCACGGCGCAGTGCATACGGTGGAGAGGCACCCAGAGACGCGCAAGCATGCAGAGAAACTCGTGGCAGAGTTTGATCGCGCGCGGCTGCTGCCTGCCGTGCGCTTTCACACTGGCGATGTCGCTGATGTTGGCCCCGAGATTATTCCACCTGGTGCCCAGTTTGACGGAATTGTCCTGGACATGCCGACGCCCTGGACGCAGCTGCCCGCACTGCATCCGTTGCTGAAAACAGACCGATATGCTGTCTGTTACTTGCCCAGCATGACGCAGGTCGTCGACCTTGTCAGGGAGTGCCGCGCGTGGCCGTTGCTTGTCGAGGATGTTGTTGAGGTTGCGTGGCGCGAGTGGGACGTGAGGGAGGCTGCTGTGCGCGGGTCGCTGGTGCCTGGCGGAGAGCGCGCAGTGGTGTGCCGCCCGACGCATGCGCCGCTGGGACACACCGCGTTTCTGGTCAAGCTGCGCAAGTGCGCGGCGACCAAGACTACGGAGAAAAAAGAACAGATAAAACAAGCAGAACAAATAGAATCAGCTGAGCCAGCTCGGGCGGATCCAAAAGAATCCTTGTAGAAAATAATTCACTAAAATTCCATTAAATATGACCAAATTATAAACCAAAATATAGAGCAGGACTGATTCCTTGATTAGACTCTGGCGTTGGCGATCTGCAGCACAAGAATATCCGTGGCGCCGGCGTCCCTCAACTGATCCATGGTATCGGCCAAGCTCTTCTTCTCAACCATCACGCTGACCGCGACCCAGCCCTCCTGCTCCAGCGACGTGATAGTGGGTGCCTGCCTGCCGGGCGTAATCGCGCACGCGAGCTCCAACCTGCTGCGAGCAATGTTGTACTGGCACAGGACGTACCTCCTAGCCATCAAGATACCGGCAACACGCTGCCTGATAGTATCCGCGAGCTTTGGAAATCTCGGGTGGCGGTTCGTGATCAGCACCGATTCGGTATCCAAGACCGTGTCCACGGCGTGCAGCCCAGCGGCGCGCATCGTATCGCCGGACTCCACCAAATCCACAATCCCGTCCGCCAGCCCAAGCCCACACGCAGCCTCGACACTGCCCGACACAAACCTCACCTGCGTCGTCATCTCCTCCACCGGGACGCCCTCCAGCTCAGCAAACCGCTGCTTGGTCAGGTTAATAAAGCTCGTGACAATCCGCTTTCCCACAAGATCCCGCGCATCCCGCACCTCCTTAATGGCCGCGGGCGCCTGCACCTGCAATTTGCACTTGCCGAACCCCAAGCGCATCAACTCGGCAACGTCGTTTTCCGTCTGGGACTCGCGAATAATGTCCAGTCCAGTGATCCCCAGATCAATGTTTCCCTTGGCCACGTATGTGGCAATGTCCGCTGCCGGCAAGAACACTAGCGCGATTGGGAGGTTGGAGACGAGGGCGATGTCGTGGCGCGGCTTGCGGTTGAACTCAATACCGATGTTCGTCAGGAGGCTGAGGCATTGGTCATAGAGACGACCTTTTTTCGGAACCGCAAAGAGCATCCGGTCGGAAGTATCCGGGAGAGACGCGTTGATGTAGGTGGAATCGTCCATTTTCTTAATATATTTTATTTTTCTTGATGTTGATGTTGGTATTTGGTTTTTGGGAGAGAAAAAAGATAAAGAAAAAAGAAGAGGAAAATGGATCTGGTAGAGGAACAAATATAGCAGAAAAGTTAATGACACATTTGGTAATTTTTCTTTTTCGGCTTCTCAAACCCAATCATAATCAGTTTGTTATTTCTTGTGTTCATCTTGGAAGAACAAAAAATTGAAATAGTGGATCGCGCCACCCACTTAAACACAGAAGAACAAAAACTTGAGCCATTGTGTTCTTTTTTCTTACCCACTGAAATCTCAGCCACACGTGACTTTTAATAGCCACACCAAAAGATACTGCAGTTCACAAGTGCACAGTTTTACTAAGCTTATCTGTGGTATTTATCGTTAGCTCAGCAAATAAAAAATAAAGGACAGGGTAATTCGCTGTTAGCTGGGGCTGTAACTTGACGTTAACAATATTAAATTAAAATATTAAAATATTAAAATGGTAAAATTAAAAATCCTGAGCTAATCAGTTCAGCTTGGAGAATGGCCAGTAAAATATCAAAAACAAAAAAGACATGAATAATTAATTTTTTAAAATGGTGAGTGGCATTTGACCGTATGCAACTTAATGTGCATTTGAATTTACAATTGGAATGCATATCAATTTCTCAACTATACTTTGTCCGTGTATATGTGCTTTACAATACAATTATAAATTGTATGTAGCTGCTTTTTTGCCTATTCTACGCGATATTAATAAGTGTTTAAAGAGGAAGACAAGGGGTGTCACAAAAATATATTTTTCTATAAAGCTTGCGTTTGCCAACATATAATAATGGTTTATTTGGCGTCAATAAATTAATTTATTGGCAACTGCGCCAATGTACAAAATACATTGATAAATATAACATATTTGCAATAAAATTTCTTTTATTCGCTTTTAATAACCTGCATAAATCACTGTTACGCAGCCCGAGGATAGGAAGGTAGACACTAAAGGTGAAAATCATGAGACAGATTCCCGCCAGCTTGCTGATGGATCTGATACTAACCAAATTACAGAGGACTAAATCAGACGCTACTGCTGATATCCAGACATACTGTCTGTCTCAAAATAGATGCGCTGAGTGTATGAATGCAGACATACCACTAATGCCATACCAGAGACCTGGGTTACGTTCATAAGGACCAGTTCTCGCAAACGGAGCACACAACTGCCAGTGAGTGCCACAAAGAGATTGAGACACATATAAAATGAGGTTGGCGATAATAGCACTTTAGAAACACTAGTAATAAAAATATTTATAATTGCATACCCATTTTTAACACTATTACAGTAGTGCTCCCCACCCCCTTACATAACATCACTGCTTGTCAAAAATTTCCATATGTATTCCGGCAATCGTCAGGATATTTTTAGTATAGTTTGAGAAGCCAGCAGACCAACTGTGCGCACTTTTTGGCTGGCGCTTAAAAACAAAAGGTTTTTATTGTACGCACAATCAGACGACCTAATGTACACATATGACATACTTGTATGTGTTTTGATTTGTACAAAATCATTAATAATATTTAATTCAATTCAATTATAAAACCCTGTGTGTTTGCATTGTTTGTGCCTGTTTGGATAATACTTCTTTTTATAAAAAAATAGCAAAGTGCTCGCACTATTGTTGGACGTTGATGGCCTTCTGGCCATTTTGCTGCAAATTTATGTGTTTAAATCCAAGTATCTGCATGTATCCTCAGCTGCCAAAGGGTATTTTTATATAAAGGAAGAGTGGAAAGCACTACTGTAATGGTGTTAAAACAATGGGTATGCAATTATAAATATTTTTATTACTAGTGTTTCTAAAGTGCTATTATCGCCAACCTCATTTTATATGTGTCTCAATCTCTTTGTGGCACTCACTGGCAGTTGTGTGCTCCGTTTGCGAGAACTGGTCCTTATGAACGTAACCCAGGTCTCTGGTATGGCATTAGTGGTATGTCTGCATTCATACACTCAGCGCATCTATTTTGAGACAGACAGTATGTCTGGATATCAGCAGTAGCGTCTGATTTAGTCCTCTGTAATTTGGTTAGTATCAGATCCATCAGCAAGCTGGCGGGAATCTGTCTCATGATTTTCACCTTCAGTGTCTACCTCCCTATCCTCGGGCTGCGTAACAATATATAAATTAAATCCCAACTTAAATAAAACAGTTTGGGTTTATTTTTAATATTTGGCTATTCTTTCAAACCAACACATCTATTTTTATTTTCAACACTTTTATATTATATTATTTATTTTGGAATAAACTTATTTACAATTTTCACCATATTTGGGGCAAATACTTATTCGTAATTTAACTTCCTATTTAAATATTTTGGAATTAAATTTCAAAAGCAGATCGACATGTCAATTTCCAGTTGAATCCGTAACGTGGCTGACTTTGCATTTAATCTTGCTCTTTGCATAATCTTCATTATTCTAAGTAAAAAACAATTTATAATAGGTCCCACTGCGCTTGAATGACAAACACCTAGCTAAAACAACACTTATTCAACAATTTAATTAGAACTCTACGTATTTGGACAAGAACAAAACCCTGGCCAGAATCCCAGAGTCCAACAGGCTTATTGAGTTTGTGCTTGCCCTCATTTTCCTGGGCCAATGCAGTGCAAAGTATGCGTTCCTCAGTAGAACATATTGGAAATTGGAGCATGTCATGGCGTTCTTTACATCCGTCAGTCCGACAATGGCGTTTATAATAAGCACAGACAGCGAGTTTGTGCGCAGCAGCTACATTAGCGCAGGAACTATGGTAAGTGTAAATAAAAAACAAAACTATAAATATGTAACATTATGATTTTTAAATTGGCTATTTCAATACTAAAGTACTAAAGTATTAACAATTGAAAACTGCGTAGGTTATATTCTATCCAATTTGATTTATTAAGCTTTTTTACGTGTTCAAGCAGCTGCTGGCAATTGTGGCAGCGTCGAGAAAGTACATCCGTCTATCCCTGGTCAGAAAGGAGGTTGTGCCCCTTGCGGGAGACATACTCATTAGTGTACTCTTTTTTGCAAGCCTTATGCACTCCGGACTTAACTGGTTCAGTCAGCTCAAAAAATCTGTCTCCTAGCTTTACGTTCCTCGATGCCATCTACTTTATTGTCAGTAAGTAAATCGGGAATGATTGCAATATACGAAATATTATCATACCAATTAATGCTCCACAACATTTGACAACTTTGCTGAACAAAAATTGTTTGATAAACTATATTTTTATATTCTTTTTTATGTGTAGTTCGCAAGCTAGAAGACATCGATTCGTTGAATCCAGGTGGTTTTATCCCACTCAACGTCTTTTCGATTATACCTTACATTTCTATTATCGCCCTGATTGCTTTTTTTCTTGCTGTCGCGAGCAACCAAACTGGCTAACTTGGGACTCAAGAAATCATCATACGACAGGTCTATAGCGCTTCCAAAGTATTTGCGACACACTGTGGTGTGCGGGCATATTGAGCTCGAGCTCGTTCAAAAGTTTCTGCAAGAATATATTGCCAGATCAGATTCTATTACTTTTGCCTCGACAATTGCCATTTTGCACAGCGACGAGCCGTCCATGGAGATGAAGGCAATGCTGCAGGAGTCAGAGTTTGTTAAACATGTGTTTTATGTCAAAGGGTAAGTACAAATTTAATACAAAAAATGTAATATATTCAACCATGATTTGCCTACATTGCTTGTTAGCCTAATTATTAAACATAATTGTCTCTTGTTACAATTATAGCCACTCTACTGACTTCAGTGCGCTCAAAAAGGTGCGAGTTGATGTGGCCAAGTGCGCCTACATTTTGGCGGACAAGCACAGCCCTGGATCTGGCGTTGAAGAAGACGTCGGTACTAGAATGACTATGATGGCTGTGAGCGTTTTTGGAGTATCCAGCAATCAAGCGCATCAGACAGATAAGCGGCGGAAAAACTTGTCGCCCAAGATTAAGGTGTTTGCACAGACCCTTTTACCAGGCAGCATATCTCATTTAGCGTACCCGCAGACTACCCGTGTAATGTGCGTCGACGAGATGCGCATGGGGATAATGGCGCAAAACTGTGCTACGCCCGGGTTTGCCGCTCTGGCATATATGCTGTCAACGTCAGTGTCCAAGCATGCGGATTGGGACCTTTCGGGGGCCTTGGAAGAAAACATTGCCAAATCAGCAGGTAAGATGCCCAATATGAATATTGAAAGTGTTAAAAACCCTCCAAATTTAATACCTGCAAAACTAACCAAATGTATATTTGTCTGGAAAGCATTGTGTAGAAGACAGCTGGGTTGAAGGCTACATCCACGGATTCCGCCAGGATATACATACAATTGCCTGTAGCAAAAGTGACATTGGAAACCCTTTTTTCGAGGTCGCGATATACAATTACTACTATGTTGGCATTCTGATTTTAGGCGTCGGCTCGTTCTTCTAATCGCACTCTCTGCCCAGCCACACAGGGCACAACATATCTTCTGATTTCAAGCCCAGATACTACCAGACTTTGTTAGCACCGAGAAACTACATGTTGCAAGAGAACAACATTCTTTTTTATATATCGACCGAAGACGATTATACGTTCAAAGATATGAACGATGGTGATCGCAAGGCTCTCAGAACCAAAATTGTGCCGAGAGCCATGCAGTACACCGACGTGGATGGGTTAACCTTTGGAGCCAATCCGCTGTCACCCATGCCGAACCCGAGTAGTTTTTCCGAACGCAGTACCAGCGAGACTTCTGTCCACAACAGCCCGTCTCTGCAAGCTGCATTTACTGACAACACCCCTGCTACAACGCAATCGCACCAGTTTGAGTTTGGAGGGCGACAAATTAACTTGGTACCGCAGGACATGCACGGTCACATTGTCATTTGTGATACCAGCAACTCATTTCCGCGCAACATTGAGCTACTGGTGCAAGCGCTGAAAAGTTCTTTTGCAAACAAAAGTCTCGGCATCGTCATACTGTCGCTAGGCGAACCAGTCAATCAGCGCAAGCTTGTAATTCAACAATTCACGCAAGTCTATCATGTGCACGGCACGGCTCTAGCACTGGAAGCCCTGAAGCGAGCACATATCGGGAGTACGCTAAAAGCCATTGTGCTGGACACATGCAATACACGCACATATATAGGTATTGGCGGCACTGACAGCGCTGACACAGCAGCCATCCTGGCATACATAAATATACGATCCCTCTGTGGCACTGATTTTTTATAACTACCGAACTGCTGAATATCGAAAACATCTGGTACCTTGACTACACGCAGCTTTCAGGTGAGCCCCTGCTCAAGCGCGCATTCTTGGACGGCAGTATTTTTGTGCCGGGGATGCTGGACACACTGCTGTGCCAGAGGCGATCTAAACTACGTACGGTGGATTTTCTGCGGCACCTGACGTTAAGCCATTTGACTGACACTTCCGAGGCCAATTCCATAAAAGCGTTCAATCCCAGTCAGCTCAACCTACTGACCATGCCAGACTACTATATTGGGCAGAGCTACAGCACTATGGTTTGCTATATGATGGAGTATTACGCCGTTGTGCCATTGGTCATCTTGCGGGTCTCCCCTACTAATGGCCAGCCATTTTATAGTGTTATATGCAATCTGCGCCCCTTCACAATAATGGATGAAGCAGATACTGTCTATATACTTGGCCCGCCGATTCCCAGGTGGAACTAGCTTTCAATGGGTCCACGCAAAACAGGCACTGCATCGCAGCCGCTGCAGACGGCCGACTCGAGCTCGGCCACAGCACTTCTTGCGGTCAACTTGAGCCACGCAGAGCCCAGTAGTTTAACCGGCTCGTCAGCCAAGAGGAGGGTTGATAGCGATAGACATGTGATTGCAGGTAATTCTGGCAAAGAGTCAAGCACCAGCAATGGTGATTCCGATGACCATGTTTCTTTTCAATACAACTCCACGGCTTGGAAGTCAAGTCCGACAATGGTATTCCACCGCGCTTGTTTTTATATTTTATTATCAGTTCGAGTATCTTCGGAATAATAAATATTTTATTAAATTTTCATTTCTTGCTAGATGAAGGTAATATTTACTTTGCGCCGTGTTAATTCATATGTGAGCATATACCCCCTTGCCTTTTTCACAATTGTTCCTGCTCATTGCTGTTGTGAATCGGAACAGGCTCAATGCAGTCTGCCGGCTCAAAACCCAGCACCTTGCCAAAAAAGTACAGCTGAGCCTCCAACGCACGCACAATACTCTCTGCCTTCCTAAATCCATGCTGCTCGCCCTCAAACTCAACCAATGCAACCCTCACGCCCTTGTGCTTAAGCGCCTCAACCATCAGCGTGGCCTGATTCGGCGGCACAATCTTATCCTCCAACCCCTGCAAAAACACCACCGGGCACGCCAACTGCTCGACAGAAAACAAGGGCGACCTCTCATGATAAACCTGGCGATTCTCAGGGTATGGGCCGACCAAATGAACAGGGTACTGAGCCTCAAACTTGTGCGTCTCCTGCGCCAGTACTTCCAAATCTGAAATTCCGTAGAGACTGGCGCCAACAGCAAACACTTCGGGGCGGAACGCCAAACATGCCAGAGTCGTGAACCCACCGGCACTGCCGCCCATGATACTCAGCCTACGGCGATCGGCCAACCCCAGCGCTGCCAAATGTAACGCAGCCGCACAGCAGTCCTGAACATCCACTTTGCCGAACTGCGGGTACAGGCGCTCGCGGTATGCGCGGCCGTAGCCTGTGGACCCTCCATAGTTGACGTCAGCGACAGCGAATCCACGCGATGTCCAGTACTGAATCTTGTTTTGGTACACTGCGTGGGTGGCCGAGGTCGGTCCTCCGTGGAGCATGACCAAGAGCGGCGGCAGCTCGCCCTCGGGTGCCACATAATTTGGGTTTGTTGGCGCATAGTAGTATGCGTACGCGACGGTTTCCTCGGAACCATCGTCGAAGGGCGGCAGCCTCGTGGGGAATGCGATCTCACGCGGTACCGAGATAAACGACGGGTCCAAGTCCTCTGCCTTAACTTCCATGGATACGAGCCGCTGTGGCTGCTGCTGAAGCAATCCATTGATGTAGTACGTGTACAGTGCGGGGCTCTCGAGCGGCCCGCCGGCGACAAGCACAAGGACAGGCTCGCCCGAACGCGCCCTGCCCATCTGAAATCCGCTCAGCACCGTCCACCCAGGCACCGGTAGCTCCTCCATCACCCTCGTGTCCACGTCCAAAATACCCAGGTGCGCCTGGCCCTGGCGACAATACGTCACCACCATGCCGCGGCCATCTGGAACAGCCTGGAATGTCGACATGCCCAGCACCCACTCGGGCGGTGCAAACTCAGCCTCAGTTGGCTCATCCAGCGACAGCCGCACTTGGCCGTCCTGGTCCACGTAGTGTGGGTTCCAAAATCCATTGGCGCGGTCGCTGATAAAATGCAGCCGGCCATGGGAGTCGAACCGTGGCTGGTACACGCTCTCCCTCTGGGTGTCCCCGGCTACCACTGACAGGTTGCTCAGCTGCGGCAGCCCAGCGTGGGAAGCAGAAATAGTCGCGCGCCGCAGCTTTGTCGCATCCCAGTTCATGTCGGGATGTTGCCACGTGCAAAACGCAATCTCAGTATTGTCCGCGCTGAGCACCGGCGACGACACAAAGTCCGTCCCAGCAAACAGCTGCGTAACCACGCCGTCGCTCAGCCTCACTGCCACCAGAGTATTGACTGCCTCGCCCTCACCGCGATGATCCTCGCACACGCACACAACAAACGCACCGAAAAACACAAAATTTGCGTACCTCCGGCCATCACTACCACACACCAGTCTAGGCACCTTTGCCTCGACCGTGTCTAAAACATAAACCCCCTGGTCTTTCCAATTGGTAAACACAACCACACCCTGGTGCACCCCATATGCGCCTCCGCCGTACTCATGCACGGATGACCGCACGTTCCACTCTTCTCCTGATAAATGCTCAATCATCGTGGCGTCAGAGTAGTCGTCGACGAGTTTGCTTAGCAGAGTGTGCCGGCCGTTTTGCGTCGGGCGCGTTTCCAGCCAGTACACGCGTGAGGGATTGCCTTGGTCTATGCGGGTACTGCTCGTGGAAGTATTAGAGGATGCCAGGGCTTTGGCCGAGAGTGGGCTTTCCCAACTACCGTAGGGCGCAATTGTATTCATTCTCTTTGAAATAAAAAAATTGAATTATAATAATTAGGAATTCTGTAAAAACAAAAGTTAAATGGAGCTGTGTCTAAGGGCGAAAATTAATAAACACTATTTTGGAGGCCCTTAAGAGCATGGGTAAAACAAAAAATAGGTGAACCAGCCTTGTGGTTTTTGTTTATTTACTGGTCCCAGCCCTTATCCTGCCAAAGTAACTCCCACGATCAAGATTACGCCGGATTACCATTTACAATCCAAATGCCCCTTATTTTTCACTTTCAATGTATCTATTAAAACCAATCCAATACCAGACTCAATAAAAAAGATGTTCTATAAAAATATTATATATTTTCAAATCAGCATTTCTTTTGTTGTGGGTATGGCCAAAAGGACAGACCAATAATAGAACTGAGCAATCACAAAGAATATTGCTAATAAGGGGATAAAATATTTAATATATATTAGAAAACTAAGGTGTTCTTGTCCTCATGGTGAGAACACCTTAGTATATATCAAAACTAAATTATGATAGGTGCGCAGCATTCCTATACAGCACATATGTAAACAAACATTGAAACAAACGACAATAGCAAAACAAATGCTATTTTTAATGCACCTTGATATTGCATCAATTTCTACTGATATAATTCTCTGGAAAAAACAGGTTCAATCATGAACACCGCATGCCTTCACAATCAGTATGATTGGATCAGGACATCGGATGATGTCCTAGACCTGTCCAATACATCTATGTGTGCAAAGGGGTCTCAGCCTGGGCCGCTGACCTGGGTCGCGCCCCCTGAGGGGTTCTCAACATTTCCATCTTCACTTTTTTTGCCTGCAAAACTATTCCAAGAAATTAGTTTTAAATCCCCCTCTATTTTTGTGGTTTTAATGCTTGCTGCATACACTTTGAGAAATGGGTTAATTGATGTGCTTTCAAAAAAGACTTCCAAGTGTTTGAGAGCAGATGAAAATTATTTAGCAGTCAACGTAAAAGGAATGCCCCACTTGTATGAGCTGAGTTGATGGACGTAGCGGTTAGAAATGGCGATGCTAAGGCGCTTTGGATACTCATTGTAGCCATTACAATGCCTCAGCTCTAAATTGCTGATATTGGGAATTTTTCAACAATTTCATCAACAAACATAGACATTGCTTGAATGAATTCACCGTTGTTTATACTGTCCTTGATTGAAACTATATTGACTCCAACCAGCTTGATACTCATTTTTTCGACACAAAACAATTGATCAGCATCAAAGCGCATTACATGTTGAAGTTTATTAATCGTGGCAAATGTGATTCCCAGTTCAGACAGCTTCGGGAATCCAACACTCAATTTGTTTTGCTTTTGCTTTTGCTGTTGTGTGATTATAAACTGCTGATAGTATTGAATTCTGGGAGAGACGTTCTGTGAACGTGTAGAAATAAAATACTATGTATAAAAGTGTATTGAATATATAAGTGCTATGCACTGGAAAAAGGTAAAGAACATATTACTTTGTTTGGTCATTATGTAACTTATTGATGATTGTGTGTTTGGCAGGAATAGCCAAGGCTGGCTAATCAGTTGATCACCATCAACCAATAAATATTCACTCTGATTGCTCTCTTGCTAAAATAGGTTGAAGTAAAATTTAAGTGATAGAAGCACAATAAACATTTGTCTTACATTTATAAAAACCCAAACTTAATATAGAAAGCTAGTATTTTCACAGCTGGAAAATCATCATGTATACCGAAATTTAATTATTTATTTTTCGAATATATTTCATGCAAACTGTCCGCTTTTGAATAACTGGCAGTTTTATTGTAATGAAAACTGATACTTCAGCAGTTGATATTATTATAAATAGCACAAGTACACCGAGTTAAGAAAAAAAGAGTTTATGCCGACGTGTTGTACCGAATATCAAGGCCATCCATCCAGGCAACTACGGCAGGCAACACAGAGCCAAACGAGCGGTTGATGCCCATGACATCCAGTCTATGCGGAGAGGTGCTATTAGCCTGCATCTGCTGGAGCATTGGCATCCGGTACAAGCCATCATCCGTGTGGTCATGGTTACCACGAGGCAAAAACAACGCACGGTCATCCGACCCCCGCTGTCCACCGCTGCTCGCCTGATTAACATCATACGCCGAGTCGGCAATAAAAATCTCATGTTGTGGGGAAATAGCCGTACTACTTCCCTGGTTGCTGGCGCAGCAACGCGGGGACGAAGAATGCTGCGAAACCGGAGTGCGCGCTACCATGTGGTCAATTGCCGAGGAAGTTTCACCTGCCTCCGAAAGTGCCGTAGCCGAGGATGTCTCACGCTTCCGCACGACAAACAACGACTCATCGATGATATCGACTGTTTGGCACAGCCCGTTTCTTTGCGTGTTGTGCTGGGCCATTGGCGTGTTTCTGCCGCTGATATCTATTCCGACAGCACTGTCGTAGTCCCGCCATGAGGCGTTCTCGGCGTCCTGAGTTGCGTTGGCACTGGCGTTGCGCACAAACACGGTCATTTTGTAGTTGTCGTGGCAATCGAGCCCCCCACCAGTATCAACGCCCTCGTCGGCGTCCTCGGCCCTGTGCTGTGACGGGCGGAATTTTGCCCAGGCCAATGCCTGTCCACGAACCATATCACGCTGTCTGATGGCCTGGTCGAGCGCAGTATAGTACACGTGGTGGACAAAATATGTAAGCAAAAAACCCAAAACCACATCGACCGTATAGTGATACCTGGTTGTCAGAACACTCATGATACCAATAAATGTGTGCACCACACTATATGCGATAAACGCCCAGTGGGTGGCATATCTCAGCCAAAAGAGTGTTGAAATGACAAGAATCGCAGTGTGTCCAGAAAATATCTTGTCCGTGCACTGGCCGATATTCCCAGCGAGAATATCAGGCGTGGCCTTGATAACCTGCCACATACTCTGTGGCACTGTGATCTCACATGTATTTATGGACGGGGGCAGCGTTGTGACGGATATTGTGATGGAGCGGATGAAATACAGAATGGCCACCATCCATGCTATGCGGCGAATAAGCGTCAGACGCTGTCTCCACCCAGTGGCCAGCACCGAGCATCCGATAATGCAAATGATGACCGAGGACCCAACGAGTTTGTCTGATATCCACGCCTGCTTCAGCAGCGGCAGCATTTCGAGAAACTGGTCTTGGATCATCAGATGGGCTGGCCACGGCGGACTCGGAGTGGCAGCAGAATCACTAGCGCTGCTGCTGCTGGTGCTGCCTGCGAGTGGTGAGTATTCGGACTGCTGCTGCTGGATTTGCTGGATTCGCCGCACCCACCGCATATCAGACCACTGCTGGCAGATGACCATCCATATACCAACGATAAAAAGTACTCCCCAGGCCAGCAGTGTCCGCATAAGCTCTTTGAAAAATGCTGGTGACTGAATAAGATCCAAGAAACTCCGCAGGCGGCGGAATAATACTGTGGCCACGGCCATGACTGTGTTTTTATTGAAATAAAGAAGCGCAAAAAATGTGAATATTAATAAAAGAAAAAAGAATAACAGATATATAAAAAAAATGCGTATATGGAATATAAATTATTAACCTGGAAAATATGGAAAAGAAAGCAACTGCGCGAAACAACTCACGATGAAAAAAAGGTGAAAGGAAAAAATGGAAAAAGGAATATTTTAGCGCTCATGATTTTATTATTATTATTGTTGCTTTTTGTTTTTCTTGCATTCACTTTTTTCTTTTCGCTCTATCTTTTCCATCATCTTTTTTGTGTGGCTTGTGTCTGCATTATTACAAATGCCTTTCTCTCTCTTTCTCAACTAAGCATTGTTCATTATATATACGTGTGTATATTCAGAAACACAGCCTAAATAAAAAACAGTATGTTGAATTGCCCTTATTTTTATTTTGTCAGCTTTCTCGTGTGCAGATTTACTTTTTTTATTCCTCCCCATCTCTATTGTCAACAACAATGGTTCAACCCTCCTTTTTAGGTATTGAATTTATTTCTTACACTTTATTTATTGAAGAAAAAGAAAAAGAAGAAAAAATATTTATTTACTATCATTTTTTCTTCTTACATTTGTGAGCAGCTAAAAAGGTCTTGATATTTTATTCTTCTAAATACATCAACACTGGCAAGTTGGGCTGCGTGCTTCGCCAAAAAAACACCTAAAGCAGTAAAATCATTATTGAGAATGTAAGGCCATACCGCTATGCTCGCATTTCTGCAACCCCCAACCCCCCAAAAAAACAAAATACCCATGATGCACATCAACATCAAAGATGCAAAAATAATGAAAAGGCATGCTTATTTTTGGCTGCATAGTGTCTTAATCACAAGGTCTAGTCGATTTAATTGGTTATAGCGGATCACAAGAGGATGCCGCACAGATTTTCCACGTGTTAACGCATGGCTGAGAACGCCACACAAATTATTATTTTGATAAAGTCGAGATAAAGCTGCTATGCAAATATACATATATATGTATATATGTATATATAAATGAGCAAAGTGCATTTGCAACTTTATATCTGCATATCAACAGATCGCATATATATAAAAAAGATGAGCTCACGCCCATGTTTTCATTGTGTAGTTAAAGAGTTTAAAAAAGAAAGGGTTAGAAAAAAGAATAAAAGAAAAAACAAGAACAACACGGTGGAGTAAAGGGGTGTGAGGATAAGGGTGGCCAAAAGCTAGCAGCTCTTATTTAATATCTAAAAGCCAAGGGTATCGACGTAGGGAGTGTTCTGCGACAGACCGATGGACACGGCAACAGGCTTGGACTTGAACACCCGAGCGGCAGCGCTGGACAGCTTAGTGGCGGCATCATCAACAGACTCAAGGGTGGCAGCGGTCTGGCCCAGGGCAATGTTGCTGAGGGCACGGATCTGACCCTGCTGCGTGGCCAATGACTCAGCAACATCCACGCGCGCGGCAGCGGCAGCACGCTGGATGGCCTCGCCGCTGGCAGAGACGATCTCGCGCTGGATCGTAGCAGCGACCTTTTCAACGGCAGCCTTGATACGCGTGTTGGGCGCAGAGACAACGACACCGACAAGACCGGCGTCAGAGTAAGCAAACGAGAAGGGAGCAATGCCAAAACCATCGGTGGCGGCAAGCTTGGCCAGGGGCAGGACACCGCTGGTCCACTTGATGCGGCTCTGGGCACCCAGGAGCGCAGCCAGCGACTGTGCCGAGGCGGGCTCGCTGGCGAAGGCCAGGGCATAGTGCGAGACGGGGGAGGCCGAGTCGTAGATCTGCTGCACACCACCGGTGAAGCTGGCAGCTGGGCTCGAGAGCGCCGACGCGGGAGTGACCAGCGACGAGAGACGCGACGAAGAGACAAGGTTGGCCAGCTCCTGGGCATCGACGCCAGTGGCAACAATGGCAATGCGGCCAGGGGCCAGGGCGGACTGAGCATACTGACGCACGGCATCACCCGAGCTAACGGGCGACGACTCAAGGGCGTAGAGCGAGTTACCCAGACCGCTGCGGAACGCCGCCTGGTGAACGCCATCGAGAGCACGCGACATTGGGTCGGAGCGAGCGCTCAGCGACTCAAAGCTAACAAGCTGCGCGACATCCTTGAACTCATGCTCGGCAAACTTTGTCGCCGCAGCAATATCGCCCAGAACCTCAACAAAGTAAGGCACAGCCTCCTTGAAGCACTGCACGGTGTACGTGATGTTCTCGCGCGTGGTCTCGGCTGTCAGCGTGGCGCCGTTGAGCTCGGCCTCGCGCACGGTGCGGAATGATGTGCGAGTCTGCGTGTTGCGGAATCCGAATGCCTTCAGGTAGTGGGCTGCGCCCGCCGACTCGGACGTCTCGAACCGCGAGCCTGCGTTGATTACCAGAGACACCGAAGCCAGAGCCGAGTCGGAGTTCCCAGACACCGCTGCGACCTTGATGCCGTTGGCCGTGCTGACTACAGGTGCGCTGGCGACCGACGCGTATGCGCGGGAAGCAATGGGTGCGACAATTTTGGCTGCAACCTTTGACTGAAACATTGTGGTTCTATAGGATAGCATGCAAGTTGAACTGTGTAAGTTTAGTGCACGGGTCATGATTCCTCGTAAATTTTAATACCCTAATTCAAGTTGAATGGCTGGGTTTATCTCTCGAATTTGCAGCATTCAAATTTGCGACAAATGGTTTGCTCAGTATTTTGTTTAGCCTACCTGTTGTTTATCTAGACCCGTTTTTAATTGCTAATTGGCAAACTTTTAATGGTGGATCCGCTGGTGAAAGAATGTCTCCAAACTCTTGCTTATCGTTGTGGCTGTACCGTAATTGACTCGTAAAAAGAGAGGTGCAAAAAAAATTGGAACAACAAGAAGAGGAAAAAAGAATAAGAGAAATCTTTGATTGACTGTCGCGCGATTGAAAGTATGTAAAGTAGAAAACAAGTTGAATAAAACGAAAAAAAAGAAAGAAAACTGTAAGGAATGTTTTTCGGTATCAACAAAAGATAGCCAAATCTACAAGGCCTTGTTGGTTGGTTTCTGAAACCACACACCCAGTAAGCAGGGTTAGAAGAGTCTACCGCTCTCAAGTACAATAGCATGCTTTTTTTATTCACAAAGTGGAAAAAAAGATGATCTGGGGTGGGGGCAAAAAGCTGCCCATTGGGTCGATAGTCTGAGGAAACGAAAAGATAAGATGGTTGATTAGATCGTGTAATCTGAACAAAAATTTATCTGACCGAGATTTGCTGGCATAAATTATGCGCACGTGTATGTGCAAACTAATGAATTTTAAAAGTTTTCAACGAGCGTCAGCGAAATATAGCAGGCACACTTCAACGCAAGCTTAAACACAACAATGTTTATTATATAGTAATGGTGAACATTAAAAAGGATAGAAATAGTAGGCAGCGGCAAGTGGGCGTAAAGACACCTGGTTGGAAGCTGGCAAAGTTCAATAGGAAGGTCGGGTGGCACCATCGGATATTGTGAGCTGAGGAGCTGATGCGGCAGAAATCATAAAAAGGTGTATGCAGATATTTAAACCAAAAGGACAATGGCTTGCAATATTCACGCGCACATCTGAATATTACAGTGCTAGACAGTAATTGATTCCCAAATTTTGCAGAAAAACAATACAACAGGAGAAGGATGTTTTTGTTCACTATACTGTTAAATGTTAAATGAGACAACTCAATTTAAAGATGGAGCCGAATTTGCACGTCGCGCTTTATTTTCAGGCGCCGACGTATTCCCAAGTCCCAATGCTTTTGTATATTCCGCCACTCTTTTAATAGACGCTCTTGTTGAATCAATATCTCTAATAATGACTTGTTTTCATTATTAAGCCTGCTTAGTTCTCCCTTTGTATAATAGTTTAAATTATTTTGTATTATCGTTGGAACATCTTTTGCAGACCGTATTGATTTTAGCATTTCAATCAACTCCCCAATATTTGTAAGCCCGTTTACTTTAATTCCAAACTCATAACCTTCCCATTGGCCTTTAACAATAATAAATAAAGAAGCACCTTCTGTTGATGTAGGCATAAAGGGGTGTTGTTTGGTATGTGGTGCCCAACACACAATTCAAGCCACTATCTCCCCCTTTCAAGAATCAAGATCGCCCTCATGGTCACTATACACATTTCTGTTATTGCTGGCTAACATCAAGGAACACCATGCTGTTTACAGCGCTGCCCCCCTTTCCCAATTCCTTAAGTAATTTTTGAGACTTGAATATATTAATTTAGACCCACATTTTTATAGAGCACGACATGGCACGCGTTCGGTGTTTTCCAATTTTTTTATTTAATTCGCTCCAAAACAATATTCAATTTTTATTGTTGATGTAGGTATAAGTATAAATAATACGGTCTGTAACGTTGTTATAAAAGTTGCCAATATATATATATTTTTTAAAAAAAACTAATGAACTAAAGGATGTATATTTGGCCACGTCTATTCCTTTTCATATTTATATAAAAGCAAACTATGAATAATTCATAAAAAAACAGGAAAATGGCAGCATAAAAAACTAAGCAATGGCGTCATTTTTATCTCCATCAATTTATAAAAAAAGGCTTTGTATACAAGAGGAAGTTCGCATTTAAATTGACATTACCCAAATTTTTGGACACCGACTTTGCTATTAAAAAGAAACCCCAATTTTTCAATTAATCATATTATTCTTCGCATACTTATTTTTTTTGCTTCCTCCATCTCATCCATGTGCAAAAAAATTGCGCGCATTAATAGGGATAGCGACTTGCTGTAGACGCAAGTGACTTAATTTTTTTATTTTTCCATGGGTTAATTTTAAAGGCTGAAACTTTAATTAGTGGATTACACAATGTAGATATCCATCTATTATATTGTCGTACGACAGTGGAAGCGTGACATAGATTATGCATTTATATATGCAAAAAATTGAAAATACAGGCACATGTTTGGTCACTGTCCTGAAAATCATCTGATAACCCCTGAATACACAAAACAATCGAGTTATTATTCAAAAAAAGTAGAAATATGAAGAGCATACTTATTCATTCTAGTGAACTTTACCTTTCTTATTGTACTTTATGTCAAACTCTTATTTTATTGAGATAAATAAAGTGAATCCATGTGAATAGTGAACAATTAAAGCAAGTTGAGTACATGTGAGTGAGAATGAATAACAATTGTTTATATTCTCATCTAATAAAAATATTTTTATGAGTAAAAGTGATTATGTATTTTGAATAGAGTAATTGTGTAATTGAAATTCAAATGATGTGGTAAGGGCATATAGATATTTTATTTTTGTGTATTCACTCCATGACGTAAATTAAAAAAACACACACATACACATGTAAACTATGCACAAGCATGTACCAACACCATGATAGCGATAGAGCGAATGTTGAGATAAGGAATACGTATAAATAGACAAATTGTCGTCTAGTTTTTTATGCTGTTTTGTTTTATATATTACCATATATAGACAGCAGAACACAATACATTTTTAAACAACCCTACACCTTTTACCCAAACACAGCTTTTTTACCTTCTGTAAAACAACAACAAGACAATTTAGCCATGCCACACAACGATACGCCCGGAATCCTGGAGCACGATTACCCTCAACCGCCTCGGCCACTCAGCCAAGAATATGACTAAAGGCAAATACGTAATATAATATAATATTAATTTAGTTTGGCTAGATACTTTTTATTTAGATTATAATATTACAACAAATATATATTTTTATTATTGCAGAGAAAGCTTGGCCTGGTTCATAACCCTGTGCAAAAAGGTTCTTGCGTCAGCCAACGTAGCCTTGGGCTGATCCACTACACAGAAGCAAACACTGTCACCATCAGATTTATTTGACATTCCAGAAACCCACCCCTTGTTCTGCATTCTCACGCAAATCTCATCACACGACCGTGTCAGCTCGCCATTAACCAAGCCCAAGGTCACCCTCACATCCGAAGACGTCTCCGAAGAAACACCGGCAGTAGATGCTGCTACGCCAAGCGACCCGGCAGCGTAGCCATTAAACGACTGATTGACAGGCACATTTGCAAGCCAATTGGCCTGCACCAGCGTATGGTCTTCCACGTACACAAAGGGCGGCAAGTTATGCAGCTTTGACGGCTCCCCGAGATCACGCACCGTAGTCGCATGCAGACTCTCGGCGTACCGCAAAATGCATCCCTCGATACGCTCTGCCTCAATGGCAGAAAGCGCCTCCTTTGCCAACTGGCTCTTCCGCGCCTTGCGACGCCCAGCGCTCTTCCTCCTCCGCTGCTGCTGCTCTCGCCGGCCACCCCCATGCGCGCAATCCGGCGCCACCTGCCCGCCATTGTCATCAGCATTGCCAGCGGTATCCGTGCTGGGTCGGCCAAGCACGAGAAAAAGCATGTCGCCATACTTGTACACAAAAAGCTTGCATGGGCCACTGCCCTGGTGGGGCATATAAAGCGGGTGCTCAGGCATACTGGAGCCAGCGGCGGTAGCAGCACTGGCACTGGCACTGACTGCGGTAGTGGTGTAGAGAAGGCGTAGGAGCCGTGAGTCGTAGAGCATGCCGGTGAGCGCGCGCGGCGCCAGTGTGATTCCGCGCGCACTGTCAACACCGACGCCGTGCTCGTACGCCGGCGGCATGTCGTCCTCCATTGCCAAGCCGAGCCGGCTGCGCGTCGCAGCGGACGATTCCGCCGAGCCCGCCGAGTCTGTAGAGTCTGAGGGCTGCCGGGCGGCGGCAGAAGAGTCTCCTGCGGGCATGCCTGGAAATGCGTGCTCACCGGTGTACAGGAATGTGGTTGTGGGGTCCACGCCAGAGGCACATGCTGTTTCCAGCACTTGGGGTAGCCTGGGCACGGGAGGCACAGCGGGTATGGTGGCAGTGCTGCTGCCACTGTTGCTGCTACCCCATGTCCATTGCGGCCACCAGGATCTAGCCGATACGCGCGTGTCCTCACGCAGCACTTGTGTCGACTCTGCTGTTGCCGTGCTGTAGTTGGACATAGCCGACGGTGCCCGCACATGCCTCGGCGTCGCCGCCCTGCTGGGCTGATGCTGCTGCCAGCTGGACATCAGCACCCCCATTGCGCTGCTCTGTGTCGTATTGGCTCTCGCCCTCGACGCAGTCACGTTGATGCTGCGAGCCATCATTACCGCCGGCGCCGCCACAGTTGCCGTGGTACGCACGGAAACACGCGACCCAACAGACCGCAGCGACTGGGCATCTGGCTCGACAGCAGCAGGAGCGGGCGCCGCTTCGGTGCTCTCCAGTGCCTCTAGGTCCGCCGCGCTGATCGTGTATTGCTCGGCCATTTGGTGCGGACTGGTGGATTCAAGCGCTGGGTCGGTTTCGGGTGGTGTCGGCGGGCGTGGCTCGACCAGAGCATCGACTGCGCGGGAGAGCGCCTGCGCAATGCCGCCGCGAGGCACAATGGCAGAGCCGGCAGAGCTCTCGGTGCCGCTGCTGTCCCCTGATGCACTCTCTACGCCGCTATTAACATTGCCACTGCCATTGCCATTGCCATTGCCGCCGCCAGCCCATCCCCAGAGCCAGCTGCCAGTCGACCCGGCTGCCGCCGCTGCTGCCTGAGCCTTCTTCGGCTCAACAGCCAACACCCTCTTTGGCTCAGCAGCCGGCACCCGCTTCACTTCAACAGCTTGCGCCCGCTTCACCTCGACAAACGCCGGAGCATACACGGCCCTGGCCCAGGCAACAACGGCACGCAGCCAATGGGCATTCGCATCACCGCCCATGCTCTCCCATACAACGTCCTCGGCGCGCCAAAGCACAACAACGCCAGCAATATTCTCGAGCGCGCTCAGGTCGCGCCAAAACTCATCAAAGCCGCCCAGACTAATGGCGCCCAGCCGCACCCTGGGCACCGGCGCAAGGCTGCCAACCAAATGCAGCTCGCGCTCCCACCTGCAATCCCAGCCACCAAGCGTGCGGCCAAAAAACGAGTCCAGCTGGCGCCTCACTGCTCTGCGCTCCGTGCGCGCGCGCTCAGCCAGGTTTCCGCCGCCAAAGAGCAGGATAAAGGCCGCCCACTCCTGCGCCAGCCACTGGCGCATTGCGCTGTCATCCAGTGCGTGATCCAAGAACTCCACTGCAAACGCGCCCTTCTCCTTGCCGTACGCCGCAACCCTGCGCGGCAAAACCACCGACAGTTGCACAAGGATGCCTTGCTCCGGCTCGTAAACCACCGTGCGCCGCTTCTCCGACCGCACCGTATGAAACCGCGACTGGTTCCCAGTAAATGTACGTGCAAAGGCAACAAGAGCTGTGGCCAGGCCAATCTCTCTCAGCTTTGTGTCCAGCGACACCACGCGTTCGCCGGCCGTCCCGGCAACTGCTGTGGCTACTGCTGCTGCTGGCGGTGTTCTGCTGGCATTATGGTTGTCGCCTGAGTGTCGCCGGTTGCGCCGGAGATGTGAGCTGCGCGAAAAATAGTCATTGGGTGTGCTCGGGTAGAATGCTGGGAGTGAGGCTGCAGAGTAAAAGAGTAGCTGCTCGTGCGATGTGTCCTCCTCTTGTCCGAGCTCTGGGCAGAATACTGCAAAGTGGGACAGTGCTGCCGGGTAAGTCTGGTCCATTCAACAGCAACAAAATAGAATCCTTACTTGTGCGAATTCAAGTCAGATTCAAATGGAAGGTGCATAAAATTCGAATAAAGAGAATTAATAATACAAATATGGAATTTTAGCAGCTGAGGAGAACAGAAATACGCAAACGCCTGATGCGCCTCAAGCTGCACTGTTACGAATCCCCAACCTGCGTGGGGTAGGCAACTTACAAGACTGTGCTTATGCGCTCACCTTTACACCTCATCAAAGGTAGTGTGCGTTAACGCCTTTCGCCAGAGGTAGGAAAAAGATAGCACACACGTGAGATACTTTTGGGCATTTAGCAGCGAAGTACTCTTGGATTTTTTGTTGGATATCTGTTGTCTCACTCTTTTCTTCAGCAGTTTACACACAATCGTCATCCATGATCATCCCCGGCCAAAAATAATAATAGAATTCAATCTCCTCTTTTTCTTTTTTTTCCACGCTTATTCGCACGCACGCATATATTCACGGTAAAAAAGGCCAACTCACACGCATACAACCCGCAAAGAAAATTTCCTGCTGGCTTTGATTTCGCTTCCTTAGTTTTTCCGCAATGAAAACACAAACTTTAAATAAAAATACATATTTTATTTCCCTTGTTCTCTTTTTTTGCTCTTCAATATTTTCCTTTTTCGATTTTATCTCACTACTTTTATTTTTATTACTCGAAATGCGCGCTACCGCAATTTACGCCTGCATAGCCGAAAACCCTGGCGAGATAACCTTTAACGCCACAGACGCACTCTCATACGTCACAGATTCTGCGGAGGATGGCTGGCTGGTCGCCACAGTGGACCGCACGTCCGACCGCGGTCTCTTCCCTGTGGTCTACACTGAACTGTACCCCGAAACAGGCGACGACCTTGTTTTTCTCAGAAAACTCCAGCAAGCCGGACTGCTGTCATCTACCCTCCGCTTAGAGCAATTCATCACTGTTCCCACAGTGCCTGTCGTGCCCGCCAAACCAGCATCACTGAAACTTATTTCTGCTAAAAAGGTGCCTCCGCCAGTGACTGCGCCCAAACCAAAAATGACACCGAGATCTTCATCCACCAGCGTGCAGTATCCGAATATGGCACCTGCGCTGCCAATCAAGCCCCTTGCAGTTGACCGGAGCAGCCCTGAATCCAGGCATGAGCGCGAGCGCGAGGCTGCACAGCAGTGGGAGGCCCAGCATGGAATCAAACACCAAGCCAAACTACCACCACCATCAATTTCTGCAAAGCCCTCGCGTCCACTTGGTGCCAGAGATGCTTTGCCGCCCACATTGCCCGCCAGATCCCCCTCGACCTCCTCCAGCAGCACGCAGTCTCTGAATGCACACACATTGCACACCCCAAGCATTAGCCCTGCTACAGCCAACGATGCCCCAGCGTTGCCCTTCAGCATCCACCGCCAGGCTTCCATGCTCTCTGCCGCCCCCATTATTCCTGTTGAGAAGAACATCCAGCCGTCGCCCAAGGTGCTCATCAGCCAGCTTAACCGCATGGGCTTTGAGGATAACTTTGACCCGAAACCATTTAAACCGCAGCCCGCATTGCTCAATGCAACTCTTGCTCGAAGTATTCCTCCTAGTACACATGAGCCTCCTTCTTCTCGGCCGCCGATGCCGATGCCACTGCCATTGTCGCCGTCGCCTGCGCCGTCTGTGGGCTCCGCTGGCATCCAGCTGACGGCCGCCCGGCATGTCCAAGGCACTCCCCGTGTGACCCGACCGGCACCGCCTCCTCCGCGCCCACCCGCCTCACGCAAACAGTCTGTGCCCGTCTCTGCCTACGCGCAACCACCCATAACAGCCACACAAGCCAGCAGCATCAACATTATCCCCCAAGACGCACGCATCCGGTACTCGCATTTGTTCGCAAGACTGAATAAGGAATACGGCCAAAAGAAGTTTCTCACGACTGAGCAAGTGGCCACTGTGGTGAGGCTGTGTAGATTACCTGATGAGCAGATGTCTAGGATCTGGGTGTTGTCCGATCGCCAACTTAATGGCCAATGGGGGCCTGGCGAATTCAACATTATTATGTACTTGACTGATTGCGCACTAAATCATGAACCAATTCCAGAAACCTTGTCTGTCGAGTTGTTGCATTCGGCATACAATTAACAAGCAAATAAAAAACAATTTGTCTGTTGTATCATTTATTTATTTTGATATTAATTAAACCCGGTGTTGCGCCAATTTAATATTTCGTCTTCCAAGTCCGAGTCCGCATCTGAAGAGGACGATGACGAAGGAGGAGGTTGATCATTTTGCTCATTTTGCTCATTTTGGAGCTCGGCTTTAATGCGACTGTGCAGCTCCAAAAGCCGCTTTGTGCGCGTCTCCCAGATCTCGCCCTGTCTATCCACATAGCTCTCCGCCATAATATCATCAACCAGCTCGTCCGACTCACCCGACTCGTTCGCCTTATCCTTTACTCCGTTCGAAACCTCCAGCTGCAACACCTCGTCTTCAAACGCCGCCAACTCACGCTCCAACCCATCACCACTAGCACTGGTGGTTTCTTTCTTTGGCGCTTGAATCGGCCGGCCATCTTCTATTTCCACTTTCATTTCATCATCGCTCTCTGCTTTGCTGGGGTCTACACCAGAATCGAAAAACCCGGCAGGCAAACCCCCTACACCATTATTATCTGGCGACTCACCATCCGACGCCCTATTAATTTCACTGTCGCTCTCTCTGCCACTTTCACTTTCGCTGCTGTTGCTGTCACCGTAATTGACTAATGCCAGATTGTGATTATCGGTTTTCTGCCGTTTATTCGAATCCTCAATAGCTATGTGCTTAGTTTTATGAGTATCCTTGGTATCTTTTGTACTTGATATGTTTAATTTCAATACACCAAAGGCTGCTTTTGCCTCGTCCTCATCTGATGTCCTTTGTCTCTTTGTGGGTATTTGGTTTTGTTTCTGCTGCTGCTGCTTTTTTTGCTCACGTGATTTTCGAAGTAAATCTCGTGCTGACAACTGTTTACTGGACATGAATACAAAAATAAATATAATGATAAAGATAAAGATAATGATGAAAGTGAAAGTGAAAATGAAAATGTATTAATATTTTAAACAAAAACATCGTAAAGAAAAATTGAAAATTGAAATTTTTCATGTTGCTTTATTAACCCCCTTATGAGGATAAAGTAAATATGGGCAAAGCTCGGTCCGGAAAAATTGAAAATTGAAAATTAACAAAAGTATACGATTTTGCTTGAATAGCATCACGGGAGTAATGGGAAAAGTGCACGTGAATGTCATGCGAGTACACGCTATTTACTGTCAAGCTTGAGGATCAATATTGTACCAAACTCAAATTTGTGTCCAACAAAATGTGTATAGTGAAGCGCTATTTTTATTCTTATTTTTTATACAATTTAATTATATCTTTTCTATTAGCTTCCTTACCAATGATGTGATTAAAAGCCGTCTCTATAAAATTTTTATAGTAAACCCCTTTCTTACAGTCAAATATAATAATTTTAAAGAAGTTGCTATTACAGTAACTGTTGTATTAATGCAATACATAATTGTAATATCATTATACATGTATTTTTGGTAAAAAGCTACTCCTCAATGAGTTATTATTTATTGTGTTGTGACATTCTTTTTAGTTTCTGTATCAATCTTTTGCAAATATACATTGCCATCCGGAAATTTTTGGTTAATCATGATTGTTTTTATAACATCCCAATTATTATTTTCAAGTGTAGTTAGTACTTTATATTTATAGATACTTTTGTTGCTGCTATCCGTATTGGAGTATTCGTATATGCACAGGACCTTTAATTTGTTTGACATGGGTAAAGTAGCAATGAATTTTGCTTGGGGTTGCTTGAAAATACCTGTTCAGAATTCTTGTTTAAATAGGTATTTTATTTAAAAGTAGTAGTAGCAGCTGGTTAATGATGATGAATAAGTTTTAATTTTGATACCAGCGGCATATGTGACAAAATTTATACCAATAATACATGCATATACTTTCTTACTCATTTAAACATTCAAACTATTATGTAAGAGGGGGTGTGGAGCACTATTATAGTAGTGTCAGAAAAGTGGGGGCGTTGATTTATAAGGGGTTTTATTACTAATGTTTCTAAACTACTACCAGCGCCGGCCTCTTATATATGTGTCTCGTCGCCTTTGCTGTGCGCATTGCCAATTGTGCACTCCGTTAGCGAGAACTGGTTCTTCTGTGAGCGGACCGGTGTCTTGGCATGTCAATGTTGTGGTCTTCGCATATGTGCGCTCGTACGTGTACATTGCAAAATAGGGAGCATATCTGGGCATCATTATTATGCCTCCCTAATTTACGCCTGCATAATCCAATTAGTACCTTATCAATCGGCATGCAGATGGAAACCTGTTTCATGATTCTCAACCTCGACATCCACTTTTATATCTTCAGTCTGTGCAGCATAACTAATAAAATTCTATTTTTTATTTTATATTATTCGAAGCAACTTAACAGGTTTCTTTTTTTTGCTAAGGCTCCGCCCCATTTGCACACACATAATATAATAAGGCAAACTGCACATGGCCCCCTTTTTACTTTTATATAAAACAATTTGTTTACTGTTATGTAAGAAGGGGTGGGAAGCACTATTGTGATAGTGTTAAATAATGGGTGTGGAATTATAAGATGTTTTATTACTAGTGTTTCTAAAGTACTATTATCGCTGGCCTTGCCTTATATATATCTCCTTGTCTTTGTGGCACTCACTGGCAGTTGTGTGCTCTGTTTGCGAGAACTGGTCCTTATGAACGTAACCCGGGTCTCTGATATGGCATAATTGGCATGTCTGTATTCTTGCGCCCAGCACATCCATTTTGGGACAGGCAGTATGTCCGGATGTCAATTGTGGCGCCTAATTTGATCCCCTGTGATTTGGCCCATATCAGATCCATTTGTGAGCTGACAAGAGTCTGTCTTATGATTTTCGCCCTCAGCGTCTACCTCCATATACTTGGGCTGCGTAACATTATTTGTTACTTAACTTTTAATAAAAATAGAATAACAGGTTTGCTCCCATGAATAGAAAATTTGCAACAATAAAATTGTAAAATAAAAACTTTGAGACTTTATAATTTAATTAATAAAAAACTATTGCCTGATAATTATTCTTTGACTCCGGGCCTAAATGAAAAATAAACCTTTATATAATGAATCTCTATGACATACTAGCTCTATTTTCTTTTTTTAATTAGCAGAAACCACATAAAAATTACAGTTTATTGGCCGCAGCTGCCTGTGTTTTCCGATCGATAGAATACTTTAAGCTGACCAAAATAATATTACATGTTAAAAGAGTAAATCAGTTTACACACACTCTGCTTTTCTAATTTTTTTGAATGTGAAGATGCTATCGATGGCGACTGGTAGTAAAAATATTTATAATTTAATTAAATGAAAAACCGTTTACTTACAGCAGTTTTTACCATGGGGTTTTTTTGCTCTTATCGATGAACATGGCCAGTGTCTTTATGTGTGCATTTATAATTAGTTAACTGAATAATCTAATTTTAGTTTTGTTAAATTAAAGTATAAATACCACTAATTTATATTATACTCATTATTTTAATATACAAACCAGCAATGTCTTTATTGTTCTGTTCTTGGCTTGTTGTGTCAACGAGGCTTCAATAAATATTCTTAACAAACGTAATGGCTATCCGGGCATTACACATTACTGAATGCACAGAAATGCTTTAAATCCTGCACTTTAAAAAGCCAACCTACTTTTACAATAAACTATAGCAGGGTTTTTTGATATTGTTGTGCAGCCCAAAGGCATGGAAGTGGATGTCGAGGTTGAGAATCATGAAACAGGTTTCCATCTGCATGCCAATTGATAAGGTACTAATTGGATTATGCAGGCGTAAATTAGGGAGGCATAATAATGATGCCCAGATATGCTCCCTATTTTGCAATGTACACGTACGAGCGCACATATGCGAAGACCACAACATTGACATGCCAAGACACCGGTCCGCTCACAGAAGAACCAGTTCTCGCTAACGGAGTGCACAATTGGCAATGCGCACAGCAAAGGCGACGAGACACATATATAAGAGGCCGGCGCTGGTAGTAGTTTAGAAACATTAGTAATAAAACCCCTTATAAATTAACACCCCCACTTTTCTGAAACTACTATAGTAGTGCTCCACACCCCCTCTTAGATAACAGTATCCAGTGCGTCATTTTATTAAGAAATATATTTTTCAATTTCAGCAACCTGCACATATTCAGTCACACATAATTTGTAACTGTCAGCAAATTGTTGTTTTCAAAGTCTGTAGAATACTGAACCAGCTTACACAATGCTAAGTATATAATACTAGTTGGCAAAAACGATATTTATGTGTATTGATTGCACAAAATATACACAGCACTTGGCATTATTGCGTGTTTCCCATTATTTCAATACAGCCAAACCAAATTAATTTTTACATAATAACTTTTGTCCATCAATTAAATGCATGCCTTATTTGGTTTTTGAAAAGAAGCAAATCACAGGTGCCAAGATATTTTGCTATTATATTAAAAAGAACAGGCGTACGACCAACCTCCCTACTAGCACTTCTTTTTCAAAAGAAGTGCTAGCTCAAGTAATTCGCCTTGTTAGCTCAGTTGGTTTAGAGCGTTCGGCTTTTAACCAAAACGTCGTGGGTTCAACCCCACATGGGGCGCAATTAACAACAAAGGTGTTGGCTAGTAGTTATTCATTTTTTTGCTTAAGCTAACCACACGTGTCAAAAGTAAATGTTCTATTCTTCTAAATTAAAAATTAAGCAAATCTACAATTATTAACTAAAAAAACTAATGCAAGTTGAACAATTATAATCATTGAGCTGCTATATTGTTGGTTCAGCCATCAGTCCCTATTGAAATAAAGTTTAATAAGCGTGTTCTGGAAAAGCTGTCTATCACATAAGCAAAGCCCAGTTTAAACTCTGGCGGACGCTTCCGCCGCCAGGCAATTAGCCCCAGGTCTAGAATAATTTTTTATAAGGGCATATAGCCAGTTCTGCAATCGAGCCCATGCTGGGCAAGGTGGGGCGCAGTAGACATCTGGTTTTATTTATTAACTTTAGCTTGTGTGTTTTGCTTGTTTTATATTTTGTTTAATAGATCTAAAATGTGTGCACCATTAAGCAGTTTACGCTTGTCACTTACGCTTAAGAGTTAATTTGTCGGATTGTTTTAACACGATTCCAACAATATATTTGGAGTTGAGCGGTGATTTTTTGCTACTATTATATAAATCAAATTCAGTTGACTTCTCTTTGCATTCAAAAAAGTGATATATAATTTTATCTAATAGTTGTTCAATTGTCAAATCTTTTCTTACAGTAATAGTACTTTTTTTTTATTATATTGAACTTCAAATGTTATGTTCACATAGAAACTGATGTAGACAATTTTTTTATTATTTTTAATATTTTTATTTATAGATGATTTAGCACCTTCAATTTCCATGCTATTTACTGAAATGCTATCCTTATTGTTTTCAAATACAACCTCTTTAAAAAACACATTGCCATCAGGATGTGTTTGATTATTTATAATTTTGTTAATGATAGACTTCCAATCATCATCTTTAATCGAAACAGTTAGTCCATTGGCATAGCCGCTTTTATCAGGGCAATCGTATTTGCAAGTGACGCTTAATTCCTCTTGTGGCATGGGTAAAGTGGTGACAAAGATTTTTTGCTTGCTTGGAGTTTCTTGGTTGCCTGTGGTTAAAGTAGAAATAATATTAGTATACTATAAATCAAAAGTGAGTAAGAATAATGCAGTTGATGGTAAATAAAAATGGATGTATAATTTGCGGCAAACAAGTATTTATAGTAAAAATGGGACAGGTATTTTATCTACTTTTCCCACTTTTTTCCTTTCCTCACTTTTTTTCTCTCCTAGGCATTTTTCAAACTAATAAAAACATGACTGTTTTTTTTGAAAAAAAATAAGGGGCAATGCACTGAGCGCAAATTTTTTCTCAACCATTTTTCTTTTGTATATGCCTATTAACAAATAAAAAAGTTTTACGCACTGCTTGTTGGGATCTCTTTTAAAAGGCCGTCTTGTTTTATACAATGCTACATTATGATTTATTTATTGGTTTTTATTTATTTTTAAACAATTTTTTCATGTGTGCCGGCTGATGATTGCATTATATAAAGTATGGTTGGGGATGCTGGACACAATGGACAACAAAATATTTAAGGATTCAATGTATAAGCTTGTTATCGATGATGACTAGCAGGTAAATTAAAAATCTGAATTTATTATTGAATAAAGACTGCCAATTTTCTTTAAGCCTACACCATTTCCGACGGTTCTATTAAGACGGGAGTTTTTTATTCGTATGACTTGTTTTTCCTTTTTCTCCCTCTTTTCATCACCAGAATATCCCCAGCTGATACAAATACGTCATTGAAAATTTTTTAATAGATTTTGAGCTTTACACTTTGTCTAGCTCACTATGTCCATCAGTCTTATATCATGGATGCGCTTAATTAAAATAATAAGGAAGCTTGGCAGCACGTCTAATGATTGCGTTTGTATGTTCAGTGGTCGGCGAACAGATTGATTAAGTAAATTTGGTTTTGTAATCCGCTAAAGTTGATCAGCAATAAAAATTAGTCTTGTTTTTTATTCTTTAAATTCAATACCAAAGCACGTTTCTTTTAGCTCAACATGCTTGGACATATTTTTCCATAAAATATTTTATTCTAATTATTTTTCTAATAGTTCAACATTGTGTATTCGACGCTGTATTTGACACGGTGAAAAGAATAGTAATCTTTTTTCGAAGAAAAAAACTTACAAACTCGGTGGTTTTGAGTTAGGTTTTTTATTCATGTTGGACAAATTTGATTGAGCGAAGACCGGTATTAATTTAGCTTAATGTGGGTAAAAGCTGATTTGTATGATTGTGTAAGTGAGCGGTAGAATTTTCAAAACGAAAGCTGATTGGACAGACTTTTGGCTTTTTGTTTTAATTTAGTCATTTGTGATTGTTAATCGCAATCCCAAAGAGTAAAATAACCCGAGTGGCCTGTATTTCATTTTTTTTTACCAATTGACCTGTGTCCATGATGCTGACAAGAAATAGCCCATCCGCAGAATCTTATATTTGCGCTGAGGGGGGTATAGGAACAGAAGAAGAAACTGTTTATGGAAAACCAAAACTCGTATATGGTATTGTCTCCCCAAAAACAACCACACAGACCATGACAACTTTGTTTTATTTGTTTTCTCCTTTTGGACTATACTCCAAATAGGAAACCATGTATAAAAAATAATGGACAGAGAGACAAATGCATTGATGGAGCCGATATCACACACACATTTTTTTTGTTGGTAGCGTCAGTATTGTTGTCAGTATTGTTGGCACTATTGTTGGCACTATTGATAATGCGAACAGCACTTTTAAGTATCGAATAACTCGAGGACGTCACGGGTGAAACGAAGCCATATGTACACATGTGAGATTTCGGCATTGTAAAATCACATGCGTGAAAAAATCATGACAAATACTCGGCCCATTTTCTATTACCTCGCAATTTTTTTGGGTCCAAAATATTGATTATAAAAAATGATATGCGCACGAGCCGCTCACGAGAATGGGAAATCCCCCACGCTTTTTTCCCACACGCGCACACAACCATTCTCTCCGCCCAAAAAAAGAAGGCATGTGAAGAAATGTGGTAAATGAGGGATTTGCAGTTATCCATTTTAGGATATTAAGGCAATTGTGGGATCAAACAAGAAGCACTTTGGTTCGAATTAATATAGTGACAAGAGTGTAAAAACAGCTTCACCGATGGAAGGTGGATTAATGCTTGCACATGCTTTTTTTTGTTGGTCGGGCACGAGATTGCAAGAAACAAATTTTCTTTAAATGGAAAGTTGATCAGCAACAGAAGCAGCAGAGTAAAAAAAAGATAAGGATATGGCTGACATCACATGCGCGCTATTTGCTTGTTTCTCAGAACGGGAACCGCATACCTGCCTCCCAAATTTAGCAAGCAAACAATCGAATTAGGAAATAGGGAGGTGTTGGCGCTGGCGCTGGTGCTGGCGCTGACATAGGTCCCAGGATCGACCATCCCTGCCCGTCTCCCTCTTTTTGCTAGGCCATTTATGTGCTGGAAATAATAGTGTTAATACAGTGCTGAAATAGAAATGGGCCAGTGACTTTGGCCATTATTTGCCGTCCGCCTCGTCCGTCAGTGCATTGGTGCATTGGTGTGTTGACAATGCCAGCAATCCGGCATCTGTGCACTTTTGGCGATGCCAGAAGCTGGGCGTGCCTCGCTCTCCCTTCTCCCCTCCCAGAATGGAACAATGCTTATCGCCTAGAGCATACAATCAATTTGTTTTATCAGTAATTTTTCTACTCCTTTGGGTTTGCTCAGGCGCCTGACAATGGCATTGCGCCGCCTCTTTTTCAAATAGAATTGTTCTGTTCTGAAAAATAAACTTTGGGTATAAAATCGCTAGCATTCGGCCAGGACGAAGGACAGAAGCTGCACACACCCTCCCCCCTCCCTTCCTTTTTATATTGTACTGTAGAGAGCTTGACCAGTCTATTCCCAGCCTTTAATTGCTAATATTATCTTATTTCACTCTATTGAATTGTAATCTTCCATCTATTTTTCGTTCGCTTATTGTTTGTTTATCGCAGCTGCCCAATACACACCCACCTCTCCCAGCCACAATATGGGCAAGAATTTCCAGGCCTACTTTGTGGGCGCTGTCTCCGCCCTCGGCGGGTTCCTCTTCGGCTACGACATTGGCGTCATGTCCTCGATTCTCGAGATGGAGTACTGGAAAGTCTACTTCAATAGGCCATCGTCCGTCGAAGTCGGCGTCATTGTCTCTCTTCTCACAGCCGGATGCTTTGTCGGTTCGCTGGCAGCCGGCTGGATCGCTGACAAGTTCTCGCGCAAGCGCACCATCATGGCCTCCTCGCTCGTATTCTGCCTGGGCGCGGCAATCCAGTGTGGCTCGCGCAACCGCGGCATGCTGATCGCCGGGCGCTTTGTCGCCGGCCTCGCCGTCGGCTGCCTCTCCATGACCGTCCCCGTTTTTCAGTCTGAAATCGCACCAGCACACATTCGCGGCCGCCTCGTCTCGCTGCAGCAGTGGGCCATCACCTGGGGCCTGCTTATTGCCTTCTGGATCGACTACGGCTGCCACTTTATTGACAGCGATGCCTCGTGGCGCATCCCCATGGGTATCCAGATTGTGCCTGCGCTTATTCTCTTTGTCGCCATGTTCTTCATCCCGTACTCTCCGCGCTGGCTGGTCGACCATGACCAGGCCGAGAAGGCCCACCAAGTGCTTGCGCGCCTGCGCGCCAACGGCGACATCAACGCGCCCGAAGTCCTTGCTGAGCTCGAGGAGATCAAAGAAGCTGTGCGCGTTGAGCGCGAAACTGCCGTGCGCAGCTACATGGACCTTCTGCGTTTCCCCATCCGCCGCCGCATCATTTTGGGCGTGGCCATCCAGGCGCTGCAGCAGCTGACAGGCATCAACGTGATCATGTACTACGCTACCAGTATTTTCAAGCAGTCCGGCTTGACTGGCGACAACGCGTCGCTGATTGCTCAAGGCGTCAACGGGGTTGTCAACATGCTGGCCACTGTGCCAGCCATCCTGTGGATTGACCGCTGGGGCCGCCGCAAGACGCTGATTTTTGGCGCATTGGGCTGCGGCCTGACGTACTTTATCAAGGCTGTGGCAACTGGTGCCACGCAGCACAAGACCTACGATGAGGATGGCTCGCTCAACCTTAACTTGCCCAAGGGTGCTTCCTACCTGGCCATTGTTATGATGTATCTCTTCGTTGTCTCTTTTGCTATGTCCTGGGGCCCCATTGGTTGGATCTACCCGTCCGAGATTTTCCCCATGCATATGCGGTCAAAGGCTAACTCCATTACCACGGCGTCCAACTGGCTTTTCAACTTTGTCATTGGACTTGTTGCGCCCATTTTGATCAAGAAGATCACTTGGGGGTTGGACCTTATCTTTGCCATCATTATGTTTGCGTCTGTGGGTATTATTTACCTGTTCTTCCCCGAGACCAAGAACCGCTCGTTGGAGGAGATGGAGGTTATCTTTACAGGGTCCGCTTGGGCGCATAAGGATCGCAAGCGTATTGATGAGTATGATATTACTGTTCAGCATAATATTGATGCAAAGGTGGCTGACAAGTCGTAAACTATTAATCTTTTTTATTGTTATTAATCTTTTTTGATAATGTATTTGTTTTGTCTTCTTGTCCAATTTAGTTTATTGAAAATTAGTGAATATTTAGCTACAGCACATACCCATAAAACAATTATTTAATTCAATTCGATGACTGCATTGTTGAGCAGTCTGGTAAAATGGAAGCGAATGTCGAAATTGAGAGTTACGAAACGAGATTTCATCAATATGCCGATTGACAGGGCATAGATGGCAGCATGTAGGATTAAATCAGGGGACATACTATTGGCACCCTGATATGCCATCCCCATTTGATAATGTATATGCATGGATGCGCACATATACGAAGACCACAACATTGACTTGCCAAGATACCGGTCTGCTTGCAAAAGATCCAGTTCTCACCAATGGAGCGCACAATTGACAATGTGCACAACAAAGGCGATGAGGCACGTATATAAGATGAGGCCGGCCCTAGTAGTATTTTAGAAACATCAGTAATAAAACCTTTTATAAACTCATCACTACTTTTTAAACACTAGACAACTAATGTTCATCACACCCCCTCTTATTATAACACCATCCTTAAATAAAGTCAAATTACGTGAAATTTTTGTCCATAAATAATTTATCGAAGAACACAAGCTGACTTATCCGCATGTATCTATTATTTAATTCGAGTAAATATAGGTGTTCGGTTGCAGTAGCATGCTTGGCTGGTACAATCAACATAACCAAAACGTTTTACTAGGCCGATTATATTATAATACTGTTTCCACATGTTGTTAATTAATTAATTATGTTAGATTTTTGAATAGATTCATGTTATACTATATATAAAAATATGTGAAAGTGTATTATGAAATCAGCGGCAATTCGTCGCGTCCATAGGGTTCCCAATCCATTTTAAATGGCAATGGCACCGCTAGTCCATTCCAAAGAACCGAGTCCCTCCCAAAGATTCTTTCAAACGTCACGCCAGGCAAGACAACTCCAAGCTCATAGTTATTAACGTATACTTTCCTTGTAGCTCTGCTGCCACCTCTCAAATGGCCCCAAGCACCAGGCGTAAAATTATGACTTCCCAAGTATATCCATCCATTCCTGCCCATCTCGCCAAACCTCGCCAATATAATCTTTGAATGGATCAAACAGTCTTTGTAAACCGGCTCAACCTTATAAAGACAATCCTGCGGAAAATGGTTGTCAAAATAATATGATGACTGAAATTTGATACTTTGGCGCGCACTCGACCCAAATTTATTTACCTTGCCTTGTGTCTGCGTATGAAACCCTACATGCACTCTTTGCGAGAGTGATCCTGTGGATGTTGCAGGCGATAATAGATGGCGGAATTCCTGAGCGCTGTCAAGTCCAAGCGCCGAAAGATAAAAGTCTGAGAGATACTCAGGAGTCAGCTTGCCCATGGATGAGCCGTAGCAGCAGTGGTGGGTGGTGAGCCAATCTCTTTGCTGCTCCGGAGAAAGCGATTTTCGGATTCCGATCGTAACTTGTGCCAAACGAGCGAGTCCATATGCATCTGCATGAAACTTGCTACGCCCCGCCATGCTTGGCACAGAAGTCACCAGCTGCGCCTTAACCTTGGAGAAATCCACCATGTCAAGCTGTCCGACGGCCTGCTCGGGCACGCTAAGATCGCGCAGGGCCTGGGCCAAAGTCAAACCAAAACCATACAGCTCGCGCGGCTCATCCAAAAGGGGCAAATCCTGGATAAAAACGATATTGCCCAATGCCGTCCAATCAATACTCAGCAAATTAGCAGAGGAAATAACCAAGCGAATATGCCTGGGATAAAACATGAGCATTATTTTACTGTGCATAATTGGAAACCTTTGGTCTGCAAACTCTGGGTGAACTATGGTGAGCCTGCCTGCTTGGTATATTCCGCGACGATCTATCCGCGGATCATAATGCTTTACTATGAGCAGTTTGGTTGTATCGGCAAAGTGCGGTAATAGCCAGTCCAAGTCTAGAACAAATGTCGAAAGGATAGCCTTTTGTAAATTTGGCTGGATAAGGTCGGAAAGCGATACTGTAGTTGATGTGATGGGTTGGTCTTGGTACCGGGTCAGCCGGACGACTCCTGTCGGATACTGAAGCACAGGCGATACTGCCTGCGTCGGTGATGCTGATGTGCGTGCTGAACCTGGCCGCGGTGAGAGCTGCGGCAAAATGGTGTGTGGAGATCGCTGTGATGTTGCTGAATTGGGCGGTGGCAGTGCTGGCTGGAATGAACAATGCGATGTCTGGGCCAATGTTGACTGTGGTGGCGCTGATATAGGCAGTAGCTTGGCTGGTGTTTCTCCAACAATTAACACGTCATCGTCTGACTCAGTATCCGAAATACACACCGCACCTTCATCAAGCAAAGTGTCAAACTGCGAAAACTGCAATTCCGCAAACTCGTCATCGCTATTTGGTTTGTCTAAGTTGTGAGACATTAATTCAAGAATAAATGTAGTTGATTTGTGAATTAAGAAGGCGAAACGATGCGAATTTGAAGTTGGGATTAATGATTTTTAATATAAAAATCGGTTATTTTAATTTGGCTTTTTAAAACCAATTGTGATTTGTGGGACCAATTCTCGCAGTCAAGGCGGGTTGTTGCATTAAACTTTTGGGTTTTTGGGGTCACATGGCCATTTTTTTATTTTTATTTTATTTTTGCATGCGGCATTCTTCTATTATCAAATTTCTTTTGGATATTGTTCTTTTGCAATTTTAATGTCCACACACCCTGTGTATTGCGCGCTTTGTATTATTCACGAATAGCCTTCTTTACTACATTGCTCCATGAAAAAAATATTATTGTATTATTTGTCAGTTGGCTTCAAGCAAAGATATAATATAATGTGGACATAAAATTATTATAATATGTTAGCTGAAAGCGACGGGCGCACTTTCATTTCTCAACATGCTTCTCAAATTATTTCTTTACACACACATTTTTTCTTTTTATATTATTTTTCATTATCCATGTTGGTACTTAAAATAGCAGTGCTATTTCTGTTATTCACAATTGCTGCTGGCAGCTCGCCCACACCCACCGCATCACCTCAACCCACTCAGAACGAGGCCGCAATGGAAAGCTCTATCATGCAAGCAATATCGGTTTTCAGAACGACACGCACCAAAAAGACCATCACAATCACAAGCACGTCTACCAAGACAATTCCGCGCATTAAAGCTATCGAGACGGCAATAATGGCATCATCCACCCAAGCCCCTGTCAAACATGTTGCTTTGGATACTGGGTCTGTACCGACCATGGATTCGCTCAAATGGTCCATTATGAACCAAATTATTATTGTGAAAAGCATCAAGCTTGAATTGGCTTCCCTTGTGACTCAGATTGCGGGCCATCCGAGCACAACGGACACAAATGCTGCTGAGATATACCCAAGCACTACTGGTACGACGCATACTAGCCCATTAACCGAGATGCCAGACAAGGACAATGCTGTGACTAGAGGCAATAATTTGATCTCAGTCGCATTGCCAGTGCAAATAGCCAGTACCCTCACAAAACAAATAGCCATGCAACAAACTACCTCATCATCATTTGTAATCCCAGTGCCAACCACCAGTGCCGATTTGAAAAAACCTAGTTCAGCAACAGTCATGCGTATTACATTGCCCCCTACTTTGATATCAGCCAGCGAGAAGCCGAATAATGCCGAGAGTAGCTCACCAGCATCGCGTTCTTGGCTATGGCGCAATATGTGACTCTAGAGCTATTTTCACATTTAACTACTTTGAATATAATAAATATCATTTGCATTGATTGGTATTAAAGTATGGAACGTCGTCTCGCTCGAATGGCTGCCACACATACTTGAAAGGCAAAACCAGCGGCTCTCCCCTCCAGCTAACGCTAGCGCGGCTATCCTTATTGCCATTCTGGTCAAGCTGGTCGACAAAAAGCATGTCGTTCAGCACAATGCCAAACTCGTAATTGTTAACATAAATATCCTCTCCGCTCTTCACCTGCAGCCTGCCCCACGCGCCAGGCGTAAAATTATGGCTCCCCAAGTACATCCACCCACACGTCTGATCCCCACCGACCCGAGTCAAAATAACCTTCGCATGCACAATGGTCCTGCTAAAATGCGGCTGAACACGGAACATGTGTGATTGAGGAAACTCGCGCGCATTAAATGTCTCCGGCCGAGCATAAATATATTGACTGCAGTCAACATCATACCTGCACTTGTCCACTTGCTCCTGGGTATGGAAGGCCACGGCAATGTCAATGAGATTATCGGGCACGGTATTTTTCCACAGCGTATCCCGGTGGTGCCGGGGATTAATACCATGGGCGCACAAGTAAATATCACGCAGCCAGCGGTGATCCAGGGGGCCCAGGGATGATCCCACACAGTACATGCGAGCATCGGGCGTAAACTCGTAATCTAATAAAGTGGTGTTGGGCTTTTTGATGCTTTTAATAACCACAGCCAGCCGTTCCATCCCGTACTCCGCCATATTCATATTCATGCGCTGGCCGCCGGTTGGCACAGAAGTCACTATTTGCGCAATGGCCGTTGAGAAATCCACGCTATTCATCCACCCAATAATCTCGAATGGCACGCTCAGATCGTGCAGCGCATATGCCAAGGACATGCTAAACTCATTGGCTGGAAACACCAAAGACGGGTCTCGCATAAAGTCTTGAACAAACACGATGTTTTGCAAAACACTCCAGTCGTCCTCGGCCAGATTTGCTGAAGATACGACAAAGCGGACAAACCCTGGGAAAAACAAAAGCATTATTTTGGTGTGGATTATCTGGACCTGCGGTCTGGGAAGCTCTGGGAATACCCGGATTATTCTTTGGTCGGCTGGTCGTGCGTTGATGGTTTTGTTGGATATAAGGGTTAGGCTTGTTTGCGAGCTGAAATGCCCAAGTAGCCAGCCTTCGTCTACAATAAACCCTGTCATGAGCGCGTGCTGGAGAAGGCTGCCATTGTCGTCATATAGTATGTCGGACAGCGATAACGATTCTTCAGCTTTGTTTGGTACGCCACGCATCTTTGTTCGTCGCACAGCTCCATTATTATATTTTAAGTTGGTTTGGGAAGAAAAAGACATTATCAAATTGTAAATAAAAAATATAATAATAATTACTTTGTACGATACTATTTAAAAGAAAACTTGAATGAAAATTGAATATTATTTTGGAACAAATTAAATGAAAAATTAGAAAACACCGAACGCATACTAAACAACACCCCTTGCGGTGACCAATTATGGACCTATAAGCCTGGATGAGTTATTTGATCATATTTAAAAAAATGAATCATGAAGAAACATAAAATAAATGATTTGTTGGGGGAGGACAAGTTATGAATCAATTTTCTCGCCCTTTCGGGTGGGGTGGCTGGGCTAATTTTGTGCAAAATGGTGTCGCTCAGAAAAACATTTATTAATTCCAAGGGGTGCATACATATATATACTTTTTTTAGATCAAGTTGTGTCCAGTATAATTGGAAATGCAGAAATTATCCACTGTGTTCAAAGCATTTTTGTTTCAAATAAAACATATTATCCAAATGTTGAATTTAATAATGAATTGTTAGCTACTAAGGACTGTACAAATACTATAACATATATAGACAAAATGTAATTAACATTGTCGATGTTATTATCCGTGGAAAACAATTGACGAAAGATGAAAATATTTTCGCTATGAAAGTGTTTTTTGAAAGAAAAAGACTGCCAAATTTCTCTTTTTTCATTGTCTAAAAAATGATTACAATCATTTTTCTTTGCAGAATTCTGGTTTTAAACGTGTTCATTTTTTATTTTATTTTTCGCTATTATTTTATTTTATTTTTCACTCTAGAATGTCCGGCGTTGTATTTTCCGACAAAATTGTTTTGAATGTCTTCAAATTATCAGCAAACCATGCCCGCAACATTGGCAAGCTATGGGTTGGGGGGGGGTTTGAACAAAACGACATTACCCAGTCTACACTGCGCCGTCAATTTATCGCACTAATGGGTATATGCCGACAATGGAGAAGGCTCGCGCTGCTGGCAGTCTGCTCACGAGTATACGCAATGGGCTACATCAACTACACTGACAGTGATCCGCCAACTCCTACAAACCTAAAAATCGACACGAATATCGGCGACATCTTGGCGTTTAAAGGGCAAAACCACGTCTGACACGTGACTCTACCTCTCCACGGTGATATGTGCAGTTTGCCATTACTAGAAGAAGTGCTTGTAGAGTTTGACCGTTTTCGTGTTGTGTGGATGAGCATCAGAACTGCATTTTTCGACTTTCGGTAGAAATCCGCATGTAGAAGCCTTCCGTGCCAATTCCTTGATTACAAACGTGTTTGGTAAGCTTTCTGAGAATGCCGCTCAGCTGGCCAGAAGGTTTCTAAATGTGGTCCTAATTCGCACCGATAACCAGGAAAGATATACCTGCACGGGTGTATTTTTCGGTTTCCTCGTTGACCAGTATGCAGGCAGGATAATGAGTCTCGGCCATTCTAACGACAACCCGTTATCTGCCTCAGCATTCTCCAACAAGCTCGCTTATCTTAAAATTAACATGGATGACAGCCCTGTTAAAACCCTGCCAACGATAAACTTGGAGACGCTTGAGGATCTCAAGCTTTCAAAAGTGCCTACTGGCTTTTCGTGGTCTAGTTTTTGCCTGCAATCGTACTGCTGGGCAAATCAGCTTTACTCGACTGAAGAAGCTGCGCGTGACATTTGATGATGACGATGGGGATCAGGAGAATGGAAGTTCAGGCTCTAGTTCTGGGCGCGGCCACAATTATCAGATGGACTTTCCTACTCTCGAGTATCTACGCCTTGACTACACATCACTTGGTATCATGGTGTTCAACAACGCATTACTCTCCGCATACACGCCAAACATTGTCATCAGAGGTTTATTCCAGGAAGTCCAGTCGTTCTGCTGGCACACGTTCAAGCACTTTGGAATCTGCAAAATCTACATTGTTGATAAAGACGAGATTGCAGATATGCCGGAGTTTTATCAAATGCCGAACGAGGTATTTGGCTGCAAACAATTCGATAGCTGGGCAGAGCTAAAGTTATATATAACTTGGCTGGATCTTGATGCGGCCAAAATCAATTGGGCCAACCTCACTGCATTTTCCATTTTCGATCCAATCGACATTGGAATTGTCGCAATGCTTTTTTCCTTGCTTACCGGCCCCCCTTGAAGCTGACAGAGTACCAGATAATAGTGAGCAAGAATATCCACGCATTCGGCTTGCCTGATCTGGATGATCGTCTTGAGTCCAATTTGCCGACCCTGCAACTGCTGTCCACCCCTGTATCAGAAATGTCAATTAAACTATATAATAACAACGGCAGTGGCAACGATAGCCACAAGCCAATAATGAATGCACCACTGGGGCTTTTACTGTGTTGGCTTTCGTTGACTGTTCTCAAGCCAATGTCGGCGATTAAGCCAGACTTGTAGCGCTTAAGGGCAGAATATGGCACCAAGTGTCCTCATCCGCATACTATGGCTTGTTCTTTCAATCCATAGACCCTGACAAATTATGTTTGTTTCGGCTTATATTTTTAGCTTAATAACATCAAAAGCAATGAAAACAACACAGCCATTGTAGATTTATATAGCAAAATACATATTACAATTTATTTTATAAATAAATCTCAACATTGCACGCTAGATAGATTTGAAGTCACGTTTGAAAAAGGTGGCAATCTGGCCGAGTGCCGGTCCAAATGCCAACTTGGGCACCGATGCAGCACCCACACCGTGACCAACCACAGGCGGTGGCAGTATCCAGGCCGGTAGCTTACTAGCAATTCGTGCATCGGCATATCGGGCATCCAGAAACACAATGGCAGCATAGTCGTGACGATGACGGATGGCTCGCCCAATTGACTGGTTAACCGCTCGCATGCACAGGGACTCATACAGTTCACGCGCCCTCGGCCCCATTGAGGAATCCCTTAAGGGCTCTACCGGTTTACTATTGCTTCCCAGAAACTCATAGTATGCCAGGCGTTCGGCCAACTCCGGAGACGCCAAGCTAGGAAATGGCACTCCAATCATAATCACAGCACGTCCCAGATTGTCGCTAAAATTGATTCCTTCACTCAACCGGCCGCCAACAACGCTCAGAAGAACCGCTCCATTAGACCCAGGCCTGTGCACTTGCTCGGTGTATTTTTCCAAAATATTCACCTGCGGATCACCATCGCCACCAGGCGCATTTGATTCGGCAAACAAGGGTTTCCGCCGCTCAATGCGCTGCACTATGCCAGCAGACCGCCACTCAGCGAGCATCCGGCCAAGCAGCGAGTACGAGGGGAAAAATACCACAATGCCGCCTGGGATAATGTTGCATATGGAAGCGAGTGCCTGCCCGGCCTCGCGAATTTTTGCCGGATCGCTTTGGTCCTGGAACGCAAATCGCAATGGCTGCCCCGTGGGCCCGCTGCCCACCACCACAGCACACACATGCGAGGAATCAACAACGTGATTCCATGCAAACAGCTGTGCATTCTTTGAATCCAGCTTTGCAACAGCAACGGCATTACCTGCTTTACCCGCACATTGGTCTGTTAAGTGGCCGGCTTGCAGTGGCAGCAGTTGCTCGACAACGTCGTTGGCAGGCTTCATTGTACCGCCCGCCAAAATGACTGCGCGCGCCTCGCTGCAGATACTGCCAAACGCCTCAGACGGGTCGAGAAGCAGGTATTTCAGCTCAACTACAGCATCCTTCTCGGATCCACTAGCCGCACTAGCACGCACCACAAGCCGCGCACCCTTGCGGTCCGGGTTCCCAATGCACCCCATAAACGACTCAAAGGCTGCCACTGCCGTAGCCGGCGCAGGACCGACAGACGCCACCGGTGCATTATTGCCTGCCCCTCGCTTTGCGCCCCGACCACCGGCGCCATCTTCCATGTGTGTCTGCTGCCTGCAATGGTCAGCGAACATGTTGAGCTTGCGACCAATCTTGCTCTCGCGCAAGTATCTGTCAATCTTGTACACGTTAATATGGTCAGCGTGGGCACGCTGCAAAAACTCGTTCACAGACAGCACACCAGTCGACTCTTTTCCCAGAGCTTCTGTCGCCGATGCATCCATAAACTTTCTCAGCGCCTTGAGTAACGCCAGCGTCTGGCGCACATAGATCGTGTTGCTACCCTTTAGCCGGCGCCAGTACTTTGTAAAGTACATCTGCAGCATCTCCGTTAGTGCGCCCACAGTCCGGCGGTCCAATGTCACTGAATGGATCGACAGGATGGTATCCACAAGATTATGTGCTTCGTCGATAATCACCACGTTGTCCTTCAGAGACACACCCATAGACTCGCGGGCCGACTGCGACAGAAGCATGTTGTATGGCAATGCGACCACCTGTGCAGCACTGACTGCAGCGCGGGTCCCGTAGTATGCGCACACGGATAGCCGCCGACCCTCAGTTGCCAACTCCTCAATATCCATGATCTTTGTCCCGATACTTTCCTTGTAATCGAACATGGGCGTGCGCTGTGCTGGCAAAAAAGCACACCGCGTTTTTTTAGAGCCCTGCTGCTGCATCTCCAAGCACCGCTCATTGAGACCATGTACGGAGTGGCAATCCGAGCGCACCCGGTCATTGGTGCACAGCTGCCAACGCGATCCTAGCGTCACGCACTTGATCTTGGAAGATTTTCCAAAGCTCGTGCGCTTAATCTCGCTTATAAACTGCTGCAGCTGGGAGTGAGTGCGCGAAGCATAGAATATCTTGGCCACGCTGGGTTCCACTGGCGGCTCCAATTGCAGGGCGTCGCTTTCCGAGTCATTTTCGCTGTCACTGTCATAGTAAGGCTTGTTTGCTGCCCGCTTTGCTAACAGTTTGCGCACTTCCGCAGAGTACTGCACAGAACCGTCTTCTGCGTCGCTCGCATGAGCCCTAAGAACATCTGAGCCCTCACCAGTATCACTGTAGTATGCGTCGACGATCATCTCGTCATCAACTTCACTGTCGCCGCCACCCTCGCTGATCATATTTGCCCCAATGTCCGCTGTCGCCCTGCGCTTTCGCTCAATCGCTGGGTCTTCTCCGGAACCTCTTGTTCGGCCCATCATTCTGCCGCGACGCTCTGCAGCCTCCTTTCGGCGCGTACTCGCAACCCACGCCTTGTACCTTGTCTGCGCCAAATCGCCATCTGCCACCTCGGCATTGCTCTGCTCAATCCTCTGCTTGCGTTCAAACTCGGCCACCCAATCGGGACAATCTCCGCCACCCAGAGTGGGCTCAGGAATATCCAACTTGCGCCGCTCCTTGTGATGACCGAGCCAGGTCAGTGCTCCGCAGATAATGCTGAGAGATTTACCTGTGCCCGTCGGACTCTCGAAAATTCCAAACTTTGATTCCTCGATTGTCTCGAAAAGTCGCTTCATAAAATCAAGCTGGATGGCATAAGGTGTCATCGGGAACGAAAACTCATCGGCTGTCTGAGGCGTAGGTAACTTTGAAGTCCGTGTTGTGCTGGGAGAGCTCGAGTCGGTCATTATGTAGTAGCCCGTGTATCAATAATAAAAAATATGAATAATGTAGAATGTAGAATGTAGAATGGAATGTTTTACAATGGGAATAAAAAATGATGTGAGCAAAAACCGCGCTCAGAGTGCCTAACCGAGTTTATTTTGGTACTGGGCTTGGCCTTCACGTGTATGCACACCTTAAATTTAACAATTAAAATCTCCGGATCAACAGCCATACTGGTTCTTGCTCATTCGATTACCAAACCCGTCTTTGCTACGACAAGAGCGTCGAAGAACTCCTTGACCGGGTGCAAGTACCAAATCTTGGGGCTCAGCCCAGTGAAAAAGCCCAAATGACCACCATGTTTGGCCAGCGCCAATGCAGTAAACGGGTTGTTTCTGAACTTTTCAATAGGGATACCCTCATAAGGCGTGATCGGATCGTCCATTGAGTTGAGAGCCAAATACGGTGTCCGAATGGCATCCACATACTTTGTGCTCGATGCAGCCTTATAGTAAGTCCAGCAATCCTTATGGCCGTACGTCTTAGCCGTGATCAAATTGTCAAGCTCGCTCATACGCTTGGCCTTCATAATGGCGTCGATATCGTAGGGAATTGCTCCGGTCTTGATCACGTCCATGTTGCGCTTAAACACCCGCTTGATTGTGGCCACAAGGTTGGGCTGGAACAGCCTGTCGTTCAGGAGGGTGTGCGCATCAAGCGACCGTCCGGCGACTTCTGTATCAAAGGGACAGCAAATGCTCACGGCAGCGACAAACGGAGTGGCATCACCGACCTCACCCAAATACTTTGTCAGCAGATTGGCGCCCATTGAATAGCCCATGGCAACGATGGGCACGCCAGGGTTGTTGTCCACGATGTGCTGAGTGATATCGCGGAAATCGTCTGTGTCGTATCCATTGTACAATTTGCTCGATGTCAAAGGCGTACGGCCAGACCCGCGGTGATTCATAACAGCCACCCGGTATCCCATATTTCCAGAAGCCAGCACCTTGACCATACACCGGATATGATACTCATAAGACGAACCGCCCAAGCCAGGCATAATAAGGGCAATCGGCGTAGTACACGGATCGTTGGTGCGCTTCGGATACCAATCGATGGAAATCGTCCCGTTGTCGCTCATTGTGATTGTCTCACGATCATAAGTGACGCTGGATTGCTCGTCCTTCCTCAACCCAATGCTCGTGCAGTATACGGTCTGCAGCATACCGCCGCAGAGATACGGCGTGGGTGTCATGTTCTTGGCTTTGATTCCGACTAGCTTGGTGCACTGTGTTTCGATGATACGTTGGATATTGGATGCGTCCTTGTGCTCGTCTGTGCCCATTATTTTAGTCGTAAACTCGTCGCTGTTTTCAGAGGTGGAAATTAGCTTGATGCGACATGCGTTTGAATACCGCTTCAATCCGAATACCATTGACAAGCTGGCAACAGCGGCTCCAAAAACGGGCAGTTCAAATCCAGACATGATAGAGATAATATTGCTGTGTTTGTGAGAATAATAAAAAAGTAAGGTTATGTAAAATTGAAATTTTTAAAGTGAAACAAGAAATCAAAAAAAAAGAAAAATTGCTGGCTATCGTTGCTTTTTTTAAGGCAGACAAGTGCTACTTTTTATATTCGCGGAACTTGCGCTGTTCATTTACTTTTTTTGTTTTTTTACTCAAAATTATAGTAATAGTACCATAGGATGATCCAGTACACAAATTAAACCGATAATCTTTTATATTGGGCAATATTCATTACCACTCTTTTAAATCCCAACAAAATAGCACGTCTTACCCAACTCCGATAACAATTAAAAAATAACCTTCTTACTGGCAGAGGGGAGGGCAATGGAAATTTCCAATGATTTTTGCCTTGGTTGGGGAGGAGCGGATTAAAAAAATGAATGTGAAATTTTCTCTTAAAATCCGCAAAAAAGTGTTCTTTTTTGGAGTGTTCTTTCAATTATTTAAACGCTTGGACGAAAAAAGGTTCCAAATAAGGAACAATTCGGGGGAGAGCCACAGCAGTTTCCGCTTTCCATTTTGCGCTTTTTCCATTTGAAGTTCTGATGCTTATTTTTCTATCACTGTAGACAGCAACTGAAAAATGTAGCACAGGATAGTTGAGCATTTGTGTAATTTTACTTTACCAATTGTTTTGGCATAAATATGAACCATTTTTGTGCTCTTTCAAGCGAAGCGCGTCGAAAAATCATAAAACAAAACACCTATACATGTCTTTTTTTTGGTGTCATATTTTCCAATAAAAAATCAATTTTGCAATTGCAATGGAAAATACCTGTTTTTTACAATCCCTTTAATTATGTACATGCATGAACATAAAATACGTATTCTATTGAAGAATTTGATTATTGGCGTGGGTGTCATTTTTTACAAATAAACTGGCAGATGACTACGATACCCCCTCCTTTTTGTGCATAACCTGCTGACAATATATTGTAGATTTTAGTTCTTGTGTGGGGAGAGAGGGATATTGCACCGCGCATATTCACTTTTTCCCCGAGTACATTTTTTATATTTGCCAATTTCTAATCCAGATAATTAATATGCGGAAATTCCAACGATTATTATTAGCGATTTGCTTTTTTAACAGATCGTCGGCCAATTTTTTTAATCGCTCTCCTTTTTCCCCCCTTTTTTTGCTTCGATGTTGTTCATGTCTGAATGAGTGCCTTACAGTTGTGAACAAAGTAATTCCTGAGGATATTTTGCGCTGAGATTCATTTTATTCTGTTAGTTTGGCAAAACATCTGTATCAAAAAAATCTCGCTGTGTAGAGATTTTCATAGTATTGTAAAAACTACCTGCTCAGCCGCCCCAAAAAAAATAAGAAAACAACCTCCTGGAAAAGTGGCACGTGTGTTGTTGATTTATTTTGCCATAAAATAAGCATGATATGTCCAAACATTCTAGCAAAACATGCAGTGTTAATTATAAAATTATTTGTTTCCACAGTGCAACAATTTTTTTAAATAAAGCAAATCCTTGATTTTTTTATCTAGTATATTCTTTCACGCACAAAAGAAAGACTTGCAAAAAACAATTATGTATGTAAACTTCTTTATATACACTACACATATTTATTGATATTCAAATGTTGCGCATTACATACAGCCACTGCATCCATCCTGCATCCACCCGCAGATTAGTCCACAAGGCGGCGATCACGGATATCGAGTCGATAAAGCGGCTGAAAACCCAAAGTGAGCCACAAACCCTTAAACCAGCAGCAGCAACACTTCGACAAAAAATACAAAGCAGCAGCTGGGTGCAACAACTAATAAGCGGTACGCGCAAATGCACATTCTCAGGACTCGCCCTCCCCAAAGAACACCTAATCAGAATCAAAACCAAAGTGGACACCAGAGCGGGCAAAAAATCACCAGGCCGCAGGATGATGTGTGTGGATGAATTGGAGAGTTACTCGAGAGAAACAGGCAAGTCCAGCTATTTGCCGCTGTCTGCGAATGGACTTTTTGCGTCGCTTTCGGATATTTCTATGCAGCGGGTTGTGTCGGATATTGGCTGGGTTCGTTCGGATGTAGTGGAGCATTGCGCTCGGGTATTGCGTTTGCGCGTGGTTTCAGCTATGCACAGGGCCAGGGTGGATTTGTTCAAGCATCGGGATGCGCCGGGTCCTCTGGTGATCCCACCAAGAGGTCCTCGTCAGACAACAAACCCTCAGATAGAGGAGGAGAAGGAGGAGGGGAAGTCGCGGCTGGATATTCTTCGTCTGGAGATTACCGGCCGGATACTTCGCCAGGACGCCCTCTGGGCCGGCAACTCGCCATATATTAGCCTGCCACAGCCAACACGGCAGTCAATGCAGCACCCAGAATGGCTTATCCCTGGCATACTGCCTGCCGGTGGGCTCCAATGTATCATCAAAGTGCCAGCGACTCAGACCACCCCAGCATCCGTATCCTCCGAATCCACCGCACGCGATATCTGGAAGACACTGGCAAAAACTCAACCGCATGAACCACCCGATATTGATATCTTGGATCAGTCAGGCGCGAGCTGGATGAGCTACGTGATTGCAAGCCCGCCCAAAGCACAATGTGAGCCGACATTGAGTATACACGCCCTCGAGTACCTATACCACTGCCTCCCGGCCCTGACCTTGGATACACTGAGCGTCGTTAATGGCGGGCGCGTTATGTCTAAAAGACAGGCAAGAAAATTGCGCGAAAAGTCACATGGTAATATGGACCCTGTCGTGGCACCTGTTTCTGAGGTCACAGCTTATGCGAGTAAGCTGCGATCGCAAGCGATTATTACTTACAGATATACGCTTGGTAGGTCGGGACACGAGTTTGCTGTTGCCCAGGGAGATGCCGTTACTAAGACCGTGCCTGTGTACTATGCGGACGAAATATTTGGTCCTGATGTTTCGGCCACGGTTATCAATTGGTTATTGTCGCACACTTCACCGAAACAGGCACCCGAAGCAGATGGAACATTGTCGAGCCATTATATCGGTGTGGTCGCCCTGCCGTGCACGGCTGATCTCGCCACTCAGCTGCACCGACTGACTGTCTTTGCTGAGAACTAAATATCAAGTTATTTTTGTTATTGTTTACAAATGAAAAATGAAAAATAATAAAATAAAATAAGTTGTAATAGATCCACAAATAAAAAAACAAAGGAAATAGCATGACAATTGAAAGACAAAAAATTCATACTAAAAAGTTTATTTTTTTGATTCAGACCACAGGCTTAGGCTTGCTGTTCTTGCGCTTGTGGGGCATCGTTTGTCTGGCGCTGCCGCCCTTTCCATTCTTTGTGGGTGTTTCGTACGTTGCTTGGGCTGAGGAGGCTGACGGTTCCGGAAGATCGGTTAGCTCCGATGCGTCCATCAGACTGGACGAGCCCTTGACAATATCGCTGCCGGCCGCAGCGTGTGTCTCTTTGGGTTGCTTTCGTGTGGTATTTGGCGCCTTGGCCTCTCTCGGTGTTTTTTGCCCCACATGCGCTTCCTCATTAGCATCATCAGCACCAGCAGCACCCTCCCTAATACCCTCCTTGACAGCACCGCTGTCCTCGCCTCCTTCTTCATATTCGTCTTCATCGATGAGCTTGAGCGTCTCGGGCAGAGGCGTCTTCAACTTCTGCCTCCTCGACGCAGGCGTGCCAAACTCAGCGCTGACATCCGCCTGTACAGACTTATCCTCCACCTCCACCTGCACCCTGTCCCTGGCATTATCCTCCGCCCCACTGCTTCCGTAATCCGTATAATCATCGTAATCACTGTAATTAGCCGTGTGCACAGCAGCAGCAGGAGCAGCACGAAGAATCTGCTGTGACCCGACCCGGCTCTGCAGCCGCAAAGCACGCAGGCTGGGATTGAATTTCCCGCACTTTGGACAAGAGTACTGGATGTCGTTGATTTCTTCCTCCAGAACCAGCCCGTTGTGCGCGTAACAATGCCGGCAAATCAGCGCATATCTGTCATCGGCGCCGCCGACATCGCCCACCAGCTGGTCGACCAGTTTGTCGAGCCACGGCCGCGAACCACCCCTGCCTGGGGACTCCATCGGCTGCGCCGACGAGCTGCGCCCAGGCATCTTCACTACGCCAGAAGCATTAAAGGGCAGCATTGAGCCATTAGGACGGGAGGCCATGCCAGCGGCCATGAGAGGCTGCGGAAATCCCATTGGCCTCTGCGCCCCCCTTCCAGCCAGCGGGGACGTCGGTGCTGAGCTTTCAGCCTGCGATGCAGGCGATCCAAAGTTCGGCACAGTCTGCCGGCGGTTCTTCGCCTCCATCTGCTTCTGCCTATCCAAAGGACTAATTGTCTTGTCATCCTGTCTGTCCTTCATCGAGTACTTGTCAATAAGAGTCTTTGTCGTATCAAATGCTGTCTTCTTCTTCAGTTCGTCCAGCCGGTCCTTCAGTTGCTTTTTGAGTTCCACCGCTGAGCGCTCATGCTTCTTCACGGATCTTTGCCCGATTGCCCTGATGATTATCCGACCATAATATAAGACCAGTGGGATTATAGCTACGGATATCAGGTGGAATAAAAAGCCCTCTGATTGTTCTGCATGTCTCTCAGGCCACACGTATAGAATAAACCCGGCCGCGTAAGCTATCCATCCGATACCCATGTAAAACACCCAGTTGCTGGACCACCACTCCATGCGCTTGGTCGCGCGGGACTTTAGCCTCTCTGTCTGTCTGATTTGCTGCTCCAAACTAGACAAAATCTGCTCGTAGTTGTCCTCTGGAGCCTTCTATTTTGACAATAAAATATGTATAAAAAAGTAAGTGAAAAAGGGGGTGCCAGATTAGCTCATTGAAGCGTTTGAATTGTGCGGAAATGGTCACTATATGAACAGTTTTTATATGAATTATTCATACCTTGAAAAACGAAAATAAACCCATGACTAGTAGTTGTTTAAAACACTCTTTGTGCTGTGCTATGCAAAAAAAAGAATTTGGTAAATGTGATAAAAATATAATAGAAAAAGTTTTGCAATTGTGAATGAAAAAGAAAAAGAGAAAAAAGGGGGCAATTTTATTTTGCAGCAGAACCCGGCTTTGCGGAGACTCGAGTTTTTTCTTTGAGCTTGTGCACAAAATGGTGCATTTTCATATTAAATTCACGTGATAATATGCACTCCCTCATGCAGGAAAAGGCTTGGACAATGCTCAACGATATTTTATTTCGCACCAGCCAAAATAATAAGTTGAATTGTAAATTATCGCAACAAACAGCGCAATTATGAACGAATTAAGATTGTCAAGAAGTAAATTTTTTTAAAAAAAGTAATTAAAAAGGTGTGAATATCAGCGCAAGTGCAGGCCATCCATCCATGCCACGGCAGCAGAAAGGCATTTGCTCAATGGCCTGTTGATCAGCAGCATGTCCTGATGATAAATATCAATGTCCTTGTCGTAAACCAAGCCCGCCGAGTGCAAATTTTCCGACTCCAACGCTGCGCCCAGCGCCTTCTCAATATCATCGGAGCCATTGGGAATTTCGAAAAGGGTCGCTACGGTATTCTGCGCCGGCGTATTTGATGCCAGCGTCAGCACAGTGCTATAAACCTGCTCTTGTGCAAGTCCAAGTCCAAGTTCGACTGAAAAATTAGCACGTGGCGATGAAATATCGATATGCTCAGTGTTGCTGTGGACAAATTCCGCGTTATCCTCAGATGCAACGCGGTTATACGCAAAGCCACTACCGTGGGTATTTTTTCCAGATCCAGCAAACGCGCCCTTACCAAATATTGCATTGCAGCGCATACGGCGGTCCACAGCCAACCGCTGGCGCACGGCAGAGTCCAGGGCGCGATAGTACATGTGGTGAACAAAAGACGTGATCACCGCGGCCAAAATCACATCCAACGTATAGTGATAACGCACCAACAGCACGCTGGCAATTCCCACCACCGTATGTATGGCGCTGTAAACAACAAAGGACCAATGGCGCGCGTATTTGGTCCAGAACAAAAAAGAAATAAGCAAAATAATAGTGTGTCCCGAAAATACCATATCCGTGCACTCTTTTCTTTCGCCAGAAAGCATGCCAAAAATCGCCCTCAGCATGCTCCCGGCGTCGTCAACGAGCAGCGGCACGCAGTCAATGATGGGTGGCGGTATAGTGGTTACCGAGATGGTGATGGACCGCAGGAGATACAGAATGGAGATTATCCATGCTAGTCGCCGCAGCATTACTAGCCGCGCCCGCCACCCGCGTGCCATCAGAATATTGCCTGCTACACATATTACGGCAGAGGTGTTTATTAGAGTGTCGCAGATCCAGCCCTTGCGAACATGTGCGTATGAAATATGGCTCAAAATCATATCATTTAGCGGCACTGTGTGCGTCTCTCCGGGGTTCCGCCACCGCGCCCATCGTGTGTCGGACCAGCCCTGGCACATCATCATCCAGATAACAACTACTACTATGGCTGCTACCGATATCAAGGTATGCAGTGACTCTTTTGTAAACTGCCGTATGAGCTCAGGATTTAAATTGGACAGCCCAGTAAGTCGTTTAAAGTTAAAAATCATTGAGCAAAGTAGCTGTTTTGTGCTGGATTTAATGGTTGTTGTGTGTGGACGCGTACACTGGGTACTAAAAATGGGTGTTTAATGCAAAATATAGAGAATAAAAAAGATGTATAATTGCAAAAATAAAAAAGAAGACAAAATAAAAAAGACAAAAAAATGGATGAATAGATCCAACAGTTTGTAAATATTTTGACACCAGCTGAGTCGCATTTTTTTCTTTGTCCTCATTTCATCTGGCTTGTTTTTCTCCATGTGATATCTAAAAATAAAAAGAATGTGTATATTTTGGCCTCATCTCTTTCACAATAAAATTTTCTTTTTATCCCAACTTTGTGTTTCACCCATGTCTGTTTTAATTTTTGTATTTTGCTTCTGCATTGAGTGCATCTAAACCCACCATATATATTCTTCTACATTAAGAATTCAAGCCAGTGAGATTTTCTTTTTTTTGTACATGCTGAACAAGGTTTGGAATACAAGTAAAATAAAAGCGGATGGAAGCTAGATGTTGTGACTTTCAACCATACAATCTCTCACAAGAATTTTGATTTTACCTTGTAAAAACAGGTTTTTTTGTATCAACATGCTGGTTTCTTCTTTTTTCTGTCCAATGGAATAGAATAGTGTGATTAAAAAAGGTACAAAAACTGTACCCAAAATCATATTTTATGTTTTTCTTTCCAAGCGAGGTGGGGTTTCAAAGTCGCATGTTAAATATCCATGTTGTTTGTTCCAGCAATGCCCAGCTCAATATGCAGATCATAAAATATCAAAGAATGTTCCAAAAAAAACTGGACTAGAAATCAAGGTTCATGCACAGCGAAAAAATAAAGAAAAATAAATATATCCAAACTGTGTCACAATTATGCGCCTCCAGTCTAGGATTAGTACGAATCAAATCTCGTGTCTTGGTATTGACAAACAAAAATGGAAAATGGAAAATGGAAAACCTCTCCCAGCTGGCCAATTCAAGGAACAATAGGCTTGGGAATCGAAAATGGTATTGTGTTTATTGTGTTTATTATATCTGATGCAAGGGTTGGTTGACTTTGTGAATCAATGACCAAATAGAAAAAGGGAAGCGTGAAGCTGACTACTCTAATTTAATCAATAAGATGTTATAATTGCAAACAACCTATTTATTTAGTTTATAAAATTATTATTTATATTAATAAGGTTTTTTATTCCAACCCAATTTTTGATGACCAATATCATTTCCACCGAAAAATCTTCCAACTCATAAAAAATACTGCTTGCTTTTATTGGCTGGCTTTTGTCAAATGATAAATAAAAATAAATAAACCCTGTTTATTTGTATTTTTCACTTCGCTTCCCTATTTTTTCTTTTTAATTCATTGTAAATTGTAACCCAACCATTGCATTTAATCAAATGATTCCCCCTACACAACCCACGCCGAGCTACACGCTGCGCTACCACGAAAACAACCTGCACGCAGAAGTCGCCAAGGTGCTGCTCAAAGGCTGGTACAGCAGATGGCGTCTGGACACCTCCGAGCTTTCAGAGCAGACTCCCCGCCAATCAACTACACAAATAGTTCTCGTAGAGCACACCAACACAATTGACAGCCACTTTACCCTTATTGGTGCATCTGCCATTGAGATATACCTGGCATCAAACCGCGGCCTCTGCTCGGCCAGTGACAAGAGACTACTGGCGCGTCAAATCCAGTTCCGCAACAGCATCAAGGAGTTGCTCAACGATGCACTGCCTTTTATTAACCTGTGCAAGGGCAAGACCCCGGAAGAGGATTCGGAAACCACTAGGTACCAGGAAATTTTTTTGCGCAGTATCAAGAACTTTATCAAATTCCATGAAAACGCACTTTGGCAGAATGGCTCCACGGGATACTACTTTGAATCGCGAGTCACTTTTGTGGAGGTTGCTCTAGCAGTGACCATTAATCTGATCCGTAGCCTTATTCCAAAGCCCTTTTCGGCTGTGCATGATGCGCTTAAAAATAATAATTTGCCAGAGATTAATAGGGTCATTTCTAAAATGTGGCTGAAGATATCTGCCACCACCATACCCACCATTTGCAGCTCTGATGCTGCCTCCGATGCAACCCAGAAGACCCCAAAACCGAACGTATTTCAGTTCAAGCCATCGACAAAGTTTGGTTCTTCATTTCCAACCCCGACTTTCGCTGCTCCGTCTTCAACAGCAGCCTCGGGTTCAACATCGGCTGCAGCAAAAACATTTTCTGGATTCGGATCGCTTTCTATTGCCGCAAAAACCACCACTCCCCCCACTGCTGCCATTTCAGCCTCAGCGGCAGCTGAAGTCGTTCCGGATGCTGCTTCAGCAACCATTCCAGTTCCTGCTTCATTTGCTCAATGCACTTCAAATGTTGACAAGTCTGTTGCTGTTTCTGCTGCCACTACTAGCGCGCCTGCTGCAATTCCAGCTACTGTCGGAGCTCCCACCACTGTTGTTCCTGGTCCTTCTGGCAGCAGTGCTGGTGATGTCGCCCAGAAATAAGTCTGAAGCCATTAGTAACGAGCAATTATTTTTCCAACATTTTTTCCAATCATCTAAATTATCATTCAAACAACAAAACAACCATTATCAAACTAATTTGACCAGTATCATTCGGCAGCTGTGGCTATCCAGTAGTAAGAGTTGGACGCAGAGTTGCCGTCATCATGGCTGGAAATATCTTTGTTCCAGTGCGCAGTCTGCTTCTTGTTGACGACAGCATACGCCAAATGAATGATCTCGCGCCACGGCTCTGACTGCGAGCGCTCGGCAACTTCGCAAAGAAACTTTGGCCAGATATCAGCAACCCACTGACGCTTGAGCAGCAGCGCTGACGCCGGTGTGTACGGCAGAAATTGGATGCCATAGACAAACTCTGGATTGCTGCCAAAAAACGTGGCAAAGTCTGCCTTGCTCGACCACAAAATGCCGACCACGGCCTTGCCGCGAGCGTACTCTTCTGGGTAAATACTGCTGGTCAGATCGCCCAGGTGCCAGTACGTGCGCGCCGCCCTCACCTCGAGCTGCAGCACTGCCCGCACATACTGAGCGATCTCGGGGCGCCCAGTGGCAGCGGCGTAGAGGTACGCGGCGTAGTAAGCGTTAATGGCCTCGGACGTTGACTCTTGGTTGCGCGAGTCGGCAAACGCAAACAGCCCGCTGGCCCACGAGTGGCCGTCGTAAAAGTCAAAGCAGCGCATAAACGGAAAGTGCGCGTCGGATGTCGGGGCAGTGTTGCAGTAGTCGCGAGCAAACAGATCGAATGCGTCGATCCGTGGTTTAACCCAGTTGGGGCGCAGCTTGGCAAGTGCGGCGGCTGCGTAGACAAAGTAGCCGTAGTGAAAGTGGTGGTCGTTGTAGCGGCCCTGCCCAAAGTCAGCGCCCGGATCTGATAGCCCTGCTTGGCTGACCAGCCCGCACCACTCGGTGTCAAACAGCAGATAGTTGGGGTTTGTACCATTGAGCCAGGGATCGAGCCACTGCATTGCGCGGCTGGCCGCCAAGTCGCAGCTGGCAGCGTCGCCAATCTCGTCTGCAATCAGTGCAATGCGCGCTGCTCGCGCCACAGCCTTGCCAAAAAAGTACGGATCTGGCGGCAGTGTAGCAGGGCTGTCTGTGAGCGACTGCGCGTCGGCGGCAACCAGTGTGCACAGGTGCGCTGTATCTGCATCGTTCAGCGGCGACTGTCCTGAAAAGCCGAGCGGCTCGAGTGTTTCGGCCCATTGCCACCGCGATCCCAGCACTGCGCGAACGCGGCCGCGGCTGGTCCAATGAGCAGCAACACTGTCGACCCAAGTCAATTCGGTGCCCTCTGCCGCGTTCAACACCATTTGATGGTGCGGCAGCGCACACATCAGCGGATGCCCGCTGTTGCCCCTAGTCGCCCAGTCAATTGTAAATGTCGCCTCACCGTCGGTATCCGAGCCAATACTCACATTACCGCCGACTGGTACAGCATTTCGGGCAGAAAGTAATGCTTTGACCGCGGCCTGCTTATCAACGGCATTGCCACTCAAATTGACGTTGCTGTTGCCATTGCTGACCATTGCCAGGCGCACTGCACCCTGCACGGGTGCACAGGACACCAGCTCGGATACAGCGCTCTGTTTGAGCTCAACACCACCCTCGCAACATACCAGCCAGGTCGCTCCGCTGTTCAACCTTATAATAGCCGTACCCAGCCCATTGCAGGCATCTGCGCTCAGAATCGCGTGCACAGTCGTTAAGCACAGCACTGTAGGCACGTCAAACACCACGGTTACAAATGCCGACCCACGGACCAGTGGCACTGTGGCCACTTGCGTTTTATTTTGATAGTAAGCGACAGTCACTGACAATGGGTCAAAGTGAGAAACCCGGCGCTGGCAGCCCGTCAGCACAAACTTCCAGTCGTCGTGCCATATCGATGCCACATAGTTCTCCTGGACCAGCGGCGTTGGCGCGCACACTGTCATGGCGCTATCAATGCAGCGCACCATGTAAGGTGTTGTTACTACCGGCTGGTCTCCGTTTTCAATCAGCAGATTCTGCCACCAGGTGTTGGTCGGCACTGGCTGCGAGATTAACCATGGGTCGATCAGGTCCTTGCTCACTTTAAAAGAATTGGCGGCGATTCGGTCGTTCAGAACTGACTGTGGATCGGCAGTCGACCATGGTAAGTTGCAACCACGACTCGACTGTGCCTGTTGTCGGGGTAGCTTTAAAGAAGGCTGCTGTTGTTGCTGTTGTTGTTGATGTGTCGGAAGTGGTTGTGGTAAAGCACGCGGTGGAAGCGGCGGTACTGATGGTGACTGAAAGTTGATGACGGTAGTATCTGTGGGCTCTTTACCAGAGAAGCGGTGTGCCAGCCTGCGAATGCGATCAGACAATGGCATGGCAAAATGAAAGAATAAATAAAATATGAACAAGCTTATTTTTCAGCACAAACTCCAGAATATAAAAAAGAGAAGAGAAAGGAAACACGGCGCAAAAGAAAAGAGGGATCATACACAGATTTGCACACCCACATCCTGTGGCACAAGCCAACAGGAAAAAGCAAAAATTGAATGATGAGAGTGGGATTTGAACCCACGCCTCCGGAGAGACCGCGGCCTTAACGCGGCGCCTTAGACCAACTCGGCCATCTCACCAATGCTTAGTGAACTAACTCACTCGCTGGTTCTACATCATCTAAAAAAATATACGATCTAATGAAAATAAAACAAATTATATACTCCAAGCACAGAACACTGCTAATTAGAACAATTAATACAATGTGTAAAATCAATTTGACAATAGACCAGTGCAAGCATGGTTTTGTATAGGGTTGTTGCAGGTAAACAAACAAGCTTATTGTCGAATATGATCCCTATCAGGTTGCCTGCCGAAATGCCTAGCAAAAGTATATATGTATCCATCTGTGTTGTATTCAAAACGTATAGGAATGTTTTTTGCAGCCCAATAGCGCTGCTACTAATTATACACGCTTTACAAGTTAAGCTGGCTTGACTATATTTTAAGCCTTGTTTCTCTATTGTGTTGAAAAATACTGAAAAATAAATGGTTAGGTACTGCTTCAGGATTATTGAATTTATTGACAAGCATAAAAAAGGCGAACCTTCTACTTTTTATAACCGTAAATGTAATATATTGAATTAATAAACCAAATTACAAATCTAAGCTATAAAATTAAGATCAGATAGAAAAATTGGTTTGTTTTTAGTGTAAGTGTAGATTCAACTTTACCCAAGCTTTTTATTTACCGCTTTTCTGACTTTTACAGGGTTTACGACTATTTCGTCTGGTGGAATACATAGTACCGAGGGTGCCGCAAATACACACAACTCGTGTGTAACATCTACCCCCAATTCTTTAAATGAGGTAAAAGGGTCTATATAGCCTTGAAAAATGTCAAAACCGTTTATATCATAGCCACAGAGTCCAATTTAATATATTTTTATTACCATTTCATACGCATAGCCATTGTAAAACCTAACTATAAAACATTCTTTTTTATTAGATGTTTCTCATTTGTCACTCAATAACATATGCGCACCGGAAGTTCAATAAGGTCAATACCCAGTTTGAATGTATTTGTAACTGGCATTTTTAACTTGAAAAATGTATGCACTGTAGAATTTTTGTTTGAATCAATATTTAAAGTTGGCATAGTTATAGTGTCTTTTTTATTTGTGTACCTGAGCGCGTATTTGTCTTTGTATTTGTCTTTGTCACAATATTTTGTTACAATACATTCAAGTAAACTGCGGAGTCTCGAGATCAAAGAAACACGCAACGTATTTTTGTCTGATTCTTTCTTTTCACCCAAAGGATTAGTGATTAAAAGAAAAAACCACTTGATTACCGTCCGACATTTTGTTAAAACTTTAAGAGAAATAAGTTAAAGCAAGCAATATAATAACCGGTTAAAGAGTAATATCAAAACTAAATAGCAAGGAAAAAGAGAGAAAAATGGTATTATTCAATTGAAAATTTTTCAAGAGCTATTTTTTGCACATTTTTCATTTTGTATGCGCACATACTATTAAATAAATAACTTTTCAAGGCTTGCCTACTGTTTCTTTTTATTAAAAAAGCCAAGATTTAATAAAAGACATGGCTTTGTTTTTTATTAATACACTTTTTACAGTTGCTGCAAAGCAATAGCTTGGTAAGCAAAAATTGGATTAGAGCACTAAAAAATTATTAAATATAATGCAGTGTCCATAATTTTTTATTGCAAGAATTTGTTAGCATCCGCGCATTTACAGACACATTGTCAGATTATAAGTATTATTTGGGATGAGAAAAATTAAATGGTTATTTTTAAAGCTTTCATATTTATTGACCAAACACTCTTGTATTGGTTTCAATAAACAAAGCAAAAATAAAGGTAAAATTAATAAACAAAATTGTACTTGCGTCAGCTGAGCTCAAATAAATAGAGCCATGCTGCAGTAAAATGGGCATATAAGACTTCCGCCTTTTCATTACAAATTATTTTGTTTTCTATTTTAATTTATTATACAATAATGTATCAAGCAAACGACTGAATGCACATAAAAAATAAAGAACAGCTACTTTCCATTTTAGGAAGCGGACAAAACAATATATTGCTAGAGCAAAAAAAGGAAAAGCTCGCAAATTTACATTTTTTATTTTGTTGCGCAAATCATAAAATGAAATGTGTTTCGTGCAGCTAGTATCCACCCCTCCCATCTCCACTTGCAATTATTTTTTGTTTTGCCTACTATTTCTGCTTATTATTGTTGCTGATAGTGTTGTCTCAAGGTAAAAATTATAAAGGAGAAAAGGAAAAAAGGAAAAAGGGAAAGCCCCATATGACTATTGGCATGCCTAAAAGCTGCAGCAATGGCAACAGCAAATTTAAGTCCAAGACACCTACTGACAAATGGAAATTCATAATTGTCGACATTTTGCCATCTTTCATCAATGAAGGCAGCAGGCCCAAGACGCCAACATCCAAGACAGCTACTAAATATAATAATTATTTTGTCTTCAACTTTTTACCATCTTAAAAACAAGTCCATAACCAGCAAGTTCACCAAAAAGTGACCTGTTCATTATAATGACATGACAACTTGAAAACACAAGTTTGACTATGCCAAACAAAAAAGTTCAATTCCAACGCAGCATTCGATACCAGCACGTATTCGGTTTATTTGTCACTGTTTGTCATGTACACGATAAACTGGACCTCATTCAGCTACATTAACCATGTTTTTATGAGAGGTGTGAGTAATCGCTACTGTGGTAGCGTTAGAAATATGGGGTGTTTTTATAAATGAGGTTTAGTAATAATGTTTCTAAAGTGCTACCAGCGCCGGCCTCATCTTATATATGTGCCTCGTCGCCTTTGTTGCGCACTCCGCCAGTTGTGCATTCCGTTGGCAAGAAACTGGTTCTTCTGCAAGTAGCCTGGGCTTCTTGACATGTCAATGTTGTGGTATTCGCGTGTGTCCGCTCATTCGCATGCATGGGAAAACGGACAGTGTGTCTGGATGTCAACAATATCGTCACCTGCTTTGATCCCCCATAATCTAGTCCATATTCGATCTATTAGCATGCGAATGGAAATCTGTTTCAAGATTCTCAACCTCATCATCCGTTTCCATGTCCATGGGCTGCGCAACAATGTTAATTATAATAATGCCAAATAAAATTGTGTGCTTTTTCTAGTATAGAAAATATGGTTATAATATACTTGTGCTTATTATTATTATCTGTTGACATGGCCTGGTATGTTATGGCATGTTATATTGCTGAGAACCTCACAGGGGGTTGCGACCTGGACCATTGACTTGTGCTGAGACCTACAGGCATACACAGATGCATCAAACAGATGCAGGACATCACCTGATGCCCTGATCCAATCACGTCGATTGTGAAGCCACGTGGTGTTTATGATTGAACCTGTTTTTGCCAGATCCTGATGACAGTAGAAATTGAAGCAATTTCGAGGTGCATCAAAATACCATTTGTTTTACTATTGTAACTTGTTTTAATGTTTGTATACATATGTGCAGCACAAGGTATGCCGCACACTTGTCATAGTTTAGTTTCGATATATACTAAGGTGTCCCCGCCATGAGGACGAGAACACTTTGGTTTTCTAATATACTTCATCTCTATTATAGCAGCGTTTACTGGTAGCTGTCTGGCTTGTCTTTTTATTGGCCCCCATTTGGCCAGGTTTACAACAATAGTAAGACTTAAAATGCGTGCGTGTGTCATGTCTTTACAAATATTTGCTTTTAAATACCAACCTTTTTGTTAACCGATGGATTGTAGCAAGTATAAAATGTCATATATTTTGGCCAACTACTTTAAAGACTTTTAATGTGCCACCTAATTTATAAGTTAAAGATGGCTGTCGAGAAAAGATCGAGTGTCATACATACATGACGCTGGTATTATTCAAAGAAAAATAATAACATTTATTAAATCCAATCCTGTATTTGTAAGAGCTACACAAAATGACACCACTTTGAATTATTGACACCAAAAAGCAATTCACCCTTTTTGTGCATGTCTTTATGAAAACGTACGGTTGATTAATGGTTCAACCACTGGGTATCATTATTCTTACTCGATAAACTATTCAAAACATTATAAAAGTGGTTGCATCCAGTATTCAAAGCATGACTATCAGCATATTTGTACAAATTAGCAATTTTTATTTTTCAAAAAAGAAAAAATAGAATTAAAAAGCAATGGTTCCAGCCTGCACTTTCAAGAACATGGTTTTATATCTCGACGACTCGGTCTTGAGCATAATGTGCCCCGCATGCATGAAATACTTTTCTGTGTTGCAGTTTCAAATCCATCAGTACATGAGAAGTTGCAGTCGATAATTAACGAGGTACTACATTAAAAAACCCTGATCATGCAATGCAATAATACGCACATCTGACTACAGGCAGGAGAACGCATATCTTGGTGGTCACTTGAAAACAACAAAAAGTCGGTACACATTCACATTGTTTGTGTATCTACTCTTGGGACTAATAGAAAAACATTCATATATACCTTTTTTCTTCCATATACTACTCAATAGATATACACACATATTATTATATAGTTTAGCAATGATTGAGCAACATAGTGACTATGCGCATAAACCTTGGGATTACTTTACAGGATTCTTCAAATGCCCCAACTGCGCAGCAACCGTCAACACCAAGGGGTTGCTGAAGTTTCACCTTGATAATCTGTGTGGGGCGAATAATACCGACACTGATACCGGCACTGACACAGATAGCGAATAAAGTGTACACGATGACAGAGCCATTGTATTTAAATTTGGGGTTTAAAATTTTCAATATATTTTAATTTAACTCTACTGGGAAAACTGGGAAAAAGGGGAGCTATTGCAGTCAAGTCGGCCTTTCCCACACTCAGTTTAGCCTCCCTTAGTAATTAATCATGCTGCCCACAATTTGGTAGTTTGTATTAAGCACACGTGCTCTGGGCTCCTTTTTTGAAATCGCGCTTTTTCATTAACTTAAAAAATCATTGGCTATTGTGTATTTACAATTTTTATTTTTACCAATTATCAACTCTCTAAATTACTATCCATACCTCCTTGCTGACTGATAATGAGCACTGTTGATATATGCGAGGTTGGCGGTCGTCGATATCGAGTGCGCACTGCCCTGAGTGGCGGTAGCTCTGATGCATCTATTGATTTGCGAAGCAAGAGTCATAATGCCAGGAACACAGCAGCAGATACCGGGAAATCGCTACGCCAGGACATACCCGTGCCGCGCCAGCTGCACAAATACCTTGTAGGCAGCCAGAGTGCAACCCTGCTCAGATTGCGCCAGGAATCGCAGGCCAAAATTACTATTCCCAATGAGCGCTCAAAGAGCGACACAGTTCAAGTAGAAGGGCTGCCCGAAGAACTGGCCAAGGCAGAGGAGCTCATTGTGCAAATCATAAAGGAGAACCTGCACAGAATCCCGTACACGCATTTTATCTCGTTGCCTATTTCGGATATCGACGTGCAGAGAAAAGTGAAACTTTTCCAAGCGGATGTGGCGCGGGAGTTTTTGCGTGATGTCGACTGCAGGACCTTCACCGACCCTGAGTCACTGCACATCACTATCGGTATGCTACGGTTACTGACACCCAAGGAAATAGCTGGTGCTGTGGAGCTTCTAAAGTCGCTACAGAAGCAGATCAGCGATGAGTTAAGTGCTCGCCCGCTGGTCATTAAAGTGGGTCAGCCTAAATGCATGGAGTCGAACGCGAAAATGGCCAGGGTCATCCATGCCCAGGCAGGGGATTTTGCAGATGATGGTAGACTGCGGCGTCTGTGCGAGTTTGTTCGCGCGGCATTTGACCAGGCCGGGTACATCGACGACAAACGCACCCTGAAGATTCATATCACTGTGCTTAAGGCCAAGGAGGCAGCCGAGTGCGCGGACAACGCTGGTTGTGCTGGTAAACGCGCGTGTGGGACGATTAATGCCGCGCCGTTGTTGAAAAAATTCGGCGGTGCGGACTTTGGTATTTGTCGCGTTGGCCAGATTCAGATAGCAAAGCGTTTCCAGCACACCGATGCTGGTGCTTACGATAACGAGGGCTTTGTTTTGCTTCCCTGATTTTTCCTTTTTAAATTATATTGGATTCGCTTGATATAAATGGAACAATCCTCTTCCTAGCTCATGTGCGGACCACCCTTACAAAGGAGAGCTACGCGCTAGTTTTTAATTTATGTATTAAAATAGGTACAGATGATGTAAATTTTTTCCTTCAAAAGAAGCAAACCACTTTTGAATTTTCCCTTTCTCGATTCCTGTTTGATAACATTTTATTGCCGGGCAATCGCTTGGATTTCCCCCCTTTTCAATAAAACTATGCTAAAGAAAACATCACGCAAAGGAATTGAATCAGGGCACATCATTTGTGTTGTTTCTCTGTTGATGCTTTTTTCACTTTCTCTCTATTTTCTTTTTTATTCTTGTTGTGACTTTAATTATCATCTTTATTATTTATTTCTCTTGCGACCGTTTTCCCGACTTTTAACAACAAACTTTAATCCGCCTAATTATCCACGCCTACTCATCCCAGCGACCACAATAACAAAAACCACACTCATCAAGCTCACCTTCTTTCACCCACTTACTCCCTTACTTCCACTCACTCACTCACTCGCTCACTTGCTCACTCACAACAACTAACATATATTAAGGCAAAGCTAACTCGGTATCACTAAAAAATGTACAGGAAAAACGTGTATTCCATACCTGTACTCAATGCTCCCGATATTAAAAACGAGACAATAGTAAGTTTAAATATTCCACTTTTTGATCGCTAAATATGATGCACAAATAAAGCTGGTCTGCCCTTATACTAAAAATACAAAAAAAACTGCATTTGTTGACTTTATTTTGCAATATAGCCCGTTCTGAATCGCAATGCCACCGAGGGAAAGCTTCTCTTTGGAGCTGACAACATTACCACAGTGTACGAAAACTTTTTGCATGGCATGAAGACAGCAGGAGGGCGTAAGTACAGCGCGAAAAACAACTCACATTCGCTTTTTCTTGTATTTGTTACTAACCGAAGTCTTTGTAAATATAAAACATTTAATGCATTGGTCATGCACGAGCGCAAAAATACATATATAAAAAATCCGCCGACCTTATGCACGCCGATGCACGGCCAACATCCTTTTACTGATATAAAATCAACACAAGAAACAATTCTTACCCAATTCCTTAATATCATTTTTCCTCTCCGTCAAATTTTGTTTTTATAGCGGATGAACCAGTGTTCGGGCAACGAGAATCAGGCGGACGGCCAGGGGCGCTGAATGAATTTAAATGGGTAACATACGGCGAATTCCACGAGCGGTTTCAAAGTCTCGCTCGTGGGTTCCAGGGACTCGGTTTGCAGCCCGGAGACACCGTAGGTATATTCTCAGGAAACCGGCTCGAGTGGCCATTGGTCGAATACGCGACATACTATCACGGTTACATCTCAGTGGCCATATACGAGAGCGTGAGCAGGCCGCAGGCCATGTACATCATCAACCTGACAGAGCTGACGACGGTTTTTGCCTCGCTGGTGTGCGCTAAAAAGCTGATAGAGATGCGCACACAGATCCCAAAGGTGAAGAACGTCGTGCTGATGGAGCCGCCACCACAGGATTTGGTGGACAAGTTGATCGAAAACGGGCTTTCAGTTTTTAATTTGTCTGATGTCGAGGCGTATGGACGCGATGGCGAGGAGGAGCCGTTCAAAAAGCCGACATATGATGATGTGGCAACGATTGTGTTCACGTCGGGGACAACAGATATGCCCAAGGGCGTTATTCTTACGCACGGCAACATTGTGTCGTCGGTGGCCGGAACCAACTACGTGATGGACCAGAAGGACTTGGCGCGCATGGGTCCTAAGGACTGCGGCGTCAGCATTATTCCGCTCTCGCACATATTGGGCCGCCTGGTCATGCACTCGATGGTCGCCACCGGGTGCAAAACAGCGTTTCCGCGCACGACGCCTGAGCACATGCTCGAGGACATGAGCGAGCTCAGGCCAACAGTGATCATCGGCGTGCCTAAATTTATCAATCGCGTGCAGGACAAGGCCATGGCGGGGATTAAGGGGAAGAGCGGGCTGGCTGGGTCTATTTTCCGTCATGCGGTCAAGGCCAAGCTGCGCAATATCAAGCATGGCCAGAGCGGACATTGGCTGTGGGACCACGTTATTTTCAAGCCATTGAGCGAGACGCTGGGCGGCCGCGTCAAACTGATTATCTCAGGCACGTCGTCTATATCGCATGAGGCCATGGCGTTCATAAAGTGCACGTTCTCCTGCGACGTCAACGAGGGCTACGGGCTTACAGAGACCTGCGGGCCTGTCAGCATTTCGACACACGATGACAATTCGGCAGGGTGCGTGGGCACGCCATATCCGACAAACATGGTCAAACTGGTTAGCGTCAAGGAGCTCGGATACACGGTTGATGACAAGCCGTATCCGCGTGGCGAGATCCTGGTGCGCGGCGCCAATGTGTTTCGCGGATACTACCGGCAGCCCGAGCTCACCACCGAAGTGCTCTCTCCCGATGGGTGGTTCCGCACTGGCGACCTGGGCATGTTTGACAATCTGGGTCGGCTCAAGGTCATCGACCGCAAGTGCAACATATTCAAGCTTAACACTGGACATCAGATTGAACCCGAGCGCTTGGAGTACATTTACTGCGACTGCGATCTGGTCACCCAGGCGTTTTTGTATGGGGACAGTGACCATGGGTTTTTGGTGGCCATTGTAGTTTTGGACCCGGAGTTCCTCAAGATCTTTTTGACCAAAAAAAAGATTATCAAGGAGGGCTCGGAGCCGCCGCATCACCAGATGCTCTGCATTGATACGATGGTGCGCAGCGCGGTGATGAGCGAGATCAACAACCACGGGATTGAGCAGGACCTCAGTTACTACGAGCTCATTAGCAACGTGTATCTCGAGCCCTATGGCATGGACGTGTATGGATTGCTGACGCCGACGCTGAAGATTAAGCGCTACGAGGCTATTCGCCATTACCAGGTCACCATCAATCGGTTGTACGAGGAGGTCGGCAGCACTGTCAAGGACCAGAGCCAGATGGCTAATATTACCAACTGGAAACTCAACAAGCCGTCGTCCAAGATGTTTTGAAATAAAAAATTATATGCATGCTCGCTCTTAAAAATTGTATATTTAGACTTTTGCGCTCATTGTGCAACTCATTAGTAAACGGAAACATATTCCTGAATGTGTGTATCAACTCAAAAAAAGCTTTGTGGTGTTGTCAGCTGTGCGAGGGTCTTAGCTTTATTTTCAGTTCTTGGACGGCGTGGCGGCGGTCTCAGCGATGGGTTTGGGTGCCTGCCCAATCTCGTTAAAGAACTTGTTCATCTGATCCTGCGTGTTCTTGTACACGCCATCCATGGTGCCCTGGCAAGAGATAGTAATGACCTTGCCCTGCTTGGCAAACTCATCAATGACCGGCTTACTGTCATTCACGTAGGTCCTGAAGCGCTTCTTGATCGACTCGATATTGTCATCCGACCGGCCGCTGGTCTTGCCACGGTCCAACAGACGCTCGAGCAAGGTGGTCTCGGGGCATTCAAAGTACAAGACCTTCTTAGCCTTGCACACAGTGTCCTCAAAGGCCTTGGCCTGCTCGAGGTTGCGCGGGAACCCGTCAATCAAAAAGCGGTCGCTCTCGGGATGGTCCATCATGGCGTTGCGCAGCAAACCAATGGTGATGACGTGGGGAACAATCAAGCCCTCACGAATATAATGCGCAATGAGCTCGCCGTACTGCGACACAGGCCGCTTCTGCTCCTCGCGGAGCAGGTCGCCGGCAGATAAGTGCACAAAGCCAAAGTCATCAACGAGCTTGGCAGAGTTGGTGCCCTTGCCGGATCCGGGGCCGCCGAGAACAAATACCACAGTTTTTTTCTCAAACGGGAAACTGGCAATCTGCTCATCGGTGTAAGACGCGCTGTCGATTTCAGCCTTTTTCTTGTCGCGCTGTTCCTTTTGGATTGCGTTCCATTCGAAGAATGGCTTGACTATGAGCATGTAGCCGGATCCCAGCAGCGTCATGGAGGCGAAGATAGCGAATGGGTGCATGCCAAAGATAAACCCCTTTTTGCCGCTGCCGCCGCTCTTATTATTGCTGCCTTGGCCCATGGTGAACTGGTTGGGCTTGTTGCCGCCGGTGGGAGTCGTGTATAGGCGCTGTATGGGCTTTGTGGCCACGCGCAAAACTGGTGTGCGCGGAGTCTGCTGCAGCGAGCGGAGCAGAATGTTGGTGCGAGCTGATGCAAACATTGCGAGCAATTCGGGTAAGAAATGGAAAGTTTAACTACGTCAAAGAAATATTGGATTCGTCAAGAAAGAATGAGAGAAAGAATGAGCGGAAATGAGAGAGATTGGGATTCGGACTGGACAAGGTAGGTGGAGTGTATATTTGGAAATAGGAAGGTAAATCTCAATCAGTCGCAACCAAAACACCTACCTGTCTTTGCTTTTGCTTGACCCAAATTGATCGGTGCTTGATCGCCTGATTTGATTTGATTTGACATCAGTGCTCTCGAAACGCACCGCTCAAACCAGAATCCGAAAGTCAAGCTTTGCATCATCACCTGCACATCTTGCGTGCAGAAACAAACTTGTATTCAAACCATGAAGAAAAAAACAGAAAATATAATCGCGCAATATACTTTAGATAGTTCTGACCAAACATTACCCACCCACACCAACCATTTAAGCAGAGTATGCACGCTATTATGAAAGTGTGGCTAAAATCCAACACTTAATTTTAACTCGCTAAATAATATCTAATGTTAATCATTGAGGGCGGCAATTATTTGGGTCACGCCCTATTGCCTCCTGTGAGCTGCAGCAATCTGCTGTCCACTATTTTTGCTCTTTCGTTTTTCAGAATTTGGGTTTGAAAAAATGGTACACTCATTTATTGAAAAAAAAATTGCAACCGGTGCCAGCCAGCCAGTACGCCCACCCGCTTGTTATTTTGCTCGCTTGTCAACTTGCCTGCTGACTATAATATAAATACAAGCCAAAAATAACTAGTATAAAATATTCAAATATATATGAGTAAATTTACTTACCTGAAAGTATGCGTGTTGGTGGTCGATTAAAAATGTATTATCTGAAAAAAGAGAGGAGAAAGAAACGCATTTATTTTATATTTCAGCCGTCTTTGTATTTTGGTTGGTTGCTGATCATCAAAAAAATTGTGATGTCAAAATTAAAATACATCACGTGATAGCGCTGGCGCATATAATCTGATTGTCATGATATTGCATGCACGCTGCGATTTCATAAAGTGAGCTTCTTTAGGGTTATTTGTAGTCTCAATAAAATATACATTTAGTAAACACAGTAAAATTGTTGTTGCGCAGCCTGAGGATATGGAAGTGGATGTTGAAATCGAGAATCGTGAGACAAGCTCCTATCTGCATGCTGATAGATTAAATAATTTTCCGGCATATATTACAGCCAGAGTTTGATAAAAAAATACAATGGCTTGGTCAAAACTTTAGCTGTTCTAAGTATTAACAGCAAAGGAATCAATGGTTATTTGTTTTTGTGTTTACCACGTAGGAGAACAAATAAAAGGGACAAGATGGAAGGTTCCGTCCCTTGTTCTCCTTGTGGAGAAATAAACATATTTTGTCTGTAACTACCACTTGTAACACATATGTCAGTAAAAAAACTCGAGATTGTTTGATGAAATAGTCCACAAACCAACTTTTTAGTACAATTTTATTGTATAATAGCAGAGATATTATACACGCGTAATTGTTTATAATAGGGTCATTAGCATTTGTTAGAAATGTTTATTAAAATATTTAAATTCATAAATCGAATGTAATATAAATATTATTTATTAAGCAATGTAATAAAATATTATAAGCAAGGAAAAATATTTGAATTACATTTTTTCTTAACTTTTTAGCAGCTGACTTTTTATATACACTAGTAAAAATGGTTTTTTTTAGAATTTCCAGACATTTATAACGAAACCAGATTTTGAAAATGCGGGGAAGTGTTCTTCAATTGTTATTGTGTTGAAAAACAATTGAAAAACACTACTATTTGCGTCCATTGAGCGAGTAAAATTATAAAGGTAAAACCGTTTTTATAGTTTTTTATAGAGTGCAATTTATCACGAATGAAACAGGAAAAAGTAGAGAATTATTTTATTTTTATTTTTTGCGACACCATGTATTTATTTTGCGGCATTAAATTTGTACTTTGCAACACATAAATAACTAATAATAATGTTTGCGGCAGCTTTGATCAACATAGACAACAATGATAACAACAATAATTACAACAATAATTACAACAATAATTTAAAATTACAAGATGCACAGCACAGCACAGCCCCTGCCCACAGCCACTTTACCACCGCACCCGCTAGTACCAACAGCTACCATTGCTGGCTATAGTTACAACAGCAACAATACCAAAATCAAAAACAGCAGCAATGGTGTTTGTACACACGCTGTACTAGAAGCAGGTCAACACCAATTTTATTTAATACTGCTTGCCACTCCTGGGTAATATCATGAGCAAGCAGTTTTTACAGGTTATCATATGCCATCTTGCCGACTGGACATGCAATGAAAACCACATGACTGACGCTGTAAAGGATATAAATGAATGTTGCCAAGCGATCAGTAATTGGCAAAAAAAATATCTGATATATAAATAAATAAAGCATATTTATATTTACCATTATTATAATATCTTGGCACCAAAACGCAAAAAAGCTACGTTTTCTATTTGCAGCTTTGTGCTTTGCCTTTGTGGCGTTATACATTTGAAAAGGGCGTGGAATCTGTGCAAAACAAATAACTTTGGATTTTGTAACTATGGTTTTTTAACCCTCTTATAAAGCTTAAAATTTACAGAATACACCCAGATGCTTTTACATGAAATAATTATTTGTAACTCAAAAGGCTTGGTTTTACGTGAAAGGTATGTAAAGACATTAATGCTGACTTTAAAAAAGTAAAAATAGATACATTTGTTTTTTTAAAATACAAAAAATATTTTTATTATATCATTTATAAAGCTAAAAAGATTAAACAAGTATTTATTTTAAAAAATAATGCGTGTAAAAATAAAGCACACATAAAAAGTTGTTTTACAAATAAAATACACATATATAAGAGTGCAGTAGCATTACATATTATTACATATTATTAGAAGCAGTTTTATATTTTACATTTTTGCATCTTTCACCCTCTATTTTCAAATCAACTCGATCAATTTTTATTTTTATTATGCCCATTAGCATAGAGGCACTCCTTGGCATCTGCAAAATGCATCGTTCCTATTTCCTTCCAGTTATGCGCAAGCAGGTTGTTGCCGTTTATCATGTTATCTCAGCCACATACGAGCTCGCGCAGTATATCTTTTTACAAGAGCTGGATAACGAGGGGTTTAATATTGTCAGCCATTTAAACCAAGGTTTTTTAAGGAGTGTTTTATCGCCCTTTGTCTCACTGCCGGAAAAGAGCCGTGCAGCAAAAACCTGAAAACTGCAAACAGCATACTTGTCAACAGGCACAGGTACACGTTCATCAAGGAGACTACGTTTAAGTGCCCGGAGCTTATTAATGCAGCCGGCGTTGCTAATTATGAGGGACTGACTATTCTGGCCGCGTATAAATCTCATATATCTCAACGCTTTAACAGGTGGTTGAAACACTTAGTCGAGGTCACGCTTGACGTAAAGAAAGGGGCTGGGCAGTGACACGCGATACATAAGAAGGGGGCAGCCACACTGAAAAGGAAATAAAACAGCGGATTAACAATGAAATCAGAATTCCAGCGGGCAAGATGAAGTGGGCTCTGGTGTCTGCTAAGACCAACAAAGCCGGGAAGCAACCTGACACCAGTCACATTTTAGATCCTGTTTGTCGCAACGGGATGGCGCGCTTAATTGAGAGGATCTTTGGCACACGCTCCAAAGACTACAGCTTCGGCGACAAGGGATTAAAGTACGACTCTGTGACCAATACGGTTAAGCACATTGGGGCCTTTGTTAAAATTTTTCGGCTTTTAAATCTCAACAAATGTGTGCGCTCGATTTCCTTTTTTCCGATGAGAACATCAGTTGTACCAGGGTTTACTACAATCGACAAGACCATCCTTACATGGTGTATTCTGTCTGTCACAACGAGCCAACTCGAAGCGCTGCATAAGGATAAACTTTTCCTGGATATTGAGCTCCCCAAAATTATATCTCAGACAGAGCTCAGTGACAAGTTGTCCGGGGAAGTTTGGTCCCTAGTTTGTGATATATCTTGTTGGCCGTTTTTGCTCGATTTTTAAGGTCGGCAAACCACACAAATTCGGGGGATTATTCGTACTGATGGCGGTTCAATAATCGTATTACTTGACTCAACTGCAAACACAGACTAAGAAGATCAAGGCCAAGAGGATAAAGGCCAAGAATATTTCATGGTCTCAGGTTCTGGAGACACTGACAACAGCGACAACGATAGAACTGGCATAGGCACCAGGAACAAAAACAGCAACAGCAACAGCAATGGTATACCTCGCAGTAAAAAGGCTTTTCCTCCCGATTACATTGATACTTTGCCAAAAACGACATTCATGGTATTGTTGGTAAAATAGTTCTTTGTGATTTAGGTCGCAGGGGTATGTTATATTGTCTGGGATATAAAAGCAGCTACAAAATGGGTGAGTTATTTTCCATTATATCAAGAATTCAGAGGCTAATAATCCTTGTGAACGTGTGTTTTGACGGATCCATGAAAATGCAAAAAAGGCATTCCAGCTTGACCCCGCAAAGCTCTCCAAGGCGGAAATAAATGGTTGGTATACGTCCGTTGAGGATGCCGAGCGCGCGCTCAACCACCCTGGCTTCAATACACTTAATTTCAAGTTATATTTTGAGTACCTCCTTGAGCGCCGAAAGGGATATTTTGTTTTGGCAGAACATTATCACAACATGCAAACCCTCAGCAAGAGTTGGAAATATGACGGCAGCAGCTCAACTACCCCTTGCGGTGCAAGATCCACTATCTTTTTTTTAACAGAAAGCGTGCCGACGTTGAACTCGCAAAACCTTTACGTGCAAAATTTGGGCCAGATCCAGTCCCTATTCTTGGTAATTGGGCCCAGGCATGGCCCGTTACCATGAGCCAATCCGTGGCAAGGGGCTGCAGGAGATGCTAATAGGCCAGGGATTCACTGTTTACTTGATCGACGAGTATTGCACCTCAACGTTTTCCCCAGCATGTGAGAGCAGGATGGAGAAATTTCACAAAATTGATGATCCTCATCTGCAGGATCCCAAAAACAAGTACCATGTCGCAATGGCGGCAGCAGCATCTAACTTTGTCACAGCCTCAACAAACACCGCTGCTAATTCCGTTGCAGCAGCAACATCATTCAATTGCGTCGCAGCTGCAACCACTTCAGCCACTGCGTCTATCATAGCAGCCACCGCCATTTCTGTTGCAACTAAAACTGCTGCCAACGCCACATCTGTTGTTAACAGTGCGCAGCAGAGTCACAACCAGCGGGTGTCTATTTGCCCACAGTCTGCCGATATCATCCGGTTGATAGGGGAGGAAAAGGGCTGGTCTAAGCGCAACATTTCCCGCAAAATTAAGCAGCAGCTGGGGGATGAGCTGGCTGAGCGGAATCGGAAGCACTGCGTCAATATCCAGCTCGCTGATAATCCCAAACGCTTTTTCAGGCTGAGCGGCTGGTCGCGGGGCAAAATTGAGCGCAAAATCAGACAGAGGGTGCGCGACAAGTTGGCCGCGCAGCAGCAAAAGCAGTAGAATGATCACCAGCAGCAGCAGGTAGCCGCAACAGGCATAAATATAATTCCGGCGGTAGAAAAACCTCGCCAAATGCTATGCCATGGCTTGCTCCAGTGCGCAATGGAAAACTGCTTGCAAGCCTTTGGGGCCGACGGAACCAAGATCAAGGGTGGCGAAAAAGTGACATCAGGCAGGCGGAAGTGGAATAATTGTGACATGGCTGCAGTGTTGAACCTTCGCATCACTCTTAATGTCCTGCTTAAAGGCAATCATCCTCCCCGTTTCTTGCGCAAAAAGGCATCAGAGTCGGCTAAATCCGAGTGTACAGCGACACCCGAGACTTTGCTCAAGCCAAAGGCCAAGAAGACCAAGCGTGTGCGCAAGAATCCATCTTCCCTTACTTCTTCTCTTCAAAAGAAGCAATGAACTGATTAATATCGTCAACCATAGTGGTCTATTGCCACTAGTTTCTAAACACTATGGGGAAGGGTGTCGGTTTATAGTATATTTGTAGCCTCATTATTTTCTTATAGTATACCACACACATACACACAATGCCATTGCTTCTTTTTTTGCACTATTTTCTCTTTGAGCAATTTGGTAATCCCTTCAATGCCCCGATTTCTCGCTTTGTCTTTATCAGAAAATCCATTTTTTGCCTTCATTCAGAATGTGCAAGTGGTGTGTATTTTATGCTTATTTTTATACACTTGACATATTTTTCTTGACTCGCATGGATTAATATCACCCATTTTATCTATCGGCATCGGTGCTGGACTTTGCCCCGTTTATTTTTTCTTCGCTTTTCTTCACACTCTGCCCTCTACAGTTTTACTTTATCGATATTTTTCTTACTTTTTTTGTACTCTAGGCTCTCAAACGAAAAGACTGCAGTCCTCTTCCTTACCCCCTTTTCTCTCTCTTATTCTCTCCCACCACCTCCAATCGTTTTTAATCCAGGTCACTAACGATGACGACTTATAACAGCCGCAGCAGCGTCAACAGCACCTTAAGCACTTTCAGCGCCAGCACCAAATTGTGCGGGATAGAGCTTCCGGGGGCGCCAAGCATCCCTGGCGAAACCAAACCCTACATCAACCACATAATCACAGACGGAAAACTGATAACGCACATAAACGGCATCAACTCGATGTACGACAACTTCCTCCGTGGCCGCTCGATCGCCGGCCGCAACTCGCCGATTTTTGGAACCCGTCCAGTCATCGACGGCATGGGCAACGTCGGCGGGTACCGGTGGGTGACCTGGGATCTGTTCCACGAACGGTTTATCAATTTTGCGTCGGGCCTGCGCAAGCTTGGACTACAGCAGGGCGAGACTATCGGAATTTTCCTCGCCAACAGTATCGAATGGGTACTTACCGAGCAGGCATCTTACTACCACCGAATCGTGTCTGTACCGCTGTACGATTCATTGAGCCAGAGTGCCCTGACACATGTTATTACTGAGGCCGAGATCAGTGTCGTTGTGTGCACGAGCAGCAATGCGCGGCTGCTGCTCGAAATGTCCGAATCCATCCCTTTTCTCCAGGCGCTTATTGTCGTTGACACGTTTGGAAGTGATTTGGTGCAGATGGGCGAGACGCGCGGCATCAGCGTCCGACTATTCCGGCAGGTCGAGGATTCCGGCGCCAAACAGGCTGTTGAGCCGGAGGTGCTGCCGGGCCCACAGGACATTGCCACCATTGTGTACACCTCGGGCACCGTCGGTATCCCCAAGGGTGTGGTTCTGACGCACGCCAACATGCTAGCCACCATTGCTGCGACCACAGCCATGAGCGAAGAAGGCGACATGTACAACTTTACGCCCAAGGACTGCTCCATAGGTTTTCTCCCCCTGGCGCATTGCCTCGGGCGAATGGTTCTACATATGATGATATCCTTTGGGGTCAAGACGGCGTTCCCGCGCAACAACCCCGCCACGCTTGTTGAGGATCTGCGCGACTTGCAGCCCACGATATTTGTCGGCGTGCCGCGCATATTCAGCCGCATTCAGGACCGCGTCCTGTCGACAGTCAAGGTGAAGGGTGGGTTGCCGTCGGCTCTGTTCCATTACGCTTACAGTACGAAGAAGAATAACTTGGTCCGTGGTCAGGTCAACCATTGGCTGTGGGACCGCGTGATATTCAAGCCCCTAAGAGAAAAATTTGGCGGAAAGCTCAAACTCATTGTCTCTGGCTCAGCGCCTATTTCTCCCGAGACTCTCGAGTTCTTGCGCTGCTGCTTCTCATGCAGCGTCATCGAGGGCTATGGATTGTCCGAGACCATGGGACCGTCTTCTGTGACCCTGACCGACGACATTGAGCCCGGAAATGTTGGCGCTCCGATCCCTTGTGTCATGATGAAGCTGCGCAGCGTGCCCAATCTCGGATACAATGTCGAGGATATGCCAAGGCCTCGAGGAGAAATTCTGGTCAAGGGTGCCAATGTGGCGAGTGAGTACCTTAAGCAGCCGGAGAAGACTCGCGATGCATTCATCGACGGCGGGTGGCTGTGCACCGGCGACATTGGCACGGTCGACGAGCGCGGGAGATTCCACATTATCGACCGCAAAAACAACTTGTTCAAACTGGCCCAGGGCGAGTTTATCGCGCCCGAAAAGATTGAGAATGTCTGCATGGACCACTTTGTCGTTGAGCAGGCATATATCTACGGCGACCCACTGAAGAATGCGCTGGTCGCCGTTGTCGTTCCAGACAAGGACTTACTCATTTCGTTTTTAAAAAGCAAGGGTACCGTGCCGTCCGTGGATAAGCTCAGCTTTGAGGACCTGTGTCAGGACTTGAGAGTCCGTAGAGCTGTTATTGATGAGCTGGCTGTTTGGGGCAAGGCGCATGATCTGTGTGGATTCGAAATTCCTAAAAACATTTTTTTGCATCCAGTGTCGTTTGAAAAGCTCGATCTGCTTACTCCTACGTTCAAGCTCAAACGCCAGGATGCAAAGGCTCATTTTGATGCCATATTGAGCAAACTATACGTCGATATGGCTTAATTATGCTTTTTTGTACATGTATATTTAATGATAAGTAATATTTTCTTGTCATTTATAAAATATAGAAATATTAAAATTCCAATAATTTGAAGCGGCTACGCAGCAATAATATTGCCATTTTTGTTTAATCCGATAGCGACTGTCAGAACAGGGATATCGTTTGCACCAATTTTAATATGACCAGGAAGGCGACTATGCCCCGCGCAATCAAAAATGACCCAAGTATCCAGTACCAAGACACGGCCATTAATCGAGAACACGATGTCTTGGACCTCCCCAAATGGCTTTAACGCAGCATTAATGTCGCGAGCTATGGTTGCAAAAGGCGCTAGATCTAGCTCCTTCAATATTACGACAACAAAGAAGGACTTGGACTATGCGCTTAAATTGAGCCGCCTTATCCTTTATCCCAAAAGAACTGGTAACAAATCCGGCCATAACATCAGCCGATTGGAACGACACAATCGCATAATCGCAATTTTCGGGAAAAGTGAGAAACGCTGTGGATAAAAAGTTAACCATATTAATGGCTGCAATCACATCATTGTCAGTTTTATCTTCATCAATAGAGCATACCAGACTGTTTTGGCTAGGATAATCGAGCATTAATAAAGATGGCTTGTCAAATTTGACCTTGTTGCCAGCAAGCATATTAAAAATGCTAAAGTACTTGAAAGAAGGGACGGTAGGACCAACATTCTCACGTCCAACTTTTCGAGCGCTCGGCGGAACGTACTGGGAATATTTATGCAAATGCTTTGTATGTTTTATTCCAAATATACTATTTATATCGTATAGGAAATCAGCCGAAGTACACTTGGGCATTGTAAATCAATTGAGAATGCTGGCTGTTGTCGACATGTTGAGTGTGAAAAGATATGGTGTGTTGTAAATAAATAAAAAAAACTTGGTGTGCCCACCAGAAACGCAGTTATTTAAATACTTCCGCACAAACCAGAAATAACATTTTTCAAAAAATAAAGTATTTGATGTGCCTTTCACGCAAATTATATCAATCATATTTAAAATATCTTTATCTGCATATGATACAAATGTGTGGTCGAATGCTAAAATAATTGGCCAAAAGAGAAATTCAATTTAGAGATTTGTATTAACAAAAGTCCAAAATTATAATTAAACGCAAATGACAGACAAGGCTGGCCTAAGTCATCAATATATCTACGAAAAAAACTGAAATTCAGTACCTCCAGATCTTTTCTGGTAACTCAATATCGATCCTGGCGAGCTTTGTGCCAATCTTGATCGAGCCCAGCAGCGGACCAATGTTAGCACAATCAATGAGAACGCGAACTTCTGATACCAAAACCCGATTTATTGTTGAAAACACAATGTCGATGATTGTGCCATAAGGCTTGAGAGCCGTCTCGATTGCGTGAGCCATGGCAGGAAAGGGTGCTGGTTCTAACCCTGACAATGTCAGAATAATGTAGGAAGACTTGAATTCAACGAGCCGCCTGAAAGTTATGGATTTGTTATTAAAAACAAGTGGACTAGAAACAAATGCGGACATATACTCAGCAGACTTGAAAGAAACAAAAACATCTTTGGCGTTTTGAGTGACGCTGACAGGTACTGTGGTTCTGAAGGCCAATGCTACAGCTGCATTTATGTCTGGGTCTACAACAAACGTTAAGCTGTGCTGACTGGGCGGCTTGGACATTATTTTAACTGGATGCTCGTCAAAGTTGACGTCATTTCCAGCCAGAGTTCTAAAGACACTAAAGTGTTGGAGGAGTGCTGTACCAGAATTAGAAGTTGTCAACACTGTTGACCAGACTGCGCTTTGAATATTGCTTAATCCAAACATTCTATCCCAGTTCTTGTTCAGAACCGACACAGAGTTGTAAGCCATTACCCATCGAGTCGACAGTTTGACCATTTTTTCTACTTGCGCAAGATATTGTACAAATAAGACCAAGTTGTTAACCAATACTAATTGAGGATAAAGTTTACTTTGCTGCAGGCCGCAATCCACTCGTATTTATGAGCAAGGTTACCCACAAGGAAATTTTCAAATGGAGAAAACAATAACAATATAATACAATATAATTCTGGGTTCACATACCACATATCACGTTGATTGTATCAGTTGAATGATTGATGCTGTTTTTTTTTGCATTTATCGTGTATCGTGAGTCACGTTTAAATGTAGCAAAACTACAGAAAGCGTAGACAAAAATGGAATTCTTGTATAGATATAACAAGCACTAAAATGCGATGCTGATAGAGAGAAAATAGATACATTGTGCAAAATATAAAACAACTGAAAAACACGAACTAAAGTTAATGATTAAGACTGATCGTCTACTGCGCCACCTTGCCTATCATAGACTCCATTGCAAACCTGGATACATGCTCATATAACATAAATTATTCTAGGGGTGGCGTAATTGGGATTTCTCCAGACTTGAGTCTAATCGCCTGGCAGTGGAAGTGTTCGTCAGGGTGTTAGTAAAATTAAAGCCGAGCACTAGATCTGCCAGCTAGAGCGTCGATCGTAGCCAGATAGCTAGTGTGCATATATGCCGTCCTCATTGCTGTTGTCCGTGGTCACTTTGGCAAGCTGTCGTCTTTGTCTTGTCGCGGATTTAGTATTCAGGGCGTTTGTTGAGATTAAAGTTTTCATCAACAATCGATGCTTCTCAGGCGTCAAAGAACCCTTCATTTCCAGTTCAATCTGTAGGTTGCACCACCTCTTGTACTAGTTGTGCTTTTTATCTATAATTTTGTTTACAAACACCATTGCTTGTTTTTGCGCACCTCCCCTTGGGGTTTCTTGACCAGGATTGTGTACCTGTCCTCTGTCAGCTTCCGCCAGCCACGCCTCATATCCAAGTCCAGACTATTGTCCTGGCAATGGGCGTCCACACGCCTCTTATGCTTTTCCAATATGTTATCTGTCGGTTCTGGGTACACCTGGAATCTGTTGACTGTCTCAGCCATGAAATCTGCGGCTGAGTTCCAAATAGTCCAATGAAAGTCCTCTTGTATCAGAATTTCACGCTCCTGTCGTAAACACATAAGCATGTGGCCCTGTGTTTCAATGGTCTGGCAGCCAAGCAACAAGTATATACACATTCCTGGTTCCAGCTATGCGTTAGGTATCATTTTCACTGTCTGTTTGCTACAGCCAGTGGGTGGAGAAGCACCTTTAGTGCAAAGGAGCAACAGATGGAGTATATTGTACTGGTAATGCGCCAGACATTCTTGTGGTGCCAATCGCCTTTGCTATTCACTGCCACATTCATTGTCTGGAAGATAGTGGTGATCGTCGTGGACAAGGTTTTTGGCAGCTGTTTGGGGGCCACAGGCAGTCATGATATCATTGCCATTGCCATTGTAGGTGCTGTTTCTGGTGTCAATACCATTATTTTTGTCCCTTCTGGTGCCTCTGCCAGTTTTGTTGCCAATCTCTCTGTGGGAATAATTACATCCTTAGTGCGCGCCGCTATGATCTGCTCTATCAGCGCCTTACTCATCCAGTTGTCGTCCTGCTGGTGGCAAATCCTGTTTGGTAGGCAAGGCGTGGTAATGCCCCCCCCCCCCACAAAGAGCCGGCATTTTTCCCGTTGACTCTCATCTGAATTGCAGTGGCCAGAGATCCGGCTGTAGGTGGGCTGGATTGGCGGCTTTGGCAGCTTTCTCGTTCTGCTCTGTACCCGTATATCATCATACCCACTGTGTATTGGGCAGCCCCTTGTGAGTCTAGAACCAAGGTAGCACTAGTTGGCCGAGATGTTCTATACCCCGTATGCTAAAAAATTGTCTGCAACTTTGAAAACATAAGTATAAAATATCTTAATTTAATAATACTTAATTAAACATAATGCACAAGCAAAATACACAAATTGCATGGACAACGTGCGCTTCTTTGTAGCTCTTTTTCACAAACACCAGTCGCATAACGAGACTTTTTTAATCAACGAATATCAAGTTTTCTTTAAGCTCAGTTGATGAACGTTCAAAATACTTATGATAGTGTTTTCTCGGGTTTTCATCTTGTTAAACAGATACAAATGTATCTAGTCAATAAATATAGCAATTATGTCTTATTTTTATTATAATTTTCAGAGAAATAATCATAATCAAAAAAGGGGTTTGTAAATGTGTGGATGCTAACTTTTGGAATAATAAATCTTACGTTCACTGCAATAGTTAAAAAGTAGCTGGCTAATCCAATTTTTGCTTACCAAGCTATTGCTTTGCAGGAACTGTAAAAAGTGTATTAATAAAAAACAAAGCCATGTCTTTTATTAAATCTTGGCTTTTTTAATAAAAAAGAAACAGTAGGCAAGCCTTGAAAAGTTATTTATTTAATAGTATGTGCGCATACAAAATGAAAAATGTGCAAGAAATAGCTCTTGAAAAATTTTCAATTGAATAATACCATTTTTCTCTCTTTTTCCTTGCTATTTAGTTTTGATATTACTCTTTAACCGGTTATTATATTGCTTGCTTTAACTTATTTCTTTTAAAGTTTTAACAAAATGTCGGACGGTAATCAAGTGGTTTTTTCTTTCAATCACTAATCCTTTGGGTGAAAAGAAAGAATCAGACAAAAATACGTTGCGTGTTTCTTTGATCTCGAGACTCCGCAGTTTACTTGAATGTATTGTAACAAAATATTGTGACAAAGACAAATACAAAGACAAATACGCGCTCAGGTACACAAATAAAAAAGACACTATAACTATGCCAACTTTAAATATTGATTCAAACAAAAATTCTACAGTGCATACATTTTTCAAGTTAAAAATGCCAGGTACAAATACATTCAAACTGGGTATTGACCTTATTGAACTTCCGGTGCGCATATGTTATTGAGTGACAAATGAGAAACATCTAATAAAAAAGAATGTTTTATAGTTAGGTTTTACAATGACTATGCGTATGAAATGGTAATAAAAATATATTAAATTGGACTCTGTGGCTATGATATAAACGGTTTTGACATTTTTCAAGGCTATATAGACCCTTTTACCTCATTTAAAGAATTGGGGGTAGATGTTACATACGAGTTGTGTGTATTTGCGGCACCCTCAGTACTATGTATTCCACCAGACGAAATAGTCGTAAACCCTGTAAAAGTCAGAAAAGCGGTAAATAAAAAGCTTGGGTAAAGTTGAATCTACACTTACACTAAAAACAAACCAATTTTTCTATCTGATCTTAATTTTATAGCTTAGATTTGTAATTTGGTTTATTAATTCAATATATTACATTTACGGTTATAAAAAGTAGAAGGTTCGCCTTTTTTATGCTTGTCAATAAATTCAATAATCCTGAAGCAGTACCTAACCATTTATTTTTCAGTATTTTTCAACACAATAGAGAAACAAGGCTTAAAATATAGTCAAGCCAGCTTAACTTGTAAAGCGTGTATAATTAGTAGCAGCGCTATTGGGCTGCAAAAAACATTCCTATACGTTTTGAATACAACACAGATGGATACATATATACTTTTGCTAGGCATTTCGGCAGGCAACCTGATAGGGATCATATTCGACAATAAGCTTGTTTGTTTACCTGCAACAACCCTATACAAAACCATGCTTGCACTGGTCTATTGTCAAATTGATTTTACACATTGTATTAATTGTTCTAATTAGCAGTGTTCTGTGCTTGGAGTATATAATTTGTTTTATTTTCATTAGATCGTATACTTTTTTAGATAATTTAGAACCAGCGAGTGAGTTAGTTCACTAAGCATTGGTGAGATGGCCGAGTTGGTCTAAGGCGCCGCGTTAAGGCCGCGGTCTCTCCGGAGGCGTGGGTTCAAATCCCACTCTCATCATTCAATTTTTGTTATTTTTTTGTATAATCAAAAGCTCTAAATGAGCTTGATGGATGCAAATGACTTGGAGTGGGTGGTGTGCGCAAGGGTAAATGCGTAGTGCTTGGCCAAAAGGCTGAACTCCTCCCACTCATCCAGAAATTCTATACGTGCAAGGCGTGACAGCTCCGACTGCGGAATAGCTTTTTTGTGATAGTCCGAGAGGTCGATTGCAGCGGCTGACGCCCATCCACGCGACAAAAACCTGTCACGCGTGCTTTCGAGGCTCGGATACGCCATCAGGCCGCGGAGCTCGAGACCGCGGGCGCGCAGGTTTTCAATCATCATTTGGCCGAACCGGTCACTCGGCAGTATTTGCTCGTAAGTGAGGATGGCGGCATTGGCGACCGATTCGGTGATCCAGTCGATGATAGAGTCCGAGTGCTGGGGGTCAAGATAAATCAGCACACACTCGCTGACAAATAACGTCGGTGCAGAAGTGTCAAAGCCGTGTTCCAAGAGTCGGGGCACAATGTCCTGGGCGAAAAGCCGGAGGTCGCCGGACAGCAGACAGTACTCCTCCGAGTGCAGCTCGCAGCCGCCCGCGGCCACCTTCGTATCTGCAGGCAATAGCCGGCGCATATCTGGCTTTTTGTAAATGGTGGCAGCCTTTTTGGCGTTAATCTCGGCAAAGTCTATTTCAAAGTACCGTTTGGCACGGATACTGTCTTTTGCCAGCAGGAAATAGGACGTGTCGAGGCCGCTGCCCAGAATAACCACCTGGTTTTGTGTCTGCTGCTGCTGCTGCTGGTTTTGGCTGGTGTGGCGGAGAAATTGCCGGAGAGCTTTTTGGACGCCTTGGAAGCGCGTGAAGGTGCCGCGGTTTATCAGGGGTGCGCGCCGTTGTGGGTGCCGGACAAAGTGCTGGATGAAGGGGTCGGCGATGTAGCCGAGGCGCGCGGCTGACTCGCGGCTGATGGCTGCATCGTTGCTGGTCCCCTGGACTAAACGGTCGCTGTCCTCAGGTGCGCTCATTTGAAAAATATATATTTGTTTTTGAAGCGGTAAATGCGAATTGTAAAATAAAAATGACGAAGGACAACGACAACCGATGGTGGATTCAATTGTTTGCGTCGGGGGCTGTGATTTATATATTTTTTAACAAATATATAGCGGGATTAGGGTTTTGAGCACAAAGTTCGGCTGCATGCGATCAGAACCGAAATACTTTTTAGTTTTATCTTTTTCTTGTCTTTTCCGTTCATTACTTTTTTTAAGTATTTTTGAACACACCTCTTATATTTACAAATAACACCAATGAGCGCACGCACAAACAAGATTGTTGTCACTGGCGCTTCGGGACTGCTGGGGCGGCAGGTTATGGCCGAGGCAGAAAAGCGCAGCGAATGGACCGTCGTCGGCACTGCGCTCAGCCGAACCTCTGACAAACTGCAAAAGCTTGATCTCACCAACGAACAAGCAGTGCGCGACTTTCTCGAGCGCGAAAAGCCTCAGGCAATTATCCACTGCGCAGCTGAGCGCCGCCCCGAAGTGGCCGAACGCAACCAGGAAGCAACCGAGCATCTAAACGCCCAAGTGCCCGGTTTACTCGCGCAAATGGCAAAGCAAATAAATGCCTTTTTCGTATACATTTCGACGGACTATGTCTTTGATGGCCGCAACCCACCCTACCATGTGGACGACAAGCCCAACCCGCTGAACTTTTACGGCCGCACTAAGCTTGCTGGCGAAAAGGCCGTTGTGGAGGCTAACCCGGATGCTGTCATTTTGCGTGTGCCTATTTTGTATGGCCGCACGGAGTATTTGGGTGAGAGCGCGGTTAATGTGCTATTGGGTGCTGTTCGGGACTCTGGAAAGCAGACCAAGATTGATGCGTTGCAAGCGAGGTTCCCGACGTGCGTCGACGATGTTGCCCGGGTGCTGCTAGATATTACGAGTATTGGCGTCAGGGCCGTCGGCAAGGGGGTCAAGGGTATTTACCATTTCTCGGCGTTGGAGGAGATGACAAAGTACGATATGTGTCGGGTATTCGCCGATATTCTGGGCATTGCCAATACGGCCCACCTTGTTGCTGTCACGGAGAAGCCAAAGGTGGCCGACGTGTCTCGCCCTGATAACACTCAGCTGTCGAATGCTGCGCTGAATGATATTGGAATCAACACGAGGTGCATGCCATTCAAGCAGTGGTGGACGAAGTACCTAAGCGAGTAGTCTGTGTCATTATTTTTTCTAGATTATGTGTTTAAATTATTTGCTTGTGCCATTATGATTATTTTCCACCATCACCATGTAGGGTGTTCTTGATCTGTTGTGTCGACAATGTGGGCGACAAGCCATCAAAGCCGCCATTTTTTCAAGCTGTCGAAGCGCTATTTTTGTTTATTCATGTTAAAAATAATTATATACACCAAACCCCAACTAAAACAAAATGTAGGAAAACGTTGAAATTGAATTATGAGGTCATCGATTATCGGCATTGCTCCTAATATTGCACTTTTTGTGTCAGTGATTCCAATTTGACCCGGGCAAAGAAAAGCTCACGGGAACGCTTACGTTTTGAACCATTCTAGTCCAAGACAGCTGCCTCATTTACCGCGCACAATGCAATTCCCCAAACTCGGACATCAGCACCAATATCCTCTCAATGGCTATACAAGCAGCGCCGCCACCCAATGCAAGGGGATTATTGTGAACAAAGTGCGAATATAATTATAAAACAATAAAACAAATTGTTGGAATATAGGACGTTCTATGAACGTGTAGATAAAGTATAATGCTATAAGGTATATTTAATAACAAAGTGCTATGTACTGCAAAAGGTAAAGAGAAGAGAGCATATTGCTTTAGTCACTGTGTGGCTTATTGTGTGTGTGGCTAAACAGCTCAGACTGGTTAATCAGTTGATCGCCATCAACCAATAGGTTTCATAGATAGCAATAGAAATAACAACAATAAAACCCATGCTTTGCGTGCTTCAAGCAAGTGGTGTCAAGGCGGCAGCAGCCAGGCGCATCGTCAACACCCCATCATCCACATCAACCGCAAGCCGTCAGCTATTCTTTACAAGCACGATCAGCCGCGAGCAAGATGGGCAAAAGGGGTGTAGCGGCCAGCTGGCCAAGAAGGTTGTGAGGAATCCGCTTATGATGAGCCATGGCTACGCCAAGTCCTGTCCCAAGATTGCGGGCTTGTTCGATTGCTGTCCAAGCAACCCGACTGCTGTCTACAAGGGAGACCTTCCTTGGCTGAGCTGAAAATATATATTTCACCATTTCAAAGCTGAAAGTGGCAAATAATTGATATTGCATTGTACTTTATTGAAGATAAAACCAAGAAACCTATTATAAATGCCTTTGCTACTTTATTGAAAGCAGCGCAACACAAGTAAATGGGCCGAGAAAAGGGTGTTGTATGTGGCAGCATTGCTATTGAAGGCATTGCAAATGCGGTAATTGCCAGGATAGATGAGTCCAATAAATATGTATTAAAAACTAAAAAAAAACTGAGGAAACCTATTGAGCCTTCCCTACTGCCATTTTATAGGCAGCTATAAAATCCTAGCCGCTGCTGCATTAATGTCTGGTCGGCATTGACTTAACTCGCAAGCTCTCGGTCCAGCTGAGCTTGTGGTAAAAAGCACCATGGCGAGTTATAAGATGCAGATACGTGCTCGGGGCTCGTTCTCTTGACTAGCTTGCTCCTTTATGCCAGGGGTTTTTTTTAATTATTACTTCTAAAACAGTCTCGACTTTCTTCCGATGTAGTATGGTTGATTCTGCACCCCGCCACTCCGCAAATGTAGTAGTTTTGTTTGTCTTGGGATTCAGTTGAGCTGAAAATTCTTGAAATGCTGATAGTAAAATGCGCCATTGTTAGAGCTGACTACAAATGTCTGTTTTTGCTGAAGAGGGATGAAAGCTGGGTGTGCTGGATGTGAAGAGTAATGTTGAGAAAATACAAATGGCGGAGCGACTGCACATGTTTTATAGTGTAAGGGTAGCTTGCAAAACATTGCAAATGATGCAATAATGCAAAGATTCAAAACAAGCTGCAGCCAAGCTGCAACCAAGTGCTCGTAAATGTTGAAAAGTGTACCCCAGTACTCACAATTTAAAATACGTGTATTTATCCCTTGGGGCTAATTATTTTACATTGTGCCTTAGCAGATATACTAGTAAATAAAGGAGTACTATGAGCTACATTCTTAGTGAAAGTGCAAAATTATCAGCCAATAATTTTGGGATTTAATTCATAAGACGTCATATAGCTCAAAGGTTGGGCTATGCTTTTGAATACATTCTACTTACTATGTAAATAGGGGTTGTGCACGCAAAGAGTTTGTAAATAAATAAGCCAAATTCAAAGGCAGCTAGCTAGACATTCACAATCATGCATATTAAAATAATAAATAATGTGACTTTGAAACTTTTGTCTCAACATATTAATTAATTCATCTATGACGTATGATTGTGAATGTCTAGCTAGCTGCCTTTGAATTTGGCTTATTTATTTACAAACTCTTTGCGTGCACAACCCCTATTTACATAGTAAGTAGAATGTATTCAAAAGCATAGCCCAACCTTTGAGCTATATGACGTCTTATGAATTAAATCCCAAAATTATTGGCTGATAATTTTGCACTTTCACTAAGAATGTAGCTCATAGTACTCCTTTATTTACTAGTATATCTGCTAAGGCACAATGTAAAATAATTAGCCCCAAGGGATAAATACACGTATTTTAAATTGTGAGTACTGGGGTACACTTTTCAACATTTACGAGCACTTGGTTGCAGCTTGGCTGCAGCTTGTTTTGAATCTTTGCATTATTGCATCATTTGCAATGTTTTGCAAGCTACCCTTACACTATAAAACATGTGCAGTCGCTCCGCCATTTGTATTTTCTCAACATTACTCTTCACATCCAGCACACCCAGCTTTCATCCCTCTTCAGCAAAAACAGACATTTGTAGTCAGCTCTAACAATGGCGCATTTTACTATCAGCATTTCAAGAATTTTCAGCTCAACTGAATCCCAAGACAAACAAAACTACTACATTTGCGGAGTGGCGGGGTGCAGAATCAACCATACTACATCGGAAGAAAGTCGAGACTGTTTTAGAAGTAATAATTAAAAAAAACCCCTGGCATAAAGGAGCAAGCTAGTCAAGAGAACGAGCCCCGAGCACGTATCTGCATCTTATAACTCGCCATGGTGCTTTTTACCACAAGCTCAGCTGGACCGAGAGCTTGCGAGTTAAGTCAATGCCGACCAGACATTAATGCAGCAGCGGCTAGGATTTTATAGCTGCCTATAAAATGGCAGTAGGGAAGGCTCAATAGGTTTCCTCAGTTTTTTTTTAGTTTTTAATACATATTTATTGGACTCATCTATCCTGGCAATTACCGCATTTGCAATGCCTTCAATAGCAATGCTGCCACATACAACACCCTTTTCTCGGCCCATTTACTTGTGTTGCGCTGCTTTCAATAAAGTAGCAAAGGCATTTATAATAGGTTTCTTGGTTTTATCTTCAATAAAGTACAATGCAATATCAATTATTTGCCACTTTCAGCTTTGAAATGGTGAAATATATATTTTCAGCTCAGCCAAGGAAGGTCTCCCTTGTAGACAGCAGTCGGGTTGCTTGGACAGCAATCGAACAAGCCCGCAATCTTGGGACAGGACTTGGCGTAGCCATGGCTCATCATAAGCGGATTCCTCACAACCTTCTTGGCCAGCTGGCCGCTACACCCCTTTTGCCCATCTTGCTCGCGGCTGATCGTGCTTGTAAAGAATAGCTGACGGCTTGCGGTTGATGTGGATGATGGGGTGTTGACGATGCGCCTGGCTGCTGCCGCCTTGACACCACTTGCTTGAAGCACGCAAAGCATGGGTTTTATTGTTGTTATTTCTATTGCTATCTATGAAACCTATTGGTTGATGGCGATCAACTGATTAACCAGTCTGAGCTGTTTAGCCACACACACAATAAATCAAGAAGTTAAAAGACAGCAAGTAAAACCATAAATGTGCGCGTGTGTTTTAATTAAACAAGACAGGGTGTTCAAATAGTGGCAATGCTCATCTTGTGAGTGGGCAGCCTTTAAGAACAACTTTTTCAATAAAAGATAATTGAAAAAGTTGAATGAAAAATACATAAGTATAATAATGGATAATAGATAATAGTGTTATAGTAAGAGGGGGGTGTGAGGAGCACTAGTTGTCCAGTGTTAAAAGGTAGGGGTGATTTTATAAAAGGTTTTATTACTGATGTTTCTAAAGTACTACTAGGGCCGGCCTCATCTTATATATGTGCTCTGTCGCCTTTGTTGTGCACATTGTCAATTGTGCGCTCCGTTGGTGAGAACTGGATCTTCTGCGAGCAGACCGGTATCTTGGCAAGTCAATGTTGTGGTTTTCGTGCGTGTACGCTCATGCGTGTGCATTGCAGAATGGGGAGCATGCTTGGGCATCAATGTAATGCCTTCCTAATTTACGCCTGCGTTATCCAATTAGCGTCGTATCAATTGGCACGCAGGTAGAAACCTGTTTCGCGATTCTCGACCTCAACATCCACTTCTATATCTTCAGTCTGTGCAACAATAGGTAATAAAAGAATAAAGAAAAATGGAAAAATGGAAAACATAACTAGAATTTGTGTGTTGCTATTTTTTTACTTTTTTAGTTTTTATAAATTGAATACCAACAAATAAAACCAATGAGTAATACAGTGTCAAAAAGACAAGTGAAAACAGTTTGAGTTTGAGCACAAGTACGATTGTTATGTTCCAAGAAGATGGGGTGGATAGGAAAACTTTGTATTTTTGAAGAAATAAGGGAAAATAAAAAATGAAGCGAGGGTGGATGTGAGTATGCCTTTATTATTTCAAGGGGTGGCAGCATCTTTTTCTCCGCCTATTTTTGTGCTGCGACGTTTCGTGTTGTTTCGTGAAAATGAACGTTTCGATTTTGAACAAATCTGACCAATGAAAATAATTTAACAATTTGAACCTCAACCTGTTTATTTTTTATATTTTATTTTGTGCGATTCCCAAGGGAAAAATATATATTTGGATTTTTCCATATATTTTACCTAAATGCGGAAGACTCAGAATGCGCGCGTATGGATCCCCAATCACTATTTATTTCCGTTTTTATCATGACGCGTATCTAGAAAAAAGCTGGAAATAGTCTAAATTGATCCTATCTCAGATAGACAGTATTATTTAGCCGTAAAATTTGTCTTTTATCCCGCTATTTGTTATATTACTCCCCAAGCAGGGCTCAGCAGCAGTAGCAGAAACAATAACAATATAAAACCTTATTTGCATCGGTGACTGTCCGTGGGTTGCACTTCTCTTTTCCTTCAATTGTACATTAATACTATTTTGTTCTCTGTTGAGGAGGGCAGGAAAAAGGGGGACCAAGGCTTTTTTCTGAACGGTATAAAGAATTAGTGCAAAAAATGCCCATTGTATTCTTATTTTATTTTTATTTTCGACACGCCCCAAATAAAGAAATGTTTCGCGTCAGCCACAATTTTAAAGAAATAATTGAGCAAGAAAAATATCATGCTAAAAATGGGTAGAGTAGTTGGAAAATGCACAAAATTGCATAACAGGTGTGCATTGCATATTAATGCTTACATGCATGTGTTTTGGAAGCTAATCAGCGTAGCGTCTCGATTAAAGTAATATATTAAACTTCGTCTTTTGTGGATGTTTTTTTACCCACACAAAAAGTTATTTGATAGGTCATTCACGTGATAATTCAGTCAGTATCTTAAAGGTATCTATCTATCCCGATCTCACAGAACCAGATTCGGCTCTAGAGCAGATCACCACAAGCAGCCAATTAACTATGATTTTCAAAAGTATCTCAATGTGTTAACACACTTTATAAGCATGAACAAATAAATAAATCGCTTGCCCGCCGTAACATATCTATAATCCCAAATATTCCTTCGTGCAGCCTTAGTATTGGTTGATGGTGATTAGCTGATTAACCAGTCCTGACTGTTTAGCCACACAAGCAATAAGCCACACAGTGACCAAAGCAATATGCTTTCTACTCTTTACCTGTTGGAATAATGGAAAAAGCATTTCTTTCAATGTGAAAATCCCAGATCATTGCTGTTGTTTGCCACAAACACGAATATTTTCCAAACTTGTTCACGTGTTAATTATGCTCGTCGTAATCTCGTTTTGTTGCTTTCTCCTCCCTCACTTTTCTTCAAAGCTATTTGTTTTGATTATTTTTATCTTTTGTTTTATTATATTTATTCCCACAATAATAATTACACTATGACTTATATTTTCTCCCTTTTGGCAGACACACTGCGCGTTCTATGCCAGCCACTGCATGTTTTTAGCGCACTGGGCGCATTTTTTGCCTATAAATTATTCTACGCGCTCTACCTTTCGCCGCTCCGAAACATCCCAGGCCCCTTCTGGTCACGTATCTCCGGTCTTCCTGCGCTTTACCACGAGCTGCGCGGTGTTGAGCCCGAACTGATGATTAGCCGCACCGAAAAGTACGGCAGCATCTTTATCATTGACCCAGAAAGGGTTGGTATCTGTGACCCTGAGGTTGCTCAGATGCTTCTTTTATCGCATGCATATTTGAAGGACAAGCGGTATGGCAATATTGTTGTCTTTGAGCCGAATGTGTTTTTGACAATTGACCCAGAGCTAAATAAGCAAAGGCGCAGGCAGCTCGGACCTGCCATGACCTTGGCCAATCTGCGGCACATGGAGCCTGCCATATTGGATGTTGGAATCAAACAGCTGCACAAAAAATGGGACCGCGATATTGAGCAATCCGAGGATGGACAAAAGGCCAGGGTGTGCTATCAGCGTGACTTTATGCTCATGTCGTTTGACATCATTAGCTCTCTGGGATTTGGACAGGCGCACACATCGCTGACTTCGGGGGATACTCGAATTGCCAAGTGGGTCCACAGCACACTGGTCGTGATGTATTTGCAGGCTGTCATGCCTATTTTTAATTCTGGATTGTTCCGTCGGTTTATTGCCAAATCACTTTATGACAATGTCGATGCCTTTATTAGCCTGGGCACTCAAGCTGTGGATAACCGCCGACGTTATTTGTCCACGCTAAGCACCGACGAGGACAAGCCCAAGGATATTTTGCAGTCGTATATTGAAGCAGAGGATCCCAAGTCCCGCATTCGGATGACACCGAGCCAGGTGGTCACTGAGACCATTATTAATCTGCTTGCTGGCTCCGATACCAGCTCGAATACGCTTGCCTGGACCATCCATTTGCTTCTTTTGCACCCACAGTACTACTCTCGGATTGTCATGGAGGTCCGCGAGGCATTTGCACCCGGCCATCTGATCAATTATAGCGACTGTAAAGCCAGCCTTCCGTTTCTCGAAGCGTGCATCTACGAGGCTATGCGCCTGGTACCTGTGGTCACCACTATGCCTCGTAGTATGCCGCGTGGAGGCGCAACCTTTAATGGCCATTTTATTCCCGAAGGATACACATGTTCTATTAGTATCCCAGGTTGCAACAGAAACTCAGAGGCGTGGGAAAACCCTCACGCATTTTATCCTGAGCGGTTCCTCAATAATGAGGCCAATAGAAAGCAGATGCTGACTTTTAGTGTTGGCGTTAGGGTGTGTCCGGGCAAAACCCTGGCGTGGATGGAGATATTGCCGACTTTGGCTAATGTACTGAGCAAGTACGATCTGGAGCTGCCTGGGGATGCGCTGTTCACGCCTGATCGGGTTGATAAAAAAGGACTGCCGTTTTTGATGCCAGGAGTAGCTGCGGGTGCTTGGGTGCCGAGGTTCCCCGAACGCGACTGTGTTGTTTTGATTTCTAAAAGGTCTTAGTTTTATTTTCACTGGGGGAATGTGAACTTTTAAAATTAATTGGTTGTTTTGGTTCTCAAAGCTTTAATAAATTTTATTATAATTTTATTCACACATATTACTTTACATTGTAATGGTGCAGATTAATTATTGACGTTCATATGTGCTTGTTTGGTCTTTCTCATGGTCAGAGCGATCACTCTCATCCCAAACGCAGGTGGATACCGTACCAAGATAGCCCAGGAACCGGTGGCACTCCAGCTTTGTTCAGTCTGCTTAGTACCTTTGAAGCAATACAATACAAAGATGTAAAACAAAAAATGTTACAAAGAAGGGCGGTGTTTTAAAATGTAGAGATATTTGTTAGGAAATAAGTAGCAAGCTACAGCTCCATAATGGTCCAGAGGCTAGGATCTCACGCTTTCACCGTGATGGCCGGGGTTCGATTCCCCGTTACGGAACTCAAACTTTTTTGTTATGTTTGCAATTGAAAGTGTAATAAAAGGTACACTTTGAAATAGGTGAGATTGCTCCCCTCAGAAATATAAAAACCAGATTTTATTTAAAAGTGTAAATGCTTATTCTCGTGATTCCCAATGGGATTTTTGATCAAGTGACCTTTTTTTAGGATGCATGGCAAATTAATTAACTTTTTTGTGTCACACGCACAGCCTTGCACTTCAAATTGCCTTCGGAAAAATGGACAAGCAATACAAGTTGGCATATTGTGTGTCGTCAATGGCAATGTTTTTGTCGTCTTCTTTTTTATTTTATTCTTATATTTGACGCGCAGCTATTCCGGATACTTTACGCGTTCTGATCATGTCGTTAACCTATTTATCACGAGGAAACCCAGACGAGCTACAAACACTCCTGGAAGCAGAACTGTTTAGCGCTGGCAACATCAACAAAAAAATTGCTTTGACACCCGAGGAGCAAACTCAATTAGTCTCTTACATCCGCAAATGCGACTGCCGTCTGCTACTCTACCTGTGCATTGGCTATGCTACGGATTCTCTCAACAAAATGGCACTGGCCAATGCCAAAATAGCAGGACTCACACAAGACCTGGATCTCCACGGATACGATATAAACATGGCACTGGGCGCATATTATCTGGGAAGCTTCCTATTCCAGCTGCCGTCAAACTTGATATTGAAAAGCGTGAGGCCAAAGTACTGGCTGAGCGCAACAATGTTCTGTTGGTCCTTGGTTACCATCTTTACGTCCATGGTTTCATCTGGGCGGCAGCTGGCATGGGCCAGATTCTTATTTGGCGCCGTGCAGGCCGGATACACGACAGGCAGTCTGTATTATATATCGTACTGGTACCCAAGGGACATGGTGCGCAATCGCATGGGGTTTTTCTTTGCGAGCGCGGGCGTTGGCGGCATTCTGATAGGTCCCCTGTGTTCCATCTTGTCTCTGGTGGAAACACCGCTTGTTAAGTCTTGGCAGTTGATATTCGTGGTCATCGGGCTGATTAGTTTTTCCTGGAGCCTGCTCGGCCCAGTGATGCTGCAGGACTTCCCTGAAACCGCCACTTTTATCACTAAAGATGAGCGTCGATTGATAACTCGGCTGATGACGCATCAAAATACGATTGCCAGCGATCAGAAGATAAGCCGGCGCCAAGTATCCATGACCCTGTGCGACGGCAAGATAGCTCTCTGGACGCTAATTGATTTCTGCGCCAACGCCGCAACCCAGGTCAACGGAATGTTTGGTCCAACAATTATTGCCAGCCAGGGATATCCACCGACCGTCGCTCAGGCCATATCTGCGCTGACAAACTTTATGGCATTTTTGGGAATGGCATCCGTCGCTTATATTGCTCGGTTTACAGGCGGGTCCTCCCACGCCATCATAATATCCAATTTGATAACCATGGTAGGCTTTCTGCTGGCGCTTTTTGCATCCAGCAATGGCTATCGCATAGTTGCTCTATTTATCTTTAGTTTTGCGTCGTCGCAACCCGCTGCTCACGGGCCCGCATGGGAAATGGCCAACCAGCAGGGTAGCACAAAGCCGGCGATGGCTGCTGCGCTTACATCTGCATTTGGCGGGCTGGGCCCGCTCGCAACAGCTTTTGTGTATCGCGACCAAGATAAGCCGAAGTTTATTTTGGGTCACACCGTGTGTTTGATCATGACGCTCGTGTGTCTGGTTACTACGACCGTGCTGAGGCGAGTGCTGAGTCGTGAAAATCGCCGACGAGATACGATCCGAACAGATATCAGCCGGCTGACATCCAACGAGATTCTTGATCTGGCAGACAATCATCCTGATTTTAGATACAAGCTGTGATAAATTGAAAATAATTGTTGATAAAAAGTTATGCTGCGGTTACCGATCCACTGCTGGTATCGATGTCCGTGATGTTGGCTCTGTGCATTTCGGTATCCCTGATCGACATTGAGTAGTACGCCTTCTCAGTCTTTTCAAGGCTGCTGTCAAGAACCTCGAGTTTCTTGTGCAGGTCTCTGATTTTGCCACTGCATATAATTAAATTGATTCCCTCCTTGAGCGCCCGCAAGAACACAAGGCTCCTCCTAACCGCCTCATGATCGCTCTTGCCAATAGCATTGATGCAGTAGCGATTGACTTCACCAGGAAGATCGCTGATGCCCAAGACATAGTCCTCGTCAGTCACTGTCACCATGGTGCCCTTGCTGCGCACCATATCCTCAACCTGATCCTTAGTAATCAGCGTGTTGTCACGCAGAAACACCCACAATCCCAGTGCCTCGATGTACTCCTGCAGACCTCCAGTCGCCTGCCGATTATACTTGAGCGCATTGGATCCTTGCAAATCTACAGCCACCTTTGCGAATAGATCCAGAACAACCGAATGCTTGATCTCAACGTCCCTGAAAACATTTTCTGCAGAGTCTTGCGTGATACGGAGGAGCGAAAACACCATTTTTTTGCTCAGTGCGGTGATGTCACGCGAGCACTTGATGATGCGCTCGCGTTGGTCGTAGTGCGAGTCTAGGATATCACGGTATTGAGTAAATGTGCTGAGGATTGCTCTTTTGGAGTCGCTCATTGGTTCTTTCGAATGATCTTTGGGTTTGTTGTCAAATTTGTCGTTTTTGTTGAACCGCGGCTTCTTCGTCTCCCTAGTCACCTCGGTCTGCTCAGCCGGGATATGGTTATCAGCCATATTTGTATATAGAAATTTATATTGGAGGAATATAAGAGCTGTAAAGTTATTTGTATATGTTTGATCAAGCAGAGGAGCAATACAATAATAATTTTAAGTAAAAAATCCATATACCCATTGTCTGGGTGCATTAGATATTGGCCAGCTATGGTTTTGATAAAATAAAAGCAGGTGATCGCTAAACGTAAACAAAAATTTTCACTTTTGTCCAAGAAAATAAAAAAGAAAATCAAATCGGATTGTTTTCATCCCCCTCTTTCCCGTGATTGATTTTTTTTGGTTGTTATTTTCTCTTTTTGTTACATTTCTATTACAACTATTTTTTTAATTCTGATCCTTGCTTAATTTGAATTCATTTTTTGTTTATACTGAGAAACAGCGTTACGGAAAGGAACTCGACAAGCTGCTAGTCTAATGACCTCCAGTGGAAACAAAATTAAAGTGGTCTGCCGTGTGCGCCCGTTTCTGAAGACAGAAAAAACAGACGAGTCAGTAGGTGTGGAGGCCAACAATGTGCTACGAGTCACCAACCCCAGAGACACCACCAAGGATGTCAAGTTTAAGTAAGCAAAACTGAATTTATGCAACTTTTGTGCTGACGAATGATTTTTTATTGTCAACTTGGCGCTAACTAATTTTTATTTACAAAATGATTTTTATTTATTAGTTTTGACTCGTGCTATGGGCCAGTTGTCGGCCAGGACGTGATTTACAACAACGACGTGCGACCACTAGTAGAGACTATATTCACCGGCTTGTCAGCCACCGTGTTTTGCTACGGAGTGACTGGCGCGGGAAAAACACACACAATACAGGGATCGGAGACCGAGCCCGGGATAATCCCGCGCGCGATGGAGCACATATTCAAGCACCAGGAGCGCGATTCCTTTGACTACGACATTCGGGTCAGCTACTACGAGATATATAAGGAGGCTGTTTTTGATTTGCTCAAGCAACGTGATTCTGTGGCCGGCCTGCCCATTCGCGAGGACGCCAACCGCAAGATTTTTGTTGCCGGGCTGTCCGAGAAGAAGGTGACGTCCTATGAGCAGTTCGATACACTATACCAGAAGGCCTGCGGGAACCGGCGAACGGCCAGCACAAAGCTTAACAACCACTCGTCAAGGTCGCACGCAATTCTGACCGTGCAGGTCCAGTGGAAGGACGACATTGGTAGCGGCAAGACGTGGTGCGGGCGCCTGCATTTGATAGATTTGGCCGGAAGTGAGGATAACCGGAGGACAGAGAACGGAAAGGATCGGATGGCCGAGAGTAGCGCTATCAACCGCAGCCTGTTTGTGCTCGGTCAGGTCGTTGAGGCCCTGAACATAGGTGCATCGCGCATTCCGTACCGTGACTCAAAGATGACGCGCATTCTACAGGACTCTTTGGGCGGCGACAGCCTGGGCATGATGATCGTCAATGTATCTCCTGGTGAGGCCTTTTTGCAAGACACGCACAATACGCTGAACTTTGCCACAAAATCGCGCGAGGTCGTTAATAAGCCAGTGGCCCACGAGGTAGTCGAGCAGCGGTGGTCGGTGTCGGACAGGATGCAGCACCATCGCGGAGTGGGCCGTCCGATGCGCTCAGCCGTGGTCTCTTGCGCTTCTGGAACGCTGGCCGCATCTTCGGCTATTGGCAGCGGCGGTGTGAAGCGCGGACGGTCCGACGGACTCGACGAGTCGGAGGGAGAGGACTTGCCTTTGAACGATAACTGCACGCAGCTGGCAGCAGGTGCCCAGCGACGCATATCGCCGGCTGGCGGTCTGCAGAGCAACCACCCGGATGCAGCTTCCCGGCGACCTGCCCCCCAGCAGGCCGACTTTGTGCAAAAGGTTGTGACAGCTCGGTTTAGCGAAATGGAGCAGAAGAGCGAGTCGGCTAGCAACAAGATAATGGAGCGCGTCGAGCAGCTCGAAAAGCGGCTCAACGGCAAGCAGCTGGACTCTAACGCGGTTCTCGACCTATTCACGCCCTCCACAAAGCTCAAGACCAGCCGCGGGTGGCTTAAACACGCTCGCGAGTTGGAACAGGCCGGCCACCTCGAGCGTGCGCTGACTCATTATGAAGAAGCCCTGCGCTATGCTCCTGGTCTGAACAAGCTCGAGGCGCATATCACTAAGCTGTGCGCCAAAATTCGTCGAGAGAAGCGCCGGAGCTCGATCAATAGCCACGGCGAGGCCAATGTCATAGTCAGCGAGAGGACCGGCAGCGCGCCGATAATGAAGAACGGGATGCTTGTGGGTGACGGAGACGACTTTGAGAAGGTCAGCCCAATGTGGTTAAATAATGGCCAGGACGAGTCTCCGAGTGCTGGCAAGGGGAGGGGCAGGCAGCGCACATTAGCGTCTACACTACTGTCCATGGTGGCCGATGCCAAAAATGGAGACAAGACAAGTCAAAAGCCGCAGCAGCTGCCCGCTCACAAGCCGCTGTTTTTTCCAAAAATCATGGCCGAGACTGCAGCGGCAACGGCAAATGCTACTGCTGCAAATGATGCCGCTACTGCCACTGCCGCTGCCGCCGCCACTGCTGCTGGCAAGCCAAATATGAAGCGCGTCAGGCTGCTCGGCGACGCAGGCAAAAAGTCCGGTGTGATTCAAAATAGGTTTGTCAATATTACTGAGGGTTCTGTGCACGACCGCCAGCGGCTGAGCTTTGGCACCAGCAGCTTGAATCCGTTTGTCGTTGGTGGCGAGGAATTCCAGTCAGACTTGCGAACCCGCCTGGAGACTAAAAAGGTACCCGTGGCCACCCTGCGTGCCACCAAGCTTGACGCCAAGAGCTCTGCCGCAGCCCGTCTGCGCCGCGCATTGCCAGACCCAGCGACGCCAGAAGACCGCCGCGACAAGGACTTTGTCTTGCACAGTGGCGACGAGGACGATGCTGAGGACATGCTATTGGTCGATGAAGACTCGCGAAACAGCTTGAAAAAAGCGAATCCAAAGGCACGTCGGGGCGGGCGTGTTCCCGGATCGCTGAGTGTACGAGGCCTGGTGGAGCGCCGGATAGCAGAAAAGGGCGAGCAAGGTGATGAAGGTCGGTCGGAGAGCCGGGGCGAGCGCCTTTCTGACATGTCTGCATCTTCAAAGACAAAGACGAGTCCATCGACAGCTGTTGGTACTGCTGAGGAGAAATTGTCGTTGGGCCAGTTCAACGATATCTGTCTGGCAAGCGCAGTGCAGATGATCAATTCAGGGGAGGTCAAGAAAATAATGAAGCTTCAGGGTATTGGCAAGAGGCGCGCTGAGCAAATTCAAGATTCAGTGCAGAGCGCTGGCCCGATTTCTCACATTTTGGAGCTGCAGGCGCGCTTGCAGTTCAAGAACAAAATTATTTTGGGCATTCTGTCAACATTTGCGTGAGTAGTTTTTTCTTCTTCTTTCGCTTGGTTTATTATCATTCGTAAAAATTGTACATCTAAAAAATATACTGCTTTCATATTTGGCGTTTGTTTGCCTTAATGTGCACCTAAAGTCGCACTTGTTTTCAATTGATATGCTTGCAATTCCCTACTGTCCGCACGAGTTGTCAAGTTTTTTGACCCTTTTATTAAATTAAATTCATAAATTTGATACATATTTGTGGAAATGCTCCTACCAAATAGAGCTTTGTGCTCCACGTGTCAAATAAAATACAAATTTAGACATTTGCTTTGTATGTGCGTCTTTGGCAATATTTACTTTCAGACTTTCTAACGCACGGGCCTTCTCTTTTAGCACACACCTATCTATGCAATTTGTGGATTTATGCAAACGACTGAATACACCCAGTTTGATTTTTTTTACTTTTTCACGTTTTAATCGTAGGCGAATACAACCACTTTAGTGTTCAAAACAAATTGTATAAATTGAGCAATTTCGCCCCGAGAGTGCAAACTTTTTTATCAACCTACACCAAATCTTCCACCCAATTCAACAACAATACTAACATACACTTATATTCAAAGTACATATTGCACACTAAGCCCATTACTATGCCAAAGGTACCGTTGTCACTTCCAGTAACGCAAAACAAAAAGGCCAGCTATTGCGAAATTGATACAAATAATGAATTGGAAATTTTAATCACTAGGAGTGGCTATGCTGTGGTTATATGTTACGAAAAGGGTGTTACAAACTTGAATCAAGTAATTAAAAGCATTAAATCTTTAAAGCTCGAAAGATGCTATATTGGAGTTATTGACATAAAGGGCCGCAATGACAAGTCGTTTAATGCATTGGATAAGCTCGGCACAAAAAAAGGCGTCGTCGTGTTTAAAGCCATGTTGCGAACTATGCTTTTTGAAATTAGCAATACTGGTACACTTGTGGAATGTAATTTGACCCAATAAGTTTAATTTACGTTGCCAATAAACATACAAGCATATAGTGCCAGTACGAGTTTTTGCAAATGGGACATTAAATGAATATGCCAAATCGAGTTTACAATGCGTCTGAGCAAATATTAATAGAAACGTAAGGATTGAAACAGCTGCCGTGAGTTTGAAACAATTTGTTTTTACATTTTTACAATTCTAATACAGCATCTCAAAAACAAATAAATTGTCGACAAAAAGCAATTTACCAGCTTGTTAAAAAATAGCAAGCAAATATGCAAAGAACGGCTATTCATTTTATTTTTGCATTTAATACTCAGGTGACAGTTGAATTGTATTTACCACATTGTAAACATATGGAAAAATATTTCTTGCCTCGTGTTCATTCAAGCAAAAATAAATCAAATGAATTGCGCATGATGGTTGATGTGCCTTTATGCCACGTTCCAAAAAGAAAGCAGTTTATTTGCTTTTTAAGCTGTTTTACGTTTTTATTATTTGGCATTTTATTTAATGATCGTGGCCATTTGAATTGGACATAGATATGGACATAAATACAAGTTTACATACAACCTGTTTTTCATTTTGCTATTTGTTTATTTATATAATATTGTTACAGGAATCCCCAAAGAACAAGCTAAGAACAACACTTGTCCAAAGTACAGTAAAATTAAAATAGATGAATTTCTGTTTTATGCAACAAGAGTGATTTTGAATAGTTTATTAACTCAAAACCTTATACCACAGTTATGCTTTACAATAAAGGAACTAGAAACATCGGCTTAATTATAATTTGTCTTGTAAAAAAAATGATAAATTATATGTGGGACTCATGGCATTTGACTAATACAAGGCCGCATTCAATACAATTCCAATACATAATGTGTATATGTTTAAATATTATGTTTTAAAATTTAAAAACGGAAAACTAATTATTTAATTTTTGGCTACAAGAAATTGTTTCTTTACGTGGTTTACATCAATTAATGGACTTGTTTTAAATAATAACATTTAAATCATCAACAACCATTTGCTGTAAGTTTGTCTCTGGCCACGCTTAACATTAATGTTATTGTATTTTAAACTACTTGCATTGATTGGATATTCCTGTTTAATTGTTTTTGCTAATAAACTTTGAAAACATGCGCATTAAACCTATAGTATTGACACAAAACACTACTTGAAAATATGAAACAATCACTGAGTAATTTTCTATTGATGTTTTGGTTTTGCAAATATATTTACAAACCAAGCGGGTGCTTTAAATTTTTTTGTTAAACCAGTTTGTTTTATTTGAGGAATAAAAATAAATGTCAAAATATTTGCAGTCAACACCCACCTGACAGCTAATTTTAAAATAGCTTAATTGTGTTTAATGTACAACATAAAATGTAAAAATTACAAAGGGGAATTATCGCTTTGTTATGCTTTACAGTTGAACGGTTGGTGGAGTAAACAAATGCTCAATGGAAAAAACAGCAATAAACACACGTCAATGTTTGCAGTCAACCATTTTTATACCTTTTACTTATTGGCCGCTAACATAGTAAAATGTTTACTAGTTTTGTCTGTTTATATCGGAGCTTTTTATACTTAAGACAGGAGGTCTGTCGCTTCATCAGGTTTTGCACATTTATCTTTTATTATTATTTTATAAATTTATTTATTTACTATTAATACCACCACTATTAAAATGACCAACCACAAAAGCAAGTTTTTCGTCGGGTCAGACGATGAACAAGAACCAAAACCAGAAACAAAATTTTCCTGTCTGGTTTTGCATAACAATAATGAATTTAAAAATTTTATAGCAAGCTATAAAGACGTGGCAGTCATTCTATACAGTAATATAAAACCTATCTCGGAAGCAGAATTTAAAGACATAAAAATAGATAATAAATATAAATATAGAAATTTGGCATTTATGAAGTATACTGATTTTTATAATTCGTTTGGCAAAAAACCATGGATGCCCCAAAACAAAAACTATTTTGTTTTTAAATGCAATAGTTATGGTCAATGAAGGGATCCAAAAACACATATTACTTATTAATATACCTAGGTTTTGGCAGGGGTGTTTGCTATTATTCTATAATGAGGTTTTAGTTGAATTTCGGTTAGTATAATAAATATATTTTTTACAAGCCCTGACACAAATTATTGTTAATGGACTAAAAAATATATAAAGAAAATTATTTATTACATGCTTATGTTGGCACCCTTTGTTATAATTAAGCAATAAAAAAGGGAAAAAGGATTAATAATAAAAAATAAAGAATAAAAAGGATGAAAAATAAAGAATAAAGAATAAAGAATAATGAGCAAAATCATTGGACATACAAAAACTGAGCAATGCAAGCAAATTAATAAAGTAAAAAATTCACGTATTTTGAGTTTCTTGACCAACGTAAGGACGGTCTGGATACATTAGTCAACAAAGTTAGCAGTGCTTGCCCATCCGTTGTGCTTCCACTTTTTTATTTCTTGCGGTACAGATCAGATGCCTACTTATTAGTCAATTTGGATTGAGTGCTTAACCAGCCTTTATTGTTTTTGTTAATCTGCCAAAGCTGGATGCAGCCAGACGTAAACACACCACATTAGTTATCCATTTAATCACACAGTGACACACAGCACATAGTTGCTCTCTCTTACCTTTGCAGTGCATAGCACTCATAGTATACATCTTATTAAATACATAGTATTTTTACTCTTTATTTCTCGTTTATAGAACATACATATTTTAACAACAATAATAAAAGCTGGTTAATCAGTTAATTTCAATAATCTAATACAAATGAGCCCATAAATAGTGATTTAATTTATTCAATTGATTTTTAATTATAGCTGCTTATTCAATTTGATTAAGCTGGTAATATTTTCTGTATCAATAAATAATACAATTTATGAAGCCAGTACCAAGCAGCAAATTAAATATTAAATAGACAACCGTAAAAAACTATTTTAAAAAGAAATACAAGCGGAAATTGTTGCTTTTGATGTTTTAAAGTCTGGCATTTTAACAAGCTTATTGACAAAAAGAGGGGGAAAACAGCCAGTATTACTTATTTTTTATCAATTCAATAAAGCCACTTTTGTTTAAAATTTTCTATTCATTTAACAGTTAGTGTCCGCTGGTTTTGGCAAAACCAGTTGTAGTTTTTTTAATAAATGTGCGGATTCTCTTTATTTTTTCAATTTTTCTTGCTACAAAAATTATAAATATATTTCAATTACTTATTTATACACTTTTACAAACATGACTAAAACACCGGCTAATCAACACTAAAAAATTTACTTTGACTTGGACGACAAACAAAAGATGCTGTTGAAATGCATAAATATTCTTCAAAAGTGCGATTTAAAAAATTATAAACAGGAATAATTACGCTACAGTTATTCTTCACAATGAAAACGCAAAAAACGTACATACAGCTGTTTAACGTATAATGGAAAAGTTAACCAAACCATATGTAGCACTAATGTGGGTTAACAATTACAATTCTAATGTTAAGCATAATACAATAAAGAAAATGGCTAATCATGATTTTCTTGTATTAGAATATGTAAAAGGGCATTTTGTCAGAAAAATTTATATAGTTTAATTTGGTTTTATTTTATCACCTATAATTTATAATAAAAATGTATTGAAATGCTGCCTACACAATTTTATTACAAATAATCAAAGCTTTTTTCAGCAAAAATTAAACAAAAAACCTTTTCCTCTTTTTATCGTTGGCATTATTTGTTTCAATTAATCTCTACAAAGTAAAAAAGTAGAGAGAGTAAAGGAAAAATTAAAACAATGCCAAAAATAAGCGCGCTGTTGTAATACAGCACAACACCAAAAAAACATTAACAACAATACTCAATCATTTAAAACAACTATTAACTATTTTTACTATAATTTATCATTCACAAATAAAATATAATTTGCAAACTCGATTAATTTTTAACAGACAAATTGAAATACAGGTCTAAGAGTAAAATTAAGTAGAATAAAAAACTTGCGGCCAGCGCTCAGCCATTAACTAAAAAAACCATTTAGCCACTTTTAAAACAGCGTATAATGAGCCATCTGTTTTGCATGTATATTTAAAAAACAGAGAAAATATTTCTTTTTAGCTTAAAAAGCGGCAATAAACATGCTTTCTTTTATAATTAAAGGCTTGTGTTTTTATTTTCTATTTTATTTATTGTGGTGAGCTGCTTTAAGAGAGACAATTAGTACAACAGCTTTAAAAAATTAGGAATAGAGGGAGGTTCAAGATAATTTTTTTACGCCTTAATTTTATTTCAACATTAGTTTATTTTATAAAATTTTTGAAAATGTCTTCTAACAGCTATCCTGTCAGTCTCCAATAAAAACAGTTCTACGCAAACAAAAGAACAAACCAAACTTTTATGTAAAAACCCGGCTTATATAAAAACGACAGAGTTGTTTGAATACTATTGTACAAAAGTTAAATGCTTTACATTTAATCTTCACGTGGGTAGTACTAAGGCGCTGAGTGAAACAATTAGCCATTATACTAAAACAGGTAAATATAAAGTTGCATTTATATTTTGCGAGGTGTATAAAAAAACAGCGTGCGTAAAAAACGATTCCAACCAAAGAAGATCTTTTCTCATTACATTTGTAAATGCAAAGCGCAATTATGTGATATGATTGAATCAAAATGGGCCCACTTTTTAACAATAAATTAATATTTTATTTTTAGTCCAACAATAATAAATTTATTCATAGCCTAACTATATCCTACGCGACAAAACAAAAACAAGCTTGCCAACTTCCATTTTTGCAAAACATTATTTTTTGTTTTATATTGTATTAATAAATATTTTTTATTTTACAGGCCCGGACATTAACTTTGCATTGTAAATTTTTATAAATGCACAAAAAAATTTATAAAGCAAATTATTTATTTATTGTTTATATTGGCATTCTTTGCTTTGATTAAGTAATAAAAAGGATTAAAAGGGAAAATAAGGAGGAAAATAAAAGACTAAATAATGAGCGAGATCACTAGACATAGAAAAACTGAGCGATACAAGTGAATAAATAAAGTGAACAATGAAATAAGCAAATAAAAATACATGTATCTTTGTTTTAATGGGGGGATAAAATAAAAGGTAAAAATAATCATTTGCCTTTAATTCATTTATTTTTTATCTTATTAATAGCATGTGTGATGTATAAAAATTGTCTTGAAGTAAAATAGTTTCAGATAAAAATAGGCCTACAATTATACATAATTTAATTTATAATGACAAGATGTTTTTTGGGAAGCATGAGAACAATAAAATAAAAAATAAAGCATTCATACAGATGAATTAAACAAAAAGAAAAATGGTTAAAGTCTCGTACCTTTCTTCTTCTTTCTTCTCCCTTTTTAAGTTCTCCCATTAAAAGTAGGCATGAGAGAAAAAATAAAATTTAAAAAAGCGGAAAGGTATGAGTGAGAGTAATAATGAAGAAGAAAAATAATAAAAGGCAACGCTTTTCCATAAATGCCCACATTTCCATTTTTCTCTACATACATCAAATAAAAAACTATTCATCAACCTCTCACTATCTCTCCACCAACTTTTATACTACACTTTCTTTAATAAGCAATGAGTTTTTTCTATACTTCTGAAGTGTCCGACTCTGAAAGCAGCAGTTGCAGCGACGCCAGCAGCGGTAGCGAGTCACCTTTCCTGCCCTTGTATATCCGCAAGACCAAAAACGACTACAAGGTAATAAACAGCGAAAGGCGGTTCAAAAAATTCAACGACAAGTACAAATCTGGTATCCTCATATTCCACCGACTAGACCAAGACCATCTAGATGATTTCGTGCAAAACGTAAAAATGTGCTCATCCTCTTTTTCAAATAATTGTGGGGGACGTGGTAGCAATGTTAATTATAAAGTTGGAGTGATTGATGCGAACGATCAGTGGTGCCAGGGGGTTGTGCCCGCGTCCTGCAAGGATCACCCATACGTACAGTGGTATCGGCAGGGGAAAAGGGTTAGTACGCCGGTGGAGGTAAAGTTTCAGTACGCAAAGCTGATTGGTGGTGTTCTTGGGTTTAATAAAAGGGTTGATGCTGCGTCTGTGGTGGTTGGCAGCAGTGATGCCCAGCGGAATGGTGGTGAGATGATTGGGATGATGGAGCAGGTGTGCTTTGTTTCGCCAACGCCGTTTTTCGAACATTGCAAGGCTCACATGTAATATAATCAAAACGCGGAAAGCTAGATTAAATCAGTCAGCATTCATGAATGTATGCGCGCTTGGTAATGATTAGCAATAGGAGTTGCTGCGCACAAAAAAAAGTGATGAAATTTGAATTGACCACCATATCTTTTGCAATTGGCAGCAGCAGCAAGGGCAGCAACAACAACGAACTTTTCCCCTTCTTTTCCGCATAAAATTAATTTTCTTTTAATTCAGTTTCTTTTTTAATTCAGTATCTCTTAATTCACACAGACACTCCGTTTATTTCTTTGTTTCCTTCTGCTTTGCTTTAATTCGCATGAGTCAAGCGACGAATTCACAGGTGGCCGAGCGAATTGCGTCACTGGGACAAGCAAAGCAATACATCTTGCTCAGCGAGCTACTGCAAAGTCTCTCCAGCCAAGCTCTTTACACAATAGCGGAGGAAGTCTTGGATGAGTCAGCCAGCCAGGCAGACACCGGCAGCGGCAGCGGCAGCAGCAATGCCACTACGGGGTTTGCAGCGACGATACAGCTGATGTTCAAGGGCGGCAGCGCACTTATTGAGAGCGGACGGGTGGCGGACGGCGAGCGGGTGCTGGGCACGGTGGCAAGCGCCTGTGTGAGCCAGATCTGCGAGGAGGATCCGCAGGGGCGCGAGAGGGACCGGAAGTGGGTAGCGGTCGGCGACCGGCTGCTGGAGGTGCTGCCGCAGCTGGGCGCGCGTGCAATCATCGACACGGCGTTCCGCATCCTGGCTGAGCTCAAAACCAGCGGATCGACACCAGCGGCGCTCCAAGGCCTCCTTCCGATGCTACTGGATGCGCTGGGCGCCGTGGGCAGCGTCGAGATCGTCGGCAGCGAGATTGGCCGTGGCGTGGAGGCTGGCGGCAGCATTACGCGCACGGGCGCCGAGCTCAAGGCGTACTGGGTCGAGTGCGCCTGCGCATACCGCTGGGCGCCACAGGCGTCGGTGGCAGTGAGCGCGGTGCTGCGCGAGATTGCGCTCGGCCCCGGACTGGCCGAGATGGTGGCCGCGCGCATGCTGCGGCAGCTGCACGTGGTTGGCCTGGCTGAGCTGCCGCCGATGGTCGCCCAGCTTCTGCTGTTTGCGCGGGGCGGCGGCAAGCGGCAGATCCTCGGGGGCATATTTGCGCTCTTCGACGCGCTCGACGCGCGGGAATCGGCAGGCGCCGCGGCGGACTCTGGCAGGTGGCGTGCGCTGGGCGACGCCGAGGGCGCGGCCATGCTGCATTTCACGTACGGCGTCAAGCAGGACTTTGAGCTGGGCGATGCGCTGGTGGCGCATGCGCGCGCGGGCATCGAGGCCGGCAGCGCGCTGGCGCCGTTTGCGTGCGCGTGTCTGCTGGCGCTAGCGCGCATCCATCGCTTCGCCGACGCCGTCACGGCGCTGCTGCGTACGCACCTTGTGCGCAGCATCCACGACGCGCTGGCGCTGCAGGCGATGCCCTGGGCGGCCACGCACCTCAGAAAAAACCGCGCTGCCGGCGGCCGTGCGCACGAGCGGTTGCTGGGTGCCGTGGTTGCACGGTCGGCTGCGTACGGATGGGACCAGGCGACGCAGGCGCTGGTGCACGTGAGCCTCGCCACCATCGACCACGCGGCGGCAGCCGCGCGCCGCGGCACGTACAGCGCGCGCGCGTGCGCCATGGCGCGCCGCGTGTGTGTCGGGGCGCTGCGCGCGTCATTCGCAGCGCACGCGTTTGTGCGCGGCGAGATCATCGGCCAGGTTCTCGCGCGCGCAGCAGCAGCGTCGGCTGAGCCGTCGGCGCAGGCGCACGGCCACGGAGGGCTGGTCGGGCTGCTGCGTGCCGTGACGGCCGACGACCTCGACGCCGTGCGGCCGTTTGGCGGGCGGCTGGTCGATGCGCTGGACGCGGCGCCGGAGGCCGTCGAGCAGCTGCTTGCGGCGGTGGCGCCGCTGGTGCTGGAGGACGCGGGCATGCGCGGCGCGCTGGTGCTGGTGCTGCGCAAGGCGCTGTTTGCCCACAGCCTCGGCGCCCGCCGCGCGGCGCTGGCCGGGCTGTTTGCGCTTGCGCGCAGCATTGCTGCGGCGCTCAGCGACTGTCGGGGCGCCCAGCGCCGCGGCGAAGCGCTGGTGTCGGCGCTGTTGGAGGTTCTGGCGCTGGTGCGCCGCTGTTTGACGCAGCAGCCAGAGGTGCGCGCGCTGGCCTACGAGCGGCTCGCGCTCCTGCTTGACCAGCCCAGTGCGCGCCGCTGCGCCGTGCTGCTTGCTGCGCTGGGCGATGTTTTCCGTTGCGAGTTTGCTAAGCACTACTGCGCGGACAGGGCCGAGCCGGCGCCTGTGCGCATCGGCCTGTGTGTCAGCCCCGGGTCGCACCGCGTCGTCATGCCCGTGGCGCTGTTCCTGGGGTGCTTTGCCAAGCTCGTGCGCGCACGTGCCGCCCTGGATGCCGGCAATGCAGCAGAGGCAGCGGCCGCGGCCGAGATGGCCGACGTGTGTGCGCGTTTTGCCCGGGCACAGCTCGAGGACTTTGGGCTAAATGCCGCCGGCGACTACACTCTGAGCAGCGGCTCGGGGCTGCGCAACCACAGCACCTGCGTGCTGGTCATCGGCTGCCTGGATGCCTGCATGGAGCATGCGCTGATGCATGGCGTTGCCGCCTCTGCCAGCAGCAGCAGCAGCTCATCAAACACACACGCGGGCTGCGCGCTGCTGGATGACCCGACGCTGGCCATGGCACTATTCGCCAAGCTGGCGCGGTTCAGCGACATTTTGAGTGCCCGGTGCCTGGACGACCGCAACCGGCGCGTGATTGGTTCGCCGCAGGAGCTGTCGCTGATGTCGCTGCACTCGGCTGTGCGCGTCCTAAGGCTGCTGCTGCCGGACGCCGCGCATGTCGCGAGGGCGCGGGCCTCGGACGGGCTGGCTCTGTGGTCGGCCAATCACCAATTTGTCCGCCATTTGCTGGAGGTCGCGTTGGCGCGGGTCCAGCGCCGCTCAGGCATGGCCTACGCTGGCGCCTCTGACTTTGGTCCTGGTCCTGCCTCTGGCTCTGGCTCTGGCTCTGGCTCTGCTGCAGCGGTGGCGCCGGTTCCGGACGTGGCCCTGGTGCTCGAGGCCGCGTATATTGCGTTCACGGGCGCCATTGCGCACTACGCTGCCAGCACTGCAACCAGTGCGGATGCGTTCGACTCCTCTGCGCTGCCAGCGTACTTGAAATTAAAAGGTCTGCGGGGCCGCAGTGTCTCGCTACTCTGTTGCGACCTGCTCCTTGCGTGCATTTCCAGCCTGGTCGCATACGATATGCTAGACTGGCTTGCGCCGACGCTAATGCGCGCAACCCCCGACCAATACCAAAGTGCTGCCACCGCTGCCTTCTCGGCGGTGGATGTGGCGGTGCCACCACTAGGTTCAACGTGTGTGGACTTGGCGAGGCTGATTACGAGGCTGCGAAATGCCGTCGTTGTGATGATGGCTCGGAGACCTATGCTGGTGAAGGAATGTGTCAGCACAATGGCCGCGATGCACGCCCTGGCTGTGCGCCTGACCGAGATTCTGCCAGATACATCGCCAGCATTAGCAACCACGACGGAAACAACAACCGCTATACACAGTGACACGGACGACACACTGCCTGTAGAGGACTTGCAGAGCGCGCGGACCAGTGCCTACGAGTGTTTGCGCAGCACAGCACAGTGGTCCGTCCGGCTAATCACTGGCACGCCACCCGCAGACCTAGGCTTGCTCAAGGGCATTGTTGCATTGCTCATGCTTTGCCAGCCTTACCATACCCAGCCATCATCCATCGACCCATCATCTGTTGCACCCATCAGTAGCGCCCATGATAGTGCGGAGATCGCGCCTTTGCATCACCTCACTGTTACGCTCTGCCGCGCCTCTCGCATTCTTCTCGGCGCGCCCATACCTGATATTGAGCCGACAATGATGGAGATGGAAGATCCGGATCTTGAAGTTTTCACCGCGCGCACTGTCCCTGCGCTCCTCACCACCATCACTACGTGGCTTCGATCTGAGCTGCACCAGGTGGACTGGGCGGTGACCCAGCTGAAGCTCACCACCAAACAGGAGCTCGCCCACCGGGAGCCGCACGACACTAGTGATTTGCACCAGAGTATTCTCGTTGAACGCCGTATTTGCCTGCGCCTTACTGCGCTTGCCCACCTTATGAAGGAACTCTTGGTTCCGTATTTGCCCAAAGTATCCGTAGATGCTGTACTGCGGGCGTTTCAGGATATGCATCGGACGTTGGGTGGGCTGACAAGAGCTAAGCTGGGATGTGTGGAATTGCCTATTACTGAGTCTTACGTTGACTGTCTGGCCCTGGTGTGCTCTGACTTGAACTCCTTGGCGTACCATATGTTGCCAGATATTTACGGCAAGGGCTCAATCGGAGACCCATCGGGGGATTTCCCTGCCAATTCTAAATTATCCAAAACCGATAATAAAGAAAAGGGAAAGATGGGAAAGGGGGGGGGAGATTCAGGTGAATTCTCGGGTAGTAGCAACAGATCGTTGTTGGTGGTTAGGAATAAGGCCAAAGTTATGCGTGATTCCACTTTGGTGTCATCGTTGATTTTTCAGATTGAAACCTCGGAGAAATACGTTATTATGTTAAGTAATAGGTTCAAGGTTCCTTTGGCGCATTATTTGAAGCGAAGTACTGCGAGAGATTTTAGGATTGAGGTGGATGCTATTCCGGATGTTTCCGAAATCTGTCATAATAGGCAATACCCAGAAGAAGAAGAAGAAGAAGAAGAAGAAGAAGAAGAAGAGGAGGAGGAGGAGGATGCTCAGGTTGAGGAGGTTGAGCTTAGTGATGATGGCGGTAGTCCAGTGACTGAGACCATGGATTTGCTGGATATCGATGCAGAGCATAATTCTGATGCTGAGGTTGATAAAATTGACAATGAGATTGACATTGACGAGGAGAATAATAGTGAAGACGAAGACAGCGAGGATAATCGATTTTCTAAACTCCACCGATCCAAGCGCGCCCGCCAGAACTGAATCCCAAAGCAAGTCAATAGTTTACCTTTATTAAGATATATTTAAAAATGGTTATGTATATGTGGAATAAATGAATTGATATATATGTATTTTTATAATAGAAATGTGAAAGAAAAATAGGATATTATAATCGAAAAATGAAAAAAAACCCTCCCCACCACTCTTACACTTCACCAACAAGCATTTGGTCAACAACCCTGCTGATAAAGTCCTTTTTAGTTGACAGATCCGCGCCAAACTCCAACGCCAACTGGTTTCTTATAACCTTCTTTGTAGTCGTCGTCAGATCAGCATTAAGCAGGATCCGACGAATTGACTCGACGATCTGATCATCCGAGGGCATCGAATTACTGCCCAGGTGAATCGACCCACCGCTAGACGGCGAAAACGGCTGCTGTTGCATCTGCATCTGCATGTAATCCGGCGTATTCTGCGTATACATGGACAGCGGCATCTGCTGTTGCTGCTGCATGTTTACCGAGGGAGCTCCGTAGACCGAAGTCGTGGTGGGAGGTGCCCAGGCATCCGGATTCATGTATCCGCCCAATTGCTGCTGCTGCTGCTGCTGTTGTTGAAGTGCCATATTTTGCAGTCCGATTCCACTACCGTGAGGGGAAGAGTGAGTGCTCCCATGCATATTCTGCATAGCGAGCATCTGCTGATGCGGGCTATACATAGCTGAGGACATCCTCGGATCACCAGCGATAGACCCAACCGCCGACATACGTCCCGCCTGACTATCATAAATACTCTGAGTCCCCATCGCCTGATACTGCTGCTGTTGGCGCGCCATCATCTGCTGATTAGTCATAGCAACAGACAACCGCGGATCAAACCCACTGTTCGCTCCAGGCATCACCGGAGATCCATACATGCTCTGTGGCGTAGCTCCTCCGTTCATAGTAGCAAAGGCCATGACACTGCCGCTGCGGCTCAAGTGCGCCCCCGATTGGCTACTATACATTGACAAGCGGTCTTCCTCCTTGGTGGACCCCGCGTGTGGGTTCATATTGGGTGGTGGCGCGTTCAGAACTCCGGCTGCTGCCAGCTCCTTCTCGTACTCCATCCAGCGGCGCTGCGGGATTGACTCGGGATCAAAGGGTTTGTCGTCCTCAATGATGATCTTGCGCTTGCCGTCGCCGACCACCACGCGCGTATTACCCCAGGAGAAATCATCCATGTGCCAGAACGAGTAGATGGGCAGGACAAATGACCACAGAGGGTAGGCGCACAGGTAGATGATCATCCAGCCGATATGCTGCCACTCACGGCGTAGAAGAAAGATTACTGCTTGCAGGCCATAAATGGCACCAATGAGAATCAAGGAGATGTAACCAACCTCGGCCATACCCGTGGCGGCAATGTAGATCAGGTAGGCAAAGTACATAAGCGTCGTCGGCATCGTGATAGTACCAAAGAGATCGAGGAACACGACAAAGCGCATTGAAAAGAAGCAGAATCCGCACATGTCCTGCAGGAACAGGAGCTCGGCCAGATTATGGATGGTCGAGTTAATCCAGCGGCGACGCTGCGATAGCAGAATGGACCATTTGTCGGGTGCAATAGTCTTGCACTTTGCGTCTTGAATAAACTTGAGTTTGAACTGTGGGAAGTACTGCATCATCAGTGTGGTCAGGTAGCGATCCTCGCCGAGCGACAAAAGGTTTTTCTTGTGCAGCGTGTCGACGTGCAGCTCGGAGTATGCCTCGAGAACAGGTTTGGCGATAAGCAGCGGCTTGCCGTCGGTCGTGCGTAGGCGGTACATGCAGAAACAACCGGGCAAGCAAGTGACAGAGCCGAACAGAGACTCGAACGCCTTGGACATGTGATGGGAGATAAAGTATTCGTACACCTGCGTCATCGTTGTCCAGCTCTGGTTCTCGTTACCCAACATGGTCTCGCCGCAAATACCAATGATACGACGATCGCTCGTGCAGGCCGAAACCAAGCGCGACAGCGAGTCGGGCATGACCTCCGTATCGGCATCGACCTGCAGCAGGTACTCAAAGTTCCTAGGCGGCACACCGATGATGTGGCGCATCTGGTGGTAGATCTCGAGCTCCAGCGGCGTCATCGGCAGGTTAAAGTGAACCTTGTTGAAGAACGACATGAGCAGGATCTGGGAGTCACGCTTGCCGCGGTTGCCGGAACGGTTGGTTTCCTCGGGCGTGCCGACCTTAACCACAACCATAAACGGCACAACGTGGCCCTCGAACTCGTACAGACCAGAGTACACCTTGCCAATATTGTGACGGCGCGAGCCCTCGGCAATGGCCAGGTAGTCGCGGCTGGGAGGGTCGTACTCGGGATCGACGCCCAGAATGTCAAGAACAATGCGCGGCGTCGACTTTTCGTTACCCGAGCCGACAATGTTGCCGTCGCAAATGATGAAAATGAGCTTCTGCTTGTCTGCGTACTCGAGGCCGGCCAGCGAGCTAATGGTCTTGGCAATACTTTCCTCGTCCTCGGTGTAGCAGGGCACCTGACAAACGATAAACTTATCCGGCGGCGTCGGGCGCGGCCTCTTGTTGAACTGCAGCGCGGTGATGAACTTGACCATGACGACGAGCATGAGCACGCATGCGAATGCCACGAGCATGTAGTTGGTCGCCAGGCAGCGCGTGTCCTGGCGGTTGTCTACGGTGCCAACATAGAAGAGCGCCTTCATGCAGTTGTAGTTGATGTCGCGAGTCTCAGCGTCCCAGTTAAGGCCCAGCCAGTCCTTGGTAATATCCGCTGTGCCGTAACCGCTTTGTTTCAATATCTCCTCAAAGCGGCTGTCCAGGATGTTGTACTTGTTGTTCAGGTTGCCCTGGTAGTTGATGGCATCGACATAAGGCTGCAGGTTGAACACCTCCTTGTTGATGACACGCCAGGCCTGCGACTGCTGCTTGTACATCCAGTTGATCCAGTCAAACTTCCACACGACGCCGCCCTTCTTGAATTTCTCCATGGTCGGCAAAAAGTAAGCTGAGTAAAAGTCAGGGTCCGTGAGCTTCTCCGAGCGGGGGTCGCTCTGCGAGTAGTGCGGAAACAGGTTTGATGCCACCGGATCAATGTTGGACGAGGCGCCACGCACCGGGAAGAACATCGTGTAGCTTGGGTCAACGGCTTCGGAAACTAGCTCCGGGCATGCCGCGCGCGCAATAACAGGGAATGACGCGTTGGTGTCATAGCCGGCATACTGGGCGAGTAAATCTGTGCGGCCTGGGTGCGCGGAATTGCCGTGGCCGTTCTGCTTGATAAAGTCGGTGATATCATAGACGCTTCCACGCACCGACATGTACGACTTTTTGGCATCGTTGATGTTGCTGATGTCCTGCTCTGTCCACACGTACTGCCTCGGGCACAGAATGAGACCAAGACCGATGATTATGAACAGCAGGGCAGCCCACATAAATACAATGATAGTGCAAATGGCAAACTTCTCGCGCCACGCCATGCGTACGTCCGGCCGCTTCATGCGCCCACAAAAGCTAAGCAGCGGCGAGGGGATCCAAAAGCTGGTCATCCACGTGAAGGCCACCCACAGTTTGCGCGACCGAGTGATCTCGACGTTCTCGATGTGCTCGTGGTTGCCGCGCTCGACGTTGCCCTCACCGCCTGTGCCGCCCATCGATTGTCGACCCTTGGCCCGCGCGTCAAACGCCTCTAGCCGGGGTTCGGCCACGCTCATGCGCCCGATCACCGTTTCCTTGATGTTGCCGAACACCGTGTTTGGGCGGTTGGGCGCCTGCGCTCCGGCTGCTGCGGCGTTTGCTTGCGTGTACGAGTCCTCGAACCCGACTCCGCGCGTGAATGCTGCGCCTTCGCCTGGGGATACTGGCCCTTGATTGTTGCTCATGTCCATCGAGCCCGACTTGTTGCTTTCGAGCGATAGGTACTGCGACTTGCGTCCAGTGTTGTCCATTTGTGGGTGCTATTATCCGAGCCGCCCGTTTTGTTTTTTTGGTTTGTTGTTTGGGTTTTTTCCCCTGCCTATGAGTTCAAGAACAATGTCGGAATGTTGATGTTTAATAATAAAGCTTGGCTTATTGTTAAAATAAGATAGGCCAAAAGAGATCCATGCCAATAGAAAGTATAGAAACGCACTTTATGCTTCGCCTGCAGTAAGAAATGAACAAATAAAGTGGATTTATTTGGCATTAACATAGACACCTAGCATCTGCGCAGTCTACGCTGTGAAGGCGTGCCAAAGCGCCCGAATTCTTTCGAACCTTTGCATTGCGCTGCGCATGATGATCCCTCACAAAAACAATAATAAAAAGGGAAGGGAAGGGATACTCGTCAAGGCTGTTTTTGTCTTTTTTTACTTTTCATATCCCCCACGCCTCATTTCATTGTACCTGAAGAAGAGGGAGTTGGGTGTGTTGAAGAGAGATAGAGGGAAAATAGTTTTTCAGAACTCCGCGCTACTACTTTTCACCATCCCAGTATTCTGGAAAAAATGTGGACCGGAAAACCGGCTAATTGAAAAATAATGTTGTGAAGGCTCTGAATATAATGCTATAAAAAAACTTACTCTGCTTTATATTTGATGGTCTGTATACTGGTCTCACTGTTTTATCCTCCACACAATACGGACACAGGAAGGGGTTCGCAAAGTAACGGCGACAGTGGGCGGAAAATAAAGTGGTTTTATTTTACCAGCAAGAAAAGAATAGAAAAAGGAGAGATGACAAGAATAAAAACAGTATACAAACACAAGAAAGAAATAAGAAAAGCCAAAAATAAGCAAAGAGATGAAAAGAGAAAAACAAGAGCGGGTTTTTGATGAGTTATTTCACAATAAAAAGCCTGAACGCTACGAAAAAAGAAAGAAAAAAACAGCGCTCCTCGAATAAAAAATAGAGCATGGTGCCGAGCATTTTTTTCTCCTCTCTGTGGACGACAGATTGTGCACATCAATCGGCTGTTTTTCTTTTTTTTTAAAAAAAAAAAGCAGAGGGCCCTTTGTTTGGCAGACTCAAATGTTGGTGGGGGAGAGAGGCCGAGAGAGAAGGAGGAGAGGGCGAGGGGGGAGTGGATAAAAATATTATTTCCTTTTTCACCCCTCGTGCCCAAGCGGGTTTATTGTGCCTAAAATAGATGCAGATGCAGATCCTAATTTTTTGTTTTGCTTGTTCCCGCCAACGAATCATCATTTCACACTATAAAAAATTTTGAAGGCGAAAAGAAATCCCAGTTGACGATAAAGGATCTACTTTTTTTATTTGTTGCTGATGCGCGCTAAAAAAAACATTCATATTTCAAAATACTTAATCCACAAATCCTGATTAACCTGACAACTGTTATTTGCACTATTGCGAGTATTCATTCTCAGCTTCCGAAGCATGTACAGGCAGTGTATAAGAAAAAAATAGAACGAGAGCATGCCATATTAATCGTAAATGCTTTTTACATGATGAGTGAAATGAGTTTTATTTCATTGATGTTGTCCTGGTACACCACTTGTTTAGCTTTGGGAGTATCACAGAAACAATTATTGTTCACGTGTTTTTTTACCCAACAACGAGGTACATGAAAGTTTCATTGTTATTTTCTTTTCTTTGCAAATAGGAAAAATGAAGTAAAGTCGTATTTCCAAAAATAACACTTGTTCGCCTTTTGCTATTTATATTTAAACCAAACATTTGGCAGCCGCCCACTTGTTGCAATAGCTGTATTATTCCTATCCTTATCCCTATCCCTAATTGTACTATTTTTATTTTTATATCTAGTTTGGGCAAAATACTCGTCCGTAATATTTTCCAGTATGCATATTGAGGCGTTCGACGACTTGTCCAAGTTTAATAAACTTGTAACAGATAACAAGGCATACATACTTGCCTTTCAGTTTGCCGGTGACTGGCCTGTTGGCTGCAAAAGGCTTCAAACAGCTTTAAGCAATTGCAGGTCCGTTTTCTCTGAAATCCAATGGGTGGTTTTGTGTGCATCGGTGGAATCCCAGCGCATTCTTATATACAAAGGTGGCAAGTACAAGGTCATGTTCAATGAAATTAGCACCGATAGCTTGATTAACAGCCTACCACTGATGAATCAGGACGAGCTACAATCTGTCATTAATAAGTACAGATTTGGACATGAACTGAATGCTTTCAAATTGATATCTAAACCTGTACCTAAGCTTGAAAAGAGAAATGTGTTAATATTCAAGCCAGTAAGTGGCCCTTCAAAAAAGCGAGTATCGTTTAACATATGAACATCTGGGCTCTTGATCAAGAAAACTAATTTTTGTACACAGATTTGTCTGTTGAAATTAAACAAAGTAGTACTTACAATTTTCGTTTATTTCGTTTGGATTTGTCAAATATTGAATGTTTTACTTGTGCAAATGAAAAGTAAGTAAATTAAAACAAAAACCTAAAAATTGACTTGTCTTTATAAACTGCACAGCTAAGCGCGCCGTAAGTAAAGCTAAAGCAAATGCTTAAACTTTTATTTTTAGCTGCCATTTCTTATTACAATATTAATTGCATAGACCAGCAATAATAAAGTTAGCTGAACCCAATTGATTTTATAAAATAACTATAAAATAACGACTGCCCACCCCTGTTTGTTCACACCTTTATTTTTCTTTACTGTTAGCACATTATATTTACATATATTTTTGTAAACCACACAACCCAATATACAACTATACAACTACCCAAATATTCAATGCACGACATCCCTGTTAAAACGTTTTACAAAATTCAGGAAATAGCTGATTATCAAGATGAAAACAGTAATAAAATAATTTTACGCGTCGCAGGCGTTGATTTTAAAAATAATGTCAAGCAGAAAGTGCTCATAGATATTATTAATTTTTATAAGAAGCATATAAATAATAAGATAAATAAGATTTATGAAATGGATAAAATGGATACATTTTATAAACTGTATGAAATGAATAAACTGAATAAAACCCATGAAATGTACAAAAAGTGTGAAAAGCATAAAAACCACAAAGAGCTCAAAACTGATGATATCCATGTTGTTATACTAATTAATGATAAATACCCTTTTATTTTGGAATTGCTTAAAGGCACAAGGACGCAAAGTTACTTGTCTGATGCAGCTACCAAAAAAGCTTTTGCTGCAGAAACCAAATGTGCATTTTACAAATAGATTACTGTTTGTTACTTTTAGAATGATTAATTTTAACTAATTAAAATTATTAAAATTAAAAATGGTATCAGCTGCACAAAAAAATCATTAAACATGAATTCAATAGGATAATAAAAATTATTTTAATTTATGTAGCGCCCCATCTTATTATATCAATAAAAATATATATGTTTATACATAGGTATATGTAAAACACACGCATATCGATCATGTGTCATGGTAATTGTATAATATCACAACCACAATCAGAATACATTGTGAGTGCATAGTAGTATTGTATACATTGGCAATCATTGTTATTGCTGTTGTTATGTAAGAGGGGGTGTGAGAAGCACTAGTCTAGTGTTAGAAAAGTAGGGGTGATTTCATAAAGAGGTCTATTGCTAATGTTTCTAAAATACTACTAGCGCCGGCCTCGTCTATATGCCTTGTCGCCTTTGTTGTGCACATTGCCAATTGTGCACTCCGTTGGCAAGAACTGGTTTTTCCGCGAGCAGACCAGTATCTTGGCAAGTCAGTGTTGTGGTTTTCGTGTGTGTGCACTCACGCGTGTGCATTGCAAAATGGGGAGCATATCTGGGCATCAATGTAATGCCTCCCTAATTTACACCTGCATGATCCAATTAGTACCCTATCAATTGCCATGCAGATGGAAACTTGTTTTGCGATTCTCAACCTCAACATCCACTTCCATGTCTTCAGTCTGTGCAACAATGCCAACTTTAAATATTGATCCAAACAAAGGTTATACAGTGCATATATTTTTCAAGTTACAAATTACAGTTACAAATACAGTCAAACTAGATATTGACCTTATTGAACTTCTGGTGCGCATATGTTACTGAGCGACAAATGAAAAAACATCTAATAAAAATAATATTTTATAGTTAGATTCTACAATGACTACATGCATGGAGTGGTAATAAAAATAATTTTTAATAGAGTGCCTGGAGGCTGTGGGAAAATATATCAAATTGGACTCTATGACTATGATATAAACGATTTTGTCATTTTTCAAGGTTTGATAGACCCTTTTAAACCATTTAAAGGATCAGGGGGTAAATATTATACACAAGTTGTGTTTATTTGCAGCACCCTCAATATTATGTATTCCACCAGACAAAATAGTTGTAAAACCTGTAAAAGTCAGAAAAGCGGTAAATAAAAAGCCTAGGTTTATAAGTGTAGATTCAGCTTTACCCAAGCCATAAAATTAAGGTCAGATAGAAAAATAGGCATGTTTTTAGTGTAATTTGGTTTATTAATTCAATACATTACATTTACGGTTATAAAAGTTGAAGGCTCACCTTTTTTATGCTTGTCAATAAATTCAATAATCCTGAAGCAGTATCTAACAATTTATTTTTCAGTATTTTTCAAGACAATAGAGAAACAAGGCTTAAACTACAGTCAAGTCAGATTAGCTTGTAAAGCGTGTATAATGAGTAGCAGCGCTATTGGGCTGCAAAAAACATTCCTATACGTTTTGAATACAACACAGATGGATACATATATACTTTTGCTAGGCATTTCGGCAGGCAACCTAATAGGGATCATATTCGACAATAAGCTTGTTTGTTTACCTGCAACAACCCTATACAAAACCATGCTTGCACTGGTCTATTGTCAAATTGATTTTACACATTGTATTAATTGTTCTAATTAGCAGTGTTCTGTGCTTGGAGTATATAATTTGTTTTATTTTCATTAGATCGTATACTTTTTTAGATAATGTAGAACCAGCGAGTGAGTTAGTTCACTAAGCATTGGTGAGATGGCCGAGTTGGTCTAAGGCGCCGCGTTAAGGCCGCGGTCTCTCCGGAGGCGTGGGTTCAAATCCCACTCTCATCATTCAATTTTTGCTTTTTCCTGTTGGCTTGTGCCACAGGATGTGGGTGTGCAAATCTGTGTATGATCCCTCTTTTCTTTTGCGCCGTGTTTCCTTTCTCTTCTCTTTTTTATATTCTGGAGTTTGTGCTGAAAAATAAGCTTGTTCATATTTTATTTGTTCTTTCATTTTGCCATGCCATTGTCTGATCGCATTCGCAGGCTGGCACACCGCTTCTCTGGTAAAGAGCCCACAGATACTACCGTCATCAACTTTCAGTCACCATCAGTACCGCCGCTTCCACCGCGTGCTTTACCACAACCACTTCCGACATATCAACAACAACAACAGCAACAACAGCAGCCTTCTTTAAAGCTACCCCGACAACAGGCACAGTCGAGTCGTGGTTGCAACTTACCATGGTCGACTGCCGATCCACAGTCAGTTCTGAACGACCGAATCGCCGCCAATTCTTTTAAAGTGAGCAAGGACCTGATCGACCCATGGTTAATCTCGCAGCCAGTGCCGACCAACACCTGGTGGCAGAATCTGCTGATTGAAAACGGAGACCAGCCGGTAGTAACAACACCTTACATGGTGCGCTGCATTGATAGCGCCATGACAGTGTGCGCGCCAACGCCGCTGGTCCAGGAGAACTATGTGGCATCGATATGGCACGACGACTGGAAGCTTGTGCTGACGGGCTGCCAGCGCCGGGTTTCTCACTTTGACCCATTGTCAGTGACTGTCGCTTACTATCAAAATAAAACGCAAGTGGCCACAGTGCCACTGGTCCGTGGGTCGGCATTTGTAACCGTGGTGTTTGACGTGCCTACAGTGCTGTGCTTAACGACTGTGCACGCGATTCTGAGCGCAGATGCCTGCAATGGGCTGGGTACGGCTATTATAAGGTTGAACAGCGGAGCGACCTGGCTGGTATGTTGCGAGGGTGGTGTTGAGCTCAAACAGAGCGCTGTATCCGAGCTGGTGTCCTGTGCACCCGTGCAGGGTGCAGTGCGCCTGGCAATGGTCAGCAATGGCAACAGCAACGTCAATTTGAGTGGCAATGCCGTTGATGAGCAGGCCGCGGTCAAAGCATTACTTTCTGCCCGAAATGCTGTACCAGTCGGCGGTAATGTGAGTATTGGCTCGGATACCGACGGTGAGGCGACATTTACAATTGACTGGGCGACTAGGGGCAACAGCGGGCATCCGCTGATGTGTGCGCTGCCGCACCATCAAATGGTGTTGAACGCGGCAGAGGGCACCGAATTGACTTGGGTCGACAGTGTTGCTGCTCATTGGACCAGCCGCGGCCGCGTTCGCGCAGTGCTGGGATCGCGGTGGCAATGGGCCGAAACACTCGAGCCGCTCGGCTTTTCAGGACAGTCGCCGCTGAACGATGCAGATACAGCGCACCTGTGCACACTGGTTGCCGCCGACGCGCAGTCGCTCACAGACAGCCCTGCTACACTGCCGCCAGATCCGTACTTTTTTGGCAAGGCTGTGGCGCGAGCAGCGCGCATTGCACTGATTGCAGACGAGATTGGCGACGCTGCCAGCTGCGACTTGGCGGCCAGCCGCGCAATGCAGTGGCTCGATCCCTGGCTCAATGGTACAAACCCCAACTATCTGCTGTTTGACACCGAGTGGTGCGGGCTGGTCAGCCAAGCAGGGCTATCAGATCCGGGCGCTGACTTTGGGCAGGGCCGCTACAACGACCACCACTTTCACTACGGCTACTTTGTCTACGCAGCCGCCGCACTTGCCAAGCTGCGCCCCAACTGGGTTAAACCACGGATCGACGCATTCGATCTGTTTGCTCGCGACTACTGCAACACTGCCCCGACATCCGACGCGCACTTTCCGTTTATGCGCTGCTTTGACTTTTACGACGGCCACTCGTGGGCCAGCGGGCTGTTTGCGTTTGCCGACTCGCGCAACCAAGAGTCAACGTCCGAGGCCATTAACGCTTACTACGCCGCGTACCTCTACGCCGCTGCCACTGGGCGCCCCGAGATCGCTCAGTATGTGCGGGCAGTGCTGCAGCTCGAGGTGAGGGCGGCGCGCACGTACTGGCACCTGGGCGATCTGACCAGCAGTATTTACCCAGAAGAGTACGCTCGCGGCAAGGCCGTGGTCGGCATTTTGTGGTCGAGCAAGGCAGACTTTGCCACGTTTTTTGGCAGCAATCCAGAGTTTGTCTATGGCATCCAATTTCTGCCGTACACACCGGTGTCAGCGCTGCTGCTCAAGCGTCAGTGGGTTGCTGATATCTGGCCAAAGTTTCTTTGCGAAGTTGCCGAGCGCTCGCAGTCAGAGCCGTGGCGCGAGATCATTCATTTGGCGTATGCTGTCGTCAACAAGAAGCAGACTGCGCACTGGAACAAAGATATTTCCAGCCATGATGACGGCAACTCTGCGTCCAACTCTTACTACTGGATAGCCACAGCTGCCGAATGATACTGGTCAAATTAGTTTGATAATGGTTGTTTTGTTGTTTGAATGATAATTTAGATGATTGGAAAAAATGTTGGAAAAATATTATCCTGTTATCAATTGCGCCGGGCATCACTGTCAGCGGCAGCAGCAGCCTCATTGCTTTTGTCACCAGATGAATAGGGCGGCCGTTTATTTTTCTCTTGTATTCCTTTGCATGCTTCTTTGAGCCCGCTCTAGCAACAAGACTCGCCTCCAATATAGTAGCCCTGCGATTCATTCTAAAATTAAATCTAGCCGACAGTTTACTGAAATCATCGTCTAATTCCACTAAATCACTTCTCTTGACTGGAATTTCATAGTTCTTAAACGCCGGATCATGGCATATTCTGAACTGCAGCCCGTTTCTCACCCAGTTGATCTCTGGTGCCTTTGTTTTCCTAAAAAAAATTATATAGCACACAGACCCAATTGATACAATGAAATGATCGCGCCTGATTCACCAACACTGTTAGGGCGACATCGGCATACGTCACAGCTGTGCCGAAGAAATGCCTGTTAGATCCGTTTTCCCATAGCATATCCTCGTGTGTTTTGACAAAATATTCCAATGATGCCAGAAACTCGTCTGAAGGGCCCGACATTTGCATTGTTTTTCATTCTGGCGATCGTTTTATCTAAAAGGTCGAAAATTTATCTAATACTGTTGCGTATTTGTATTTGTATTTGTATTTGGCGCGCTAGTTATCTGGGCTGGTCAACAGATATGAAATTGCACCGGTCTGATAAATGCATTTCAATGGCGTTAACTCCGGTTAGCGCGTATTCAGTTTTGTACATGTAGGCGAACTCTATAAGGATGGGTCTCCTTAAGTGAGTCGCTGTCGCTTGGATAAGCTTTTTGACTTGTGTTGGGCACCAAGTAGGCGAAGAAGCGCCATTGCGAGTTTCCACACTATATTCTGATCCAGCAGTGTGGTGCAATACGTATCTGTATTTGTACATGGAGTGAAAATGAATATTATGATTGAACTTTTTTTTTAAAAAAAATACAAAACAAAAACTATATTGATCAATTTAGGCAGCCAAAAATAAATTAAAAATTTCCGCAGCAGCCATAAAAAATCAATTCACTCATTAAAGAAAAAAGTTGACTGTAAAAAAAATTCAATCCAATTCAATTCAATCAAAAAAGTAAAGTAAAAGTAAAAAAAATTTAAAGCTGACTATTAGTTTGCCTTGCTAGCAAAGTCCAGAGTCTCATACAGCTTATTAAGGGTTGGCAGATAATGCTTCTTAGCCGAAGGACGCTTAATCTTAAAAGTCGGCGTCAGAATATCATTATCCACAGTGAACGGCTCATGCTCAAGATAAATACACTTTGGAATCTCAAATCCCTTTAGCGCATTCTTCCTTCCCCAATCATTAACCACCTTGGTCATCAGCTTGATCACGGCTGGATCCTCACAAATCACCTTAAACTCTGCCTCAACAAACCGCTCCAATTCAGCATTCTTGGCCAATTCCTTGCGCAAGAACTCCTCATTCGGCACAACAATAGCCACGAGCTCGCTCTTCAGGGAATCACCATGGACGAAGGTTTGGTCGATAAGCGGGGAGTCCATATAGATGGTCTCAATGCGCTCTGGTGTCACGTACTCGCCCTGTGAAAGCTTGAACATATTCTTCTTGCGATCAATAATGACCAGGTTCCCGCGCTCATCAAACATACCAATGTCACCCGTGGCAACCCACCCCTCGGCATTGATGGTCTCGGCGGTCAGGTCCGGACGCTTATAATACTCCTTGAAGATATTGTTGCCGCGGATAAACACTTCGCCGCGCGGATGCGGCTGATCCTCCGCCGTGTACTCCATCTCGGGCACGCTCACCAGTTTATACAGACAAGTGCCCAGGGTGCATCCGACATTACCCGCCTGCATGTCATTCCCCAGGGTGACGCCGCAGGGGCCCGTGGTCTCTGTCAACCCGTAACCCTCCAGAACAACAGTCGACAGAGCGATGCGCAAAAAGTCCAGGACATCGCCGGAAATCGGCGCCGACCCCGAGATAACCAGGCGAATACGGCCGCCGAATTTCTCGCGCACCGCCTTGAACACCACACGGTCCCACAGCCAATGCTGATTGACGTTGTTGTTCAAGTTGGCCTTTTTCACGCCATACGCGTAGCTGAACAGCATGTTGGCCAGCCCGCCCTTCGCCCTAACCTGCGCCCATACCTGGTCATTGATGCGGTTGAAGATCCGCGGCACACCAACAAGCACACTGGGGCGCAGTTCCGTGATGTCCTCGAGGAGCTTGCGGATATCACCCTGGTTGAACCCGATCCGCGTGCCGTTGCTGGTCAGAATCGCGTGCACACTGCGCTCGAGGCAGTGCGCCAGCGGAAGAATCGACAAGTGCACGTCGGAGTTATCCAAAGTAGGGATGAACCCCTGGCGGATCCGCTGCTTGACGCCATGTGCGGATGACAAAAAGCACATATGCGTGAGCACCACGCCCTTGGGCGTCCCTGTGGTGCCCGACGTATAGCAGATTGTGCAGATATCCTGAGGACCCGCCACGGCCTCTGGCAGCGGTGCCAGACCACCCTCGTTGCCTAGCGCAATGACCTCGTCAAAGGACACCAACCGAGCGCCCTCCGGCGCCCCCGCCCGGGCCTCCTCCGACACATCTCCGAGAATCACAACAGTGCGCACAAGCGGGAGTTGCGGCCAAATCTGGCTAAGCATCGACAGTTTCTCGGGCGCAATCACCAAGATGCTCATCTCAGTCTCCACCGCCATATGCTTGATGGCGTCCACGCCCAGGGTATCGTACATCGGGACGGTGATTTGGTTGTAGATGTAGGACGCATGCTCGACAAGAGACCATTCGATGCGGTTGGGAGAGAATATACCAATGCAGGATTGTGGTGCTGCACCCAGTTTGGCTAAGCCAGAGCCTACGCTGGTGGCTTTCTCCTTGACCTGCTTGAAGGTGAACCATTTGTATGGTCCGAATTTCCCATCCTTGTCCTGTGGCCGGTATCCCAGGTAGTCGGCGTTTTCGCCAGCGAGATTCATTCCCTGAAGGAAGTTTTCATGCAAGTTGTTGACGCCCTCAAAGTTGGCCGTCAGCTTGCCATCTGTGGAAGTCGCTGCAATACGAGGCTACGTTAAATATAAAAAAACATGCATTTTGGAGGGAATCCTTTTTTTTGATGTTTTCATTAGGTAAATCATGGTTTTGAGCGAAAAAAAGGGAAGCCAAAATATCATTTTTCGTCTCTTCTGCAACAAGAGGAATTGAAAATAAAGATGGCACCGATGCATTTGGATTTTGGATTTACGTACCTTTGTTTCTCCAGGAACGGAAGGAGCGCCGGGAAGTTCGATAGAGCTGATCATGATGATTGATTGACTTTAGTTGGATTAAATTGGGTGCTTAGAATGGGGAGGTGGGAGGGTTCTTGTCCGCTTGACTGTTTATTTGTCTTTTTGCTTGCTTGCTTGCTTGTTTGTTTGTTTGTTTGTTTGTTTATTTCCTCGCTGGAACTTCTACACACATGAAGATCAAATGACGCAAAAACAACATTTTTAATTAGCAGTTTTAAAAAGAAAAATATGCAGAAAAAGGAGGTAATTGCCGTGAATAAGAAAGTTCCACATAATTGCATTATGCGCACGGGACACTATAACATGGCATGGCACAAGTTGGGCAGGTGCGTGTAAAAGAAAAAGAGAAAGAAACAGAAAAAGGATTCACACGATCAAAAGCAAAACAACAATATGTGTACACACAAATATTTGGGCAGCTATTAAAAACAAAAAAATAAGCCGGATTTACAAGTGGGGAGAATGAAGTGGTGAAATCTATAAAGTAAAAGAAAATATACATGTTGACAAATAATATTTCTGGTTTCAAACAAGAATTAAAGTTGGACAGTGTAGTGGGTTGTATAAGAAATTATATGTGTCCAGGTATTGAAAATAATGCCATTTCTGTAATGTTCCACCATATTTCAATACATGTAGGGGCGGATTGACAAAGCGGGTATATGCAGACAATTGGCATGTTTTCCCCCCGGTTATTGCCGATGTTGTTGTTTGTTTGTTTGTTTGTTTGTTAGCTGGCTGTAAACAAAAACAGAAAAACAATTATATTGGTTGTCTACAATTTAGACAAGAGTGCCATTTTGGCTGAGGAAGGTAGAAAAGAAAATTAAAATGAAACGAACCAATAAACTGAAAGCGGGGTTTGTTTACCTTTAATAGCGAGTATATAGTAGTGAGTTTAAGAAATAAAGAAATACGTATTAACGCGTCAGTAAAAAAAAAGTTGAATTAGTTTATGTTTTGAAAGTGTCGCCTGAGAGAAGTGAAACAGTGTGCTTGTGTTGTGTGGGCTTGATAAAGCAAAAAAGCAAAATAAAAAAGTGGTTGAATACAAAAAAGAATAAATAAATAAAAAGTAGTTATTAAAGCAAAAAAAAGTGAAGAAAGAGAAGAAAAGGAAGGGAGGGAACTGTGATGATAATGATGGTTGATGCATGATTTTTTTCACTGGGAAAGAAAAGAGATGGTAAAAAAATCCTAGTTTCGTAAAATCGAATTAGGCAAGCCTCTTCAGTTTTTTGGTGGAAAAAAAGAAAATAGGAATGGGCAGTAGAATACTTCCACCTTTTTGGTTGGCACAAGTACTATTCATTGGGAAAAAAGAAAAAAAGATAAAAGAGGGACAGGGTGGGTGGGTAACAAAAATGGGTAGCTTACGGCCTACCTTTCCAATTTTTCTTAATGAATTTTCTTGTTTCTTTGTATTTTTTATCTCAAGGTCATAAGTCTCTTTGCATAGTTTTTTTTTGGTTTGTTGGTTGTCACAGGTTTCGATGCTGTCTAAGAGGAAAAAATAATGTATTTATTCTTATTTTATACAGTCTGCTAGCACAGTTCTTTTTATTTCAAAGTAAGAGTATATTTAGATTCCTTTTCCCTATTTTCTATTTATTTAATTATGCTGTGCCCTGTTAAAATATGTAGATTTGATTGTGTTGTGTTGTGTTGTGTTGTGTTGCGTTGTGTTGTATTGTGCTATATTGTACTGTTACTGTTTTGTGAATATGTTTTTATTAACTGCGCCATTTCATCATATCCATGTTTTTTAAATATAGAAATAGTCAAGCCACGTTCCAAGCCTCTTTTTTAATTTCTCAATATCTATTAAAAAAAGAGATTGATCGCTATTTCTTTAAAGCAGCATATATTAAAACGAAGATGTTTTTTCACATGGGAGTACATAAGGGGTAATAAGCTGTTTTTCATTTTGTTATGCGTGGTCCCAAGGTAACAAGAAAATCAACAAAAAGAGAAGCAAGGGTAAAGCGAAGAAATCTATAGAAATCAAAGATCAACAAACGAGCAAAAAAAACAATGGAAAAGGGAGAGGAGAAGGGAAGGCTCATTTTATTTTGATCTCTTTTTTCAATTTTTTTCCAGTATTTTTCTTCACAATATTGTTTACATTAATAGCTATTTTTCCTTTTGCAAAATGAGCTCAATTCAACTGACCAAAGAGCTTCTCGACACCTTCATAGGCACCACAAAGCAGCGCACCGCCACCCTGCACGCCACCCACACCCTGGCAGCGTCTGTTTTCGGCACGCTCGCGCTTTTCTGGCACATCCCCACCAGCATCAACCACCCCCTACACCGCGTCCTCGGGCGCACTGCATTCATCCTCATAAGCGGCAACAGCACCTCCACACAAACCACCACGCTCGCCCTGCGCCACACCCCAAACATCACCTGCGGAGTCCACCCGTTGGGTGAGTGGGGGGGCTTGGTGAGTGCTGGCTCCGGGGTGCTGGCGCTAGGCGAGTATGCGTGGCCAATGTGTAGGCTGGAGACGGTCGAGCGGGATGCGGCCAGGGGGTTGGCGGCGCAGTATGCGCAGCTTGTGCCCCTGCTGGGCGGCGACGCAATGCCATTGGTGGTGTTTACGAGGGAGGCCGGGAGGCCGTTCTACTTGGTGGTCTCTGGCGCGGCAGCGGGCGGGGCCGACAGCGGGTTTGCCAGCGTGGCGGCGGTCAGGCTGGCGGAGGCGGGGGCGGGGGCGGCCGAGGACTGGGCGCCAGGGGCAGCGGTGCAGCACTGGGCCGAGTACGACGTTCTCGGGTCGGCCCTCTGCAGCGAGGAGGGCGAAGAGGAGGACCCGGGGCCGTACGTTGTGCTGCACGGCGTGTGGGCGCAGGACACAGAGGCTGGGCCCGCCATGGGCCGCGTGGGGGTTCCGCCGGATCCGCCGGCGTCGACGCAGTGGGCGCTGGAGCTGGTCGCCGGCACGCACCAGCCAGGCGGCGGCGGCGGCGGCGGCGGCAGCCCGGCGCTGCACCAGCTATACCGCGAGATCGGCCGCCTGGACGACTGCCACGCAGCCTGGGCCCACGCCAAGCCCTGGCAGGCAAGCCTCAGCGGCTCCGCGCTCGCCGGCCACCGCGAGCAGTTCGGCCGGCTGCTCGACGCGCTACTAGGCGCCGGCGCCGGCGCCAGCGCCAGCAGCGGCGGCGCTTCGCCGGGCGCGGCGCAGGACGAGGACGGGTTTCCGCGGCGGCCAGACGTGGACTTTGGCGATCGGCTGTGGCTGCTTGCCGCCGAGCACGCGCGGGACGCCGACGACCTCGGCGAAATCCTGGCGGCCGTGGCCGAGGCGCTGGAGTCCGGCGTGCTGCAGCCGGTGCTGCGCTGCCAGAACCAGTGCCCGGTGGCGTGCGAGCTGCGGCGCGCGCTGGCCGCGCCGGAGACTGCGGCGGACGCTGCCGCGCAGCTGGACGCGTGGGCAGCCCCGCCGCATGTCTTCCGCGTGTTCGCCGAGCTTGGGTGGGAGAAGCTGCGCGCGGACATTGGCCATTGGCTCGCCAGCGCCCAGCTCGGCTTGGCCGGCGCCCAGCTCGGCCCGGCCGGCAGCGATCTCGGCTCGACGAGCCATCTGCGCAGCCTGGCGCGCGCCGCCGAGCTGTGGTGGCTGGCCAGGGAGGCGGTGCCGGGGCTGCCGCCGGCGTTTGTGCGCCAGGCGGTCGTCGGCACGCTGGCGTGGCTCGCAGCCAACACAGACGGCGGCGGCGGCGGCGAGTTGCGCGCAATGGTGGCTCTGCCAATGTACTCCCGCGAGGTGCTCGACTTCACGCACGCGCTGGCCACTGCCGCCGGCCCGGCGCAGTACGCCGTGCAGGGCGTTGGGCCCGGTGGCCACGGGCGGCGCAGCACGCTGCTGACGCGCACGCCGGCGCAAGTCGACGCGCACTTTGCTCTGCCAGTGGACGCCGAGGACGAGCGGTACTCCTGCTTCGAGGCCATTCTCTATTAACCAACTAAGGAAGAAAAGGAAGAAGAAGGAGAAGAAGAAGAAGAAAACCATGAGCGCGACTCAGCGCAGAACGTGTGCGGATACATCGTCGACTAGCCACCGGATGCCGTCCAGCAGGTTGTCGGCGGCCACGGCGGCGCAGCACGGGCGGATGCTCCACCGGTGCGTGGCCAGCATGTCCAGCCTTAACATGCGTGAGACCTCCTCGGCCGACAGGGCGCCGGCAATGTCCTGCTTGTTGGCAAACACCAGCAGGGACGCGCCCATCAGCCGGTCCTCCTTCAGCAGCGCATGCAGCTCCTCGGCGCAGTCGCCCAGCCGCGCGCGGTCCGCCGAGTCCACCACCCAGACCAGCGCGTCTGTTTGCTCAAAGTAGTTGCGCCAGTATGCGCGGATCGTCCGCTGCCCGCCGATATCCCAGAAATTCAAAACGTAAGGCGGCAGCGAGAACGTTGTTATGTTGAAGCCGAGCGTCGGGGAGACTGTTGATGTCGGCTGGCCAGTGAGCCGCTTCATTATTGTGGTTTTGCCTGCGTTGTCGAGCCCGAGAACGAGGATGCGCAGCTCGTGGTCTTTGGCTTTGAGCTTGCGGATTATGGACAGCAAGCCCATTTTGTAAGGGATGGGATGGGATGGGATGGGATGGGATGGGAGGGAATGGGAGGGAATGGGAGGGAATGGGAGGGAATGGGAGGGAATGGGAGGGAATGGAATGGAATTTACCAAATGCTAGAAAAATGGAATCGAACTGGAATTGGAATTGGAATTGGAACTGGAACTGGAACTGGAACTGGAACTTATTAAATCCTTGGGGAAAAAAGGAACGCGCCCGACTTGCAGAGCCAAAAGAATAAAGCCCACACATTCAAAACTTTTCCAGCGACAGCTGTTTCTGCGACACAGCCTGGGCAAAGCCATCCATCCCATTCAAGCTCAAGATCTCCCAGCTGATTCTAGTATCCAGATGGCCGATTGAAAGGCTTTACTTTCGACGGAAGCTGTCGCTCCTGTTTACTTGTTTGCGCACAAGGTTTCCATCACAACCGTGCTGTTTTGCTCTTATTTTTCTCTTTCTCCCCAATTCGTTTATTTATCCCTTTTTTGTTTTGAAATGTCCGACTCGGAAACACCGCCACCGCCTCTCAATGACGCCCCCACAGAAGAAGCCTCTCCTCTCCCAAGCAGCAGTCTCTCAGCCACCGCACAGACACTCGGCTCGTCCATCCAAGCAATGCAGCAAGCGCTGGTCGGCAATCTGCATCAAGCCGCGCAAATGACATTATCAATGAACCTAATGATGGAAGAGCTAGTCAAGCGCGCCATCCAAATAACCGTCCACGCCACGGCCACCGCCCCATGCTTCGCCTGCTCGCTGCGTATCACCGTGAGGAACAGATCACCAATCCCACTGGTGCAAATGGCCACTGAGCTGCACTTTGCTCCGAGCAATGGTGCCAAAACGGGTGGCTTCACCGCAGAGTGCGAGCGCGAGCGCGAGCGCAAGGACGGGGACGGGGACGGGGACGGGGAGCTGGGTATTATGGGGGAGCAGGTGGACAAGGACCAGGTGGTGATGCGCGGCGTTAGGCTGCGGCCACTGGCCAGTGGCGAAGCGGCCCACGCCATTGTGCGCTTGGGCGCCCATGTGCCGGCGCGTATCCGCGGTCGCATCTCCGTTGCATTCACCAGCCCTGGGACTGGCAAGCCGCTGAGCGTGCAGCATGCCTTTGGCATTCGCGCGCTGCAGCTTATTGACTGCCATTTCCTTGCCGCCAACAATACGGATAGCAGCACAGCGATGGTTGCCCTGGACTCGATGGAGCCTGTGCATGTGGACATCGCCCGTGTGCGTGAGGTCTTTGCGGTCCCGCCCGCACTGGGCGTTGCTGCCGGCTGCTTGCTGATGCTCGGCACAGCCGGCGGCCTGGGCCTTGTCGTCCGCAGCGTGTCCGCCGACTCGCGCTCCGCCGAATGCCATTGGGTCGGCACCGCCGCCGCCACCAGCTCGCCGCTATTCCCCCTGATCCCGACCCTGACACACGAGCTGTCTTTTCAAAAAAATGCACAAGATATACTGTAAGGGAAATCGGAATTTATTTATCGAGCTAACGCAAACGCACGAGCAACCTGTCTAGTGAACGACTCTTTAATCATAAGCATCAGTGCCTGTGTGATAACCGCCTTGATGATCTGCGTCTGCATCCCACGGAACCACCCCCAAACGCCCTCCTTTCTCAGCACCTGGCGGAGCACATCGCCGGCGCTTAGATACGGCCTGGCTCCCGCCTCCCTCTCCTCCTTGCTTGGCCGCCACTGCAATCTAACTTTGGCCATGATATATGGGTATGTGAGGATGGTCGCCAGGGTTTTGGCCAGCGCCCCGACCCAAAACGCCTCCATGGCGGACATCCCGCCCACCCTGCCGCTCTGCCTCCGCCGCACCAGCGCCTCCTTTGTCTTCTCAAACACCCCATAGGTGATCGCCGGATTCGCGCACAAAAGCATCGCTGGTTTAAACCCCGCCCATAAGCCCGAAACGCCTTCCTCATCAATAATGTCCTTCACTACCTGCCACCACTCAGCACTACCAGCCTGCTGCCTCGTCGCCACCACCCCCAAGGGCAAAGTCAACACCTGGTTGATCATCCCCGCCACCGCACCCACACTAAGCTCCACTGCAGTCGATAACCCTCCCGCTTGGGCTGAGGATTTCAGCGCGAGTTTGCGCACGGCACTGTAGGCGTAAAAATACACGAATCCGTTGAGCAATTGGTTGAGCAAATTCGTAGAGAGACCGGAGTAGAGCCCTTGGATGCCTTGTGTGGAGAGAATGTGCTGGAGTGTTTGGTGGGTGGTTCTGTGCGTTGGGTGTGTTTGGAGTCGCGTTTTGAGCGTGTCTAGGGGATAGATGAGGAAGAGGGCGAGTGCGGAACTGCCGGCGCCGGAAAGTGCGTGCCCGAGAGGCGGCAGAGTTTGAGGTTGGAGTTGGAGTTTTGCATCTGACATGTTTAGTTGTACAAAAAAAATGAAATATAAGAATATATATAATGTATATTGAGAAACGAAGGGAAATATATATAGAGAGAGAGGGGAGAGAGATGCAATCAATCAATGATTTTAGAAAAAATATTTCTGTTCTGTCTTGCATGTGCCTTTTTTTCTATTGAATAATCACATGTGACTGCTGCATTCAACCAAAAAAAAATTACCTGTGATTATTTTATCTTGTCTCCACAAGTTTTTCTTTTGGATTTCTTCATGAACGTGAAAATAGCCACACGCCCTTTTCCCCAGCGATTAACCCTTTTTACCCTCCTGACACACATGCTAGGGGGAAATATATATATATAAAATAAAAAAAAGTCATGAAACAAAAAATTTAAAAAGATTTATTCCTTGTTTTCTTGATTAAATCTCGGATGTGTTTTTATGCAACGATAAACAAGCCATATCACCGGAATCATAATAGATAAGGCATGCATACATGCATGTGTGGTTTAGATTAACATGTCAATTATATTGCCGGTTACGGCTTTATTCCGTATATTAATTATTTTCTTTCACGGGTTTTTTTATTTCCAGCAAGAAGAAATTACACATCTACAGATATCCTTTTTTCAATTCCAAAAAAAGAGATGGAGAGAGAGAGAGAGATAAAAAATACATCAACATTAAGCAATATACGCCTAAACACATATATTTTATTCTTCCATTAACTGCTTTATACTTTTAACTTTTTTTTTACTACACTTATTTTAACATTTATAAAAAAAGGAAAAAAAAATATGACTGTTCCGAAAGTATCCATATACATCTCCACCATACTCCTACTAACCAGCAGCCTAGTATTAGGAGGAGATATAGAACCCAATCAATGCAATGCCGGGTCCTACAAATGCAACCTACCCAGTGGCCAAGGTCCCCAATTCCAGCACTGCGACATAAACAACCAGCAAGTTCAAAAAACCTGCGGTCCCGGTACCATATGCTACACCCAAGGTTCCACCATCATCTGCGGCCACCCGGCAACCCCCAATTTTGCTCCCTCCAGCAGTCAATTTGAAATTGGAGCCCCCTGCAATGTCGTATCCCCGCTTGACGAGTATGTTTGCCCTGGAAGCAGTGCTAAATATAATTATTATTTGAGATGTCTGGCTGGAAATTACGTTTATTTCCCATGTGCGTCTGGAACTGTTTGTGTGAAGAATCCTGGGGAGTCAATGGTCTGTGGATGGCCAGAGCAAGGGCAGGATGCGGGAGTGGAATCGTCAGCGGTGGTGACTACTGGAGATGCCGGCGGGTATTCGACCACCAGTGGGGTTACTTCAGAGGCTACATCAGAGGTTACATCAGGGATTTTGACGCCGTCATCGCCAGATACAGGAAACATCACTCTAATTCCGGATTATTCCACCGCCACTTTACCGGACGGAAGCTTTTCAACAACTGAAGTTGTTTTGACCACCTCTGATGAGTCCACTACGCCAGAAGAATCTACAGCCACCTCTAATGAGCCTGCTACATCCGAAGAACCTGCTACATCTGAAGCACCGGCTACATCTGAAGCACCGGCTACATCTGAAGCACCGGCTACATCTGAAGCACCGGCTACATCTGAAGCACTGGCTACATCTGAAGCACCGGCTACATCTGAAGCACCTGCTACATCTGAAGCACTGAATACTCCCGAGGACGTCACTACATCTAGCCAGGATGCGACCACTTCAGAAGAGCCCACCACATCTGCCGATGTTATTGCCACCACTGAGAACCTGATTCTTGTAGAATCCACCATCAGTACCACCGACGACAATGACGACTTGGTTATCGATGAGCCCTCCAGCGACGATGAACCACCAAGTTCTGAAGACGACACCAAAGATGAGGGAAGCATTACCATTGACGACACCGATGATGAGTTCACTGAACTAAACCCCACTACAATCTCCAATGCTGGGGCCAACCAAGGCAGCGGTTTCCCCGGGCCAATGATCTCCATGGGGCTCCAAATGATTCTCAACAATGGCGTTAAACTGCCCTTTCCATTGCCCAACATGGAACTCCCAGGCCTTAACCTTGCCACCATGCACCTCCCCGACATGACCGTCGCCGGCATTGCCCTCACGGACATCTCCCTGCCTTCCACTAGCTTGCCATCTTTTAATCCCGCCAGTATGACGGAGTTTGCATATATCGAGCAGCTGATGAGCCGTGCCGGAATCACTTTTGATGATTTGGCAAATTATCCTTTGCCCGATTTGTCCAATTTGAATCTGTCTGATTTGGGTGATCTCGGTCAGCTTGCCGGTGGCATGGATATAGGTTTTATCATGAGCTTGATTAGTGTCAAGAGAGTGTCGCTGCCTAATGATATGGTGCCAACGCCTATTTATGAGCCGCTGTCGCAGACCACTACCCTGGATTCCAACGATATTGTAGGATTGATCGGACTGCCCATCATCCCACTCACCGGGTGATTCAATAAAAAAATTATTTACATCTCTATACCTATCTATTTAAACTTTTCAATTAATTTCAAATACACAACATTGAAGAAACATTACTTTTTTTCTTCTACTTTTCTTCTACTTTCAATATTATTATTTCAGTCTCAGTCTCAGTCTCAGCCAAGGACTCTGTTCATTATAGCCAACACCTGGGTTGCCAGTTCTTCCTCGTCCCATGCCCAGGAAATGACCAGCACAGGCAACTCGCATTCCTCCGAAGGCGCAGGTGCCGCGACCTCCACACTCCTGCCAACCCGAACCACTCTCTGATTCCCGCCAGCAGCATCAGCAACTGCATCAGTGAATGAAGCATCCAGCGTAATTCTCGAATCAATCACCAACAACTCACGCACAGCGGCCAACGCCGCAACTGACGCATCCATATCCGTCTGCGCATCCAATCCCAGGCGAGAAACTAGCGCGGATCCATCAAAAACTCTGCGCGTACTGAACCTAACGTCCGCTGGCTGCTCGCCATCACCAACATTGACACCATGGCCATGGCCATCCGCCATCTCACTGTTCCCTCCCGCCGGCGTCTCATTCGCCGCTGCTGCCGTTGCTGTCGTGGGCACGACCAAGGGGAGTTCATCAAGGTCAAACTCCGACGGGTCCAAAAGCCTTGTCAGTCTCTTGCCCTCTCCCAGCAAGAGCACGCCCTGGACAGGCAAGTCAACGATAGGCGCAGTATCAACTCTCTTCTCCTGCTCCTTGGCCCACGCCGCCTGGAACAGCTGATCAGACATCAGGGCGCGCACATCCCTGCCAGTCTCTATCTCCAAAAGCTCGCCGTTCGCCGGGTCATAGCAGGGGCAGCCAAACTCGCCCATGATTTTGGATTTTAAAAACGACATACGGCTCTTCTCACCGTGCACCAAAACTACGTTGCGCGGGGATGCCTGTCGGATCAACTCCATGATACCCTTGGCGTCGGCATGGGCCGAAAAGGACAGGTTTTGCACATCGATATTGACGTGCACCTGCGAGTACGCGTCGATATCAACGACCTTCATTCCGCTCAGCACCTTAGCACCCACAGTGCCGGCGACACAGTAGCCGGGCATAATAAGCATATTGCGCTCATCTGGCGCCCACTTGCGGAACACCTCCAGAGACGTACCAATGTGCAACATCCCGGGGGTGGCAAACAACACCATGGGACCGGGTAAATCCGCATACTCGCGGTTCCACGCCTTTATGTACTTGAAGTCAAATGGGTTGCGGTCAACAAAGGACTCCTTGACCTTCTGGTTCGTCCAATTAATAAACAGCTTGTAGAAGCGGTTGGCCTTTTCCGTCAATCCGGCCGAAAAATACACGGGCACGGTCAGCCCCATGCGCTCCCAATACGTGTCGATGAGAATGCACAGCTCCTGCGCGCGACCAAGCGCAAAACACGGAATCAGCACCTTGCCGCCGCGCATAACGCAGCTATGCACCTTTTCCAAAAAGTCGCGCTCTCTGCTGCGCTTAGAGTCCCGGATGGTGGTTCCATAGGTGGTCTCAGTGATCAGCACATCGGGTCGCACCTTGTCAATCCATGCTGCGCCCAGGTGCCGATCTGGCGTCATGTTGTAGTCACCCGTATACACCACGCTCTCATTCCCGCAACGCGCATAAACCATGGCTGCACCGAGTACATGCCCGGCATAATACGCCCTGAGCTCCAGCTCGTCGTCCACCCAGACAGTCTCGTGCAAATGCAGTGGGACAACTTTTTTCATGCAGTCCTTTATATGTTGGGATGTGAAAAAGTTGGTCTCGCCCTTGCGCTCAACGGTGATCTTGCGGTAGTCCTCAAGGAGGATCGGGCAGATGGCCTTTGTCGGCGGCGTCATGTAGATGGGCCCGTGGTATCCACGCTGCTCGGTGAAGTGTGGGAGTGCGCCGCAGTGGTCTAGGTGGAAGTGCGTGATGACGACAGCGTCGATGCGCGAGGTGAAGTCCCCCTCGGTTGTTATGTAGTTGAAGTCTGGGAATCGGCGCTCGTCGTTATAGCCCATGTGCATACCGCAGTCAAACATAATGGTCTTGTTGCCTAGCGTCACGAGAACGCATGAGCGACCGACGTCTTGGCCGGCACCAAGCGGAACGACTTTCATTTTTTGCTTTTGCTTTTGTTTAGTTTGGGTGGGCTGGACTGGGTTGGGCTGATGCGTGTTTAACAAGTATAAAACAAAAAAACAGATATTTTGGTTGTAAAAGAGAGCTGGAGGTATGGATTCAAACGAGTTTTTGTGGTTCTGAGACAATGCACCTACAATTTTTTTTGCAGTTCGCCAAACGAATATGCAGGCCGAATATCGATAATGGGTTGATGATGTATTGCTCAATTATTTTATTATAAACAAGTCTCAATTTTCAACACTGCTGTTGTTGCTGCTGACGAGCCCGCACGCGCTCAAAGTACCTCTGCCTGGCAGCCTCCACAGCAGCAGGATCATTGCGGCGAGCATACTTTCTGACCAACGCCTGCTGCTCCTGCTCCTGCCTTCCAGCCGCCATCCTACTCTGCTCATCGAGCTCCCTCTGCAACGACGCTCCGCCATGCCCCTGACTCTGTCTGCGTTGTTGAGGCCTATACGTATTATTCGAATCGCGCGTGCTTTCGCGAAACCGCTGGTACGTGCTGGCAGATTGCAAATCGACTGTGTACGAGCTTCTGCCCGTATTGGTACTTTTGCCCAGATTCAGCCCGGCACCAAGCTCTTTTTCGCCATCCTGTGAGCTACTTTGAGTATCGCCGGTGGATGGCTCGCGAGCCACTGGTGTGGTTTGTCTAACCAGCTTGCTGACATCTTCCCTGTCCATCTGCTCCAAGAATCCTCGATAAAACCCAGCCGCCAGCGCAATCCCCTTATCATCACCAGCACCAACACCAGCCCCATTGCGACATGCCTTATCTTCTTCCTCCCTCTCGCGCTTCTCTTCCTCCTCCACCAGCTTCTGCCTTTGCTCCTTCTGCTCCTTATACCCCTTTGTGACAAAAACCTCCTTGTCTGCGTAAACCTCCCCCTCCCTCAGCCTCTCCTTCTCCAAAATCTTCTCCCTAACCACCTCGTGCTGCACCTGTCTCTGCTTTGCGGTTTCAAGTATTTTATCCATATACCTGGGCCGCAAATCATCCGTTTTGCGCGCATTTTTGATCCGGTTGCGTGCATCGTTGATGCTGTCGTAGAGCTCGTCGTAAGCGTACACGGATGGGTTGGTGGATGTGAGCTCTTGCGCTAATTGCTCGGAGGCTCGTGATTTGGGCCCAATATGCGTGGACGCGGAGACAGGTGCTTGTGCGGAGGAATCTTCTGTGGAGAATACTGATTTTTTGGTGTTGCTTGTGGACTTGTTGTTGTCCAAAGGGTTGTTTGTGGAGAGTGTTGCTGCTGCTGTTGGCTTGCGCACATTCAATCCCATCTTCAGACCAGTTGTTTTGCGCATCGTGTCGATTGTGTAAAAATAATGGATATTAAAGTATTCGATATGTACAAAATTGTGGGGGAAAAACTAAGCTTTTGTGCTGTAAGATAAACAATATTGGCAAGTTGATAGGTAAAATTCACGTCATTTCAATATATGTTACTTGTCCATACCCAGTCGGTGTTGGGAGAAGCCATGTGATGTAAGCCAGCATTGACTATTTTTTATTTGCAGTTTTACTTCGTACTAAATTTATAACAGGAATGTCGCACCATTTCTTCGTTTCTCTATCCATTTATCCTTGTGTTCCCCTCCTGTGGATGTTGCAGCCCACCCAGGGGAAGAAACAGTGCCTGAAATCCGAGGGCCCTTTTTGGAACAGAGATATTGCGAACATGCCCATTATCTTCAATTTCTTCGGCAAGGGATTGGGGGGAGGGAGGGGGGTTCCTGCTTGGTTCGCACGATCGGTGAAAAAAGACGATTGGGACAAATATGTGCAGAATTTGACCTATGCCTATTGTTTGCCATCAGACGAGCAAGAGCCCAGGCGGCGCAGAACCGAAGATGCGGCTCAATAGCCAATCCTTTTTTCTACGTTTTTTTTCTCCATATTCTGGTGGTGTTAACACCACTTATTCTCAACATGTTCGAACCCATCCTCAATTAGCAGTTTGAGTAATCAGAGAGTGAAGCGAGCGGGTGATGATAACTTCTACTCAAAAAAACCAAACTAGAATACTAAATAATTGTAAACAACCATTCTACAATAACACTATAGCAAGTTAATACTGAATTATCCGCCTCCTCCAAAATATCCTCAATGGGAGCGCCAGAACCACCAGAACGCAGACCGTGCACAGCACAGAGCCCATCGATATCAGCATCGGCGAAAACCCAATAGCAGCATACAGCGCAGACGCAATCGGCGGCAAAGAAATATTAGCCAGCCCCTCGGCGATCCACGCCAAAGAGTAGCACTGTGCCATTGCCTGGGACTCAGAAGCATTAATAAAGTCACCAAAGGCGCTCTGAGCCGGCACCATAACGACCATCGACATAATGCCAAACATTGCATACCCAAAAACGTGCATCGTGTAATTTTTGGCAACAGCCATGGCAATAAGCGATAGGAGCATGAGTAGGACACCGACGGATATGTTGTAGTACCGGGCGCGCTCACCGTATCGTGAAACAAGAAAGTCACTTAACCAGCCGACAAGGGGCATTGTCAGTATTAGTATGCCGCCGACGATGAGGAAGGCCATGCCGATGATGCCTGGGGAGTACCCAAATTTGTCAAAGAGGCGCAACGGGAATATGGTTTCAATGACGCTTTGCATGCCGGCTGCGACAAATATTGATACTGTGGGGCCAAGAACCGGCAATGTCAGGAGCAGACGCCAGAGCTGCATGCTTGCTCCCTGCTGGGATCTAGTCAGCGTTCCCTCGTGCATCGAGTATCTAGGCGTTGCCTCTATATTGTTGGATTTATTTATGACCGAGTTGATCTCCACCATGCTCCCGATGCTGGACTGCGTCGGCACTATGGTCGACTGGGCAGTTTGTATCTCGGACAAATTTGACACTTCTGTTTCTGTTGAAAACATTGTCACTGACTGACGGATATCAAGCGAGTTTCGCACAAATATCAAAATCATCAGCACCTCGGCAACACCCAATACCAAGGTAATAATGCCGATCCCACGAACCCCCATCGTCTCGTACACTTTGCCTCCAATAATTGGACCCACCATATTTCCGATATTGTCAAACACAAATATTACAGACATCTTGAACCCGAGTAGATTCGCTGGGTATACATCGGCAACAGTGGTGAAAAGCATTGTGTCGGCGATACTCGAAGCCGCGCCCAAAACAACCCGAAAGATGACAATCTGGTAAAAACGGTCAGTGAAGAAAAATATCAGCCCGGCGACCACATACAAAAGTGCTGCAACAAGCTGGGGTGTCCGTCTGTTCTGCGTGTGGTCGCTAATATAGCCTATTGTGGAGCCTGCAATTAGCCCTCCAACTCCAAATGCTGTTGTTATTATACCGTTGTTGGCCCGCGGCAAGTTCATGGATTCTTGCAAAATATCGGGAATGCATGCGATGGTCAGGGTGTAGATGAGGCGGTTGACCAGCCCAATAACTGATGATGTCGCCCAAATAGTTGCAGGTCGGCTCCTGATATTGTGCAATATAGGTGGTGTTTTCATTTTAAAAATAAATAATACAATATTGTGATATAGATGGAAAAACAAAAGTAAATAATCAAAATAGAAAGCAAGTTAATTAAAAATAAATAATTTAGAGGCTCTGCAATATGTGCCTGTAAAACCAAAGTTGGTGAGCACTAAATAGAATTGTTTTGTTTGACAGCCAAACAAATATAATATAAAAGGGAAATAAAGTACTAAAAACTATGTCCCTCCCCACTCAAAAATAGTAGTAATGAATAGTAGAGAAAGATGTTTAAGGATACACTACTGCTGATGTTCTAGATGATAAATGTCAAAACGATAACAAAAATAAGGTGCAAGATTAAAGTGCCTGTTTTATATTATCCGAACTAAAAAAATTGGATTGTTATAAAAAAAACAATATATAGTAGATGCATGCTAAGCATCCTCCCGGATGGCGTTATATTGGCACTTTATCAATCAAGATGAATAAAAGCTGATGCGCTGGCTAGCCAAAACAAATAAATAAGGATATTAGAGATGTATATTTTGGCTATAGTTCAATTCAATTTGCCAATAGGTGTTTCCACGTTCAATTAAAATAAAACAATTATATTACGCAATAATGTGTCAACGGCTAAAAAGGAAAGAGCCAACTGATGTTCAAAAAGGCCCTTTCGGTCTTGTGAATGCATTCTACGACTGTCCAAACTAGGCATATATTACATTTGGGAGTTTACAATTTTTTTTGCAAAATGTTTTCAATTTTGAAACATTTCATTCTATTTCTATGTGCGCCTCATGCAAATAAAAATAATGACCAACATGTACGTACAAGCATGGCAACGACAACAAGCACGCCCCCTACTCATTTTTTACTATGCCATTGACATCACAAAAACCTAATACATAAGAATTTTTCCCCAAATAGTCGATGAAAAATTTAAACAGCCAAAGGTATGCTTTTTTTATGTATTTTCTGTGGTTTTGCAATTACGTAGTGGATATGCCAAGCATATGCATGCACACAGCGTACATGAAAATACAGCAATTATAACAATTGCTTTAGTAAACCCTACAGTTGAATACAATGCGGTGCCAATTTGCGTAAAGACGATTGCAGACACCGCCCAAGCAATGATAGACAGAGAGTAGCACTGCGCCATTAAATCTGCCTTTGCGTAGTTAACCAGGTCCCCGTATGCGCTTTGTGCAGGAATGTACATGCACAAATTGCTGAATGCCAATACAACATATCCAACCATCAATACTGTGTACGTGCTGGCCAGTGCCATTATCAAAACTGCCAATAATGTAACCAATGAACCGGAAGCCATTATATAATAGCGCATCTGCTCCCCGCACCGCTTAATAAGCCAGTTATTGAGCTTTCCAACTACAGGCACAAATACGGTCAGTGCCAACCCGTAAATCACAAATGTGATGCCACCGCTGTCAGAACGCTGAAACTTGTCAATCAGGTGAAGCGGTATCAGCGTATCAAGAGTGCACTGTATTCCAATACTTGCAATGATCGACAACGTTGATGCGACTACGGGGAGTCTAAGCATAAACTTCCAAAGCGGTGTGTCGGGCTTGCTATCCTGGTTTGGGTTGATGTTAACTTTTGGTGATTCGGATTCAGAGAGAAGTTGTTTGGCTGTGTCGTCTTTGTCGGTGCGGCCCGCATCTACCCCTGAATCAAGCGGTGAAAGAGCAGTATAGTTGTTTAGTATGCTTTCTGGGAGCCGGGCCTCGCGAGAAACCACATACTGTTTGATTTTTAAGGAGTCGTCGACAATGGTAAGCAGCAGAAGCAGCTCCAGAAGGCCTAGTGCTATAACCATAGCTGCTGTGCCAGGAATTCCGCCGATTTCAAAAAGCTTTTGCCCACAAATTGGCCCGATAGTATACCCGATGTTGTTGCAAAAATAAATGATGGCCACCTTAAAGCCCAAAAGACCCGCCGAGTAGACGTCACCCACTGTTGTGTATAGCATTGTGCACGAAACCCCAGCCGCGAGGCCGTCAATCAGCCTGAAAAGAAGCAGTTGGTAGTAATTTCCGACAAAGTAAAATACTGTTCCTGACACGATGTAAAAAACCGAGGCCAGAATCTGCAGAGTCCTTCGTGTGTGGAAACGATCGCTGACAAATCCAGCAATTAGCGCGCTTACAGCGGCTCCAACCCCAAACATGGCTGTCACGGTGCCGTTAGATGATGTTGAAACGTGCATTCTCGTTTGGAGAATTTCTGGTAAATTGGCCATGGGCAGCGCGTAGATGAATGTATCAATACAAAGAAACAGCGATGATACGACCCAGATTGTTGTCGGCGAGCGCCGAATCTTTTTGATAGCCGGGATGCTGTTTAGCTTCGAGTCCAAGAACATGGTGACCAAAATATTCGAATTATGTATCTATTAAAAATATTTATATTCATGCAGAATTTGATAAAACGTGGGTTCAAAGAAGAAACACTGCTGAGCACTTTGTTTTTGGGGAGGTAACGCGACTGGGTCAATAAAATTTGACCCTATTTTTTGCAACATGATGCAATCTTAAAAGCAGTAGCAGTGAACAAATCATTTAAGGACAAATGCCAGCAGCTCAACTTTTTAGCAATATCTGCGTTAAATCAGTCCAGCTTATTTGCTTTGTTTCTAGCTTGCTCTTAGGGATTGTACCAAAAAACAATGGTGATAAAAAGCATTGTATATTTGAGCAATATGTGCCTTTTCTGTAATAGTCTTCAATTGTTATATTTTATCGACAGATTCAGATCCCATTACAAAATGTGTTAACACGCCTTTTCCATTAGTACACATATTTAGTTGAACACGGGCCACTTTGTAAAGTTGCCACACACACTAAAAAATGCTTCTAAACAATTTGAATGAATGTAAGAAGAATTGCAAGCTATTATCGTCAAAGCACATAATATTGCAATAGTCAAAAATTGTGTAAAAACAATATGCGGTCACCTTGTGTATTTGCAATATTAATAACAGTGTACTCTTTTCTGATGCCTTTTTATACACATACTTAACAGCAACTTATTATTGGACATGGTTCAGTTTGCAGTACTAAAATATTTTCCACTGTTTTGCTGTCCCTCAGGCTGATGAGTGCGGCTTTAAGCATAGTCGCCATATTCTGGTCGCCTGAGATGTGGGTTCACATTTTCACCAATAACGAGCAGGTTGTGTAAGGCGCCATAAAAATATTGCATGTTATTATTATTGCATCTATTGCCCAGTCCATTGTGTTTGTTTGTTTGCAGCTGTTTTCAGCGCAGGGGGAATCAAGTTTTGGACATGTATATTAGATTCATTATGCTGTATGGTGTCAGTTTGCTGCTGGGACATTATTAGGCTACAGCGTCAGGGAATGGGGTGCTCAGTTTTTAAAAGGCGGTTTCTGTTGGGCAGACATGCGCAGCACTTGTTGGAGCTTCTGATGTGTTAAAAGCTGACTGGGTTTAACTGGTCGACCATTATGCTAGGACTTTTATATCATCATGACAATTACCGTTATAAAAAATTGTCCGTATATATCCTTGATATTAATTTCAAAGGCTTTTTAGATGCTTTCAATTTGTAAATTAATATTTCAAGCTGTTTCCTTTTTGGAATAAAACGCTATTCAAGCTGGGATTAGTTGACTAGACATTGCAACGAATTGATTTAGAGAATAAAATGGAAGTATTATATTCAGCCACTTCAAACTTTCAATTAGCTACAAATATAAGATGCTCAATATTTTAAAGTATATCATTTACAATTTATGTAAATACACACTTGCTAATATGTGTACAATTGCAACGCCTCTTAAGCCGACATCAAGTGCTTTCCTAGGGACAATCCAAAAAATTACAAAGCTCGCTACACATGCTCACGTGCTGTTTATATAGCTTTTTGTATGGCTATTTGTAGTAGATAATTTTTACACCAATGCCTCAATTCCACAGCGACAAGGCATCTGACAATCGAAAATCAATCAGTGCTAATTTGCACTGAGTATCGTATGTGTATTAATTAAATTAAATTATTGTGGCAACGTGTAAACCCAATCCAAGTCACCAGATGAACTGGAAAATGGCTATTTTGTACAACTGCAAACCAATTGCAAATGTACTACTTGAGGCTTTCTGTCAATTTATTTTTTTCCGGAACACTTAAAAAAAGTATCCAGTTATTTTGGTATACCTTATAACAATTGAATATCACACAAGTTATTAATTGTGTATATGTACTGCCATTATTTTGCATGCTTTAACATTCATTCATATATTCTATAAATTATTTTATAGAATTAAAACAAACCGGTCTATTAAACATTGCATTTTTATTGCATATGCTATCACAGGATAATAATATCTCAAGAAAACGGGATTCTATCCATTTGGAATCCGCTGACAATGATTTCGATAAGCAAGATATTGAGCTGAAAAATACGTCTTTTAACGATATATCATTTGAGGTGTCCATACAGACACAATCACTAGTTGAGTTTACCTCGAACCCCTTGGGCAAGTTAGCAAACACAAATGATATGGTTGAATATGCCCTAGTCGACTCCGCGTATTCATGGGCTATTCTTGTATGTGCTACTTTAAACATGATAGTCATAATTGGGATCAATAACAGCTTTGGTATATTTTCCACCTACTATATCAACTTTATCTGCCCCCGAAATATCTGCTGCAGACATTTCTTGGATTGGTACCACAATGGTTTTTTGCATGCTCAGTGTATCCATATTCACTGGACCACTTACAGACAAGCTTGTATTTCGCTTAATCTCATTAGCGGGCTCGTTTATTTGCAGCGTCGCATTGATGCTCGCATCTTTCACAAGTACGGTATGGCAGTTTGTGCCCACCCAGGGGGTTATGTATGGTATAGGCGCTGGTTTCATATACTCGCCATCAATTTCTCTCACGTCCCAATGGCACAAAAAGAACCGATCGCTGGCAATTGGTATTACCGTTGCAGGAACTGGAGTTGGCGGTATGATTGTATCTGAAATCGCACAGAGACTGATGGAGGCGGTTGGATACAACTGGACTCTCCGAGTGCTTGCCCTAATGGCCTTTTGTATGAGTGGAACAGCGGCTAGCTTTTACAAAAGGCGGGTGCCAATTCCCAGAGAAGGTGTGGACTTTATGATTATTGCTAAGGATACCCGGCTGATAGTTATTGGCATAGCTGGACTGTTTGTCCACGCCGGGATATATATGATTTGGTCTTATCTCCCAACAGCAGCATTGATGCTTGGTCAGTCAGAAAAGCGTCAAACAAGTTGGCTATATACCTGAGCGCAGGCAGCACTGTAGGTAGAATAGTATCATCATACGCATCCATAGCCTTTGGCTCCATCAACAGCATTTTTATCTCGTACACATTGTGTAGCGTGCTTATTCTGGTTGCCATGTTGGCTATTAAAAGCATGGCAGCATATATTGCACTTGCAATCATATATGGGGCCATTTCTGTAAGCTACGTCTCCGTAGCCCCGCTCATGATAGCAGAGATGTTTGGGGTGCAGAAGGTTCCCACGGCGATGGGAATTATGAACGCGTGGAACTCTATTGGTGTTCTCATTGGAAACCCGTCGCAAGGCGCTATCTATCAGCATCTCGATCGGCCTAATAGCTCGTTCGCAGGAATAACCATTTGGGGAGCAACCAGCCTTTTCCTTGCTGCGTGTAGCTTTGTGGTTTTGAAGGCTATTGTTATCTGCGGTGGTCCACATCGCATCTGGTCTAAATTGTAAACTTAAAAGTGCCCGTATGTGTTTTAGTATAAATTATTTAATTGCGTGCCCGCTTCACAGAGATAAATGGAACTATTCGGACTATATCCGCGACAGTAATGAATGTTCAACACCAAAAACATGCAGGCTGCCCATACTCAAGTTAATTTGTATAAATTGTATTTAAACACCGAAAAATGCGGCTTGCCAGGATTTTGGCGTGTTATTTTTTCCCCACCCATTTTTGCTAAACCAATTGAAATTTTTTTACTTCAAATGAGCGGCGCCGCCCAGCACACATACACAGCAAAGAATGGAAAGCTGTCGGTAATACACGGCGCACGAATACCTCTGGCACTTCTGCGCCTGCTATTTGGCGACGCAAACAACAGCAGCAACTCTTATCACCGGGACTCCGACGACGGTGACGACAGCAGTGCCACCACTACCACTACAAACACCAGCTACACGGACACATCTTTGAGTCCAAATCATTTGTTTAAGAGAGAGTTGGCGCGCTCCATTTACGCGCTGTCAATGGACAGCAGTCACTTGGCTGTTGCGCACGACGACCGGTACATGCTGTTGGAGCGCCCTGAGGACGACGCCCCGATGAATTACCGCCTGGTGTCTGTGGGCAGCGACGCTGCGTTTCCAGGAGAGTCAGTTACGGCGCTGTATTGCATGAGCGTGTACACACCGCATGGTCACCAGAAGCAGAGCAGGGGTCAGTCTTTATGCGTTGTTGTGGGGTATTCCAGTGGCTACTTGCGCATATTCTCTCTCTATGGGCACTTGCTCACGACTCACCAGTTTCATCCGCAGGCGTTGATACGCATTCGCCTGCGGATGCCGTCGCAGGCGAACAGTGCCCAGGAATCCGGTGAAATGAGATACATGACGAGTAACAGCAGTGGGAGCGGCAACAGCGTCAATAATCATGGTGTGAGCTCAGCTGTTGATGACGCCGAAGAAGTGTGTTTGACATATACCGACGGGACAATGGTGAGCATTGATGGCAAGTCACTTTACTTGGCGCTCCGGCTATGCTTGAACGAAGCATCGTCAGCAGAGTCTGACGAGCCGATGTTCCAGTACAAGAAATGGGCGTTTGATTTGAACACACCATTGGTTTCTGATGCAGTCAGCTACGGGCCATCAGCACATAGAGACCCGCTGGCGTCGCTGGCCAAAGCAACAATGACATCGAGTCCATTGCTTTCAGATGCCACAGCGCGCTTTCTCGTTGCTCCGCAGCATGGCGATGCGGCATTTGGGGTTTTCATGACCAACGAGGACGCAGCAATGTCGTTTTCTGCAGTCGATATTGCCGGCAAGATGGCGGCCAGAGTCACCGGCGCAGTGCTCAGCATTGCAAAGTCGTATTTTTGGCGGTCCAGCTCACAGCCGTCATCGAGGACCCCGGACTCGACCAGTCATGGAGCAGCAGGCACAAGCGATCCGGGCACCCTAGTACCGTGTGCATTTGCTGTGCGCGACAGCCCGCGCAAAGTACTCAATATATCGCTGGCACCCGCGCAGTACAGCCTGGCAACGTTGACTGATTCTCTCGGCCGAGTGCTAGTTTTTGATCTGGAGAGTTGCGAAATTATCCATATGCTCAAGGGACTCCGTGGAAGCCAATGTGCGTGGCTTGAGACCGAGTCCCCGGATGAGACCAGTGACACTGCACATGGTGATGATCGGGTTAGCCAACGCCGGCGGCGGATGTTTATTGTGGTTTATGCTGGGAAGCGCGGTACTGTTGAGGTTTTTGAGCTTGGGTCCCTCGAGCGGTCGCTGGCTTCTGTTAGCGTGGGACTTGGGTGGAAGCTGGTTCAGTGCCCTACGCAGCCGCTGGGCGGGAGCCTGGTGGTTGGTTCAGCCGGCAGCGCTCGTCGGGCGGCGTTGCCCTCGCTTGCGTCGTGTATGCTGCTGAACGAGAGTGGCCATGCCGCTCATATACAAATCAACATTTAATTTTTTGTATTAATAGAATATTTTAAACAAAATAAAGCAAAAAAAGACAAGAAATGAAGTAAAATTTTATTTGATCGTCTTTGTGTCCTCCATCCAGCTGGGGATCTGCTTGTATGCAGGGTCCACAAACTCGACATCCAGCGGATCGGCCCAATTAGCCAGCCGAGGCACAAACTCTCTGGCCTCATCCCAAGCTGAGTTCTTGAACAGCTTGAAAACCTTGAGCTCCACGCCATCATCAGTCGGATACAAGTCGCGCCTCTGGTAAACAACCGGCGGATGCACAGAAAATGCACTCAGCATTTTGCGCTTAATCAGCGCCACTATCTGTACATCAAGCGCGCGCGACTGCCGAGAGTTCTTCACAAAGTACGCAAACAGTTTCTGCGCGCCGTTGCGGCTAAGCACATACCCGGAGGTGCAAAACGGATGCACAGACCTGTGCACCCGATCAAACGCGGTTTTCGCTTTTCCGCGGCCTTCCTCCGCGGAGCAATGGCCAATATGGAGAATGTCCCAATTTGCCGAGGTTGCATTCAGCGCGTTGATTGCCTTGCCGATGACCGAGACCGCGTCCACTTCAAAGTCGATGTCATCTTCGAGGACGAGCGCACGCTCGTAGCCGCGGTTGATCATGTCGCGCCAGATATCCATGTGGGTGGCTTGCGACTTGTCGAATATTTGCACGTTCAGGTGCATGTACCTAAAGAGCTCGCTCATCCGGCCTTTGCGCCCGAGCCGGTTCTTCTGGTTCAGGCAGTAGATGTGGTCGGTGTATGCCAGTGTGTACTCGCGTGCGGGCTCGGGCAGCTGAAGTGAAGACTCGTCGACAAACGTGTAGCGGTGGTAGCTGGGCACGGCAGCAGCAGCAGCAGCGGCTGTTTCGCTGTTGGAATTGGGCGGGCCGGATTGCATGAATGGCATGCCGAGGCTGCTCGAGTCTATGTACAGGACCTTGACTATCCATAGCGCGGATATCATAAAGCTTAACAGGAAATATAGGCGGATGGCACGGCCGTACCACCACACAGAGGTGGACCCTGGAAGCGACACCATTAGCTTGGGCAGAGTGTATTGTGACAAAAGGGTTGTTTGCGGCGCGAGCTATCAATAAGTAGGGAGAATAAATTATAGACAAACGAATAAAATATACAGGAATGAAAATGCGTTGCTAGTACTGAAAAAGCAACAAGTGCGAACGCAGCTGAAGCAAGTGCTGGCCAGTTCCTGACCAGACAAATAATTGTTGGTGCTAAAAACATCACTTTGCTATCGTCTCCACATTTAAAAGTTTAAAAAGGGGTATTTCGCAGTAAAAAATTTTATAACAAGAATTTTCAAATATTCGCAACATTCTTGACTCCTCTTTCCATTTTATCACTTTGGCTCAGTATGCGCCTTCTTGATGCTCAAGTAGAGCACCGGCGAAAACGCGTCGTCCGAGTGCATGACGACGTCAACCTCATCCAGCACAATGCGGCGCTTATACAGCGGGCAATCCAAAGTAAACGACTCGTACTCGCCGCCCTCGCCGCAAACATGCACGCCGTACTTTTTCTCTAAAGCCAAAAGCTTAGGCTCCATCTGCGCCAGCGTCATGCCAAGATCGCACCGATCGAGTCCGAGCGACGCCACCTTGATAAGAATGGCGTCGATGCCGTTCTCAACCATCTCGTGGAGGAGCTCCGCCTGGTCGCGCTGCCAGAGATACGCCAGCATGGTGAGCCCGAGACGGTCGCACACGTGCTGGACGCGATTGGACTGGTAGCGGGAGAAAATGGCGCCGACAGAGACACCGAGAACCTCCGGGTGGTTCTTTTTGACCTCGGTCAGCAGGGTAAAGAGATCCTCGGTTTCATCATCCGCCGTCTGCTCGTATTCCAGGGTCTGCCTGATGGCTGCGCCCTTGGTTTCTTGGAGATAGAGAGGAAGCTCCATGCATTCGGCGATGGTCTTTATGCCACTGGAACCGACTGTCTGATACATGTAGCTGTCGAGCTCGTCCTTTTCAGAGTCGAGTGGCGGGTGGATGTGCGCCAGTGCGACGATCTCGTGGCCGTTTTCGACGCACTTGACCATGTTGTAGGAGCTATCCTTGCCGCCGCTTACCAGAGCCACGACTTGCATGTTTGAGAGTAGTTTGGGTTGAATAGGGGGTTTTAGCCTGCGTTGCTATATGCTGAGATTGGGTGGTGTATGGTTGGGGTGAGAATATAGAAGGCGTACACAGCATTTGTGCGGCTTTCCTTTTAAAAAAGAATTGCAAGATCTCCCGTGGGCGCGCAGCTGTTTTTTTGAGGTTGTCGCTCGCGCGGTTGTTGGTTGGTTGTGGGCACTTAAATCAGCAACTGTGCCTAGGTGGGCAGGCGACGTAGAATGCACACTTTTTTCTTTTCTTCTCTTTTTTCTTATAAATTTGCAAATTCGTCACCGCTCTTATTTTCCAAACTCTCATTTATGAATTCCCGTTATTCCACGCGGCTGTTATTAACAGCAGCTCTGGTACTATTTCTGATTTGTCCTGGTGTGTTCGGCAACACTGAAATTCGACACTTTAGACCTCCTGCTATCAATACAGACAGCCAGTTCCATGTGCACCAGTCGGAGATAAAACAGCAGCTATCACGGCTAATCCCTAGACAAGTTCTACTATCATCGCCATACACATCGACTGGAACCGAGCTGATTGCCAGCCTGCAGAGCGTAAACTCAACCCGCCAGGACAGAGAGCGGTGGTACTGTTTGGCAGACCTAGAGTCGAACGAATCCTACGAGCTGCGCGTATCGTATGCGGCGACCATGCCTACGGACTTTACTATTGAGATATTCACCATTGGTCAAATGGCAAAATTGCACGGTGTGGCTGTGGACGCGTTTGATGCAAATTCGTTGGAAAGCCGGGGCATTCCGAATACATTGACTAATGGCGCGAGGTTGACCATGTACGCCAAGGTGACGGCGTCGTATTCCGGTGTGTCGGTGGTTCCCAGAATGGAGGACCGCCGTGTACCTTATGTGTTTGTGCTCGAGAAGCACGTTCTGGGGCTTCCGATCCAGGCGATCAAGCTTATTGCCGTTTTGGTTGTCGTTATTGCGTTCAGCTTGCTCTGGGTCACGCCGCGCATTTTGGCCAAGATCAAGGCTGTGCTTGCTGAAGAAACAGTGTCTCCAAAGCAGGATTAACCAGGGTGTACTTTGAATCTATATGGTTTTTTTGCAATATGTAATTATATTGATTATAAAATAAAAAAGAACGGTGCGTGTACATTTCAACTCGTGGATCTGTGAGCTAGCAGGCGGTATTTTTGCCAAATAGATCCCCCAAGAACCAGAACAGTGCACAGTATAATCAGCCCGACCAGCACACCGGATAACATGGCCTTGTATCCGAGCTGCGTGTACAAAAAAGTAGCCAACGGCGGTGCACCCATCAATGCCATAGCCCAGGCCGCATTGTAAAGACAATAACTTTGTGCCATCGAGTTAAGACCCAGTGCATTGACAAAGTCGCCAAAACTGCTCATCACCGGGATATTGACCAGAAGTAACGAAATGCTTAACCACGCTTGAATTCCCAATATCATATCAAACGACGAGCTGAATCCCATCGCGATAACCGCGCTGCCAGTCAATATGAGCCCCGTCAATACTATCCACATGCGCGTTCTCTCGCCGTATCTGCCGATTAGCCAGTCGACTGCGCATCCTACGGGGGTAGATAAGACTAGTGAAATTACACCGTTTGTCACAAAGAGGAGTCCGTTTTTTGAAGCGGATGCGTGAAATTTGTCCTTGGCTCGCATTGGTTGGATGCTATCCAAAGACCCCAAGAGCATGCCCATGGTCAGGGTTACAACCGATGCGGACAAGACTTGCCACTGGCAAATTAGCTTCCATAATGGCATGTTGACTGGAACTGGAGAATCGGAATAGGACTTATGTCGGGCGCTTGGAACGTCCGAGTACCCATCCAGGTCGAGCTTTTCGTGCACTACGCTGACTGTATGATGCCCCAGAATTTCTGCGCGTATTGTAAGCGGGTCCTTGATTCCAAATGCAAGTACAAAGGATAAGAAACCACTGGCCAGCACTAAATAAATAAAATTTTTAATTATAATATTTTATGACCTTTCAACTACAATTTCAATTTCAATTACATTAATTTTATCTTTTAAATTCTTACTTAATAGTGTCGCCGATCCATGAACGCCCACCTTGTCATACAACGCACCACCAATAAGGGGTCCTAAGAAACAAAGGCAACAAAAGCAAATATAAAATGTTAAAATGAACATTTAAATGCCGCAACCTGATTTTTTCACATATCAACCTCACTTACCAACCATGTATCCTAAATTCCCAAACACTTGAATAAATGACATTTTTAGTCCAAGCAGCTTCTGCGGATAGACATCACCAATAATAGCAATGGATAGTGGATAAATGCACCCGGACGCCAATCCGTTGACCAGCTTGTATACGAGAATATGCCAAAACTTGTGCGAAAAGAACAACACAATCCCGCTAATCCCGTAGCCAACCGCGCCAATGAGCATTAATGGTTTGCGACGACCCATTTTGTCACTGACGATGCCGGATATAATGCTTGTTATAAATGTGCCAACACCATACAACGTTGTAACAATGCCCAGCTGCGATTCTGACGCTAACTTCATGTCATCGAATACGTGTGGCAGAAAAGCAAACGCAATTGAATATGCAATGTTATCTACAAGTAAGGACAAGCATGTAAATGCGACTATAGCTGCTGGCGTTGAGCGCATAGCTCCTATTTTGCTGACAATGGCATAGGGCTTGTTCATTGTTTTATGTTTATAATAATATGCAAAATGTTGGGTGTTTAAACTATGGATATTGAAAATACAGAACCAAAAACCAGCATATCTGTACGTATGTTTTATTCTATCCCTCAGAAAACATTGAATTCAAAATAAAAATTGATAACTGCAAGCTGTTCTATTATTGTTCAATGTATGGCGGAAATCTGCCTTGAAACTTTGAAAAAAACGGTATGTATTTGTTGAAACAGTAAACTGGGTGGCTGGAATCGCATTTGGCATGCAAACATTTTTTCAAATGTGCAAAACATATCACGCAAAAAAAGCAAAGTTGTTAAGCAAAGGATAATATTACTACTGCAACAGGCACAATAAAGATTTTAAAATTACTAGCTACATCTTTGGGCGAGCACCCTTAGATTGCATACGTTTGAGAATAGCAGCAATAGCCTGCTTCGAATCCGCTGACGTAGCACGCTTGTAAATCTCGTCCATTTCCCTATCGTTCACCCGAACCAACTCATCAACCAACTCTTGGTGGCGCAACAATGATCGAGAAGCACTTATAGCTGCCTGCGAGCGGCTCGCCAGCTCTTTTGCCACGCCCATAGTGACAGGCATCAAATCTTCAGACTTTACCAGTCTGTCAACAAAACCTCTTTGGTGCATTTCCTTTGCGCTCATAGCCCTGCAGAACAAAAGCATGGCGTTTGCGACCATCGGGCCAAGAATTCTGGGGAAAGTTACCGAACTACACCCTTCAGCGCATAATGCCAGTTCTGCAAAGGGTGTGCGAAACACAGCCTGCTCTACCGAAATGACCAAGTCACAGAGCGCCAGCGAAGTGCAGCCGTAGCCGATGGCCGGTCCGTTTACTGCGGCTATGATCGGGACGGGCGAGGTGATCAGAAGCTTGGTCAACTGGCGTGAGAGCTCGATATTTGCACGTAATCTCTCGTTCTCTTCTTCTCCGGAAGCATTCTGCTTGGGTGTGGGGAGCTCTTGGCCAGCAGAGTAGGCGCGGCCGCTACCTGTAATGACAAGCACACGGATGGATGGTGTTTGGTGGACCAGCTCCATCACCTGCTTCCATTCAGTGCACGACGCACGGGACAACGAGTTCATGTACTGTGGACGGTTAAATGACATCACCAGGATGCCTTCTGCGTGCCATTCAAGCTTTATTACCGTCAGATGTGGCAGAGAAATAGCTGAAGCCATTGTAAAATATATATAATTCAACAGAGGAATACAAGGGAAAAATTCATTGTTTTAAATTTTCCACCGTCGACTTTTCTCTTTTGAAACACCAACAATTGTTGAGGTTTTTGCCACTCGCCACCGCTCTGCGAATTGCTGGCCGGCGATCGTTCCCAAATATCCAACATTCCCCCATTCCATATATCCACTGTTGTCTATATGCTTACAGCTTTTAAAATGTAATATTATGACTTGAATCCAATTCAATACTATTTCTTACTTGCATAACAAATAAATCGAAAATGGGTTTTGAATAAGCATAAAAATGTTTGGATTGTCGCTATCATACCTGTTTGATACAGAAACTGGTATTTTCACATGACAGTACAAAATTAAGGTCAGTACAAAATTAAGATCACGCAAATCAGTCGATGCACTTTCACAAACAAAAAAGGGGAGAAATCTAGTTCGAGGCAGCAGCGCTGCGTCTGTCGCGCACAGCCTGGGCAAGCTCCTGGAGCATCGGGATGGTCTGCTCCCAGTTGACGCAAGCATCGGTGATGCTCTGGCCGTACTTGAGGGCCTTGGAGCCACCGTTCTCCTCCAAGGGGATATCCTGGCGGCCCTCGTTGATGTTGCTCTCGATCATGACACCGATAATGGACTGGTTGCCAGCAGCAACCTGCTTGGAGATGTCGCTGGAGACCTTGGGCTGGTTACGGTGGTCCTTGCTCGAGTTGCCGTGGCTGCAGTCAATCATGATGTTGTCGACGACCTTGGCCTTCTTGATCTGCTCGGAGATCTTGGAAACCCACTGGGACTCGTAGTTGGGTCCGCTGTTGCCGCCACGAAGAATGATATGGCACATGGGGTTTCCGCGGGTAACGGTGATGGCAGCCAGACCGCTCTTGGTGACACCCAAGAAATGGTGGGGGTGGCTGGCCGAGCGGATAGCGTCGACCGCAATGGTGGCATTGCCATCGGTACCGTTCTTGAAACCCACAGGGAACGACACGCCGGAAGCCAGCTCGCGGTGGAGTTGCGACTCAGTGGTGCGCGCACCAATGGCGCCCCACGAGAACAGATCGCCCAAGAATTGCGGTGAGATGGTGTCCAGGAGCTCGCAGCCGGCGGGCATGCCCAAGTCGGTGATCTTGCACAGAAGATCGCGCGCGACGTGCAGGCCCTTGTTAATCTGGAAAGTATCGTTGAGGTCGGGGTCGTTAATCAGACCCTTCCATCCGACGGTCGTGCGGGGCTTCTCAAAGTACACGCGCATGATGATGCACAGGTCGTCCTTCAGCTCGTCGGCCAGGACAATCAGATTCTTGCAGTAGTCCAGAGCAGCCTCGGGATCATGGATGGAGCAGGGGCCGACAACAACAATCAGCCGGTCGTCCTTGCGGCGCAGAATGTCTGAGGCCTGCTTACGGCCGCTGGCGATCACGTCCTCGGACCGCGCGCTCAGAGGGTGCTCCATCTGCAGAATGTTGGGAGGGATAAGAGGGTCGTAACCAGCGATGCGGAGGTCATCGCCGGCCTTGTGGAATGCGGAAGAGGTGGATGCCATGGCTGAATGGGCTATTATGTATGTGTGGGTTTTTTAAGGTATGTAATATAGTACACAAAAAAGATGGAAAACAATCAGAAGCAGAGATGAGAGATGTGGAAACGGGTGAGCGAGCGGGCCTGCCAATAAAGGCGGAGGAAGAATTGTAATTTTTTGAGCTCGCAAGGAATGTTTGCTTTGGATTACGTTTCTTGTTTCGGAGGTATTCGGAGCTGGCACCCCTTTATAAAAATTTTTATCACTGCTATAGAGGCGCATCGACCTGCCTAAACAGAGCGCTGACGGCAAGAGGCTGAACCATTTGAGTCACACCTGGCCGAAAGTCCTAATTATTGGGGGCGTTTGCAAAACGGGGGGTGACCACATATCGCTGATCCCGATAATGCGTCACCTAAAATAAAGAGAAAAAATAAATTCCCAGCGCTAAAAAAAAGTGCTAGCTAATAAAGCTGTACACGTGCGTAAACGCACACACCAGCAAGTCGCCTTTTGGAAATTGCGAGTTTCGGATGTTTGGCACAGACCGCGAGATGCAATGTCATGTATATAATAATAGAAACTTGTTTTACTTATTTACTTGCGCGCCTTTTTGGCAGTGCTGGCAGCCGCTGAGCCCTTGCGCTTGGCAGCGTCTTTTGTAGTGGCAGCGGTTGCAGCGGGCTTCATCGGAGTCGCGCGCTTGGCAGTGACCTTGAAGAAGGAGTCAATGCGCACCTGCTGGCCCTTGCCGACGGCCTTTTCCAGCTTGGCGGCAGCCGAGCGCACGCGCTGCTCATTGAACTCCATCTCGTGCACGAGGAACTGCACCAGGCCCTCGGTATTGGGCTTCTCCCAGACAAAATCGGCCGAACAATCGGACACGTCTGCCTGAGTGAACAACCCGCGAGCACCCTCGAAGGGCCAGTCCTCAGGCACGCCCTTGGCCACCTTGTCAACCTTGATTGTCTCTTCGATGGTCTTGTGTTCGCGAATATACTCGTACCCAGACTTTGGGCCGACACCGCGGATCGAGTCACAGTAGTCGCAGCCTAGCAGGATCCCCATATCGATGAGCTGGTCCAGCGAAAAGTCAAGGCCCTTCAGGACTTCGTCCAGGCGGATCTCCTCAATAGGCAGCTTGCGGGCTGCGGGTGCAGTCAGATTGCGCAGCAGCACGGGTGCGCCAAACAGCAGGGTGTCCATATCCTGCGAGGCCGCCGCCCACACCTTGCCTGCCTTGGCCAGGGCTGCGCACTCAGCCTCAGCTTCGCATGGCGCCGTCGTGTGTGGAATACCCATGAGCGTGAGCAACCGCTTGGCCTGCTCGTTGATCTCGGGTGTCACCTTTGTCAACCGCTTCATCTGCTTAAGCATCTCGTCAGCGTTGCCCTCCTCCTCGGCAACCTTCAAACTCTCCTGTGCCAAATCCCTTTTCTCCTTTCGCTTGGCCAGCTCCCCACCCTTCATTGTTGGTGGCTTTCCGTCAAACACGTATAAGGGTTTCAAGCCTGTCTCCACCATGTTGACTGTGCGGTATAAAAGTCCGATCAAGTGACTTGTTGTGCTGCCGTCCGCTGTTGTCAGGTTCTGACCCTCATTACGCACAGCGACAAGGAACTGGTAGAGCGACGTCGACGCATCAATCGCCACCTTGCGCCCCACGAGATGCTTCATTTCAACCGAGCGGAGCGCCAGCGGTGCACGGTCGGCAATAACCTGCTTGAGTCCTTTGATTCCCATGGCTGAATTTGAAGTTTGGAGAAAAGAAATACAAAATAATTACCTGTGAAAAGAAGAAGAAAGGAAATACACAATTGCGAAAAGGCAAGAACGCGATTTGAACGCGCAAAAAAGAAAAGTTTTCTCGTCAATAAAAATAACATCAAAAAATGTAATGATGAGAGTGGGATTTGAACCCACGCCTCCGGAGAGACCGCGGCCTTAACGCGGCGCCTTAGACCAACTCGGCCATCTCACCAATGCTTAGTGAACTAACTCACTCGCTGATTTTACATTATCTAAAAAAGTATACGATCTAATAAAAACAAAATTATAAAATTATATACTCCAAGCACAGAATACTGCTAATTAGAATAATTATTACAATGTGTAAAATCGATTTGACAATAAACCAGTGCAAGCAAGATTTTGTCTATGGTTGTTGCAGGTAAATAAACAAGCGTATTATCGAATATGATTACTATTAGTTTGACTGTCGAAATGACTAGTAAAAGTATATATATCCATGTCTTGTATTTCAAAATGTATAGCAATGTTTTCAGCAGCCCAGTAGCACTGCTACTCATTATACACGCTTTACAAGCTAAGCTGACTTGACTGTAGTTTAAGCCTTGTTTCTCTATTGTCTTGAAAAATACTGAAAAATAAATTGTTAGATACTGCTTCAGGATTATTGAATTTATTGACAAGCATAAAAAAGGTGAGCCTTCAACTTTTATAACCGTAAATGTAATGTATTGAATTAATAAACCAAATTACACTAAAAACATGCCTATTTTTCTATCTGACCTTAATTTTATGGCTTGGGTAAAGCTGAATCTACACTTATAAACCTAGGCTTTTTATTTACCGCTTTTCTGACTTTTACAGGTTTTACAACTATTTCGTCTGGTGGAATACATAATATTGAGGGTGCTGCAAATAAACACAACTTGTGTATAATATTTACCCCCTGATCCTTTAAATGGTTTAAAAGGGTCTATCAAACCTTGAAAAATGACAAAATCGTTTATATCATAGTCATAGAGTCCAATTTGATATATTTTCCCACAGCCTCCAGGCACTCTATTAAAAATTATTTTTATTACCACTCCATGCATGTAGTCATTGTAGAATCTAACTATAAAATATTATTTTTATTAGATGTTTTTTCATTTGTCGCTCAGTAACATATGCGCACCAGAAGTTCAATAAGGTCAATATCTAGTTTGACTGTATTTGTAACTGTAATTTGTAACTTGAAAAATATATGCACTGTATAACCTTTGTTTGGATCAATATTTAAAGTTGGCATTGTTGCACAGACTGAAGACATGGAAGTGGATGTTGAGGTTGAGAATCGCAAAACAAGTTTCCATCTGCATGGCGATTGATAGGGTACTAATTGGATCATGCAGGTGTAAATTAGGGAGGCATTACATTGATGCCCAGATATGCCCCCCATTTTGCAATGCACACGCGTGAGTGCACACACACGAAAACCACAACACTGACTTGCCAAGATACTGGTCTGCTCGCAGAAAAACCAGTTCTTGCCAACGGAGTGCACAATTGGCAATGTGCACAACAAAGGCGACAAGGCATATAGACGAGGCCGGCGCTAGTAGTATTTTAGAAACATTAGCAATAGACCTCTTTATGAAATCACCCCTACTTTTCTAACACTAGACTAATGCTTCTCACACCCCCTCTTACATAACAGCATAGTTATAGTGCCTTTTATATTTGTGTACCTCAGCACATATTTTTATTTGTCTGTCTTTGTCACAATATTTTGTTACAATATCTTCAAGTAAACCGCCGAGTCTCGAGCTTAAAGAAACACGCAACGTACTTTTGTCCGATTCTTTCTTTTCGCCCAAAATATTAGTAACATTAAAAAAACCACTTGATTACCGTCCGACATTTTGTTAAAATTTTAAAAAAATAAGTTGAAGCAAGCAATATAAAAACACCGCTTAAAGAGTAATAGCAAACCTAAATAGCAAGGAAAAAGAGAAAAAATTGATATTGTTGCAAAAAAATAGCTCCTAAAAATAGTTCAATTGATTAATGGCCAATTCCCTATTTTTTGGACATTTTTTATAAAAAAGCCGAGATTTAATAAAAGAAATTGCAGCGGCTGTAAAAAGGGTATTAATACAAAACAAAGCCAGGTAATAGCTTGGCAAGCAAAAATCGGACTAGATAGCTAATTTTTTTAATTATTGCAATGAATGTAAGATTTATTATTGCAAAAGTTTGTTAGCATCCACACATTTACAGACGCCTTTTTGACTATGATTATTTCCCTGAAAAGTATAATAAAAATAACTTATAATTGCCGTTTATTGGCTAGATACATTTGTATCTGTATAAAAAAGCAAAAAAACAAAATTGAGGAAACACTATCAAGTCTTTTGAACTTTCGTCAGCTGAACTTAAAGAATTAAACACAATGCTACAGCCACTTTTACTCAGTAGTGTATATATTTGTTAACCTGAAATCTTTATTGTTTAAGCTTGTTACCATTATGTTTTTGGGTTGTCAATTATATGGTGTATCACAATTATTCACAGTTAGTTTGTACAGTGTACATTTTATTGTCCCCATGGTTTAAATGGTTCTATTTTTATTATCCCTGCCTCTTTAACTTGATTATATTTTAATCAATACTGCTTATATCTACTAATATTTGTTTTTTTGCTAAATATTGAATGGCATATAAAATATTGGGCAAATATAAGCCATATGCTAAGCCACTTTGAACAGGCATCATATTGAAATATACAATTGGAAAATAGTTATTTTTGAATCACTCTCGGCCATTCGTTCCAAAATGGCTGGCAGCAAATTCCCTGGCAGTATCCAAAACAGCTCTCGGAATGCCCGCAATCTGGGCAACATAAAATGCATGTGACTTTGTGCAAACGCCCTCCCTAACCTTATGCAAAAACGCAAAACCGCCCTCATTATCCTCATAAATAGCAGTATGCAGCGGCACGAGGTTTTTCAAAGTTGGCACGACATGAGGAATCAGCTCATGGTAATGTGTGGCAAACACAGCTTTGCACTGCACCACATCATGGAGGTATTTCAAAGTGGCGTAGGCAATTGACACGCCATCCGCAGTGGAAGTACCACGGCCGATTTCGTCCAGAATAACCAGGGACCGAGGGGTCGCATGGCGGAGGATCTCTGCAGCCTCAGTCATCTCCACCATAAAGGTGGACTGGTCCAGGGCGAGGTTATCATGGGCACCGATGCGCGAGTATATTGCATCTAGGATATGCAGCTGGGCAAGGTCCGCAGGCACAAAGGAGCCGATCTGCGCCATGATGGATACGAGGGCGATTTGCCGTAGGTACGTAGACTTACCGCCCATATTAGGGCCCGTCAGCAGCAGCACGCGGGTATCAGCCTCGAATCGACAGTCATTGGAAACGTACTGCCGGTTGCTGTCCAGCAGCTGCGACTCCACCACTGGGTGCCTGCCATTGGTGACCACATGCGACTCCATGGGGCCAACAAACCGCGGCCGCACATACTGCCTGGCCGAAGCCAGCTCAGCCATGCATATCGAGCAATCCAGGTCCGCGAGCACCTTGCTGTTGGTCCGGATCACGAAGCTCGCCCGCAGCACCTCGTCCCTCAACTCCTCGAACACGCGCATCTCCTCCGCCTGTACGCGGGTCCGCAACATGTCGATTTCCGAAAGCAAGTAGGTCCACCGCTGGTTCTCAAAGCGCACCTTGCTCTTCAGCGACTGGATCATACGGAACTCCGCGTTGGCCTGGAGTTTCTCAGAGTCGCGCTTGGACACTTCGATAAAGTGGCCGAGGTGCGATGCGGTGTCGAGCTTAAGCGACGCGCACGTGTATTGGCGCTGCCAGTGCTCCTGCATGGCCTGGCGCTCGGCATCCTTAAGCCGCAGGTCGCGGTGGAGCTGCGTGACGGTGCTGCTGCAGTTGGGCTTGAGGAAGCCGAAGACGCGCACATCGCGGTCGGCGTCGGCGCGGATCTTGCGCTCGATGTCCACGGCCAGCGCGTCCAGCGCCACCATCGCCTGCTCTTTGCGCCCGACCGCGGCCAGGATCTCGGCGCGGCGGCCGGAATCAGCAATGGCCGGCGGGCGGCGCGCGGCAGATTTCCTGGCAGGCGGGCGAGGCGGCGCGTCCAGGTGGGCGCGCAGAAGCGCCTTGATGCGCGCCACCTCCCGCAGCGTCCGTGCGATCTCCAGCAGGTCGTGGGGGCCGCCGCAGTTGAGCGAAAGCTTGTTGACGGCGCGCTCAATGTCGCCGATGCCGTCCAAATGCGCAGCCACGCGGGCCCGAATCCGCTGCGACACGGCGAAGAGCTCGACAAGGTCGAGCCGCGCCTCGACAATCGCCGCGTCGGTGGACGGCGCGGCCAGGCGCTTGGCCAGCAGACGGCCGCCGGCGCTGGTGCGCGTCGAGTCCAGCTCGCCCAGCAGCGATGCTGCCGCCGGGCTGCTGCCGGGAGCCGAGCCGGCGTGCAGCGGCCGCAAAAGCTCCAGCGCCTGGATGGTCGCGGCGCTCATGCGCACGTGGCCCTCTGGCCGGTACTGGCGCGGCGGCTGCAGCGGCGGGAGCAGGCCGAGCTGCGTGGCCTGCACGTAGTTGAGCAGCGCGCGCGCTGCCGCCAGCTCGCCGGTTGCCAGCTCGGCAGCGGCCAGCAGGCCTTCGGCAGACTCGACCAGGCGGAAGGAGACGCCAGGCACTGGCGTGATGGGCGGGCGGCCGGCCGGTGCCTCGGCCTGCGCCTTGGCAAGGAGGCGGCGCAGCGTCGCGTTGGTCTCGTCAACGAGGATCTCCGACGGCCGGATGCGCGCGAGGTCGGCGCTCAGCGTGTCGGACGACGCCGTGCCGGTCATGAAGTCGCCCGTGGCCACGTCCAGCCACGCCAGCCCCAGGTCGAAAGCCACCGGCTCGGGCAACTCAACTGACGACGGGTCGAATGCTGCGGAACCGAATGCCGCCCGCTCTGCGTGCGCAGCATCCACAGGCGCCACGCACAGAATGTAGTTGTGCACGCGCGTGGTGGCCACGCACTGGTCGTCGATCAGCGTGCCGGGGGTGACGACCCGTGTGACCCTGCGCGTAAACGACCGCCGCATGGGCTCTTGGAACTGCTCGCACAGCGCAACGCTCATTCCGTGGCGGCTCACGAGGATCTCGAGGTACCGCAGGAGCGAGCGTGCAGGGAACCCTGTGAACCGAACCGAGCCGTTGCGGAACTTCTTGTCGACCACCTGCAGCCCCAGAATGTGCCCGCCTACGGAGTCGGCCTGGTCCATGTACAGCTCGTAAAAGTCGCCGACGCGCACGAGAAGAACGCACTGCGGGTGCTTTTGCCGGCACTCGCGCACTGTCTGGAGCACGCTGCTGGTGCTGATCGTCCTGTCCAGCAGCAAGGCCGACTCAGCCGACTCAGCCGAAGAGGCTGTGTCGCTGGTGGTGGCCCGCGTCTGGGTGTGCTGCCAGGGTTGCCTCTGCGCACCCGGCGCTGCCTGTGATAATGCTGGCTGGATCAGCGCCCTAGCGGTGGGTGCTGGGCCGGGCGTGCTGAGTGTTGCTCGGTGCGTTGTGTGTACGTGTAGAAAACGGTACAGCGCTGCTAGCCGTTTGTATCTGCTGCCGTTGCCCAGAACCATTTTGCTCAGAGACCTGCTGTGAGCTCGTCCAAATTCGAACGTAAAAATACAACTTGAAAAAACAAAGAGGGTAGTAAAGGTGACGAAGTCCAGCTCTCACTTTGAAAGAAAAATTAATGATTAATATATGCGCTTACTAACCTTCAAAGATCGGGTAAGCTGTCTTTCTCACTCTTTCTCTTCTGCCAAAATATGTTCACTTTATTTGATCAACTTGATTGATCGATTGATTCAACCGGGTTTTCTAAATATCCATCTCGCATGCAGTCCTGCCGATTCCTGCCAGATAACAAACATAAAAACCGAAGCTGAAGCTGTGACTCACGCTATAAATAAATAGCCCGATTCGCGTGGCTCAAACAGGCAAAGCAAAAAAAATAGAAAATAAACCATGTGAATCATTTTTATTTTCACAATAGTATAGAATTCAAAAAAAATGTAATTGAAAAAATAGCGCGGGAAAATTTCACAAGCAACCCATTGGACAATGAACACGAACAGAGCCGCTAATGACCAACCTCAAATTTCTGCTTTTAGAAAGTCCTGTTCACTGATAACAATAATGATAATGACAATGACAATGACAATGACAATTACATACAAGCCTAGCCTCTATCCAAAGAGAGAAAATGAATCGCATAAATACTGAAAGCTCTTTTTTCTTTTTCTTCTTTCTTTTTGAAACGTCTCTCATATCTTTTCTCTCGAAAAAAATTTGATTTTTCTCTTTCTCTTCTTTTTTTGTATTAATCAATTTTTATTTTATTTCTTCAAGCTTTTTTCTTCAACCATGTGTGGAATTTTCACCGTCTACAACTACTACGGCGATGTCGGAGAGTTCCGTCAACGCGCCCTTGATCTGTCCAAGCGGTAAGTGTCTTGGTCTTGACCTTTAACATACAAAACCACTATCTGTTATTACATTTTTGTTATCCAGCAAAAAATAATAAAGACTGCTTGTAAACTAAAAAATAATTTGGCAAATATCCTTTTTATCTTTAGCATCCGTCACCGTGGTCCGGATTGGTCTGGGTGCATTGTCGCCGACAACAGCATCATGTGCCACGAGCGTCTGGCCATCGTTGGTATTGATTCTGGAGCTCAGCCCCTGACTAACGACGATGAGTCTCTCATTCTGACCGTCAACGGCGAGATCTACAACCACAAGAAGCTCGAGACTGAGCTTAAGAACCCGACAAAGTTCAAGACTCACTCTGACTGCGAGGTTATCATGCACATGGTAAGTAATTGCTCATTGACTTTTCTTTTTCATTTCAATTTGCCTGATCATTATTGCGGATTTTATCGCCGCAATCTGTGACTCTTTATAGGCACACTTGCCTTTTTTATTGTTGTTTTCAAGATCGACAAGGTATATCCATTTAAAACCGGTTTTCTGTTGCGATTTGCTAATCATCCCAGTTGACTCTTATCCCCCCACCAAAAAAATTCATTTTATTGCATAGTACAACGAGATCGGTACCGATGTCTGCGGAAAGCTCGACGGCATGTTCTCGTGGGCTCTGCTCGACCGGCGCTCGGACAAGTCGCGCCTTGTTGCCGCTCGCGACCCCATCGGCATCACCACCCTGTATGTTGGTCGGATCAGCGCACACCCCGGAACCGTTTTCATTGCGTCCGAGCTCAAGTCACTCAACGAGGAGTGCGACCAGATCGATGAGTTCCCTCCGGGTCACTACTTTGACTCGAACGACGGTCAGTTCCACCGCTACTTCAACCCTGATTGGTGGAACCCCCAGCGCATTGCGACCAACCCTGTCAACTACCGCCAACTGCGCGAGTCGCTGACTGCCGCCGTGCGCAAGCGCCTTATGACTGAGGTGCCCTACGGCGTTCTGCTGTCCGGTGGGCTTGACTCCAGCCTGATCTCCAGCATTGCCGTGCGCGAGTCCCACCGCATCTCCGCCCAGGCCCAGTCTGATGCCGAGGACATCGATACGCGTGGTGCCAGGTACTACCCCCGCATGCACTCGTTCTCGGTGGGTCTCCCGGGTGCGCCCGATCTGATTGCCGCGCGCAAGGTGGCCAAATTCCTCAAGACCGCTCACCACGAGTTCACGTACACCATTCAGGAGGGTCTGGACGCTGTCGCCGATGTCATTTACCATCTGGAGACCTACGACGTCACCACCATTCGTGCCTCGACCCCCATGTACCTGATGTCGCGCAAGATCAAGTCTACCGGCGTCAAGATGGTTCTGTCCGGCGAGGGTGCCGATGAGGTTTTCGGCGGATACCTGTACTTCCACTACGCGCCCAACGCCGACGACTTCCACTCGGAAACTGTCAGCCGCGTGCACAACCTGCACACCAGCGATTGCCTGCGTGCCAACAAGTCGACCATGGCATGGGGTCTCGAGGCGCGTGTTCCTTTCCTTGATAAGGAGTTCCTGGAGGTGGCCATGAATGTGCGTGCCGAGGACAAGCTGTGCTCCAAGGATATCATGGAGAAGGCGATTATTCGCCGGGCCTTCGATGTTGATTTTGCCGATGCCGGTTTTACCGAGGAGGAGCTCGCTCAGGGACCCTATCTGCCGCGCGATGTGCTGTGGCGCCAGAAGGAGCAGTTCAGTGATGGTGTCGGGTATGCATGGATTGATTCCTTGAAGGATTGGGCAGAGAGCAGAGTTTCGGATGAGGCTCTGGCGAGTGCCAAGGAAAGGTTCCCTTATGATACCCCGCAGACCAAGGAGGCTTACCATTATCGCGAATTATTTGAGCAGAAGTTCCCCCAGAAGGCTTGCTTGACCTCTGTTGTTAGATGGGTTCCCCGCACTGACTGGGGATGCAGCGCTGATCCCAGTGGTCGTGCTCAGAAGATCCACGATAAGGCATACTAATAATATATAATTTTGTTTTGGTTTATTTTTACATTAAAAATATTTATTATACATGATTCTCATGAATAAATATCACCACTTTTTAGCACAGTAACTTAGTGCGAACCTTATTATAAAAACAATAAAACACAAGCTACATAGCGAGTTGTTCACAATAACTCCCCTTGCATTGGATGGCGGCGCTGCTTAAATGGCCATTGAGGAGACATTGGTGCTGATGTCCGAGCTTGGGAGTGTGCGTTATGCGTGGTAATTAAGGCGGCTGTCCTGGACTAAAGCGTTGCAAAACGTAAGCGTTCCGGTGAGCTCTTTTTTGCACGGATCAAACTGGAACCACTGGCACGGTACCCGTGTCCAGTGGTCCTTGAATGTGTGGACAGCCTTGAGATGTGAAGTAGAGCAGTGAAATTCGTGTACGATGCGGCTACATTACTAAGGTGAATTACACCACCACACTGGTCTGCCAAACATCTGTCGATCTTTACCACAGAACCCAACTAAAAGGTGAAGGCAAAAAAAGACTGATCCACTTTGCTGCGCAAAAAAAAAGTGCAGAAAGGAAAAACAAGATCATAGGCGTGGTGCCACGGATATAAAAACCTCACCATGTCATCACCATGTCATCACCGTTCAATCCCCTTTCTAATTTCATTTTTTAAATGTACTCCCCCTCTTTACATTAAACCTTTTACTATCAACCATCATTCTTGTTTATCTACCTCAATATGAGCACGCTTTCGACATTCCAAACTCTGCCCTGGCATATTATCCAGTCAGTTGTTGATTTTCATATTAACACTATTAGCGATAGCCACAATGCTGACAAAACTCTCGCATCAGCTATTCTCCACAGCTGCCACAATTGGCGCTCCATTTTTATAATTAAAACCTGCAGTGTTGTCCAGTTAGACATTAAAAAAACTGCCCTTTCATTTTCATTTCCCAATTGGCTCAAAGCCCTCAACCAGCCCAATATTATGGCAGGCCGTTTTGCAAAGGCTGTTCATATCAATGTGGATGTGAATATGTTTAATTCAATCACGGATGATCGCGTGCTTATTCAACCCCTGCAGTCACTCCTCGCAAACGTTGTTTTCTCAGCTGCACTCACACTCCGCTTTGCCGCACGCTGTACTTGTACTTATTTGCCTTTCCCTATTGGTATATATGCTGCTGTGCAGAATGTCATTGAAATCTTGCGCAAGGTTAGGCAGATGACACCGATTATCCAGCAAGTTGACATATCATGGCCCAACCTTTTCTATCGGTATACCAGCGAGCAGGCTAGCACAAACTTTCGTCAGATAATAGAGAAGATGTATCGGGGAGTGAACGGGGTTTCCTTTGAAATTAACCACTGCACACGTTTTATTCCTCATTTTGTGCCTGCTGATCTATCAGGCACGAGTAATCTGGCGTTTGGCGAGATTAGAAATCGGATGTGGGCTATCGAATCCATTCAGCGCAATGCGGGGTCATTGAAAACCCTTTCTTTGACGCCTATGGATATGGAGACGGCAACCGCGCTGTTACGCAACGCCCATGGAGGACCTGTTGTTTATCAATGCTTGGAGTCTTTTGAGATTATAAGCAGCAGCGCAGACCATCGATACGACTGTCTACTTTCCCGCACTCAAATCATGCAAAATTCGTGGCCATTATCTGTTCGTCGACGATGCTCTGTTTAGAGGCAACAGCAGCACGCTAGAGAGACTGGATATCTACATAACCACAAATTTTATTGACATTGCAGACAAATTCTGCATTTTTATAGCCAGCCGATTTACAAACCTGCAGTCTATTTGCCTAACACTTGTCGATTCATCCTTGGTTTCCAGTCAGCAGCGGGGAACAAGGTTTCAGGAGTTTATTCTTTAGGCTTTACCAGCACTTGGCGCTTCAGCTCGAATCCACACATTCAGACTTTCTGAAGGCGTGGACAAGGATACAGCGTTGAAGAGTATACAGGAACTCTCAGCATTGAACCGTCTGCGGGTCATAGAGATTCCTACGGTTTCGCTGGAGTTTGAGGATGTTATCACGGTTATGCGACACGCGCCTTGTCTTCAAAAACTCGGTTACATGCCGGCAAGAGCTGCACCCAGTATTGACAGAGTAAGTGGCAACAAGATCTGGCAGCATGTTGATAGCATGGGCGGTACATTTGGCAGGCATTTCCGTTGCTTGACGTTTGAATGCAGAGTTGGAATGTCAATGCATAGAACAAAAGCTATTGTGCTTATTGCAATTGGTTGTCTGCAATCTATACGAGTGAAACTCGATTTACATGACAAAATTCAGTTCAACAAGCACATCGATCAGTTGGCGGGCTACAAATATTTATCCAAGTTTGCAGATCGCATCAAGTCATCAGCAGTTTAGTTTTGCAAATAATATTCAATTCATTTACTTTTTATAATTGATAAAAATAAAAAAAATGCTTGCAAGCGGTTGTTCAAAAAATAAAATAACATTTAAGCAATGAATCATACATACAAAAGAGTGCGGTTTAATCAGCTGTGCAATAAGTAATGCAAAAGAAAGAAAGCTAACAGTAGTAAAGGCAAGCTTTAGTACGTGTGACAATTAAAATTTACGTTAATTCTGAAATTTGAATTACACTGATTGCCAAGAAAATGACTGTTCCTTTGTAAGAACGCTGACAAAAAAACCTTTTTCGCTGCCTCTTTGTTAAATAAAAAGTGGGTCCTTTACTTGTACGCTTTCCAGAGTAACACATTTTTCTTGGCAAATATTATTTTTACTTTTTATTATGCGAGCATCAAACAAAAGTTTGTATATATATAAATGAGCAGGAAGGAATGATTCAATTTATGTTTTCCTCCATCTTTATTCTGCAATTTTTATTCTTTTAAAAACATTTTAATTATACATTATTTTCATCATGGTTAGCAGCACTTTTTTGTTTACGGGGTCTTGACACTGCTTAACCTGTGGGCCGCGTTTCTCTACTTTGCGTCGAAAAACGCTGCTAATGATGTCATTTCCAGAGCTCAGCTTAACAAGATGAATACAACGACTGCACTAACCGCCGAGGAGTACACATTCTATGGCATAGTTTGGGGCAGCGCCCTATTCACTATAGGTGCTATTTTTGGCATTTGTCTTACCAATATTAAAAGTAACACAGACGTTGTTTGCGGATCAAACGAAGGCAAGCTTGAACTTTGTGCCTAGTTTAATGAGGTTTGCTTTTTTTATAAATATTTTTGTTTATTATTGTAAAAATATAAAATCATTTATTATCTAAACATGCTGGAAGTAATGTTGCGCAGCCCGAGGACATGGAAGTGAATTATGAGGTTGAGAGTCTTAAAACATATTTCCATCCGCATGCTGATAGATCGAATATGGACTAGATCATGGTCAATCAAATAAGGTGCCAATATTGTCATCCAGACACACTGTCCGTTTTGCAATGCACACGTGCGAGCGCACATATGCAAAAACCACAACATTGAGTTCCTGATACCGGTCTACTCACAGAAAAACCAGTTCTCGCCAGCCGAGTCCACAACTGGCGAAGTGCATAACAAAGGCGACAAGATACATATATAAGACGAGACGGGCCCTAGTTCTACTTTTGATTCCCTTGATAATAAAAACTATAACAAAACCCAAACATACTTTTAACACCAGGCAACTAGTGCTCCACTCAAATCACAACAACTTCATGAGAGCAGCACCGGATTCATCCCCGCTCTCTTCGCCTAATCCACTAGCGGTATTATCATCGACAAGATTGAAAAGATACTCGATAATTGAATTGACAATCTCACGAGGGAGAGTTTAAAGTTGGGACAATTTGTAATTCATTTTCTAGAGAAGAAAATTAAATGGACAAAAGAAAAGAACAATGTCTTGTCAGCAGAAACTGCAACCGCCTTTGATTGTTTTGTTTACAATGCACTCTGCGCATTGAACTTTCTGCGTTGCGCAGTAAAACACACTACATTTGAAGTTAAGCATTCACAACAAAAATTATAAACTCAGCAGTAGTGTAGCAAGTCTGGTACCCTAAAAAATTCATGAACCTTTTTGATTTCAAAACTTTGTGGGCACTGCACATCATTTCCGTTTAGTTGGAGCTGGTCATACTTTACTATTTTACCAAAAGTAGCTAATCAGTTGTAAAAGTAAGTACTGGCGCATTGCAAAAAGACTATATGCGATTTTACCAATCCAAAGGCTATCCACTTGAATGCGTGTATTCTAGTAGTGTTGCATCAGGGAACCAGCAAGCGACAGCGGTCAGATGGATGTTAACGGCAATTACCACAATACTGTGGCTCTCGCAATCAGCGTTCGCAATTGAATGCGAAGGATATCATTGCAAGGGTCATTGATTCTTGGCAGCGTCAAATATGCACAAAGCAATTTCCGTCATGCACACACTTGTAATTGTGTCAACGATGGCAAACATGCCACCCTTTCTTACAGCAGAAACATGACAAAACACAGTAATAGTAGAAGTAATTTCTCTACTTCCCAACATATTTTTAATTGACATATCTCATTTTCAGTGTATAAACAGAAATTAGAGCAATTATCGAGGTTATATTTTTTCTCGGCTTTTACTTATGTTGATTTTAATAAATTTGTTATCCTGCTCAAAATTGGGTGTTGAGAACTTTTGCCAGCCTCTGCGCATGTTTGCGCGAAAACTCTTCGTGATCTCGACGCAATCTGGCCTCAAACTCTTGGTTTCTCTTGTTCATTTCGTCCATATACTGCATGCGCTTCACTTCTGCCGGATCCCTCATATTCCTGATTCTGTCCAACACCTCTTCTCCGCATGCTCGTGCCTCCCCCACACTATCTAGTGCCCCGTGCCGTGCACATTCGTGTATCAAAATGTTGTCATTTGCTGTTTCTCGATTACGTTCAAGTTTTTCTTGTGTTTTGCGCAGCAATTCCCCTGTGGCAGATACCTGCGCCTGGGTGGTATGCTCCAGCGCATCCAGTATAAGAAGCTCTCTGCTGGCAGCTTGGGCACGCTGGCCGATGTTGCCTGTGAGTGAGATTAGGATTTCTGATGACGTATTGACAAACCTTTCGGGTGCCGAAGCACCATCTGGCGGCGTTCTGGTGTTCATTAATAGTGTGGGGCTTTTAAATATATATATAAATCGAGGATATGCGCAATGTCAAGATCAGCATAGCAGCAACAAAAAAGATGACAAAAGTTGTGCAGCATTTTCTAATTGAATATGTTGTGTGCTGGATTGTGGGCAAACTGACCAAACCAGTGGATTCCAGCCATTTAAAGTTAAACAAATGTAACCCAACACATAACCGTTACTGTTACCATTTGTAGCTTCCAAAGATCAAAATCATAACAACAAAAAATGAAATAAAATAAGAATGTATGAAAGATAAAGTAAAGAAAAAGTGAAACAAAAAAGACAGTGTGTGGCAAAGTGAAAAAATAACGAAAATAATCATTTTCGGTTATATTGGAACGGCTGCCGACCAGACGTGGTCGCCGGATTAGATGCATTTCCCGCAGGCTTCCACTTGAACTCAGCCATGATCGGGATGTGATCCGACGGAATATTGTAGTTGGGGAAGCCTACACTCTGACGCATCCACTCCTCGTCAATCTCGCCAAGCAACCCCGTCGGGACAAGCGTTCCGACAGAGTACCAGATATAGTCGATGGTGCCGTTGAATTTCGGTGTGTAGTTGGTGGATGGCAACTCGCCGATACTCGCGTAGGCCGATTTAAGTCCGAATGGATGCCGCAGTCCGTTGCGTTTATAGTCTGCATATGGCTCCAGGCGCTCCAAGTCCTCGTGTTCCTTTTCCAGCCGCCCGCGCGACAAAAACTCGTATAGACCAGAGTCGGGCTTAGAGTTGAAATCGCCGCAAATAATCGAAGAGATCTTTTGGAACTGCTTCTGCTGCTGCTGCAACTGAATCTGCATCCGGTGAGATTCAGAGCCCTCGCTGCTACCGACATTCACGGAGCCCGTAGACGAAGCCGACATGCCGCCGTACTTCTTTGCCAGCATGGCCAACTCCTCAGTGAGCATTGTGGTCTGGATCATCTTGACATCTGTGAACTCGGGATCCCAGTGGACGTGCGCGTTGGCGACAAACAGCGTGGGCTCATTCTCGAGCTTCTTGTACTTGAGCACGGCAAAGCCAACGATGTTGTCCTTGGTCATGAAGCGGTTAAAGAAGTCATCGCACTTGCGGAAGTCGTTTCTGCTTAACGCACTCTGCTGGAACTCAAGCAAGTGCGACGCGACAAACTTGAACTTGTCCGTCTTGTAGAACGTCGCGCAGCCGTCGACTAGCTTGCGCTCACTCTCGCTCATCGTGCGCGCGCGCGACTTCGTCCAGAACACGCCCTCATAGCCCAGGTCCTTGAGCCTCGATTTGAAGAACACATCAAACTGGCTGGCCTCAACTTCTTGCAGGCAAATGACGTCGGGCTCATAGTCAATGATCTCGTTAATGATGATCTCACGCCGATTCTCCCACGCCAGCACCCATGCCGGGCAGTAGCTGTACATTTGCGGGGTCGCGTACTTGGGGCACAGCACGTTGTAGCTCATCACCGTGATCGCATCGGGGTTTTGCACCTTTGCATTCTTGTCCAATGAGATCCACTGGCGCTCAGGCGGTGGGGTCGGGGCCGGTCCGTTCTCTCGCAAGTACTCGATCAGCGCGCGCGTGCCTTCCTTCTGCAAAAGTCCCTTGAGATCCTCCTGTAGCGGGTTGCCCTCGAGGCCCAGCGATTCCAGCTGGTACAGCGTCCCCAGCTCGTAGGGCAGATCGGAAATGCGATTGTCAAATAGAAGCAGCTCCTTGAGCTGGCAGCAAAGGCCGAGCTCTGGCGGAATGATGCTGATGGCGTTCCCCGACGCGTCAAGTTCTACGAGATTGCGCAGCTCGGATATGGCCACTGGCAGATGGGTGAGCTGGTTGTGGTTAATGTAAAGCTTGGTCATAAATGTGTAGCGGAACAGCGGAGGCGAGAGCACGCGCAGGTTCATGCCGCCCAAATCGAGCTCAGTCCAACGCGACGCCCCCTTTGCCCCGGCCTGCTGCTGGCTCTGGCTTGCGGAAGTCGCGCCAGCCGATGCTCCCCCGGCACCCGGTGTCCTCCGGTCGTTTGCAGATCCGATCGACACGCTCTTTGCCCGCGTGCTCGGCGGTCTGATAATAACGGGCGTCGAGTTATGGCCGTTCAGGTGGCCCAGCGGAGTTGTCGAACGTCCGCTCACAAAGTCTGCGTAGTTGCTCACCGGAGTGCCGGCCACCAGGTGCGAGTTGTCAAAGGAGCTGCCCCCGAGATAGTTGCCCTGCTGCCGCTGCTGCGCCATGGCTGCGCGCGCGTGGTGGTGCGGGGTGGCTGCTGCGCGAGACCTCTGATACACCATGATTTGCTGCTGGTGGTACTGGCTGCTGGGAATCACGGGCGTCGGGGCCACCTGCATTGGGCCGTTTATAACCGATGGCGACGACATCATCGGGTTAACCACGCCTCCTTGCGCTTGGGCGGCCGCTGCCGCCGCCTGGGCAGCAGACATGCCCGAGGCCACATCTGTGCCCGAGTACATCGAGTGCGCTTGTCCCATGTTGCCCATCATTCCCGCACCGTTGACCATCATCGCCGAAGGCATGCCGCCGCCCATGTTTCCCATCGCAAGCTCGTTATGGCCCATTGCACCTGCCAATCCGACCAAATGAGCATTACTGCCGCCCATAGACGCCGAGATATAATGGCCTATGTGGTTACTGCACGTCAAGTGATAAATAAGTTTAAAGCAAAACAAACGACCGTGTAGTTAGCAATGGTGAATAACAACAATAAACACCAAATCAGAAGGCATTTCTGGCATCAAAACATAAAATTCAACCAATGCGCTCATCTCAAATTGAGAATCGGCTGTAAAAATGCTGCTGCTGTTGCTGCCGCTGCTGCAAATTCACCATCGCCGGGCGTATTGTGCCGTTGTTTATATTCCTCACAACTTTATTCTAGAGCACAATACAAAAAAGAAGGTTACCTGTAGCATCGCCCTGAGATGTAGCACTCATTCCTTGTCTCACATGCTGTGGCAACTGCTGGCCCGGGGTCTGGCCCTGTTGCAAGTACATTAGCAAGAAAGAGACTGCTCTCGTTGATTTGTTTTATTCACTCAAGAAAAAACCTGAATGCTTAAAAAAAAGTGAGTCCAAAGTTACGAGAAACGAGCTCTGAAAATAAAAAACTAGGGCGATTAGTAGTACTTTTTTTGAAAAGAAAATTGAATGTTGAATAAATAAATAAAAGCACGATAAAAGAAACGTGAAGAGAAGCAATTTGCAGTCTCGCGTAATAAATAAAGTAAAAAAAGAAACGAATTTTGAAAGGCCAATTTCAAAGAGAGTAGGATAAAAAAGAGAGAGAAATCCAAATATGCTTTTGGGTTGGTCGGGGCAAAGGGCAAAATTAAAAAGGTCAAAAGAGTGCCAATAAAATATAATATATTCACATGACTTTTTTCTTTATAATTGATTGCGTACTTATTTTATGTGTTGCTTAATGGCGTATGATCAAGCTGTGCATACCACACCGCACTGCACTGCACCCCACGACGCGGAATAATATGACGTGTAAATAACAACTGCAGCAACATATTGCTGGGGATTTGCGAGTTGCAATGTATAATAATGGTGCCGGATCAGACTTCATTAATCGAACTTTGACCACTTATTTTTTTTACGAAAAATTCAATAGTTGATTAGTACAAGCACGGATAATTGCACTGTTGCAATAACCCGTCTCTGTCGGATTTCGCGTTGAATATAAAAAAGAAAACTGACAAATGCGTGTGTTTTGCAATTGTGTTTATATTTAAACATCCTTCTTGTTATAAACAGCAACATCTCATACCACATATTCTGCCCCCACTTTCAACGACCAGACAAAATAAAAACAATTCAAAATACAATGTGTCCAAGCCAACATGTAACCAGCTCGCTTCGTGGCAGCTCTAGACATCGGTCTCGCCAAGACCCCAATAGCCCTAGAAACTATTCACCGCCACCGCGCTACGAACGAAGCGACATCCATGAAATACAGTGCCCAAATTGCGAGACTATGCAAGGGTGCAATTATCGTTCTCTGCAAAACAGAGCGTTCTTTGTTAGCTGCACTCCTCCCGACCGCCCCATGGGCCAAGGCCCCTCCAGCTGCGGATCGTCTCCCTTAGTATCATCTCCCTACAGTTCTATTGGATGTTCTCCGAGCTACATAACTCATATTGCTGCTGAGCCTGCAATTCAAAGAGAAGTGTTTGAATACCATAGCCCTACACCACAGCCGCATCCATTTCCATCTCCATCTCCATATCCCCATACACATCCGAACTACACTTTGCCTTTGCGCGATAGGGGTAATACCGTTGGTTTAAGTCGTGCGAGCTTCATGATAGCAGAAAATAGAATGCAAATGCCTGACTGGGATCCCAGCAGCATATTCGACAAGCACGCTACAATCTGCAGCAGCAGTATGTGGAAGGCTTTTCTGAAAATGTGCAATATCTAAAATCAATTTTTTTAATTTCAACCAGCAATTATATCAACGCACCCAATATCCATGTAAAAAAAGAAGGAATTGCAAAAAACAATATATATATATTGACCTTACTTGGTGCGCTTGGCAACCTTGTTAAGGAACGCAGTGAACACCTGTTTGGGCACAAGCGACTCATCAATATTGTTGATCCTATCCTCCAGCTCAGCAATAGCCCTATCCTCGTAAGTCTTGTAGACCTTCTCAATATCCAGCTCCTTGTACAGCTTCTTAACGCGCTGCGCGTGCACAGCCGGGGTCTTGCGGCCATAGTTATCGTTCAGCAGCTTGCGCTGCTTCGGCGTGACGCGATCAAGCGCCTGGACGACCAGCCACGAGCACTTGTTGTCCTCAATATCTGTGCCGATCTTTCCAATGACCGCGGGGTTGCCATAGCAGTCCAGGTAGTCGTCCTGGATCTGGAAGTAGACACCCAGGGGAATCAGAATATCCTTGGCAACCTGGAACACAGGCGACTCCGCTGGCGTCCCGGTCATCAGCAGAGCCAGGGCAACGGGGAGGTAGAACGAGTAGTAAGAGGTCTTGTATTCCACAATATACCTGTGCTTCTCAATAGAGAAGCGGTCCAGGTTGACGTCGTTCTCGGGGGCAGTCAGCAGGTCGACCATCTGGCCGAGCTCCGTCTGGTAGGAAGTCTCATGCAACAGCTCAATAATATCAATGTAGTAGGGCTCCGAGCGGAAGTACTTTTTGAGCAACCGGTAGATGCACGACTCCAGGATGAATGAGTCGTTGATGGCAACAATACCGACTTCGGGCTTGCGGTACCAGGCGGGCTGTCCACGGCGCGTGGGCGACTCATCCATGATATCGTCGGCGACGAGGAAGAAGGCCTGCAGCCATTCGACTGCCCAGCCGAGAACCATGGCTTTCTCGTTGATGGCCGCTGGGAGCTCGGTCTCTTTGCGCACGATCTTCACAGTGTCGACTACGGAGAGGCCGCGGTTCATCTTGCCGCCGAGCACGTTGTACTCGATCATGTACTTGATGCGGGCGATCATCTCGGGGGAGGCGCCGAAGGCCGGGAGCTCGGAAAGAACATCCTCTGTGAGCTGGGGGAAGAAGTCGACAAACTCTTTGTGGGTGGTGGCCATTATTGAAGGTGAATTTGAAATTAGATGGCTAGATTGAATTTTAAATAGGAGAAAGGAAAGGAGACAAAGAAGAGCAGATAAACCGCTGGACCACCTGAGTTGCTGGAAAGCCATGCAAAATGGATTAGGTTTTCTATATTTTATTTTATTCTAGTCAGTTGGTTAAGGAAACAAAAAATAAAAAGTGGGGATGGACGTTTTCAATTTAGGATTTGCAGTTTTTTGTGGCCAGTTGGAAACGCAGTTTGTTTGCTTTTTAGCAATTTCTAAATACTGTTTTTACTCTAAACATCCATTCAAGGATGTTGCAGTAAGTTTGTGAGGGCATTGTGTACAGAGGGCTGTGCATTGGTTGTTGTGAGCGGGTCGGCTAAACGGAACAGGGTTGGCAAGTCCAAAGTTCTGACCGCGTTATCCTCTTTTTATTTTAAAAATCCAATGACAATAAATAAAAAGAAAAGTGTAAGGCCGAATTTGGATTTACATTTTTTTGATTCGTATTTTAAAATAAAATAAACAAAAAAACTAAAAATGGCTCAAGCACGCCATACCCGCCCGACAAGCAAGCAAACAGTCAAACAAGCAAGAAAAAAGCATGTTCATTCTTTATCTTTCCGTATTTTAAAAACACTTAACTATTTATTATAAGCACAACGATGCCGCAAATACCCTCCCCACAAATAACGCACATATGCTGCATCGGCGCTGGCTACGTGGGTGGACCTACAAGCGCAATAATATCGCAAAACTGCCCCTCAATAAAAGTCACCGTTGTAGACACCGATGCCAAGCGCATATCTGCGTGGAACTCACCCGCCGCCCTGCCCATCTACGAGCCCGGCCTAGAGGCCATCATCCGCAACCAGCTCAACATCAACCTCTTTTTCTCCACGGATATCGACAAGGCCATCGCGGAGTCCCAGCTCATATTTATCGCCGTCAATACGCCGCCCTTGGAAATAATCGATACAGACTGCAGTGGAAGAAGGAGAGGCGCGGGCGCAGACCTGAGTGCTGTGATGGAGTGCGCTCAGAGAATAGCCCGCGTGTCCACGAGCAGCAAGATCATCGTGGAGAAATCCACGGTTCCCTGCGGCACAAGCCACGAGGTCGGCGATATCCTCCAAAAGTATGCTCGGAGCGGAGTCCAGTTCCAAGTTCTGAGTAACCCAGAGTTCCTCAGCGAAGGCACAGCCGTCAGGGACCTCCAACACCCAGACCGCGTAATCATCGGTAGCGCATTGCAAACTGCGTCGGAAGCCCAGGAGCATTTAAAGTACATTTACAAGCATTGGGTTCCTGCGGATCGCATTATAACAATGAGCCAGTGGTCGGCCGAACTGACCAAATTAGCATCCAACGCCCTTCTAGCACAGCGCGTCTCCAGCATAAACTCGCTCAGCGCCCTGTGTGAATCCCTAGGCGCGGACATTAAGGAAGTGGCTCGGGGTTGCGGCGCGGATTCAAGGATCGGCGGTGATTTCCTCCGCGCATCTTTAGGATTCGGCGGCTCATGCTTCCACAAGGACCTGTCCAGCCTCGTGTGGCTTTGCGACTCCCTCAGACTCACACCTGTTGCCGATTACTGGCACCAGGTTCTCCTTATGAATGAATTCCAAACTAGCAGGTTTGCACAGCGGATTTTGTCCACAATTAATGTGCGCGGTGCTAGGATTGCTTGCCTTGGGTTTGCGTTCAAGGAGGGCACGGGCGATGCAAGAAATACCCCGGCTACTCGGGTGTGTCGGGAGCTTTTGACTGCCGGCGCACGGTTGAGTGTTTATGATCCAAAGGTTCCCGCCGACCATATTCTAAGCATGTTGACAGAAGAGGCGGTAGAATCAACGGCGGCAAATTCTGCTCGTGTAGACGTTGGATATAATTGCGTGAGTGTTTGCTCTAGGGCCTTGGAGGCCATTGAAGGTGCCCAGGCCGTGGTTGTGTTGACGGCATGGCCGGAGTTTCGCTGTATTAATTGGGAACAGGCATTGCAGACAATGCCGGCACTGGCGCATATTTTTGATGGTCAGGCCATGCTGGACCATGAGTACCTCCAAAAACTGGGATTCCAAGTCGTTTCAATGGGCAAATAATAAAAAGTACACGTGACTATACAATAACACTAACAAGCTTGAATAAATTATTTTAGATAAAATCGAGTAAAAAATGGTTTTAATAATAGTAATTTTTTTTTGCAATTTTCTTTACGAAAAATACACATACACTTATATTAATTTAACTATAAATAAACCCTTCAACCCATGTCGCAGCTACAGTCATATGTTGATTGCAAAGTATCGGTTATAATGAACGACGGCAGACTGGTCGTTGGTATGCTGCGGGGGCTGGACCAAACAACAAATATTATTATGCAGGGGTGTCAAGAGCGTATATTTTCAGAAGACGAGGGAGTGGAGGTCGTGGATTTGGGGCTTTATATGATCCGTGGAGACAATATTGCTATAATCGGGTTGATCAACGAAGAGGCAGACAATGCTTTGGATTTAGAATCATTGCGAGGAGAGACACTACAACCGGTAAAACATTGAATTGTGTGCGCGAAGAGATTGGTTTTTAGTAAAGTTTTGATAGGTTTTTTTTGCCCAGATAAAAAATTGAAATATAAAAAAATGGAAACACGAGAAATGGAAAATATTAATATTTGTAATTAAATTGGAAATTAATAGTAGTCGCGCGCATGGACACCGCGAACGACCTGGGGGTAAGTTTCGCGAACAAGCGCAAACAACCTCGGATTATTCCTCGCCATAACCTCAGGATCCTCCGCCAAGCAAACAAACGTAGTGGCAGCCCCCGAGTCAATGCACTTGAGCAGCACCATGAACATGCTCATTGCAATGACAAACGCAGCAATAATAATAGGCACAGTATACGAGCCCGAGTTGTTATACTCCGGCTTTGTTATAGTGATATACAACCAAGCGACCAAAGCAACCACGGCAGCGCACAAAAATGCGCCCATCTGCAGGACATTCCCGATCATGCAGTCGTTGATGAGCACGTCCACGCCGCGGTCCTTAATCAAAGTCCAAGTATCCTTACCGGCCTGCATAAAGGGCTTGCCGTAGATGGCGATTTCAACGTATGCGTACTTGTTGAAGAACTCGACCAGGCCCTCAATGCAGCCCAGGATACAGTCAATGCAGCAGATGAGAATCTCGGCACCAAAGTTGTCTCCGCCCTGGTTACGCAGAGAGTTCAACACCGCGCGCACCGTCTGGATGATCGCCACAATGAGGGAGCCAAAGCAGATACTGCCAAATGAGTTTGTCAAAGCGCGCTTCAACGAAGACAGCATAACGTGCTTGGTCGGGTATCCGCCAGGCGCGCCCTCAAAGAAATAGAATGTGGCGAATGTGCCGCTGATAGAGGTATGCAGGACATTGAGGATGACGCTGCTGGTCCAGTAGAACGAGAAAACCATGTAGACCCAGGCCAGAATCTGCTTGACATTGGAGCAGCTCTGGTACTGGCGCCCGTTGCGATCAGTAAGCGTAGAGCACGACTGGTACTTGGCCATATACTTGTAGCTGCCGGCTAATGAAAGCGACCACATGGCGCTGTATCCCGCCTGCAGAATCAAAAACAACAGGCTGACCACGATGATGGAAGGAAACTTGCGCGTAATATGGCAGACGGTCTCGAGAACCAGCTTGGAGAACGGAATGCGGCGCCTCCAGGAAAACCACATGAGTGCGTAGAAGATGCCGAAAATCAGCATGATTCCGCCAGCAAACCAAATCTTTGCCGCCAAGTAGTATATTCCCGTACCGATCATGGCCACCACGCTGAACCAGAAGGAAATAACAAGCATCTGGCCTGCAAACATCTGCAGGACACCCAGGTAAATAACGCTGAAGACGATAGATGTCAGCAGGACAATGAGCCACATTATCATTGTCGGCCATGAGTAAAAGTCCTTGGTGAAATTGAGGTTGCCCGAGTTCTTGAACGCCGATGATGGCAGCGAGCGGATAAATAGCGCTGCCATGACAATGTACAGCGCCAGGTGCGCGATGAACAGGAGTGCGGCCCAGAGGTCCCGAAACTTTGGCGTGCGGTTGTACTGCTTGGCACCCTTAAAGTCGCCCGCGGAGTAGCCGCTGCCATCGGCAGGCGGTGGTGGCGGCGGGTAGTACGTTTCCGGCTGCTGTTGCTGGTATTGGTAGCTCTGCGGCGGCGGCGGCTGGTGCTGTGGCGGCTGGTACTGGTTATTGTCATAGTACCCGCCGTACTGCTGCTGGGGCGGCGGAGCAGCGTACCCTTGCCCCTGCTGCTGCTGGTACGCGCTGTTGTCGTAGTTGTTGTTGTTGTTGTTGTAGTTGTAAGACATGGGAATTGCCGTAATAGCGGCGAATAATAATAAAAATTAAATAAAAAAGACGAAGGGAGAAAAAAGGAAAAGAAAAGCTTGGGTGTAACGTTTATTATATATTTTATTTCCTCTTTGGCGAAAGTGTAGAATCTTGCTAAACTGATTTTTTATTTTGGGGGGAATGTGCGCCCACATAGCGGCACCATGACGCAGTAAAGCCAAGAAAAGAAAGTAAAAAATAGAAAAACAGAAAAATAGAAAGCCCAATTTTTTTTAAATAATTTTCTTGTATTCCATAAATAAAAGCGATGGTTTTAATTGGACACCAAAGAAATTTCAATGAATTTCAATGAATCTCAATGAATTTCGTCGATCAAGTCGGTCTGTATGCGGAGCATCTGCCGGCGTGCAGCCATCCGCTTAAGCTGGTTCGCAGCCTGCTGCTCAGGCTCAAACTCAGGCTTGGGTTTGGGGTCAGCCTTCTTTCCCTGCTTCTTGCTCTGCTTCTTGGCAGGCTTTTCCGCAGCAGCGGTCTCCTCAACCAGGACAAACTTTGGCTCGATGGCGCCTGCCAGCAGCGGATTGTGCGCAAATATGCCATCGCCGGTCTTCCTAGGCTTCGGCTTGATCGCCTCGGGCTGGTACGCGGCAGGCAACGGGGTCTCCTCGGGCCTTTCAATATCGACGGCACCACTGGCCAAATTGAGTCTCAGCACACGCATGCCACGCCGCTCATTCGCCTGCCTCTCCTCCAAGGCCTCTGCGCGCCTCCGGTGCATCTCCACAGCCTGCGCTTTCTCCTCGGGGCTCAGCCACGTAGCCGCAGCATGCGGGTCAAAGTCCGCGGCCTCGTCAATAAGCCGCGTGCGCTGTGCCGCCGTGCGGTCATAATCCAGCAGCCGCTCCTTGCGTCTGGTTGCCACCGCCCACGCCTCAGCCTGCCCCAGCTGCGCCGGGTCACCGGATGCCGGGTCAATGCCCAGCGCCTGGAACGCCAGCTGCAGGTACTCGGTCTCGGAAACCTCGTCTGCGCTCTTCTGCACCGGAGCCGGATCCACCAAGGCCGCCAATGCTGGCTCAGCGGGCTCGTCCCAGAGTAATGCAGCGGAACCAGTTGCTTTGGCCAACCCGCCACCGGCCTTCATACTGTACGAGTTGGCAGGCTTTGGCACCACTGGTGCTGCTGCAGGTGCCTTGGAGGGCGTTTGTGTCATGGCATCGGGCTGCTCGGTGTTGCTGGCACGGTAAAGCAGCCGGCGCATATGCTGCTGAAGTTGCTGATCAGGCCCCTGCACGTCGTTCCCGCAAAACATGCACGGCCCAGGTCCCTCGCTCGCACAGACTATGCGGCCACACTCGAGGCAGTTGGTCAGCAGTTCGTGATCCGTGGCCTGGCACTCGCATTTTACGCGCTTGCGAGCGGCCTGTTGTTTCTTCTGCTGCTCTTTCAATTTCTGCGCCTGTTGTTCCTTTTTGATCTGGCGCTGTGACTTTGTCTGCTGCTGCTGCTGATTTTGCTGCGGCCGCTGTTGGTTTTGCTGCGGCTGTTTTGGCTGTTGCCGTTGCGGCAGCGGTGGGGGATTCGTCCTTGTTGATTCCGCCCTTGTTGCTGCTGTTGCTGCTGTTTCTGCTATGGCCGCTGCTGTCGGTGGCGGGAAGCGCTTGTACAAAAGTGTCGAGGCAAATTCTAGGGCTAGTGGGGATTCGCCGAGCATGTCGAGTGCCTGTGACTGGAGCTCGGCGGCCGTGGGGATGGTGCTGAGGAAGCTGGCCAGCGGCTGCGTATCCTCTGCAGTGGCGCCTACAATGGTGGCTATCTGCTGCGCGGCCCATGCCAGCTCGTCCTGCATCAGCTCGCGCGAATTTGAATTGGGATGCATGGATTGGCAGAATTAAAGTGGAAGTGAAAGAATGAAAAATGAAATAAAAATAGTTTGAACAAAAAGGAAGAAAAAAAAAGAGAAATGAGAAAACCATAAAAGGCTTGCCTAAGGATCACTCCCACAAAAGCCGCACATAGTGGGCGGTTCGGTTTTCGCGATACCTCTTTGCGAGCTTCTTTCCAAAGACCTCGTACATGGCCTGGACGACCATCTCAGGATTCCACCCTCTCTCTCGGGCAAACTCGGCAATCGCCGCGCGCAGCTCCTCCTCCGGCACGCCCTCGGGCCTTGAATACAGCACACACAGAAGCTGCGCCGCCAGCACCCGGCCCGAGGGCGTGCCGCCAGCCATAGACAGCCGGCGGCTGACTCTGCGCGCCTCCAGCGAGTCCACGCTCTCGTTGGCCACGCCATCAATGGTAGCCGCGAACACCTTGTCGATGAACCGGTTGGTCAGCTCGGTCGCCTCTGAGTTGCTGACGATCTCCGCGAGCCGCCTCACCATGGCATCGCGCTTCACATGCAGCTCCTCCCGAGCATCCCCCGGCTGCTGCTGCTGCTGCTGCTGGCGAACGGCGCCCAGCATGCGCTCAGCGTGCTCGCGTGCAGTCAATGGTCGGCGGCGAGCATACGATTCGCGTCTGGCCTCTAAAAGTCTGCGGCGATTCTCCGCCTCCAGCCGCAGCGCCGCCAGCTCCTGTTTTTTCCTCAGCACCAGCGCCTGCGCCTGCTCCTCGCTCTCCCTCACCACATCATGCTCCATGCGCAAATACGCGATGTCCGCGTCCACAGTATCCGCCCTTTTCAAAACCTCCGCAGCCTCGGCCTCCATGCCTTGCCTCCCCTCCCTTGCCTCCTCAAGCTCCCTCCGCATCAGCGGCAGCCTTGCCAATCGCTGGCGGATGCGCGGGATCACCGCCAAGCGCTTCAGCTCCGCACTCAGCTCCTCCTTCCGCATCCCGTACTCCTGGTACTGGTTCGCCACCTGGTTGAGCCTCTCGTTGACCTCGGAGAGTTGGCAGAGATCGGCCAAATCGACTGTTTTGTCGTAGAATTCCTCAAAGGCGTGTGCGTCCAGATCCTTGGCTTCTACGCCGAGGTTAGCGTGTTGAACGCCAATGCGCGCAAGCATGTCCTCATAGACGCCCTTGGTTCCTGGAGCTACGAGCTTGGCCTCGTGCGGTTGCGCGGATCGCACGGTGAAGGATGGGTGTGGGTCTTTTTCGAACGTATGCGTAATGTTGAGCGAAAGGAGGTTGTGCCGTGGGTAGGACATGTCCAGACTGCAGAGCTCTGTGCCGAGTGACTCGAGCGAGGAAAGTACTGAATTGAGAATGGTCATTCTGTGAGTCTGTGTTGATTTTAGTTTAATGAATAAAAAAGTAAACAAAAGGAAACATACGGTTTTTTTTAGGTACGCATATGTTTTGAGTTTTTGGCTGGATGTCTGAAAATCAAATCACATTTTTCAGATCACGCTAAGCTGATCGGTATCTCCGCAAATGGCCACGAAAAATAAATGCCAAAAAAATAAACACCATTCTTCTGTATCTTTTTTATTTATTTTTCATTCCATTTCATTGTTCAAAATTCACTTGTTTCAATTTTTCACCAAATTGACAATATGTGGAAGCACCGTGGCCTCCAGCTCCATCTCCGGCGATCCTACACTGCGGCAACAGCCACAGCCACATCCATAGCTACAGCCACAACCACCGCAGCCCAACCGCCACGCGCTGTGCGCGGCATGACTGACCGTTTTGGCGCCTCAGCCACCACCCACGCGCACATCCTCAGCCAAGCCCAACAGCTTCTCACCCGGCACAACTACCAGCCAATTCACACCCCAATTCTCGAATACTCCTCGACCTTTGAGCGCACCCTAGGCACCAGCAGTGACGTGGTCGGCAAGGAGCTCTACAAGTTCCTCGACTCGAGCCAACAATGGATGACCATGCGCCCTGAGGGCACCGCCGGCATTGCCAGGGCCGCCTTGAGTAATCGAATGGAGATGCCCCAGCGGCTGTATTACTCGGGCCCGATGTTTAGACATGAGCGGCCGCAGAAGGGGAGGCTGCGGCAGTTCGAGCAATTTGGTGTTGAGATTCTGGGTGTTGCGCATCCAGCGGCCGACGTGGAGTGCGTGGAAATCGCATGGGAGCTCATTAATGGGTTGGGTGTTGGCGGGGTGCAGTTGAAGGTCAATACCCTGGGGGATGCGCAGTCGAGGGAGGCATGGCGGGCGGCGCTGTGCCAGTATTTTGAGCAGTACCGGGGCGATTTGTCTGAGGATAGCCTGAGGAGACTGGTCACGAACCCGTTGCGAATTCTGGATAGCAAAGATGAAAAGGACATGGTGGTTGCCCGGGGGGCTCCTGCCTACAGCTCCTACCTTTCGGCTGCCTCACTGCGTCACTTTGACTTTGTCCAAAACGGCCTGCAATCCCTCCATATCCCCTATGTACTGGACCCCAAGCTGGTCAGAGGGCTGGATTATTACCAGCACACTGTATGGGAAGTAACATGCAATTCCGAGCTTCTCGGCCGATCACAAGCGACCGTGCTGGCCGGAGGCAGGTACGATGGGTTGAGTCGGGCGCTGGGCAGTACAAAGTCTATGCCGGGGATTGGATGGGCGGCGGGAATGGAGCGGTTGACGCTGCTTATTCGCCCCGATCTGATTTCCTGTCCACCTGTTCCGGTGCCCATTTTGCTGGTTCCTGAGCGCTCCGGCGAGGGAGGCGGTCAGAGAAGCGTTGATGATGCGCTATATGCTTTTGCGATGCGCGTAGCTCGTGAGGTTAGGCGCGTGGTGGATGATGGTGCATATGTTGTGCATGCGCCGGTAAGCGATACCACAGAAACAAAGCCGAATGAAGTGGGACGGAAACATCCGGCGTTGGGCAAGCAGTTGGCTTTGTTGTTGGGCGCAGAGAAGAATAAGGTGCCTGGCAAGATTGTTATTGTTGGGACTGCTGAAATGGAATGCAACTCGGTTATTGTTAGGGATACCGCTTCCCAAACCCAGCTTACTGTTGGCCTTGATAGTATACGCAGTGCGCTTAAATAGATTAGTGTTTTTGTTTTGGCTTTTAATACCATTTGTAAATTACTTGATCGCATTGTTATAGTAAGAGGGGGGTGTGAGGAGCACTAGTTGTCCAGTGTTAAAAGTTAGAGGTGATTTTATAAAAGGTTTTATTACCGATGTTTCTAAAATGCTACTAGGGCCGGCCTCATCTTATATATGTGCCTTGTCACCTTTGTTGTGCACATTGTCAATTGTGCGCTCCGTTGGTGAGAACTGGATCTTCTGTGAGCAGACCGGTATCTTGGCAAGTCAATGTTGTGGTTTTCGTGCGTGTACGCTCATGCGTGTGCATTGCAGAATGGGGATCATGTTTGGGCATCAATGTAATGCCTTCCTAATTTACGCCTGCATGATCCAATTAGCGTCCTATCAATTGGCACGCAGGTGGAAACCTGTTTCGCGATTCTCGACTTCAACATCCACTTCCATATCTTCAGTCTGCGCAACAGCATTTATATGACTATTTAGCCATCTAATAATATAATTCAATTGTTTAATTTTAATTATTTTATATGATGCTAGATGTCAGTAAAATATAAAAAAATTAATTAAAGCTTTAGTGGTAAGACATTGTGCCAAGCAATTGCGCATGAATATTGGCTAAAGCGACATTTCACATGTCACTTGGACTTTTTGGACTTTTGGACTTTTAATGTCGTTTTAATGAAATAAAATTAGATGACTTAGTTTTTAATTAAGCAAGGCGCTGTTAACCTTCGTTTTGTTTTTGTAATTATACGATGAGCGAAAATAAAATGTTTAAGCATAAGCTTTTGAAATAGATTTCCGCGCCTTAAAAAGATATTCGATTTGTTTTCCATCGCGTGTCAACCTTTTGACATGTCATAACTTTTATATAAAGACAAATTGGTTGACTGTGGCCGTAGTTTTTTTTAGCAAGCATCTTCCAGCTAGCAAATAATTGTAAATGCGCGAGAGAGAAAAATAAGGTTGACTCCGTGTATTTAAAAGTTTTAGAACTATAAAATCGAGCTATTCTTCTTGTTCACTTTCTTTATTTTATTTAACCCACAGCTTTACATATCCTTGCTTTGTTTTAATTAATTATTCATTATTTTTATAACACAAAAAATATACAACTATCCAATGTACGACATCCCTATTGAATTTTTTTCCAGAGCTCAGGAAATAGCTAATTATCAAGAGGAAAACAGTAATAAAATAATTTTGCGCGTCGCAGGCGTTGATTTTAAAAGTAAAGACAAGCAGAAAGTGGCCATAGATATTATTGATTTTTATAAAAAGTATATAAATAAGATTTATGAAATGGATACATTTTATAAACTGTATAAAATGAATAAACTGAATAAAACGCATGAAATGTACAAAAAGTGTGAAAGGCATAAAAAACACAAAGATCTCAAAACTGATGATATCCATGTTGTTATACTAACTAATGATAAATACCCTTTTATTTTGGAATTGTTTAAAGGCACAATAATGCAAAGTTACTTGTCTGACAAAGCTGCCAAAAAAACTTTTGCCATGGAAACCAGATATGCATTTTACAAATAGATGTTGGTTTGTCACTTTTGGAATGACTAATTAACAAATTAAAAATGGTATCAGTTGCACAAAAAAATCATTTTAATTTATGTAGCGCCCCACCTTGTTATATCAATAAAAATGTAAATGTTTATACATAGGTATATGTAAAACACATGCATATCGACCATGTGCCATGTTAACTGTATAATATCACAACCATAATGAGAATACATTGTGAGTGCATAAAAGTATTGCATATATTGGCAATCATTGTTGTTGCTGTTTCCTTTCAGTTAAAATATTAACAATTGTCAAATGTTATAAAATGTTATTATCCAACCCAATGGTAAAGTTATTGATTGATGGCAATCAATTGATTAACCAGTCTTGACTATTCCAGCCAAACACACAATCATCAATAAGTCACAGTAACCAAAGTAATTTTTTTTACCTTTTCCAGTGCATAGTACTTATATATTCAATACACTTTTATACATAATATTTTATCTCTATACGTTCACAGAACGTCTCTCCTAGGATTAAATATGTTTCGTTTGTTTTCTACTGCAATTCAATTTTAACAGCCATATCCGGATTTCAACTATTGTATAACAACCATGAACACTAACACACCAAACACCCCAATAGTAGGTTCCAATGGCGGTGCCTTAGATCAGCCAATTGCACGGCCCAGCGAGGCTTATTATCAAATCAAAGCTGTTGAACCAGCTGCCCCACAAACACTGCCCACAACACCTTAAAGAGCTGGTTATTACTATTAAATAGCAACACCAATGTTGTTTAGCTTTTTAAACATGTATTGTTTTCAATTTATTCTAAATATTCAACCATACTTGCCGGGTATTACATTATTAATAATTGCAACAATAAGTGTCTGAACTGGCCAAGAAAGACACTTTTATCTTTAACGTTGTTGCACAGACTGAAGATATGGAAGTGGATGTTAAGGTCGAGAATCGCGAAACAGGTTTCCACCTGCGTGCCAATTGATAGGACGCTAATTGGATCATGCAGGCGTAAATTAGGAAGGCATTACATTGATGCCCAAACATGATCCCCATTCTGCAATGCACACGCATGAGCGTACACGCACGAAAACCACAACATTGACTTGCCAAGATACCGGTCTGCTCGCAGAAGATCCAATTCTCACCAATGGAGCGCGCAATTGACAATGTGCACAACAAAGGCGACAGGGCACATATATAAGATGAGGCCGGCCCTAGTAGAATTTTAGAAACATTAGTAATAAGACCTTTTATAAAATCACCCCTACCTTTTAACACTAGGCAACTAGTGCTCCTCACACCCCCTCTTACTATAACAACGTTCTCAGCTAAATTGTTTTCCTCATTTTTAATAAAAAAAATGCAGCAAGCACTAGCACGCGCATTTATAATTGATTTTATATCAACACATTTGAGAATTGTGGTCAGAATAGCTAAAAAATAGACTATCCGTCTTTGATTATCGCTCTTGTGTGAAAGTACTGTGTGCTGAATGAGACAAAGGATAATGATTTAACTATGTTGGGATATTCTGTGACAAATAGATAATCATGTGTTTGGCTAAACATCCAGGATCGGTTTACCAGCTGATCGCGATTAAATAATGAGTTCCTTGACCGACATTAGGATGCTCTGGGGATATTAGACGAGTACTATATCAGTTGGTGCCCACCTGATGCGCTCCCACTCTTCTCTTTCTTGCGGTACAGATCAGACGCCTACTTGCGTATTGAGGCGCATTTTATCGGCGCTCTGCCCGCGTGAAAATGATTTTTCTCTTAATTTTCATTTTCTTATTAATTTTTGGTCGATTAATAGATTTAAGTCTCTCATCAGTCACTGCTGACTAAATGAGGCTAATGTAGTCAGGCTGTCCTAACGTTGGTCAAAGAACTCAAGTTATCAATTGTTTCCACTAGAGAGAAATTGGCTCGTAAATTATTATTTGCCAATGAAGACTTTGAGAATTTAACTTTAGAATCGGTAATAACTACGCTAACCGGCATGGGTGGCAATGAGATGAGCTATTTGTTTGATTACATAGGAGTTACCATCATTATTGGCATTTAGGTTGCTATTTGGGGCCATTAGTCATAAGGGAGTGCAGGAAATGTGTGGCAATTTTAAAGAGTAAGGTGCAAGAACAAAATCGAAGTAAGCCAAAAAGCTCGCAAAACCAGATACCACCCAATAAAGGGCAAGATTAGAAGGTCCGATTCATATAAGAGCGCTATTCAAAAAGGCGATGTAGTATTTGAATTTTCGATAGATGAAAAATTAACTAAAGATATGACAAGAAGGCTGAAGTAAAATAAATACCAATCAGTACAAATCGCTGCTATTTTCCACATTTATAACCAGTCGTCTACATGCCCCACTTTAATAACGTATGTGCTAACATATATTAATAGTTACAGCATTTGAACACGTTGGCTGCTTGCAACCAATTTTAATAATGCGTGCCTATAGTACAATGTTTAGGTGGTCTTGTCTATGTACGTTGTGCTCATGTTTTTACATCAATATATTTACATACAATATGGCAGTTGGCTAATATCACAAATGAAATCATTGTCCAACAGCTCCAGAAATAAATTAAAGTGTACTGGTGAAATATAAAATTTTGATAAAGGAAAATAAATGAAATGAAATTACAACATTGGCTAAAACAAACTAGAGCAGTGCTGTACTTGTAACCTTGTCGCTACCTCGGCCATTACTGCTTCTTTTTTGACGGGATTACCAGCGGAGCAATGATGCGGCCGGCCTTGGTCATGACGCGCGGCTTGATCATCTTGGAGTGCGACTTTGTCGTGTTCCACTCCTTGCCCAGCGGTGCCTGCAGCGTCTCCTCGTACTGCTCGGGAGTGAAGAAGGGGAACGGCACGTTGGACGAGTAGTACTTGTAAGATGACTTTGCCGTACGCTGGTTGATGATCACGGCTCCAAGCTTCGAATCCTTGCGAGCATCCTTTTCGATTCCCGATCCGGGGGCTGCCTTGCGGATGATCTTGTTTTTCTTGGGCTGCAGAGAGGTGCCGCCCCAGCTGCCCCACCCAGGCAGCGTCAGGTCCTCGGTCTTGGGTGCATCCTCGTCCATCACGGCGTCCTTCTCTGCGGCAAACTCGGCCTCGACAATATTGTCCTCGGCAAACGCCTGCTCGACAAGCTCACGTTGGGAGAAGGCATTCGGATTGAGGGCGCGCTTGCCCTTCTTCTTGCCGCCCACATGGGTGAGCTTAATGCCGCCGGCGTCCGAGTCCGAGTCGCTGCCATCCACGCCCTCGCCTGCCTGCCGGGGACGGTCAAGCGCGAGCATGTTGGTGACATCGAGCAAGATGTTCTCCTCGCCGGCGATGGTGGCCGCAGAGCTGGCATTCTCGCTGCTCGCGCGCTTGGCACGCAGCCGCGCAGAAAGCTTGTCCAACCTGTTGCTGTCCTTGGTTAGCTCATTCAGCTTACCGCCGCGCTGGCTGGCGCCCGCAGACGCCTCCTCCGACAGCCATGGGTTGCTGGCATCGCTGGAGCCCTTGCCAATCGACACAGGCTCGGCGAGCCGCACACGGTGGCCAGGGCCAGCGGCCACCTGGTTGATTTGGCCGGCCTCGTTCAGGCGCACGCGCTTGGTCTCGGTCGAGTCAATGTCCTGCTCGTCCTCCGGGCTGTGCTTCTTCACGCCACCGCCAAACGCCATGCGGCCGGGCGCCATGCCCTGGGCCTTAGCAGCGCCCTTCGCCGCAGCCTTAGCGGCCGCCGATCTGTTGATCGAGATGGCACGGCCGTTTTCATCAACTTCGGCCTCAAGAGACTCGAACTCATCGCGCATCATCTGCGCATCGCGCTGGTTCTCCTCATGGCGACGCTGCGCAGCGTTCTGCATGAACTTCATGCCGAACAGGGCCTTGTGCGGGGCATTCTCGGGAATAACATCGGCCTGGCCGGCCATTTCGGCCGAAAGCTTGTTGATCGCGCGGCCCTTGATGCCCGCAAAGGACTCGTCGGCATCCGAGTCCGACGCATCGCCATCGGCCTGTCCCTCGCCGGCCTCATAGTCTGAGATCTCCTCCTCCGAACCAATATCGTAAATCTTGCGCTTGAGCGAGTCGTGCTGGTCGAGTTGATCTTGCATAGCCTGCTGGGTTTCGGCGTCACCGTGACTGCGCGAAGACATCTCCTTGCACCACTTGCTCGTGTTCTTGTGTCTGAGCGTCATACGCTCCTCAGCGCGACCCTGGGCCATCTTCTCCATCAGCATCTCGTACATCTCCGGGTCGTCCTCCTTGATCTTCTCCATGGCCTTGTCCTGCGCACGCGTCTTCTCCTTCTTCAGGATCCTCCTGTACGCCTTGCTCTTGATCTTGGCCATGCGCTTAGCCTTCTGCTCGCTGCGGAACATCAGCTCGCGCATCATCCGCAACTCGCGCTGTCTGTGGCGGACTTCCTCGGGGGACACGTTCTTGAGCTCGAGTTCCTCGTACTGGCGCTGCTGCTCGTCGGTCATGCCGCTCTCTGCAAGGATGTTCTGGATCTGGATCTCCATCTCGGACTTTGACCCGGTGGTGTCGCTGACAAGCGACTTGCTGGACATGTTGGTCTTTGCCGGGTCGACCATGGGGAAGGACAGGTGCTCGGCTGCGCGGTTGGTGTCGACCACGGGCTGCCACTCAGAGATATCCTTCTTGGTCTTGTTGTACGCCACTTTGCGGTCCATCTGGTCCTGCAGCCGCTTGGCCAAGGGCGCGGCAACGACGCCAGATCCGGACTTCTTGGCGGCCTTCTCTAGCTTCGTCACCTTCTCTTTGAGGATACGGATCTCGCGTGCCGACTGCTTCTCGCCACCTTCCTCCTGCTCAGAGTCATCGCTGTCGCCTGCAGCAGCGGTGCCAAAGTTACCAAGGAGGTCGTTGATCCCCAGCGAAACGCCCTTTGTGTGGACACCTGATCCGATCGTGTTCTCGTTTTCGGCGAATCCGCCACCAATCTCGGCAACAAAGCGACGCTTGGGCGCGCGCGCGCTGATCGAGGACACAAAGCCACTGAGCTTGGAGAGTTTGTCGGCTGCGATATCCTCCTCGTCACTGTTCTGGTCGGCGGAGGCATCGGAGTCAGAGGCCATCCGGGCAAACACGCGCTCGGACTCAGATTCGGACTCGCTGTCGTTCTCAGACTCGCTCTGGTCCGCAAGCATATCGCCATCCAGGCTGGCGACCGCTAGGTCTTTGAAACTCAGAAGCGTGGCACTGCCGGTTCCCGACGAGGGCACAGCTGCGAAAGCAGCCTTTTCAGCCTTTGCAGCCTTGGACTTGCTCGTCGGTTCCTCTTCCTCGTCCTCGTCTGCTGAGCTAGCATCGAGCATCTCCGACAGATCAACCATCTCACCGTCATCCTCCTCGTCATCACTGTCCTCCTCACCACTGTCCTCCTCATCACTGCTGTCCCGCGGAGCAGCTCTTTTGCCTGAGTTTAAGAACTTATACCCGCCAAACCTCTCTGCATCGCTCTCATTGAATGCATCGTCACTGTCAATATCCTCATCATCCTCAGAGTCAATGTTCTCGACCTCGTAATCACGCACGTCTACTCTTTCCAGATCCCTGCGCTTCATCAGGTCCTCGGCATCGCTGTCCTCGGCATCAAACACGTTCAAAATGTCTTCGTCTTTGGCCTTGCCCTTGCCCTTGAACTGCGTGGTTTTGGATTGTCCTGTGGGCTTTTGTCCAAATCGACCTTTGCCCTTGGATCCGCTGTGACTGTTGTTCTTGTTCACCTTGCCGGTGCCCCGACGAGGAGCTGTGGGCTTCCCGGATGTCTTTCTAGGGCCACCCATTGGTCTGTTTTATTTTTTTTGCTGTTGTTGAAATGGGGGAGGGAGGGGGAAGTGTTGTATTGAAACGTCTTGTGTCTGCTGCAAAATCAAGCGGGATCACGAAGCGTATAATAAAAGAGTAAAAGTTGTATAAGAATGCACTCCGGGGAATGGCTGGGAATGCGGTCAAAAGTTAATTAAGTAAGCAACAAATTTAAATAAAAAAAGAGAGTCAACAGCAGCACAGAAATAGAAACAAAAAATACATCAAACAGAGAGTATCTTGGACTGTTTCTCAAGCGACCGAGAGAGAGAAATAATTGCCAAGGCAAACGGCAGCCTGGTATTTCGCAAAAAAAAAATTACAGAAAAAAAAGCCCTTGCCAAATTAATCAATCAAGAAAAATCAACAAATTCCCAATATCTTAATGCTCCATGGGCGAGTTGCTGCTTTCCACAGTGTTTCTTGCTGCATTGACGACAAAGTCAGTCAAGCTGCCGCCAACAGCCTCAACTGAGGAGATAGTCTGCGTCCGCGCATAGCCCTGCGGGCCAGCCGGAAGCGCTGACTCGGCGAGCAAGCTGTCCACAGGGAGATAAAGGTTGGCGGCCTCCGGCCTGGCCATATCGGAGGGCTCCCCGACGTACGCATAGTTGTAGATCTGCTCGTGCAAGTACCACAGCGCAGTGCGCACACGGGACTTTTGCGTGTCCAGCATCGTGGCAAGCGTCTCGTTGGAAACCAGGGCCGACTCTTCGGCATCTAGAGCAATGAGCTTGGCGCTGATATCGTAGCTGCGCTGGTCATTGACCTTCATGAAGATCGAGCCGCGGATTATCTGACCCGCATTGACTGCCAGCGGCTGTTTAAGCAGCATGCGCACCTGCTGCCAATGCGTCGCCGTAGACTGCGGCGACGTCGACATGTATGTGGCGCTCGGCTGCGTGCCCGGGTGCAGGGATGATACAGGTGGCACAAAAGCAAGATCGAACCAGCCGGCGACGCCATGCATAAGCCCGGTGTACTTGATCTCCCACTCGATGGGGATGGTGAACTCCTTGAGCTCGGCCATTGTCACTGTGTGGAAATCAACCTCGTGCACAACCGAGTCGCCGATGAGCGTGGTCGGGCTGAAGCAGCCGACAACGGGCGACGAAAAGTACTCCTCAAAGGCCGGCGCAAAGTACGGGTTGAGATCGACGCTGTAAAAGTCGTTCTGCTGCCAGAACCGCGCCTTTGTTATTGTCTCGTTCCACAGTGCGGCATCAGACAGCGGCGCCAAGTGAATAGTGCCCGCAGACGGCATCATTGCGCCTCCTGGGCGCAGAAACTTGTCCCGAGCGTAGATAAATGACTCCAACATGCGCTCGTGCACCAGAAGGACGCCGATGGGCTCAGAGATGATGGCGTCGACTGTGGGGACTTCCTTGAGCAGCCGCGGCTCCTCGATCTTTGAGCTGACGACTGTGATGCGGTCGGCCAAATATGCGTTGCGTGGCGATCCCTGGCCCTTGCGCTTAGCCGCATCGAGTATAACCTTCATTTTCTTTGCCATGCCCGAGGCCTCCACAGCGTACACCTGCTTGGCGCCCGCTTGCACCGCGAAGAACGAGAGAATTCCTGAGCCCGCGCCGACGTCCATCACCAGCCTGTCGCGGAAAAGCGAGGATCCGTTGAAGGTGATCGCAGAGTGGTATGCCGAGGTCCTGACAAAATCCTGCAGCATGTTTTGCTACACAAGCAGGCAAAGAAAAAAGCATATATTGTAATTTGCGTTTAGAGAGGGCCGAAATGTGTTTTAAAGGGTGAAGTATTTAAGCAGTGGTCCGCTGTGGCTTTTCGTTTATTTGCCAGCGTATCCCGCAAAGGGTCTCCTTGTTCTTACCTGGTGCTGGAGCTGGCTGTAGTACTGAAAGTAGCTGGGGTCGCGGTGCAGAACCTCATCGTCCTCGCGCTGGGCGTCGTCATTCTTGCGGTTGTTGTGCGATTCGTCATTCATTTTGGTCTAATGGGGTTCCTGCAGCGAGTAAAAAAAATAAAACAACAAAAAGCGGACAAGAAAAGTATGAACTTTGACACCCGGAATTTATTTTAAAGTTCAAAATTCTAAAAAGGGAGAAAAAATCAAAAAGAAAAAATCATTCAAAGAATGTAAAAAAAATAGGTGCTTGATAGAAATAACGCGCAAAAACTTTGACTTTGTTTTTACACGCATACAAGCTTCTTTTATGCTTTAGCCTTGGCCTCTTTGACCAAAAAAGGCGGCTATTCGCTTTTCTTTCACTGAACGCAGTTGGGGTCAGCCAGCGGATTCGCGTGTATAGTAGCAGACTTCAGCCGAACCTCTTCCACCGGCCTATTCTTCTTCCCAACCTTGACCCTCTCCAGCGCCGCCAACGTACTGTCGCACCCATCGATGACGCGGCCAAAAACCGTATACTTGGTGTCCAAGCTGGGCTGGCGGTCATAAGTAATAAAGAACTGCGAGCCGTTGGTGTTCGGTCCAGAGCTTGCCATGCTGACGGTGCCGCGGCGGTCATGTTTGAGCGTCGGGCTGATTTCGTCTTCGAACTTGCGGCCCCAGATCGATGTACCACCTTTTCCAGTGCTTGTTGGGTCGCCCATTTGCACGATGAAGCCGGCAATGTTGCGGTGGATCAGAGAGTCGTCGTAGTAGTTGCTGGCGCATAGCGCAAGAAAGTTCTCGGCGGCCTTGGGCACTTCGTCGCAGAATATCTCGAGCTTCAGGTCGCCAACATCGGTATGCAGCGTGACGGACATGGAAAGTGTGTGTATTAGACTAATTGAAATGGGGTTTGGAATTTCCAGACATTTATAGTGAAGGTCCAGATTTTTAAGCGGGGGATTTTCAAAATTTGATTTTTGCAGTTTTTTTAGCCTAAAAATCAGAAAGTCCAGATTTTTGAATGAATGAAAATTGAATATTATTTTGGAACGAATTAAATGAAAAATTAGAAAACACCAAACGCGTACCAAATAACACCACTCCCTTGTGGGGACCAATTATGGACCTATGAGCCTGGACAAGTTATTTAAAAATTATCTCACCCCAGCGATGCGGGTGGCAGGCCCAGTGCTGCCTTGTGGCCTGCGGCTGCTCCTTTCCTGCCCGCTCGCCCTGGCCCTAACAACAAAGTCAAACTACCAGAGGTGGGCGAGATTGAAGGCAGCCACTGGTAATAACACTTAGTTCCAGAGCCATGGTGACAAGCACCACCAGTCCGATGTCTAGGTGGTCATCTACCCACTGCCGCGCTGAGTCTAGATTTTTGAAGATGCGGGAAAGTATTTAGTGTTTGTGCCTGACTGGTACTTTGGGTATGGGTTAAACGTGACGTTTAACGATGTAATTATATTCATCTAATTGTGTTGCAGCTGCAACCACTTCAGCCACTGCATCTGCTGCTGCTGCAGCCACCGCTGTTTATGTTGCAACTAAAACTGTTGCCGACGCCGCATCTATTATTGACAGTGTACAGCAGAGTCGCAACCAGTGGATGCCTATTCGCCCACGGTCCGCCAATATCATCCGGTGGACAGGGGGAGGAGAAGTACTGGTCTAAGCGAAACATTTTCCGCAAGGTGAAGCAGCAGCTGCGGGATGAGCTGACTGAGTGAAATCAGGAGCAGTACATCAATATCCAGCCCGCCGATAATATCAAGTGCATTGTCAGGCTGAGTGGCTGGTCGCGAGGCAAAATCGAGCGCAAAATCAGACAGAAGATGCGCGATGAGTTGACCGCGCAGCAGCAGCAGCAGCAGCAGGCAGCCGCAACAGGCGTGAATATAATTATAGTGGTAGAAAAACCCCGCTAAATTCTATGCCATAGCTTGCTTCAGTGCACAATGGAAGACTGCCTGCAAACCTTCAGGGCCGACGGAGCCAAGATCAAGGATGGCGAAAAAGTGCCATCAGGCAGGCGGAAGTGGAATAATCGTGACACGGCTGTGGTGCTGAGCTTTCGCATTATTCTTAATGGCCTACTTGTAGGCAATCAGTCCCCCATTTCTTGCGCAATAATGCACCGTCAGAGTCGACTGAACCTGAGTCTACAGCGAGGCTCAGGCCAAAGCACAAGCGCAAACCCAAGCGTGTGGGCAAGAATCCATCTGCACCTGCTTATTCTCTTCAAAAGAAGCAGAAAACTGGGTAATATGGTCAACTGCAGTGGGCTATTGCCACTAGTTTCCAAACACTTTATCTGAGGGGAAGGGTGTCGATTTGCAGGATACTTGTGGTCTCATTCTTTTCTTTGGTGTAGCGTGTCGAACAAATAAATAAAACAGCAGAGCAAAAAAAGGAAGAAAAAAAACTGATACGCCAATAATTTTCAAGCCTCTGCAGCCTAGCTAAGAAAAAAGAAGTGGGATGATGACAGAAATATGAATTAAAATGAAAATAAAAATTTTGGTTATTGCGCTGCAACTCAGCTTAGTGATTCTGGGGCTTCTTGAGGTTGGACGCGTCAAAGCCGGGCATGGGGAACGATGTGGCAAAGGCCTCGATCTCCTTCTGGAGCTCGCCGATCTTGCTGGACTTGGCAGCGGCAGTCATAAAGTCCTTGAGCAGCTTGCTGCCAGCCTCATTCTGCACCTCAGTGGCGATCTCCACAGTGCGGTGCAGCAGGTCACCGACCCGCGCAAAGTCCTCCTCCTTGAATCCACGCGACGTCAGCGCCGAGGTTCCAATGCGCACGCCACCGGGCGTCACCGCGCTCTTATCGCCGCACACCGAGTTCTTGTTCAGCGTGATGTTGACCAGCTCACAGATCTTCTCGATTTTGCTGCCGGTCAGGCCCTGGGGCTTGAGGTCCCACAGGACCAGGTGGTTGTCGGAGCCGCCCGACGCCAACCGGTATCCGTGGCCTGTCAGGGACTTGGCCAGAGCCTGGGTGTTGGCACGCACCTGCTTGGCGTACTGGACAAACTCAGGCGACGCAGCCTGCTTCAGCGCAACAGCAATGCCCGCAATAGTGTTGTTGTGTGGGCCGCCCTGGCATGAGGGGAAGACAGCCTGGTTGACACGGCTCTCCAGCGAGTTCTTCTTGTCCTCGCCCTCGGTCTTGCGGAAGAAGATGAGGCCGGCGCGCGGGCCACGCAGAGTCTTGTGTGTGGTGGTCGTGACAATGTCGCAGAACTTGAAGGGGCTCTCCTGCTCGCCAGCGGCGATCAGACCCGAGACATGGGCCATGTCGCACAGCAGGTAGGCGCTGTGGTTGTTGGCGATCTTGCGCATGCGCGCGTAGTCCCAGTCGCGGGGGTACGCGGACGCGCCGCAGATAAGGAGCTGGGGGCGGAACAGCTGCGCGTTATCCTCCAGCTTGTCGTAGTCAACAATGCCAGTCTCCGAGTCCACGCGGTAGGGCATCGACTGGAAGTAGATCGACGACGACGAGATCTTCTTCTTGTCCGTCTGGTATCCGTGCGTCAAGTGACCACCCGAAGGCAGGTCAAGGCCCATCAGCCGGTCAAAGGGCTCCAGGAGCGCCGTCAGAGCTGCAAAGTTGGCCGTTGAGCCGGAGTACGGCTGCACGTTGACTCCCCATTCCTTGGGGTCGAGCTTGAATGCCTCGAGGGCGCGCTGCTGGCAGAGACGCTCGAGCTGGTCGACGTGCTCGTTGCCGCCGTAGTAGCGAGCGCCGGGCAGACCCTCGGAGTACTTGTTGGTCAGAGCCGATCCGTTGGCCTCCATGACGGCCTGCGAGGTGAAGTTCTCCGACGCGATGAGCTCGAGCTCAGCGAACTGGCGGTACTTCTCATGCTCGATGATCTGAGCGACCTCGGGGTCAGCCTCGGAAAGAGGGATGTTGAGGAAAGCGTTCTAAAGAGTGGATAGCAAAGCAAAGCAAAGCAAAGCAAAACGAGGCGCGGATTGTCGAATTAGCAAAAATGCGATAGTTGTGTCAGTGTCGCTCCGTGCTGTGTCGTGTCATAAAGACAGGTGGATGAGCAAACGCGCTTGATACCTACATAAGTCTCGACGGGCTTGGCCATTTTTACAATGTGTGATTATAGACAAAAAGGGAGATATGTGTGTACAAGATGTGAATGAAGAAAAGACAAAAACCAAAAAAATGAGGTCCGGGCGGACATGCTTTCTTTTATATACACGTCAGGCAGCCGTTTCAAACCTCACATCTGTGAGCATTCAATTCACCTTGCCTCCTCGCTTTCTCGCCACCCCCCAACCGAAATTGCTCGGTGGAGGCACTTGGTATTTTACCAAATGATCACAAAAAAATTTTCAATTGCCCACACGCACTTTTCATTGGCTGCAGATACGGATTGCAGGTGATTTTCAGCAGTGAGCATGTAAATCTTTTCATTGTGATGCTCTAATTGGGCAGTTTTTCTCAGCACTAATTCGGATATTGCTGGGATGCGCCCATGGGTAGTATATGTGAGCAGCACTACCGCTTGTGGCGAGGCTGGGCGGAACAAAAGCCGCCTTTTGCTTTATTTTTACAACTACCGATAGCGAGTGTGATTACTCACAGCAACTTTACCGCTCCCTAAAGCAGTAAATACGGAAAGTGAGGATGTGAGTATATTTCTGCCCGGCACTGAACGCGAGCAAGAGCAAGAGCAAGAGCAAGAGCAAGAGACGGTTTGAGTGTGTGAGCGACGATCAAAAACAAGACTGGATTCGCATTTGTGATAACTTAAACGGGAAAATAGTAACGGGCTGGTGGAAAGAAGACCGCCGCCGCAGTTTTAAAAGAGAGAATGTATAGATGCAGGAGATATAGAGATAGTCAGGGTTAGGTTTTTTGTCTGCAAGAAGGAGGCCGGCGGGTCCCAGCTAGCAAGCTCATTTCTCCCTGGCCACGTACATCTCCAGCAGCTGCTGACAATCGGCCAGCATCACCTCGTTTTCCTCGATTTCTTTCCGAAGCCGAGCGTTCTCAGCCATCACATCGTTCATATCGTCCATCGGCACGCGCGATTCGATCAGCTCATCGATGCGCGACTCCTGCTCCCTAATAATTGCGTCCTTTTCACGCAACCGATCCTCCGCAGCCTTCAGCTCAGCCTTGGTCTCTACAAGCTGATGCTTCAGCGTCAGCAAATCGGTCTCAGCCTTGACTATCTGCGCGCGCGACGCAATTCCATCGCCCTCGCCAAGCCGCGGAGAAACCCTAGTGCTGCTGTTGCTGCTGGTGGACTCAGGCAACTGCCCATCGTCCCTCGCGCGTGCATATTCATTGGTCGCAGACATTGCCTTGGCTGAGAGCATCCTGTCCATGGTGTTCTGCGGGTCTGTGAACTCATCGGTCGTGAAGGGGTCGATGTTCAAAGAGACGGGAATTTCGACCTTTGTGCCCTTCTTTGCATCCTTGTCGCTGCTTGCCGAGTGCGTATTTGTTGCTGTTGTTGATGATGTGGGCTGGTTGAGCGAGTTTGATGATTGCTCTGAGAGTACTATTTTGCGCTTGTTTGTTGTTGCCGTCACTGACTTCTGTTTGTGGTAGCTCTCGTTCAGCTTTGAGCGCTCGCTTGGCTTCAGCGATGTGGGTTGCGTGGCATGGCGATTTTCGTTCATTATTGACAGAAATTCTGTTGATTTGAATTAAAGTTTACGCGTTAGCGATTTGAGACGAAAATAGCAACGAAGGTGTATAGTTATTAAAAAAGAAGGAAGCCAACAAAAACGGTTTTTTTCTATTTGTTGCTCGAACGCGACTTTGTGTCACGCAGTAAAATCTCGTGATCAAGATTACCATTTTCTCCTATTGTTTTTTGTTTTACGCTTGGGCAGCGCAAATCGGCCGACGCCAAAGATGCACGGCGTGGTCGTAGAACGAGCACGTGCCCACAAGCCATCCCTTCGACGAATCGGCATGCGTCTGGCACCAGTCTGCACCGTAAGCAATTGAGCCGTGCTCCATAAACGACGTGCGCGTTTCAATAGCAATAGCCGCACCCTCGGGCAGCTCCGCGGCAGCTAATGGCGCGAGTCCGCCAACAGAGACATCGAGGATATGGAAGCCATTGTACATGGCGCCGACCAGCAGCTGCGTGGGCTCTGTTGGGTGCCACTTTAGGCGCCAAACGCCACCGCCAACGTTGGTTTCGGCCAGCGGTCGGCGCATCGATCGCGTGTCCCAGACCATCACCGTGTCGTCGTAGCTGCCGGTGGCCAGCATGAACTGGCGGTGGAAGTTTGGGTGAATGCTGCACACGCCGGCCTCGTGCTTCCGCAGATTAAATATCGGCGTCGGATCATCCATATTCATACGAGTATCCCAGCCCTTGAGCCGAGCGTCGTCACCACCCGAATACACGATTGCCGGGTTCCAGTAGTCGAACGACGTGATCCACGCCTCAGCATCGTGCGCCTGCCACTGGCTGAGCGTCTGCAAGCGAGACTCGGCAAACTGAAGCATCCGCATGCTTCCGTCGCTGTGGGATGTGGCAATCTCCGGTGTGTCACTGGTATTGAGTCTGTTGGACCAGTCCAGAGAGCAACACATGCTGCCTTCAGAGGTCGGCCCTTCTGTAGAGCATATGGGCGATAGGAATTCCGTGTCACTTGCTGCATTGGCCGAGTAAACTGATAACTCGCCGTCAGCGCAGGCTACGCCAACGAGCTCTTTGCCTGCAACCCGGCTGTAGCTCCACTTGATGTCAAATACTGCGCTGGTCTCGATTCGCTGCCGCTCAACTATCTCCATTGCTGGATCGTTGGCTTTGTCAGTTTTGTCAATTGCATCGCAAACGTAGATGCGGCCTATGCGTGTGGCCTCTGAGCTGGGCGCCTCCTGAGTGCTACTGTCGTTCTTGACGAGCTCGTATGTACCGATAAGAAACCGCTGCTGCGAGTCCCCAAATGGATAGAACTCGATGCTGTCTGAGCAAAGCACAGGATCGAATGATGCGAGCGACGGCGGGTTCAACATTGCTACGAAAGATACGAACTGTTTTTTGGCGTTTGAAAGCAGACAATATGTAAAGTACCCAATGTCAAGACTTTGGTTTGTAGGCAAACAAGCAAGTATATCGGACGCACAGCCAAGCCGCTGCAGTCAACATGTTGTGGGTTTTTTGTCGCAGTACTCGCTGAAAATTTTGTTTTTGCTTCGTTTGTATGTTTAAAGTACATGCATTTATATTCAAATAGAAACCAGACCATTTTATGCCTCGTCCCTGATGTCTTTTGTCTTGCGCTTCTTGGACTTTGACTCTTTGGTGCTGTCATCAGAGCCTGACTTTTCAGAGTGCTTCGACTTTTTGGACTCCTTGTCCTTGGACTTTTCCCTCTTTTCCTTCTTCTTGTCTTTCTTGTCTTTCTTGTCCTTTTTCTCTCTCTCTTTCTCTTTCTTGTCCTTCTCGCTGCGCTTGCGTTTGGGATTGGCCAACTCGATCTGCTCTGCAAGTCTGCCACTCAGAGCCGCCTCGATTCTAGCGACCACCTCGGGCCTTGGCATGCTGTCACCAGCAAGCCTGGCAAGTTTCCCGCTCTGATCCGCTCTCGCTCCTTTCCTCGCCATCCTCCCCTCACACGCAGCAAACAGCTCAGCATCTGAAATCATAACACCCATTTGCACATTCCCATTACGCACCAGCTGTGTACGATTCACAGGCCCATTAGGCGTGCTCACTCCCGAGAGACCGCTGGCGGGCGTGGCCACCATGGATGATGCGGCTGATTTGACAAACATTCCCTGGTACTCGCTTAGCGTGTCCTGCTCTTTGGCAGCCTGCGCAATCTTTTCTTGGAACTCAGCTTCCTCTTTGTTCTCGGCGATGGGTTTGTTAGTCTCGGATGCTGCTTTGTTGTAAACATTGTCCCACCAGTTGTTATTCCACTGGTTCGACTCGCTGCCGATGCCCTTGTTGTCTGTCCGGCGTGATACGGTGATGGCTCGCGTTATGCCCGCTTTGTCCTTCCCAAGACCCTCGCCCTGCTTCCACCCGTACTTTGCCAGCTGCTCCTCTGCAAAGGTCGGCATTTGCAAATGATAATATGCAAATGAAGGTGTATATGAGGTATAGAAAAATTAGTAACTTGTGTGGACAATTGAAGACAAAGGCGCGTAACTGCCAAAACACCCAAAGCAGCAGGTGCAGGCTACAAAATAGAACTGAAAACTTAGCCAGCCAAGGAAAAAAAACACCCCCGATTGATCATGAATCACGAATTCCGAGCGTGATCAGTAAATCGATCTGTCCAACAATGAGCTTTTCGCAGCCAAAAAAAACACGATAAAGAAGCCTCGAGCACCCCCCGCTATTTCGAAAGTAAGCTGTCACGATTATCACGCCACCGCTTTGTAGTGTGCACACAGATTAATCTCAAGCCTGTGCGAAAATTGAAAGCTTGTGAATTCGAATTTCCCCTTCTTTTTTCTTTTTTGAAATCAATTCGAATTCATTTGTTTTTTAAATTTCACTCGTATTTCTACAACGAAAAATCCAACTTTTACAATGACCATTCTCGACAAGCAGCGTTTCTACCAGGTGTGTTTCCCTGCTTAGCATTTGATGTGGCAGGCTCACAAGAGTTTGTATAGCCCCCCCTCCCCCACACCCACCTACCCATTTTGGCTTTGTTTTCTTTGCGGCACAGAGATAACGGTGCTGTCAACAGCTAGGAACAAGTGTGCTAATTTGAATCCCGTTCAGTTTTGTTATTCGCTTATTGTACTTGCTTTTGTAGACTGGCCACGGCCCCATTTACATGCGCACACCCGCATCGAAGGTCATGGTCAAGGGTCTCTACGGCCTCATCATTTTTGGAACCATCTACAGCGCCTACAACCTCGGCAGGCTTATTGCCGGAAAGAAGAATTAAACAAGGGTTTATGAGCATACTCATTTCCCCTTTTTTGCGAGTGCCATACAGACTTGGAATTGACAAGCCGGATAGTATCAATAGCTCTTTTTCGGCTTGTTTTTAAATAGACCAAAGCACCTTGTCAGTTTATTGTTTTTTCATGATCCAGCTGTTCTCAAAAAAATCGCCACTTCAATTTTATCTGCGCGAACGTACAGATGTGAGATAATTGATTGTTACATGTCCCGCTTTGGGGCAAGTCATTTTCCGAGGGCTTATTTTTTCTTTGCACACCTACGCGATTTTTTTGTTTTCTTGTTTGCAATAAAAAAGTTTACTTTTACTCTTCTTGCTTCCGCTATTCCACACTTGTGATTTCTCACTAAATTAAAGCTATTTTCTTGTTTTTTCACAGTCATGAGGATCAAAGTCAAATACACAGGCGCAGAAAGTATCCAGGCAGTGATCGAGGTAGGGCGCAGGGAGCTCGTCCAAAATGTGCGCGCCCTTGCAGCAGACGCCCTGTCCGAGTCCTCTGGCGTGGATTTTACCACCGAAAACCTGGGGCTGATTTTCTTGGGCAAGCAGGTACGTGTTCGCTGTCATGATAAATGTCCACCTAGTACCTCACCTTTTTGCTTGCTTCTTTTTTGCGACAGCGTGCTGTACACTAAGAAGGGAAGGGTTTTATATGTTCATATAATGTGTAGATGGCGGACGCATGGATTTGTTTGCATACAACGTCAATCACGGCGCCACGCTGGTCGCAATGCTCAGGCAGCCCAGGCGCGAACCGAGTGCAGTGCTTGAAAGCGAGGCCGAGTCCCTGCAATCAGCAAAGACACTTAATACCACTGCTGGCGGCGAGTCAGTCGCAGAAAAGGCCGCAGAAATGGTTGTAGATAAAACCGACGAAACAAAAGAAGTCACAGCTGAGCCGGCTGCAAGCAACAACGAAGTCCCCGTGGAGCTCAAGTGTGACCAATGCGACAACAGCCTCGATTCCAAGTGCAGAAAGTGCGGCTGCTTTATATGCGGCGGCAAGGACGACGAGCCCCATACGCTGGCATGCGACGAGTGCGGGTACTACTATCATATGCGCTGCCTGACGTTCCACTGAAAGAAGTGCCGGAGGGCGACTGGTACTGCGATCTCTGCCGAAACGACCCCAATGACATTGTTATTGGTGAGACTAAATTGGACCTTTCAAAGTCGCGCAAGTCCAAGATGCCATCGGCAACGACAAAAAGAGAGTGGGGAAGCGGCAAGTCATGTGCAGGCATGTCAAAGAGCTGCACTGTCGTGCCGAGCAACCACATTGGCTCTATTCCGGGCGTACGTGTTGGTCAGTCGTGGAGGTTCGCATCCAGGTCAGCGAGTCGGGCGTGCACCGGCCCCCCGTGGGCGGTATTGCTGGTGGGTCTACCACGCCCGCTATGTCCATTGTACTTGCTGGCGGGTACCCCGAGGACGATGATCACGGTGAAGAATTCTATTACACTGGGTCTGGTGGCTACGACCTGTCGGGCAACAAGCGTCAGGCCAAGACACAGTCGTTTGACCAGGAGCTGATCCGCGGAAACAGGTCGCTGGCGCTTTCTTGTGCGGCGCCGATCGACGAGATAAACGGCGCCGTGGCCACCGATTGGAAGCAGAGCTCGCCCGTCCGCGTGTGCCGCAGCTACAAGCTGGCCAAGATGCACCCCGAATTTGCGCCCAAGGAGGGCGTGCGCTACGACGGGCTGTACCGCCTAGTCAAGTACTGGCGTGAGAAAGGTGTCAGCGGATTCTACGTCTGGAGATATTTCTTCCGCCGCGACGACTCTGAGCCAGCACCCTGGACTGAAGAGGGAAAGCAAAACATCGAGCGCCTAGGCCTTTTCATGTACGAGTCTGAAGACATGGCATGACAGTCAAAGCCAAGGGCAAGACTCCCCAAAGGCTGCTGGCACTGCTGAACACACAAGCGCGCAAAGATCCAGCGTACCTATGTGCCATCTCCGGAGCTCGCCGAGATGATACGGCTGGACAACCAGAACATCCGGCTGTGGACGCAAATTGCGCCAACACGTATACCTCAGAGAGCGCTTACTTGGAGGCACTGAGCGAGGGCGAGCTGATGTGTCCGATCTGTCAGGAGCTCGTTCAGAACCATGTACCACGCCCTGCGGCCACAACATCTGTGCCCCATGCCTGCGCACATCGATGAAAAAGTATGGCATTATTTGTCCGATGTGCCGCTGCGACATTTCTAGCATGGGATCGGCAGACTCTGTGCACTTGCATATGAACCAGAACCTGGTTACCATTCTCAAGGCGCTGATTCCGTCGTATGGTTTGAGTTGGGACTCTAAATTCCAAGTGGCATGTATGCAGCGCGCTCTACGCACGGGCATAACTGTCGAAAAGTAAATGTATTTTCTCTCTTTTTTCTTTTTTTCTTTTTTTTTTTTTTTCTTTTTTCTTTTTCTTTCTTTTTCTTTCTTTTTAATATTGCACATCAAATTGATCCCAGTGTTCAAAATGCAAACACCTAAATTGAATAAATACACTGTAACGGACATTGCTGAGTGCTGACATATTTCCAAAATATTTTTAGCAACAAAAATTACTCATGATACGCAAGCTTTTGTTTGAATTTAAAAAAGCAATATTCCTGCGTGGAAACAAAACACAATATTTTGGTGGATTCTGATTTAGCAGCATGCATTTGGAAAAATATACGGACGCTGTCGAGAAGCAAAATAAAGCAAAAAGTGTTCTTTAGAGAGTACGGGCTATATTATTGTGTTGTTTTATTGTACTAATAAAGCGAAATAAAATATTGACCGGAAAATGCGGAATGTTCCATGTTTACAAAATATCGACACAATGCCCTTGAACGAAGCAAATATTAGTTTCAATTTTTATACTCAACAAGAGAGGTGGTGAGAATGCAAACCATTGTGCTTGTGCGGAATCTCCTACGAGGAGCATCCGCCGTGGATTTGCTATTGTCCAGCTTTGTGCATGCAATACGAAAATACGGACTTTTATTTATGTATTTTGTACAGAAGGAATCCAAATTGAATTATCATGTGCAAACGGGCTCAGGCTCAGTTGACCTCACCCCTTAAACTTGAAATAGTGAGTATTGTTGCTCATTAATTCTGAAACATTGCATGAAGAATAAAAATAAAAAATGGTCAATAAATCAAAATATACAATGTCATTTTTATATTCTGCACACATGCAGCAGTGTAATTAATTTCGGAATTTTGTGTCAACAATCAAAATCTAATGTTGTCAATTAAATAACAACAAACCATTTGGTAAAACATCCCGGCATTTTTGAAAATAGCATCTAAATATATATTTTTAATTCTAAAATCACACGCGTTAAAGCTTGAGAAAATTCTACTGCTATTTGTCGATGTGGACGGAGCTTTAAAAGACTTTCTGCGTCGTATATTCCATCAATATCATGAATAAGCATATTCAGAATAGGAGGGTAGGGAGGCCGTTTTTTTGTTTTATCTGTCTCCGCACAAAGCTCCGGGAAAAATCCCTCAAATATGACACGCGGAATGTAACAGTGTCTTGACATGTGACTGCTGACAATTTATAAAAAATATGGGCATTCCTGCAGAAACAATTGAACTAATAGTAGCACGCTGATGCCCTATCAATAATTGAAATACGACGGCCGAGCGAGGAACATTCCAAATTGCATGACTACTTTTTATGTTTACTGCATTTGGATATTACTAACTCTGGTGGAATGCACTATTTTAAATGCAAAGGCAATCTGAGATGCAACAATTTACATCTCGCACATTGGGTGCTTGGGAAACCTAATGGGCAGGATTTTGATAGTATTTATTACCAAAACAATCTGTTAAAATGGCCAGGTGACTTTTAAAACTCAACGCATGTTGGAAATATTGAACAAAAAAACTGTAATGATATGGAATATCGACTTACGTATTCCGAGGAAACTGAAGAGAACGCACTTTTAAACAATTAGTAACTGTTCGTTTTGAGTACAATATCCGCCTTGAGTGAATTTTTCTGTTACACAATGTGCGTAATAATATTGATTTTTTGCTGTAATTTTGTCGTACAATTAGCAAGTTAATATTTTAATTGCAGCCCAACACATGGAAATATATATTGGCAGCACTTTTTAATTTTGCATTGTATAAAATATTGACATATTATGGAATTGCAGAAAAATGAAAGAGCAGCCAAAATAAGAGTATCTTAGAACATCCGTCTTAGTCGCCTTTGGTTGTTGATTACCCCCGAGTTCAGTTCTTTTTGTCATTAATTTTTTGCTAAATTCATTTCCAGCTTTGCATGCGTTCGTGTCCGACATGCGCATGTATGTCTAGCAATATTTTCAAATCTAGAGAACCCAACAATTAAAAAACACAATGAACCAGCCTAATATGAAAAACCAGATTTGCTGAAACCAAATATCAAATAATATGGGGCTTGAGTGAAATAGAAATGTCTATGCTATTCTCATACACGTGATATTTTATGACAAATTTGAAAAAAAATATTTTAAGGGAATAGCGTAGACTAGCAAAATACAGACCGAATTGCCGCAATGGTGCATGACGAGTATTTTTCTTCATCGCTGAGAATCGTCCCTTTATTTGCTGCTTGCTGAGGGTTTGTTTTTGGGCAATGCGGCCCAAAGGGAGATTGGTCTCAATTCGGCATAGACAAGATGAGAAGAGATGAGTCGATATGCGATTTAGTAATGTGCATGTCAAGTGATCGCGTGTGTTCCTGGTTATATTTTTGAGGTGTGCCAATCACATTCATGAAACGCATACCTTTTTTTCTGCTGCGGATGAGTTTGTTCTGCATGCATGTCTTAAAATAGCACCAAGAAAAAATTGTCTGCTCAATGAGGGCATACCGTTTCTAGGGAGAGGAACGTTTGCCAAAAAATATTCGTCCCCCTGTGCATGACCTTTTTTTCAATGAAGGCTGGAGCGGCAGATGAATATAAAAACATTTGGGGTCTGTGACATAGCAAGCTAACAAACCAAGGGTAGAAAAACAAAATATTGCCACGAAACGAGGGGAACGCGGGAAAAGGTCGGCCAGGAGGGAGGGGGTGAGGGCAATGGCAAGGGGGTGTTGGCGACCCGATTCATGGAATGAAGGCAGCCTCCAATCCCCCTTTTATTTTTATTTTTATTTTTTGTCTTGCGCATGCGGTACGATCCAAAGTTAATCGTTGCTAGTGCAATATTGCTCACTTTTCCATTGGCGGAAATGTAGGCCAAAATAAAATGGCAAGCCCTCTGCATTTATTATTTTTTCTTGAATGTACATTATCCTCGTGCTCTTCCTTGTATAGATAACTCTATAAATTGAGTGCGTTCTCCCACTGCTGGCCTTCCGCTTTTATTTTGTATCCACCACCACAGCTGTATTATTTTGTACTTTCATTCCCGCTTGTTTATTTTCTAGTCCGCACAACCTCCATACAAATTCGTAGACCGATATATTTTTTACTTTAAAGCATTTATATTTACATTTACTCTTTTGTACTATTATTCGTCGCATTCTTTGGCATTTAATTATTGCTATTGCTCGCTCAAGTGTTATCATCTTATAAAACTATGTCTTTTGTCGCTTTAACTGTCACTGCGTTGTCGTCTGCCTCTTCTGCGATCCCATCTGAGGATGCCCCTGCTGTTCAAAGAGACTACCCAAGCCCACCCAGGCCGTTTAGCGACAGCGAATTGTAATGCAATCACAAGCAATGCACGCCACGCACAACTCGTGCTCTTTTCCGGCATTTAATTTGTTTTGTTGCCGAGTGTCAGCAATTGTGTCCAGGGGCATAAAAACATCTCACGCTGAAATGAAATGACAGAGTGGATCCTGATACACACATTTTCCGTACATTATATTATTGCATACTTCGTACTTATTCTATCTGTACTTTTATTTATTCTTTTTTCACATTTATTCTGTAATACAATTTATCTTATTATTTCAATTTATCTGTGTATCAAGAGTATTTTTGTCCATTTAGCATCATTCAATCGGCTGGCCAGTTTAATTAAAGGCAGTCGACCAAGCCAAACTGCTTACAACTTAGAGAGAGAAAATATATCCATTGTGCAAAATATAGAAAAAGACAAAAACTAGCGCTAATGATTAAGACTAATCGTCTACTACGCCATCTTTACCGTCATGGGCTCTATTGCAGACCTGGCTACACGCCCCTATAACAAAAATTATTCTAGGGGCAGCAGGGTTGGGATCTATCCAGACCTGGGTCTAATTGCCTGGCAATGGAAGTGTCTGCCATGGTATTATTAAAATTAAACCTGACTACTTAATCTGCCAGCTAGAGTGTCAATTGTGGTCAAATAGCTGCTGTGTATATCTGCCATCCTCATCACTAAACTGCTTACGATTTTGTTAGTGTCGTTTTTGAACTCATTCATTTATTAATCCTGCAAGTTGACATGTTAAAATAAAAACAATAAATCAACCAAGGGGTCCATTTAAAAAATTATATCGTATACAGAATAAAGGAAAATGATGAGCAAGCTATAGCTACATTAAAGGTTTATGAGCCAACCAATCCATACAAGTCATCTGATACTACTTTAAAAGCAGAAAGACATATTTGTATGCTTTGAAGCAATAAGCTGTGTGGTTTATTTTTTACTTGGCATTATGCGAGTGAACATTTTCCTCTAGTTTCTCTTGTTTTTTGTGCCCCTCTCTTCTCTTGCCAATTTAAATTATTTAAAAAAATTATTTACACCAAGCTACTTAGTTTACACTTTTATTAAACCATGATCAACGCCAACGCCAACTGTCTAACGATATTATGATCCAGAGAATATCAGCTTACATCGCTGATTGCTTATCGAACGTGCTAAACTGGAAGGATTATCTGCCAATTCTTGCTGTTTGCCACAGATGGAGAGAGGCCGGGCGACAAGTTGCATACCGCACTGTATACATCGAGTAACAGGTACCACCAGTGTACCTCCTGGGGGTCAGAAAGTCAGTGCACCACCAGGGCTTGGCTCAGCAATATTCGATTGGCGTCAACGACTGATAATTTGAAGTACGCAAAAAGCTTAATGTTGGCTTGTACAAAAATACAGCAATACCCTGTTTTATTGCAAATAGCCAGGAACTAATGCAAATGCAAAAGCACGATTGGTCTAAAGTTACATATTTTTATTACAAAGGTATATCAGAAATGAATCGAATGATGTACCCGAACAAATTGAGCACGTTATAAATCAAATTACGCAGTACATGCCTCATGTTGCACATTTAAATATTGATTTACTTGACACAACTTCTAGAGAACCCAACGTTCAAAGTGTTTGGTTGGTAAGTACGCACATCAACTACTAACACTAAGAAGCAACACTATAGTCAAGGTTCCCAATTTCAAGTTCTCAAATAGACTGACAGTCCTGGATATCGAACTACATCGCTCTGATATAAATTTGTACTCAGAAATAAACACCGAATGTCTGACAAAACTGTGCCTGTCTAATATTCCTTCCAATTTTACTTGGATACGTACCGACAGCCAAAACAAAACTCATCTTCCAGTGTTTCCAATTTGGTTAGCCTGGGGCTTCAATTTATTATTGATAATAGCGATGAGAGTAATACAAATGATAGCCATTCATTTTTTAAAAACAAAAGTCATTGTTTACAATTTCCAAGGCTGGAAAATCTGGTTTTAGAAGACATGGTCGTCACCCTGGGAAATTTGCTTGAGACAACCTTTTAAATACGCTGCCAAATTCAAAAAATCTGCAGTCTCTCCAAGACGTCAAATGGATAAATAAAAGTAATATTAAAAATACTCGGATGTACTTTAGCAAATCGTATGGCCCCAAGTGGACAATTAAAAGATTTGTTAATAGGAACTTTCGCGATAGCAATTATATATATGAAACTAACATGACTTTAAACAAAGAATTGGTGTATTATATGCGTAATACGCTTGCCAAAACGCCATATAAAATAATTGCACAAACTTGTGCAAGCTTTATTTAGATAGAAGCCTTCATATCAGCGAGATAGCTGAGTTTCTTTGTTGTTTGCCAAATCTTACGGAACTGAAAATCGGATTAAAGCGCCAACCTCAGAGAACTCCAGATTTATTTTCCATATATGAATCATTGGAAAAACCAATGCCATCTCTTTGTACTAGACTCAAAACGCTACAGATATCTAGATATAGGGCATTTGGGAAAAAGTATGTGGGAAGAGAGCTGAATATTTTGCTTGTGCAGATTTGCTCATTGAAAGCGGTATATCTTCCAATTGATATTGTTAACTGTATGGATGTGTTTGTAAACAATTATGGTGAGGTCTATCCTCATATGAAAACGGTGAAATTTGGTATATCCTAATTTTTTTAGCTCTTAACATTTAAATTTTTGTCATTAAAAGCTGATTTGTTGCTTAGAAACATTATCCTATTGAATATATTGCGTGTATATGTTTACATTTTGGTTCAAACCCCCTGTAGTAATCCACATACGTGCACTGTCTTTTGCAATTTATTTTTTCCCTTGGTATTTGGTTATTTTAAGTTAGTAAACATTGAAGCGCATGTCATGTAATTTATTTAGTCGCAGAAAATATTCACATGACCGTTGACCACGCAAAGACACCATATTTAATTTATACACTTGCATCCTTTGCAAGGTGTTTATGAGTATGTGAGTGTGCGTGCATGTAATACACAGATCACGCGCACATATTTATTGTTTTGTAAAGAAATCTGGAGTGTGTATACAGAGCACTTATTTTACCAAATTAAGCAAAACTGTTTTTTTGCATTTAAATATATTTAATTGCCCAAGAGCAACCCAATGCCGGTGACCACAAATGTATTTATGTTGAAATCCAAATTTACAATGTCTGTTGAGCAGTTCTTGCGTTGTTAGCCGCGCTTCTTGTATTTTCTGTTTCAAAGCGTGAACTACTTCACTTTTAATTAAAACGAAGATTTGCAAATGTAATTTCAACATAGTCCCGGTCACCTCGAAAAGTATAGATTAAAAGCTCACCCAACAACAATATTGATTTGCAATTTTGCATCTGCCATTCAATGAAGGGTTAGGTGCTTAACCATTTGCACATGTGCGCCTGATTTCCAGCATCAGCAGTGCCTCACTAGACTGTTGCCATTTGGTTGGCAAATGCAAGGTAATCGCTGCCGGGTACCAAATGTCTCACACTTGTTCAATGTTGCAACACTGGATTTTAATCATTGATTTTGATTTGCAAGCGATAAACAACTCAAATGATATTGAACCCAAACGAAACCAATATGCCTTTGTTCAGCTCTGCAAAAGCGCGGCGGCAAAGGGCTCAAAAATAACAAACACGCACACCAGACCAGCGACGCCCATTATTCCCAATATTTTGCTGACTTTTTGTTATCATCTTCGCTGCCGCTGCTGCCACCGCCAAATATCCCCAGCTTGGTCCGACACAAATGGTAATACATGTCATAAATACGCTTGCATTCGGCAGGATGCGGCCTGTAGTATGTATTTCAGCAACCCGGGTCCAGTCAGCCTCCACCTTGCCCGCGCGCATGGCCTTCTTCTCTTCGTCTCTAGCGCCTCGAACAACTCGCTCAATCTCAGCACGCGTCCACAGGGAAACCCGCGGCTGTGTCTGGTCCTTGAGATCCGATTGCATATTGTAAAACTTTGATTTGCATATCTCGCTTTCCACGCGCACACGCTTTGCCACTTTTTTCCAGTCAATAGACACGGAGCTGCTATTGGCAGCTGCTTGTCCAAGTATTCATCGTATATATGGTTATAGAGAATGCGTTCTTGTTTTTCAGACCATTGATGGGCGTAATTCTGAGGTAGCAGCTGGGGCTGCTGCTTGTTCTGCGTGTTCTGCTTGTTCTGCTTGTTCTGCTTGTTCTGATGCTTTTGTGGTTGTGGTGCCAGCTTGATCTTTTTGGGGCGCAGTGTGGACATTGGGCGGACTATTGCTGCGGCTTTAAGATGTATCGTCCGAGCTATATGGGTGTCATTGTAGTGGTCCTTTTAATACTTGTAGATTTTATAGTGGTGCGAGAACACAGTGGGAATCGATAATAAGACAAGAGCAGGTCTGGGAATCAAGGCAAATCGTGTCATGCTCAAAGTGCCAGATGTGCATGGCCCCAGCGGCACAGAGCGGGCCAGCTAGGCGCGCCAGCTTTATGGGTAAAGTAAAAAAAGCAAATGAAAATTCAAAATCAGCCAAAAATCAAATCAATTTTTATTCGAGCTGCGGTTCCCGTAAAGGCAAAGACAAAGGAAAAAGTGCAAAGACCTCTTTTCTTTCTTGCTTCTTTGCTCGAACTAAATTCAAAACTAACTATTAAAGTGCACTTATTTTTATTTATATCTCCCAATTTCAACCTCAAATTTTTATAAAACTATAGCAAATGTCGGGCAAGGAAAGCAACCGCGCGTTAAGGGAAACCTCAAGCCAACCAGCAGCAGGTATAGTTAGCTATTATCATAGAGTCGTGTTTGAGAAGAAAAAATAAGTCAAAGAAATTGGACATAGCTGCATTTCGTCCTACCACACACACCATTCGCTTACATACTAATTACCATTTGCCTTTGCCTATTTTCATGATATTTTTTAAATAGCCGCGCAGCTGACCTGCTTGGTGGGGATATGTCGGCTATCAACGCATTCAAGGCAAATCCAGCGCTTGCATTCAGCCAGTTTTCGCGCACCACAGCTTCAGCATCGCCGATGAGCGGCACCGCGTCACCAATGGCACAAAAGCCATCCTCCAAGGCGTCAACACCCGAGTCTCGCTCCGGCTCGGCAACCCCCGCCATGGCAGCGATCGACCAAATTGACGGAGTTCTGGCATCTCAGCTAAAACGGCTCGGCAAGCACGACTCGAAGACCAAAATGCGGGCCCTATTTGAACTTAAAAGCTACGTCAGCGAGCACACTTGGGAGAACGGTCTCGAGGGCATGCTTCTGGCATGGCCACCACTGTTCAAGCGACACATTTTTGACCCCGATCGCCGCGTGCGCGCGGCAGTGGCTACAGTTCACGCTGCTCTGGTAACCAAGACTGGAAAGCGGCTGGCAGCGCACCTCAAGCAGCTGATCGGCCCCTGGGTGGCATCGTACTTTGACCCGCATCGCGAAGTCGGCCGGAGCTCGCGGATAGCATTCGAAAAGGTGTTTCCAGAGTCCAAGCGCGCCGAAGTGTACGCATACTGCCTGGACGAGCTGATTGAATTCGCCACAGACAACATTGTTAACCAGACACCCGAGACGCTGAGCGACCCACGCTTTGTGGACGCTGAGGACATGCGCAGCAAGTACGAGCATGTCATTGGCGTGTCTTTTGGTACACTGGGTCTGGTAGCTGAGGAGGCTGCTCCGCAGAAGCTACTTGAGCACCAGGCACAACTGGATACTGTTTTCGGCAACAAGGTCGCTCTAAAATTTCTGTCCGACCAGTCGTTCTTTATCCGCCGCGGCTGCTATCGGCTGGTTCGGATTATCATGATGCGGTGCCCTGAAGTGTCCGCGACACACATGCATGCTGGCTCAGGCGCTACTAGCCAATTGCTTCAGCGACAGCGATCCCAACGCGCACGGCGACATGTGGGATGCCGTGTTGTTGACGACAAAGAACTATCCCCAGGTTTGGGGTGAGGATGGAAGCGCTGAATCAAAGAAGGCAGGCAAGAAGAAGACAGCCACAGATAGGCTGTTTGAATTCCTGCGCTTGCGCTGCAGGCTGCGCCGACCATTTCGTACCCATCGATCCTGGCATTGCTTGCTAACTTGCCGGCGGGATACTCGATGAACCATCCTTCCAGACCGACTTCAACAACGCGCTTTGGCAAGGTGCAGTTACCGCGGATGATTCAGGCGACTTGAAAACAGCACCGGCAGCCAATTGGATGGCACTGTTGGTTCGCGCGCGGCGCATCAGGAGAGCGTAGCGCTGGTGAGCGCGATCTGCGAGTGCTTCTCATTCCTATGGACGCGGTCGCTGAAGAACGCGGCATCCAATGGAAATGGTGATGCCAGCAGCAGTGTCCGGGAGCTTGTCAGTAAGGATGTTTCGCGCGAAACCGACCGCCTGTGGCATTTTTATCTGCAGAACATAGAGTCTGCCGACGACCTGGCGCAGCCGGTGCTAAGCTGTACTGCAAGATCGAGAGTCTGTCTGTCAAGTATGACCCCTCGCTTTTGGCTAACATCTGGGCGCAGACCAGTTGGTTTGCGCAGCGGCGGTTGACCGGCGACGCGATCTACCCGGTTGTTTACCTGGTGGCACAGCTCGCTTCCCTCGACAAGGCATCCCATCACGAGTGGCGGCTGCGCGCGCAAGCTGCTGTATCCTTCTGCCAGCATGCTGTGCAGTCGCCTGACACAGCAACCGCACAGAGCCTGATCCAGACGCTGTCGCAACTGGCTCCCGACACTGTGTTCCAGGAGGGATTTTCGACAAAGTTTTCCATGCGCCTCGAGGGCACTGGTTCGAGCGACGAGGCAGTTGACTTGGTGTTGTCCAAGGCCCAGTATCTGATGAAACCACAGGATCCGCTGCTGATGCCGCCCAGAGCATCGATTCGTTTATTGCATCGACGCTGTCGCGGGTAGGAACATCAGCAGAGGCGACCGAGTCGGCATTCCGCCTGGTCACAGCCCTGTTGGCAGCGCTGCCGGGATCCGAGGTTGCGAAGGGGGAGCAGTGGAAGCAAAGTGCCCAGCTTCCTTCGCTGGGGCGCGTTTTGTTGTCAGTTCTGCCACAGCTCCCCACGGGCACCAAAGAAGTGCTGTCCTCAGCAGTGGGCGCGCCCTCTTTGGATCTAGTACGCCTGCTTGGCCAAGCACTGCTGGTGCACTTTACCAGTGAGGCCGAGCTCATCGATCAGCGCGTGGTCGACAGCGTGTTTAGCTGGATGGAAGGCGTCTTTGTCGTGCTCTACGAAATCCAGTGGACGCGCGGCAATGTTGCTGCCAACTCGTGCCTGAGTGGCTGGACCAGCGCCACGCACGAGGTTTTGAGCAGCTGGACACTCTGGCCCGCGATTCGACAGCTGGACCGCGCTTTGTTCGATTCTGGCTCGGCAGGTCGGGCAGCCAAGCGCACTCGGCGCTGGGGCTGCTGTTCGACTTTGCCATATCCACGCAGGGGTCGAGCGACATCAAGACAGACGTCATCGCGACTGTGGTCTCGAAGCTGCATCCGCAAGCCAAGCGCGCATGGTCGGCAACTGAGTCCCAGCTCGAAAAGCTCCGCTTGGGCTCCGAGCTGTCGCACGCCCTGAGCGATTCTATTAGTAACGATCTCGGCGATTTGCGCGTGGCAAAGAACCCGTCTCACCTGGCGCGGCTCGCGAACTCCGTCTACACGCGCATTTGCCCACAGTCGGACTCGCGTGCCCTTCAGTCGTTGGTGTTCGACTGGATCTTGGATGAGCGCCAATGGGCACGGGCGTTGGACGCAGACTCGGAGGCAAGCCTGGGCTGCAATGGGAAAACCGACCGCTATTTGGGGTTGGCAAGCGCAGCAGGCGCTTCAGGGTTGCGGCAGTCGGTTGACGACTTTGGTGGTATCAGCAACTCAAAGTCTTTCCACACGTTGGCCCACTGGTCGGCCAATGCCGCCACTGCGCCAATATCCGTAGAGCCACGCGGAAAGCTGCAGGTCTATGATGTCTTTGGGCTCTCGCGCTTTGCCCGCCGCGCGATGTTCGCCATTGATTTTGTTCAGCTTTCTGGTGGGTGCCGACACTGTCCTTTGCCAACAGCGAGACTTTGGCAGCATTTGTGCGCCACATGGCCCTGGCGTTCGTGCTGTTCAGAGAGGCCCTGCTTTTGTCGTCAAATTTGTCGGACGACCGACGACGAGGTCGCCACTAGCGGCACAAGCAGGCGCAAGCTTGCATGCCTCAGCATCATTGGCGTGAATGCTGACAACAGCATGCTGTGCACGCGGGTGGACGCATCCGCCAAATCAATCCAAGAGCTCGTCTCAGATCTGCTCAGCCTGGTTGCCGTGCAAGGCTCGTCTTTGCCCCAGGTAGGCGAGCTTGCAGACAGCTCGTCCGTCTCTGGTACCAAGGCGCCCCGCGATCCTGGGCGCTGGTTGAGCACGCTAGTCACATATGCGGTCAGCCGCAGCGGCGACCTCGAGCCTGAGTCCGCATGGGAGCGCGTCGCGGCGTTTTGCGTATCCAAGGGCCAGGAGGACGCTGGGTCTCCTTGGACTCTGGTTCTGGGCACGCTGGTTGAGTGGTGCCAGTGGTCGTCTCCGCTCGAGCCCGCCGACATCGAGGCTGCTGTGGCCAACCCGCTGTCGCGCAGGATGTCTGCCGTGCCCGAGGCCACTCCATGGGCTGTGCTGGCGGTCGTGATCGTGCGTGCAGTCTCCCTGCGCCAGCAGTGCGTGCAGTCTCCGGCCATGCAAAATGCGCTCCTGGACACTGTGAGTCAGCTGCGCAACTCTGCCGATCTCCAGCAGCAGGTTGCCCTGATGGAGCTACTTTGCGAGCTGCTTCCATCGCAGAAGGCCTCCCTCGACGCAGGCACATCGACTCCCAAGATTGTTGGCATTCTCACCGCGCTCCCCGAGAAGATTGCCGAGGACAGGTACGTGGCGGCTGCGGGTGCGCATGCCGCGCTTCCAGTAATCTTGGCCGCGCTGGCCACCATCCAGAGGTTTGCTTGCTGCGTGCCAGCTCTGGATGGCGCGAGCGCCGTGGGCCTGGCCCGCCTGTGCTTGCGCTGGGTTACCATGGACGTTGGTTCCAGCGACGGCGGCACCGCGCTGCAGGACACGCTTCTGGTAGCCGCATCGCGGGCAATTGGCGCGCTTGCCCGAGTGGCGTCTGCACTGGTCGAGGACTCGCTCAGCATTGTTGGCCCAGTCATGCGGCAGATCGGAGAGCAGCTCGTCGACACATGCGTGCTGTCGGAGCGGCCGGTGCCCGAGGGCGTTTACGCTGTGACGCAGCTGATTAGGTGTGAGTACAGCGAGGTGCCTGAGTTTGGCAGACTCTACCCAGTGCTTGCCAGCGCCACTCCCAGGCTGGTCGTCGAGATGCTGCGCCTCACACTGTCAGCATCAGACACCAACGAGTACATCGGCGCCCATTTGAACGACCTCGTCCGCTTGGTCGTTGTCGCAGCAAAGGCGCTTGCCGACCTGAGCGTGCCTCTGGAGGAGTTTGGCGAGGCGATTGAGTCTGACGAGTACATCCGCAGTGCCGGCCTGCGCCTGCTTTCCAGCCTGCTGCTGGTCGCCCGGTGCGCCGACGGCATGGCGGCCGATGCCCAAAAGTATGAGGAGCTTTCGGATCTCCTGAGTCGGCAGCAGGTCCTCGACGGCGCAATGCCCTGGGTGTGCGGCCTGCTGGGCCTGGGCAGCAGTGTCTCTGGCGCATTCAATGCCAAGCTCTGGGACGCGTCGGCGAACGTGGATTGGGAGACATGGGCAGCCGAGCTCTCGCTCAACCCTACTGGCGAGCATTTGTTCCGCGTACTGGCAAACCACGTGCTGTACAGCGTGGCGTGGGCCTTCCCGTCGACCTTCCGCCTGTGGTGGGCCGGGCTCTCGCAGGGCTCTCGCGCAACCAGCGTTGCCGTCGAGCAGTTCGTCACCAGGCACATTAGCCCGATCATTGTCGAGAATGAGATCAGCCGCATCCGCCAGCAAGGCGGCGAGGACGCAGGGCAGGAGCACGTGTGCGACCACGAGGATGAATGTGACCCGCGTCTTCACGCGGCCAAGCCCACAGCAATAGCGCAGATTCTGGAGGAGTACGACGACTCGGCCGTGCGTGCCGGCGCGACCCAAGCGACGCTGTCTTACACTGTGGATGATAGCACGCTCGAGATTGTTGTCCGCTTGCCGCCGGCGTACCCTTTGGCGCTGCCTGTGTTTGACTCGGTCAAGAGGGTCGCTGTGTCGGAGAAGCGCTGGCGCGGGTGGCTGGTGTCGGCCCAGGCGCAGATGGCACGCAACCGGCGTGTGGATACTGTGTGTGCGCAGCTGCTGGGGAACATTGGCGCCCACTTTGCCGGAGTCGAGGACTGTGCCATTTGCTATTCGGCTGTCGGGACTATGGACAACACGCTGCCCAACAAGCAGTGCAAGACGTGCAAGAACAAGTTCCATCGGATGTGCCTGTTCAAGTGGTTCAACACAAGCAACCAGAGCACATGCCCGCTGTGCCGCAATCTGTTCTAGGCTGCAGGGGACATGCTTGGGTACTCGACTTTTGCTTCGACCATTGTATATTTAGAGTAATTAATTGATGCTAATAGACAATACACCTACAAAGTATCTGGCCAACCGCTGGTGTTTTATTTTTATTTTTATTTTATGCAATCGATGCGCCATTTGCACGTAAGTATTTCTGTCCATAACTGCGCCCGGGTGCTGGGTGTCTGTCAAATGCCTGTGACATTTGCCGCCTTTAATGCAGACCGGACGCCCAAATAAACTCCCTTTTGTTTTCACACGCCATCCCTATACATCATACTACGAGCGCTCTTAGCAAGCCCATATCGCGCGCGCAACGACGAACAGTGCGCAGACATGAAGGTCACAATCACCGACTGGAAGGCAGTCGCCGGCTGGAGGTGGGATGTGCCAGATGATGACGTCTGCGGAATTTGCCGCTCGGCATTCGATGCCTGTTGCCCAAGCTGCAAGATCCCCGGCGATGACTGCCCGCTCATATGGGGGGAGTGCTCGCACGTCTTCCACATGCATTGCTTGCTCAAGTGGCTCGTGCCGAAAACAGCCAGCAGCAGTGTCCGATGGACCGTCGCCCGTGGGTGACGGCGAGCTAATGCATGTTCGAGCCCTTTCACTCTGTTGAATGGAATTCCCCCCCCCCAAGTACTTTTAATTTGTCTAAATATAATAATGTCGCAAAACTAAAACTGGTCAAGCTAGTTAAAAAACAAGAACAAAAAAACAAGCAGCATAAAAAGTTGGCTTACAGCTCGTCGTGCTTCTCTTCGTTGCTCTCGCAGCCGCAGGATCAGCAACCTCGGGGGCTGGTTCGGGCAGGTCAATGTTGATGGCCTCAGCATCTGCGATCTGCGCGCCCTCGTGCTTGCCACGCTGCGCGAGCACCTTGGTAAAGTCGGCGACCTGCTTATCAAACAGTTCCCACTCGGGCAGCAGACGGCGCGCGCGCACGAGCTTGGGCTCCTTGGTCATCGGGTTATTGCACAGGTCAATCGTCTTCGCCTTGCCGAGTGCCGCATCGCTGCACCATGTTTCGCACCACAGCCACTCCTGGGGCAGGCTGAAGATAGGCACGAGATGCTGCATGTTGTTGGGCAGGTCCTGGTCGAGATTGGCCAGCGAATTCGAGTCGCGCGAGAGCATCTGATACTGGCCGCGCAGCCGATCACCCGCTGCGAGCTGTCTGAACCGCTTAAGATCTACGACGTAGAGCGCCGAGATGTGGTAGGGCTTTCCGCGCAGATGGTCCTTCCACCATCCGTTTTTCCAGAACCTATACCGTCGATCTCCTTGCGGTCGTCGCAGAATGGCACGTAGCCATAGGGCGCGCCCTGAAGGTCCATGTCGGCGAGCTCCTGCAGGTCTGCGCGCACGATCTGGTCGGCGTCTACGAAAATAACACGGTCGAGGTTCAGCGGGAACAGCACGTCCAGGAACAAAATCTTGTAGCCCCAGATGGTCCGCTGCTTCTCAGTCTCGTGGTTCAGCCAGTGCGGCCACTTGTAGGTGACAAACTCAAAGTCAAATCCAAACTCCTCTGCCATGTGGGGCACAAAGGCCTTGAACGAGGGCGACAGGAAATTCTCGATCAGCCAGAACTTGACGTGGCTGCTGGTGTTGTTCAGCACGCTCATGATCATAATCGACATGAGCCGCTCGTACAGGTGGCCCGACGCAACAGCAAAGACGTCAAAGTGCGGACGGATGCCCTTTGCCGCAGCCACATCCGAGCCGCCACCAAAGGAGCTGCGGAGCTTGCCCCAGAGCCCACCGGCTGAATCCTTTGCCACCGATCCCGACGCAGCCTTCGAGTCTGCGGTATCCGAGCTTTCCAAGACATCCTCGGTCTCCTTTCCAGGGCGCTTGCTGACCAGCGGGAAGATCGTTGTGCCTCTGAAGCTCGAGACAATGACAGGTTGGCGGTACTCGTGGTCGGGGCCAGCCTGCTTGGCAGCGCGATAATTCCAGCGTCCGTCACCGATGTGATCAATCTTGTATATGTCTGCCGAGCGACCAGGGCGGATGCTGAACTTCCAAACACCCGGATTGGCCTTGAGCTGCAAGTAGCCAAGATTGGCCATTACAATGGTGTCTGTCATATCCACTTCCGACGACGTGCCGAGCCGCACTTCAATACCACGCGCAGGGGACCTGCTGTTCGTATCTACCAAGTGACCCTCGACCAGAATGTTGACCAGCTTGTACGTTGCTGATATTCCGGCACTTACATCTCTGAGCGACGAAAGCCTGATGTTGTCCAGGTCGTGGATGGACTCGACCGCAGTGACCAGCCAAGCCGAAGGGACATCCATTCCAAGTGTCAACAACGGATCGGCCGGAATGCCATTGAAAACAACTTCGGGGCAAGCAGTGCTTCCTGTGGCGCCAAACTCTGGCTTGCTCGGCCATAGGTAGCGGTAAAACCGCTTGACGGGGAGCTCGGTCATCTTGGTCTTCGGGACCATCCAAAGCTCAAGCGACACGGACGGCATGCTGACCAGCGTCTCGAGCAGCGGCGCCCACTTTTGCGCAGTCTCGCTCAGCGGATCCAACACCACCTGTATGCGCATGCGCGCCGAGCCGGGCTCGTTGGTAGTCAGCGGTGCTGTCGCATGGGTCGACGGCAGAACATCAAAGAGTTGACGAGCCTGCTGCTTACGGCGCTGCATCACACTGTCACTTTGGAGGAGAGTTTTGCTGTGCTCTATGACCGCTGAGATCTTGAGCAGCAGCGACGGAACCTCACTAGGCTTGACATCGGGCAGAACTTTGGCCATGGCGCTGCGAACTGCGCCGATGCGCTCTTTCTCTTCGAGCGCAGCCAGAAGGACAAAAGTATCCTCATTGAACAGCGTTGTCGGGGTAATTGTCGGGATGATCCTGCCGTTGACAGCCACATAGCATGAATCGGCGTCGGCAGGGATTGCATTCATGGACGACAAAACAGCCCGATTGGCCGTAAACTCCAGCTCAGCATCGTTTATAAACTCGTCCAGAGGCTCGAGAAGACGCGCTTGCTTGTCCCCAAGTGCCGCGACAGCAGATTTGCGCCCCTCAAGTAACCGGCAACAACCTCGGCTTCAACACCAGAAACGACAAGCTGGTAGACAATCTGCGGCGCATCCACATCGTAACCCTGGGCTTCCTCTGCCTGCTCGTCGTCCTCGTCCTGGTTGTTACTCTTCAAGGCATCTGACAGCCGCGGAACATGGATCAACGCGACTCGCATGCGAGTGTCCTTCTTTGCTGCGGCCAGGGCATTAACTGCCACTTGGCGTACTCGCTCGGATGCAAGATCGCCGATGACCCACGTCGAGACAATTTGCTCCCTTCCTTCTGATGCATCGCTGTCGCTGCCAAAGTCCAGATACCGCACGTCACGGTCCATCCACTGCATGGCCAAAGGCTGGCCCAGCGGCAAAATGCGCAGTGGATTATCGTCCGACACGTAAATGAGCGTGTTGCGCGAGCTCGCAGCGCCCCTGCCATACACAAATTCCTGCACACCGTCCTCGGGCGTAAACTCCTTCAAGCGCAGCTTCTGAGCCAAATCCCACGTCTTCATCTGGAACGCATTAAAGACATTCTGCTGGTAGCCCTTGCCCATAGAGAACTGCTCGCCGTTGACAAACACCATGCCCGACGGCGTCGATGCGGGGCTCAGGTCCAGACGCGCACAGTAGTCGACTGTGTCCGCCCACCGCCTAGACAGCCAGGAAACGGTATCTCCGCCGCTGCCGACAATCTGCTCCCAACCAAGAGGTGTCTCGTCATCCTTGGTTTGTGTGACTTGATGTACGCCTCGTAGATGCTGCGCGCGCTGTCGATAAACAGCGCCGGCATTGCGCCAGGGTTGCCTTTCTAACCTGGTAATGCGAGACCAGCGCGCCCTTGATGATGGAGTGCCACTCCTTGCGCTTGAACGAGCGGCGTAGGTACAGGACATACTTTGCCATCGAATTTGCCACCGACTGCTGATCCGGAGTGCTGTAGTCGATCAGCGGCACAATGCCGAATTGCATGGGCAGGCCGTGCTCCACATTGGCCATGAGTTCTTCAAACGCGAGCACCCAAGTGTCGGGCTGCGACATGTCGAGCGCAAATACAACTTGCACAATGTTTTTGCGAATACGCTGGATCATCCCGGGACTGCCCATGCGCTTCAGGTTCTGAATATCGGACGGCCACGACGAATAACGGCGGTCTTTTTCGAGATCGTTGAGCCACAGCACAGTTTTTTGGTCTTGCGACTTGTCACGCATGTCAAAGACCAAGGTGTTGGCGCCCTCGGCGTCATCAGCCGTATCGGTGCCAATAATAAGCTCAATGGCTTGGGTCTGAGAAACTCCAAGGTGCTCGAGGCTGCTGATAACTGAGTTTTCTTTGCGCAAGTGCTCCAGCAGTCCGAACGGGTCCAAGTTCTCGTCCTCCACCTCAAACCCATTGATGAGCAGCCGGTTCCCGTACTTATCCAGCGCATCATCCTTAATGCTCGCGGCTAGGGTGCTGTTGATGGGCACCTCGGAAAGCAAGTGCGCGTAGCGGGGCAGGTCCTGCGCCAGCTGCTTCAGCACGGCCAGCCTGTTGACCTCATCGGCCGACAAGACCATTTGCGTGGCCTGGATGCCCAGATCAGAAATAAGCTTCTCCGACAGGCCCTTGACTATGGGCTCGGTCTCGCTCTCGAATATGGCAAACTCGCCGCTATTGCCGCTAGCGTTAGGCCCCTGCACAGCGAGCTTGGAGCCTCCCGACTTTGCGGCACCGCGACTGCTACCATAGTCCAGATCGCGGTCATCAATGACCTTGTACTCGGTGCTCTTGAGCGCGAGCTCGACACCGTAGCCGGAAAGCCCGAGCAAGGGGCGATCGCTGTCACTGGCACTGCTAAAGTCCCAGGGGCGGTAGCGCAGAATATACGTGACCTCAGAGTTGTCGGCCAACATGACGAGATGCTCATGCATCCCGACAAAGCTCTCGGCGCGCGGGTCAGCGTAGAGAACCACGATTTTTGGTAGCAAGGGGGCGTCTGGGCGATACACGTGGTCCAGACCCAGCCTCTCGGTCACAACCTTGGACTCCTCAATGTACGTGTCGCCATAGAACTTTTCAATATCCAGCAGCTCATTCAGGGCTTCGACAGAGCAAGCCTGCTTGTCCTTGTACTGGGCCCACGCTGTGCAAGAGTCGTCAAAATTATTCGCCCCGCGCGCCTCCTAATATCGGGAACCACGTTCGAGTTGTACATCTGGTACTGCGCGACCACCGCCGGCGCGTGCGCGTGGACAGATAGCTCGAGTTTCATGAGCGACTGGGCGAATGGCTCGAGAAGCGAGTCATGTTCAATCCACTGCAGGGCCTGGGCGTAGGTGTCGGCGTCTGATTTGGCAAACACGTCATTGTTGCTAGCCAGCTTGAGCAGAAAGGGGAAGTAGGCGCTGCTGTTGTGCGTGGCAATCCCCTCGGCGACTTCCAGAAGCAGCGGTGGGGCTGCAAAACTTGACAGCAGCCGAGTGCGGATGGGTGACGAGGTTGATGTGCAGGACCGCTTGCATAGACCGGGAAATGCAGCATCGACAACGCAGCTAAAACACACAATGCGCGCTGAGTCGTGCGCATAGTGTCAGTTGAAATTGAAACTGAAACTGAAACTGAAATTGGAATTAAAGTGTGTTTTTGTGAAAATGTGGATGCAAAAGGGTAATAAAAATATTTAGTAAAAGACAGTCCAACAATTCCAACAATTTGGAATCAAGTAAAAAAATAGGAGTGATGATATTGCCACGCCGCCTGTTTTTGCATATATGGAAGATTTTCTGCAAACGGTCCGCAACGCAAAAAGCGGTATTTAAACTATCACGAACAGCAGCCACACCCATCAATCCCCCCAGTAAGCATTCGTGCGCGCTGCCATATCTGCTGTGGTGTGCTTCTCAACTTTTTATTCTGATCGTGTTATTTTTTGCTAATTGTCCACAGGAAAAAAAGCAATAAAAAAATGACTTGCGCCACAGCATTCGCCCACCTACACTCGATATTTAATATTTAATATATACACATGGCGCTTGTTGATTCTGTAGATGTAAGTGATGTGCGGCACAGTTTGCAAAACAAAACAAAACAAAAAACTTACAACTGACGATTAAAGAAATAGCATTTGCAAAAGTATTACACATTAAATATAAAATGATTCCTATTTGTTTTACACGCAAAAATAGCTTGTGCGCGTGTCTTCGGTAAACGCACTTTTTACCCAGGCCGAGTGCCAGAGCATATACCAGCAGAACCCAGCCCTGCTTGAAATCCGCGACTTTGTTGTTAAATACGCTCCGAACGCGCACTCGTCGTCCAAAGATCAGCAGCAGCAGCCCGAGACAAGAGCAGCACCGCAGCCACAGCATCGCAGCATCGCAACCGTCTATCCCGATCACCTCACTGCGCGACATCGTCACATCTCTGCTAGAAGAAAAACGCCACGAGGACGGCGTCCGCTTCCTAACAGCCGTAGGCTCAGCCTCATTAGTGCAAGACGCACGCGTAGTCAGCAACCTTCTGAACATATTTAAGCCAACCCACATTCTCGAGAAGGACCTAAAACAGCGCAGCAGTTTTCTTCTCGAAACCCTAAAGCGGAATGCTGAAGACCACAGTGAACTCTGGCAGATCAGCAACAAACGGCTACAGGCCATTATACAGTCGCAGCAAAGCGTATTGGCATACCTGAGGTCTGTCGAGACGCAGTTTCTCCGGCCTTGGTTTAAAGACAAGTACGCGATATCGCCAGGAAAATTCTGGGACCTCATGGACGAGCTGACCGGGTTGCCGCAGGAGGGGTCTGATGAGGAGACGAATTTGCTGGAGCTGGAGATGTATCAGCACCGCGTTATGCTGGCATGTATTCTGCTCGAGCAGATGCGTGCGGATATGGCGGCGAATGTCGGTGACATTTGGGAATCCATGTTCCTCAAGATCGTATCCGAGGGATTCGTGTCCTCAGGCCGCATATCGCATCCGAAAAAGCTGCTGGCCACCTTGTTTGCGCGCTTCAAAGGGATTTCTCGCGACCGGTGTCCGCACGAGGAGAGCAAGATTGTCGCGTTGCTGCTCGATATGCTGGCGGTAGCGAGCTGCTGCGGCGCTATATCCAGGGACAGCTGCGTACAGGCCATAGCAAAGGACCTGGTGGGTTTGAGACCGACGAGTACGTGGATTCATTGACCTTGTGGGCTCCGACATTCTGGCCATTGAGATTATCAGTTATACATTAGTCTCATGGTTCCGACTCGAGATGGTGCCGGCAGCAGCAGGCGAGAGCAAAAGCAAGCGCGGCCGGGAGCGTGCACTGTTGCTGCCCGCAGGGGTTGCAAAGACGGCGTTTTTTCTGGAGGCGACGCGGCCCAGGCAAAACCAGAATTGGCCGCGTACTGGTACGATCTGATCTGCGTCTTGTCCAGGCTGGTGCAGAGGACGGTCAGTGCGTTTGAAAGGCGCCTTTGCTTTGCCAACAGCGAATCTACTCATTCGGCATCGGCGCATCTTCTGGTGCTTATGGTGACTGCGAAGCATCCAGAGGCGTTTGCCGTGCTGACTGATGCGTACAGTAAGCTGATGGACTATCTGGAGGTTGCGTTGCCTCAGCCTAACGCCATAGACGTCGACACGCTCTCGCTTTCTTCGCTGGATTCAGACAATAATGGAAATGGCTGCGAGCGGGACGATGATGACGAGGAGGCTGAAATGCTCGTAAGCGTGTATGAAGAGCTGGATATCCTTGGAAAGTATCTGCGCGATGAATGAAATTAAAATGTAATGTTTTTTATACAGGCAGGTGATTTGTCATCAGTATTTGACCTCATTTTTTTTTGATCCAAGTGAAAAATTTACACTGTAACAAATCCACAGCCTGTGGGATTATTTGAATTTTTTTTAGATATTTGGTCTCATTCTTTTCTTCAGTTTAATGTTGCTGAGCTTTTTTCTTTCTATTTTTTATTGCGTTTGTATTTTTATATTTATATTTATATTTTACTTCTCAATTCAACACCAAAATCCACCCACAAACTTTTTTATTCCTTAATTTCACAATGAGTCACCCAGAGGTTGGCGATCGGCTAGCATCGATCAAGCACGTTGTCCTGTGCTGTCAGGAAAAGGCGGCGTCGGCAAGTCATCATGCACAGTGCAACTGGCGCTCTCACTCGCCCACCAGGGCCACAAAGTGGGTGTCCTAGACATCGATCTCTGTGGACCGAGCATCCCGCGGATGCTCGGACTAGAGGGCCAACAGATCCACCAAGCGTCAGCAGGCTGGGTCCCCGTATTTGCAGACTTTGAGAAGCGGCTCGGATGCATGTCCATCGGATTCCTTCTGCCCAACAAGGACTCCTCCGTGGTCTGGCGCGGGCCAAAGAAAAACGCCATGATTAAGCAGTTTCTCGCGGACGTTTACTGGGGAGACCTAGACTATCTGCTTATTGATACGCCGCCGGGTACGAGCGACGAGCACTTGGCAGCTGTGGAGTATTTGCAGGAGTGGAATCCGGACGGTGCAGTGATTATTACTACGCCCCAGGCTGTTGCGTTGGCGGATGTTAAAAAGGAGATTAGCTTTTGCACAAAGGTCGGGTTGCCGGTACTTGGGCTGATTGAAAATATGAGTGGGTTTGTGTGCCCGCACTGTGCCGAGTGTACTAACTTGTTTTCAACCGGTGGGGTCAGGGGCTGGCTAAGCATATGGAGATTCCGTTTTTGGGTCGTGCGCCCATTGATCCCAACCTGGTGATGCTGCTCGAGCAGGTGGACAAGACGGTGGTGCCCAATGTTAACGATCCTGAGGCCGAGAAACAGACGACCGCGTCGATAGTTGAGACGTACCAGCACTGCGAGCTGAGCAAGATATTTGCGATAATATCCAAGGAGCTCAACCAAAGGCTGAGTGCAACAAAAAAATAACAATATAATTTTTTTTCTTTTCAATTTCTGTTCAAATCCAGAATCAAAATACCAAAATTTAAAATATTATTTGTCTTCTTGTTCGTTGCGGCCCAGCATCTTCTTGCGCAGCTTCTTTGCCCTCTTTACGCTGGTTTCGCCGGTGATCCCAAGCTCCGCGTTCTCTCGAATCAGCGTATCTAGGGCCCTGACATCCGGATGGAACTGAATGACCTTCTTCGAAATCCTAAACCTCGTCGGCAACCCAAACTCGGGGCGATACACCCACTGCACACTATGCTTGCGCGACGGGCCCGGTCTCAAATCTCGCACATAAACTGGGGTCTTCGGATCACTCCCAGTCAGGCTGAATTTCTCAATCAACAACGGCGTATCGTTCGTCACAGGGAACTCAATCTGGCTCTCGCCAGATGCTTCAGCGCGCCGTACCTGCTGTAGGGCCTTTTTGCTGAGGTTCCCGAGGATACGGATGCTGCGGATATGGTCGCGGTACATTAGTTGGACAAGCACCAGGGGGATGAATCCGGCAGTCATTATTCCGCCAGCTGCGAGCACCGTGTAGACGTCGTCGAGGCGCACCCAGAGGCTGATCGCTGTTGAGCAGAATACGTTGACGAGGAAAACCATCCGCAGGTGCCGCACCTGCTTGGACATTGGCATGTCGTACATTGGCAGCTTAATAGGGATGCTGGCATCCGGCTGCACATGCTGCTGCTGAACAGAAGAGGGGACGGCTGATGTTGCTGGTGGGTTTGCCTCTGTTGACAATTCTGGTTTTCTCTCGGCGTAAAGTGATTGCGCCGATGTGTGGAACCCCTTGCTGCTGCTGCTGCTGCTGCTAGAGAAGGACATAATGGCAAACGGACTGGCGGTGTATTGCGGCTGCAAAGACATGTGTGCGCGCGCCACAAACATTTGGGTTGGTGTGGCGAGAGCATTGTTGATCCGCAGATTGGCCGCATGGATAGCAACGATCGGGTGGGCACCTTTGAACCGAGCAATACGCGGCTGACAACCTGCATCGAATACATGGTTTGCGTTAGTGTAGAATATAAAGCTTAAATAATGATAATATTTTACAATTTTATTTTCCATTTTTTTTGGCACATGCATAAAATAGCGCGCGAAAAAGTATGGTTTTTACTCACAAATGAACTTTTGAATATAAAAACAATCTCTATTTTGTTCGGGTCAGCACAGACATTGCAACGCGTTCCAGTGCGTCCCTAGCCGAAGATGGCGGCAAGATACGCAAAGCCTCAGCAGCCCGCTCCATATACTGTCTAGCCAACACCCTTGTTCTCTCAATGCCTTCACTCCTATGCACCAGCTCCCAAGCCTTCGCCACATCCCCATCAACCGAAAACTTGCGAGCCACCAAGGGGCCCAACTCAGGAAACTCCTGCCACGCATAAAGCACCGGAGCAGTGGCCAACCCAAGCTCCAAATCCGCCCCGCAGGTTTTCCAAGCTCCGCCGCACTAACGGTGAAATCCAACAAATCATCGATCAGCTGGAAGGCAATCCCCAAATTGCGACCGTAAATATACGTGGCTTCAACAATATCATCGGTGGAGTTACTGAGTATGGCGGAGGAGCGCAGGCTTTTGGCAATTAAACTGCCGGTTTTCAAATATGTTTTCTCCAAATAGTACGCGAAGGCAGGCTCGTCTGGCTGCGACATTGGCGCGTCTTCGACTTCGAGGTTCTTCAGTTGCTTGAATTCCCCGTCGACCAAGTCGCAGAGAACGCTGGCCATTATTTCGGTGACTTCGGGGTCGCGCAAGCGCGCCAATGCCATGGAGGCACGGGCTAGGAGGAAGTCGCCGGCGAAAATGGCCATTTTGTTGCCAAACTTTTTCTGGATCGCCGGGAGTCCGCGCCGGGTCTCCGCATGGTCAATGACATCGTCGTGGAGCAACGATGAAGTGTGGATCATCTCGGTGATCTCCGCCAGTCTTCTGTGCGTAGGCAGGATGGTCAGGCCCGCAGTGACATGCGGGGAGTACGGGCGGCCGCCGTGGCCATCGCGAGTTGCGTCTTGGATCAGGCGGTTGGAGGCCTGGGACTCTTGGTCGCTCTGAATAGTTTGCGACGCCGAGCGGTCGATCAGCGAGTAATCTATGTGGTCAAACTCGTTGTCCACTAGGATCGACGACCGGCCCTGGCGCTTACTCCCGATGCTGGTCGCCTGTGCCACTAGCATAACGAGTAGCGGCCGGATGTGCTTGCCGCTGGCCGAAAAGTAATACCGCGAAACCGTGTTGAGCATCGGGTGGCCGCTCTCAAGCAACCGCGCGAGGTTATCTGTGATAAGGAGAGCTCGGATCCGACGAGATCCTTTGGATCCATGAGTTTCTTTGACTGCTCTGCACCCACCGCCTCTGACGCATTCTCCAGGGCGTTAGCCCATGACTTGGTCTCCGTGGATGGGCCGGTTCGGGGTTATTTGCGCCAATGGATTTTGTTGTGATGGTGGAGGCGGAGATCGGCCGCTTCAACCGGGATACTGCCTGGTGCTGTGGTCCGGGGAGTGGTGCACGGACGCCGGTTGCTGCGCTTTCGAGGAAATGCGACACTTTGGCAGCGCCAATGGCGAATTTTCCCAAGGGTCGGGTTTCAGAGGGTTTGCGCAGAAAGTCGCGAGCGAGTGCGCCCAGTTGCCCAAGGGGTCCTCTCACTTTTGTCGCCATTATTTTGGTTATATATGGTGGTTGGGGGAGGGGGAGTGTTTGCTGAGTAAAAGTGAGAGCGATTTTCCAAAAACTGCCTCACAAATGCAAGCGTGAAAAACTAAAGAATTGAATTGAATTGAATTTTGTTTTGCGTGTGTATGTGAGTGAGGCGAGAAAAGGAAGAAGTAAAAAAAAAGTAGTCTCAACTCCCCTCGCGCACTTTTTGTTATCTCATGAAGACTAGTTCCTTTATTAATTTTTTTCAATTTTTCAAAATGAATGGGAATTTAAATCCCAATCCCTTATGATAATGAAAGGCGCCCGAATAAATTAAATCAAGATTAGCAGTGGCGGTGGCAGTGGCAGTGGCAGTGCGATTCTTAGTGCTGTCAAGCGAATTTGTTTTGCGCACAAACTGCCAGATCCAGATATATATATCCTAATGTCTGAATGTTAACGCATATCAATTCCATATTATTTTTATCAAACATCTATTAAAACAGCGGACAATAGCAAAAAGGGGGGAAAACTAACCAAATACCTCTTTTTTTATTTATGTTTTTATATTTTTTGCAGCTTCATTCCATTCACCACCATGTCAGCAGTCCCAGACCAGAGTCAGCAATGCTCCCAATAAGCGCATAAGGCGGCGGATGTGCAGCCGGCACACTATCAACATCACCAACCTTGGGTCTCGGTGGATTAACGTCCAAGAACTCCGAAGCCACAACACTAAACCTAATTTCCTCTCCAAATCCATATAAAGCTCATTCCCATCATACCTCCAAACCCACACACCCTCGGTAGCATCAAACTCACTCCCCTGTGGCATTTTATCTGCAGGAATAGTGATATCGTCGAAAAAGCCCATAGTGACTTGGATTCCCTGAGCGCTGGCACTGCGGACACGGCCAAGGAGGATTTCGTCTCGGAATGGGCGGAAGACAATCATGCGGAAGGTGACTTTGACCCAGATCCAGCCCTCGGAGTGCTGCACATAGCCTTCGTCGATTTCCTGCAGGTCATGAACGAGGATACAGAGCCCGATGTCGTGCAGAACGCGGTTGGTGTATTTGCTGTTGATCTCATCCTTGAGCGCGTCTTCGCGGGACTTTGTGAACTCCGAAGGAATGATCTTTAGTGTGTCGCGCAGCGCAACTAGAACAAACATGGGGTTTTTTTATGTACACGGGAGGTGTAGGTGAAATTACTTTTGAAGCTGAGAGGTGAAAATTGTTGGGGGGGAGGGCGGCGGAAAGGAGGGTGTGTAAAAAAGTTTAATGCTGTTTTTTGCACATTTAGATATTAAAGGTAAATAGGCTGATACAATATGTTTCGGGATTTATCACGTGTATATATTTTTTTGTATGTGCAGTTTGCTTTTCTTTGAAGCTGTAAGAGGAAATGCGAATTGAATTGAATTTTTCAATTTGTTCAACTGCCAACCTTAATTTCACACAACTAATTTTATTTTATTTTATTACTTTCTACATTCAAAAAACATATAAAATGGGAGCAGACGGAGGACGCAGACAGAGCCTGCGACTATTAAACAAGGCGTTGCAAGAGTCAGACAAAGAAGAGCAAGCGACAAGCAACCAGCAGCCAAGCATACCTAAACCCAGCGACACCCCAGGTGGTCGAGTGCTCGACGGGCGCGTGGAGAAGCGCAGCGGGGCCGGGCGAATAATCCCCTCGCGATACATGAGCAATACAGCAGCAGCAGCAGCAGCAGCAGGAACACCGGCAGCAGTGAAAAAGACAGCCGGGCCACGGGTCCGCGCAGCCATCGCCGCACTAACCGCCACACCAGCCACCTCGGCCGCCTTGCCAAGACCAGGGACATTCACGGACCGCACAGCGGCACCTGCAATGGCGCCGGTCTGCAGGGTGACGAGACAGGCGCGGACACAAGCTCCACAGACCCTTTGGCAAAGCCCTATTCGGCGCATAGGCAGCTGGAGGCCAGCAACGAGTGCCTAGAAGAAAGCGCTGCTGTTCGGCGAGCATTGCCGCCTGGGGACTCGCGGACGGCTGAGCGTCTGCAGTGGCAGCTGCTCTTGGCGCGATCGCAGATGCAGTTTGACTCGGCCAAAAGCGCAGCACAGCGAGAAATCAATCAGCTCGTGGGCGAAGCAGAGGAAGCCAAGCGGGCATTGTTCGAGGAGCAGCGTAAGCTGAAAGTTATGCAGGAGCTCGTGGCGCTGGATTCGTGGATCAATGGGAGTGCAGGGATGGCGGTGCGGGAGATGGGCCGGGTGGTGGGCGAGGTGGCTGAGGCGTATTTGCGCTTTGGGCGCGGTATGCAGATGACCACAAGGGCGATGCCGGTTGCCGGCGTGTGGTATGAGGATGAGGCGCGGGTGGTGGCGGATCTGGAACGCTTTGTTGCTGAGGTCGCGGAGGCTTTTCCGCCGGAGGACCCCAGGGTGCGGAGCGTGTTTTGTGTGGCCGAGGCGCTGCGCCAGTTTTGCCAGGGTCGCAGGGAGGAGGCCCGGCTGGGCGCCGAGTGTGGCCGCTTGAAGGCATCGCTCGAGCATGTGGTTGCGCTGGCGGAGAGCAGGCACGAGTGAGTGTTTTTTTTAAAAATTTGTTTTGTGTATTTTAATGGCAGTAAAGCCTGTGTTTTGTAAATGTTTTTGATTCCTGTTTTTATTTGACCTATTCTTTGCTGTGTGGGTTTTGTTTTTTGGCGGGTTAGGCGAGTGCGTCACACTGGGTCGCAGTAAATGCAGATCAGAAGAGGTGAATGCTCCTTTTTTATTTATTTGCAGATCTGCCTGCCTGCCTGCCTGCCTTAGAAAAAGCCAGGGAAACATTAGTGTGCTTATTTTTCTTTCGCGCAAAAGAACAGCTGGTTGGCCAGTTGACCAGCTGGCCAGTTGACAAGAACAGCTCGATCTCTTCGTGTCTTCCATTATCTCCCTTTTTCCTTTTTTTCTTTTTTAAGCGCATTAATTCCTATACAGAGCCAGCCCTCCATGCTTGTGTTTCTTCTTCCCACTTGAATTTTATTTTATTGCCCAAACGCTCCTCACATACTCTATTTTACACATACCCACTCTTCCCCCGTTTATATTTTGAAATGCCTCAAGGCGCAGGCAACAGTGGCAATGTCGTCCGCCACGCGAGCAGAAAAAGCAACGAAAGCAGCAATGGCTTTGAGGAAGCAGCCACGTTCACTGCCACTTCGCCAGACGCAGCGCCACGTCATTGGCACTTCGCCAGACGCAGCAACCACCCACATCAACCTATACCGCCAAAACCAAAGCAAGTGACGCTTCTGCAGTCGCCACTCCACGCGCAGAGATTCCCGATACCAGGCGAGGCGCAGGGCGGCGCGCAGAGCCACCATATGCGGCAGCGGGCCAAGGCATCGGCGGACACAGCAGCAATAGACATCGGCGCGGGGCGGCGGCCAGGCCGCTGCGCAGGCTGCCCACCGAGCTGCACCTCGGCGAAGGCGCAGGCTCAGGCCGCCCCATGCGGGAACCCAGCGGCAGCGGCGCGGTGCGGCGGAGAAGCCCGCGGCGCTGGCGCCCGGCGGCTCGCTGCTGGCGGGGACGCCGCCGGCCGAGGGGTCGGACCAATGGTACCGCGACCAGATCGACTACGTGCGCACACAGGTGGAGCAAATGGAAGCCAGGACACACAGCGCGGCCAGGAGGCGCAGAGAATCCGCTCAAAGTGGAAACGCGAGCTCTTCTTGCTCTTCGAGGACCCGTCGTCCAGCCCGTCCGCCTTCGTCATCAATGTGTTTGTCACCTTTATGATTATCTTTAGCGCCGTCCTGACCACAATCGAGACCATCCCGGCGCTGCGCAAGGGCAATTCGCAGATGTGGCTGGCGCTAGAGCTGATCATCGTCGCGGTGTTTACGCTGGAGTTCGTCTTGCGGTTTCTCGGCCACACGGATAGCTGGCGCCAGGCCTGGGACCACACAAAGTCATTTGTCACCGTGGTCGATGCGCTGGCGATCTTCCCGTTCTACCTTGAAATGGCGTTCCAGCGCGATACCTCCTACGAGTTCCGGTTCACCATCCTGCGGATCTTCCGGCTGCTGCGCGTCTTCAGCGCCTTCAAGTACTCGTCGCTCCTGCAGCTGTCGATAGAAGTGATGATTGTCGCGATTAAGCGCAGCTCCGATGCGCTCCTGGCCTTTCTGCTCTTCGTCACGCTCACTGTGCTGCTGTTTCGGCGCTGATGTACTTTGCGGAGCGCGGCACGTGGGACGACGCGCGCCAGGCGTTCTTGACGGCGGACGGCGAGTACAGCAAGTTCTCGTCGATCCCGGCCGCCGCATACTACTCGATTGTGACGCTGACCACCACGGGGTTCGGCGACATGGTGCCGACGACGATTATCGGGAAGCTGGTGTCGTTTCCGATGATGATTGCGGGCATTCTGCTGATTGCGCTGCCGTCGATTATTGTTGGCCGCAACTTCACCCAGGTGTGGGAGGCCGCGCGCAGGTTCCGCGCGCAGAGGGCCGGGGTGCGCGGGCCCCAGCGCCCAGGCGGGATGCTCGAGCAGCTGGGGATGGGGGCGCGTGTGGAGGATGAGGGGGAGGACCCGGAGGCGCGTGGGTCGGGGAGAACCGGCCGGCGGTCGCGCGCCCGGCGCACCCGGCGAGCCCCCACATGCGCCGGCGCCGGGAGCGGCAGGCGGGACGGCAGCGTGTCTTCGTTTGAGAGCAGGTCGCCGCGGGCGGCTGCGCAGTCGCCGATGGAGAAGCCCGGCGGGTACACGTTTGTGTACAGCGGCCAGCTCAGCAGCCCAAACGACTATGCGCGCAGCCCGGATCCGTTCGACGTGCTGGCGCGCAAGGACAGCATTGAGATGCAGGAGATTGCCGACGCCACTCGGAGGGGGGGAGCCGGCTGTGGGGCGGCAGCGCGGACTGGGGCGGAGAGCGCGTCTGGCGATGAAAGCGGGACCTCCAGCGGCCACTCGAGCGGAAGGCGCAGCGGGTGGAGCAGAAGCTGGCGCAAGGAAGGGGGGAAGGGGAAGGGGAAGGGAACGGCCAGGGCGCCTGAGGGGCGCCTTGGTGTGTCGAGATTGGAGTGGGAGGCGATGCATGCTGAGATGGGCCTGCTGCGCGCTGCCGTGGCCGGAAACGAAACGATGCTCAGGGCCATTGCCGCCCACCTCGCCACGCCCCTCCAGCCGGCCACTCCGCCGCCACCGCACCATAATTAGCGCCAGTACTAGCACCGGCGCCAGCACTAGCACCAGCACCAGAGCACTAGCACTAGCACCAGCACCAGAGCACTAGCACCAGCATCAGCACTAGAGCACTAGCACCACTACCAGAACCACCACACCACTACCACTACCACTACCACTACCACTACCACCACCACCAGCCCCAGCATTTTCCCTTTTGAAATCCACAACGGCTTTTTATTTAGACACCATTTGTAATAAAACAAAAAACAAAAAAACAAGCTAGTGTTCTTCACTGCGACAACATCTTGGTCCAGTCAAAGCGGTCCCAAGCAAACTGCGCCTTCCACTCCTCAGCCCTTTCCCGGCGCTGGCTCTGCGACTCTCTGATCCTGCGCGGCTTGCGGTAAACAGTCGGCGGCAGATCCAGCATCCCAGCGACCACCTCCCTGCCGAACCACTCCGGAAATGCCTCTGCGTTCTCGATAACATGGGCCATCCCGCCCTTTGGATTGAACCACACGTGGAAATACGGCATCTTCGCCGTCATCGTATTCCGAAACCCGCCACCCCCCGATTCCCTCACCAAAGTGTCAATAACCTTCCTATGCTGGCTCCACTCCTCGGCTGCCTCCACCATTGCCTCTCTGAAAAACGCCGGCGCATCTTGCGCTTTCCCCACGGGCATCGGGATACACTCCAAGAAGCAATGCCGGGCCCTGGCAGGCTCCGTCCAAATGACTGTTTCCATAAACACGACGGCTTGGTTTTTCTCGGCAAACATGCGGATGAGGGATTTCATAAAGTTGCCGATCTCGTCCCACACGTCATCGTCACATCGGAGGGAGCTGCCAGCGGTGTGTTCTATGGGCGCAATAATACAGTGCCCGTCGTTCATGGGCTCGCGGTCGGGAAGGGCCAGGTAGACCTGGTTGCCGAGCGCGATGATCGGGTGCGCGGGCGCAGTCAGCAGCGTGGAACCGTCGGGCTGCTCCGATTGCTTGAAGCACAGGCTGCAGTGGCTGAGAACAGAATCCATTACGCGGTAGTCCCGGACTGCCGCCTGCTTCTGCCGCTGCTCCTCCCTCTCCCTCTCCCTCTCCCCATCTTTCTTTTGTTTTTTATACCCCTGTTGTTTTATCCTGAGTGCCGGCCAATTTCTCTGCGTTGTCGTCCATGTACTCTAGGTCGTTCTGGAACCCACCATCCCGCATTATTCCCTTTGCCAATGCGCGATCCACAGAATCGCCCCTGTAGCCCTGCCGCTCCTCCTTGGCCATTTCCGCGATACTTGCCATATCACCCCCTTTGCCCGTTACTTCGCACTAATTCGCGTCAACCGCCCGTGACTATCCACTTGTGGAAGTACTATTGTTCCTGATGGAGATGGAGCCACTGGTGATGCTTGTGGTAGGGGTGCGGTGGATTGGCTGGTGGCGGATGCTAGTTGCTTTTCAAGATCTGCGAGATCGGATGATTTGGTTAGTCGCGCTTTGAGAATTTTGGCTTGGAGCCTGTTAATGTCGTTGTTGTGTGTTTGAACTTTGGAAGATGCCCCGCTAAATCGCTATTGTTGCTGCTGCTAGGGTGGTGGGGTTTGCTATTGGGCGAGCGCGAGCGCCTGCGATGGTTGCTGCGACGAGTATCTCTGTTCATTAGAAAGTGAAACTTTTTTCCCCAAAGATGTTGATAATGTGCTTATAAAGTATATGTGAATGTGCTTTGCAAGGATTTAATTGGGGCGGGAGGGGGGGGGGTTAACATATTTATATATTCATTTAGTCATCGTTAGTATTGGGTTTTAGTCACATGTATTGCTATGTCTTATTTTATCATTCAATTGTCTGGATTAAGTGTACTTTTTTTTGTTTAATAAAATTAAAAAAAAAACCTGAGCCTTGAATAGCCTGAAAGTATCTAGATCACAATTTTTAACAATACCTGCAAAATATCAATTGCATTGCTTTTTAAAACCAGTTTTCTTTCTTTTATTTACTACATGTTGCAAATAAAAAATAAAAAATAAAGACTTGGCTATTTTACTTTGTAGAAAATTTTTCTTTTATATAAACAAAAATAAAGGAGTAGGTAAACCCAAATAAAAAGGAAGTAAAATAAAAAGACTTGTTTTCTGTCTTATTGTATAAAAAAACATGAAAAAGAAAATTCACCTGACCATACGAAAATGAAGATGAATTTGCTTTTTATTTTTCACTAATAATAATAATTCAAAGAGGAGGGATGAAATGCTTTTTTTAAATCGTTTCATTTAGTTTTCCTCTCCTTATTCTCCCAACTTTATTATTTATATATTCTTATTATTCCTTTTTTACATACACTTGTTGTCAAGGGACGTCAAAAAAGTCAACCGCGCGTTACATTCATTCGGGCACAACTTTAAGCAAGGAGACCGCGAAGAAGGAAAAAATGCCTGAATTAAAATTGAAAAAACAGAAAGATGGGTTGACAAAATATCCGGCAAACGCGGCGCCTACGTAACCGCCCTATTTCTGGACTACTCATCATACTCTACGCAATAGAACTCACCGAAGTACCTAGCAAACCCAATATAACCATTGACAAGTTGGCTCCCGAAGCTGAAAGGCTGCACAAGTTTGTGCGTATAGCTGCAATGGTACTTTATGTGGCAAACATTTTATTCATATTTTTGACAAAAGATTTGTCAAGAATAAGGATAAGAAGGACATAAATGACTTGAAGGAGCCGGATGATATTTCGTACTTGGTTTGGGAAAGTACTTTTGTTAAATGCGGAGTTGCATTTATGACTTTTGTCTGTCTCTTGAGTGATAGATATACTGATTATATTATTCAAAATATGGACCAGGGTATGTCATCAGGTTTTGCCATGTTTATTTTGTCCGCTATGTTTGTTTTTGTCTTTTTGAAGGACTTGACCTTTATTCGACCGAGCAGAAGCGGAAAGACTAAGGAACAAAAGGAAAAAATGTATATGGAAAGAAAGAGAGAAGAACAAATGCTAAGTGCTGCAAGCTAAGAAAAAAATATATAAAACAATTTACATCTAGCTTTCTTTCTTTGCTATTAAAATTTTCCTTTTCCTTTTCCTTTTCTACTCCAACATTTTCATTATTACTTTTAAACTTTCAAAATATTTTTTGGTATAATAATCAATGCATTTATGGTGAAAACCATGTCTATGTTATAAATCATATTTTTGTACATTGCATATTTGAATAAATGAACAAATGAAGGAGGCGGTAATTATATTGCTAATATTCTATAGACAATTTAATTTACTTTTCCAAATTTAAATTGAGCAATAAAAACAAAAACTTTACTGGCTGTAAAAATAAAATTACTTCAAAACAATTATCAAAAGTACGGCAGATAAACTTATATATAACAAAATTGTATATAACTAGAGGAATATGAGTGTAAAATTGTTTTGTTTTGTTTTGCTTCATTTCATTTCATTTTTTATTATTTTCCATCTCAGAGCCAGCGTAAACAAATCAAAAAATATTCAAGTAAAATGGTAAATTTTATAACACCAACAATTAAGGATGCAGACAGTTGGTTTGACAAATTATCAAACATAATAGGAGCGTACGTAGTTGCAGCGGCGTTCCTAGCATCCGTAATGTTTTACTCCATGACACTGCTAACCGTGCGCAAAAAGGGCGGCACCGTGATAAAAGAGCTAGAATACGGAGCAAAAACCCTATGTCTAGCCGTCCGGTTCTTGACAATGGCGTGTATGTGATACACATTGTGTATATTTTTGTTGACAAGCACAAAAATACATAACAGGTTGTATCTTGTCTAGGAGAGCACGCTGATGAGATGTGGGGAGAAGGGGGCGCGCCTTTATGGTGTTCGTTATTCTTTTGAGCGACCACCGGGTTACAGGATTTTACATCGACCATATGGAGATAGTAGGGGGAGCAGAGTTCGCCTTGCTTATTACCACTGCCCTGTTTATTTTAGTGTTCAAGGATATGCTTTCCATTCAACCCACTAGACGCGGCGAAAAGAGAATGGCAAAGTACAGGGAGAAGCATGAGATGATGGGGCGGGAGAGGCTGCGAGGGTTGGAAGAGCACAGGAGGAAGATGAGTACAGTTGGTCGATTTGAGTGGACAGTGCGTTGTGAAATGTTTGAAGAGGAGGCAGAATCCTGTTTTTTTATTTTAGTATGGAATCCGAATTCCCTCCACCCACAAATACCTCATTTTTTTCTTCTTTATCATGGTTGGAATCCAGCGGCAAGGGAAATTCTTATTTTCTTTGGTGCCACGAAAATCCCTTTCTTTCTTTCTATTTTTTCTTCTTGTGCATGGATTTCACAATATGTTTTCTCTCTTTGTTCTTCAGCTGCTGCACTGGATCCTCTTTCTGCACCGCGTCCTCTTTCAAAGTTTTTATTTTTTATTTTTTATTTTTCAAACATATTATATTTATATTCTACTCTTCACTTTTCGCTTTTATCATCAAGAAAATACATACGGCCACGAAAAAAGCTCAAATTCAAACATAAAATTCACGCTGCTTTCATATTTTCATATTTGCAATCAGGCTTCGGTACATTATAATGGAGGATAGCGGTTACGACAACAAGCTCCGATCACCGTTACGACCATGGGCCACAGCAACATCACCGTCCCTAGGGCACAGCCCACGGCCGCCCAAGTCCGCACACACACTGCGAACAATGATACTCCCAATACAACATAGCCGCAGCAATAGCACCGGCTACACCCACACCCCCTCTCCCGCACACACCCACCCGCGCACACCAATGACCGCACAGCCAGCGAGTTTTTCTCTCGCAGCGCTGCTCGAAAACAAACCGCCATTGCGCGCTGACACGCAGCAGCAGGGGCGCGAGGCGGCGGCAGAGGACAAGTGGCGACGACTGGGCGCGCGCATCTTGCCCTTGTTCAACGGCGAGCGCATGCAGGGGTCGGTGGAGGAGGCCAATGAGATGGTCCGCGGGTGCTTGAGGTCTGAAGGGCCGGATGCCTGGGAGGAGGTCCGCAATATTGTCTCCATCGGCATGGCGTCCGTCGTTAGATCGCTGTACAGGCATATGGACGTGGCGCCGAGGTTCTTTTCGCAGGGGCGGAGGCCCAGCACGATGGTGTCGATGGCCGGGATTATCGAGGAGGAGGAATCTTCGGGGGAGAGGCTGATTGAGGCCCTGGCGGCTGTCTGGGAGGCTGTGTTTGCCCATGTGGTGCCGTATTTGGAAGCAGTGTTTTTGCCGCTTAGGAGGTTTGGCATTGAGGATGGTGTGCGGAGGAGGTGCTGAGCCAGTTTCGGGAGTGCGTTGTTAAGCCGCTGGTCCCGCGCTTGGCGGATGTAGCTCGGGCTCAGCAGGGGCTGGTCAATGGCGGGTTGGCGCAGGTTGTGCAGATGATGGCTATGCTGGCTTCTTTGACCCCTAAGGAGCGTGGGCCGGTGTATGACGCTGCCAGGGCATTGGCTGTGGCTCTGCAGGCATAGAGCCCCATCCCTTCCTGTTTGGTCTAGTTATTATTTTATCCCTTTAACTTATTATTGTATTTTTGTAAGCATCATCAATTCCATACATGGCAGGTGAATGAATGAACACACGAGCGGGTATGTGTCTGCATGCGTGTGTGGTGATCGTATTTCCCGTGACCAGGTGTGTTAGAAAAAAAACTACCATCACAACTGTGGCTTTTGAGGTCAGCTTTTCGAGCTTTTCTTCTCTTTTCTTAAACAATACTTTTCCTTTACTATTTCCCAATTCGTTTTCTCACATAACATAGCACATATTTTTCTCTTCTTCTTCTTCAAACCACCTTCATGTTTTCGCGCAATTCGCTGTTCAGGGCACAAGCAGGCAGCCCGAACAGCACGGCACGAACACCGGTGGGCAGCGGTAGCGACCCCTTGTCAGCCGAGTCCTCCCCAGCCAATGTTGTCGGCGCCATTAATAAGCTAGAGCCGGCGGCAGACAGAGAGTTTGGGGAGCACTCTATTATGCGCGAGATGCGGCCAGCCCTGGGAATCCCTGTGGCCAAGGGTGAGTTCCCCAGTACGGGGTTTTCGAGGGCGCGCAAGGTGTCAAAGAACCACGCGGTTGCGGAGACCAAGACCGCGCCCGCTTCGCCTGCTGCTGCCACTATTGCTGCTGCTGATGCTGCATTGCCAGAGGCCGATAAAGAAGTAGAGGCCGGTAAAGCAGCAGCAGACGTAGTGATAAAAACAGAGACAGAGACAATTTCGGAGGAACGGAAGGCCGAGAGCCCCCTCCTATCACTGCCACTACTACTACCATTGATATTGCTTCTGATATTGCTTCTGATGCCCCTGGTACTGCACAGCCGGCATTGGAGGAAAAGGCTGCTCTGCCGAGTCTTGACAGACTGCTTTCAGAGGAATCGGTCGGGTGGCATATGTGGCAACACCTGCAGGTATCGGACGACATGGCTGATGTCCGCGACATGATTGCTGACAGCCCTGCCTGCGTCGTTGTGCTGCCACAGTCGGCGGCCAGCAAAAGCACATCGCTCGACTTGGGAACATTGCTCAATGACAACGTGCTTTTCACAGACCAAACCTTCCCCACGACAGTAGCAGCAGGCGCTAACAATACGGCGCAGATAAAGTTTACCACAGTCAGCGGAATCTGCGGCACCGTCGACAGGGGCTCTGTATGTGCCCTAGGAATGCTGCCGCCCATGGAGGACATCATGGCGAGGATCAGCGCATCGGACTCGCCACGCACCACGCTGTTTGACGTTCTAGATGCCGACATGCTGGCCGGCAGCCCCCTTGTGCGGATACGCAGCGTGGCCGTGCGCCAGTGCCCCTTGCCGGATGGCCGCATGGTCAATGTGATCGTCGGCAGCTCGCCGCTGGAGAGCCGGCTGGTTGTCGACTCGGCCGTCACGACGCTGTCGGCGCGTATCTACGAGCAGGCCGATGCCACATTTGCCGCCCTTGTCCCCGGCGCGCCACCGATCACCGAGAGCGACACCATAAGGGTTGACATTGAGCGCATCATGCAGTTTGCGCACGCAATTGAGCTGCGTACGCCGGCGAAGCACAAGGGAGGGTTCTCGTGGATTGCCCGCAGTCAGGCAGACAAGCCCAGCGCCGATGGCGACGCGGCCGAGTGGCAGGCGGTCATGGCGCAGCTGATGGACGACGTGGCCGAGCACTTGTCCGTGCTAGAGGACGAGACCAGCCTGTGTGGCGACGCCGAGCAGCGCCGGCGCACGGCGTGGCGCTGGCCGAGTGTGTCGAGAAGCTGGCGCTGGAGACAGTCCACCTGCAGGTTTTTTCGCCGCCGTTTTCGGACGACGCCGCGCAGGACCAGCGCTTCGCATCCAAGGTGGCGGCGCTCAATCTGGCGGGAATCACGCTGGACCACCTGGGTCTGACGGCCAAGACGTCGGATGGCCGCCGCGACCTGGCGCGCATCTGCGCGGACACCGGCGACCTGCTCGCGCGCATGGACCGGGTCAAATCGCCGGCTGAGAAGCTCAAGCTAATTGTGGACGCGCACCGCCGCATTGTTGACCGTATGCAGAAGGCCGAGGTCGGATTATCAGCGGACAGCATCCTGCCGGTGCTGATCTTTGCCATGGCCAGGGCCAACCCGCCACGCTTCGTGTCCAACTTGCGCTTTGTGCAGAGGTTCCGCACGCGCGCGCTGATGGCGCCGCAGGTTGAGTACTGCATGACCAACGCCGTGGCCGCCGTGTCCTTTGTCGACTCCGTGGACGCGCGCACACTGGGGCTTCCTCTGTCGGGCACGTCGCTTGGGTCGTCTGAGGCCGCTCCTCGGGGGTGCCGCCGGCCCTGCACATTTTGCATGATCTGCTGGTCAACAACGTCGTCAGCAGCGTGGGCATTGATGTCGTCCAGGGCGTTGCCGATGGCGGCAAGAAGGTCGCTGTGGGCATGTACGATGCCACCGTTGGTAAGTTGTTTGACGGGCGCCAGCTCTCCTTCCGCTCGCCGTGGCGCGCGCCCGAGGACAAGGAGCTCAGGCAGTCGGCGGAGCAAATTGAGGGCGTGCGCAGTGCGCTGACCTCGGCCAGCGAGCAGCTGTCCCATGAGATCAAGGGACATTTGCCGCGCCCGCGCCGCCAAAACCAGACGCATCCGGCGGCTAATGTCCCGCGCCCAGCGGTTGTCGATCGATTCTTGCACATCGACGCGTCCGAGCTCACACTCAAGGATATCCCACTTTTGCTGGCTAGTTACAAGGAATTGGCATACTATATTTAGCAACTAATAACGTAAGCGGTAACTATAACCGTCAAATTCTTGTTCTGGTACGTGAACGACGTCATGGTGTCCTTTTGCTCGTTCCAGTGCATGCCATGGGCGATATGGCCGCCAGACCCGTTGTTCTCCATCACCGCGCAGGTGGTTATAAGCTTGTGCATGGGCGGCAATAGGCCTGTGAGCTTCTTGCTTGTGTAGTTGGTAATATTTGCGTGCATTTCCGGGAACCGCTCGTGCTGGTATTGCTTGGGGATAATTGCCATTTCCACTCCGGCTTTGAGGATTTTGTAGATGTCGTCAGTGCTATATGTCGGGCAGCCATTTTTCTTTGTTAAATATTGAAATAGGTAATATGTAGGCTGAGAGGCAATTGGATTGAATAGAGAGGCTATCGAAAAATTAAGTGCTTGTTTTGATTTTTTTAGCGTGTTGTTTCCAAGTTGGCGCTTCGTGCACACCCCCATGCGCATGCGCATGCGAGTGAAAGATTCTCTAAAAATGTGGGGTGCAATCATGTGTTGCATATGTCTTTCTTTCATGTATTTGCATTTGACAGTGTAAATCGTAATTACCAGAAAAGTAAACAAAATATGTAAATATATATATCCAATGGTGTCACTCCTTTTTTCTATTTTTGTCGCTCTTTCCTGTGGATAATTCATCCAATATCAAGAGTAAGAGAGTTCACGCTGCACCCCGTCGGTCTGCTTATCTGCCTTGATACCTTTTCCTCTTCCTTTGTTTTTTTAAATTTTTTTAATGATTATTAATTTTTGGATAAATTTTCTTCATTTCTCTCTCTCTTTGTCAACTATCCAACTCCTTTATTCATTTACTTATTTATTTGCACCAAACCACACCCAATGGCACCTTTACTTTCCGCACCGGATCTTTACGCAACCAAACCACAATCCACCACCTCACAATCATCATTACCTCCTTGTATCGCTCACGCTCACCTTGCACAGCAAAGTGATCCTCCAATGGTACAACTTTGGCTACCCATGGCTCATAACAGCACTCCACAGTCTCAGCTGCATCATCGGCATGCACATCCTCCGCATAACCAACCGATATACACCCAAGCCGCTGAAATCGCCACAGCACAGGTACATCATCCTGGCTTTCTCCCTCCTCTACACCATCAATATAGCCATAAGCAACGTGTCGTTGCACCATGTCTCCGTGCCACTCCATCAGGTCGTCAGGGGGACCGTGCCGGTATTCACTGTGGTTCTGTCAAAAATTGCATTGAAACGCAGGTACTCGAGCCAAGTGTATGCGAGCTTGGTGCCGGTGGTTGTTGGCGTCGGGGTGGCCACGTATGGAGATTACGGGAGCACCCGGGTGCTGGGATTAGTGTTAACATTGGCCGGAACCGTTTTGGCCGCAGTAAAAACCGTTGTCACCAATGGTCTCTTAGTCGGCGACTTGGGGCTAGACCTCGAACCATTAGATTTGCTGTACCATCTGAGTCCCCTGGCTTTGGCCCAAACTACTCTTTGGGGCTTATTCAGCGGGGAACTCGGAGCTGCATTGCGGACGGAGTATCCATCGCTGATCGGACTTTTGGTTACATTGGCGGTTAATGGGTCGGTCGCTTTTGTTCTGAATATTGTGAGCTTTACGGCTAGTCGTGGAACGAGTGCACTGGCGATGACGGTTACGGGAATGTCAAAGTCGTGCTTACGGTAGTTTTGGGGTGTCTTTTGTTTGGCGTTTCGTTGTCATTGATAAGTGTTGTTGGCGTGGTTGTCACCTTGACGGGCGGTATTGCCTATTCTGCGGTAAGGTTGAGGGAGAGCAAGTCGGCTAAACATTACGTTTGAATATGTTTACTGCTATTTGCATTATTTAAAATATAATTCCTATCTACACATGTGCCATGTATCATTGAAATATTTGTATTTTATTGTTTGCATTAATAGATAAAATTGATAAGGATAATATGGATAAGAAATATGGGGGGAAATGAAAGAAAGGAAAATGAAAAGAAAATTTTAGGACAACATAACGGTTAAATTATTTCACGTCATTGTCCAACAAACTCTTGAAAAAAGGCAGCATACCGTTCAAGAATTTAGTTAGTCTCGTGACAATACGCGCGCACATTCCACTGCGAATATTGTCACCATTGACCGACTGCGAAAATTGAGTTGGAGATAGCTCTGCCTCATTCATTGGCGCCGAAGGTCGGTCAAAATCATCCGCACGCCTAGTGTAATCAAAAAGACCATCGCGCAATTCCTGCAGCAAATCCCCGATAATCCACATCCAGGAACATTTCTGTTCAACCTGCCCAGGAGACGCGAGAAAGCATCGCCAAACATAAAGTAATGCATTGCATGGTAAGGAGTAGACTGCTCATGTCTTTATTCCACAATCCCATTATGTCATTCGAGCTTGTTATCGGCCTCGGGCTCGGTTCCGGTAGCAAGATGATCCAGCCCTCTGAACCCATCCAAATGAGAGTATCAATCAATGATGCCCAGTCCTCGAGTTCCGCAGTTGGGCCCGATGTCGGCCGTTCGCTGTTCAGGCTTGCAACATAATGATTGCCATCAACCCATTTGTTCTCCTTGGCGCTTGGATCGAGAGATGGATCGACTTCCATATCATCATCATCCACGTCCATATCGATAAATAGAGACTTGTCAAAACCTCTTTGTCTGCCTTGGCATACCTGAGGGCAAGCATGCGAACAAACTTTGTGTTTTTCGTGATGCTCGCAGAGGAAGTAAGTCAGAACCCCCATCCTTACTATTTTCATCCTTCACAGCAGCACTCCCGCTCGACTTGACGGCGGAACGTTCAAAATTTGTAAGCATCCCTTGACACGACCATCCATCAGGCGGTGGAAGCGGAGCGCCCTGGGCGTTATGTTCCTATGGACGATCTCACACGTCCAGCTGATTTTGTGGTACATCCCATGGCACCTGCGGCAGCGACTATTAGATCCGGAACTGAGGTGATTTCCGTAATCGGAGAACCGGGCAGTCTTGTCACATACCGCCTGTGCACGCATGGCTGGGTGATGTGAGGGCCGGAGGATCCGAGTCTGTCGAAAATGGGTTGAGGATCCCGACATTCGTGTCGTTGGAAAGCCCGCACATGGGTCTGCGCTCAAACTGTACGATGCCGCCTCGATGATGACAGGATACAGTTTGGGGTATTGTTGTTCACTCCTATGACTTTTTGACCAGACTCAAGTTGTAAACTTCGTCGTCAATCTCCGCGTTGCTGAACCTTTCCCCACGAATATGCTTGTCAGAAATCCTGGTCTGGCTTTTACCAACAAACTCGGACCACAAATCATGGACAACTGCCGTGCAATGTTTGTCGTGGATGGGCCGGTCAGCAGTGGGCATACCATAGTGCCAAGAAGCGCCGCATTTGCCGTCCAAACATATGATCCTCGGCTTCCATCATCATGTTGCTGTAGTAATAACTCGTGCCAGTGCTGCTGCCATCTGCGGCGTTGCAGGGAACCGTGATCTCCCAGCAATCGAGGCCATCCAAGCGCTTAAAGGTTGGGTCATAGCCCAGCCTATAGTCCTCGGTGTAGACAGATTAACAAATAGCTTGATGACCTCATCGCGACCGGATTCCGTGCAAACATTCATGTCGTCTGAAGCTAGGACAAAGTTGGAGCCAAACAAGTACGCCCGGACAAAGCTGCCGCAGATCGTCAGGCCCCACATGAAGCGGCGGTTGGGCTGCGTGCGATAGATGGTGCGACAGCGCTTGGCCAGAAAAACGCAGCAGTGTGTTTATCGTTACGGATGAGCCCTGCCTGATTTCGACGGCGGCAAACAGATCGGCGTACCACTCGTCATTGCCTTCGGTGGAATCCAGGTTGTTATTCACGACTGCCTCAGAGTTGCCAGTCACAATACCTAAGGCAGCATCAAAATTGCCCTGAGCATCCACTGTATTGGTATCAACGCAAAAGAGGGAGAAGCACCCGACGTGGTTTGGGGCGCCCCTCCTCTCCCTTGGAGTGGCGGTGCAGTCGTAGGATAAGGCGGGCAATGAACAAAATAAATGACCCGGCATACGTATGAATTGGTGTTGTCGCGTTGCTAGTATTTCCGCGTCCGTCCATGCGGAGAACACAGCGTGGCATGCCCAAGCTCAGCCATCAAATCGGGGATCGCAGAGTAGGTTGCACGAGTCAACCGGGCTGCTCGAGTAGAGTCGGAATTGACAAGCTCTTCAAGCATGAACTTAGCCTTGGCAGGCGAAGCGTCAGCTATAAAATGTTGCATGGCCTTGCAAACGGCCCGGCAACCGGCGTTGCTCTTTCCTGGTAGGCGGCGTTGTCGGGGTTGGCAAGAGTAACAACCTCTGCCTCAGACCTAAAATAATTGCGGAATCCTCTGTACAAAACCGCATCTTTGTGGTCCAAGTTTGGCAGCTCATCTGGCAGTATATCTGGAACAATGACCGCGGGTTGTGTGGTTTTGGGGCCATGCAATGCTGGCGGGCAACATAGGGATGACAGACGGTGTGGTGTCGGGGTGGCAGGGACGAGTGAGGCGGATGATGCAGGGGACGGACGGTGTGGTTTCGACGAGTGGTGCAATGTTGTAGGAATTTTGACAACTGGTTGGGCACTCCATGTGGCGTTATCTATAACAGTTAATAAATAATCCCAGTTATTAGTGGTAATGCACACCTTAAAATTTTTATGCTCTGTCAAGCATATACAACTTCATGACAACTATACAAAAAATAAGCAACTTACCCTTTGGCAAAGAAGGAGCAACGCACTCGGTTTTCAAGTCGAGCAGGATATTGGCGGCCTCTATTTCGACATTTTTTTGCTGACGGGCTTAGAAGAAATGACATCAGCCTTGGGCTCCGTGGGCTTTAGGTGCTCTTTTATCCTTTTAAGAGGGGACTCATCGTCGGTGTCCTTGTTCACTCTCTTCGTTTATTGTTGCTATTGAATAACTGAGCTCCGTAGTTGACTCGCTGTTTTTTGGAAGCCGGGCCAGCGGGTTCCTTGATGCGTTGTCTTTTAACATACATAGTAGATAAAGTCAAGTAAGCTTTAAACAAGTCGGTTATGTAGAGTTGATTTTAATATCGAATAAAAAATGGGTAAGCTTATTTACTAAGACAAGTATATGAGTGGAGCTCGTGCTATTTGTGGTGTGTGAATTGAGTGAAAAGAAAAAAGGAAGAGTTGGAGAGGATAACGCGGTGGGCGTGCTGATTTATATGTTTGTGAAATCCGAGATTTTGGCGAAAAAATTGAAAAAAAGATTGTTTTGTTTTTTCTGTCCAACAAAGAAATATTTTCTTTCAATAAATGGCACAGCGAGAAAGATAAATAACGGCAAGCTTTACAATTTTGTAATCTGAAAAGTCATGCGGTAAAGTGGAAAGAGAAAATGAGTGCCTGTTCGGAGTAGGCTTTTTTGCAAAACCATAGTGGGCGTTTTATTTAACAAGACACACGCACTTATACGTGTAGCATTGTTTTAAAAACAGGTTTTCGGCAGCTTCATGAGTTAATTTCGTGACCCTCGGCAACATATATTAGCAGAAAATAAAAAAGCAAAATGTAAGTAATTTTTTACATTGGTCGTAGTTACAATTATAAATTGTGTTGGTGATATCATAAATATTGCCGGTTCATTAATTGATGCAAATCACACATATATGCTACCCAGAAATGACATTGGACGACACTCTCTGCGGTTCTTTTGGTTTGGATGTAACTTCCCGAAGCAAACGCACATTGCTGACCAGGTACTATGAATTGTGCTCACTACCGGCATATATATGCTGGGTTCAATACGGTGGTGCCATGGCGAGCGTGTGTTATTTTTACAGAATAATGTTACACTTTGGTTTCACTGCTTATTTATATTTTCTCGTATTTGTTTACATATTTTGCTCTATTGTCAAAAGCAAGAATAGCGTTCAGTTGGGGCAGCCATATGTCTATATATCCAACATGTTAATTATTTTCTACACTTGGCTGCGAATATTATTTTTTAATTTTCGCGTGTAAATAAATAAATTTATTTTGTGATTTTTATTGCCTGCAATTTGTGTCGAGAATTTCAAAAACGCACCCTCATGTATGGACCAGTCATATTACCTTTACCCCTCCCCTCTCCTTTTACCCATTAATGTGGTTTAATAGTTACTTACCAGGGGCATGCGGGTTATCAATTTGAATACACTGTGAATGCAATGCAAAGTCAATCATGATCTGCATACCATACGAAGTAACACTGTTGTTAGCACAAAAAAGGAAAACCAAAAATGAAAGAGAAAATCTATTTTTAACCAATTTTTCAACACAGATAAGCTGGAATACCATATACCACCGGCGCAGCGCCTGTCAAAAAGGCCATGCGGCAAACCCTACGTGCCTCGCACACAGCCTCAGCCAGGGACACGGGCGACGCCAGCCTCTCGTTTAAATTGGCAGGCCTATCCTCAATTTAACTGCAATTGTGCCTGGTGAACACTGATCCAACCCCCAGCTTTGCAGCATGCTCGCAGCGAATCGGTCAATGTCCTTGTCGCCGACATCCCAGAGATTTCCAACCAGCGCGGGACATCCGCCAATCATATAATCAGTTGCAGTGCCCATCGCGTCATACTCACCGGCGAGCTTCAAAAGCCCGCTGCTGCACCCAAACAGAAGGGCAACAGCACACCGCCCGAGTTTGCGAATCTGATTGCGCGATATGTAATTTTCCGCGCCGCCGTGTCCAAAGTACAAGAATATGTCGCCGGAAGACAAGCCCTGTTCACACTCGTGGCCCAATGGCCGTCGCCCAACGACACCCTGCCATCCGGACTGCGCTTGCAAAAAACTCTCAAAATTTGACTGCGTGCGAAGCAAGTCACCCTCAGGATTGAGCACGTAAAAGGCACGGTTCCCGTCCACAAACACGCCAGGCGGCCTTCCGCCAATTTCTGTCGGCTGCGAAAGCATGTGCAGCAGGCCTCGCGCATCGTTCGACAAAGCTTGCAAGTCCTTTTGCTTGTGGCAAGCCCCGACGAAAACGCGGATGTCATCAATGGGCTGGCTCCTCGCCGCAAAGTATTCATCGCGGAAATGCGGTCCTGCAAAAACGCAATTGAAGGCACTCGCGAGATAGGGTAGTCGCGTAGACAGGGCAGACACTCCCATGGAACTTGTTGAGCATGCTTGTCTAGTGCCAATATAAGATGTGGCCGCTGGCTTTTAGCTTGCACACGGCACGAGCTCAATGCGTTAGTAGCAATGAAGCTGCGCATTGTCTGCATCAGTTGGTCGGCAAAGCTGTCAACACTTGCCTCGTCGCCGGGCGGAGCAGCTCCCTGGTAGCTGTAAACATCCCAAAGCATCGAACATATATCAAGCCAATCGTTTCTTTGGCCATCGCTCGGATCAGCGGCCACAGCCATCTGAGCAGCATCGAGTACAAGCGCGCACAGCTCGTCCGCCAGCTCAATGGCTTTGCCTTGGCAGCGTATGCTTTTGACATGCACTGGCCGATGCAAGCCTGTATTTCTTTCCGCAGGTTAGTTATCATGCTGGCGCTCACAATCTGGCCAAACATCATGTCAACTGGCTGGAGCACGCCGCGGAACCCACCCAGCCACTCGTCCTCGATGTTACGCAGAAGCTGGCCCAGCTGTTGATCTAACAAAGACCGATGCTCCCACCACTGCCGCTTCTCGTCGTCCGTAATGCAGTCGCGCCCAGTTTTCATCGTCTTATCAGACTCGGAAATAATTGCACTGAGCTTTCGATACATGCTTCCAAACGCACCGGAATGCTGGGTGGCAATGTCCGGAGTATGTGGTTCTTTGAAGGCAGCTCCTGCGAGGTCTAGCTCAATTTCGCGCATTGGCAGGCACACAACTATTGGTTCCCGGTCGAACTGGTAGCGAGTTACAATCATGATGTCGCGCGACTGGTCAATGGACACGCCGCACACAACCAGGACGGCGGCAGCAAGCTAGACAGCAAGTGCTTGGTTTCAGAATTGCTGATGTTTGCGGTCCACTCAGCAACGACGCGCGCCCCATCTACTGCGCGTTCGAAACAAGATTCTTGCAACAATTTGGCAGCTTCGTCGGCGGCAGTATCATTGAGAAGAATGCCCCTGTCCAACTCACCACCGGACAACGACAGCCGGCTGAGCGAAGGGAGCTGCGTCGGATCTGTAGCTCGCAATGTCTTTGGCAGCAGCAACGGGGATGTGACGGCGCCAAATTGCAACAGCGGCACTGGCGACGAGCCAAACATGCGCCGCCTACCATCCAGTCCGCTACGACTCACAAAGTCATTATTGCTGTCACTCTCGGCAAATCTCTCATCTTGCGTATATCGCCGGCCAAGTGGTCAGTTCGGCTGGCAAAGCCTCTGCCCTGCGCCGCAATTGTCTACAACCTCACGTGCAACAGTAATGTTCCGCGAGTCGTCAATAATGCTGGCAATGATGCTACTCACAGCACGGCTATTGGCTCCTGACACTGATGCAAGGCCAAATGCAGATGTCATTCCCATGACCAGTACGAGAAGGTGTGCCGAGGAATGGACACAATGTGCCGACCCAACCGTGATTGCCGACTCTGCCGCCTCCATGAGCAATTCTTCGAGCTCGCCCAGCTTATCCCGTATGAGCGCCTTTGTTGTGCCTTGCGTGGCTTCTGCGCGCGCACCTTATTCAACGCTGGGAACACAAGCGCGGATTGCAAGACCTGACCCCACATATCCTCATCACCTAGCAGCCGTTGAAACTCGACAAATGCCAGATTGGCCTGCATAAGTAAATGTTCGGGACGCTGATCGGCGCTACGCTCAACGTTTTCAGGACTGGAAGTCAGGTCTGGCAGCACAGAGTCGACGCCCTTAGGTTGGCCAGCCAACGACAAAAGCAGCCGCTGGCGCGTGGAGATATCCTCTCGAATGATCGACAGAGGCAGCGATATATTGCTACCAAGAGTCTCGACGAGCTGCTGCTGTAGCTGGGGCAGCGCAGATACTTGCCCCAAGATACGACGCAGCCGTGGTGTCATCTGTGTAGAGCCCTCAAGGACGTGCGATACCAGCAGTGCCTCAGCGGCCGCGCCATCGCCGATAATCCCAATACCTCCTCAGCCCTATTGTACGCGCTGCGTGCCCTGTCGTACTGCTGGCTGCGTCGCCACGAGTCGCCCTCAATGATCAGCGCTCTAATCGCCTCCATTCTGCCAGTCGCTGCAGATGCGCTGTCTGACTCAGTGCGCAGGCTCCGGAGCTTCCAAGCACACTCGTCCCACAGGCTCTTACGCGACAGAATGTCCACCTCGCGGACTCGCATATAGTTCTCCTGAAGCGGAGCTTGCAGCTGCGCCGAGATCTCTAGGCCTTTTTCAGAAGGTGTTCGGCGTCCTTGACGCTGCCGCGAATCGAGAACACCTTGGCCAGGTGCGCCAAGTTGTCGACAAGCAGGCGCTGTAGCTCCCAGTTGCCACTGAATGCAAGAAACTGCGCATCGCTCTTGTCCTCATTGCTCTCCTCAGCTACCTGGGCCGTCTCCGGAGCAGACTCGTTGCTCACTGCTGCATCTTCTGTCAAAGACTCGGGTGCCGGTTCCGCAGCGAACGGATCGTCCATAACGGAAGATAAAATGGCCTCCTTAGTGATTGTCTTCCTGGCCTGCTCGCGCTGGGCGCGGTTGTGAGCAATAGACATCGACTTCAACAGCGCGTTCAGGATGCGGTAGCTGTGGACAGCAAAATCAACCGAGTCTGCCAACATGCCTTGCTTGAGCGCTAGCTCCGAGAACGCCCGCGATGCCCGGGACAAAAGAATCAAGGTGTCAGGGTCAGCTGCCTGCCGCTTTTTGCGACCCGCCGTGACATTAACGGTGCCTAAATCCAAAGAACTCCTGGCAATATAGCTCGCCTCGTCCATGGCTGTAGCCCCGGCAGCCGAGTCACCGATTGCCAACTGGAATGAGGCGTAGGCAATTTTGGAAGCAATGCCACATGCACAGGGAGCACGCCGGCGTCGTATCGCGAGGCGGCTTCGCCAAAGTAGTTGCCTGCGGTTGCAGTTTGGCCCTGAAGCACGCATGTCATGCCCAGCCCACCAGACTTTCCATGACCGTCGGTGCCCACAAGCGATCTTGGCACTCGCACAGCAAGGCCATGTTCAGCATGACCAACTGCAGGCCCTGGCAGAGCGAATGCATCGCGGGACATGAGCAAGTCTATGACCAGGGTTATCACATCGACCGCGCCACGCAAGAACCCAGTGTCCAGCGACGCTGCGGCAGTTCGATCATCGCTTGCCCGGCTGCAGACCAGTGACCAAACACTGGTGCAAGCAGATACATTGTCGCTGTCGTGTCCGTTGGCCTCAATGCTGATGACAGCCAACCAGGCGTAGCACTCAGCAACGACGTTGAGAACATAAATGCAATCACCCGACAACGACTTGGCAACCTCCAACGCTGTGTGCAGCCGCTCGATGCTCAACTCGAGCTTGCCCTGGTCGCGGTCAATTTTCGCCTGCTCCAAGATACAGCGCGCAAATCCCAGCGAGCAACGCTGCTTTGTACACAGCCATTGCACGCTCCAAATGCCGCACCCTGACGACTGCTGCTCCTCCCGTGGACTGGAATGTTGACGGGGCCACAAATGGACGCCAAAAATACGCCTCAGCCTCGTATAGCCAGGCCCGTATTGCACCGCTGACATTGTCCATATCCGAAAATTGCTGCAAAGAGGTGTGTGCCATTGGCTCATCGGGGTCGCTGAGAAGTCTTCTGGCGCACATGCGAGCGTAGCGGTCGACAACACGAGAATCCTGTCAACAACGCCCACCTTGTCGCGCAAAGAGCTATTTGGCGGCAGCGTGACGTCTGTGGCGACAATGGTGCTATGAATCTGGTCCTTGAACTGCGCCGCCATCCACGATACAGCCTGCGCATACGCGTGTGATGCCAATTCAAAAGAGTGGTCTTCCTGGTAGGCTGACGCCATGATCTCGTAGCGCTTGCACAGCTGTCCAAGCACGTCGCATCGACCCTTGAGTTTTTGAAAGAGATTGTGTTATCCACAGAGACAAGCTTTGAATGGCCAGATTCATAGCCTGTGCTGCCCGCAAGTAAATCTTCAGCTGGTATAGGCCGGCGCCCAGGTTAAAGAACACTGCTGAGTGGTTGCGCAGAAAGCCCCGGCTACACTGTGATTCACGGCACAGCGCTAGCAAGCGGTCGCTGTGCCTGGGCACGCCAGACTGTGCCTGCGCGCTGTGTTCCTGATATTGGACGGCCAACTGGATGACCATCAGGCACACCTCGGCGTTGCAATTGAGCAGTGTGGATATGCTGGGGCCGCCAGTGCCCTCAGCCTTAGCCGCTGCTCCCCTGGACACATACGCCTGGTAAACGCGGTCGGCAGCATCCAGCAATGGAAGCAATGAGACGGACAGGATGTCTTGCAGATTCTTAGCCGCGGGTTTAGAAAGGTGGGCAAGCACCCGCTTTGCTGTCTTGCGCATGGTGTCCCCACACAGGGCCATGGCGTTCCATCCAGCAAGTGTATGTCGGACACTGGAGTCGAGCGCTGCAGCCACAAGCGGCGGTATCTTGGTGGCCATAGAGACAATTTGATCATGCACAGCTCCGTTCTCTAACACGTAGTGCACATGCGAGTCCAACTCTAGCAGCCTGAAAATCAGTTCTCCAGCGGTGCTGGGAGCAAGATCGCTAGACCGCTGCAACGACAAAAGCAGACGACAGGCAGCAAGCGAGCTTTTCATGTCCCTGGTCTTCCGGCGCACAAGCAATACGTGGTGGCAAAACTCGACCAACTCTGGTGACAGATTTGCCAATTCAACAAGCGTCTTTGTCTGGCCCAGGAACTCGGAATAGAACGAGTCAACGTCAGACAAGGACACTGTTGCCTTGTCGACCGCCCTAACTGCCGCCCTAGTTGCGTACTTGAGCAGCTCGCGCGTGTCGCATGCTTTGGACTTTGCATAAGCTAGCAATCCCAAGAGGCGGACACTAAGCGCACTCTCCTCGCAAGCACCACCCAGCGTGTAGTATGCCCGGAAGCACACTCCAAGAAATGGCTGCACCGCTTCGCTGTCCATCTCGCGCACGCGTAGACACCACTCGAGCGCGCTATTCTGCCGCGACCCCAGTTCCCGCGCCAAGTCAGAAGCCTGTTGGATGAGGCGTCCTGGGCCAGAACGCGCAGGCTGTTGCACAGAAGTAGAACCACTAGGTTGTTGAATCCCAGGTCGCTCTGGCAGAACTTTGGGGGAAAGTCGTAGGGGCCATCTGTGCTTGCCGCATTTCCTCCTCCAGACCCGGCTTGCCGATGCTCAGCGGTGCATGCCTGCCGCCAGGCGCTCTGTAGACTGTGCCGACTGCCCGAGCGCCTTTATAGCGGCTGGAGTTGGGTTTGCATTTGAATTTGGCATGAGCCGCGAAGCAGGGTTTCGCACAGCCCTGACCGTTGGCCTGGCCTCCATTGACGAGCTTCGTGATCCCAAAGCCACCGTGTGTGTCTCAGCATGCTCGAGCAACCAGTCTCGCAAAACCACCAGCCCATCCCACGCCATCAACCCAAGGTGCGCGTTAGTACAGGCCGTAGTAAAGTTCGACAGTGTTTTCTCTAGTGCGAGCACGTTGAACCCTGCGTCGCTGCGGTGTTTATATAAGAATTTGAAGGCCACTAGCGAAACGCGAACCATGCGCTCAATGCAGTCGATAGGTGTGGCGCTTTTGTCTGCTGCCTCGAGCTGTTTGCGAATTTCGCCCGCCTTTTTTGAAAACAACTGGTTGGCCTGGTTGACTATCCCAAGTGTAAACTGTATGTCTGTGCGGGTGATACGGCCTTTGTGGCACTCGTCAGCCGTCCCAGAACCCGCTTCTCCGTGTCAGCTGTGCAGCTCTCAAAGCTCCGGAAGCACTCAAGCAATGGGTCGGAGAAATGGTTGGCAGACATGTCTGGGGAAAAATAAGTTAAATTTAATAAGACAACTTATTAAGAAAAAAACTGAATTTGTAAAAAAAATAAAAACAAGGAAAGGCAAAAAATGCAAAAAAAAACTTTACTGCGGGTATTTGAGGATTGAGAACTCCCATGCTTATTTGAGCAAAGCGTCTGCTCAAAATAGCTTCGATACATGTTTTCTGGCCTGTCAATTGTTAACTTGATAAAAAAATAGAGATCAGCGTTTCGATCGTGGTGGCGATCGGCTATTGTTTCTATCGCTTTTCCTGTTTCTACTTCTACTGCGGCTTCTGTTATTGCGGTCCCTTTGTACATGTCTATGGTTATGCCTGCTCCTGCTAGTGCTTCTATTTCTGCTCCAACTTCTGTCACGATTCTGGCGGCCGTCGCCGTCGTGGCGCTCGAACCCACCGCGAATATCCGAAGGCCTCTCAAGATCATTTGACGAAGCTGCCGGCGCATCCCACCTGCTTCTTCTACCCGAACGTGTTCTCCTAGCACTGTCCACAACCGATCCCTGCAGTCGCTCATCTGCGGCTCTGATGTTTGCCTTTATCATGTCCTGCTCCTCTCGCTTTATCCTGAGTTCCTCAACTTTAGTTTTGATGAACGACTCGGGGATGCCGCCCGGACTCTTCTGTGCTTCGACCAAGACCTCCCACAGACTCTGCATAAAGTCCTGTGTCTTTGATTCAAGGAACCCGGTTAGGTTCACCTGCATGACCTTTGGATCCGGCGTCGTGGACTCCTGTAGCATGTTGACTATGTACTCGAATAACACTTCGTCTTCCAAACCCAGAAGCTCGAAGATCTTGTTGGATATCCAGGGCTTTATCACCTCCATGTTGACTTTGGTCGAATCCACACGCTTCTTCAACACGCTGCTAAATGATGTTTGCTGCATCAGCTTCAAATTGGCATTGCCGAACCGCTGATCCTGTTCAATATTTGTGCCCCTGAAGAACGTACCAGCCATGGTTTTCGAATTAAATGGTAATTTGTGTATAAATGCGCAAATATGAGTGTTGGTCCCAAAAAATCTTAATTATTTTTTACAATTTTAATATTTATATTTTGAACAGTTTATATTCATTAAATGGGTATATCACGTGTAAGTTTCTATTTTGTATTTAGTAGGTCTCGGCAACGTCTGAGGCAACCTCGAAATCACAAGCGGTGCACGCCTTGATATCCTCAACGGTATAGCCGTAGGACAGCTCGCGCAGCAAAAGACCCTTTCCGGGAACAACATCAAACACGCACTTGTCAGTGATGATGCGGTCAACACAATTGGCACCGGTGAGCGGCAATGTTTCTCGTGCATGATCTTGGGGGAACCGTCCTTGGCATTGTGAGTCATGGTGACAACAACGCGGGACTTGGGAGCAGAGACCAGATCCATGCACCGCCCATTCCCTTAATGACCTTTCCGGGGACAACCCATTGGACAGATCACCTCTGTGAGAAACCTGCATGCCACCGAGGATGGTCATATCAATATGGTTACCGCGGATCATGCCGAAGGATACATCGCTGGAGAAACAAGTACCACCGGGCAGAACAGTGACGGACTCCTTGCCGGCATTGACAAGATCGGCGTCGACTTCCTCGGCGGTCGGGAAGGGGCCCATGCCAAGAATACCGTTCTCACTCTGGAGATGAACGGTGATATCAGGGGCAATGTAGTTGCTGGCAAGAACCGGCATACCAATGCCCAGGTTGACGTACATGCCGTTCTTGAACTCGCGGGCAGCGCGCTTGATGATATGGATACGCTTCTTCATCGATCCTGAAAGCTCCTGCTCCTCGCATCCGAGCGGCGGAGAGTCAGCTTCTCATACGCTTCTCGTAAACCTCACCCTTGAGAATGCGGTGGACATGGATGCCTTGGATGTGAATCTCGTCGGGCTTAAGCTCGCCAACGGGAACAAGCTCCTCAACCTCGGCAATGGTGATCTTACCGGCAGTAGCCATGGGTGCGTTGAAGTTGTTACCGATACTTAACACCAAGTTACCCAGCTCGTCTCCTTTCCACGCCTTGACCAAGGCAAAGTCACCGGTGATACCCTCCTCCATGACGTACTTTCTGCCGCCAAACACCTTGGTCTCACGAGGCTGCTAGCAATCAGGACCTCAGTACCATCCTTGTTGTACTTGATAGGGATGCCACCAGTCTCGACCTGAGTTCCAGCGCCAGTCAGGTGTAGAAGGCGGGGATACCAGCACCACCGGCGCGAACGCGCTCGGCAAGAGTGCCCTGGGGAACAAGTTCAACCTCGAGCTCGCCACCAAGATACTGCCGGACAAACTCCTTGTTCTCGCCGACATAGCTGGAAACCATACGCTTGATCTGATGGCTCTGCATCAAAGTTCCCAACCGTAGTCAGCAGTTCCGGCATTGTTAGAAACAGCAGTATCTGCTGGATGTCCTTACGGCGAGCAACAGCCTTGAGAGGTTCTCGGGGATGCCGCAGAGACCAAAGCCGCCGATCAGAAGTTTATCACCGGATTTAATGCCTTGATGCCTCGTCAGAAGACTTGACGAGCTTGCTGTGGTATGCGCGACTGAAGCTGAGGAGATGTTGGCCAGGATGTGAGGGCGCGACAGAATGCGGCCGGCGTTGGCAAGCGCCTGTCTCTTGATGGAAAGCATTATTGTTATTATTTTGGTTGTGTTGTAAGAAGTACAGTTTTAAAAGAGACAAATGCTTGAGATAATGAAAATAAAAATAGAATAAAATAAAAAATGGAAAGAAATGGAAGATGAGCGCAAAAAAATCTAACCGCAAATGTGTTGGGATGATGGACGACAGGATTGAGGACAAAGGCGCGCTTCGATCTTCTTTATATATCTGACTTGGGAAGCACAAACGGCAACAAACAAGTCGCCTCATTGCCAGTTTCCCTTCCTCAGTGTTTAAGAGCGCACTAACGGATCGAGATCGACCAATGGGATACCTAGAAATTCAACCTATTCCAATCAGCTGGTAATCCATTCGGCAGAAAGGATGTTTGAGAGTACTCGAAGCACGCCGTAATTTTACCATGCAATTTTTTCGTTAGGAGTGGAATTGACAAAATGAACTTTGCACTTGATCTATACCCTTAACTGGACAATTGGGGGTTTCGGTGCCTTCACTGTTTGCAATCTCGCCCTTTAAACAGCCTCTCACACTCTATACATTGTGGCCACTGTCTATTTTCACACATTTTCTACAAAAAAATAACGAACGGGCGGACAACCCTATGGCTGCCGCACATCCACTGCCCATATTTTTTGCGGCTTTGCGGGAGCACAAACTACATTTTTATTTTTTGCGCTATTCCGATTACAACACATTAAAACAATTTTTAAATCAATAGTCTCGAAAAAGTCACAAAGGTACTGGATAATATAAGACTGAGGCTGAGATAAAACGAATGCCGCTAATATCTGTTCCACGGCGGCATACGTCTTGGTAAATTATATATATATAGATATAGATGATATACGCATATCTATATTTATATCACACCTCACCACAAATCATAGTTATATTTTTCTGGAAGGAAATTTTGCATTGTTTGCACTGCAATGTCAGCAGACGCAAATCATTCAATGCGTGCGCCACTTTGCTGCGCGTATTGTTCCCGTTTTGGAAATTTAAGCGGGACTGACAATCGGTAAACCTAAAAAATAACTATATTGTGTGGAATTACCTATGATGCTTCTCTATTTTATTTCCATATGATAACATTAACGCAGCACCATTAGTTACACTCCACCTGACACCATAAGCCTATTGTCTCTAATTTTCATGATGAGGTTGTGTGTCCACATTCAATTATAACTACCAGTCCATGATGTAACCGCCATACATACTTTATAAATAATATCGCTTACACACCACAATACTTTAGATGGCATGGAGTTCCGCTATATATTAAAAAATATGTGCGTAGGCTGATTTGAGTGTCCCTTTTGACCGCATTTCATTTTGTTAGCAATAGATCGCGCGGTTATCCGCACACGTACTCGATATTGCGGCTTTCCTTTTTCAGCATTAAATCCGTCAGATAAACAATATGTTGTTTTATCCTGATTCTGTTGTTCTAATGATAAGAGACCTGCACTACCCACTGACATTTAGGCCGGCAATGTCACTGACTCTTATTTTTAATTGAAAGCACGGTGCTCTCTTTATTCTATCTCGGACAGATATTGAATCCGCAAAAATAGCTAAATGTGTGCATTTCCCGGGTTTTAAAATTTGCCGCATGGGCAAAAGCAGCCATTTTCCTAAAAGCAGCCCTAGAAAAGCCCGAGTGTTTCGAAACAAAGCATCAAAAACTAAATTGACAAAAAAGTGTGACTGTGGATTAATTCAAGCCCAAGTACTATGTCCAATATGTTTGTGGGTTATCCGGACGAATGTATTAGCCCTTTTTGGCAATAATTTAATATAAGGGGGCACGTGTGGCATTTTAATTGGAATTTATGTTTTGGTTGTAATAAAAATAACAAAATGGGATATAGGGTTGATAGCCAAATTTAATGCTGTGTTTTTCTTAGTAAGTTTCAGTCACGTCTGCATCAACTTCAAAATCACATCCAGTCAACGATCTAACTTCGTCGACAGTGACGCCAGTGGCCAGCTCACGCAGAAGCAGGCCCCTTCCCTGCACGACATCGAACACGCACTTGTCAGTAATAATGCGATTCACACATCCCACCCCAGTCAGCGGCAAAGTGCACTGCCTGAGAATCTTTGGAGACCCGTCCTTAGAGCAATGGTCCATCGTGACAACGACTTTTGTGTCGGCAGCAGAAACCAGGTCCATGGCACCACCCATGCCCTTGACCAGTTTGCCAGGAACAATCCAGTTTGCCAGATCACCGGTCTGAGAAACTTCCATACCGCCCAAAATAGTCAGATCCAAGCGCGAGTTGCGGATCATGGCGAACGAATTGTCGCTCGAGAAAAATGATCCTCCAGGCAGCACCGTGACAGTCTGCTTGCCGGCGTTGATCAAGTCGGGATCAACTTGATCTTCAGTTGGGAATGGGCCCAGACCAAGAATTCCATTTTCGCTCTGCAAGTGTACAGTGATCCCCGGCAAAATATAGTTACTGGCCAGCATGGGCATACCGATACCAAGGTTGGCATACATTCCATTTTGAACTCACGGGCAGCACGTTTAATGATCTTGATTCGCTTTTGCATGGCAGGAGGTAAACCAGCTTCAATGTCTCCAGGCTTGCGCACTGTGAGTTTCTCGATGTGCTTTTTGTAGTCGCCACCCTGGACAATTCGATGCACGTGAATTCCCGGAATGTGAATCTCTTGCGGCTTGAGCGCACCAATAGGAACAATCTCTTCGACTTCTGCAATGGTGGTCCTAGCGGCAGTAGCCATTGGGCCGTTAAAATTGTTGGCCGACTCCCTAAACACCAGGTTTCCTAGTATATCAGCCTTCCACGCCTTGACTAGTGCAAAGTCGCCGGTAATACTTTGCTCCATGAGATAGTTGCGTCCATTGAACTCGCGCACCTCACGTGGCAACGCCTCTATAATGGGCGTACTAGCTGTGCCATGCTTGATCGGCGTCCCACCGTGCTGCACGGCCGTGCCAAAGCCAGTGGCTGTGAAAAAGGCCGGTATTCCGGCACCGCCCGCACGAACCTTCTCTGCTAGCGTGCCCTGCGGTAAGAGCTCAACCTCGAGCTCGCCACTAAGATATTGGCGAGCAAACTCCTTGTTCTCTCCGACGTAGCTTGCGATCATGCGCCTGACCTGGCGCGTGTTGAGCAACTTCCCCAGGCCGACGCCGTCAATGCCAGCGTTGTTTGAGACAGCCGTCAGGTTTTTAATGGCCGCATTGACCGAAACTGCATCGATCAGCTTTTCGGGAACGCCACAGAGCCCGAATCCACCAAACAACACAGTGCTTCCAGCAGGGATGTCTTCGACAGCCTTGGCAGCCGATGGATACACTTTACTAAAATGTCTGCTGTGAATGATTGAATACGCTGAGCGCTGCCTAAGGCCAAGCAAAAAATATTTTATGACCATTATTTGAATAGTTTGGAAATGATGAATTGAGTCTAGTTGAAAAGAAAAGAGTGACAGGCACCAGTGGCCAAAATATCAAGAAATTGTAAGAAAATTACAATTCCCACGCTATCTTGCCATTATGTCCTGAATAGAATCTAGACTGCGAGTGACATATGCAGGTCAGGATGCTGAGTGGATGATGTATTTATCCCACGCTCACACGGACAAATGATTGAAGTGCATGTGTCTAGAGCTGTTCGAAATTGTTTGATCGGCTGTAAATTTAACGAGATCTGGACTATTTTTAATTTATGGATTTATTATTATTTGAAAGCATGTCAGAACCACATACTTATACTTGCACTAACGCTAAGCGCACGCACAAAATGCCACCACCTCGGCTACACAACAAACAAAATAAAAATAACATTTAGCAAGAATAGATGCACATTTAAAATGGCACTAAACGCAGTACTTATCAAATAGGAACAGTAGTGTATACTTACCGGAATGTACAACAAGTCTCCGGGTTTAACCACGCACTCCACATATGAGGCTTTTTCAAACGCGCTGAACTTCTCAAAGTCTGGATGCTCAACGTCTACTCGGCTAGTATTGCCTAGCAGTGATTCCTTTGAATGTGGGTACAGATTATCCGACTCGGCGGAACTATATAGTCTAAAGTACTTGTACCCGACCACCTGAGCAAACAGGTTGTCAAATTGATCATAATGCAATGGCGATACAGTGCCACAGGGGCCAATCCAAACGTTGGTCTCCACGTCACCATCGGACATCCCCAAATTTGAGCGGCGCCCCGTTTCCACTTGAGTATAGTCTGGCAGTGAGAAATCGCGCTTCAGCCTGAATGCCTGAGCAAAGAGGTCGTGTTGGGCCAAGTACTCGAGTTTAGATGTACTGTTGGCCGAAGGATAAAGTCTGTTATCCAAAAAGTGGCCAAAGGGATCAATTCTGTGTCCACTCGCTGTCCGTGTACTTGGCACCCACCTCCACAGGCACCAACCGGTGGTGACCAACGGCCATGCGCAAATACTCGAGGTTATTCCAAGGTCTGTTACTAAGTGCAGGCCAATAATCAATAGCCCCTCAATAATGAAAGGCCGATTGTTTTCTCCCTGGATCATCTGCTGGAACGCAAAATATCCACCTCGTCCACAGAATATCTGGACAAAGGAAACTTCAAGTCAACAGCAATTTTATTGTTAATGTTTACCGTGTGCTCGGGGATAGCGACATGGGCCCCTCGATATGTTCCACCACGCGATGTATCCAGTGCAGGCGCTTCATGGATGCCCCACCAACGATGATGGCCCGATCCAGGTTGTTCAAAACGCTGACCATGTGCTTTGTTTTGTCGCCGAGCAATATGTATTCGAGCGATTGGAGCAAAGCACAGTCGATAAGCATGTGTGCCCAAAACAACTTGCAATCGGTGTTGGCAGACTGACACCTGTTCAGACGATCGAGCGAAATATTGAAAATGTAGGATCCGCCGTATTCATCTTGAACAGTACAATTTCGCCGCGTTCTCTTGATATACCAATAGTATGCTCAGCCTTCGCAAGCGCTAAATCAAACATGCCAATCATGTCGTCGCCAACTCCGGACAAGCGAGCGCCGTGGTTTGCGCGCAAAAACATAACTAGATCAAAAAGCATTTTTTTTTAGAAAATGATGACAAAATAATTAAATTACATTTCATGTTGATAAATTAAAATATGAATATGAATATCCGTATATTGTAAATATGGGCAGAGCTTTGTTTTAACTTGGAGTTTCAAGTGATTGATGTTGTGTTACGCTTAACCACCAATTTTAGTTTTGCAAAAGCATGTCTATCCGTTGATGTTGAATTGCCCCCGATATAAAAGATGGGCATATTTCTAAAGCCCTTTCCCCTGTTCAGCGCAACTTTGAGAAACACCCGAAAAGCGATTATCATTTTATTTTTACTGAAATCTGAGCCCAATTTTTTGTTTTACAATTTTCATCGGGTTTGCAAGACATTAAATGTTAAAATGTATGCTATGTATATTAGATTGATGTATATATCACATATAGGTTTCTATTTTGTATTTAGTAGGTCTCGGCAACGTCCGAGGCAACCTCGAAATCACAAGCGGTGCACGCCTTAATATCCTCAACGGTATAGCCGTAGGACAGCTCGCGCAGCAAAAGACCCTTTCCGGGAACAACATCAAACACGCACTTGTCAGTGATGATGCGGTCAACACAATTGGCACCGGTGAGCGGCAATGTGTTCTCGTGCATGATCTTGGGGGAACCGTCATTGGCATTGTGAGTCATGGTGACAACAACGCGGGACTTGGGAGCAGAGACAAGATCCATGGCACCGCCCATTCCCTTGACAACCTTTCCGGGGACAACCCAGTTGGACAGATCACCTCTGTGAGAAACCTGCATGCCACCGAGGATGGTCATATCAATGCGGTTACCGCGGATCATGGCAAAGGAAGTGTCGCTGGAGAAGCAACTGCCGCCAGGCAGAACAGTGACGGACTCCTTACCAGCGTTGATAACATCGCAATCGACTTCCTCGGCGGTCGGGAAGGGGCCCATGCCAAGAATACCGTTCTCACTCTGGAGATGAACGGTGATATCAGGGGCAATGTAGTTGCTGGCAAGAACCGGCATACCAATGCCCAGGTTGACGTACATGCCGTTCTTGAACTCGCGGGCAGCGCGCTTGATGATATGGATACGCTTCTTCATCGATCCTGAAAGCTCCTGCTCCTCAGCATCCGAGCGGCGGAGAGTCAGCTTCTCAATACGCTTCTCGTAAACCTCACCCTTGAGAATGCGGTGGACATGGATGCCTTGGATGTGAATCTCGTCGGGCTTGAGCTCGCCAACTGGAACAAGCTCCTCAACCTCGGCAATGGTGATCTTACCGGCAGTAGCCATGGGTGCGTTGAAGTTGTTACCAGAGTACTTGAACACCAGTTACCCAGCTCGTCTCCTTTCCACGCCTTGACCAAGGCAAAGTCACCGGTGATACCCTCCTCCATGACGTACTTTCTGCCGTCAAACACCTTGGTCTCACGAGGCTTGCTAGCAATCAGGACCTCAGTACCATCCTTATTGAATTTGATGGGAATGCCACCAGTCTCGACCTGAGTTCCAGCGCCAGTCAAGGTGTAGAAGGCGGGGATACCAGCACCACCGGCGCGAATGCGCTCGGCAAGAGTGCCCTGGGGAACGAGCTCGAGCTCAAGCTCGCCGCCAAGATACTGCCGGACAAACTCCTTGTTCTCGCCGACATAGCTGGCCACCATGCGCTTGATCTGACGGCTCTGCATTAAAGTTCCCAAACCATAGTCAGCAGTTCCGGCTGTGTTAGAAACAGCAGTGATCTGCTGGATGTCCTTGCGACGAATAATGGCCTTGATCAGGTTCTCGGGGATGCCGCAGAGACCAAACCGCCAAACAAAAGCTTGTCCCCGGCCTTGACGTCCTTGATTGCCTCGTCAGAAGACTTGACGAGCTTGCTGTGGTATGCGCGAACTGAAGCCGAGGAGATGTTGGCCAGGATGTGAGGGCGCGACAGAATGCGGCCGGCGTTAGCAAGCGCCTGTCTCTTGATGGAAAGCATTATTGTTATTATTTTGGTTGTGTTGTAAGAAAGTACAGTTGAAAAGAAAAGTGAAATATAACAGGGATAATGGCGTGAATATAAAAATGTGCCCTGATAAAGACAAACCTCAAATGCGTTGGTTGGGATGGTGCTGGACAAGATTGAGAATGGACGCGATTCAAACTTATTTTTATACCCAAATCGAGGTTACTCGTTTATTGCTTGTTGTGCTTTTAGGAATAAGATAATTGGTAAGTAGCGCACGGACAGATCGGGATTAGCCAATGGGATACCTGTAAATTCAATTGTTTTCAACCAAACTGGTAATCTGTTCGTCGGAAAGGATGTTGTTCTCACGCCAAAAGCGTTATCTTCATTTCGGCGTCTTTCCTATATTAGGGCAAGTGCAACTGAATTAGTAGTGTACTCGTGCGCTTCAACAGAGCAGTGAGTGTTCCAGCATATTGACTGTTGCACGCCTACTGCTCTCCTGTGTTATCTCAAAATTTTGAGCACATGCCAGCGGCTGCACAGTGTGAATCTCATTTGCGCTATTCCGCGTAATAAAACTATTTTCAATGTGCCTGTTCTCTGAAAATAACAGTCATGTGCCAAAATAATTTTAACTTGACCACGGAGCACATTTAGTCTTTGACTGGTTAGATGCAAATACCTGTGACTTCTTTTTAGAAAAGTATTGATACAATTTGGCCAATTTGAGGTGAGCCACATTGTGCAAACTGCAAACTTTATATTATTTGACACTCACCACTTACAGTGAGTGTTTTAGCGGAACAAAATATAACCAAAATACATGGTCACTGGACCTATTAAATGTGCCTGGTGCTAAATTACCCGTATGCTACAGCCAAACATTCACAAATCGTACGAACACATGATAAACATAATTTTTATCCGCGCTGTGCAGCGTTATCGGCCACTAATAACAATAAATATTGAATCAATTTTTTTGGACAAATAATGGAAATTAAAATTAAACACGAGTACTCTAAGCACCGACAAAAGCGGTAGCGGAATCCACATTCATAGCGTCGTCCTCATCAAACTCGCCATCGGTCTCATAGGCGTCGTTGTCATCGTTAAGCTAGAAAGAATATCGTTCATAGTGATATCACCGCCCTCGTCCGCCACGGTTTCCGCCTGGCGCTTGCCCTGAATAAGCAGGTAGTTCAGCGAATAATAATTCTTATCGCAAACCGAGCCAATATCCTGGTGCAACGAGTGATGCCGCGCTGCAAAGTGCGCAACACGGGCTGCAGCGCAGCCGACCGTGTCTTGACGAACGAGCCATGATTGCAAAGCAATCCCGAAATCCAGCGCAGGTGGAACTCAAGCAACTGACTGGCCTCGATTATGCCAGCGATGAACTTAAGCAACCGCTCCAAGTACGCCTCGGGGAAATCCTTGGTCAGCAGCACGACGTCCAGAGGCGGGATAGCCTCGTAGACTTCGCGGATAAGATACTTTTCGTTCAGGCGGAAGGCGTTGACCAGGGCGCGCAGGTGGTCGCCCTTGCGCGAGAGATCGCGTATGGTATCGGGGGTGACATCCTCGTCGAGCTCATAGGGGTCGAAAACCATGGTTTCGTCAAGCGAGTAGATCAGCAGACCCTCAGTCGATGCTGCCGCCCATGGCGACCCGTGGGCGAGAACTTGACATCGCGGGTGCGCGCCTCAGGCTTCAACACACGGTTGGCCTTGTCGCCCGACTTGACACCCGGCAGACTGCTGTCGGCAAGCTTCTCCGAGTCGCTGTCAATGCCGTCCGAATCGATGAGATCGGCAGAGCCAGCCTCCGTCATCAGGTTGGAGTTGAGCTTGACCTGGACGCCATCCAATGACTGGTTCTTTGTAATCTGGAACTTGCGCATAAGGATGCCCGACTTGCGGTCATACAGACACACGAACATGCTGTTGCCACCGCCCAAAACAGCAGTGCCGTCGGCGGAGTAGCACAAGGAGTTGAAGCACTTTCCAGACGACGTGTTGTCAGCCGTGCGCTTGTCTCCGGCCTTGCGGCCGCCGGCAATGTCGCGGCGGCCCTCAATGGTACCCGTGGGCGCTGCCTTGGCAACGTCCCAGAAGTGGATCTGACCGTCAAGCGTCGACGCGCACAGCTCCTTGCCGTCTGGGCGGTACGCCAGAGTCAGCACCTCGCTGGAGTGCTCCAGGCGCTCGACAATCTTGGAGCGGTCAAAGATATCCCACATGCGCACGGTCTTGTCCCAGGAGCTGGATGCCAGGGACAGGCCGTCGGGGCGGAACACTAGCCCGCTGACGGGCGCCTCGTGACCGCTGAGCACGTCCAGAGCTTGCCCGTTTGCATGCTCCACATGTAGATCTCATACGAGTCCAGGGATCCGGCACAGACAATCTCGCCACTGGGGTCGACCGCCAGGGTGTTGAACTGGACGGGCGTGGGCGACGTGAAGATGCGGAAGTTGCGGTACCGCACCAGGTCGTAAGCCCTCACGGTGCCGTCAGAGAAGCAGACAGGATCACCTGGTTTCCCTTGGTGAACTGCACGGCCGTAACGGCGCTCGTGTGCTCAGCAAATGTGATAAAGCAGTAGCCAGTCAGGGCATTCCACACCTTGAGCTTGGCGTCGTCACCACCGGTGCAACATACTGGCCGTCGCCGAGTAGCCGACGCACGACATGTCGTAGAAATGACCCTGCTGCTTCAACACGTAGGTCTCGCTCTGCCACTCCCAGACGAGCAGCTGGCCAAGCTTGGCCGAACCAAAGGCCAGCCACTCGCCCGATGGGTTGATGGCAATGGTGTTGATCTTCTTGCGCGAGATCGACAGTGAGTGGATCTGATTAAAGTCGGGCATCTCCCAGATTCCAAACACGCCGCTGGTCATTCCCAAGACAAGCAGGTGGTGGCCGGGTTGAAGGCTGCGCTCTGGACCGGGAGTCCATCTTCGTATATGGCGCTGCTCGGTGAACCACTTGGTGGGCAGCAGTTTGCCCTCGACGTCGCGCGGGAACTCGCCAAACTTCAGATCATCGGCAATACCGTGCACGCGGAACCGCCTGACACAGACGGCGCCATCTGAGCTAACCGTATAAATGGCGCGCATATCCTTGGCAAACCAAGCGCCGACAACCACAGCGCGGTGGCCCGACATGGTCGTTGCTGTGAAGCCCTCGATGGGATCAACTGAAAAGACCTTCGTCGTCATGTCCTTGCCCGACGTCAAGAAGAACCGTGAGTCCGGCGACCAGCTGATATGTGTAATGTCGTCGTAGTGACCGGCGTACTTGCGGTGCAGCTCAAAGGGGCAAACTCGCGCGTGTATCCGGGGGACCGCCAGACCTCAATGTGTCGGCCCAGACCAACGGCAAAGTACTTGCCATCGGGCGAAAACTGGATATCCCGCACCTTGTCCTTCAGGTTGAAGTGATGCAGGATCGTGCGCTTGCGGTAGTTGATCAGTAGCGCGTTGCCCAGGTCATCAACCGACAAAAGAAGGTTTCCGTTGGGCGACAGCGCGAGGCGCCGGATGTTGCGCTTGTTCTCGAACGGCAGTGTCTCTGTGCGGTTGTTCACCAGATCGAAGACTGTCACGCGGTTGCCGACGGGACTGAGGATCGTGTTGCCGTCGGGGCTGAACACAAGGTTTCCCTTTCTGTACACTGTTCCGCAGAGATTCGAAAACTTGAATTCAGTCTTCATTCTGGGTAAAAAAAAAGTATTGACAATAATGTGTGTGTGTGATATTGGGCAAGGACGATGAAAGCGCAGCGAGCGCGAGGATCAAGCTAGTAAAAGTAAGCTGCAGAGGCGGGTTTGAGGATGAAAAAAAAAACTGGTCAACTTTTTTTGAAGCAGATCAACACTAGAACTAATCAAATCAAATCAACTTGACACATGCCAAATGCAATGTTGCTCTGGGAATCAAAAACAGCCAAAATTCCACAAGCTTCTTTTTTATTTGGCCTAATGGCTCCCTTTTTGGCGCTGTTCTTTTTACGCAGCGCGTTGCTCGCTTTGGTGAATTCCACTGGTGGTATTAACAAAGCCAATTTTTCTTAGCTCGCCAAAAGCTAAACGCAAAAAGAGAAAGAAAACCAACACGAACTACAACTGCGAACTACGTTTGGATATCAAAATCTCAAACATATTTAAGGGCGTGTATTTCCTCTCGCTTCGCCTCATCCTCCTCTTTTTCAATTGTTTATTCGTCTCAGCATATCTGTCATACATCACATTTCATCTATCAAAGCACTTTTTTTTCTTCATTACATTTTTATACTTTTATTTTGTAAACCTCTCTTAGCATGTCCACACCAACTAACAAAAAGACAGCCAACATTTTCTTCCAGCAGGCCAACGAGGCGTACTTTGACGACGAATTTGAGCAGGCCGAGTCCCTGTACACCCAGGCCATAGCCTCAGACCACACTGTCGGTGATTACTACCTGAAGCGCGCCCAAGTGCGGCACAAGCTCGGCAACCTAGTTGACGCCGCCACAGATGCCCAAAAAGCTACTGCCCTACTGCCAACAAAGCTGACCTCCTGCGCCAGTACTTTAAGTCCCTCTATTTGCACGGCAAATGGGCAACCCAGCTGAAACAGTACGACGAGGCGGCGGAGTCTCTGCGCAAGGCTGCACTTATTAACCCCAGCCACGAGGAGGTCAAACAGTTGCTCCAAGAGGTTGAGCCACTTACCACGCCCGTTCCTGAGCCTGTCCCTGAGGCCAAGGTTGAGTCCACAACTAAGGTTGCTGCTGCTGCGCCGGTGCGGCCCAAGATCCGCCACGAATGGTACCAGACGGATGACTACGTCATTCTGGAAGTTTTCATCAAGCGCGTGCAGAAGGATGCGGCGACTGTTGAGTTTGAGGAGAAGTCTGTTTCACTGTCTGTTAAGATGCCGACAGGCTCGGAGAACAACTGCATGTTCGACCCATTGCTGCACAAGATTGCACCCGAGGGTTCGTCGTTTGAGGTTCTGAGCACCAAGATTGAGATTCGCTTAAAGAAGGCTGTACCCGGACAAAAGTGGGACCACTTGGAGGAGTCCGAGGCGCAGCAGGCAGCCAACAGCAACCTGACCCTATCGAACTCCCGCAAGGGTGTTTCGTGGGATGCCATTGCTGCGGATGCCGAGAAGGAGACCAAGTTGAACCCCAGCGAGCAGGGCATCAACGAGCTGTTCCAATCCATTTACAAGGATGCTGACGAGGACACCCGACGCGCCATGTTGAAGAGCTACACCGAGAGCAATGGCACGGCGCTCAGCACTGATTGGAAGAGCGTCAAGAAGGGCCCGGTTGAGACCGTGCCGCCGGTCGACACTTACGCCAAGTCTTACAAGAATTAATTTTTTTTTTAGTTTTCAATTAAACCAATTATTAAACACGTGATTTGTAATTTGATTTGATATTTTTTGGTGATTGGGATGTGTGAATTGCACACGCAAGCATTCGAATCGAGCACAAAAGACGTGTTCTCTCTGGCCACAATAAGGATGAAAAGTGGCTGTTCCTTTTAATTGCTTCATACTCGCGTCTCTTTCGTCTTTTCATAAATCAGCGCATCCGCATCTTCAAAACTATTATTATTATTTCAACCAACCAACCACTATACATTAAATTCAGCAAATATGGACTACTCGCAGTACATGGGAATGGGCGGACAAGGTGCCGATCTGAGCGAGGCACAGATTCCGGACAATTCCGAAACCATCCACATTTCGTCCCTGGCGCTCCTAAAGATGCTTAAACACGGACGGGCCGGCGTGCCCATGGAAGTAATGGGGCTTATGGTTGGCGAGTTTGTCGACGACTACACTGTGCGGGTAGCCGATGTTTTCGCAATGCCTCAAGCCGGAACAGCGGTCTCCGTCGAGTCCATCGACGAAGCATACCAGGCAGCCATGATGGAGATGCTCAAGCAAACAGGCCGGGCTGAATCCGTTGTTGGCTGGTACCATTCTCACCCTGGATTTGGATGCTGGCTGTCGAGCGTGGATGTTAACACGCAGCAGTCCTTTGAGAGACTGAACAGCCGCGCGGTAGCTGTGGTTATTGATCCTATCCAGAGTGTGCGCGGAAAGGTTGTCATTGATGCATTCCGTCTTATTGAGTCATCGACGGCTGTTACGGGTGTGGAGCCAAGACAGTCGACGTCGAATATTGGCCAGCTGCATAAGCCCAGCGTTCAGGCGCTCGTTCACGGACTTAACCGCCACTATTACTCGATTGCCATTGATTACCGGAAGAATGAGTTGGAGGAGAAGATGCTGCTTAACCTTAACAAGAAGCAGTGGTCACACGGTATGATTATTAAGGGACATGGGGAGCATTGCGGCGAGAATGTGGGTGCTGTGGGTAAAATGCTGAAGCTGGCCGAGTCGTATACCAAATCTGTGCAAGATGAGCAGAATTTGACAGCGGAGCAGCTGAAGACCCGCCATGTGGGCAAGCAGGATCCCAAGAGGCACCTCGAGATTACTGTTGAGGAGATAATGGGCAACAACATTATCCAGAGCCTGACAACTGCCGTTAACGAACAGGCACTGTAGAGACGAAAATTCAGACAAATGAATTTCTTCGTGTTTGTATGTTTTTTAATAAAACCGGAACTCTGCGTTGTTGTTTTTCTCTTTCGGATACTGACAAACATTGGTGCGTTGTAGAAAAATATGAGAGCAATATTCACTTTTGGCACAAATATAAACGAAAATGAAAAACGAAAACAAAAACAAAAAATATATGGAAACCCTAAATATTCGCAACGGCTGGCATAACAGGGGTTGGCGAGTATCTCTGCTGACTGTGCAACTTGTGAACGTCCAGTTTCTGCAAGCGATTCATAAAACCCTCAATATCTGACGCCCTCCTCTCCCTAATAACACCCACGGGCATAGCATATTCCTGGTTTTTGAACCTCAAGGCGCTCATCCTGCCGACGGCCGAGGCCAGCTCCGCCATCTGCATGTTGTGCTTCTGTGTTGATGTCAGCTGCACCCGTTGGCTCACCAGAGAGTCCACCTGGGTGCGCTCGTGGTAAGCTATTATATGATTTAGTTCGGCGTCAGGCTCGCTCTTGGGGGACGATGAAGAGTGTACTGCTGATAAAAGGCAGACCCGAGAGTTGGTCGAGTCTATTGATGCCCGGGAATCCAAGCTGTAGAGCGACTCGGCGTATGACTGCATGGCTTCGTTAACGAGAATATGTGTGAGAGACAGAAGTCGAGATGAAAATATAAAAGATATGTGGGTTTATCGAGAGAAAAAAGGATGCCAAAAAACTTGAAGTGCGGTTACTTAATAGATTGTAAATAGGCTGGAAAAACGTATTTGGGTCTAGGAACCAAGATGAAAAAGAGAAGATAAAAGAGAACCCAGAGAATAAATTTTAAAAAGGAGAACTTTGGCCCAAAACGCCCGCTCATCCTCTATATTTGCCCTCCCTCTTTTTTCCTTTCTTTCTTCTCTCTTTTTCCTTTTGTTTCTCCGACATTGCAGCTGACGGCATTCGCTCATTCTTTTCTTAAACCCCCTATTGTGCGCTTGTAATAACAGACCAACACAAAAGGGCATCATAAAAATGGTTTGTTCCCCCCGACCCGAAATTCTTAAGTGCCTTTAATATGCTCTCCCTCATTTTCCTTAATTTGGTGTTTTTGCTCTGCCCGCGTCAAACAACAGGATATTTTTCTTTTGCCGTTAAATGAAACAAGACAATTTTAGAAGAAATTGGGGACTGCGTGCGCTATGGAAATAGAAACCTTTGCAAAGAAAAATTAAAACACTAATTTATGTGCCAAACAAGGGTATGGCGGTCTAGAGCGGAGTCTGTTTTACTTATTGGGGGTTTCATTACTTTCAGAGTGCCGGGTGTCTATTTTAGAAAGGGCTGCATTGACACGAAATGTGGCACTATTTCGTTTAGATATGGCATTAAAGCAAGCCAGCCTAACTAGATGGTGAATGGAAAGAAAAAACATTCTGGTAAACAACGAACAATGCCTTTATTTAACCTGTTCACAACCTGTATTTTCTCATGGCCAAATACTCAACAACCCGAGGTGCGAACCGATGAACAACCACAGCAACCCAGTATGGCCATGGCGTCACCAGCTGGCGATCCCTTAATGCGGCAGCACGCAGAATGGCCCTTGCACAGCTGTCCGGCGACATCTTGCCCCTCTTCGATCCAGCAACCGGCTCACCCACCGGCGCATCTATCGCAGCCAGTCTCAAGTCGTATCCACCGTGCCCGGATAAACCATCGTAACATCCACACCCAGGTGCTTCACCTCCATGCGGAACGCACTGAAATATCCCTCAACAGCGTGCTTCGCTGCCGAGTACAATGAGCGCGTGGGCGCAGCCACCAAGGATGCCACCGATGCCACAACAACGACATTGCCACGGCTCTGCGCGAGCAACGGAAGGAATAATCCAGCGACCAAAATAGGCGCACAAGTGTTTATGGCTAATGCGCGGCCCAAGACCTCGTCAACAGTGTCGGCCGAGGAGCGCGCATCCGGAGTCATCCAGAGCTCGGTCAACGGGCGCACGGTGATTGCGCCGGCATTGAGCACGAGATAATCTACGTGTGGGAACTCTGCTGCTGCGTCGCGCAGGGATAATTGGGTGGCGCGCTCGGTGATGTCGCCGGTGACAGCTGCTGTTGGGTGGCCTGATAGCCGGGTGCACTCTGCAGATACTTGCGAGAGCAGGTCGGAGCGGCGCGCGCAGAGAAGCAGAGTGGCTCCCTGTCGCGCATACTCTAGCGCAAGGCTGCGCCCAATGCCCGATGATGCGCCGACGATCACACATAGCGACCCTCCACTGAAGGCGCAGGCCTGACCGCCCGCCATATGCCCCACGCCAGCGCCAGCGCTCCAATGTAAATTAGCATTTGAAAACTATTTTGTGAATTTTGTATTTCAAAAATGATATGTGAATAATAAATTAATTGGGTTGAGTTGATGCAAATACACACGGCGGAGAGCAGCCGCATGGTTGTGATGGAAACATCTCAGAAGCGCATGCACAAGTAAATGGGAGCGACAATTTCCATGGAAAATAAAACATTTTAATCGGCCGCCTGAGGCTAGTATCAGTGGAGTCTTGGGCTTGTTTTATTTTTGGAACCTTTTGTTCAGGCTGTGTTGCAGAAATAGCTGTCACTGGGTCTTGAGTGTGGGCTTGATTCTTTTGCCCTACACCCATCCTATTTTTTGAATATGATTTGGCTGGACTTAGGTGTCGTTGCGGCGTAGTACGCGTCAGCATCTTTCAAGTTGTTGACGCACTGCTTGGCCGTGGCAAAGCATCATTCTCAGTCATTTTGTCGATGAGCTCGATTGGCCCACATCTGAGACTGAAGTTACTATTTCTCCTACTGCCAGATTTGCGCTAGATCTTGCCTTTGACTACCTACACTTGGCGCCGTAAGTCTCGATGATATTGGCTAACAGGGAACCAGCAGGCTGCGAATACCAGTTGCAGTGTCGCCGTCCGTGCCTTGGAATTGGGCTTGCAGTTGGCCTTGCCTAATTTGCGTGGATCGGCACCCAGTGATGTTTCTAAATCTCGGAATGGCATGCCAGGGCAGAACTTGGAGGTTCAGAACTCATCTATTAGACACTTTGAAGCCATGTCGCAGCAGCGTTTTGCGCCTGCTGATGTCAATGAGCACAGCGTGTTTGATCTATCTGAGGTTTCTTTACGCACCAAGTAGATGTAAGGGAACCGACTGTCCCCTTCTTCCACTTCCGTTTCTGCCTCCCTTTTTGCCATTAGCAGCTGTCCTGGGTCAGCGGTCTTCTGGATCTGCTTGCGTTTTTAGGGGCACTTGCTTTGACAGCAGGCTAAGCGGCGGGCTGAGCGGGGGCCCAGTATTTTTTATTTTAGTTATTTTTATTTTTGCAAATATATTAAAACTTAAAAATTCCAATAAAACGAATGCGACGGAAAAGTGGACTAGCTTATATTAAAACGAGACTCCACAGAGCCTCCCCACAGAGCCTTGGTCTTGTCAGATTTGTTGATATAATAACCCGATATCTCCCAAGTTTTCTACTGAGAAAGTATGCCGAATTTCAGACTTTATTTCCCCCGTTTACAAAGTCGGGAAAAAGTTGGGAAAGAAAAAAACCGACTCACATCACAATCGTAGATGCAAGTCGGGCGTATTTTTTTTGTGCAGTTTCTGGATTGAGCTGAGCACCAATCGCCTGACATGCTCCCGAGTATGCCCCAGCTCCCTCTCTGTCCCCATCTCCTTTCCAAATTGCCCATGAGCTTCAATTCTCGGGCGATTTCTGCCAGCACCTTTTCCCTCTCAGTCCTTTTCGCACTCTGACTCTGCCTCCCGCTGCCAGTTGCTGCCCGGGCTTCCGCGTGTAGTCCTGGTTACTCAACCGCTGCGCCTGCATTTTACTCGCCCTGTGCAGGATATCACTGAGCTCTAGCATTCCACCGCCACTGCTGCTACTGGGCTGTCGGATAGTGGGTCTGCGGGGCAGTGCCGCACATTGTTTGTCTAGGCGCCGGTTGCTTACTCGGTCTAGTTGCGCGTATATGTCGTTGGCCATTGCCAGGGTAATTTACCTGTACTTTCGACTGTTTGCTGATCTTCAGACAACTCACTAATCAGCGAAGAAAATGATTCAATTGTGTATAGGCTCATAGCAATGATACAGAATAATAATATTAGCAGTAGTCGAATAAAAACATAAATCTTATCTGAACCAAAAAAAGTGATCTAGTTAATATAACTGCGATTCAAAACATTTATACTCTTGCAAAGTTTGTTGTGCAACATCGGGTTCTCAGCTTGTTTTTTACCCTTCTGTTTATGACATTTCCTTCACGTATTCTTGCATTTTCAGAAGAGCAGCAGATTAAAATTAAAACGTACCAATATCGAATGTCCCTTGTCTCCCTCTAATCAAGTCAATTTACAAAAAAATATTATTCGACAATTCATTTGAAAACAAACAACACAACAACAAAGGCACAAAATAAACGCCAACAAACAAACAACAAACAAACAAACAATGGGTGGCTGATTCTAATAAAAAAGTCAAGTTTACTCTCCCTTATTTTATTTTACACAATCGACGCAATAAAAATGGCTGCAATTCAAATAACATCCACATTCTTGTTTTGATCCAGAAATAATCTCTATCAACTTACTCATGCGGACATACAAATTCAAATTAATTTCGCATTGCTGGAATCTGGATTCAGCATAATTAATACACATTTAGGGTTTCAGTAAAAAAATATACGGACCACAATTAAAATGTAACTGGTTTTTTATTACTGCAGATTATTTTCAATATTGTTATTTATAAAAAAATTTGAGAGCAAAAAAATAAGTGGAAAACGTTGATGATTCTACTGTTGCGCAGCCCAGGGATATGGAAGTGGATGCTGAAGTCGAGAATCGTGAAACGAGCCTCCACCCACATGCCGATTGATAGGATGCAGATGGGACCATGTGGGAGTAGGTCAGGGGACATAGTAATGACACCCGCATGTGCTCCCCATTTTACAATACACATGCATTAACGCGCTTACGTGAAGATTACAACATTGACATGTCAAGACACTGGTCTGCTCGCAGAAGAACCAGTTATCGCCAACGGAGTGCACAATTGACAATGTGCACAACAAAGGCGACAAGATACATATATAAGACGAGACGGCCCTAGTTCTACTTTTGATTCCCTTGATAATAAAAACTATAACAAAACCCAAACATACTTTTAATACTAGTTACTAGTGCTCCACTCAAATTACAACACCTTACAAACACCTTTAACACTAGACGACTAGTGCCCTCTCCAAATCACAACACTGCAAACCGACTGCGTCAAATTTACATGTACTCATACTGCAACATCATCTCCGCAATAAGGTCGACATTCTTGTAGTTATTAACTGCCTTAACCAATGCGGCTATACGCTGTACTGGATCATATACCTTTGTGGTTGATGAGCTAAGAATAATACCATCGCATCCACACTCCATGAAACATGCGGCATCTGCAGGCGTCTCTATATTACCACCGGCAAACATCGGGACTGGCAACTTCCCTTATCCCTGATTTCCATTATCAACTCTAGCGGTATATTGACATCATTGGCCATTTCCAACAATTCACTTTCTGAATTATTTTTCAAATCGCGAATTCCTTTGAGTATTCCGTACACTTTTTCGGCAATGTTTTCAATAGGACTAGACGACTTGGAACTCGAATAAGTGCAGCACCCCTATGTATATGGATCATGGCAGCATCAAGGTATCCGCACCACACATGAGTGGGGTCACAAACTGGCGCTTATCAAGTATCCCGTCTTCAATAAACGGTCCATGTTTTCCGATTCCTCTATACAATCGATATTGAAACTTTCTAAAACAAATGCTTCAACTACGTGGCCTGGACGCACGCACCCAATAATCGGCAGAGCCACAGCATCGATGTAACGAGCAAATACGTCGGGGTCGGGTAAAGATGACATGTTGGTGTTATAATGATCGGCCATTGCAATTATGGCGCTGATTCCGGCTTCTTGGCCAATATGCGCTTGCTGTAAGATTGTAGCCTCCAGGATGACAGAATTTTTGAGCTGGTCTACCAGGCTGTGTTTGAACTTTTTTTCTTCATTAAACTCAGTGTTGTTTGCGGACATGGTGATTATGGAATACAAAACTGAAGTGCGAGAAGTGATGTAAAATAAATGTGAATAATGTGGTGTGAAATAGTAAATATAAAATAATAACTGTGAAGCAAACAGAAAAAAGAAATGGTGTCAAAATTTTTCACTAGTTGGACACAGGTGGCTATGAAACACAGCTTAATCCATAATTTCTTTGAAATGATTATTTGCCTTTGTATGTTGCCTTTGTTTCGCATTTGGTTTGTACGCTAAAAAACACGACAAAATGACAATTTTTTTTACAAAAGACAAATAAATGGAATATAAAAAGCAACGCAAAAAAAGAGAAACATTTTTAGCTACCAAAAAATACGCCGTTGCAAAATTGGCCACCGCTGGTCGTGTAGGTTTGCAGTTGCGACCAGTGACGCTTTAAAATATGCAGACAGACAGTGTGCTTATTTTAAACCTACACTCAGAAACGAATATTTCTTACTACTTCTATTGTTTGGTTGTCAGACCAATTGAGATAGAGCCACACGTCCATGTGTCCACGACGGAGCATACCATTCTGAATGTGAGAGGACTTTCACTGGGATCTTTGGAACCCAGCTGCAGATCTTGTGACTGAGACGGTCAACAGAATCCAGATGTATCCAGAACCGACAGATGTCATATTGGAGGAACTCAAGAAGCATGTGGATTCCCATTACCAAGATAAAAAGGCTAGAATCTGGATATGAGGCATGGCTGGCAAAAGCTGACCAAGGACAGGTACATAACGCTGGTCAAGAAACTCCAAGGGGAACGCGCAGAACAAGCAACGGTGTTTGTAAATGAGATTATAAACAAACAGCACGACTGGTACAAGAAACACTGCAGCCTTCAGATTGAACGGGAAATGAAGGGATCCTTGACGCCTGAGAAACGCCGATTGTTGATGAGAACTCCAATCTCAGCAAACATCCCGAATACCAAATCCGTGACAAGACAAAGACGACAGCCTGCCGAAGTGACCGCAAACAATAGCAATGAGGACGACAGATATGCACACTAGCTATCTGGACACAATTGATGCTCTAGCTGGCAGATCGAGTGCCTGGGTTTTATTGTACTAACACCCTGGTGGGCACTTCCACCACCAGGCAATTAGACCCAGGTCTGGAGAAGTCCCAATTACGGTGCCCCTAGAATAACTTTTATTATAGGGGCATGTAGCCATGTCTGCAATAGAGCCTATGATGGGCAAGGGTGGCTCAGTAGACGACCAGTCTTAATCATTAACTCTAATTTTTTAGTGTGCGTGTTGTTTGCGGTCCGTAATTACTATTGGCTTAAAATAAGAGAGAAAACAGATACATTGTGTGGAATATAGAAAGACAAAAACTAGAGCCTAACTTTCTTCAGACTGTGTGTGCACGCCTCATAATCAGAAGGCCATAAATCACGTGTGGGAGCGGAAAGGCAAAAAAGCGTTTATTGGTTGGGGCAGCTAAAAATTTAAAAAAAAATATGAACAGGCGAAATTGGACAGCACAAAAAAATTCGGGACACAAATCAATGCTCAATATTTTCTTTTCCATATCCTTATCTTTTCTTTTTGCACCCGATAAATTCCTACAAAATGCGCATTCTATCGCACACCATCCGTAATACCAAGCCATTCTTGCAGCGGTGTCTTTCAACGCAGGTGCATAAGGGTATTGTGCTAGGGCTTCACTCAGACAACAAGCTCAGCAGTGGCTCCAAAGCTGCGATCTCAGTCGCCGAGCAGCAGCACATTCTGGAGCAAGCCCAGGCTCTCGGGCACACAGGCGAACCCGGAACAGTTCAACTGATGCTCAACCCCGCACGCACCCAACAGATTGCGCTTGTTGGCCTTGGCTCGAACAAGGACGAGTCGCTCAGTGAGGTTACCCGCGCGGCAGTTGCTGAGGGGATCAAAAAGCTGTATGCAAACAAGGTCAAGGAGGTATCTATTGGGCCAATGCCCTGCTCTCGGGCAGCAGCCGAGGGCGCAACCCTGGGCTTGTACACGTTTGACAAGTTCAAAACCCATGAAAAACAGGAGGCTACCGAGGTGACGTTTATCGAGGATAATGATGTTGCCGCTGGAAAAGTGTGTGCCGAGGCGCAGAACTGGGCGCGCGATCTGATGAATACACCAGCCAACCATATGACGCCGCAGATATTTGCGCGTTGCGTCGAGGAACAGCTCGGCGGGCTGGAAAATGTGACGGTCAATGTTTACGATAAGCAGTGGGTTGAGGATCAGCGCATGGGCGGGCTATTGGCTGTGTCGAAGGGATCCGAAGAGCCGCTGCGTTTTGTTGAAATAATTTACCGCGGCCATGCGTCGGCTGACCAGGTGCCGCTGGCGATGGTCGGGAAGGGTATTACGTTTGATACTGGAGGCTACAGCATCAAGCCGGCAAGCACATGGATTTGATGAAGGGCGATATGGGCGGCGGTGCTACAGTTGCTGCTGCCATGCGCGCAGTTGCTCAGCTCCAACTCCCCATCAATGTCGTTGCCACTATTCCGCTGTGCGAAAACATGATCAGCGGCGGTGCAACCAAGGTGTCAGACATCTACACGTCGCGCGCGGGTCTGACCGTCGAGGTTATGAACACAGATGCTGAGGCCGCGTGGTTTTGGCCGATGCCCTGCATTATACTGTGGAAAAGCACCAGCCTAGCACCATCATCGATGTTGCCACGCTGACTGGCGCTATGGTCATGGCTCTCGGCGAGCTCTACACAGGTGTTTTCACTCCCAGCCCAGCCCTGTGGTCGCGCATCGAGGGCGCGTCCAAGGGTTCGGACGAGCCTGTCTGGCGCATGCCCCTGCATGACGCCTGGGATGCCATGCTCAAGTCGCCGGTGGCCGATCTGTCCAACATTGGAAACAAGTCGGAGGCCGGCGCATGCACTGCCGCCGCCTTTTTGCGCCACTTTGTTCGAGACTCGAGGGCCGTGAAGAAGCAGGGCACGCTTGCCCGTGACCAGAACAATGATGAGTCGCTACCCCGCTGGGCTCACCTTGACATCGCCGGTCCTATGGAGGCGACCACGTCAACTGGCTACCACCACCGCGGCATGTCTGGCCGTCCGACCCGCCTGCTGATCGAGCTTGCCAGCCAGCTGGCCAAGAACCCGATTTCATAAAAAAAATTATAGAATATAAATTGCAGGATTGTAGGTAGAACTCGCGCATTGGTCTGATATCCTGATAGACCTTTCGCTATCTGCTATCCGTTTTTTTGCATTGTCGATTAAATATTATATTTTCACAAATACTTTGATGAAAAAAAGTGTGGTGAAGCGCACTCAAAAGGTCTCTCGTACCATCTATTTACGAGCCACCCTTCACGGCCAGGCCGCTAAGCGCCGATAGGAACGAGTTGAAGTTGACATCGTCAGTGAGAACGGCCTCGCCGCCGCCATACTGGTTGGCGCTGTTGTACGACGTCGACGGGTTGAGCTTGCTGACGAGGAAGCGCGCCTGGGATCCATTCTGGTCGCACACAATGTAGCGTGGCACAGGAATGCGGTCGATCAGCAGGTTCTGCGCCTCCTGTACGGGCGCCTCCAGCAGCAGCCTGAGGTTCTCGTACTCGGGCTGCTCGTGGTACCCGGCCTTGCGCCACTCGGCAATAGTCTCACCGTGCCAGATAAGGATGTGGAAGAACGTATCCAACAGAAGAACCACATCAGGCTTCATCGACGCCGAGTCGAGCATGACGGGCGCTGGGGGACCCTCGAAACCGTACGAGGACAGCGAGGGCTGGATCATCGTAAGCGAGTTGTTGGTGTCCTCACGGAACAGGCAGTGACGGTAGAACGCCGTCTCGTCGGGCGAGCTGTTAAACACCTGTAGGAACTGCGAGCGGCGCAGATTATACATAAACTGCGGGTAGATCGAGAAGTTGGGCGACAGTCGGAAGCTGGCCTGGTCATCGCGGCGGTATTCACCGAATTTCTGGCACAGGCGGATGAGCATGCGGTCAAGCCAGCGCAGAACATCGGCGGTCTCATCGACCTCTGACTTGAACACGGCAATGCGGGACATCAGGACGGCGGCGGCCTCCTGGTCAAAGGACGCCGGGATCTCGGGCGACGATCCCTCGGCCCAGCTGCGCGCAATGGTTGTCACGCGCATGCGGTACTGCCCGCTCGAATGCTGGTACGTCGTCACGTACTGGATCAGGCCGTGGCTGCCTGGCTGCAGTGCCTGGCTCTGCTGGTTGGCCACCTCAAAGTAGATTCCTACCGTGGTGTGCGTGTTGATTGTTGCCAGTCGCCACGCCGACGTGCTGCCAATACCGATCTCAGTGTCCGACACAATGGCCGACTTCTTGTTCGCCGAGATGCCGGGGCCGATCATGCCGCACACCTTAAGCTCCTTTGTGGTCTGCACTTCAAGCGTCGCATTGAATCCCATCTGCAGCTGGTCATTGGCGTCCTTCTCAAACATGCGCTGGAACGACTGCTTGAAAATCGCAGTGACAAACGAGTCGGTCAACACCATGTGCCCGCCAGTCCAGTTAACAAGGGACTTCATCTCCGCGAGGCCGACCTGGTCGAGACAGCCGGAGAAGATGTCAATGGCGTGGCCGGACCCCGCTGACCGCTTGGAGAGTGCCTCGTAGAACTTGATGGCCTTGCGGTAGTGTCTGTCCGCCTCCTTCTCAATATCATGATGACTGCGCATCGGCTCCCTGAGCTCAGGGCCAACAACCATGCCGGGACCCTGCGTCGCGGGTCCGCTGCAGAACAGCATAATGCGGCCACCGGCATTGGGGAACGCCGACTCCATCATGCCCACGGCAATGGCCATGGCAGCACCCGTGCAGCGCAAAGGGCGCTTGTCGTTGGCCACGGGCCACGGGTCACGCTGTAGCTGCTCTAGGATGCTGGTCAGGGTAAACTCGCACTGCTCAACAGGCTGCACAAACCGCTCGGCACCGTACGTCTGCTGCGGCATCTGCTGCTGCTGCTGCTGCTGGGCGGGCGCTCCAGCCTGATTGCGGATGTTTGACCCAATGCCCAGCATCTCCTGAATCTGCTTGACATTATAGTCCTTAGATCCACGGAACACATACGACTTGGGGCAGTCCTGGTACCCAAGTTCGTGTAGCTGCACCATGGTGCCATACGTGATCAGACCCACTAGCGCGTTGGGCGGCAGTAGCGACAGGGCCAAAATCAGGCTGTCCTTCAGCGCCTTGAGCTCGTCCTCTTCCAAGCACGTGTCCACCACAAACATGAACACAGGTGCCACCTGCGACTGGCGCGCCATCATGTACTCAATGGTCGTGTACTGCTGATGCAGCTCCGGAGGCAGGTTATGCGCCGCAATATCTCTGTAGTGCGGAGGGAACTGGTTGCGCTGCAGGCAGAAGGGGCAAATCCACAGCTTGCCCCGCACGTCAATCTGGCAGTACGGGTTGAGCACCGCGCGGCAGGGCGCCTTGCACATTACGGGCTCGTACATCACTGGCGGAAACTCGGGACGCTCTTTAAGCGGCGTGTATATCGTCGAAACGGGAACCACACTGCGAGTCGCTTCAATGCGCGTGTTGGGAAGCACATTCCATGAGCAGCGCACTCCATCTTGGTCCTCGATTGCCTCGAAATCCATCATTTTTCCTTTCGCTTGCTAAAGGTGCCTTATTGAACTGGAAGCGTGATGCTGTTAGCGGTAGAATGCAATAAAGACCCTGAGTTGAATAAAAAAGGTCAGATACCGCAAAGTGAAGAATTTGAATTATACTATATGAAAGAAACAGATGATGCGGAAAAGAAGACAAATTCCTCAGCTTGCAACTTGCACTTTGCAACACCGCTGTTCCTGGAAAAGCGACGGCGCATGTATCTTTTGTTGCCCGCGCTGTTATTTCAATTTTTGGGGAGGTCATTCATCTCCTGGCACCCGCTAATTGGATGATGCGATGCTACCAACATGCCATACATGACATGATGTACAGGACGCAGGTGACGGGTTAATATCGGCGGGATTTTTTTTTGTGCCACGATGGGATTGCACATCCCGCTGGGGTTTTGTGCTCTGTATATTTTTGTTTTTGGCTTTCATTGTCTTTATCTTTTTTTTGATACACACTTTTTTAACTTTAATTTCCACAACACCTCCCTTTTTTGTTTTATATTAATATATTGCAACCAAATGGAGCCAAGGGCGTCGTCGAGCAGCGCTAGCAGCGCAAAGCCCAAAAAAACGAGCACAAGCAGTATCCTGTCGAGCCCAATGGCATCGAGCTAATACTAGGCGGTATATTCAGCTCCCTTGCGCTCTTCTCGCCTCGCAAGGGCCTCAATCTATACGAAAGCCCTGTCAAATATCTCTCTGTGTCCGCCGGCGTGCTCCTTGGCTACTACGCGATCTTGACATTTGCCGATATATACTGCTTCAAAGTATCTGACAGAGTGCGGCGACAGACAAAGACCATGGGCGGGCGCCTCAGAGACGTTCTCAACATGATTCTAAGCACATGGCAGCCGCCATAGCCATATACATTGGCTTTGTACTGTTTGGTGCTCCAGTTGCCATGCAGCAAGGCGAGACTGCGATGGCGGCCATTGTTGTTGCGCTGTTGGCTGTGACGCCCGCGATCTTGACATTGGAAGCCAAGGTTGGAGCATGGCAGCGGGCGCTGCTGTCTGTAGACCCGAAGTCATTGCCGGAGAAGTGGGCGGCTGGGTTCTTTTGGAGTACCATGGTTACCAGCTGGGCGTTCGCGTACTTTATGCCGATGGATTGGGATCGGCCGTGGCAAAAGTGGCCAATTCCCATTGTTGGTGGCGCATTCCTTGGGTACTTGATCGGTCTGTTTGTTGTTGGCATCCGCTGCTTTGTCCTGCCCTTGGCGCGCGCTGACTTTATCGAAACTGAGGAGTCTAAGCTCGAGATGACCCGTGTTCCTCTGAACAGCAAAGCCGCAGGTGCTGCAAAATCAGCATTGGCATCGTCGCAGCCTGCTGCGAGACCAAGAAGGAAAAGTGATGCCGCATTATCAGAAAGAATGAGAGGAATGTAATATTGTTTTAAATGCATCTTTACTTCTAATCCATTGACAGAAAATTTAAAAAAATTAACCAACTTGATACACCTCGTCTAAATGGCAAACTTGGAGTGGCCAAACGACAGGGGCACGGCCGATGGTAGTTGCGCGATCATCAACTCCTCGAAGGTCTTGGCGTCCAAAACCAGCAGACAGCTGGTAATCCGCACGCTGTCGAAGAAGACCGACACGATGTACCCGTCGTCCTCCTTATCGCTGCGCGGTACAAACGCGGGCTCTGACGGGTAGCAGTGCGTGCGCGCCCAGACCAGCGGGTCTGCAGCAGAGTCGCTAATGTTCAACTTGACAATGCAGTTGTACATTGTGGCGCTGGCAACGTGGACAGGGAGCCCCTTTAGGCGCTCGGTGTGGCTCAGGCCGTACACATACTTGCATGGTCGCAGGGCAGCCATCGGGTTGACTCTGGCCAGCTCCACGGGCTCTGTGCGCAAAAGCACCCATGTTGCCAGTGGGATGATCGATGGTCGGCCCTTGGACTCGACGTACCTGGTGGCCTCCATCGTGACGCCCCTGAGCTGGTACCGATGTGCGTAGCCTGAGGGAATTGAAAAGTGTGCGTTAGGCTTGCGCAGATCATTGATCTGCAGCTTGCGGAGCACCGTGTCGTCGGCGTAAGCCACCAGGTCGATCGACACTGAATCAGACGCCATATCCTGCGTGGCATTGATCTGGTGCAGGGCAAAGAACGGGGGAGCCTGGTAGACGCACTGCACGCGGCGGTACTCGCGGCTGATCACGTACAGGTGGACGGGCTGGCTGCTGTCAAAGGCCAGAGTATCGAGAAGAGAGTCGCTCCACCGGTACGTCACGCCACCTAGGGGCGCTGTGTACGGATACACAGGCACGACAATGTAGTCCTGCGTAATGGCAAAGCTGTGCAGCACCGATGCCTGCGCAACAAAGCTCGCTACCACATACCCGCTGGGCTGGGCCTCGCTGATGGCCAACACAGTGTAGGTGGTCGACCGGAACCCTACATCCTGCAGCACAGTAAAGTGCTCGCGCGTGTCAGAGTCGTACTGCATGTGAGGGCAGCTGAGCGAGCCCTTGAACTCGGGGTTAATGTCCTTGAGCTCTACAGTCGCGCGCGGGCGCAGGTCGACGGGGTCAATGTTCTGCAGCGCGCCGACGTGGTTGGTGCATACGATAGTCTGGCTGGATCCCTGCAGCGGCATAAACAGTTGAATGTCTTGCCCACAGCATTCGCCCTCGGGCGTCGCGTAGTGCGACTCCTTGGGGATGAATTTGTTGAGGAAGGTCTGGTTTGTGTCAGTCATGTACAGCGCCCCGGGTACCTTTGTGCTGATGCCGTGCTCCATCTGGATCTGCCCCGCTGCCTGCTTGGCTATTAGCCGCGACCGATGCGTGATGGTCTTCTCCTTAGGATCAAACGAGATCTTGCTCAATAGTGGCAGCGCGTCCATCAGATGGCCAAAGTGAAAGTTGCGCGTGGCCTGCTCAAGTTCGCGCTGCACGTTGTACCCGATCTCGAAGCGCCCGGGCCCTACAAAATACAGGCTGCCGCGCAGGCCCTCAGGGTAGCTGCCGTTCAGGATGCGCAGCTTAGTTGGGCTGGTGTATTCGCGCACGTTGGAAAATCCACTACGCATGATCTCAATCTCCTCCGACGACACCGTGGTCTGTGACATCTTCTCCTTCTGCTTCCGCCGCTGCTCGCCCAGGTGGAAAAGCCGCCGCTGCCTCTCCTCAATGGCCTCCTCAGCATCCGCCTCTTCGTCTTCACTCAGCTCGGCAATCTCACTCGACCGTGCCCTTTGGTTGAACCCAGACGACCGCGAACTGCCAGAAGACTCGACGTGCGCGCTGGTTTCCGTTGCCACCGCTATTTTGGAATCGTTAGAGTTAGGGAACCCACGCGCTCCAAATGCGCGGGTTGCTTCCGAGTCCTTGAGCAAGACTGCGGTTGCCACCTCGGCCGGAGAGGGCCCGGTTTTTATTGCGCTGCTACTGATGCCCGCAGGGGATATGAGTCGGGCTGCGCGCTTGCTGATATGCGCGGAAGGGCATTGGACAAGGCAGTCTGTGAAAGGAGCGACTCTTCCACCGATCTGGTTTCGCCAATACCGGTGTGCCGCAGCGCTTCAGTAGCTGTATTGACATGTGCATCAGCATCGTAATCGGCACCAATGTCGACATCGACATGGCTGTCAAAGTCATCCTGGTCGCTAGTATTTCCAACATTGCCCTTGTTTTCGGCCAATGTGTCCTTTGCTTGAGAGCTGGATGTTTGCTTGATATCACTGCTGCCCTCATCTGCCGCCACGTAAACTCGCCCTGCGTGCTAGGGCTACTGACCAGCTGATCCTCCAGCGCATCATCCGAGTTGGCATCCGTCGGCTCTAATGTCTTTTCAGCAGAAGAGGGGAAGTAACCTTAGCAGTGGCCGGACTGTCTGCTTGTTCCTTGAGCGCGCCGGATAGTTCAGGGTGCACGGTGGCGGACGCCTCCACCGCTGGCAGTGTGGATTTGGAATCTTCAGTTGCCATTTCAAGGTGAAAAAAGTATGTGGCGTGGTTTTTTATGCTAAAGAGTATGAAATAAAATACCAAGTCGAATTGCACACAAACCAGAATAAAGAGAGTTGAAAAGGTTTCCCTCATTCCCTCTTAAAGCGCCCAAGTATGCGTGTATGCATATTGTTGCTCTTGTGCAAGTCCATCAGGGCATTATTTTTTTTAGCTCAGGGCGTTGCCTATTTCTTGGGTTAAAATAAAAAACATTTCAAGGTCACTTCATTTTTAAAGTCAAAAATAATTTTGATGCTGATCTCTTTATTTTTTCCTTCGAACTGCGCAAAAAAACATCCAACAGCCTTTTCAGTTCTACTCTTATTTATTTTACTCTAAAGGAAATTGTTGAAATTACTTGTTGAAATGAACAGTCGACAGCAAACGACACTGGCGGGTACCAACAGGCTCGACCCTCCGAGTACAGGGAGCGAGTTTTCACAGGCGAGCATTGGCCGCTACTGGCCAATATATTTTCCGCGTCACGACTTTAGCTCAGTGACGGTCGAGTGCCTGCAGGACATACGGAGCCTTGCGGCATATCTAAAGAGGTACACCGAGTCTTTCAGCATGGAGACTACACACTCGTGCCAGTTCAACTACGACAGGCTCACACAGCCTGGGCCCATGGCCGACTTTGTGCAGCGGCTCCGCGATGAGCCAGAGCGCCTGTTGACCTGCCTCGGGCTGGCAGTGTGCCTAGTGCTGAACAAGGAGTACGGATCGGAGGCGGAGTACTTGGTCGGTGACCGTAGGCTGCACATCCGGCTGCTTCACCACAAGCCGCAAACGAACATGAAGCATCTCAAGTCGAGCCTTGTCGGCAAGCTCGTGACTGTTCGCGGAACCGTCGTGCGCACATCCACGATTAAGCCGTTGCTGGTTCAGGCCGACTTTATATGCTCCAAATGCGGCAGGTCGCAGCTCATGAAGATTGTCGAGGGTAAGTTCGAGACGCCCGCAAGGTGCCCGACGCAGGGTTGCAAAAACCGCGTATTCGAGGTTGACCGCAGGGTCGGCTCCGACACCAAAACCATTGACTGGCAGCAGATTCGCATTCAAGAGAAAATCAACGACGATCCGAAGGACCCAGGGCGTGTTCCGCGCAGCATTGATGCCGAGCTGCTCAGCGACATGGTAGACTCGGTTGTCCCAGGAGACGTGGTCAACTGCACAGGCATTGTCAAGGTGACACAGTCTGATGAGGGCAAAGGCAAAGGTCGCGCCAACTCGCTGTACATTCTGTACCTCGATGCCGTCGCCATAAACAAAGTTGGCGGCGGCGACGATGGGTCGAACAGATCGTCGTCGTATATGAACGGGCTGAGTCAAGACAAGGACGCCGACAATGATGAGAATGAGATGACAACCAAGGACGGCATCCATTTCTCGAGCAAAGACCTGCTTTTCATCCGCAAGGTGTACCATGAACCGCGGCTGTTTCGGCTGCTGGTTCACTCGTTTTGTCCGGGATTTTCGGACACGAAATGGTCAAGGCCGGCATTATGTTGGCGCTTTTCGGCGCGCGCAAGAGGCAGAGCACGGAGCGCGGCAGCATGAACATTCGCAGCGACTCGCACGTCCTGGTTGTCGGTGACCCTGGCCTAGGCAAGTCGCAGATGCTCACTGCGGTTGGCCAAATTGCGCCGCGCGGCGTGTATGTCTGCGGGACCAGCGGCATCTCATCCAGTGGCCTAACTGTGACGCTGGTCAAGGAGTCCGGGTCGGGTGATTTTGCGCTCGAGGCCGGGGCTCTGGTTCTCAGTGACATGGGGTGCTGCGCCATCGACGAGTTTGACAAGGTCAGCTCCGAGCACAGCTCTTTGCTGGAGGCAATGGAGCAGCAGTCGATCAGCATTGCCAAGGGTGGCCTGGTATGCAGCCTTCCGGCGCGCACCAGCGTAATTGCCGCTGCGAATCCCGCCGGCGGCCACTACAACAAGGCAAAGACAGTCGCAGAGAACCTCAAAATCAACAGCGCCCTGCTGTCGCGCTTCGACCTGATATTCATTCTGCTAGACCGTCCTGACGCCGACATGGACAAATTTTTGTCTGAGCATGTAATGGCTATCCATTCAGGCTCCAAAACCGGAACCAACTCCGAATATGGATCCAGCGCGCACGACGCAGAAATAGGCGCCCACAGCAGCGACGACGCGGCAGCAGCGGCCGGTGCAACTTTGAGGGAACAGCTGCTTGTGCGTCCGGGGGAAAAGATAGATCCGCTGCCACCAGCTTTGTTGCGAAAGTACGTGGCATACGCGCGCAAATACGTGCAGCCCCGTTTGTCGCCGCCAGCCACACAGAAACTAAAGGAATTTTACCTTGAGCTGCGCAAGAGCCATCGCGCCATTGACTCGACGCCGATCACTACCAGGCAGCTCGAGGCGCTGGTTAGGCTGGCCGAGGCGCGGGCGCGGGCAGAGCTGCGCGAGATTGTGACCGAGGGAGATGCCGATAATGTGATTGAGATAATGAGGCATAGCTTGTTCCAGACGTACGAGGACGAGGACGGCACCATGGATTTTAGCCGGTCGCAGATGGGCACGGGCGTCAGCAGTGCTGGCGAGCTCAAAAGGTACATGTTTTGTTTTTTTGGCTGTTTTTTGTTTGATCGCATCCTTTGGCGGTGTACTTTCAAAGGGGTTTTCGACGTATTCTCAACTCTTCTGCTCATATTCATCTTTGTTTAAGATGAAGGCGCGTGTTTTTGTTTACTTTATATATGTAGGTTTGTCGCAAAGCTACAGCGAATCAGCGAGGAAACGTACAACAATATGTTTACGTTCTCCATGATGCACTCGATCGCGACCAAGATGGGCCTGCACTTTTCGAACTTTAACGATGTCGTCGATAAGCTCAACAATCAAAGCTTCCTGATTAAAAAGGCGCACAAGACGTACCAGCTCACTACCTTTTAAGCAACTGTATGTAGGGTGAGTGTAGGATGTATAGTTTAATTTAAAGATGTATGAAAAATAAAGTTCATTGCGAACATTGGATCATACCAGTCGCAGGGACAGGATAGAGCGCACATCGTCGGTAAACCGGAGTGCGTCCAGCAGGGGCAGAAGATCCAGCAGGCCTCGTCCTTGGGATCGCTATTGACCCAGGGCTGAATGGGGATTCCATTAGTTGGATTGATAAAGTACGACAGTGGCGAGTTATCAACTAACACGATCTGCGACAGATCTGGATCTATGGCCGACAGGTCCTTGGCGTAGCTTGAGTCATGTGGAACACACGATTCGCGGAAATACCGCGCCGAAATGTACTTCCCCTGAGAATCGAGCAGGTCAATGACCGGGTCTGCGTACTCGGCCATTGACGCGGTGAAACGATGACCTTGTACCATTCGCAGACCTTGCGCAGAAAGTAGTCCACATGCGGGCGCTTGTACACGTAATACAGGCACGCCACCTTGTCGATAACAACCTCAATGCGGTGGTGCGCCCTGTAAGATCCCTGCGGTGACGAGTGGATGAGCGTCTCGTCGAGGTCCAAAACCAGAGTCTTCTTTTTCAAGTTATTCAGAGAAGCGCCAGCGCCAGCGCCGGTAGCTGTAGTGGCTGCAGACGAGGGCGTGCTTGGGGTTCCAGGAGTTCCAGAAGCGGCGTTGGCACCAGCACGCGTGCCATTGCGTATGGGCGTGATGTCGTCGAAACGAGCACCAACAGAGGGCGCGCCATAGCTAGACACAGTCGAATTCGATGCCGCCGACGATGCCCTTCTCCTGCGAAACGCCGACCCCCGCCTGCTGATGTCCGGAACAAATGCCGCCGAAGAAAAGGACTCGACTTCATGTTGGCTGTGACGCAGTGGCGAAGTGACCGTAGAGAGGATTCAAAGCTGTTGCCTTCTGATGGGTGCGCTTTGTCTGAAACCGGCTGGTATGTGTCGCTGACCAAATGCTGTGGCTGGGGGAAGTGTTGCAACAGGGACTCGAGAAAGGGATGCTCTCAAGCAGACTGTAGACCTGGGTGTAAATGTAAATGAGCACAAAGTAAAACACTGAGAATCGACCTTTTGTGGGTTCCCCTTGTTCCTGCTGCTGCTGTTCAGGTGTGGCTGCTGCAGCATTTCTCAAGGTGCGCAGTGGCTGGTATACCATTGCTGCTCAGCGAGAAAAAAGGGTTTTTTTTGCTGCGAGCACAAAAAGAACAAAGTGATAAGTTAATAGTGACTATATGAGGATGCACGCTTCCAAAGTCCGCATGTAAAAACAATTGTTTGAGCGTGAGAGTTCCAACTTGCTCGATAGGGCTGAGATGCGCAGAATAATGGTACTCGCAATAATAAGAAAATATAACTAAATTAAATGAATACTTTAAGACCAATATAACACGAATATTGAATACTAGTACAGAAAAGGCGCCACACACGAAGGAGTTGTCTCCACTGGTAAAGTGACAATGGCGGGATAGATGCGCGCCACGTGCGATAACAAAAAATAAGACGAAAAATGAAAAAAAAACCGAATTTCAGTGGTCAAGCCCTCCCCAAAAAAAGACATTTTTTTAAACTTGTCGCTAATCATTGTCAGGTAGGCCTTATGGGTGCCACGTGAATTGTCTGACTTTGATTTTTATGTTATTTTGTGGTATTTAATATCACTAAATGAAAGTAAAAAAACAAATGTTGTAATAGTAGTCCAAGACAAAAGCTCATATTATGCGATGAGCCATTTTGTCGAGTGACAATAATCCTGATGCAAAATGTTGACTTTGACATAATATAATATTGTTGTTTGGTCAAATAATGTTTAATTTAAACAAGTTTAGCACCAAGATATTAAACGCTCGCTTAATAAATGAGCTTGGATTATTTGTATTTGTGCATATATTGTGTAAATATTATGCTGTTCAATATTTATTCAATTTTGTTTGTCTCAAACAAAACGAGCAGCAGAAATGTTTTGATTCCAGCTATTACCAACAATTGGCATTATCGTTGTCGTTGCTGTTGCCGTTGTTATTGTATTTGTAATTTGAAATCTGCGACTCACTTAATTTTCAATTGACACGCATCTGGCCACATATGGATTTTATGCACACAATGGGCTATTTTATATATGACTCGTGTTCAGCTAATGCTTTTCCCGACAATATCTATGTTTTTGACAAGTAATTGTATGTCACACATCCAAAATATGCAATATGTACAAAGGATGTTGAGGAGCTCCAAGATTATCTATTCAAATAATGGCAGCAAAAAATTAGTTAAGCAAAAAAAACAGCAGTGCTCATCCTGTCTCAATTCACCCAGCAGCACGGGCAATTGGGCACATTCAATATATGTGCACATTACTTTCAATTCCCTTTGTGCGAGCCACACCAGAATAAAACAATATGCCATATTTCCACACTGCCACACTGCCACACGATGTTGCTAGCCATTAACATCTGTCTCTCTCCCGCTTTGCATTACAGAGGAAAGACAATATACAAAAGACTTGCCGGCAATCTGTGCATTGCGTTTGTGTATGCGTGCGCGTGTGCGTGCTTCTTGAGCGACAATGCAGAGTAATGTATAATGTATATTTATGTCTCTCTGTCAGGTGGCGGAAACGACAGAACATATGGCACGAAAACAACACGATAGCAATTGAAAAGACGCGCGAGTATCAAAATATTTATTTTTCTATCTCTACCTCCCAGCGTTCATTAAGGGGGGGATTGGCCATCGGCTGGTTCTTCCAGTGAATATTTCTGTGTTAGTGGCTCAATGGTTGATTTCTTGTTATTTCCAGGCATTGTAATTGCTTTCATTTGTTTAGAATACAACAGAGTGGGATCTCTACTGAATAGGTGCTCTGCACTTCCATTTTTTTCGCTGGGAGCCTTGAATGCCCCTTATTATTGCACCCTCCCCTCCACCACCACCCCCTCTTCCTCCCTTATTCCCCCGCTCGCTTACATTATGGCCAGTTGTATGGGTGTTTGAGTCCGTTTGCGCATTCCAGTTGTCAGCTGCGCCTTGTTCATTTTAGTAATTGAATACGCTCGCAATCCGCGACAGCAAAACAAGCGCAGTTTGGCATTTACTGAATGCTATCAAAACAGCAGTGTACAGCTCGAAAATTTGTATTATCAACTTTTTTCCCAGAAGCAATTGGGGTTGCAGCAGAAAGGAGCCACACGAGCTGCAGCCAAAGCACACATTTTTTTTTTACTTTTTTACAATGGTCTTGTATTTAATTTGCCTTTTTATTTTACACTTCCCTTCTCCCCCCGGTCTGACGGAAAAACACGATTCTGGTCATTTTGACATCCATCCTTGCCTCATTTTTTATTTACTTTTAATTTTTTTCCCACTCCTCAAAAGAAAAACGGCCTGGCCAAGCGCGCACACTCATCCCCATTATACACCCAGAGACCAGTCTCTTTGGTGGCGAATACCCAGCAGTAAGCACCAATAGTACAACTGCTGGTAACTCTACACTTTTGCCACCGCGGCTACCACTATTCCTGAACATTGGAGGGTGGGGCGTTATTATTTTTCCTTTTTAGCTCTTGCGCTACTGCCAATTCACCCTGACAAACAGGCCTTTTTTCGGAAGGCGAGGAGGAGCAGGTTGTCACTCCTTCGGCTGTGACTCGACTGCCCGCCTTTTCCCCCTCTCTTGCAAAAAAATACAGTGCATCAGATTATTTTTTCCATTTTCCATTTCCCCTTTTCCATTCGACTTGGCTTGCCCTGGTAGTTTAGCCCGCAATACCCTTCTACTGCCTTTCTGCTCTGCTTCTTCTTTTTCGATTTTAATTTTAATTTTTCTCTCGTTCGTTGCAAATAACCCTATTTATTTAATTTATTTATTATCACAACCCTGCTCATCCCACACCCCCCTTGTAATAACCTCTATCTCTTTATTATATATAAAAATCATCTATTTCGCCACTTATCCGCACTTCATTATTACACACACTCTCTCGCATACATACACATACACACCAGCGCGCGCGCCTAGCACACGTCCATAGGAATGAAGCACAGCACCAGCAGCGCCAGCCACAGTGGCAGCAACGACACAAAAAACATTAGCAAAAACGGCAGCAACCGGCGAGACAAACAGCCGCGGAAAAATGAAATGTTTGACGCTGTTCTCAACGGGCGCAGAGTAGCCACCACACAAAATCAACATCAAACACAGCGTCCACAGTAGCATCGATTCGGATGTCGCCCAGCAGTTGCACCGTGCTGATTGTCGATAAACAGTTTTTAAAGGGCGTCTACTATACTGGCGGGTCGGGAGGCCCCACGATGCGAGCTGGCCCGGCACAGGACGATGTTGTTTTTGTGCAGGAGCTGTTGGAGATATACGGCCAAGGTAACGTACAATCGATTTCTGGCAATATCCAGAAGCACTCCTGTTGTGTGGCCTGTCACACAAACTCGCCCTTTTTTAAATCGATTTTTGAAAATCGACAAAGTGGTGCGATTCAACATGAAAAAATAGGCAGACGGCGCGAGTCTAGAATTTATGCGGCAAGCTGGCAGGCAGAGCGAACATTAGATGAAGGGCACGCGTTTATCCTGCTCCTCACCAGCCATTCTTTTTTGCGCTTGCTTTTGTTTGTGCATGTGGCCCACCAACATCCGCCACAAAAGCGCGCACACGCACCAATTAGCTTAGGCGCTTAAACACTAACTCTGATGATCACGACGATTTCTCTGCATATATGTAGTGGTGGCTGTCGTGTCAGGAGACACTGCACTGCAGTGGATCTTCAACCACAGGGGCAATAAGGCGATAATTGTGCTTATTGACGTCGACGAAACGTACGACCATAGCGAATCAACCATTGGCAGCAATAGCAGCAACGAGGATGACGACAACTACGACAGCATCAGCAACTTGTATGGCCCCATCTACACGCCTCTTTCCAGTACCCAGGAGCAGGAGCAGCAGCAGCAGCACCAAAATGTCAGTGCTGAGTCTGAAGGATCAGGTCCGTACGGACTGGCGCTTTTGCGCGTTATTGCGCACTATGTGGCCATCGGGTTTTCCGCAATGTGGCTCCAATTGGTAAGCATCGACTCGAACATCTGCTATATGCATATGCATATGCCTCTGCGTTTATTGCCGCGTGTTTTTCAGGAAGTAAATCAGGCGCGTCGTGTAGTCAATATTGCGCGAATTGGCAGATAGGATGACATGATGCTTCATATTTCCTTCCTTCCTTCCTGTCTTTCTTCCAGTTCTGGCTGTGCAAAAGTGGCCTGACTTGTGTGCTGCCAGAGCCATCCACATATGTCGCGGTATGTGAATGGCCACAGGCAGTGCAGGGGCGAACAGCACGCTAATTGCGTGTTTAGTATGACAATGTGCAATGTCCGATAGTTATTACACATCCCACTAACCACCTCCAAAGCCACAGCGCGGCGCTTCAAACAAAGCCTCCCCCCACCCAGCTCTGCATTTTACATTTTGCATTTTGCATTCTACATTCTGCCAGATTCCAGCTCACCAGAATAATGCATGGCAATGGCTTCTCTCAGTTCCCACACTCATTTTTCGCTTTGAGCAAACAAATAGCCATCCCGTCCGCTTTTGCCTTGCTTTGTGTTCTGCCCCCTTTTCTCACTGTGAAGCACGGCGGCTCCATTCTGCCTGCCTGTACATATCCATTCTGGGTGGCATGCCTACTTGCATTCTGATTTCCCGGATTTGCCGCCTGCGCCTGCTTGCTTGTCCGGTTTATTATTCTTTTTCTTTCTTGTGTGCATCATACCTGTCTCTTTGCTCGCCATATCCCTTTTTGCCGCCAACGCCGCATCAGGTGCTAGGACTGGCAGTTAATACCAAGCCAGCGCTGCCCCAAGCATAAATATCTTTTTCATTGATCTGTACGCGATCTTAATCAAGACGCATGGCTGGCTCGCACTTTCTTTCTCTCACTCCTCACAGTGGAAGATCTCGCAGAGCGAAAAAGGAAAAATAGAGCTTGGTCATCTATCCCAAAGAAAAATTCAAGCCAAATAAAATGCCTCGCTCATTTTGCCTTGTCTTTGTCTTTGCCTATCGCGCAAAATGTCCGTGCCCATGAGGGTCTCAGGTACACCAATTGAATATCGGCATAAAGGCGTGTAAATCTGCTGTGCTGTGCTGCCTCTGCGATTGACGATGCCACAGAAATCACTTCGTATATTGATACTGGTAAATCTGCTATTTCCTGTTCACGTCTCTCGCATCCCCCTGCTCGTTAATCTGGCAAAGCTGCTGCCCCTTTTGTCAGATTTTTCGCGTCTCATACTACTCGCCTTTTTGGATGCGAATGGCAGAATTGCTCGACAAAACAGGCTTTTTCACCCTTCTCAGCATTCATATCCTCTCTGTAAATTTCTCCCCAAACTTCTTGAGCTGACGAGTATCGCAATGACCTCTTGTTATCTGCGCTATCTTGTCGCGACAATGCACACTTGAGCAGTGGGATGTCAAGAGACGTTCTTTTCCGTTTCAGATTGTGAGCACATGCCGTCGCCTTCTTCCTGCACAATGAGAGAGCCACATTATTTTAAAAATTTGGCGTCACCGCACGACACTGCCTTTTCTGCGCTGTATAACTGCGCGGCATCACGCGCGCCTCCTCCTCTCCCCCTCCCCTTACTCATACAATGTCCTCCTGCTCAGACCTGCCGCACGCACTAGCCTCATGAGAAATCAAGACAAGTAGACAATGCTGCCTCATATCATGTGTCTAGACGCCCATTGCGCAACGCCGTATGATAAAAGTAGCAAAATAGGCTGGTGTCAAGCGCTGCAGGATGCGCAATGATTGGATTGACCTGCATTGTCATATCACCAGCCTCATTTCATTATGTTTTTTATATATCCAGACGCTTGTTGTGTTCCAAAGAAAGTAGTGTCTTTTTTGCCTTTTTGCCTTTTTCAATTAGGAAGCAAATGAAGACAGGAAGCGGTTATTAATCGAAAATACATTTCTTCCCCCCCTCGTTTCGCCCAAGACAAACACACACGCGATGTCTTTTCCTGAATACATGCACGATGTTCTCGCGCTGTTGCGTATACACATATTGCTGTTGTTGTGTTTCTTTGACTATTTTACTTTGTGATTTCTCCGTTCTCAATAACACTGAATGCACCAAGCAGGAAAATTCCCTGCCGCTGCCCCTACCTTCCCTATCGGTTATTATAAATTGACATGCCCATCCCTAATTTTCCGACTTTGCTTCACAATTGCCTATTTTGACGTTTTATTAAATATCATTTTTTTGGCAGCAACCTTTGCCATTTGCAAAAAAACACCTTTTTCTTTTACTAATTTATTTCTTCACCATATTTATCTTTTCTTTCTAAAAACTCTCCCTGCATATCCACTTCACGACTTTTGCGCCCGCTTATCGCCATCCTCAATAACGGCTCGTTTCTATCAAACATCAACAACCATACCAAATAATGGCTTTGATACAAATTGCATCATCTGCATCAAACGTCCCGCTCATTTCGGCGACTCCATTGGAATCCCGTCTCATTGGCGCATCAAACCCGAACAAACGACGCAACTCGGTTATTGGAATACCATTCTCGGCTCCCAAACCAAAACGCATTGCGTACTCCGAATCCTCCGTAGCAATGAGCTCATTGCACGACCCGGATTTTATGCGGCAGGCCGCCGGCCTGGGCGCGATGAACTATTTGATAAAGCCGATATCTGCAGACACTGTACATAGCCTATGGGTAAACGTCTTTTCGTGCCGCACACACCCACATGCAACCACCGGCTGCTGCTGCGCGGAGGCACAGGCCTCAGCCAGGAATGCGGCGCTGTGACGGGCAAGGGCAGCGATGATAGCACATTGACACCACAGCAGACAATTTTCCAGCGGCGGATACGCGCCGACACGGTGAACGGCGCATACACGGCAGACACACGCAACACGTCGTTCGAAGAGGACTTTATACGCCAGTTTGTACCCGCCATCTCAAGCACACTGCCCAACGGCAGCAGCATCGACGACACATACGCCACAGCGGACAAGACCGGAGACAAACATCTGAGTGACACGACCAATGTCAACGCCAACGATGGCGACCTTGATGATGACTTTATCGACGGCCCCCATGCTGAGTACCTGCGGTCGCGGCTCATGGAGTGGTCGTTCTGCCCATACGAGATGGAGCGGAGTGAGTTGGTCGATTGCGCCATCATCATGATCATGGATAGCGCCGCGTGTGTGGACCTCAACCTGCGGGCGTGCCGGGTGCGCAAGTTTGTCAATATCCTCGAGTCCGCATACTACGACAACCCCTACCACAACTTCAATCACGCCATCGATGTCACTCAGTGCACGTTCTACATCCTGCACACACTCGGCTTGTTCAACAAGACCGGCCCGAGGCGCTCGTCCCTGCGCTCTCCCTCCGAAGCCTCGTTCCCGGTGCGCAGCATACTGCGGCCCACTGACGCAATCGCCCTGATCGTTGCCTCGATGTGCCACGATCTGGGTCATCCGGGCCTCAACAACGCGTTTATGGTGCGCGCGCGGACCCAGCTGGCCGAGATTTACAACGACCAGTCTGTTCTTGAAAACTTCCATGCGGCGTGCTTCTCCATGATCATGTCATATTTCTTCAACGAGTTCGTCGCGCCCAACAGCAAGGGTGGCGCTGGCAGTGCGAGTGGGCTGCCGCCGTTTGACTATGAGGAATTCCGGCGGATAGCAGTACATGCCATTCTGGCGACTGACATGGCGCGGCACTTTGAGTTTATTGGCATGTGCAAGGCGCAGAGCAAGCGGTTCGCGTCTGGGTCGAATCTCCCATTGACTGCGCAGCAGCACGAGGCCGAGCGCGCGCAACTGGCGGCCAGTATCCTCAAGTGCGCCGATATCAGTAACATCACCCGTCCGTTCAACGTGTCGCAGCGGTGGACGCGGCGGCTCAATCGCGAGGTGACCCTGCAGGGAAACATCGAGGAGTCGCTGGGCATGACGCGCAGCATTGTGGTTGATGCAGCCAATGTCCCGGCCTCGCAGATTGCCTTTTACGAGGCGTGTGGGCGGCCGCTGTTTAATGCCGTAGCCGAACTGGTCCCCGAGCTGCAGTTCATGTCCGACCAGCTGGAGAACAATATCCGAAACTGGGGGTTTATCAAGTGCAACCAAAAAGTGCCTGAGGTTCCCTACGGGCTCAAGCAATCTTCGGCGTTCGACCTGAGCACGAGCACGCGTGCCGGGTCGACTGACTCTGCGCCCGACTTTCTTCCCAAGCGCTCAACTGGCGCCAGCGCAATGCCGACCCCAGCTTCGCCAACGTTTGCCATATCGAACTCGACTATGGAGAATGCATATTTGGCCGACTACACGCTGAACGCCGGCGACCTTTCAAATGAAATTGAATCCGCGGACCATCCGATCAGCGCCCCATCAGACTCTGCGTCGCAGATGCCGGCCAACACGGGTGTCTCGTTGCCGCCGCACATTCGGAGATCGGCAACGGTAACATCTACGTAGCGTGTGAACGTGTTCACGCAAAACAACAAAAGCTCCAAACCAAAAGCAACTATTTTATCATTATTTTTTATCATTCAAGACTTTTTTTTATGATTTGTGTATTCACGCCTCCCAGCCCGCGAACTTAATCGCCCTTTTTTGTTTTGTTTTATCGGTTCATAATTTTTTTTTAAAAAAAATAGTTCAAAGGTTGACGATAAAATTAAAACAAACAATGCTATTGATTTGATAATAACCCAAGTATTTATTTCTTGAGCCACTCCTCAACAGCCTTTTTGGGCGTGGTGCTGGCACTGTTGTATACGCTGACCAAACGCTCAGTGGCCAACTGCGAAAGGCGTTCGAGCGTGGCCTGCTGTGGCACATTCTCAATATTGAATGCCAAGTCCTTCTTCTGCTTGCTAATGACTATCTCCAAGATGCGATCAGCAGCCAGCTTGACGCCATAAAACCCGCGCACATTATCAGTGGATAACTCGACCACACGCAAGTACTCCTTCAGCGCAATATCAAGCTTTCCCATAGTGTAGTTGATCTCGGCGTAGCACAGGTGGAAGTAGTGGTTGGCGGGCTGTTGCAAAATAACCTCTTCCAGACAAAAGCCAGCCTGGGGGTAGAGATGCTGAGACAAATAAAGGCTGGACAGCTCAAGCCAGCCTTCAAAGTCATTTCCATGGGTATCCAAGTACTCGACTAGCTCCTTAATTGCCATCATGTGTTGACCCTGGGACTTTAGCAGGGCGATTATGCGTTTATGGGCCAAAACATTGGTTGGATCCTTTTCGAGTATCTCGTCGTATAGCTTTTTCGCCTCGCCTGGTTGGCTGCTTGCCTCGTTAATCAGTCCGTATAGTCGCTTCACTCGCTGGGAGTCATCAAACCGCTTGCGGAGAATGTTTAGAACGGTCTATATCTTATTTTTTGTGTATTGAAAGAAAAGAGTATCGAGTGTTAGTTGCCCAAATGAAAAATACCTTCTCTTCTATAGCTCTCTCCCCCTTCATAAAAACTGCAAATGCATTGAGCGTGTCAACGAACACGAACCAGATTGAGAGAGTAAAAAACAAAAAACATCAAGTTATTTGGTACCTTTGCCAACTCTATCTGTCCTTCATCGATGGCCGCCAGGAATATCTGCTCGTAAACAAGCCACGCTACAAGACAAACAAGTGAGAGAAAAAATAAATATAAATGGTCCGCTCAGTTTCAAAATTTAGCGAGCATTCTATTGAATTCGTTCGATAATAATAGTTGACGCACAGGTTAAAGCCGCTCAAAAAAACCCTCCTCCACAAAAAAGGGCGTGGGTTTGTTAATTGAAAGAGTTCTTTCCATGTCGTACCATCGTCGCCAGCCTGCGTAACAGTGCCCTTGCTGAGTAAGGGCTTGGACAGTTTGAGCACGTCGAATGGTCGACGTTCGGATGACTGTCTGATTTCCGATAGCAAGGTCAGCGATGTGCTCATGTTTATTATAATTGCGTTTTGCGTTTTGCGTTTTGCAGCGGGCTGTGTGCTGTGGTTTGAAATTACAAAAAATAAAAAATAAAAAACAGAAGATATTAGAAAACCAAAACAGAGTGAAACAGGGAGAATTTACCCCTCAACTTTAAACTTGGCCTATGTTTTTTGCTGCTGCCTGTGGTGACAGCAGCACCAAGTAATATTCATAATAACAATCAGGGTGATCTGTCGCCATTGATCAAGATGAGCAAGAAAATTATCGGCGCTCGATGCGGCAACTCGTGGTTTAATTTCTACCCTCCTTTGCTCTCAGCCAATTTAAATATCCCTTATTTATTTATTTCACATTCAATTCGACAAAAAAATGTTGAACCTATACCGGTGCTCCCTTCGGCGACAAGGATCGAACGTTTCAGCTGGCAGAACTGCCAGTTACTACACAACACACAGACCAGCAGATCGGCATCATCACCAGCAGCTGTACACAAACACCCGCCTCCTGCACGTATCTAGCTACTCAACGACCACACCGACACAGAGGAACGAAAAAGGCACTGATGAACAATATATATTGTTAGCACAACAGGAGCGCAAAAACAAACTAGACATCACCATGTTGGCGCCAAAGCTCCGCCAAAACATATTCAAAAAGCAGCAATTCCCACTTGCCACCCCAGAGCAAGAGGCGATATCAATGGAACATTTGAAAATGCAGGGCATCTACGGCAAAGAGTCAGAGCCGTTGACAACTCTGACTTTGATCTACCAGATCTGCAGGGGGAGACCATAGAGGAGCATTTTATGAACATTGGCGAGGCTGTGGCTAAGCCTTACTTGGGGCTGGCTAGCGAGTTTGCAAGGGTGAAGGATAAGAAGATGCCGCGGTTGCCTGAGAACAGCGAATGGATAATGCAGGCCGGGTGGACAAAGTATTCCGCAGATGGATCGCACACGAGGGTGGCAGCGCCGGACGCTGAGGATCAAACGTTGGTTTTGACGTCGAGGTGGTGGTCCAGGACTCGCCTTTCCCCGTAATGGCCGCCGCGGCATCAGTCTCCGCCTGGTATTTCTGGGTCTCGCCGTACCTCTCGGGTGACTCTCCACACCCTCGCCATCTCATCCCACTTATGAACCCAGGCCAGCATCAGAAGCAGCAGCCGCGCCTGGTGATTGGCCACAACATTGGATACGACCGGGCGCGCATCCAAGAAGAACGCCTGCTCAAGCGGCCACCAATTGCATTCTCGACACCATGTCCCTGCACGTCTCTGGTGGCGGCCTATGCAACCAACAGAGATCAACGTGGATTCGCTACTCCAGGGCCAAAAAGGACAACGACCAGGAGTATTTGCAGCTCAATGCCGACACAGAAAAGTTCTTTGACGTCAGCTCGCTCAACAGCCTGCGCGAGGTCGCTCAGCATTACTGCAAGATTACCATGGACAAGAGCAAGCGCGATGTCTTTGTCGACGGCACCATCCAGGATGTGCGCAATGACTTTGCGCAGCTTGCCGGGTACTGCGCCCGCGACGTCGACACCACTTGGCGGGTGTACTCCAAGGTTTTCCCGGCGTTCCGCAAAAAATGCCCGCACCCTGTGTCCTTTGCTGGCATGCTCACCATGATCGAGGGATATCTTCCGGTGGACCGCTCCTGGCCCGAGTATGTCAAGCGCAGCGAAGAACTGCTGGCCAAACTGTCCGACGCTGTCAGCGTGAAGATTCGCGAGCTGGCCGAGGAGGCGCTCAAGGCTGAGTCGCCGATGGATGACCCCTGGCTGAAGAACCTCGACTGGACTGCAGTCCCACAAAAGTACACGCGGGCCGTGTACAAGGTTGACGGGTCGTACGCGAAGGGCGGCGAGCCACGACCGTACACCAACCAGGTGCTGCCGGGGTACCCCCAGTGGTACCGCGATCTGTGGGACACTAAGCTCAAGCGCATCCATATCACCGTACGCTCGCGCCTCGCGCCCTACTTGCTTAAACTCAAGTGGCTGGGATACCCGCTGTACCACTCATCTGCTCACGGTTGGACTTTCCGCGTGCCCAGTGCCGACTACCACCGATCCCTTGAGGACAAGCCATCCGATACCCAGCTGGGGCAGCCAAACTTTAAAAACATGCGCAAGCTTTCATTTCCCACTGACCCAGAGCATGCCGACTACGAGTCGATCCCAGTCGCGGATGTTGATGGGGTGTACTTTAAGGTGCCGCATTCCGACGGGCCCGACGCAAACTGCGGCAGCCCCCTGGCCAAGGGGTACCAGACGGCCATCGAGGACGGCACGTTATCCTCGTCCTACGCGATGGCCAAACAGGCGATGGATATGAATGCTATGTGCTCGTACTGGATGAGTGCGCGCGAACGGGTAAAGTCGCAGTTTGTTGTGTGGAATGGCACCATCGAAGACGCGCACACGGGCAAGCCGCTGGACCTAGGCCTGCCAAGAAAGACGGTGAGGAACTGGGCATCATTTTGCCGATGGTGGTTCCAATGGGCACCATCACCAGGCGCGCAGTTGAGTCCACCTGGGCGACCGCATCCAATGCCAAAAAGAACCGGTTGGGGTCTGAGCTCAAGTCCATGATACGCTGCCCGAGGGCTTCCGTTTTGTGGTGCTGATGTTGACTCCGAGGAGCTCTGGATATCAGCACTCATCGGTGACTCGCAGTTCCGCACTCATGGCGCAACGGCATTTGGGTGGATGACCTTGCAGGGCACAAAGGCCGCCGGCACTGACCTCCACTCAAACTCTGCGCGCATCCTGGGTATCGGCCGCGGCAGTGCCAAGATCTTCAACTACGGGCGCATCTACGGCGCCGGTGTCAAATACGCGACGACTCTGCTTTTGCGATTCAACCCCGACATGACCGAGACAGAGGCCCTCGAAAAGGCCAACCGCCTGTACGCGTCGACGAAGGGAAATAGCATGCGCAACCGAAAGTTTTTCGGCCGCCCCTTTTGGCACGGCGGCTCCGAGAGCTACATGTTTAACCAACTCGAGGCCATTGCAACCTCAGACGACCCGCGCACGCCGGTCCTCGGCTGCGCGATCACCGATGCGCTGAAAAAAAGCATTGCCGGCAGCCGTTTTATGACGTCTCGCGTCAACTGGGTAGTGCAGAGCTCGGGCGTCGATTATCTGCACATGCTCTTGGTCTCCATGAGCTATCTCGCCCGACTCTACCGCATAGACATGCGCTTTGTCATCTCAGTCCACGACGAGGTCAGGTACATGGTGGCCGAGCACGATGTCCACCGGGCCGCCCTGGCCTTGCAGATATCCAACCTTTGGGTGCGCTCACTGTTCAGCTACCGCATGGGCATGGAGGATTTGCCCCAGAGTGTGGCTTTTTTCTCCGCCGTCGACGTCGACCACGTTTTGCGCAAGGAGGTCGACATGGATTGTCTGACGCCCACAAACACCACGCCAATTCCGCCAGGCGCATGCTACACCATCTCGGACACCCTGCGCTTGACCAACGGCGGCCGCCTGGATTCGCCAAACAGTTTGTCGGATCAGAGTTCAAACTGGTCGATTACCCAACTCTCGCATCGGAAGGGGCGGTAATGCCACGGAAGGACACTCATCTACATTGCCGCTGACAGCTATCGACGAAAAGAACCAGCCCGATTCGATCTGGTTGACCGCACAAATGCTAGGCAGCTTCCCCGAGATCAAAAAGCTCATTGGCGCGGCGGAGCGTGATGCTGTCGTTCAAAACTACTGGGCGACATCACCAGAGATTAAGCGAAACAAATCGTTCGGGAGCTGCTCTGAAACTAAGCGCATAGTTAGAAAGGCAAAGCAAAAAAAGATGTAAAAATAAATGTATTCAGTCAAATTTGCTCAAGTTCTTGGTGTTTACAATGGCGCTCATCTTCTCCTGATGCGACTGCGATACTGTGGTCTTCCTGACTGATCTGATTTCCTCGGATGCAAAGCCAGGAATACGGATGTTCCAGTTCCTCTCCAGGTGCAGCTGCAGGTCTTTGGCTTCCAGTGTGTCCGACTTGCGATGCTTAGCCAGCTGGCAGGCAAACGACGTGACCGATTCGATAAACTCGTCGGCTATATCGCACAAAATGTCCTCGACCTCGGGCTCCAGGCGCTCGGTGGGATCGATTTCGCTCACGAGCTCTTGAATTTTGCGCTTCGATAGGATCCGCGACCCACCGTCCAGATCCACAGGCCCGCTCTGCCGCGTGCTCTGCGTCGCTACATGTGCCAGGGCGCTAGACAAGGCCACGTGGGTGCTGTTAGGGTTGGTGACAGGCGTTGCCATGCCGCTGTTTACTGACGTTGTTTTCTGCTTTGCTCCCAGCACATGTGGTGTCAGCGGTGTGGATGCCGGGACCACTGGCGAGACTATGGCCGAGTTCCTGCTAATTTCAGACATCACTGACGGTTTCCTAATCGAGGCCGGGGGGTCTCTCGACCCAAACGACGTCTGTGATACGGGGTTACCTGAGAGAGCCGAGTGGAATGACATGCGCATAAAGTCCTTCACCATCATAATATGGTTGTCCAGCGCCTCCACCTCCTTCTCCAGCCTTTTCTTTGCGTCTGGATCTGCAACCCCGTCCTTAGTCTGCTGCACGACAGCCAAGTGCATGCGAATCTTGCTCGCTTCGGAGTTAATGTAGGACGTGGCTTGCGCCGTATTCTCAATATGCGAGGAACTGAACTCGGACGGGACCGGGATCAGGTCAAGCAAGTGGTTTGTAAACGGCACATTGTTGTCTGCGTCGCGCTTGAGAACCGCATGGTTTTCAATTATGTTATGCATTTGCTGGACCATTGCTGGGCTGAGAACTATGCCGCTTTCACGCGGTGCTGGCGCGTCCTTCTTGGCTTTCGATGTGCTGCTGGTCGAATTGTTGCTACCGCCGCTGTTGGTTATGCTGGCCGTCAACGGCTGCTCCTTTGATTTGCCCTTGCCCTTGTCTGTGATTTGCTCGGAATTGGCCAGGTTTGGCGAGTTGCTGCCCGTAGTGCTAGCCATGATTGTGTCAGTGTGTAGCAAATTAAAATTGAAACGAAGTGGGTTGAATCGAATTAGATTGATGCGGAATAAAGTAAAGGCGGTAAAAATATGAAGAAAATGCGAGTGGATTGGGGCTTTTTGTTCGCAGCAACAAAAAAAAAGTACAAAATTTGATTTATCCGCATTAAAAGTAAACGCATTTGTATGGGCATCTCACATGACTATAAAGCTTTTTGTTTGTTAAAGCGACCACAGAGCCATTGAGGTCGATGCGGTTATGCACTCCATGACCAACGGATTAAAGGCGCATACACTGACAGGACCGTCGTGGCGACCGTTTAACGTACCGCCAGGCGCAATGTCTTGGTGACCAGCGCTGCCACTGGACATGGCCTCCGCTATGTGTGATATGTCCCAGTACGCAACACTGCCATTGTGGCGTCCAGCCAATACCGTTTTGCCGTCAGGGGTGACTGTGAGATTGTGGCCCAAGTGAGCACCCGACATCTTGGCAATGGCCCCAGAGGCATTGCCTTTTCCTGAATGGTCACTAACAGTGTTCGCCAGCGTGGCAACGTGCTCCCCTGTATGTGAGCTCCATACCCGGCTTGTGCCATCTGTCATTGCTAGTATCAAGAGTCTCCAAGTGGTGGAACAAATTTAATTCCAGCAACCAAGGGTCCTTCTGGCACGAGCATGTTGGCAATAGACCAAGAGAGAAAGGCGCTCGTGTAATCTCGCGCACATCATATAACCGCACCTCGGTCGACCCCACTGACACAGCAACTACCATCCCCGACGGATCATATGCCGCAACTACACCGCCATCCTTACCACCAACCTTCACCATGCTTGTCGGATTAACAACTTCCAAGTCCCACAGACACACAGTGCCGTCCATCGCCGCAGACATCAGCCCACTGCTACCGGGAGTTCTCTGCAGACTGGTCACTAGCCCCGAGTGCCCAACAAAATACCGCACATATTGATTGGTCTCGAAAGACAAGTACCGGATGGTGTCGTTAATCTTTGTTGATGCATAGGCGACGTACCCAGGTTGGCTGGTAAACTGAGCCAAGTTGCACCCATATTTTTTACTGTATAGAACCTGCTCGCGGACCCCTCGCATGCTGTCGTAGACACGCAGGCTCTCGTCTGTGCTTGTTGTGATGCAGTGTTTGCCGCTCAGGTCATAATCCAAGGAGGTCACCGGTGCTTTGTTGTCGCTAAAAGACTTTGCTATTCGAAATTCACGGACTGCTGATGGGGTCAATGCCAATTTGAGAGGGTCCTGTCGCATGATATCTAGCAAATCGGCACTGTAGTCTAAAGCCATGACTGTTGCTGTTGGAATGGGCCAGGGAGGTGTGCGCGGGTATGTGTGAGTTAAATGCAATGCTGACGTGTGCTATTGTGCAAATTCTGGACGCAAATTATTAGTTAGATAGAAAAGAAAAGAATAAAAGCAAATGTGAACACTTTTCCAGCACTTTTCGCGTCTTGAGAGTTGTAAAACGCGAATTCCAAAATTAAAACAATTTAACAGCTTGATTAAATCACGCTTGCGACCAGAAAACAAAAATCAAGGCATATCACAAAAAAACAACGCTAAGACCAGGTCAGTGCATTTTCAGATAAAAATGAATTAAACATATATTTTTAATTATATGTGCTTAATATGGTGATAAACATTAAAATATATTGTTGTGAGTATGACCAAAGCGAAGGCCAATAAATACAAACTAAGCAGCCACAAGGAATATTGCGAAAATGGGGAATTAAATATTTATTAGAAAACTAAGGTATTCTCATCCTCATGGTGGGAGCACCTTAGTATTTACCGGAACTGAATTATAATAATGTACACAGCATTTCCTATGCCACACATGTATACAAACACCTAAAAAGATGTAAATAGCAAAATAAATTCTATTTTAATACACCTCGAAATTACATCAATTTTTGCTGATGTTATTCTCTGGCAAAAACAGGTACAATCATGAACACTATGTGCCTTCACAATCGATGTGATTGGATCAGGACATCGGGTGATGTCCTGCATCTGTTCGATGTATCTGTGCGCGCATACGAGTCTCAGCCCGGGTCACCAGCCTGGGTCGCGATCCCCCTAAGGAGCTCTCAACAATATAACTAAAAGTGTAATATTTAAGTTTGAAAATGTAGACACTAACGTTCAAATCAAATATATCAAAGCATTGATTGATAATAAATATAAAGAAGAAAGTAAAATAAAAAAAAGATTGATAAAAGACAAGAAAAACAAATTATAATTTGAAATATGGACATTTTTTATTCAATAGACATCAATAATCATAATGTAAAATCAATATAATAATCCGCTACAAAGTTAAAACTATGTTATAATGTTTAAAAGTGATAAATTTTAAATATAAATTAAACAAATTATTTCTCCCTTGGAAGAAATGCCAGGCTGTAGACACTCGTCCACATACCTTATTTATAGGATCTTTTCATTGCTGTTGTTTGGCAAACGCATGTGGTGCCCAAGCCACATTCCGGATTTCTCTTCCCATCTTCAAGCACCAAGGCCGTTAATAATGTCGTTACTGCGGAATGTCCATTTCCGATATTGTTGGCTACATCAAATATAACAAGACCTTCACAGCGCTGTTCACACGGGCTGCTCTTTCAGTTACATATCAGACATTTTTAAGCTTTACTTAGTTCAATTTATTCAGTACACTCACACAGACTTTATATGAATTAATTAGCGATAATTACCAATATTTTATCCAGATTGTTTTAGTATACAAAAACATTTTATATCAAGTGAGTACGGCACACACAATGTAACAACACTTGGCCAAAAAATGTGTGAATTAGCAGTTCATTTTAGCCGATCAAGGTGACTGGGTCAAATTAATATTTCCTGCTTAATTGTGCTTAAAATTTGGCAAACAATCAAGCACAATAAATTAATTTCTCCCCTGGCTAGACCCGAATCGTAATCAAACGGACAGTGAGATGCGCACCTTTCTTGCTAGGGGGCTTTTCTTTCCTATAATTTTTCTTTACAGTTTTACTTTTTTGAACCTTATATTGTATAAATTCACAAAATTCAAATGGACCAGACACTAGACGAGGTTAACAAGCACTGCGGCGACCACGTCAAAGCATACGCCGATTGCGTCGACAAGCACGGTGAGACATGGAAGGTGGACTGTTCAACTCTACGCGAGGCACTCACTAAATGCACAGACGAGAATGTGACCATGATGAAAATGGTGCGGATGAGCTGCCAGCCGGTCATTGATCGGTACCAGAAGTGTCTGAATAACAATCAGAAGGATCCGGCTGTGTGCATAGACTCATTGCGCGATTTGTATGAGTGCACGGAGGGTGTGGGGCAAATGATGGAGAAGATGAACGCGCTGAAGAACAAGAAAGCGCCGGGCGAGTCGTCTGATCCATCTGTCGTTTAAAAAAATCGAAAAGTCCAAAAAATAAATTATACTAACTTTCCAACGTTAAAAAACATTGCATATGGATTGGATGTGGCAGAAAATGATAAATGTACAGAAGAGAATACAATAAATAATAAAAAAAGTTACACAAATGCCGGAGTGGAAATGGAAGGAGCGGCGGAGGGAATATCTGCGTAAAGCCCATGATATCAGAGACATTGGGCTCGAGCAAAGTGCTGAGATCCGATGTGTGCTCGGCAGCATTGCGCGAGCGCGATAGATGTAAGTACGCATCTGTGCCCACTCCCTCCATCGAAACCAGATCCAGATCACCGCCGAAATAGCGGGCAATTTGACGTGTCATCGGCAGCCCGTCGCCAGCACCAAACAGCGGCATGTCGCTGGCCCTCTTCATAAACGTGATGGAACTAAGTGCGCTGTTCTTCACTGCCTTGGACCCAACCTCCGCCACCTGCTGCTGCATTGCCGACTCGGGGTCGCTGACCAAGTCCGTAGTTGTCTTTAAATATGACCAGATGGCGTCGACCTGCGACAGTGGGATGCCGCCGCCCTCGTCGGATATTTAAACGTTACGTCCTCATCGCCACTCGACATGATCAGTTTGATCGAGGGCATATTGCGGCGGCCATATTTGCCGTGGTGCTCAATGGTAGCTCTCAGGGCGTTCTTCAGCAGCTGAAACAGCATGCTGTACAGGTGATGCGGCACATACGTTGTAGTAACCCCGGGTGTTGGCGCAATAACCTTGATGACCGGCGCCGGGAACCCGTAATGGCGCTGACAGATGACGCTGGCGTCGTGGGCTGCGCGGTTCGCGATGTCCAGAGGCTGGATAATCTGCACCAGTTGTGGCCGTAGTCATGGATGGCTACGTGGTCCTCAATCAGCAGCTGCGTGCCCAGGTTCATCGAGTACAGCCAGTCAAAGAACCGCCGCGTCTGGTTTTCGGCGCACCTCTGCGTTCCGTCGCTAAGCCACAGCCTCGGGTTTCTGCATGATGATTCGTCGCAAAATTCTGAGCACACCCTGTTCGGTGCCCACTGCTGCGGTGCCGTGGCGCCCGCCGTGCCGCTGGCCCCAAGGGGTGCCGACCACTTTGACGGGTCGGTCATCTCCATCTTGCCGCTGGGTGCCAGGTAGGCCATTGGCGCCGACAAATCGGGGTACGCCATCGTCGACGAGTAGTAGTGGTTCTGCGTTAGCTCTTTTCGCAGCGCTTTTGCCGGGATGGCATGGTGTCAGGCAGCAGGAATTCGGGCACGATCTGCGGATCATGGGCGTTGATTGCCGACGACAGCTCCCGCAGCCCTTGCGACAGCGTCCACATGTTGGTGCGGTACTTGCTTTTGAGCTTGCGCAGCGTGTCCACAAATTTATCGTTGGCCTCTGGCGTATTGGGGGCTGGCGTGCGGTCGACCAGCAGCGAAAAGTCGTCGGCATAATTGTCCATCAGCGCCGGAAGTGGTGCACCTTGCGGATGTTGTATGGCGAGGGTTTTGCTTGAGCCCCGTGACTGTCTGGCCAATCCGCACTGGCAGCTCGTGGTATAAAAAGTTTGCCGTCAGCTGGAACGCCGTGTTTCCCGCGTCGCTGTTGCTGTTCCGGTGCTTGAGCAAATGCCTACACTTGAAATAATGCAAAAATATGGAAGGATTGTCAGTGCATATCAAATTTAGCGACAATTTCTGGCGACCCTTTTTTCCCGTGGGTTAATTCGTGTGTCCGGCTGGGCTGTTTATCAATAAGGATTGCGACGCTGACGCTGATAAGGATCAGGCAAATGAGAAGCAAAACGTACCTTCCCGCCGTATAGTATTGGCTCAGCTACACAGTGCTTCATATAAATACAAAAATAAAGTGGGGCATTAAAGTGACTCACGGCACCATTTTGGTTAGTGATTTATGCTGAGATTTTGTGACAGACTGTTTCGTATCATTGCTCCCCGTGCCAAAAAAGCCATGTACACACGCTTCCATGACCATACAACAACTATTCTAGCAAGGAGCGAGGCTTGCTTTGGTTCTGGTTGTTCGCACTTACAGTGAGCTTGGTCATTTCCTTCGAGGCAAATCGCCTGAACAAGTCTTTTGATGTTTTGGGATTCATGGTCGTTGTGCTAGGGCTGATGCAGGCCACGGGCTCGGTGCGAGTGTCAGTTTCTGGTGGATATGGATATACAATGTTGAGAAGAGCGGGGTGTATACAAAGCTTCTTTTGAGTTCCAGGTAAAAAATAAGTCTAAAAATCGAATTCGAATAGTTAGTAAAACAGGAGTAGTAGAAGTTTCGAAAGGAGAAAAAGGCGAGTCACAAAAAAGGTCAAGTGGCTTCGGCTGTGGCCATCTCAGCCAGCACGCATCTCCATGCAATAACCCCCCCCCCCCCCACCTTCCACTTCCAATTTTGAAGCCTCCAAACTTTTTTATAATTCATGTTTGGAAAATGAAGTGCGAGCATGTGACAAAAAATTATAGCGTATAATAGGAGTGCAGCTGAAAACCCTACCCCCCTTATTCAGCGGCAGCAGGCCTTTTCCATGATGCACAATGTTCGGCTTGCCATACAAAGCTGGGTTTTCTCCAATGTATGCTGGTGCACTTGCAGCTGCAGTCGCATCAACATGGCTTATTTACTTCTGTTTCATTTTCTCTTTATTTCTCTCTTCTTAATGGCCCGTTGGCTGTGACAACTACTGACGCTTGGCCGCCACTGAATTCAACAGTTTACAAAAAATAAAGAGAAAACCGCTATGCCCGCTTGGCAGGCAGAATTTCGCCGACGCATTGTCCAAAGCCCACGCGGAAGCCATCGCCCTGGCAGTATCCCGAAAATCGGATTACGTCATTGTCCTCGATGAACTTGCGCGTGATGCCAGAATCACCCAAGGTAATATCCTTCTGCCCAGACCACGAGAGCTCCAGCATCGAGCCAAAGCTCTCCTCAGCAGGCCCACTAATGGTGCCAGTGCCACAGAGATCGCCCGGGCGCATATTGCACCCGTTAATAGCATGGTGTGTGAGCTGCTGCCGGAGCGACCAGTACATGTACTTGAGGTTCGACCGAGTCAACGGGTAAAACTCACTTCCCTCTTTGGGCTTAATGTCGACCGCAAGGTGAATGTCGTACCCTGCCGGACTGCCGCTCTCATCGCAAAGGTATGGCAGGGGTTTGGGTTCCTGGGTTGGCTGCGGCACGCGGAAGAGCTCGAGCGCATCCATGGTGACCACCCAGGGTGAAATAGTCGTGCCAAAGCTTTTGCCCAAAAAGGGGCCCAAGGGCACGTACTCCCATGCCTGGATATCGCGTGCGCTCCAGTCATTCATCAGAACAGCGCCAAAAATGGACTCCTCGGCTTGCTGCAGCGTCAACGGCGTTCCCAGGTTGTTGCCGGGTCCGACAAAGTAGGCCATCTCCAGCTCATAATCCAGCCGCGCTGAGGGCCCAAAAACCGGGGGCTTTGTTTGGTCCAGCCGCTTCTGGCCATTGGGCCGGTGCAGCGGTGTGCCCGAGACCACTATGCTGGATGCCCGACCATGGTACCCAACCGGTAGATGCGTCCAGTTGGGCATCAGCGCATTGTCCTTGCCGCGAAACATTATTCCAACGTTGGTTGCATGCTCCCGCGATGCGTAAAAGTCCGTGTAGTCCCCGATTCTCGCCGGCAAGTGCATCTGCACCTCGCGCAGGGGCGTCACCACTGATGCGTCGGATGCCGATATCTGGCTGCGAAGTGCATTGTGTGTGTTGCTGAGAAAGTCCTGCAGCTCATGGCGGACTGCCTGCCAGACGCTGCGCCCGAGAGACATGTAGTCGTTCAGGTACGGCTTGCTGAACACGGACTCTGCATCGAATCCTTTGATGCTCTGGAACAGGTCCAGCTTTGCTAGAGTCGCCATGTTGAGTGCGTAGTCGCCAATCGCCACTGTTACATGGGGTGCCTCGGAACCGCTCGTGGTACACACGCCAAAGGGCAGGTTCTGGATTGAAAAGTCGCTTTCTGGCGACACTGAGACAAAGTTACACTGCATAGTCATATTCTTTTTTCTTAGCTTAATTCAAAATTATAGTCCTAGTACTAGTAGTGGTGGTTCTCTGTGTTTTTGAAATTATTATGCCGCGGAATAGTGCAAAGAAAAATTTGGAAGAATAAAAAAGTTTCGAGTCGCTATGCCATGACCCCTCTCTTCCTTGGTTTTAACGTTGCGAACAAAACGCAGTAAAAGTGTGAGGCTCGAAATTCTCACGCTCTATTTTTTACCAACATGATTTTAACGATGCGATTAAAACCCTACATCGTGAGAAAAAAATTATAATCAACCTATTTTTCCCATCGTCCCCGTCGTCGTCACCACCCACATGTCGGCTCAAAATCCGTAATTAAAAAAGCGCACATATTAAGTTTCATAGGCTAGCGAGGTTTATTTTTTAAAAGTGTTGAATTACTTTAAATGACCTGTATTAAATTTTATTGAAAAGGTAAAGCAATGAAAACTAGAGTTATTATTTTTATATTCGCACACAAATTGGAATGCATATGTACAAAAAAGTGAGAGAAAGCGCTGAGCTGCAACAACAATGAATGTCCGCTTTTTTATTATGCCGTTATCAGTTTGCCCATATACAAAAAGCCAGCAACAAGCTGCAAGTACCCAGATGCTAGCAATATTCCACCCAATGCAATATATGCGTCACCGAGTATCTTCTGGTCAATTTTGTGTCTATATATCTCTCTCAAAGTATCAGTTTCAATACCCCCATTTTTTATACGATAAAGTACCGGGTCAGCAAGCATCGCAGGTCCTATCAAAAGATACACCGTACCAAACACTCGCAGTTGCCCAGCAATGTCCTTGAAGGTTGCGAATCCTGTATAAATTACTTTGACTTTAAAGCTCAGAGCCAAGAGGAAGACAAGCCATAAAATATGTACCGTTCTTTTTGCTATTTGAGTGTTGGCCTCAAAGTCGACGATGTACGTGGTAGTTAATATATCCATAACAATATAAATTACGATTATCCCAATGATAAGGAGGCGATTCATCCACGTAATAACTATCGGCCACATGTCTATTTATGATGTTTTGTTGAGTTAGTTTTTATGTAACTTGTTTTGTGCGTCAGTGCGGTGAGCGTCTACCCCCGGTGAAGTGTAGAAAATATTGTTAAAGTATGAAAATAAAATGAAAATAGGATGGTATTTAGAAGAACAAAATAAGTGGAGAAAAAAAAAAAGGTTGGTCAATTGGCTGTTTGGGTTCACATTATATCTATTTTTTGCAAGGCCTGTTGAATTCTGCTGCTTTTTACTCTTATTTTATTTTATTCACCACTATACCAATTAAAAAGGAATGACTTAGCTTTGTACATGTTTCTTCCTTTATGAAAATATTTCTTTTAAATTTATTTCTCGTTGAAATCGAGAATTAAAAGCTACAAACGATAATACAATGCCACACAATTTGGGATGAAAAGCAAACGTTATATCCTTGTTTGTTTGTCAATAATAAAGGGGATTATTCAAAGTCCGCAGTTAATTTTTATCAAAAGTCTAGCATACTGTTTAAAAAAGTATTGACATTTATGGCATTTAGCATTATTCTACATTAATTTGGTATTAAAGAAGCACAAATTAACTGTAAAATTGGAATACATTGCGTGATTGGCAGTGTAGGCTATTTGGATGTATTGTATGAAGACCTAGTAGCATATTGGATGCCTTTTATATTATAGTAGAATACTAGCAGCCAGTCAGCCTGCGTTTGAGCTTTGCTCCGCCAATGGCACCAAGAACAAAGTAAATGAGGCCTACCAAAACCATCATGCTGCTGAACGTGACGACCAGCGGAAACAGAATACGCGCAAACTGACTTCCCTCTCTGTCCTTCTCCAAGCTAATCAGTGCGCTGTCGCCAAGAACAAACATTGAAATAACCAGCTGGCTCATCCCCAGTCCCTTCCAAGAGCGCTTGTTGCTGTACATTGGGAAATGGAAGTGCACCTTTTTGGGTAGCGACCAGTCGCAAAGAATGAAAACTACAAGTGCCGACATTAAAAACAGTCTGCAAATGAATAGGGGAATGATTAGTATGCTGATTTTGCTTAACAGCATATAAGCCTGCATCCCGCCAATGCTTGACAACAGCATTAACCCCGTTAATGTGTGAATGCTGCGCAAAATAATTAGCAAAGCCCGAGCCTTTTTGCCAAGCGGAGCTTCGGCTACGAGCGGCTCGTTTATTTTGACAGTGCTGTGGTTAGCCACAGTCCGCTGGCTGCTGACAGAAGCCGAGTGAGCAACGGAATTTGCAATTGTAGGGTGGGGCGGGAGAAAGCTAGGAGTGGGGCTTCTGCTGTGGGCCAAGTGATTCTGGTTGACATATGTCCTGGTATTGTCAGCCGTGGTCCACTGGCTCTCGTAGCCGCCTGCATAGTAGTTGACGCTGGGATCCTCGGATTCGTAGCCACGGCTGCTTGGCACCAGCGAGGACTCTGACCCATGCTTACTTCCAGATCTGCCAACGCGTGTCGGGCTGTACTTGTTGATAGGAATGGCCATTTCTAGATAATGCTTTTGTAAATGAGTTTGAGCGGGTGTTTGGGTTGAGTTGATGAAAATGCAATGCAGTAATGTTGATGATAATGAAATGAAATATGTGAGAAGAAAGAATTTCCAAGATTGATGCAGCACACCATCTTTGTTTTATACGTGAGCGTGTTGTTTGAGAAAACCCCAGACTGGATGATCTGTCTCCGCAGCACCTTGTCTCGTCTACAGCCGCTTTGCAGCCCATGTCCCTTTTGTTTTATTTCGGCAACGCGTCTGACATTGGAAGCACACACATACATGCATGAAATCCGAAGCCTATGCAAAAAATTGAGAGAAGCCAACAATACAACGCACGGTCTTTCAAACAGTCCGTCGCCAATTGTATTGTAATATTCTAATTTTAACAATATATGGCAAAGACAAAACCACTTTCATGCGCCTTTATTATATGCCAGTATTTTTTATTGTGACGAATGGCTTATTGTGTTGAATGCTTGTTATGTCTGCGTTTAGCCGCATGACATACATGTCACAAATCGTAAGCGTACAATATAAAAAAGCTGAATGTTGAAGCATGTTCGCCAATTCCAAAGCAAAATAGTTGCATTGGGTTTTATACTTATTTTTCAATGTCGCAAACACAGTCAATCAAATAATGAGCACAAAGGACACATGCATTTTCTTTTCACAAAACTAAGCAAAATAACAAAAGAACGCGGGACATAGAAATAAAGGAGTGGTGCTACTTTATAATTTTCTTTCTGACATTCTTCACTTTGAATTTTACTTTGAATATTCCTTTTATTTTCTACGCTTATATGCATTTCACCTTGAAAAACATAAAATTATTTTTCTTAGACTCACGCATTGCTTGTTAATTTTCAACCTTGCTTATTATTATTTTGTTTTATTGTATATATTTTATTTTTACTTATTCCGTTATTATTATTCTCACAACTCATCAGTATGCCTTCAGTTTTCAAAACCATCATGGGAAATAAACCCCAACTAATCGCGACACTACTCGCATTTCTAGCCAATGCGTTTATTGTCGTTACGACCGCCTTTTACTTTATTCTGGACGGAAGATCAACAAACCAAAAGCCATCCACATACTATGTGACGTACATTGCGCGTGTAATCAACATGATAGCGGTTATCAGCAACTTTATATCAATTGTCATGCACAAAAGGTCTCCCGCAAAGGACATTATGCTATACACCGCACTGAAACACGGCGGTATTGTTGTTTTGGCCGCGTGCATACTCATTTTTGACCCCATGACAAATATCGCCCTGGAGAACATGAATGGCATAGGCGAGCCCGCAAGGTCCCTGTTCATCGCTGCTACAATTTTTGCTGCGCTCTTCTTCGGAGTTAACTTGGTGTTTGTGTTTGTCAAACCAAAAGTTTCCAAAATGAAATAGCCCGAATTCGGGTCGAACATAGGTGTATCACTGACATGACTTGCAGACGTTCAACTTCAGCTTTTTTATACATTGCCTGTCCATATAATTGCTTAAAATATATATCAGTTATTTTTAAATAGGCAATACACCTCAGGTAATTCATCATAGATATTTTCCAACCACACCAATTATTTAAGCAGAGTATGCATGCTATTATGAAAGTGTGGCTAAAATCCAACACATACTTCTAACTCGCTAAATAATACCTTGTCGATCTTTAGAGGTGGCAATTATTTGGGTCACGCCCTATTGCCTCTTGTGAGCTGCATCAACCTGCCGTCTACTATTTTTGCTTTTTTCGTTTTTCGGAATTTAGCTTTGAAAAATTAAAAAAAATTAAAAATTGCAACCGGTGCCAGCCAGCCAGTCAGCCCGCCACCCAGTACGCCCGCTTGTCATCTTGCTCGCTTGTCAACCTGTCTGCTAATTATAATATAAATACAAGTCAAAAAAGAACAGATTGGTATAAAAATTCAAATATATGTAGACAAATTTATTTACCCGAATATGTGCGTGTTGGCGGTCAATTAAAAATGTGTTATCTGAAAAGAAAAGGAGAAGAGAGAGATATGCATTTATTTTATATTTCAGCTGTCTTTGTATTTTGGCTGGTTGCTGATCATCAAAAAATTATGATGCCAAAATTAAAATACATCACGCGACATTGCTGGTGCATATAATCTCATTTTTTTGATATTGTACGCACGCTGCGATTTCACAAAGTGGGTTTTCCTTAGTGTTATTCGTAGTCTCAATAAAATATACATTTAGTAAACACGGTAAAATTGTTGTTGCGCAGCCCAAGGATATGTAAGTGGATGTTGAGATCGAGAATCGTGAAACAAGCTCCCATCTGCATGCTGATAGATCAAATAATTTTCTAGCATATATTACAACCAGAGTTTGATAAAAAATACAATAGCTTGGTCAAAACTTTAACTGTTCTAAGTATTAACAGCAAATGAATCAATGGTTATTTTCTTTTGCGCTTAACACATAGAAGGACGAATAAAAGGGAAGAGATGGAAGATTCTGTCATTTGTTCTCCTTGTGGAGAAATAAACATATTTTGTCTGTAACTACCACTTGTAACACATATGTCAGTGAAAAAATCGAGGTTATTTGATGAAATAGTGCACAAACCAACTTTTCAGTACAATTTTATTGTATAATAGCAGAGATATTATACAGTCGTAATTGTTTATAATGGTTATTAGAGTCTGTCAGAAAGCACAATTAAAAATCGTTTAAATTCATAAATCGAATGCAAAATAAAAATTATTCATTAAGCAAAATAATAAAATATAATTATATAGAATATAATAAGCGAGTGAAAGTATTTGAATTATTTTTCTTAAATTTTTAACAGCTGACTTATATACATTAGTTAAAATGTTTTTTTTTGGAATTTTCAGATATTTATAGTGAAGGTCTAAATTTTCAAGGGGGAATTTAAAAAAAAAGTTTTCACGCAAAAAGGCATCGTCAGAGTTGGCTGAACCCAAGTATACAGCGACACCCGATACTTTGCCCGAGACCTTGCCCAAGCCAAAGCCAAAGCCAAAGCGTGTGCACAATAATCCATTTCCCCTGATTCTTCTCTTCAAAAGAAGCAGCGAACTGATTAATATTGACACTCGTAGTGGTCTATTGCCATTAGTTTCTAAACACTATGGGGAAGGATGTCAGTTTATAGTATATTTGTAGCCTCATTATTTTCTTATAGTGTAGAGAAAACAAGTTTATTATGTTGATTTCAATACTGACAAACCAGTACAAACAGAATAAAAAAGAAAAGAAAGGTATAAAATGATAAAAGAAGGAAAGACAAGTGAGCGTGCGTAGGAAAGAAAAAAGATATTGGGGCAACAAAAGACCCTGTTGATCGGCTCCTCTCAACGATCCGAGTATCGGCAAGCGCGTGAACGAGCAGGCAGCCTTGTTGGCCAAACAAGTGATTTCTTCCCTTTTCTCTCTAGCAACAATAAAAATTTGAAGAGGTCAGCTCAGCGACGTCGGTTGCCCCGGGTCTTCTTCTCCGCGGGCTTTAGGATTTGGAATGAGCACATCAGCGTATCATCGACGGACATCATGGCGCCAGCATTATCGAATTCGCCGCAGTAGTTGGGCGCAGAGAACAGAGTAACCAATTTGCGCTTGGCAAAGAACTCGTAGCCGTCCTCGACGACTTGGTGAGCACGGCAGACCAGGTCCAGGTCGTGCTTTTGCAGGAATTTGTATACAATATCAGGGCCAAAAGTGAAAGACACTCCGCGATCGTTTTCGCTCCATCCAGTGATCTCCTTGTCAGGGTCGGACCACAGCAGGTCGCACAAGAGACCGGTGTCGGGAACGTCTGTCGGGCGCATAATGCGCTTGATCTGGTCCATGCTGATCAGATCGGGCGAGAGACCGCCGTGCATCGAAAAGATCTTTTCGTCGACAATGGCCGCAATGGGCAGGCAGTTGAAACAGTCCGTAAACGTCTTCCACAGCTTGATGTTGTATCTCCGCTTGCATTCATCATAGAAGCCATAGATGCGGTTAATGCAGGCCGACTCGTGGTTACCGCGCAGAATGAAAAAGTTCTCGCGGTACTTGATCTTGTATGCCAGTAGTAGGCATATTGTCTCCAGAGACTGCTTTCCGCGATCGACGTAGTCGCCCAGGAACAAGTAGTTGGCCTCGGGCGGGAAGCCGCCATATTCGAACAGCCGCAGCAGATCGTAGTACTGTCCATGGATATCACCGCAGATTTTGATCGGAGCCTCGAGCTCGAGCAGAACCGGCTGGCTGATGAAGATCTCGCGCGCTGTCGTGCAGAGCCAGTGGATCTCATTCTCGCTCAACTGCACCTCCTTGCCGGGTCGAGAGCCGCGGACTACCGTTTATTTAATAATGAGAAGGCCAATGTGTAGAAACGAATATGTGTGTTAGCGTATCTCTGCAATTGCTTTCGAGCAAAATCAACAGCGGCACCGCATATAATGGCATTAGCATGCATGCGCCCGTTATTTTGTTCTCATTTTGGGTATAAAGTTCTGACGAGGGCGGAGTCCCTTCCCTTTTAGCAACAAGCTGAGAGGAAGCGGCTATTTGGCAATTGTTCGCAGCAAGATGGTAGTAGAAATAAAAGCGGAAAATTGAAGGGAAGCTAACAAAGGCAGCCATTCTCCCGGTGCTTATACCTCGGTGTCAAGGTTTGGAAAGGTTGATTTGTATAATAAAAACCACAATGCTCGATTGTGTACTATGAGACAAGAGAAAAAAGGGACAAAGCGAATGATAAATGCTGAAAGTTTGGCAGCGCCAAAGGAGTAACAGCGTACTATGGCTATGTAGTTATAGAGCAGCTCATAAATCGACAGCAGCAGCAGCGACGACAGACAGAGCCAAAGCAAGTACTAAGTGTAAAGCAATTATAATACATATCAACGAGACAGAGTATAATTTGGCTGCTCTACACAAAAAACAAATGCACCAGATGTCGGCAATTCGTGGCAACAGCGCGCCCAGGAGAACTGAATTCAGAAAAGGTAAAACCGGGTTCAGCACCTCCACCAAGTTTAAGCATTCACAGCGACACCTCATGCCACAGCAAGGTAAATATTACGTTATTCAAAAAAGGACAAGTGAATTGCAGCAGAGCTTTGTGTCTGGCGCAGTGAGCGGGCTATGGCAGCAAATGAGCGCATAATAACGAACTGGGTGGGTGCGGATAGTTGAAAAAGAACGTACCTTCCAGGAGTCGCTGAATAATAGTGTTGACATTCACGCTGTCATCCGACATTTTCCAAGAAAAAGCGAGTTATGGATTTAGTAAAGTGTTGAAAAGTGTTGAAAAGATAGATAGATAGTAGAGGGTAAAAGTATCTAATAGGGAAAAAAATAAGTATAGACTCGTGCTCAGCAATATATTTTTGAACAGAAAAGTGTGTGGGTTTGTCAGAAATTATAATGCGCCTTTTTGGGTTGTGTATGAATAAAAAAATTGCAAAGGCGTGCTGATTGCAAGTTGGTACCAGAAAAATAAAGGGAAATAAAGAAAACAATAAACAGGTGCTGAGGAAGAAAAAGAAGAAAAATTGGAGAAAAAATGCTACGAGGAAAAATTGGACTGTTGACCTGTTTCGCTCGGTTCTAGCCTTCGGCTCACACTTTTTTTCTAATGTCATCGTCCAAAAAATGCACTGGTCGCTTTTTTGGCGCCAACTACCAGCCATATTTTATGCTCTGCTTTCTGGTCACCTCTGTGCTGGAGCTGTTGCCAGCCGGTTCGTACTCCATGTGGCTGAATGCCAAATAAAGCAGCAGGTCTGAAATTTTAGTGACCAAATAAAGTCGTCGCGCGAAAAAAAAATCGCGTTGGTTTTCAACAAAAATTTTCTGTATTTTTTTTCATCCGCCAGGCCAACATAAATTTGGATTGCCTCGCTTTTTTTCGTGTAACCACCAATCAGAACCTGTGGTTTTTTCTTTAATTTCGCCGCTCATTTTAATCGATGGATTAGCAGATCAGACCGGCGTATGCGCACTCGGCCCATGCCAATAAATGAGCGCGTGTCTGTCCAAAGTTGCACGCGCTTGTCTCCTTTTATGCTAAGAAAGCCTTACACAATCGAAGCGGAAAGCGAAAGAAACATTCGCTCTCCTTTCTTCTTCCTCCTTTTTTGGCTCTGTATTTTCAATTTCCTCAATATACTCAATTTCCTTCCAACCCCTGGATGGGCTTGCAATTCTAATCTTCAGCAACGCTAATTTATCTATTATATTTGTAACAACGCAGCAATCCTGTTCTTTTTTCTGAAAAAGCCAGACTCCGTAGAAACAATTCTCCTTATTTTGAAACGGGAATTTCCCTCATCCCTTTCGCCCCCTAGTCCATTCCTTTCACGATTATCTTTATATTTATTACCCTCTTTTGGCAACGCACCTCACCCTGTGCTGGGCACTACCCGACATCTAACTTATTTTCTCTAGCAGGCTGCAACAAAATAGAGGTATCGACTACGCAAGCAGCTTTTTTTCTAAAAAAACTTTATAAACAGCAAAATCGGCCGTAGAAACAGCCGTTGCATATTTAGAGTAGGCCATTTATTTAATATTGGAATAGCCATATGATGTCAGCCAACACGTCATCGTCAGCACGGTCTTCGGCGAGCAGCAGCACAGAGCACGCCATCGGCGCCTCCGAGAAGCAAGGCGGCTTCAACCCCATTGCTCCCTCGGCACCGTTTGCCAATCGGGCCGGGCGTCCGGCGTCAGAGATATTTTTTGCCAACGCGCAGCACCCCCTGCCCAAGGCCAAGCACATTGACCGGTGGTTCGAGAGTCTGTCACAGTTCGAGGAGATGCTTGAGGACATGGCCAAGGTCAGCCTGGACCCCGTGTTCAAGGACGAGCTCAACGCCATTGACCAGTGGTTCTCTGTGCTCACCGAGCCCGAGCGCACGTCGGCGCTCTACTCGCTCATGCAGCACTGCTCGGACCTGCAAGTGCGCTTTTTCATCACCATCCTGCAGCAGATGCTTAAGATGGATTCTGAGCCGCAGGCCGAGGCTGCCATTGAGAGCACTGAGAGACACTCGATTGCCGTGCAGGGCGGGTACACCAAGCAGCTCGGACAGTCGCAATTGGGGCAACCGCAGGGCATGCGCATGAGCTACGACAGTGCCGGACACGCGCGTAGCGGTCTGGGCGTTCTGCAGGGCGCGACGGCCGGCGGCTTTGTTGAGTCGCCGAGGCGCACCAGCGGGTTTGGTGAGGCACCCCGGCGTGTTGGCGGGTTTGTCGACTCGCAGGGGCGGCCCAAGAGCTCGAGCCAGGATGCTGAGGCTAGCTGGCGTGCCAGCCGCGATGTTGGCGGTCAGATTGGCGATCCTATTGGTGCTGTTGGATCGCGGCGCGGCAGCGGGGCGCTGGGCGCGCACCAGACGCCGCGCGCCAGTGTTGATATGGAGCCGAAGGACTTTCGGTGGTCATCGCTTACCGAGACCATGGAGCCGTTCGAGAACATTGGGGGTGATACCAATGCATCGGCTCTGACGCACATGCTTGAGGCCAATATGCATCGTTCCAGCGGAATTGCCGCGCGCCGCTCCGTCAGCAACCGCCTCAGCATTGCTGTCAAGTCGCCGCGCGAAACCATGCAGGCACAGCTCCCGCAGCAGCAGCAGCAGCACCATCAACTGGCAACCACTCTGTCACAGATGGCCTTGTCCTCTTCCTACCAGGCTCCCCAGCAACAGCAGCAGCGCCCGCCTTATGCCGCTGGCTTGATGAGCGGGTCACCGCAGCTGCTGCCGCACCATGCCCCGGGCTATGGTGCCCGCATGCTGCCACCAGGCTACCACAGCAACACCGGCAGTGCGGCCAACTCGACAGCCACCACGCCTGTGCGTGCCGGCTTCCCACGCACAGTCACCAATGCGTCGCAGTCACCGGCTGCACTTAAGCCGCAGCCGGACGCGCCTGTCGACCTCAGCCTTGTGCGCGACATCCCTGCGTGGCTGCGCAGCCTTCGTCTGCATAAATACACTGAGAGCTTTGCCGATATGCCATGGACCGAGGTGGTTGCTCTCAACGACGAGCAGCTGCAGGCTAAGGGAGTTGCTGCGCTGGGCGCCCGCCGCAAGATGTTGAAGGTTTTTGAGGCCGTCGCTATCGAGCTCGAGAAGGGCAACACTGTGTAATTTAACCATCGGCACTCCATCCATTCACCCATTTATCCATTTACTCATTCATATATCATTATCTTTATTCTATATTTATTTACAACTCTGTGTATGTCTGTCTTTATATCCGCATTTCTGTCAATGTGGCCACATCCAATGCCATACAATGTTATGAGTTCGATATATGGTAAATATCGACTGAGCCAAAGAAAATTTGTGTACAAAGTGGGGTTGTTTTTTATTTAACAACGAAATATTATAGTAAGAATATGAAATAATAATAATGCAAATGATGATGTGGTGGCGGTGGTGGTAGTTGCAAATAAAATAACAGCGATTGCTCAACAGAGCCCCTCTGCCTCCGTCTCACTGCCGCCCTTACAGCTGCCAGCGCGCGATTTGGTTGAAGCGGTGCGGTGCCGACAGCACGTCCGACTTGAATGCCAGCTCGTAAAATGCAATATCCCACAGGTTGCGAGCAGAGTCAAACACCCCGCTGCCATGACCATGAATAATATCTCTAGCCATGACATCCAGGGTTCGCGCCTGCTCGACCGACATCAGGTTATTAGTCTTGACATGCTTATTGTAGTACGCCAGACTAATATGACCCATGCGCTTTGCTCTAATTCTGGCCTGCGGCACAGCCTTGACGACGCCATCGACAATCCAGCGGAATGCCTCGGGTGTCTCCAGTTTCACCTCAATTTTGTGCGTGCCCTCATGGGGGTAATCGTAGGCTGTGGACACTTTTTCTACCCGTGGCACGCCCATGTCACGCATCTGGCCAACCAATCCCTGCAGATGGCTGGCAATCCGCACCAGGGCCACGCCCGAGGGCTGGCCACCCAAGGTGTGGTCGTCGAGGTCGATGAAGCCAGTCATGGAGCTATGTGGGTGGTACTGATGTGCCTCCGTGTGTCCAAAGGTTGCTGCTGAATCTCGGAAGAACCTCTCAATGGCCATGTACAATGGTGTGCCGCGACGAGGCTCCAAATAAACGATGCATCTGCGGGTGCCACCGGTCGAGTGCCAGAATGGCAGGCTGCGCAGCGGGCTTGGCAGCATTAAAATGGGCAAATGGGCGTTGCCACTGCGCAGCCTAATAATCACCTCGTATGTTGCTGCTTCTGTCTCGTAGTCGCCTTCGTGGCTGCAGCATCCTGCCACACTATGTGGATGTGCGTCCGCCGGTCTGACTTCGCCAATAATAGTTGCCAACCTGCTGCTGTCAGTCCCCATGCTCAGATGCTCGTTCATTAGCCGGCCGAAAGGCATTGTGAAGGCATTGGCTGTGCGAATGGCTGGGTAATGCGTTGCAACAGCCATTTCGCCGCCTCCATTGAGTAGCCGGTCGGCATGCTGGGCGTTGGTCATTCGGAATCCCCCAGTTGTGGCTGGTAGCGAGGTCGAGGGTGGTGTCATGTGGTTGCTGTTGCTGGTAGTGGATAGTGAGAAGGCGACGGGCGATAGAGCCATTGATATTGCCATCCTCGTGTTGGTGCGAGGAAGGAGAAAATTAGTTGTGGGAGTGTTTGTGTGTGTGAATAGGAAGGAGGAAAAAAGGGTTGGATTAAAGTGAAAGTGAAAGAGGCGATGCGGGGGGCAAATATAGAAAAGAAGGGACGAGAAGCAGACGCCCTGGAACGTCCTATTTGTACAAAAAAATTATGTTTGCGAATGGATAAATTGATTACGGGCTTTCAAAATTTGCCTGCATGCGGTCGCTATATGACGCTATATGTAAAATAAGAAATAAATGTATCAGGGTGGGCTCAATTGTTTTTTGTATATGCAATAAGGTCCCCCTTGTTCTCCTTTTTGGTATTCAGAAGCCTACGTGACTGCTTCAAGTTTGCATGTTGTTCAGCAGACACGAAAATAGAAATAATGTAAGCGATGGGGGCGACGATAAGCAAAAAAAATCTATGACACGACGTTGGTGACTCAAGTAATAATGAAAAAGTTTGTTTAATAGTAAAAAAAAAAGGCAATGTTAATGTTTTTGTTGGAAGAAAAAAAGGGGAGGCTTTGTTGTTCTTCAGCCTGGTCGATTATAAATAGCAAAAAAAATGCAAGCGTATTAATATTTATCATGTGTGTTCCGGAATATTTTCATGCGCACACTGAATAAAAAATTTTGTTGCGATTTCTGACTTTATTGAGAACCGCGCACTTGTTTTATTTCCTTGCTTCCGTTTCAATTTCTTACTGGGCTGGAAGCAAAGGAGTGAAAAAGCAACTAAAGGGGAAGGGCGCAAGGAGTGAACTTTGCAATCGCCTGTTTAAAATAGGGGTACGTTTTCGGACAATTTTTTTAATTTTTTTCTGGCACGGAGGAAATCATTTTTCTCTATTTTACACTTCTCACTCGGCTGATCACAGCTGGGCGGCATGAGATGTGGTGATATGATAGAAAATGTCGCTTGGTTTAGCGTGGGAATTTGCGGCGAAACACGAATTTTTAATAAGTGGTCAAGAAGGAAAAAAATGACATTATTATTGAGCCCAGTTGCGAATTTTAATTCAATCAATGTTTTACTTTTTTGTTGTTTCATTTGTCGTGTCTGGGCGCCCCATGTATTTCAAAGCAACGATGGCGGGCGATACCGATGATGGTTGCACAAAGCAACAAATAGAAGATGCACAGAAGTCTGACAGCAAGCAATAGAAAGCTGGAAAAATAAAAGAAAAGTCACACCACGATGCAGCGCCGATAATTATGCAGCCATGACCCACAGGTACTTGTGGCGTGTCATAAAATAATAATCGATTTGCCAACAGCAATGGATAAAGAAAAATACATTAGATAAAAACATTCACCCCCCCTTAAAATAGAATTGATCGGTGCTAAATTTGTTTTTTCTTTTTCTTTTCTCGAGGGGGCACTCGGAAGACATGCGCGATGGCCGGTGATAATGCCACCCGATGTTTTTTCGGAGAAAAAAAGGATTAGGCACAGACCAACCTGCAAAAGTTGCTTTAAGTGGTCACTTGAACTCCACGAGTGAGAGGATATTAGTTTATCATGCCCGTTGAATTCCTTGCCTGGTGACCCGCCGATCCCCTGCAAACCGCCATTTTCTCGCACACCTCGAGCAACTTTCCCGGGCAGATAGATATATGGCAAAAAATAAAACACGGCGCTTTATATAATCAATAAATTGAAATCATGCAGCACCATGTAGCAACATATCGCAACTACAAACTAAGGGCAAGAGGAGGCATGTGAAAAAATAAACATCCTTTTAAAAAACCATCCTGAATTTGCATTATGTGCCATGCTATTGCTCCCTGTTCTCTTCCCTATTCCTTCACGTGTCAGTGCAAGTGAGCAAACATATCACTTTCTACATACTGCTGCCACAAATTAATAAATGCTCACATGCTCATTTTCCCCCGATACAGTGACTACAATAAGTATGCACAACTAGAGAACGTTCTTTGCTTTGCACCGATATGCGGAAACTGGGCATGGCAAAGTAAAACAGCCCGAATGCCCGAAAAGGATTTATAGATGTAAAATAAAAAAACAAGGATAACAAAATTAAAAAATTAAAAAAGAAGTCTTTAAGAGACATTTAGTTTGGAATATCGGCCGAGCTCCACACCAGCTTGCGGATAGCCGCGCGCAGGTCAACCACATACTGCTGCTTCTTGGCCAGCACCTCATCGAGTTTCTCCAGATACTCCATGGCCTCGTGCATCTTGGCCTGCTCCACTGAATCAAACCGCAATCCGTCGGCCAAACGCGTCACGGAGCCAGTATTGACATCTAAAAAGTACTTGTCAGTCAGGTTCTGCGGCTGCAACTGCTGCTGCCAGTTGTTCGGGCGCACAGCCGTGCCCTCGGCCTTGCTCCTCGTCTGCTGCACCAAGTGCGCCTGCGTGAATCCAGCGTACGCCGCAATCAGCATTGTCTCCTCCTTGACCGCCTCTGTAGTAACCCGGATCTCTGCCCGGTGCTGGTTCACGAATGCCTCGACATCGGCAATGCGCAGCCCGCCAAACCCATCGCCAGACGCATCGCCGTTCTCAGAGGGCTCGGCCATGACTGCGTCCTCGCTGCCCCCATGGTAGCTGTTTCTGTTGCTGGTCATGCCGCCCTTCCTCTCCTTGGGCATATTGTCGTCCGAATGTATGCTGATCGCAGATGCATACGGCGATGGCGTCGAGGTCACAGGTGCCGAGTACGCGTCAGCACTCGCTATGGTGCCATTGCTGTGCGTGTTGCTTCGGAGCACCTGCTGCCGCGCCTGTACCTGAATAAACCCTGAGTCTCTATCAGAAACTAGCGGGTCTTGGCTAACGCTGTTGCTGCGCGACATTGCCGGCGGTCTCATTCCACGCCCAACAGCCCCAGCGCCAGCAAGGCTGCCTCCAGACGGCGGTCCAACCAGTCGGCGCGAACTCGTGTGATTCGTGCGTCTCCCAGCGTCGCTATCAAAAATGCCGCCGTCGTCGTCCTCGAATGAAGAGCGATGCTGCAACTGTTGTTGCTGCTGCTGCAGAGCCTGGGTATCAGCCACGCTCTTCTTGTTGCGGACAAGCGTACCCGACAGTTTGGACGGCGGCATCTGCTGGCGCATGGTTGGCGGTGACATTGCCATACGCGATGTGACAAAGCTCTTTGCCGCGGGCGACCCATAGGCCCGGGGCGAGCGCAGCGCGTGGCGGGCTTCGTCCAAAAATGCAGGTTGTTCGTCAACAATAGCCGGGGTCTCGTTACTGATGTCGTAGTCCGAGCGATCGTCAAACGAGGGACGGCGGGCATGCTCATACGCACGCCCCGTGTTTTGCTGTGGTTGCGGTTGCGGCTGCGGTTGCTGCTGCTGCTGGCGGCGCTGGTGGTACGTTGTCGCCACTGAAGCAAACTCGTCATCTTCGTCAATGCCCATGTCATCAGCATACTCGTCCTCCTCCCTAAAAACACTTTGCGAGCTGTCCGGATATCCATGACCCGCGCCCTGTATTCCGTAGCTGGCGTCCAGGGACTCGTCGTAGGCGCGATTCGCCGAGTCATCCTCGTAGTCGGCATCAACCTCGGTCGAGTAGTAATCATCTGCGTCCCGCGCACCGTCGTTGGCCGCCTGCGTGCTGTCTCCCGCAGTGCCCGCAGACTTCATCGTCTTGACGCGGTCAGAGTAACGCAGCGTGTTAAGGGTATTCTCTGAGTTAGACGAGTTGGGCGAAATAGTCGCAATCATGCACGCACGTGAGTTTCCAATAAACGAATCCTTGAGAACCTGTGTCAGCTTGCTCTGGCGGAAAGGCTGGTGTTTCTTGCCGAGATCCAGCGCCCGGATGCACTCCTTCAGGGCCAGCAGACTCTTGTTGATTTCGGAGCCTTCCATGATCGTCTGCTTGTCAGCCTTGTCGCCGCGATCTGCGCCGCGCTCATTACCCGCCAAATCGATAAAGTTGAGCTTGCCCTTGATCGCACCCTTGCGCGTAGTGTCCTTCAGAACGATCTGCAGAATAGCATGTGAGCGCGACGAGTCTGAGTTGGCGCCAGTCGACCCGGTGCTGCGACAATTGTTTCCAAAGTCAAAGACGCTCATGAGATCAGCCGGCGACTGAATAAGCACCTCACGCACGCCCTGAATGCAGACGGTCTGGTTGCCATCCTCGCGCGCAAAGATCTTGCGACGCTCGTTGAGCAGATCGTACAGGTTGGACATGTAGATCTCGTAGAACAGCATAAAAACCTGCAAGTGGCGGTTCTCTGGGCGCTGCATGATTCTGAATATGTCATCGGCAGCCTGTATGTACAGGCCGTTCTGCACATCCATCATCGTATAGGTCTTGCCACTTCCCGTTTGGCCGTACGCAAAGCATGTGGCGTTCCCGCCAGTAAAGATATACTCAACAAGCGGCTTGGCCGTACGCTCGTACACTTGGGTGTTATCAGAATTCTCGTCAAAGACCTCGTCAAACAGGAACCTGCTCTCCTCGATGTACTTTGTCATGTCGACCTTGGTTTTAGGCTCCATTACGGACAGCGACCGACACCCGTTGGTAATGACAATATCCTTCTCGCTCTTTTCCCGCTCCTTCCTGTTCAGCGGGCGCTTGCGCACGCACACTCGGATCTTGTCGTTCAGATTTGACAGCCCCTCCTTTGAACCCGATCCACCGCCTGCGCCGTCATCCTTAGACCCGCGATTCGGAACCTTGGGTCGCAGCAACGGCCCATTTGTTGAGCTCGGCGCCAGGCTCCGGCGTTCATTGGCAGGCCGCCTGGCATGCGCGGTCGAAGGGCGCGTGGGGATGCCGTATGTGTTGACTAGCCCACTCTGGCCGGTCTTGCGAACTACGTGCTCCAGGTCATCATCAGGATTTTCGGCGAGCCGCTGTGCCTGCGCAAAGTTGTTGGACCTCTCGAGAATGCCATTGACGCTGGCTGCGTTTGGGCGCGTACCTCTGGGGTTTGCCGTCCCGGGTCTGGCGCTAACTGTGCGCGAGCGGTGGGCAGTGGCCGCAGGACCCGCTTTGTTTACGCTAGATCCAAAATCGTTGCCCAGCATGCTGTTCGAAGCCAGCGCGTTATCGTTGGCGCGTGCAAATCCGAATCCTTGCGTCGACGACATGGGGGCAAGCGTCTGCCGCCGGTTGATTACTGACGGGGTCGTGTTGCCATTTGCCGACAAGCCCTGCCTTCCGATGGTCCTGGGCTCGCCAAAGGTCTGTCCCGAGGAGCCATGGTGCCCAGCCTGCACCGGCGGCGGTGAGAATGAGTTGCTAGGGGCACTTGAGCGCGGAGTCCCGCTGTTTGGGCCGTTAGAGTTGTAAATGCTCGATGGTCGTCTCGTGGGCACACGTGTCTGCCCACCTGGTCTAGTAGAAACGCCCGCGCGGTCATGGCCGGCATCGCGGCCCCTCATGGTGCTAGGCTCTTCGTCGCTGTCAGTAAACCCTACAAACTCGGTGCGTCTGCGCTGGTAGCCCGAGGATCTGGTCGGCTGCTCTTCTTCGTAATGAGAGTCGTCACCCATGTCCATGCTCGCTCTGAGTTCCAGGATCAGTGCCTTGAGGTTTTCGAGGTCGTCTCTGCCATTGATTCCAAGCGTATGCACCCTTGACGGGTCCAGCTACAATCAAAATAAAACATGAAAATGACTTGTTAATAAGCATACATGTCTTACTGGCACTCAGTGCAGATATATCGTAGTGGCATTGCATCATTGTTTTGTTGACTTACCTGCACCAATCGATCGAGCGAGGTGATTCCGCTTCCGTAGAGGCTACACAATATAAAGGGCAAGTGCCACCGGCGCTTAGTATGATGTTTTAGAATAATGTGCCTTGTCGATTATGTTTGGTTGTATTTATATGGATGACAGAAAAATAAGCAAATGAAATAATTAAACATGCGTCTTACCAAGGGTACTGGTGCTCCAGCTCAAACCTGCGGAGGGTATCCAAATAGTCGCTGTTGCTCATAGTAATGCTGCACTTGTACTGATGTGTGCCGAATTCGACTTGTTATTTAAGGTGCAACTATGCAGTAGCAGTAAAGAAAGTCACCTTTACAACCTCCGAGTGTTGATAGCGTCCCAGAAATGCAGTTGGGGAAATTAGACTTTCACTCAATTTAGAATGACAGTAAAAAGTGCACTAGCAAAAGTATCAGTTACTCGGATGAAATAAAAGCGTATTTTTATATTGGCGTAAAGCGAATGAGAAGAAAGTAAAAGAAGGTTTATCGTTTGAAATGAAGAAAAAATAAGTGAAGCGAAAGGTTTGTTTATGTTTTCAAGTGACACTTCACACCAGCCAATCGCTTCAATGTGCCCAAAATTTTCACTTGCAAAAATGTCTTTCCCCCAAATAGGCCTTTTTTCTTAGATTTGCTCAAATCACTGCCAAAAAAATTCAAACTTGTAAAAAAACATGATTTTTTCTTGCACTATAGTAAACGAACATTAGGCTGAAGTGCATTTCTGGATCCAGAACATAGCCTCTTCTTAGATCGGCTGCGTACATTCGGCCCTGATCACAGTAGTCTAGTCTGTCTGTGCGCAATTTATTTGGCGCTGCGCGTCTATTTTGCTGAATTACTCATGGCTCAAACGAGTTAATTGACAATCACCTGCCGTTATTAAAAACTGGAGGGCACTACCGTAATCCCATGGCCCACTCGGCCCTAAGGTGTGGCACGCGCTCAAAAGGCGCACAATGTGACAGATGTAAAATACAAGCTCCTCAAAAAATTACAAATGAAATGAAATTTGATACATACAATCCACGCATTTGTTAGAAGCTTTGGCTTGGAAGCGCTCGCTCCAAGACAATGTACAAACAGCGATCCGTTTTGACCAATTGAGAAATGTAAAGGTGCACTATTTGTAACGAATTACGCACTATAACGGCTCTTCATTGGCAGCAATAGAAAGTATAAATATTTTCCAAAAAGCCAAATTGGCGAATAGTATATTGTGTAGCAAACTGGGGAGCAAATAATATGAAGAGTCGTGTTAATTATAATTACAAGTGCGAAGAGAGAAAAATAAAAGGTCAGCGGCGGCAACAATGTATGCAACAACATTGAATTGGTGATGCTAGTATATGGCTTGGTAAGCCTTTTTGATTTGATTCGATTCGATTCGATTCGATTCGATTCGATTCAGATCATGTCGATGTGGGCTTGCCCTGGTGCATCAACCGCAGCAGCCGCTCCTTTTCCCTCTGCAGCTCGATGATGCGCTGGATAATCTGGCACTCTGCGTCTAGGACCGCCTCTGCCTCTGCCTCCGCCTCTGCAGACAGCGCGGTGTTGTCCAGGACGGGCACCGGCCGCGAGTCATCGTCGCACGTTACACACTGATCGTCTAAAATGTGTGGATAAAGGGTTATCGGTTTCAATTGTTCAGAGAAAGTTATAAATACACGTGCATATTAGTAGTACTTGGCACACAATGACGAGGCAATTAAAGCGTATGAGCGCAGGCAAGGTCAAATGAACAAGCAAGCAGCCGAGCACATGCTAACTTTGGCGGCAGCAGCAGCAATTTGCGTGCCGAAATGGTGTGTAGCCGCATTCCATCTCAGTCATGCTGCCACTGTGCGCCAAACAAAGGCAAAGCGCACAAAAACAAATAAAAAATCAAAGAGAAAGCGGAAAATGGAAGAACGAAAAACGGAAAAGGGAACGATTCAACGCCCGTTAAAGCCAATTTAAACGGTGACTGCGGTGCTCGATTAGCTGAGGTTTTATCGGGAGTAAAGCAATGCAGCAGCAGAGCCAAGCATGTGAGTGGGTGTATATAGAACAAATGTAGTGTTGCAACATGTAAAGTGATAAAATAGCATGGCAAAGTAGAGCGCACCAGCTGGCACTCGTGACTGCTTGTCGCGCATTGTTTTGTTTCTACAGAGTACTCGACATCAAATGTCGCCTCACTTAAACTTGATGTCGCTGCAGATTCAATTGAAGCGCCAGCAGATACTACGCGGACAGATGAACAAATAATCAAATGAACAAACGAACAAATGAACAAATCAACAAATCAACAGGCATATATACAAAAAGTTGCAGCCACGCTCGTTCGGGGACATTGCATCGCGAGCCAAGCACAAAAAACGCGTTGGCTCTCCGACAAGAGCCGCCAACCACAGCAAACATATTGCAAATTAAAAATTACACCTTGCACTCACTCGGCAAGAAGCCGAGCAAGCGGACAAGCACGTAGACAAAAAAGACAGGACACACATCAACATGTAAAAAATAATTGGACATTTTTCAACCAATGTCTATGCCAGATGAGGTGGCCGCTTACCAATGTAGTTTCCAGTCCGCGTCGCCGACATGGCTGCCGCCAGCGCAGCGATAGCAGCGACCGCGGCAGTGGATTCATCGTCATCGGCGAGCTTGCACTCGGCTGTCGACGCGCTGCGCCTGCTGTGCTGCTGCCGGGTCTTGCGTTGGTTCCGCACCTGCTGCACAATGCGCCGAGCGACTGCCCTGCGCACCATCACCTCGCGGCGCTGCGTGCGTGTCATGGCGATGTGGAAGCTGGAGTGGCCACTGCCATTGCGGTGCAGCACGTGTGGGCAGCAGCAGCAGACGATACAGACGAGGCAGACGATATAGATGGCGCAGTGGTGTTGGTGCTGCTAATGTAGTGACGGTGTGGATAGACTAGGCCCATGGTTGGTACTTGCTTTGTGTGTGTATAGAATAAGGTTAGTGCTTGTTTGCGTTTTGCGTTCGCCTTTTGTGTTGGTTGATGCGAGTGAGTGTGAGTGTGCGTGTTGGCAGCGCAGAAATAGAAAACGAGTGCTTGGGTAACAAGGCAAGAAAGAAGAAAGAAAGGTTGCAGCCAAAATCATATTTCCTTTTATATGCAAGCGCGAAAAGGCCAGGCAGACTGGGCAGCTGAGCTGAAGAGAGTGGGGGGGAGTGAGAAAAGTGGGTGGGTTTATGTGAGCAAGGCAGGAAAAAAGACAAGGCAGGAAAAAGGGTTGCGCCATAAAAATAAAAATGCTGGGGATACAATATCCAAGCTGGCTGGCTGGGTTGGCTTGGCTTGGCTTGGCTTGGCTTGGGTTGGCTTGGCTTGGCTTGGCTTGGCTTAGCTTAGCTTGGCTTGGCTTGGCTTAGCTTGACTTAACTTGGCTTGAATATTGCAGGCGCCGCAGAGTAGTTTTTACTTTTTGGCTTCTTTTTGTCTTTTTTGCCTTTTTTGCCTTTTGACGATCAGAAAGCAGCCTCAAGAAATAAATCTCAGCAAATGAAAGTGTGCACTTTCTTGCGTCCTGAAATTGGATTTTCAATGGCCTGAGCTGACACGAGGATCGAATCATTGCGACACCTCTGCAGCCTCGGAAGCAGTCTATTCCAAGAGTGCAATGCGCCATTGTTCATACGTGTTGCGACGTGAGAGGGTGATCCCGGGATTCAATAAATGCTAGATGAGTGCAGCATATTTAACTGTGCGAGTTGAACACGTCGCAGATTTAAAAACTTCAATGCATCAATTTTCCATCTGCTTGATTTTCTATCACATCGCGGCCAAAACTGCCATTTAAATTTGCTTGTTCATATTTTAAAGCCTTCAAAAATACAGCCATAAAGTAGTCTCAAGCTGACAATGAACTGGATTGGAGGACAAAGGTATGCCATGTTGCCACTTTTGCGACAATTTTTCATTCGGGACGACAAATGAATACATCGTCAACAATCTGGATATGTCAAGATAAGCGTGCGATGGAGCGATATCTGCACAATGCAATAGTTCCCGGTATCAGCTGCACAAACAGAAATCCTCATATCTTGAAAATTGGCTTGTTTGCAGCTACTTGAACTTGAATGAATTAAATCATTTGACAGGGCATGCCCCCTTTTTGTCGAAATTTGTCGGGATAATCCAACGACTTTTTGTGGAATAGAAGCACGGGCAAAAAAGACCTTAAAACTCGGCAAAAAATGTTCTTTGCGCAGCATAGAAAAAGAGCTGAAAATTCGCACCAACTGCTAGAAAATTCAGTGACAGACATCCACGCAATTGCAGGTTCCGCTGATGATTATACCGCCGAGCTGGTCAAAAACGAGAGTTGGTCGCATGGCATCCACTCGTCGCCGCACATCAAGCGCATCAGGGGGAGCTTTGACATTTTCGCGCTTGCGGGGAAGGAAGAGTGTACGTTTCACAGGGTATAGTGCTTACGCGTAGTGCTTGTGGGCACATCAGCTTATTTTTATTATTTTTTGTCACTATTCTACTCCCTTGTTGTAGTTATTAGACTAAGGTCGTGGCCAGATTCGGAATACAATAGCGTCACTGGTAGTGGCGTCCAGGGTGTTTCTGAGATTTCCCCCGCGCTGGCAACGCATTATGGCACAACAGATATTGGCGCGAGCGAAGCACCGCTCATGTCGTCAGCATACAGCGGAACCTGCCAGAGCGATACCAGCGAATGCTAGAGCACCACTGAGGCGCATGCCGTTATCAAGTACTAGCCCAGCACTGCTGTGGCGATTACGTTCTTTCAGATCAAAACAAACGCTTAATGTTTTTAAAATGCATACATGTTTTGTTAGAAGGCCACTTCAACCTATATATTTTCGGCACAGTAATCTTGAGCGGTTACATTGCAACAACCTGATAATGTCGGCCAACCTCATAGTTTGGATGACAGATGCTTACACGGTAACACAAATACGAGTACAAAAAAATAGACTCCTGACAGGCAAGCAACTAAAATTTGTTGCACTGGACAAAAACGCCCATACTTCGCCCAGAGAAAATAGACCCATAGATCCACTTGCTCATTTGACGAAACCCTGTCCTATGTTAAACAATTGATGGCTATAACCAATATGATATGTGAATGAATCAATCTGTGCGCTGCCTGCGGGGATGAGTAGCTGTAGTAGATGGTGCTTTCCTTGGCTTTGCAACCGGCTGCTTCTATTGCTGAGTCTCTGCCAAATGATTGGACTTAATTCCATACCTCTGGCGAAAGGTGTTAACGCACTGTCAACGCAATACATTTAACGGAATGTAAAGGTAAGTGCGTAAACACAATCTCCAAGATTATTTATTCCGCAGGTTTGGGTATTTGTTACAGATGCTTATTTTTGCTATCAAAATCCTAATTGCAGAGATCAAGAAATTAGCACCGAAAAAATAATAAAAAATGGTGCGCAGACCCAAACACCAAAAAAAGAGTTCGCATCTTCTGCTCGATCAACGCTCAATGGAGGGGCTTTCTTGTCTTCCTGCACTCCTATAATATTGTTTTATACTTGTCAGTATTACTTTTCAGCATTATCCTATTTTTGTAGTCACACTAAATTCAACCACACCACACACCTTACTATCGACATGGGTGCTGAAACCAAACGCAAGACTCGTCGCGGAAAGCGCGGTGGAGACGCCAAGCGCCCGAACGACACCGATGGCACTGGGGTTGCAACCCAAGACACACAGCAGGGTCAGTCCAATGCTGCCTCCGCATCAGCAGAGGGGGCCACCGGATACGTTGCGCCGCCAATGTCTTCAGGCGACTCGCTCTTCTTCCTCGATACAAGCGCGCAGGCCGACAACATGGAGGACCAAATGGAGAAGGTCAGCCCGGCCTCCTACGGCCTTGTCAACCCCGACCTGCAAAAATACCTGAAGAGCTGCGAGGGCATGCTCGACGAGCCGAAGTTCGAGACAACTGAGGATCGCGACATATTTGTAAACAATGTGTACTCGGAGATGAAGAACTTTGAACTGCAGCTGACGACGGATCACGAGTGCTCGCGTATTCTCGAGAAGCTGTTCCATATCTCCAGCGATTATCAGATTAGGCGGTTCGCCGCACTGACGCGCGAGGATACCATCAGGCTGGTGGTGCACCGGTTTTCGTCGCACGCACTCCAGACGATGCTGCTGTTGTCGGCAGGGGCACTGGAGCGCGAGTTGCGTGGCGAGTCCAGCGACTTTGATGGAAGCGTTGAGGTGGATGAGAGCAGCGATAATCAGGCCGTGCGCACGGCTTTGCCGACGTTCGAGGAGCTGGTGCTGAGTTTGGCCGAGACGCTTTCTACACGGTGGTCGTACCTGATGTCCAACGAGTACGCGTCGCATATTCTGCGCGTGCTACTTCTGGTCATGGCGGGAAAGCCCATCGAAGATCAGTCCAACCCCCAGAGTGCCATTAAGAGCAAGCGGTCGACCAAGTACATGGAGGACAAGAGCAACGCGTCGATGAGCCAGCGGTCACTGACAGTATCGCGCGAGGTGCCGGCATCATTTGGCCCTGCGCTTGAGCGGCTGCTGAACACTGTGGGCGATGCCATGGGCGACGTGGTGGCGCGTAACTTTACCAACAATGCGGTCGGCAGCCCTGTGCTGCAGCTGATGGTGGAGCTGCAGGCTGGGTTCACCAAGACCGAGTATCCTGGGTCGATTTTAGACAAGACCTTGATGAACCTGGCATCCGCCGGCACGACGGAGAACCCCCGCCGCGACTCATTCATTACGATAATGCTTGGCGACGTTGTCGGTTCGCATTTCTTGCAGGTTGTTGCCAAGATTGCATCCCCGCAGCTCCTGCAGGCAATCTACGACCGGTACATGCGTGGAAGCCTCAAGACGCTGTCTTTCCACCCGATCTCCAACTTTGTTGTGCAGAGTGTCTTTGCCAATGCTAAAAACGAGCGCCAGCTGAAGGCCATGATTTCCGAGGTTGCGCCCATCTTCAGCGACTTGCTTTTCAAGAACCGCGCCGGTGTCGTCCGCGCCCTGATCGACTCGTGCGTGCGTCTGGAGTGCGGGTATATTGATCTCATTAATGCGCTGTACAACGGGCTCGGTGTGAAGTCGCCTGAGGAGCGCATGGAGCTGATCAACCTTCTGGCCTTCCTGATCCCCTATAGGAACTTTGTCAGCGCCGAGTACAATCAGCTGCCGTTTAAGGTGCAGGGCTCGCTGATTATCCAGTCGATTCTGCAGTTCCCCGGAGATGCCCAGACGCCCATCATGGACAGCTTCTTCAGCCAGAATATTGACAGGGTCATCTCGTGGTGCAAGGATCCCAGTGGCTCGCGCATAATCGAGGCTATTTTCAAATCACCCAATGTGCCGTTCAAATCAAAGCAGCGCGTCATGGAGCGGTTTTCCGGACGGTACACTGATCTGGCTATGAACAAGTACAGCAGCCATACCGTCGATGCATGCTGGGGGATCGCCGATGTGGAGTTCAAGGAGACCGTTATCTTGGAGATGGTCAAGAATGCCAATCTGCTGCAAGACAACCATTTCGGCCGCATTGTGCTCCGCAATTGCGCGTTCGAACAGTACAAGCGCAGGGCCGAGGAGTGGCGCGAGCGCGAGCGCGGATTGGAGCGCAAGAAGCACATGTTTAAGGATATTTTGGGCAGCAAGATCGTCACCAGTGACGTCAAGCCGGCCACTACGATGCCGGGTGCCCAAAAGTCCGCCATAGAGGATGGATCTAAGGCTTCAAAGAAAAAGACGTCAAAGGTAAGCCAGATGCTAAGCTTGATATTTGTACATTCTGATGTTGCATATTGATTGCCCATTGTTGCATTTGCTAAAAACTGTATTGCATGCCATTGTTTTTATTTAATTCTGTAGTCCTCGGGTGCTGATGAAATCGACTCACTTTTCAAGAAATCGCACATTCGCGCATCGTCAAACGACCTGAAGCACAACGTAAGCCACAATACAATTCACATTTGCATTATATGGACCCAGTTTCTTCATTGTTTTTGATTATAGAGGATAACCGAAAACAAAGGGCTAATTGACACTCTCACCCGCAATGATTCTTGCAATTTTGTGCACGCGTTACTAAAAATTTCTACAGCTTCAAACATAACAAACAAATTCTATAGCAGCCAGAGCAGGCCTCCAACGACATCTCTGTGGCTATTGATGCCAAGGGCGACAAGAATCTTGAGGCTGTCATGTCTGCCATTTCGGGAACTAAGCGGAAGAGCAAGAGCAAGAGCAAGTCTGACAAGAAGGATAAGGAGGACAAGGAGGAGTCCAAGTCTAAGAAATCTAAAAAGTCCAAGGAGGAGGATCGCAAGAAGCGCCGTGCCTTTGTTGGCTAAACATTTGTGTTCTTTTTCAAACATTTTTGTGTTACAATATGTGCCTCGTATAAAAAACTTTTTTATACTTTTAATACCAAGCGAGCAAGTGTATTGAAGCTGGACCCGATTATAGCAATTGATCAACAATGTCATGGCACAGTATTTTGTTTGGCCTGAAGGAAGACGTGGCGCATTGAACATATTGCCCATTTGTCCATACTTGAATTGTTTATTTGTATACAAGTGGCAAAACTTAATCCGCGGAGTGTTTACAACAAACAATTTTTCAAATTGTTTGGCGAAGAATGACGAGTCGTTTTTTATTTAATTTCAGGACGCAAGAAAGTGCACACTTTCATTTGCTGAGATTTATTTCTTGAGGCTGCTTTCTGATCGTCAAAAGGCAAAAAAGGCAAAAAAGACAAAAAGAAGCCAAAAAGTAAAAACTACTCTGCGGCGCCTGCAATATTCAAGCCAAGTTAAGTCAAGCTAAGCCAAGCCAAGCCAAGCTAAGCTAAGCCAAGCCAAGCCAAGCCCCAAGCCAAGCCAGCCAAGCCAACCCAGCCAGCCAGCTTGGATATTGTATCCCCAGCATTTTTATTTTTATGGCGCAACCCTTTTTCCTGCCTTGTCTTTTTTCCTGCCTTGCTCACATAAACCCACCCACTTTTCTCACTCCCCCCCCACTCTCTTCAGCTCAGCTGCCCAGTCTGCCTGGCCTTTTCGCGCTTGCATATAAAAGGAAATATGATTTTGGCTGCAACCTTTCTTTCTTCTTTCTGCCTTGTTACCCAAGCACTCGTTTTCTATTTCTGCGCTGCCAACACGCACACTCACACTCACTCGCATCAACCAACACAAAAGGCGAACGCAAAACGCAAACAAGCACTAACCTTATTCTATACACACACAAAGCAAGTACCAACCATGGGCCTAGTCTATCCACACCGTCACTACATTAGCAGCACCAACACCACTGCGCCATCTATATCGTCTGCCTCGTCTGTATCGTCTGCTGCTGCTGCCCACACGTGCTGCACCGCAATGGCAGTAGCCACTCCAGCTTCCACATCGCCATGACACGCACGCAGCGCCGCGAGGTGATGGTGCGCAGGGCAGTCGCTCGGCGCATTGTGCAGCAGGTGCGGAACCAACGCAAGACCCGGCAGCAGCACAGCAGGCGCAGCGCGTCGACAGCCGAGTGCAAGCTCGCCGATGACGATGAATCCACTGCCGCGGTCGCTGCTATCGCTGCGCTGGCGGCAGCCATGTCGGCGACGCGGACTGGAAACTACATTGGTAAGCGGCCACCTCATCTGGCATAGACATTGGTTGAAAAATGTCCAATTATTTTTTACATGTTGATGTGTGTCCTGTCTTTTTTGTCTACGTGCTTGTCCGCTTGCTCGGCTTCTTGCCGAGTGAGTGCAAGGTGTAATTTTTAATTTGCAATATGTTTGCTGTGGTTGGCGGCTCTTGTCGGAGAGCCAACGCGTTTTTTGTGCTTGGCTCGCGATGCAATGTCCCCGAACGAGCGTGGCTGCAACTTTTTGTATATATGCCTGTTGATTTGTTGATTTGTTCATTTGTTCGTTTGTTCATTTGACTATTTGTTCATCTGTCCGCGTAGTATCTGCTGGCGCTTCAATTGAATCTGCAGCGACATCAAGTTTAAGTGAGGCGACATTTGATGTCGAGTACTCTGTAGAAACAAAACAATGCGCGACAAGCAGTCACGAGTGCCAGCTGGTGCGCTCTACTTTGCCATGCTATTTTATCACTTTACATGTTGCAACACTACATTTGTTCTATATACACCCCACTCACGTGCTTGGCTCTGCTGCTGCATTGCTTTACTCCCGATAAAACCTCAGCTAATCGAGCACCGCAGTCACCGTTTAAATTGGCTTTAACGGGCGTTGAATCGTTCCCTTTTCCGTTTTTCGTTCTTCCATTTTCCGCTTTCTCTTTGATTTTTTTATTTGTTTTTGTGCGCTTTGCCTTTGTTTGGCGCACAGTTGGCAGCATGACTGAGATGGCAATGACGGCTACACACCATTTCGGCACGCAAATTGCTGCTGCTGCCGCCAAAGTTAGCATGTGCTCGGCTGCTTGCTTGTTCATTTGACCTTGCCTGCGCTCATACGCTTTAATTGCCTCGTCATTGTGTGCCAAGTACTAATATGCACGTGTATTTATAACTTTCTCTGAACAATTGAAACCGATAACCCTTTATCCACACATTTTAGACGATCAGTGTGTAACGTGCGACGATGACTCGCGGCCGGTGCCCGTCCTGGACAACACCGCGCTGTCTGCAGAGGCGGAGGCAGAGGCAGAGGCGGTCCTAGACGCAGAGTGCCAGATTATCCAGCGCATCATCGAGCTGCAGAGGGAAAAGGAGCGGCTGCTGCGGTTGATGCACCAGGGCAAGCCCACATCGACATGATCTGAATCGAATCGAATCGAATCGAATCAAATCAAAAAGGCTTACCAAGCCATATACTAGCATCACCAATTCAATGTTGTTGCGTGGATTCCTACCCATTTGATCTTGCTACCGCTACCTGTAATTATTCATATTCAAAGTGATTTCCGCGCTGCTTCCAGCCGCCTAGGTCGTGTGTTGATTCTTTGCTATTTCCTCCCTTTCAAAAAACGCGCAGTTTTTTCTTTGACAGTCGTCGTACATCCCTTTTTAGCCTTTGCTTTTGCCCCTCTTTTTGTCACTCGCCTTTTTGCTTTTCTAACTTATATTTTCAATTCTTTTTATTTTTGTAATTACAATAAATTCATTACACGCACACACACAATTAAAATAAAATGGAATTCTGCTTAATTGCGCTAAAAACTGCTGTGTCCGAGGCCGACATTGTTGCTGTCATTCAGAAGGCCTGGACGATGAACGCGTCTACCATTTTGGACGGCTTCTTGAGGCACCACCAATCGCAAAGGTAATAAAATAACACCTTTGTAGTGTATTTAAAAATGATGGAAGCGAAGAGTCTCTTTCATGTCATTTGGGCGGCGTGTTTTTCTCAACTAAAGCTAATTCACTAACCCACTTTGTCAACCTACCCTGCCATTTCATAATTTTGTAGCTCGCTGAGTCTCAGGAGTTTAGTGCCTACTGGAACCTCCTGCAGCTTTTCTCTTTCGGAACATTGAGTGAATACAGAGCAGCCAGCGCGCAGCTACCAGAGCTCAGCGAGCAGCAGATAGAGAAGCTCAAGCACTTAACATTGGTGAGCTTGGCTTCTGATTTTAAGATTCTCGAGTACGACCTGCTCTTGAAGGAGCTAGACTGCCAGAGCGAGCAGCAGATGGAGGATCTTGTTATTGAGGCAACGTACAGAAAGCTCCTGTCGGGCAAACTGGACCAGCAGCGGCGGCTCATCGAAGTGGACTACGTCATTGGCCGTGATGTGCGCAGAGAGGACTTGCAGAAGATATTCAACAGCCTGAATTACTGGTCGCTGGTCTGCGAGGATGTTCTGGCAGACATTTCAAAGAGCATCGAGCTGGCAAATTCGTCGGTCCTTACGAAGAGAAAGGAAGAGCGCGAGTTTGCGAATGCTCTTCAGGAGGTTCGCGCGTCTCAGTTTGCATCGTCCAAGGCCCGGAAGTCTGGGGGCGAGTCCGTGTTTGAGCCACAGTACGCCAGCTCTGAGTACCAGCGCGAGGACATAAGGACCCGCGGCCGGGCGCCATAAATACATATGTTCTTTTCTGGTCATGGCCCATTCAATTTTGAATAAATAATATTACACACTGACTTTTTATCTGTTCACCAGCCCGGGTAATGTGAATTGTTGTAGTATGCAATTTATATATATACGGAACGTAAATAAGTTGGTTTTACTTTACTCATTTTGGGCCATCTTGCGCCGCGCACGAATAGCAGAGGGAATTTCTGGCAAGTTGTAAAGTTCTTCGCTGCTGTCGCTGTCCAACTTGAGCGTTCCACGCACTGCCGCTGACACGTCTCCTCCGTAGTCACGCAGAAACATTTTTAGGTTCATTTCGCGCACGCATTTGGGCAACTGGGCCACCTCGCAGTCGGCCTTGAGCACCAAGTCTTTCTTGTCAGCCTCGAGCTGGGTCCGCATCGATCTGATCTTATCCTGCACCTCCATGTCAAAGTTCTCGAGCATGGCCATGCGCTGCTCTTCGGCCAGCTGCCGTTCAGCGTGCTTGTCAAAGGTCTTCAATGTCCTGCCAGAAATTCCGCCGGGACTTGTTAACCCGTTGTTTAGTCGATGCTGTGCGTTGCGACGGGTGCTATTTAACATGCTCATCGTGTGAAATGTATGAATCGAGAAATGCGAATCGTAAATACAATAAAAAATACAAAAAAAGGTTGAGAAGCGAAAAGGAAAAGGCTATTTGCAAATCACATGTGCGTTTCTCTGTTTACAACAAAATTTAACTATCGAGCTGATCGCGGTCTGCCTGTGTGATTTTGATCCGAGCCGTCGACTCGCGGATGACGGATGAATACTGTGAATTTTGATTGTCGTATTATTTTACACAGTTCGGGCCTTAACGCGACAAAACCGTGATGAACGATGAGCGGCTGTGGGGTTGTTCGACTGGACAAGCATGTTTCCTTTTTAGTGCAGTCCCTTGGGCAAGCGTTACTGCAGCAGGACGGCGCAAGTATACATTAAGTTGCGAAGTTGGGAAGAGGAATCTGAACAAAAAACTGGCTAGACGGCACAAATTGCATGGTAGTAGCTCATAGGCATGGTCGATATGGCAATGCGCGCATAATGTCTGAGCTGCGGCGAACACGCAGTAATCAAACACAGCAATAAATTGTAGAGGCCATGACATCCGGATTTGAGAAGAGCACAAGTGCCAAGACCAGGCCAGTATCGAATCTTAACCCCTCAAGGGCAGCACACACAGATGGCCTGGCTCTGCATGCAATCATTTTCCATAATCTCATTCAGAATTCACAATCCCCCGACTAGGCCAACACATCAATTCATTTATCGATGCACTTATCTCTTTTTCCAGTTTACTTGTTCTTGTTTGGAGCCATGGCAGTCAGCCCTATCACCTCGCACGTTCTCGACGCAGCCCGCGGCACCCCCGCCCAAGGTGTGCCCATCAGCATCAGCTACGCCCCGACATCGGAGATTGCCTCTTCAGGCCAAAGCTCGGTGATTGGACGTGGCGTCACCAACAGCGATGGGCGCTGCCCTTTGCTGCTCGATTCTGAGTATGTTCTCAAGCCCGGAGTTTACACTGTGCACTTTGACACAAAGACATACTTTGCGCTGCACGGCGAGAAGAGCTTCTACCCGTTCGTCGATGTCACTTTTGAGATCGATCAGGCCGCTCCTCACTACCACATTCCGCTCAACCTGGCGCCCTTCTCGTATACTACCTACCGCGGCAGCTAAATGTTAGGCTTGGCCAGGTTTTTATTTAGTTATTTTTGTAGTTAAAATTTTTATTTAACAATGTTAATGGCAGCCACCGACATTATCCAAATGGGATTCATTAACCAAAAGTCGCAATATTGTACACATGATTTATTTTGTGCAATGCTATTATTGTTGTCTGCGTTTCAAATATATTATCATGTTTTTGTGTTCGAAAAAACAATTGCACCAGGTTTATAGTAGCAAAATATGCTTTCAGATAAATAGCAAGTATAATACAGTGAATAGTAACAAAACGCTAAACGACACGCTTATTTAAAGTCGTATGCCAGAAGCGTTGGGGTTGGACAGGTCGTTAATTTTTTTCTAAACTGCCGCGCAAACCTTGCCTTATTATAATTGGCAACGTTTCTTGTTATAACATACTTTTTCTACAGCCAAATACGAGTCATGATCCGGCAGCGCTAATTGCTAGAAAACTAAAAATTACATTAGTTCATGTATGAGGATGGGGCGATGGCAATTTTTAGAGGCACATATTTCCTGGAATGACAAAAGTCTTGGCAAAAAATACCAGGGCAGTACTAGCTTTAATTGTCATGACGCATTTTTCCAATTTAAATCTGAACATTTTGACTTTTCAATACTGTGAAAATAACTGTTGGAATCCCTAGCTTGCATTGACCACCTTATTTTGTAAACGTTCTATAAATTCCAAGAAAAATGACTGCGCTTAAATACCCAGCAGCCTATACACATTGAAAATATTACCCCCATTCAGTTAGAATAGACAGCTGTTAATTTATACTATAGTTTACCTTTTTATTTTATTTCCATTGCAAATTTGTTTTCATTCCTTATTTTTATCACTTAGTTTTTGTCTTTCATTTTTTAGCTGCTGATATTATTTTCGCCATTCCTTCATTTATTAAATATGATTTCAGCCAAGGCAATCGGCTCACTCGCTCGGTTTCGGACTACCTATTTGGTGCTGATCATTTCAATGTACGGGTTGCTATTTGGACTGGACACAGCGGTATGTATTGGATTTGCCCTGTAATCATCTAAATGGATTAAAAATAATAGGTTGCAATTGTGCTAACTGCGTGTGCGCATTATTACATATATTAAATATTTGCTGTTTATTTAGGCTGTGGCAGTGACCTTGCCCATGCTAAAGGCTCAATTCGGACTCGGGTCCACGCAAATGGAATTCCTGAGCGCGGTTTCGTCTCTCGGCGCTATTCTTGGACTGCTGCTTGTCATATTTGCTGGCAGCCGAGTCACCAGGAAACTACATTGCTTATAAACACCACTGCTTACATCGCTGGCTTTATCATGGTGCAATGGCAAACAGCTTTACTACATGTGTCATCGGCAGGGTCATTGTAGGCTTTGCTCACGGAATTTCCACAATGATTGCACCAGTTTACATTGGAGAACTGTCACCAAAAGAATTCCGTGGCCTGTTCATCTCATTCAGTAGCGTAGGAATTAACTTGGGAATGCCCGTGGGCTTTACATTGGCAACAGTTATGAGCACAGTCCCAAACTACAGCCGGTGGGTGTTTACTATTATCGCTATACTGAGTTTTATTGTCGCGGTGCTCATGTACACGTTAGTTCCCAATTCGCCTCGAGATCTTATTTTCCACGGTCACAACAAAGAGGCCCGTGTTGTGATACAGAGACTCAGCTTTTCAAAAGCTTTGTCGGACGAAGAGGTCACTGTGGAAGTGAGCTTGCTGTCCAAGGCTATTAGGAGCGAACAATTGCCAAAATTCAGCGATTTATTCACCGCTGGAAACAGGCGGGCACTGACTGTCGCCTGTACGCTCCAGATTGCCAAACAGTTGTCGGGATTCACCGCGCTGCAGTTCTTCTCGGTGTACCTATTTAAAATTATAGGCTTGACCAAGGGCCACATATCGCAGCTTCCGACCATTATGCTGGGCTTGGTTCAGTTTATATCCGCCGTCGCCTCGCTGGGGATTATCGACTTCATGGGACGCCGGAAGCTTTTGCTCATTTCCACGCTGGCAATGACTGCTGGACTTATTGTCCTTGGCGGCTCATTTGTAATGATAACCGGGTTTGATCAGATTAACAAAGCCCAATGCTCAGAGTATTCAAGGTGTGGGTCATGCCTACTGGACACGGCGTGCGGATGGGCAGCTAAAGCAAACGTGTGCATGTCCCAAAAACCCAGCACCTTGGGCTTTCCGGCATTGGCAGACAGCTGCCAGCTGCACACCTCCCGGGATCACATTGGCAGCTGGATGGCTGTAGCTTCGCTCATTATTGCGCTGGGTGCAATGTCGCTGGGCCTAGGAAGCATACCGTGGGTTATCCAGGCAGAGATGTTCGGCCAGTCTCTGCGCAGCAAGGCTGGTGGCGTGGCGTCCATCTGCAACTGGCTGTCGTCGTTTGTCTCAACTGTATCGTTTTTGCGGCTGGCCTTTGTTGTCACACTGCCCGGCATATTCTGGCTCTACGCAGGATTGCTTTTGGCAATAGTGGCATCTGTTTATTGGGCAATTCCAGAGACGGCTGGACGAGCGCTCGAGGATATCGCCGAGGGCGTGGGCAGCGAGGCCCAACGTGGCAGTAAAATGGCTGTTATTGTGGCCAAATGGCATAATCAGCATCGGGATGAGAGTGAATGTAAAGACGCATTGTAGGTTAATTAATTAATTCACACATAAATAACGCATCCAGTGACATCGTTTCATATTATACCATGTAATTTTGACTCCGTCGTGGCACGTGCTTGCCCCCCATTCAAGAAGCAATTCGAGTGAACAAAAAGTGTAGGAAAATTAAAATTTTACTATTTTCTTTTCTTTTCATATAAATCCGCCCACATTTATTTAAATATATTTATACTGTTATATTCACCAAATGGCAGACCAGCACGCTGCAGACGATACACAACAACACAACAGTTCGACACTCAAGAAAAAGCGCAGACCATCGTCTGCTAGCAATGGAGATAACCGCTCCCTGTTAGCTTCGCCGAGCGCACAACTATCAATAAAGCGGCGCAATATCGATCATTTTGGCGAAATTGGTTTGCACGCCGCGTCTCCAGATTTATTACCATCAATCAGTCTATTTGAATTGGCGGCAACCGATGATGACTCAATGATTGGCGATGCAGTGGAGCCAACGCCCTCGGACAATGACTCCGCAGCACCAAGGCTAGATCTAGAGACCGCAGCTACAGTTATTCAGCGCGCATGGCGGCACAGATGCATTAGCGGACCAGTGAAAGAATGGGCTGGTGCCAAAGTCACTGTAAAGACACTTGCTGAAATTTCGTTTGACGACGCAACGACTCTGATTAGAAGCGCCAATGTAGTACAAAGCTCTGGAAACTCTTGGAGATTCTTATAAAGGCTACTTTGGCACCAGCACTGAAGACACCGAGTTCAAATTTCCCGGGCGAGCGTTTGTTGCCGGGCACCTTTTGCTGCACATCCCCGGCTGCTCGTGTCTAGCAATTCACATTTAGACACCATGATAGAGTCATCCGCCCTGACAATGACCGAGTCATATGCGCAATTTGCTACTGCATTTCTCCACAATGATGTCAGCTGGTATCAACGCCAACATACTTTTGTGGCCAGCTTCAGGGCATTCTACTCTGCGCTGGACTCTTGGAAGCGCGCAGATACAGCGAAGCTACTATCGGCGATGGAACGCATTACTTGGAGCTCGATCGTCTATGGCAGTCGGTGCAGCGCCGGACTCTTGGCGAGGGCGATGAGGCGTGGCGAGTGGGCATTCAGGCGCAGAGAAAACAATTACTCGTTAAAATACGCACGTTAGGCGGTGAGAGCGCCGTTGACGAGTTGATGCAGAAACAGCGGGAGCTGCGTCTGACATATACGGACCCCCAGCCATCGCCGACGCCCTCTCTGGTACCCCCTCCCGGGATCAGTACCAATCTGGGTCTGGCTTCTGTTGATGGAAATTTGATAGCTGCAACTGCCAACTCTAATCTGCAAGCCGAACCAAGCAATCGCAAAGACAAAGCCCCTGACTCAGTCAGGGACCTTGGTGCTAACGACCCATCGATTGTGCTGACAAAGGCCATTGTCGACCACGCGCCCACGATGTTGAGCGGATCTGGGTAGTTTTGACTTGACTGCATCTGCAGCCCTGAAAAATACAAAGTTGGCGCACGATATAGTATTAGACCCCGACATGCGCTTAGAACCAGCAGCGACCAACACGCTAACTGGGGCGGTCCAGCAGGCTGTCACTCGGGCATTCTTTGACCATATCAAGCGAGATGTCGAGTCAGGCAGCGGCGACTATATAATACGCATTTTGACGCAATTGCGTCTGGACATGCGCACAATTATTCCGCCGACCAGCAAGATGCATGTGACTTTGGAGCAGGAGCTCGACCAGGAGTGGATGGCTGTGCAGCTGTCCAAGGGGGCCCTTGATGTGCAGGAAAAGTACCGTCTGGTTCTAGGAATAATCGGCAACGTGTGCGCTCCTGTTCGCGACAAATCCCTGGATGCCCTTTTGAAATCCCTTGAAGCTGCTAATGTAAATGGGCTCGCCGAGGTTGCACAATCTGTCGCTATAAATTCCAATGGCAATGGCAATGAAAAGGCAGAGCTGTCAGTTGCGGCCAAGAAATGTGTTGAAGACCTGCTGGATATTACGCGCGGACCATGGAACTTATCCGCAATGTGCGCCTCGATGTGCTCAACTATCAGCTCCAAACTGTGGTTCGCCCATGGCTGCGTACGCACGCTGTGGAGTACGAGAGGGCAGCAATGGCCAAAGCATTTAAGCAAAGGTTCAACAACGATGACTCGCAGGTCTTGCAGCACACGAGCGCGTGGATCAAGGACGCAGCCAGCCGCGAGCAGGCTGGGCAATGCTCGTTGCGCGCGACCGACATGAATGCTAGCACACGTGTTACAGCAAAACACGTGTTTCTCGAGGCGTTCCTGGATCTCTGCTTTGCGCCGACAGCACTGGACGCTGAGGACACGCCTGCCACGCTGGCGCTGGATCAGTTGCGCATTCAGCACTTTCAGAACGAGATTCAGGTTGTTCTAAGCGCCGCCGCATTATGCGTCCTGGCGAGAAACTTCATGCAGGAATCAGGCATCGTGCAGATGGACGAATCTCGGTTGCGCCAGGCCGCACCATTATTTGTGAGCATTCTTCGCGCAGATGATGTAACAATGGATCGGATTGTTACGGCTATGCATCAGGTAATTACAGATACTGAAAACGTATCTGGTGGATCGATTGCTCGTCTGGTTCAAAAGACGCTGGCAAAAAACGATCCCGTTTATATGGTCATGGAGCGGCGGCTGAGACACTTTATGCTGACCCAGCTGGACAAAGACGAGATGCCTGGGATAATGGTCAGGCGGCTGGACGGGGATGATAAGCAGAGTGTCTCAGCAACGCTGGCCAAGGTTTCTCTAAACGTGGTTCAAAGTGAGGTGTGCGCGCTGCTGCTGAGAATAAGCCAACTGTGCTCGTTCAACTGGCAGGTCTACTCGCACTGGTACTCGAAGAGTCTGCTGTAAATTGCGTTCAATGAAGTATAGATGTTTATTTAAAAATAGCTTTTAATGTCCTCTATTTTTAATAGCAAATACGAAATAATTTACATCTAAAAATGGAAAATGAGACGTCAAAACGGCGTAAATATATGCAGTCTTTAGTTATTTTTGTTGTCAACTTTAATGCTGTCGCTGTTTCTGTTGCTGTTGTCGCCAATGTAATTGTAATTGATGTGAGCCCTGCTCGCCACTTGGGGAATCCAGCCCAGCTTACAAAACCATTCGAAAACCTTGCTTGTCTTGTTGACATCGACGCGACACAGCTTTTGCGCGTCACGTTTTTTAAAAGTGCCCGGCGGCAAGTTACGGCCCGCGCGCACGAGCGACTGCTTGATCATCAGATATTGTTCTGGATACAGGCGCAGCACTGAGCAGCAATCGCGCTCAGCCTGGGACAAGTATTCTGCCATTGCAAATTTTGTGACGTCCATGGGCGCGGCTACAAACACAGACACGGAAGATAAAAAATATATAAAAGCGAGCATTGTGCAAATTAAAGCATGAACGGACATGAAAAATATTTTTTCAAAAAACCTGTATTTTGTAGAAATAACATGACCGACAAATATAAAAAAGACAGGTTGCAGCGCATTGTGCACTTTAATGTGCGGCAAAATTGTGTACATGTCTAAACTTTGGAGCAAGTGCAATTAGGCGCACAATTGAATGCTGCAAAAGAAAATAAAAGTGTATAATTCAATTCCCCCGCGCCAATTTACATATATACATACAACATACTGGTTGCGCGCAAGCAAATATTGCAACACATAAAGAGCAATGGAGAAGAAAAAGAACGAAGATCGAGAATATGACAGAATCTTGCATGGTGCATGCGATTTACATGCCTTTTTATGTGTGGTGCAGGGCATTATCATCGTGATATTGTTATTTGCTTGTTTTTGTGCATACCTTTGTTCCATCTCACCGAGCAAGTGGCCATCGCTGGCTTTAAATTGAAGATTTCCTGCGAGAGCTCGTCATAGGTGTATTGGCCGGTGCCAACAGGAAAATTTCTCGGCTGCGGCGAGGAGCCAGCAGAGCCAACAGAGCTAGCAGAAGTGGCAGGACTGTCCATACTAGAGCTGCTCAAACTACAAGTTTCGGCCGGGTTAGGGTGGTGCGCGCAACTCAAAATGGCATGATCGTTTTTTTCCGACAACAGCGGGCTTTGGGGAGTGGCCAGTCCCATCCCCGTGACGTTCGTAGTTTCCAATTCTCCATTGCAAACAGAAACTTTACTGCTTTTAATGTTGACGCTCTCTGGTACATGTGCAGTTGGCGCAGCCGTAATTACAATGTCCCCCAATGAGGGAAACAGACGCTGAATTGCAGCTGACATGCTTTTGCGAAATGCAGGCACCCTCTTGTGCTCGGGATGCAGCGAGAGTGGCGGCGGCGGCAACGTCAATAAAGGAGATGGCACCCGCACAGTGTTTCCGCCTCTAGCCATTGTAGCACTAAAAGGTGCTGGGATGACGAATTGGTAGCCTGCCAATGTGCCTGTCCACTACAGCGGATGGTCGCTCAATATCCATCAGCGCACGCGAATAAGCCGTGGGATTGCGCTGGTAATCGTCAAGAAAGGGCATCTTTAGCTGTGGAATGGCCGGATGTGCCGGGTAATGTCGTGGGCGACAGTGAGCGTGTGGGATGGCGGCGCTTGCGCTTGTCAACTCGTCCTTTGGAGGTTGCTTGTTCAGGTGAAGCGGCCAATTTTTCATGGTTCTGGATATTTTTCGCGGCATCTGCGGCTTTTGATGAGGGGCTGGCAGAGCAAGACTCGGATTGTTTGGCATAGACCGGCGCCACCCAGTGCGCGGTGCTAAGGAACTGCTCATTTGCCGAGGGTGCATTACCGTTTATAATACCCGAGTTGGGACTTTTAGATGCAGGGAATGAAAACGTCATTGTCGACTGAAGGTGATTGCGAATAATGACTAGAAAAGGAAAATAAAAAGTGGGGAGAAGAATAAAGATGGGAAGAGGTGTTTTTTTTATAAAAAATTTAGGGAGAGCAAAGTCAATAAAGAAAGAGCGAGTGGTGAACTGGCCACACAACAATACCCGAGATTTTGATGAATTCGGATATAGGAGGGCCGAAATAGCAGGCAGAGAGAAGGAAGACAACAATCAGCTTGCAAGCAAAGTGGCTGTATATATTTGATTTCAAATAGCAAATAACTGCGAGATGAAGTTGGAAATGATGAATGAATGGATGAATTGATATTATATATGTGTGCTGTTTGGGTGTATAGAAAAATAAAATAAAATGCGGAGCCGACAATGTATAAAGTAACAGATAGGCAATGGCAGGATAATCCTCTCGTTTAGCGTATTTCTTTTGAATTAAATGGATGAAAGTGAATAATTTAACGATAAACGAATAAAGAATAGAGAAACAGAAAAAACGAAGTATGAGGAATGGGCGGTGGCTTTTTATACAAAGGGCGGAATAAAAGTCGACTGGTGCGCGGATGGTAATCTTGTGGTTGAATGTGATAAAAGCGCAAGATGGATGAGAGCGTGTAGCCTTTAGTTTTGCGGATTTTTTGGCTTGCGAGAGAGAGTGTAGTCACAATTTTATCATAGCCAAATTTAAATTTTAAATTACAATTGTAATATTTGAGATAGGACAATTGTTATCGATTGCAATTCGCTAGATAAGAAGAGGTCGGGCGGGTACAAAATAAAAAATGTGACCATATGATACAGTGATACAGCATAGATACTTTAAAGGCTTGTAAATAATTGATACTTTACCTGTGCATCATCAAGGCGTATATTCCTTCTCTGTCATTCCTTCTCAGTTTTGGAATTGAATTGCTTGTCTTTGAAATTAACAGACGACAAGAACGGAATATGCTATCTATCTGTTTATTTCCATTATTTTCATTTTTATTTTTCACACCATACTCATGGAACTGATGTTTATTTTTCTTTTTTAAAGGCGCATTATTGATTTTCCAGCGAGACTCATCCATCAAAATCAGTAATGAAATAACGAGATTGAGACTGAGACAGACCGTATGGTCGTCATATATTTTTTTAATTGTTGTCTATTTGGGTTTTTTTGTTTGCGATTTGTGTTGTTCTTTATTAGGCACGAAAATCCGAGCATTGATGTAGCGAGAAGCAAATGCTTCTAATTTTTTTGTGGCGGTGCATTTTTCCGATTCTCGAAACACGCATTGATTGAGCAAATCTAATTGTAATTTATGCAATTAGATCCGGAATTCACCAAAAGATGCGTCGCCATCGTCGATCGTAATATGCATTCTTGTGCAGATAGCCGGGTTAGGGCGAAAAAGTGGTAAGCGGTGAAAGAAGATAGATCCATTACTAGGGGTTGAAGTTCTATGGTTTGATGAAAGAAAAAGTGGCAAGCGTTCATTTTTGCATTCCAATCTCCAACAGCTGTCTTTCTTTTCCATCCGTCTCTAACTCTTCAAATTGTTGACTTTTTTTTGAGTATTGGGCCTTTATACTTTCATAGCACAACACATCAAATAACAAACCATGGCCACCACTGACGTCTCCACTTACAGGTACAACCACACGATGTACCGCATCAAGGATGCCAAAGCCTCGCTCAAATTCTACACCGAGGCTTTGGGCATGAAGCTTGTTGACGAGTACCACAATGCCGAAGCCAAGTTCTCGCTGTACTTCCTCGGCTACGAGGACCCGGCCTCCGCGGGACTGGTCAGGCTCGGCCGCCAGGGTCTTTTGGAGCTGACTCATAACCACGGCACCGAGGACGACGAGAGCTTTGCGTACAGCACTGGAAACGGCGATGTCGGCGGCTACGGCCACATTGCGATCACTGTTGATGATTTGCAGGGTGCTTGCAAGCGCTTTGATGATTTGGGCGTCAAGTTTGTCAAGAGGCCTGAGGAAGGCCGCATGAAGCATATTGCGTTTGTTGCAGATCCCGATGGCTACCGTGTCGAGATTCTGGAGAACCCGATGCTCAAGTAAATCAAGCAATTGGTATTTATATGTATTTTTATACCTAATACAAGATTGTTTATTTTTGTTTTGTGTGTGTGTGTCGTACGAGACGGTGATAATATTATTCGGTGGGTAGTTTTTTTAGAGGATACTGTCCAATTGTGTTCAACTGGTCGACTGGCTTGGCTTGGCTTTGCTTGGATTAGATTAGCTTGGCTTGGCTTGGGTTGAGCCTTTGTATAGCTGCTGCTGCACAGCTGCAGACATTGCAGAAAGGACGGGCGGATTTTTTTTTGTGGTCACGATTTTCTTTTTTGGAAAATTCCTTTTTAAAATTGAGATAAACACAGTATTTTTGGGTACAACACAACAGCCATTATCAACATATAAAACGGTGTTTTCTCTCCCTTCCCAACTTTTCCTTCCTTTTCTCTTCCATTAACATTCCACAGCATTTTACCCTTCTCCTCTCCTCTCCTCTCTTCTATTTTATTTAATCGTTACAACACACACTTGTAATATTTTACTATTTGTTTTTAACAATGCTTGCTTCATCTGCCAAACTCGCTCTTGCTGCCACAGCCATCTTTGCCGCCACCAGCGTCAATGGCCAGAGCCAATGCCAGGCCGGCGCTACCCAGTGTGGCACTGACAACGAGAGCATTCTTCTCCGCTGCAACAAGGGCACCTGGGCCACCGAGTCCTGCGGTGCCAACCAGTACTGCATGACGATGAACCAGGCGATGATCCATTGCATGCTCAAACCTGATAATGGCAGCAAGACTACTTTCTCCGAGTCCCAGTCCACCCTACCTCGCAGGTCGAGTCGAGCTCGGATAATGAGAAGACACCAACAATACCCCGTCTACTTCTAATAAGGGATCCTCCTCTTCGGGCGCTTCTGGTAATGGCAATATGGTTGTTGCTGCTGCTGCTGTTGGCATTGCGTTGCTGGCATGGTCGCTCTTTTCTGAACCATTCGCTGGTTTTTTTCTCTTTTCTTTTCTATATTTTTTTAGACAATGCACTTGATGAAAAGCGAGTAACAAGTAAAGAAAAAACAATTGTCCTACTCTAATGGTACTGGATAATAGAATGGCTCATGATTCGAGCCGGTTTGTTGGGTGTGGATGAAAGGTGTATGAAAACACTGAGGAAAAGAATGAGACTACAAATATCTAGAAAAAATTCAAGCGTAATCCGCTGCTAAAAATGCTTAAGAGTATAATATCCCACGTGTGCTAACTTTTCCCAATCCTTTAACGAAATGCAAAGGCAAGTGCATAAACACAATCCCCAAGGTTACTCCGTAAGTTGGGGATTTGTTACAGTGAAGTGTCCCAAGCACACGCCTTATTTTTATTATTATTGTTTTTGACACCAAGTTGGGGACTGATACAAAGAAGAAGAAGAAAAAAGAATCCGAGTTTACTCTTTATTTACTTTCTCTGTTTCTCCACTTTAATTTTTAATTTTTATTATTTACCTTTTTAATTATCAAACCATACAACAAAAAACCAACAACAATAATGTACTCTGCACCGAGCGAATTTGCTGACGAGTCCTACCTCAAAGAAAAATACATTTTGCTTCAGCTCATCGGCGAAGGACAATACGGCAAAGTCCACAAAGCAGTGCGCCGCAGCAACGGAATAGTAGTAGCGATGAAAATAATCAGCAAACTCGGGCGTCAACGTGTCGAAATTGAAACCTACCGAGAAGAAATGCGGCTCCTCACACAGCTCTCTCACGTAAACATTATCCAACTAATCGAGTATTTCGAAACCACCACGGATATCTACATAGTCCTGGAGCACTGCAAATGCGATCTCTCCGTGCACCTTAAGCGGCGCGGCGGCTACTTGCCGATGGAGGAGGTCCGGGTGATTGGACTGCAGCTAGTGACGGCGCTGTTTTACTTGCATAAACTCGGGGTTGTTCACCATGACGTTAAGCTGCCGAATGCGCTGATTGGGTTTGATGGGAGGATAAAGTTGTGCGATATGGGGTTGGCTACGCAGCTGACGAGGGACGGGAAGCCCCTGTATATACAGACGCTGAAGGGCACACCATTGTATATGGCGCCGGAGATGCTGCGGAGAGCCCGGTACACTTATAAGGCGGACTTGTGGTCCCTCGGCGTGGTTCTGTATGAGCTGTATGTCGGGAGGACGCCGTTCCGCACAACGAGCTTGGCTGACCTCAAGCATAATATTATGGAGGAGGATATTGTTTGGCCCAAGCATATCCCTGTGCAGCTCAAGATGTTCTTGAATGAGTTGCTGCAGCGTGATCCAGCTGACCGCCCCAGGTGGCGGAAGTTGAAAAGACACCCGTTTCTTCTTTCTACCGAGACCGAGGCCGAGGCTTTTGCCGGAGAGACGCTTTGAATATTTATTTATTTACTTAAAAATGATTATCACGTGCTTATAGATAATTTAGCGGTAGCACAGCACCCCATAAGTCTGATTGTTTTGTGGTGTTTGCGTGTCCGCGTATAAATAAAATGGCTTTGCCGGGGTGCTTCCTATGAAACCTCACTTACCTATCGCGAGGGTCGCGTGATCAAGAAGGTGCGACTCGTAGTCTGTCTGCTTTGCATTGCACAAAGCGTTGCGGACGGGTTAGGAATATGCCTTAGGGCATATCTCCCGCGAACAATTTTTTGATGTGGAGTTTGCGTAAGCAGCTCCGATAAACCCAAACCCCAAACAAACACAACAAAATACAAAACACAAGAATTTACTGTGCGGTGCGTGACATCACGCACGAGTTGAGTGAGCGAGCGTAGAAATAGAAAAGTATGACAATAATGTCTTGGCGCATTTTCCGTTGCTATTTTTTTATCCTTTCAATGTTTCAAAAGTATTTATTTCGTCAAATGAGCATACGTTTAAATTGAATTCTTTATTTTGTATTTGTAAAAATGAGTTTTTTGGAAGAGCTGGTCACAGAGTTGACAACAAAAGGCCAAGATGATCTCGACACAGTGTTGCTGCGCAAAGTGAAGTGTATCTGTAAGCATGACCCAACAACATGCAAACAGAAAACGTATTCCACCATTTATTCGCAGGGCTTCAAAAGCCGCACTCCCAGATCCGGCTCTCCAGCCTGCAAGCCATCGACCACCTATTCCAACGCTCCCACGCATTCCGACAACTACTCATCAGTCGACTGCCAGAATTCCTCGCACTCGCATTGGGCGCCTACAAGCAGGCGCTGCCGGAGCCTGCGGCGCACGCGCGTATGGTGATGAGGCTGGGCAGGAGTGTGTTTATCGGTGGGTCAGGCAGTTTGGCATTGGGTACCAGCGGCTGGTGTATGCGTATCGGTTCTTGCGGTATATTGAGGGGGTGGATTTCCGGGAGGCGGCGAGGGCTGTGCGGGCGAGGGACCCGGAGCGGTGCGCAGGCGGAGGCAGCTTTTGGAGGAGAACCGGAGGAATACATGCGGAGGTCGTTTGCTGCGGTGTGCGCGGATATGAGCAGGTGGCGGGGCGAGATCAAGTGGAGTGTGCGGGCGGTTGACCAGTGCTTTGGCATTCTGGTTCCGGACATTGCCGGGATGTTTGACTTTGCGGCTGATTCAGGCTCTGCTGCTGATGCTGGCAGCGGTGACGAGATGGACGAGTGCGATGATGACGAGGTGCTCGCTGTGATGGCTGCCAACCGGCATGCGATCCATGTGAGGTTGACCCGATAATCTCCTGGAGACCGAGGAGGGCCCGGAAAACACCGCGGTGTTTGACGTTGTGCGCGACCATCTGCGCGATTGTGTCCAAAGACACCGTGTGCGTGTGGCTCTGTGGGTCGACAAGCTGGCGCGTGTTGATGCGCAGGTGGATGAACGAGTGGGGGTGCTGAGAGCGGAGGCCGTTGGGTTGCAGGCAAGGATTGGAGATGCCGTGGCAAAGTGCCGTGAGTTGGGCGTTGACTTTGCATATATGGACTGTAGTCGCGGGCAGAGCAACAGCAGCAGCAGCAGTGCTGATGAGTTTGAGGATGTGACGGAGGAAGTGGCAGCGGAGGTTGTGCAGCGGCTGCGCGCAAGAGCCCGGCCCTCTGCATTTGCCAGAGAGCCGTTGGAGGCAGCGGCGGCAATGCCCAAGAGAAACGCTGTGTTCTCGCTTCTTGACGAGCCGGGAGTCGCCGGTGATCCGACCTATATTGATCCACGCACGCTTCCTAAACGGAATCCACCACAGTTGCCGCCGCCGCCCACAAGTGGCACCGGCGAGCGCTCAGTGGAGGATGTGTTGCGCGAATCAGCGCCGGTGGTGGACTTTGGCAACGACCTGGTTTACTGGGGCCAGTCTGCGGTCGATGCCAACACGTCCGGGCTGGAGATCCGGCACCGCTTCCTGGGATCGGCGCAGGAGCCGGCGACGATCTCGGGGGCAGCAATGCGGCAGCTGCAGATGCGTGCCGTGGACTACGACACCGTGGTGGCGGCCAGGGGCGGCGGGGCGCGTAGGTCTGAGATCAGAGCGTGCAGGGCGCCGCTGAGGAATGGCCGGCTGTGTTCGAGGCGCGACTTGGTCAAGTGTCCGTTCCACGGCGTGGTTGTTCCCAGGGACGAGATGGGCCGGCCGGAGGGTGGGGCTTTGTGCACGAGGAGCCGGACACGGCTGCGACGGTGCAGGCGGCACAGGCAGCGCAGGCAGCGGCAGGCCAGCACAGACGGCACAGACGGCACAGACGGTGGCCACGGCGCAGATGGTGGCTGATCTGGATTGGCGCGAGGTCGAGGCGCTGGAGGAGCAGCGCGTGCTGAGGAGCAAGCGCAAGCAGCCGCCGCAGGCTGAGGGCGGGCTGATCAATGTGCGCAAGAAGCGGACGTCGACTATCGGCCGCCTCAAGTCGGCACTGCGCAAGCTGTGATCTCGAAAGCAATGACAGTCGGTTTCTGGGTTTCTGGATCTGGGGGATTGGCCCCTCCCCTTTTTTCTTCTTTTCTGTTGGTGCGCAGCATACTTCTTTTCTTCCTATTCTTTGTATCACAGCCTTTTTTCTCTCTCGTTTCCCCCCTTAATTTTCCATCCTTTTTCCTTTTTTTTGCCTTCCCTCATTCAAATTATCCTTTTTAAATCCACTTTCGAAAATGGACGACCCGTCCGAAACTGGACTCTCCACAGCAGCCGCCAAGGAAAAGCTCCTGCGGCTGTTGGACACAGACCGGGCCAAAATCACGGTGCCAGGGCACTTCAACACGCGGTCAGCTCCACTAGTGGTGCTTCTAGGGACGACGCTTTTGGTAATCGCAATGCTGGTGGTCAACGGCGCCTACCTTCTGGCCAAGGGCAGCCCCAAGCAGCACCGCGGCACAGCATCTCTGGTGGAGGCCGGGCTGCTATTCCTGAGCGTCTTGTTCACAGCATGCGTGATCCGGCGCGAATCGCACCTTGAGTCAATGGAGCTAGAGGCGCGTCTGCAAGCGATCGCACGCGAGATCCGCGCATGGACCGGCACGTACGCGCAGTTGCGGACGCCACAGCTGGCAACGGTCACCACTACATTGTGCGGCGCGACGGGCAATGGCGCGACGTGCCAACGTTGCTGGTGGTCGAGGGCGACGCACTGGCGCTCGCATACGGCGAAGTTGCACCCTGTTTGTGCACGGGCCCGGGGTTCCAGTTGGAGCGCGGCCAGCGGCTGCATCGGCTGTGGGCGGGCACCGGGAGTGCGCGCACAGAGGTCAAGGCGCAAGAAACGCCGTTGCGCCGGCACTTGGCGCAGATGGCAAGGCACCAAAGACCGGCGGCACGCTCGGTGCTGCAGAACCAGCTGGCGCGCGTTATCCGGCTATGCACCCGCTCGCTGCTCCCCGCATTGGCCTTCCTGGCCTTGCTCGGCAATGCGATCGTCTACGGCGTGCGCAATGGCCGGCAGCTCGGGCAGGTTGGCACTGTGGTGGAGATTCTGGTGGGACGCACGGCGTACACCCTGTTTCCGTTTGCGTGCTCGGCATTGTGGCCGGTGTTCTGGGTGGCCGGGCGTATTTTCGCTAGCGCCTGTGGCGTCGTTTGTTCGACACCCTGCAGCGCAGCAAGACCGAATATGAGGACACGGATGACATTGATGAGTTTGACGTTGAGGCACTGCCTCCGACCAAGGATATTCAGGTAGAGCTGTGTGCTATTTTTGCACGCATGCGGTGGCTATGGACGCACACCGACTACCGCAACCTATCACGGTCCAGCAACCTGGCCGAGACACTGGGCAGCATCACGGTGATCAGCAGTATTGACAAGGAGGGCACGGTGGCCGAGCCACGGTGTGGTCCTGAGCAGATTGTCGTGCCGGAATCTAATGACTACGCTGTGCTGGACCTTGCTGAGCAAATTGTTGGCGCGGAGAAGCGCACGTTGATTGCCGACGATGGATGGCAGAAGTACTTGCCAGGGTTGCGCGCGCTTGGGCTGGCTTGCGCGCTGCAGCAGCCGCGGGAACGTCGCCGCCTGGGGCGTCTCCGGGCGCTGGGCGCTGTCATGCCTGCGCAGGACGTGGCGCTGCGGCCGATTGGCGCCGCCATTGGCTTTTCTGCCGACGATCTGGGGCGGTTCACGGTGGAGGCTGAGGCGGCGGTGTTTTCGCGCCGCGTGCGGTGCGGCGGCACAGCAGCCAGCTTCACTGCCATACTGGTGGCTGGCGGTGGCAGTGGCGGTGCGGGAAGCGGCCGGCAGGTGTTGTCGCATGGGTGCGCTGAGCTGGTGCTGGGCGCCTGCACGGATTACTTTGACGGCGCGGCGATTCGACGCCTGGACGATGAGACAATGGGTATGTACTATGCGCTGTGCCAGAACGCGCTGAAGCAGGATCTGCAGTGCTTGGCTTTCGCCTACCGCCCGGCCGCTGATATCGAAGAGCCGCTGCAGGGATTTATTGCGCTTGACGATGGGGCAACACAGGTGGCAATATGCCTGCGGCAGAGCCTGGGTGCGAGCGGACATTGGCCGCAGCGATGATCTGCCCATGCCCATGCCTATGCACCCGGCCGAGACCAACACAATGGCCCGACCATGCACCCAAGTGAAGCCAACACTCACGATCTGCCCGTGCATTTGACTGAGGCCATGCGCCGCTCCTTTGCGTGCCCGCAGCTGGCGCAGCAGATCCTCCTGGGGCTGGTCACATTTGCGTACGACCCCAAGACCGACGTCTGCGACTTTATCGAGGACTTGTCGATCGCCGGTATCCGCTTTGTGCATTTTTCATCGGCGTCCGGGCGCCAAGCCAAGGCCTTCGGCGAGCGGCTAGGGCTGGAAACGGACTGGAACACGTGCATTCTTCTAAGCAGCGGCGACGCAAACGATGGCGACGGCGACGCAAGCAATGGCAGCGCCAGGAGCGACACCAGCCGCGGAAGCGACACTAATGGAGACGACGGCGGTGGCGGATACGTCGAGGAGTACGATATCAAGGCGCGGCTGCCGCGCGGTATCGACCAGATCCGCCCACACCTTGCCGAGGTCGACGATATTCCACTGCAGATCTCGCTGTTTGCCGAGTGTACGGCGGCGACGACGCGCGAGATGGTGCGGGTGTTCCAGGAAAACGGCGACGTCGCGTGCGTGATCGGTAGCGCATTGGCAGACGCCAACACGCTGACGTTCGCGGCCGCCGATCTCGCGGTCGGCGTCGAGCCCGTGCCGCAGTTCAACGGCGGCGAGCCGCAGGCCGGCAACGACGGGTCGATATCGACAGCGGGCGCGCTATCTACGCAGTTTGCACTGGGAGCGGCATTGACCTGCATCCCATGTCCACTATTCCTGCAGCACGAAACCAGCCTATACACGCTTCTGCAGGTGGTCAGCGAGGCACGGCGGCTGACCGCCAGTCTCTCCCTGGGCGCCATCCTGCTTGGCGGTTCTGCATTAGCGGCTAGCGTGATCAATCTTGTTTCCGCATTATGTTTGCTGCCGCCGGCGATGGGCGGCGTTATGCTATTGTGGGTGCTGTGGGTGGCGGTGCCGCTGCTGGCCGCGGCGCTGCTGTTTGCGCCGCACGACGAGGCGACAATGTCGACGATGCCGGTCAAGAACCACGCGCATGTCGCCGATATGCCGCGGTTCGCCGCCTACGCGGTACTGCGTATGGCGCCGCCCGTGGCGTGACCCTGGCGGTGTACGCTACAGCGCTGAACGCATTGCTTCCTGACGCACGTACCCGCGATTGGATGCATTTGAATGCCGAGGATCAGGCGGCGGTGTGGGCGGCGCAGGCGCTGGCCACTGCCGGGTTTGTGTTCCACTGCGTGTGTATTTCGGCATCGCTGATGCACCGCACACGGTATTTGGATATCCGCTCCCTGCGTAATGCCGCCTGGGTGGGCGCTGTTGTGGTGGTTTTGGCTTTGACTTTTGGCGCCGCTGCGGCGGTTGTGGCGGCCGTGGAGTTCGGCCTGGGGCGCGCGTGCCGTGGTACACTTTTGTTCTTGGGCTCGCTGGCCCATTGGTATTGCTGCCAGTGCAGGATGCCTGCAAAATGCATGATCGGAAGCGATGGACGCGCTTGCAGAAACTGGCCAAGATTGAGTTCAACACAAAACTGGGCTTGCACTCGCCTCTGTGAATTCTCAACTTTTTTTTTCTTCTTTTACTGTACATTTTTTATTACTTTATATTTTTTATTCCATTGGATTTATTTCAAAAAAAAATATAAACCGCTGTACATTTTGCTAATGAAGAGGCTACGTAGAGTAATCAGCAAACAATCCACTGCTGCCACGTCGCCTGTGCAAGTGTCCAGCCCAGATCCAGCCCAGACCGACCACCACTATCACCACCACCACCACCACCACCACCAGCATGTGGAACATGTGGAGCAGGCTGAGCCCCTGGGAGACCTGCCATCAGCCGCTGGTTCTGCAGAAAAGGATCCGTCGTTTCTCTCCTTCCTCAACCGCACATCTCTGCGCCGCCCAACCATGCACCGGTCAACGCAGTCCTTTTCCTCGCCCAACACCACATCTCCAGCCGCGACTGGCGCCATTTACGTGACATCTCATTGACAGGATCGGGAGGGGGAAACTCAACAAGCAAACACAAACGCACATTATCCTCCATTTTACCACTAGCACCTCTACCCATTGCCGCACTGCATCGACAGAACCAAGCTCATCAAACGCAACAACAACTGCAACAGGAAGAATGGCAGAAACTCCGTACTAAAAAGCCCGCCTTCATAGGGTATCCCCCTGGCGGCTTGGAGACGCAGCAGACCAACGGACTGGTTCTCCTGTGTGAGCAGAAATCACCAGATATCTGCGAATACACCATACGGCGCGATTCCGCCGGCTTGCGTTTCAGCGACATACTCGCTGTCGGGCTGGTATCCTGGGCAGCACACATTTTTTTCCGCGGACCCTGTTCTCGCACTCCTGCCTATGGCCGTATACCTTGTGCGGTCCGGCCTGCAGGTGTACCAGGAGTCCCTTGTGGTTATTCGCAATGTTGGAATTCAAACCGAAACTGTGACGTTGGCTGGGTTTCGAAATGTGCGCAGCCATGGGGTGTTGCAAATGGAAGACCTGGTTGTTCACGAGGCACTGCAGTTATTCGAGTACAAGTACTATATGGCTATTATACCAAAAGATCCTGCGCACAGCATTGTTATTATGTTCCCTCACTTATTGCCTAAACTGGACGCCCTGTTGCCTGCATATCATGGTGCGAGACAGTTGTTATTTTCTGATAAAGACAAAAAAAATCCAATGAAATTTGTTATAGAGTGAAAAAAGCATAAATACTATTGAACTTTATTGTATTTAGTGCTTGGTATTTTGTTCTTCGGCTTCGACGGACTTAAGGAACTCCTGGATGTACTTGCTCTCCTCATCGCTGGATGCCTTGATTGGGGGTGCCTTGGTCTTATCGGTGCTGGGAACTGCCGCCTTGAACACAAGTCCGTAGCCGGCGAGAACACCGAGAACGAGCTAGAATATTTAGGAATTCAAATAAAATTAAAGGAGTAATCCCAGAGTGAGACAAGTTAGTGTATGTATGAATGATAAATTAGCGTTAAAAGATGTTTTAATAGTCACTGTCGCTGTCTTCTTATATTGCGTGATCGTTATGTCTCTCTTTCTCCATATTATTATTTTTTTAGTTATCTGTCGCTTACGTAGTGAGTGGGGACCTTACGGCCGGCAATGTTGAAATATCCTCCCATTGTGATTTGAACAAATAAAAAACTTTAAAAAGAAAAAGACTTGTAAATTCGAAATTCAAAAAAAGAAGAAGAAAAACCAAAAACCGAATTGGTCTAGGAAAACTCACTTCCTCCTTTCTCAACCTTGAGGCTGGCTATCTTTGAGGACCACAAGAAAGCAGCTGGAGCTGCTTTCCCTGAAAGCACTACTAAAAAAAAGGCTCACACAATGTTGGTATCTCCACAACTTGATCCTTTAATCTTGGAAAAATCAATCGACTATAAAACTATTTTTTTTCTCTTTTTCATTTTTACACTTGTTAGGACAAGGTTTCAGTCCTTTTTTTTTGCTCTTTCTTTTTTATTAGGTTTATTTTGCTTTTATTGTTTTGCGCATTTAGCAACTCTTACAACATTTTCATATTCCATTAAAACCAACAAAAAATATATAAAAAAGTATGCTCAAAAACAAGTCCTTTGTTAAGCGCACGCGCAAGGGCAACATCGTGCGCACAGTCAAGGAGCACTACCTACGAGACGATATCTCCTGCGGACACGTATCCTGCACGCACACAACCTGCCAAGAGCAACCGCAAAAGGGACCCCTAAGCAGCACCCCACGTAACTCCACTCAATGGGGCCCCCACTACCTAGTCCTGGATACCAACGCCTTTGTCAACCAAATAGACATCCTCGAGCGGCCGATCATCAATGATGTATAGTTCTCAGCACCGTCCTGGATGAGCTCCGCGGGCTCTCAATGCCCGTATATAACCGCGTACGCGCCGTGCTCCGTGATCAGGAGCGCCGGTGGTTTGTTTTCTCCAACGAGCATCATCGCGAGACCTTTGTCGATCGCCTGCCGGAGGAATCACCGAATGATCGGAATGATCGCGCGATTAGAGTTGCTGTTAAATGGCTCGCGGGTCATTACCACCAAGCCGGGATTGTTCCAGTCATGGTGTCCAACGATGAGGATAATTTGCGCAAGGCGAAGGCTGACCAGATCGCCGCTTGTCGGATGGACGAGTGCCTAAAGGTATACAGTGAGCACCCTGATCTTCTCGATATGATGGGCAGCGTAAACCTGGCAGGTGCAGAGTCCGACGGGTGGAGTGCGTATCCGGAGTATCTGACCCGGTGCAGATCCAGGCAGGCCTAAAGGCGTCTATTTTGCTCCAGGGTACTCTCCAGATTGCACCGTATAATTACCTCGAGGGTTCGATTTTCACCAAGTTCCTGATGGCAAGGAGCGCCGCGTCCTGGTTGTTGGCCGCAAAGACATGAACCGCGCGATTCAGGGCGACAAAGTTGTTGTGCAGATCCTTCCAAAGTCGCAGTGGCGCAAGGCACCCAGCGCCGCATTGGTCGATGAGGACGAGGACGCTGTACCGGATGTGTTGAAATCAACCGACTCTTCTGCTGCGCCCGTCGTCCCTGACACGCAAAATAAGGACCAGGGACATGCGCAGAAGCGCGCGCGTGTTGAAGAGCCCGCGGCTACATCAGCAACAGCAGCAGAGTTTGTTAATCCGGCGGATATTGGCGACGATACTGCAGAGGACGGCGAACCCACAGGTTGTGTTGTCGGGATTGTGCGGCGCAACTGGCGTTCGTACTGCGCGTTCCTTGATCCCAACTTTTCTCCCAAGAACAGTCGTGCATCCAGCGGTCCCTCGACGGTCAGCGTGCTGGCCATGGACCGGCGCATTCCCAAGATCAAGATCCGCACGAGACAATTGGATATACTCGCCGGACAGCGGTTTGTTGTGGCGATTGACTCGTGGCCGAAGGAGTCGCGCTACCCGCATGGCCATTTCGTGCGCGCCTTGGGCGACGCCGGAGATAAGGCGACGGAGACCGAGGTGCTTTTGCTTGAACACGATGTGCCATTCCAGCCGTTCACCAAGAACGTGCACGCGGACTTGCCTGCCGAAGGCGGTAACTGGCTCTTTGATGCGGATCGCGACCAGGTGTCCTGCGGCAAGCGCCGTGACCTGCGTCACCTGGATATCTGCAGCATTGATCCGCCCGGCTGTACGGATATCGACGATGCCCTGCATGCGATCGAGCTGCCGAACGGTAATTTCCAGGTCGGCGTTCATATTGCTGATGTGACCAACTTTGTCAAGCCCAACACGGCGATGGACAAAGAGGCCGCATACCGCTCGACCACCGTGTACCTGGTTGACCGCCGTATCGACATGTTACCGGAGCTTCTGGGAACCAATCTGTGCTCGCTCATGTCCAACGTCGACCGGCTTTCCTTCTCGTGCATCTGGGAGCTCGACCCCGAGGCCAATATTATCAATGTGAAGTTCCACAAGAGCGTCATTCACTCCAAGGCGTCCCTGACCTACGAGGCTGCTCAAACCCGTATTGACGACGCATCCATGAAAGACCCGATCACTAAGAGCATCCGCGATCTGAACATGCTGGCGAAGAAACTGCGCCAGCGCAGAATGGATGCCGGTGCCCTAACATTGTCCTCGCCTGAGGTGCGGTTCCGGCTTGAAAACGATTCGCAAGACCCCGTGGATGTCGAGATGAAGGCGCTCAAGGAGACCAACGCACTGGTCGAGGAATTCATGTTGCTCGCAAATATCAGCGTCGCGGGCAAGATCTACGAGCACTTCCCGGACTCCGCTATGCTGCGTAGACACCCTGAACCGCCGGCTCAGAACTTTGACAACCTACAGCATGCGCTTAAGCCGCTCGGAATACAGCTGGAAACCGGAAGCAGCCTGGCGCTGGCCCGCTCCCTTGATCGCGCCATTGTGCCCAACGACCCGTACTTCAACAACCTCCTGCGCATCTTGACTACCCGGTGCATGATGCAAGCGCAGTATTTCTGCTCCGGTACTTGTACGCCTGAGGAGTTCCGGCATTACGGTTTGGCTTCCGAGATTTACACACATTTCACCAGTCCTATCCGTCGTTACGCGGATGTGATGGTGCATCGGTTGCTGCATGCCTCGATCGACCGCGATGCCATATATGGCTCGGAGCTGACAGACAAGACCAAGATGACTGAGCAATGCGAGGTACTCAACCACCGTCACAGAATGGCGCAGCAGGCCGGAAGGTCGTCAGTCGAGCTATACACTAACCTGTTCTTCAAGGGTAAGACTATTGAGGAGCCCGGTTACGTTACGCAGATTCTGCAGAACGGCTTTGGCGTGCTGATCCCCAGCTACGGTATTGAGGGCGTGGTGTACACGACCAATAAGGAGGACTCGGAGGCAATGGTGGCTGCCTTGGAGTACGTGCAGGAGTCGCATACTTTGGTTTCTCCCGATCAGAGCTCGTCGATTGGACTTTTCCAACGCGTGAGGGTGGTGCTGCAGGTGGATGATAAGCCGGTAAGTGCAAATGTTAGCTCGATGAGGCGCAAGCTTTTGTTGCGCTTGACTGAGCCGCAGATCGAGGGACTGTCGGTGAGCCCAGAGGATTTGAACAAAATGAGGGATGCTGCTGCTGCTAATAACGCAAAGAAGAATCAGATGTCTGAGGAAAAGATTGTCGAGATGGTCACTAAGCATCCTGAACAAGTTGAGACTATTTAATTTTCAATAAAAAAATAGTATTTTTCATTTTTCATTTATTTATATATAATTTTTTCTTCCTACTTTGAATCTAAATCCTCATCAGAAATATCCTTAAACAAAGCAGGATACTTCTCCCTCAACACACGTCTTCTCTCGAGCAATTCCGGTGTAACCTCGACCTTGATCTTGGCAAACATCTCCTCCAGTACACCGGCAAGCTGCTCATCGGCTCTCCGCACACCTTCGTCGACGGGCAATGGCTTCAGAGGATTCATTTTTGCCGCTTGGATGATTTTTGAAAACCGTTTGCAAAACTCCTCGTGCTGAAGATCACTTACTCCCGCGGAATCCTTTGTATCGCCATCATTATCGTCGTTGTATGAATCCTGGGGAATACGGCCATGTGTGTTGTTGCTGCTGCTGCTGCTGCTAGTATGCAGTGACTGGTGGTGCTGGTAGTGGTAGTTTATCGTGCCCGAGGTGGTAGCAGTGGTGGCGGTGATCCGCCCGGCATAAATGAATGCTGCTGTCAATAGGCGCTGTTGTGCGCCGAAAGACACAATTGATTTCTTTAGAAATAATTGCCTAAACATTTTGTAAAAAGATGTTTGATACTTGTGTGAGTGAGATAAAGTTTACAAAAAATTAGCAACATTCCGTATTGAAAGCTTTTTTCACTGTGAAAAGCGGGTGCGAAATGAAATATGCTTGGGTTTACAGGTGTATACACGTGATTTTAAAAAACCTTGCTCGAGCATTTTCAAGACTTTGAAGAATTAAAGCCTGGATCAAATCAGACTTTGATCGGATTGTGAGCTTCAAAGCCTTCGCTAACATTCAAGATTGAGGGGACAGCAATATACTAAATCAAACATGAAATATCCTTTCAACTCTTTTCTCCTTTCTTATTAAAAAAATTCCGCATTTTGCAATACTCTCACACATTCACTGTACAAATGAGCTTTAATCGGTTTCGCGTTTACGACCTGATGCAAAAGTCAATGTCGACATTGCTCTTTGCGACCACAGTTGCCGGATCGGGCTTCATCGGCCTCAACGTATACAACAACTGGGTCGAGAAGCAGAAGCTGCAGAAAGAGGTACACATTGTCGATAAAAAACTAGTAAAAGTAAACGTAACAACCTTTTCTTAATTGATGGTATCTACAAGGAAAGAAAAACAAGCATACTTTGTTCTGCTCATATTCATTAAACGACAATACTTTTAATGCTCTCTTTTTTCTTTGACTCTTGGATATGAATAGATGGCATACAAGCGCATGGTCAAGGACAACCCGGAAAGCAAGAGCAGTTAGATGTGCGGTTGTAGTCTGTTTATCTTTGTGAGCCCAACGAATGTCATTTTGTTTGGTAAAAATATATACTTTATGCTCGTCGACCGTAATGTGACACGTGATGATACATCGCCTAAAAAGCGATGGACAGAGAAGTAAAAAACGAAATGAAATAAAAACAGCTTCTTTTTCGTTTTTTATTTTAATAGCTATTTTTAGATTTCACACCGTAATTTACACCTAATTGCCCTCACAAATGTCAAGGCGAGCGAACCGGACACCAAATGAAGAAGCGGATGCAGGCCTTGGTGAGGCCTTTGAGCTGGAGCAGCAAAACAACCGCCACCTCGACAGCCTGGCGGCAAAAGTAACAGCCCTGCACAGCGTCAGCCTGAACATTCACGACGATGTGAATGACCAAAACAGATTGCTAGACGGCACCTCCGAGACATTCAACCGCTTTGGAAATATGTTTGACAGGACACGATACCAGCTGACGCATACACTGACAACCGCTAATTCGAAATTCCTCTTCTACTTGACGCTCATTCTTGTGCTTGGTGTGTTTGGCCTGTATTATATTGCCAGAAATATATTGACGCGGGAAGGTGACCCTAGCGAGCTTTTGTAGAGGCGTGCTTCTTTGGCTCGCATTTTTGTATTCGTACTTTTTTTGGGAAAAAGAAGACAAGTGGACAAATGCTTCTTTTTTCCATAGAATATAAGATTATTAAATATTTCGTAACAGCACATTGTGTCTTAATGCAAAAAAATTCGGTGCGGACCGCTTGCATACTTGAATGGTTGTTGGCAACAAGCGGTCCTTTTTGTCTGCATCGGCAAATTCGCTGCTATTGTTCAAAATGGATTCCTGCATGGTGTGGGAGAGGTGTTTTCTCGAAATGCACCATATATTGAAAACCTCTGTCAATACCATGTTGTCTCCGTGCGTGCGTGTCATTGCATGGGCACCAGCGCGTGATATATTCGCAACATGTGCACTGGGTGCACTTGTAAAAATGTTGTCGATTCGTGCCTGTGTTTCTGTTTGTCTATTTGCAAATGTGAGTTTATTTATTTATTTTATTAAACTGCCTTTATTGTCGGTCAGTATTGATGGGCAATGTTTACACTCTGCTTGATTTTGTGTAGACTATTAGTAGAAAAATGGCCATATTTGGGCAATTTATGTGCTTGGCCGCACGAACGGTCTATCAAGACATGTGCGGATCAGGCCAGAAAAAATTGTTTTGAAGCTGTTTTAACTCACTTCAATATCTGACAAATATATTTTTCCCGCTTACAAATGATCTACAAAAAGACTTTTTAAACGAGGACAATAAAACTTTAATTCATAATTTGTCTGTCCGCGACTATACGAAGAACTGGTGGACATGTCGTTTCCTGCACGCACGTTTGTGTCTGCCGTATATGAGGGGGGATTGCCATATTTTAGTATCAAAAACAAATTGTATAAGCTGTATCCAACAGGCAATGACAGGCTTTTTTTTCGTTTATGTGACCATCGAATGTCTTTTTTCAAGATTGGGTAGTGTACAAAACGATAGCGAGTGCCCGTGTTATTTTTCCATTCTCTTGCATGTAGACCAACCTGCATGAGCACGCGTATATTTTATGCGCAGGCTGAACGATAGGCATAGTATGCATTGCCCCTTTTTATTAGTTGCTTGTCCATGGCCAAAAATAGAGTGTAAAAAATGAACAGAAGGACACGACAACGGTCTTTGACAAAAATTTCTTTCTATACTCGCATATATTGGACCTGTCTATTTTTCGTGATTTTTTGCAAATATTCCGCCTTGAGTTTAGTTGGGTTGTTTTAGTTCGGGGAAGTGTAGGAAAATGATCAGCGCGTCACCACTCGCAAAATTAAGCCCCTGCGTCCCTTTCACTCGGCTGGCTCACTTGTTCACACTCTAAAATATTTAAACGCACTTTCATAAGGACTTTAATTATTTTTATTTTAACTCTAATAAAACATGCCTGTATATATAAGACAATTCATTATCCTTCGACTTTTCAATTTTAGAATTGGCACTTATATTCAAAGTATATTATAGTATTTTATTTAATGATTTTATGCCTTAGCCATTGCTCGCTTGCTCACTAATAACACTATTACTTTTATTAGCCCCTCCGTTTGTCAACCAAGTTGCACCTAATTTCTAACGCAACCCACTACTCCAGTCATGAACTTCTACAGCCTATTCGTCACGCTTGCTGTTTCCAGCACGTTGGCCACTACTGCTATTGCGTATCCTGCTGCCATCATGACCCGAATGGTCTAGTCATCCCATTAGTCATACAAGAAAATTCCGAAAATATTACAATTGACTGCACCAATTATAAAGTTCAGGAATATTTGAATGTAAGGGCTATAACGTTGGGTACGTCAACATTGCCCCACGCTAGTTAGGCAGAATGACTTTGGCTACAGATGCTCTTGTCAGCCCGCTACTTCTAAAATTACGAATTTTACGCACACTCTTTATATATATTTCCTACTTTACGACCTTTAATAAACTATTTTCAACATTGTTAATATTTCTTGTTTCAATTTGCATAGGAAAAAAATGAACAAAAATGTAAGTTGTGTGCAAGCAATATTTTTAAAAATATTATTATTAAACAAGCTGGAAGTAAATGATTAAATGGCGCCGTAAAAACCCTGTGCACTGGAGTCGCTCCTGACGTTCCTCATCACATTGTCATCACCAAGGCTCGCAATAGTAGTTGTAAACGAGCCATTCTCCTCAAGCACACGTCCTGGCGAGTACTGCGGTGTGTCACCCTCGTTTGAGCTTAAAGAAAAGGCATCACTGTGCGATGTGTTGGATTCAGCCCGTTCGGTAATAATGATTCCATTTTTCTTAATCATCGACGCGCGAGGAGTAGTTTGCTGGCTTGCAGAAGTAAAGCCGGATACACCCTTTGTGCGCCCAAAGCGACGGCGAACCAACTTTCTGACTTCAGACACAACGTTCATACGCCGGGGTCGGTCAGAAACACCAAAAAGTTGAGGATTACAATTGACGGGAACGCAACCCAGTTGATATACATGAGCACGGTCATTGTGTAAACGTCCGACTGGTATGTCATTGTGATATGGTACTGAACGCCGTAAAACGTAGCATTGAATATCCACCACAAAATCGGAGTCAGAGGGTACAATGCTATGCGAATGCAGGCTCTGTACACCCTGCGCACGGCCTGAAGCTGGCGCGTGTCTTCTGCTGTCAGGCTGGTACCCGTGAGCTGCCTATTTTGCTGATGGAAGTTGGCTTATCCGAAGCATCTTTGAGCAGCCGATTCGTCTCAAAAGATGCGCTATTCAGCGCACGACTGACCTTGCGCTGCTTGAAGTAAAGGGTTAAGATGACCCTAATAGACGTGAACACGTTGTAGAGGACAAAGATTGCCGGCACCAAAAGGGTAACAAAGATAATGTAGATAAGATACTTCTTTGTGCCCGGCATTATAGGGTTCAATGGGTGGCACTCATCGTGGCGTATAGCCCAGGCGTACTGTGGAATCGTGTGAATGGCTGATGCGAGGATTGGAACCGCGAAATAAAGATATTCGGTGTATTTTGGCAACGGCTTGCGGGAGGAGCGCAGAAATACCATTTGCAAATTGAATGCAATCGCGGAGGATAAGTAGACAGATAATGCCACACAGAAATCTATGAAAAAGCCATTGACCTGGCACTTGACCAAAGTTTTAGCGGTGAACGACCGAATCGTAAATATGCTCTGGATTAAATCGCTGACGCATATTAAAAAGATTAAGCGCAAAGAGATGCGGTTAACCAGGGATCGGCGCCAAATAAAGACGCTCGTTAAAAAGAGGACCATCGCACCACTAAAAACTGTGCTGATATAGACAAGGGTTTTAACCACCCAAATTTTATTGTTAATTTTGCCGAACATCTCCTCAGCTAAAACGTTTGGATCCTCTGGACCCAATGCAATGTCGCGCCTAAAAAATGGCATGGTGAATATAAAACAAATATAAAATAAAGTTTAAATGTAATGAGATGGATAAATGTAACAAGTGCTGTAAAATTATAATAACAAAAGGACGGAGAGTAGATTGTATGGCTAACTAATGCTAACTCTGACAAAAATGTGGCAGATAGATGCTTTTATTTAAATCAATTTTTTTATAAAAAGTTTATGTTCCAAAGTATGCCTTTAACCGCATCGTGTGTTAATATACAAGCCTACAATTGAAATAACATTGCAGTTCGCACACTATGTATTGTTTATTTTACAATGCTATTATGTGGCATTTGTGGTTATTATACTCTCATGTTCAAAAGAGAGCGTGTGCGGTAGGCATGTTAATTGTACAATCGTAATAACTGCCCAAATTGTACATGGGGTGTATGTAGACAAAGTAGCCCCCTCAAATCAGCCTATGCGCGCAATCACGCTTTGTTTGCATTATCCTGTTTTTCTGGGGCACGCCAACTTTGCGACAGATTTTGTACAATAATTAAAGTTCGCAGTTTGACCTATTGTGTCATAGAGTTTACCAGCAATGTGTATTGCAGCATAATAAAAATACTAGTTTAATGGATATTTTGTGCACACGGTATAATTGCCCCCGTTTACATGCCCTTTCAAATATTGTCATTAAAGATTGCTGGGCGTGCTCTTTAGTGTTCCAATGGAAATGTTTACAATCGCCAGATATTATTCGCGGGCCCTTTATGGTGGCTCCATCACATGCACCCCATGCATAACGCGTTGCGTGCTCCAATCCTAATTGATACGCAACAATCTTATGCTGTGGAAATGAAAACATAAGCATGAGAATGAACATGAGAATGAAGCATGAGCATAAGCATGATTGTGATTTAATTGAAATTATAAACAATTCTGATTACGGATCGCGATTGATTTGACAGCCAATTCCGCTTTTAAAATAAAGTCTTGGCATTGCGACATACGAACAACGCTTGAACACAACGACAGAATGTTGATTTATATACCCGACATCGCTTCTGTAAATTCTGATTCTTTCTTTCTTTTTCTTCATTCCCTTCATCCGCATTTTATTTTATATATTTTCTTTCAACAAACCAAACCAAAACTAGCCATGGCCACCACCGCTGCACTGAAATTGTCTGTTGACAACGTCATTCTTGGCAAAGGCTTCCTTGAGGCCGCCCGTGAGTTTAAAACGCAAACACCCGGCAAGAGTGCTCTCGTCCTTGGCGGCACCGGCGAGGTCGGACGCGAGGTAATCAAGCACCTGGTGGCATCTGATGCCTTTGACAAAGTCACTGTGTTCACCCGGCGCCCTATCGAGATCACCGGCACCAACGCTGACAAGGTTGTACAAAAACCTGTGGATTTTGAGAACATTGCACAGCTGGAGAGCGACTTTGCTGGGCACACGCACGCGTTCAGCTGCTTGGGTACCACTCGTGGGAAGAGCGGTAGCGACGGGTTTTACAAAGTCGACCACGACTACGTGCTGAATGCCGCCAAGGCGTGCAAGAAAGTCCAGGTGGAGCATTATTCCATCTGCAGCTCCAAGGGCGCGGACAAGACCTCGCGCTTCTTGTATCCCAGGACTAAAGGTGAGGTCGACGATGAGGTGATGAACATGGGGTTTGCGCATGCGTCCATCTACCGCCCTGGCATGATTGAGTGTGACCGCGAGGAGTCACGGCCCATGGAGAAAGTTTTCTCGTACCTTCTCCCCGTTGTAAAGCTGGTGTTTCCAAAGTCCGCTGCCGCTCCGAGCTCAACTATCGCCTGGTCAATGGTTTTTGATGCGCTCAAGCCCTCAGAGACGAGAAATCCGTGGTGTTCGAGAACACTGACATCATGAATACGTTCGAGAAGAACCAGTGAGTCCGATATATTTTGAATATACAACAGCAGCCAGCAACGACTGGACCAGACCGGATTAAACCAATCAGACCTGGTTTTCGGTTTCTTATTTGACAACTATTGTAATGCAATTTTATTTTTGAATATGTATGAGACGAAAGCACTTTTCCGCAGAGACCGCACTGGCATTGTCTGCATCTTAGATTGGCACAACCATGCCATCAAAGGCTGGGTCCACGATGAGGTTCTCCTCTTCCTTAAGCTTCTCACTATACCGCTCCAACTCGCTGTGCTCCATCCTGTGGCAAAAGTCAGTAAAGATGGCACGCTCGGGCTTGAAGTATCTGACCTCATCCAGCGCATCCCAGTACCCAAAGTGCGATGGGTGGCTGGTCCACTTGAGCGCATCTAGAATCATCAGCTTGGACCCAGCCATCAGCAACCGAGTCTCGTCGGGAATACGCGAACAATCGGACACATACGAGATGTCGTCAAAGCGGAACCCAGTAAAGTAGAATGGCCTGCCGTCACTGTACGTGCCATGCTCAACCCGTAGCGGCTGAATCGTTATGCCCAGGCATTGAAACGGGCTGAAAGAGTCATGGATGACATGGAAGGCCAGTGAGGGCACTGCGCCTCCGCCCGTCGCCTTGCCCGTGTCCACCAGATACGGGAATGCCTCACCCACGGTACCCATGGTCTCCTTGTCGCAGTAAATTGGAATGCTCAGGTTCAGGCCCATGGTCCACTGTCGCAAATCGTCCAGACCAAACATCGCGTCGGCGTGTCCATGGGTCAGCAACACGGCGTCGACAGTCTCAATGTTGTGCTTGATGAACACTTCCCTGGCTGATTCATAAAACGTCTTGCCGCAGTCAATGACTATGTTTCTGATGCGACCATCCGGATGGTCGACGCGAACGAGCAAAGACGTGTTGCGCCGCTGGTTCTTCCGCCCCTCGGGCGTCATCGACAGTTTGCACACCTTGCATCGGGGGTTGTTGGACGTGATGCAGGGGATGTTTGGGATGCAGCCAGAGGTTCCGGTTCCCAGGAAGATGAGCTCACGGACGCGGGGCATAGATACGACAGGGTCGATGGAAACCATGATAGCAATAAATAAATGTTTTGTGCTGCGGCCTGACAGGAAATGAACAAATCGGGTGTAAAAAACTATAATCGAAAATATTTTTTATTTTCAAACGCAAGACAACAAAGGAGGAAAAGGTCTTGCCATGACGCCAAGATTTGACCTTTTTCAGTGTGTCTAATTGATACCTGCCGCAGTTTTTTTTCTTTGGAGAAAACTGCAAAAAGCGAGGGATAAAGGTTTTTTTCTCTAGAGACGATCGGGGAAATAAAATACCGTGATTTTACTTCGTGTGACCAAAAAATTTCAGCCCCCTTTTCCTCTGCGTTTCTCACCTTTTCTATTTTTTGCACACTTGTATCCGAATATATATATTTTATTGGGGTAGAAGATGTTGAGAACAGCCAAGTTTTTCTTTATCGCAAAACATCACAGTGCCAATGGAAACTTGACAGATAGACGATCAGAATGGCAATAGATGAGATCACCAGAGCACCCTAACGAGTTAGTCATCAATAAAAATATTTTTGCATCTGGTTCCTCACCCAGCAGGGAACAGCGAGCCGAAATCTATGCATGAATGCGAATGCAAATAGTTGCTTATAGTCGCAACAGTTCATGCAGTGAATGCTATTTTGGAGAATGCCAATAACCAAAACATTGTTAGTTTGCAATATGTAAACATGAAAATAACAACAAAATATTGCAAATATTGCAAAATATAAAGTAGATCGGCTGCAACAAAAATGGCGAATATATTTCACAGGACCCTGGCTATAACATCTCCATATCGAGACGGCTGAAAGTTGCTTTTGGCTTTTGTGGATTTTTTTCTCTGAAATCTTGTGTTTTTCATTTCAAAAATAGCTGTTTAATTAAACCATTTTACATGCGCGTAAGCAGATATTTCCAATACGCCACATTCAAATAAGCCGCATTTCTGGTTTGCAGAATGAATAAAAAATTCCTTCAAAAAATATTTAATAACGGCTTGATAAGTGTTTGTTTTAGCCTTTCATATCCTTGCCTTCCTACATCGTATTATTTGCTCTAATACTGGTAACACATACAAAACACCTACCAATCGCACTACTACCCAACACGTCCAAGCAAGCAATGACTTCACCAATTAGCAACGATGATGTACAAGCAGTCACAGATATACTGCGGCTGCTCGATAGCGCCGAAAATAACGATCTGGTGAGGTTTCTAGAGTCTGAGCGCAACGAGCTTTTCACGTTTCGCCGCCGAACAGACCAGTACGAGTGTGCGATTTTAGAGCTTAGAGACCACCTAGACCGCATCTATGCTGTTGTCGGCGGTCTCAGCGCCCTGCCAATGTCCGAAACCACGCGGGAGGTTCTGAAAATCATCGGTGGGCAGACACACAGTAATGATGGTCATCACAGATCGTTGGTACAAATGCCCATGACGCCGCCGACTCTGGGAAACGGCAGCAGCCGGTCAGCAGTGTCAAATATTGCAGCTGTCATAAACCCATCTCCGGAGAGTTCGCCAGATATGAGGTTTGGAGTTGAGCATTTGCCGTGCGCTCCAAAAACCCCGTTTGTCAAACAAACGACAACCGATATAGCAGGAACCCGCTTTGCTGAAAAGGCCATTCAGACCGCAAATGCTGACCACCAGCACGTACTATCCGATTTACAACATACCATAGCCTGCCAGCGCACGGATATCAGAGACCTCGAGACGTCTCTGCGAGAGTGCAGAGCACAGGTCCGGGGACTGCGAAACCAGCTCCACGACAGGAGCTAAAAATGTTTGCTGCAACTCCCAATTCCACCGGACTGCGTCGTATAGAGTCGAGCGTGGTGGGTAACAATAATATACTGGCCCACCTGCACACCACAGACAACGCCTTGCCCGGCGATCAGCAGCAGCAGGGAATATTGATGAGCCAAAGACAGATCTCTTGTGTGGAATTGCCGTAGCCACCAGGGTGTCGTGCGACTCCAGCATTTCTAGTAGCACGTCGTCTGCTTCGACAGGAATCAATGATAGTCAGATGGTAGGTCCGAGCAGCGCCAGCAGCAGCCCTATTCTCGGCGCAGATATGCGCTCAGGCCTTCGCGGTTTGTAAACGGGTGGCCCGTGTACGATGAAGAGGTCGATAAGACCGACTACAGAACAACCGACAAGGATAGTGTCATAGATGCAATGCCTGCCGCCTCTGTTAAAGACAGCATCAATATTGAGATCGAAACCGCCACCATACCCAGCTTTTCAGATTTCCCAGAGGCCCCGCACACGCACATGCTCATGCACATGCACACGCACACTGGCGCAGTAACGTTCAGGTCAAGTGTTGCATCAGAGCTGAATGGCGACGGTGCCTACAACACCAACACTGTAAATGTAACTAAAATGACCACGCCCCAGCTGTTCCGCTCGGTCATGGGCAAGGCGCCCCGGCGGATTTACTCGCGACTGACCAACCGACTCAAGAAAATACCATGAAAACACTTAAATTATTCCACACCTAAGTGTCAATAGCAATATATAACAATGTAATTAAATTTGTCAGGAAAATTGAATTTTTGAACGAAAGAGAAAACCAAAATATTAGATGCTAGCGCTTGACTGCTGATCGACGACGCGCAGTGGCTGTCGCCTTGGCCGTATTTGAAGGGGGCGGCCCACTTGTAGTGGATGCCGCTGCAGGGTTCTGATGTTGTTGATCATCAGCGCACTTTCGCCGCTTAATAATGCGACTCGCAGCGGTGGTAACAGCAGCATTAGACTCTACATATAAAGAAGAAAACAAGAAAGAAGTAACAAATGCAGCAGGGAGGATTTAGTTGAGAGGCGGAGGCGGCAGAGGAGGAAGTGTAGCGGAGTGCGTGTAAAATAAAGCCAGGGCTTGGAATAGCAGGATAATCCGAATCATTCGGTGTACTCACCTGAAACGCGCTTGGCGGACGATGCCGTTGCACGCAGGTACCCAGGTGCAGCAGAAGCAGAAGCAGCAACAGCTGCTGTGGTGGATGCAATGTTATCAGAGCGCAGCGTCATGCGCCTGGGCTGCTCGGCATCGGCATTGGCGTCGACATTGGTTTCAGCAGCGATAACTCCTGCAGGGGCAGCCGCCTTTGCAGGGCGCTGGGCGCGTAGGGCCTCCTCCATGCGTGACGAAACGAGGTTGCGTGATTGCGGCCGCACGGCATGCTGAGCACGCGTCGAACGCACGCTGGTGGTTGGCGCGTTCAGTGAAGAAAACTTGAGTCCAGTGCCGCGCTGCGCCCGCGTGGTCGACTTGGGCTTAGCCTCAATGATCTTTGGGTCCTCTGCCAGTGTCTGCTCGTCGGCGGATTCAGCGGTCTTTTCCGCAACTGCTGGCGGCGTGGCAGACTTGCTGGTCTCGGTCACAGTTTCGTCATCTCCAATGCTGCAACCGAAGCAGTGTCTGCGCCAGCAATAGAAGCAACGGTGGCGACTGGAGAGGCAATACGGCTGCCTGGAACAGTAACTACAGGTGACACCGATGCGTGAGCAGAATCGACAGGCAGCAGCTGTTCGGCGGGGGCAGCGGCAGCGGCAGCCGGTTCTTCGTTTAGGAGCCGTGCCATGGCAGGCTCAGAACCTTTGGGAGACAAGAGGATATTTTCCAGGCTGGGGTTGCGCATGCCCATAGTTGGCGGCGCGGACGCAGCGACAGTTGCAGCTGCGACGGGAGTAAGGATAGAGTCTGCAGTACTTTCAGAGGCTGACTCCAGGGCAATAACTGTAGGGTCAACAATGGACAGTGGGGCTGGCGTTGAGGTTCCGTCGCGACGCACAGCAGTCGGCGCCTGTCTGGTAATCGGGCGTACTGGCTTGGGACGGACCGGGCCGCTGGCACTAACTTGGGCATCAGGCGCAGCCCCCACCACAGGGTTCGCGTTGGGCCTCTGCGCCATTATGCGTTCACGCAGCGGCACGCGCTGCTGTTTAAAGGCAGCAAACTGGCTCTGTGGCCGTCCGCCGGCAGCGCCGTCGTCGATTTTCAAGTACTTCTTTGCCGTCGACGATAGTCCTGCGTGGAAAGCCTCTACGCGCGTGCTGAAGCGCTTGATGTAAATCTCGTACGACTGCCTGGCTGTTGTGCGCGCATCCGGATTGGCATCAACGACACCTGTCGCAATGGCCTTCTCGACAATGGCCAAGTGCGGAGTCAGCTCGGGCACTGTACAACAGGAGATAATGGCCATAAGAAACTTTGCTGCGCTGCTGCGGACTGTTTTGTTGGCGTCCGTGGAGGCTGCGTCGCAGATGCGCGGGTCTGTTCGGGGATGTGCGCATACGTGATGACTGTGGTTAGACACTTGACCCCGCGAGTCACAAATACTTTGTTGGCACGACCACATATCTTCATTACTGACGGGAACAGCAAATCGCTGAGCAATGAGAACCGCAACTCCAAATTCCGCGCCATTTCCTCGACCAACGACAGTGCCGTGCCGCTAAGACGCGTGCGCTCGCTGATCACCTATTAAATATAAACACGAAAGAACGGCTTAGCATGAGAGATATTACATGTAATACACAATAGTCAAACAAAAAAGGTATAGCGAAAGAGTTTCGTCGAAATTGGTACTTACTGCGCTGTTGATATATTTCGCTGCCTGCTTGATACTCGGCACAAATGTGTCAAATTTTGTCGCACCCGCCTTGACCAGGGAAACAAGCCCCTTCAACGCGTCATCAAGCTGTTGCCATGTCTCTTCGTGCTCGACAACATCGAGCTTTGCGACGAGAATGCGGAACTTTGTATCGAAATCGCTTGCGCTTTCACACTATATGCTTGCTCAAAAAATATATGTTTACGATAATAAAGGGGGTCGTGTTAGTACCAACATTTTGACAGGCTGCAAAAATCGACAGTAGAAGCAGTGCTCGGGAGCTTCAAAAAGGGAAACAATGGTGTTTACACCAGCGTTGGCGGTGAGCGAACCTTTGTATAATCCATGCGAGTTGAGGTCTTAAAAGTATGAGCGTTGTTATAGTCTGTAAATTATATATAAAATAGTTTGAATCGTGAGAAATAAAATTACTAAAGTGAACAAGTCAAGCGAAGGAGAAGGAAGAATGGAGAACCATGAAGGGGGAAGGCTCTGGTTTATTCTGCAAGGGGTTGGGGAACACTCGGAGGAACGTTGTTTGCGACAAAAAACAAACAAAAAACGATGCTGCTCAGGCACTATTCGAGTTTTTTGAACTTTGAAAAATAAATCGAGCCAGCGTATTGGGTGCAGCGGAGGATGCATACTGCTGATCCTCGTCTTGATTAAATCCACCAGTCTCACTCGACAAAAGCGGTTATGGAAATTGTGTGTTCATTGTGCAAAAGTAAACGGGAACGATAACTTTGGAAAGTAAAACTTTTTAATTGGCTGCCTGAATATTAGGACCAGAGAGGGCTTGTTAGATCCTTGGCCCAAATGGCGCAGAGTTAAGAATGTAGCTCAGTAGCCAGTTCCTGTTTTTCACCTTTTTTCCATATTCTGGTGGTGTTAACGCCTCACATATTCTTACATATTTGAACCCATTCTCGATTAACAGTCTGAGTAATCAGCGAGCAAAGCGAGCGGGTGATAATGACTAGTCGTTTGAAAAAGTTAAAAATAAACAAAACGTAGAAACAGAAAATGTCCACCCTAATTAGAGGCAGCGACAGCAGCTCTTCTGCGGCGGTTGCACACGGCCTCGCGCAGGTTGTCCAGCATCTTGACCGTGTCATCCCAGTTGACGCACGCGTCGGTGATGCTCTTGCCGTACACCAGGTTGGACAGATCGCCGTCCTCGGGGATGTTCTGGTTGCCCTCGACCAGGTTGCTCTCAATCATCACGCCAACAATGTTCTTGCCTGACTCTGTGGCGCTGAGTTGGTGCGCGATGCTGTCCGAGACAATGGGCTGCTTCCGGAAGTCCTTCGAGCTGTTGCCATGGCTGCAGTCAACCATCAGGCGCGCGTTGACACCAGCCTTGGTCAGCTGCGCGACATAGTTGTCGACATACTTCTCCTCGTAGTTGGGCCCTTCGGCGCCACCGCGGAGGATAATGTGGCAGTGCTTGTTACCCTGCGTCTCAACAATGGCGCTGAGGCCCTGCTTGGTCACCGACAGGAAGCAGTGGGGCGACTCTGCCGACTTGATCGCGTCCACAGCAATCTTGACGTTGCCGTCGGTGCCGTTCTTGAATCCAATGGGCACCGACATACCCGATGACAGCTCGCGGTGCACCTGCGACTCGGTGGTGCGCGCGCCAATGGCACCCCAGCTGATGAGATCTCCAATGTACTGCGGTGAGATGGTATCCAGCAGCTCGCATCCAGCCGGCAATCCCTTCTCGGAGATGTCCAGAAGCAACGTGCGGGCCTTGCGCAGGCCCTTGTTGATCGCGTAGTTGTTGTTGAGGTCGGGGTCGTTGATCAGGCCCTTCCAGCCGACCGTCGTGCGAGGCTTCTCAAAGTACACGCGCATGACGATGCACAGGTCCTCGGAGGAGGTCTCGGCATAGGCGCTCAGGAGATCAGCGTACTCCAGGGCTGCGGTCGGGTTGTGGATCGAGCAGGGGCCGACGATGACCAGAAGACGATCGTCCTCGCCCTGGATGATTGCTTCAGCCGCCTTACGGCCCTTGACAATTGTGGCGGCAGCGGACTCAGTCAGAGGCAGGTCCTCCATGAGGATCTGGGGCGGGATGAGAGGGCGGATGCGCGCAATGTTGACATCGTCAAGCTCGTTGAGAGCATGGACGTAACGGTGGCTGTCGTTGGATTTGCCGCTCATTTTCTGGTCTTCTGTTTTGGTGTTGGATGCGCTGGGCATAATACAAATGTGAAAATATAAAGTAAAGAGAGAGAAGGTGGAGAGCTAGTGTCGTGTGCAAAAATGGAAAATGAAAATTAAATAAGAAAAGGCCGAGAGAGAAAATGGAGTCCCGACTCAGGGCCCTTTTATATGCGATAGCCAAATTGGGCGGACGAATAAAAGGCTCAACACTTTTCCGCTTTGACCAATTTGGATAACAGCCCACGCCAAAAACTATCGCTGTGACTCATGGCTTGTCACTTTCAGCTGTTTTCCAAGCTCGCGCCGTCTCGTATTGACACGAGCACCAACAATTTCTAAAGATCAAAATTTTAGCTTTTTAGAATTTGCAATCTTTTTTTTTGTTAATCTCCAGGCCGTTTTCGGTTCGCGAGCGGCCGAGCCGCGCTGCTGTTGACGTTAAGCGGGCCGAGCCGTGATAAGCTCCGGGGAAAAAGGGGCGGACTGTCTTTCGAGCTTTACGCGCATTTTCTCCCCCAAAGTTTCAGCCGTCCGCTAATAATGCTACGGGCTGGCAAGAAAAAACATACTGTTAAAAGCGGCATACATCCCAAAAATAACGCTGCCTGGAATGCCCGTCGTATCTTGGCATTTCATATTTTTATCTCTTCTTTTTTTTGTTCCGTTGTCCGTTTTTCTCATTTAATTTTTCACTTTTTTGTTCTTGTACAAATTGGAAGCATTCAGAGCATATATCCCATTACATATAAAAATGTCCATGCGTGTTCTCTCCAAGACTGCCCCCGTCACCCGGGCCTACATTCGCTATGCCAGCACTGAATCCACTACCCAGAAGGCCGGGCAGGTCGTTCCAATGCCACAGGCGCCGTCAAGTGTAAGTATTTGTTTTATATTGAGCAAAAAGGACGACAGATACCTTTGGCCAGAGATATAGCTAGAGTGCGTTACACCGCGGTTCCATGTCATTCAGGCTGGGCACAGCCATTTTAGTTGAGTTGTGCGAATGCCCAAACAGCAAGCTAAACGATTTTCTTTTTTTGTATGTGTGCACTATTAGCCCAGGGTCTGACCAAGTCGCTTTGCAACCTGTACAAGATCGTCACCGGTCCTCTGCCCGCCATTGTTAAGGGTCCTTTGAACAAGGCAGTCGGTAAGTGCTTCAGCAACAAAACATAGAAGGCCTCTGCATGTATAACAAACTTATTGAGCCTCTATGATCCAGCTCACTAAATGGAGATCTTTTATTTTTATATTCAACCTTTATTGTTATAGGCATCTTCGAGCCCATCCTGTACTACTCTGAGGTCGTCTACCACTTGGGCAAGCAGGTCGTTGTCCGCCAGAACTTTACGCTCCCGGCCAAGGCTGACTTTGCCGCCGCCGAGACCCAACTGTTCAAGGTCCTCGAGTTTGTCAAGGTCAAGAACATCAAGTCAATCAAGGATATCCCCGTCGAGCAGTGGAAGAACGGCGCCATCAAGACCTTCGAGCTTTCGGCGCTGTTTGTTATTGGCGAGATTGTTGGCCGCCAGAACCTGATCGGCTACAAGGATTAGAATGTTTCCATGTGCAAAAGCTTCAATTATATTACTGAGACCATATTAAATCTTTCCAGGTGCAAGCACGCGGAATTTACTGTATGTTTTTTTTGGTAGCCAAAATAAGAAAAAGGTCAAGATGCATGAAATTCAATAATCGAAAAAATACAATGTGATTTTGAAGATTTGATTAAGGGCTTGCTTAGCAATTCATTCATGCATCAGGCATGGATGACGACGACGGTGTTGATGTTGATTTTTGCTGTCGTCACCTGCGCGCCTTGTGTCCGCTGCTATTTAATTTTCTCACCGTTCTCTTTGTACTACTCTTGCTTTTTTATCATTTCAGCACCTTGTTCTTTTTTTGGTTATTATTGCTTACAAGTACCATTTGACATCATCCATCACCTCCCTCTTCTTTTTATATATATTCTTGTATACCACCATCGACATGTCTACTCGCCGCGCAACTCACGCGGGCAGCTGGTACTCTGATAACGCCGACGAGCTTAGCGGGCAGCTCGATAGCTGGCTCGACATCGTGCCCAATCCAGTAAGTGAAATCGAACCCGCTGGCGACAAAACCCCCGTGCCCATCCAGGGAGCACGAGCAATCATCGGACCGCATGCCGGATATAGCTACAGCGGAAGCAATGCAGCCTTTGCATACAAATGCATCGACCCCACGCAGATCAAGCGAGTGTTTATTCTCGGCCCCTCGCACCATGTCTTTCTTAACAACAGGTGCGCACTCAGCAAGTGCAAGGAGTACAGCACGCCGCTGGGTAACCTGCCCCTTGACTTGGAAACTATTGAGAATTGAAGGGGCATGGGAATTGGCAGACAATGAGCCGGGATGTGGATGAGGACGAGCATAGCTTGGAGATGCATCTGCCGTATATTTTCAAGATATTTGAACGGCAGATCGATCGGGTTTCTTTGGTTCCTATTTTGGTAGGTAGCCTGAGATTCGACGGCGAGCAGTATTATGGCGAGCTACTGGCGCCGTATCTGGCCGACCCGCAAAACCTATTTGTCATTTCGTCGGATTTCTGCCACTGGGGCAGCCGCTTCAAATACACGTACTACCAGGAATTGAGCCCCGACGGACAGCAACCCACTGGCCGAGCGACGCACCTGGGTAAAGCGCGCGGCGGCGGCGGCGGTGGCAGGCAGCTGCCCGGGGACACTCCAATTTGGAAGTCTATCCGCAAGCTTGACTGGGACGGGATGGAGGTTGTTGCGCGTATGGATCATGCGGGATTCAGGCGCTATTTGGACGGCACAGAGAACACCATTTGCGGAAGACACCCTATTGGCGTACTGTTGGCTGCTGTAAATAAGCTGTATCCCCACCCCCTGGCAGAGGGGGCCCTGGAGGGGCAGCATAATGGTGGCGGTGATGAGGTTGATTGGCCGCGGCTGCACTTTGTCAAGTATGACCAGTCGAGCAAAGCCGTTGGTCCGGCAGATTCCTCGGTGAGCTATGCATCAGCATACCTGTATTTGCCAAGTCTGAATATGTAAACATACATGATTCTTTTTTTGGAAAAAGCGGTCATGCGGAGGTGCATTTTTTTGCTTTCAATCGAATAAAACATTTTTTTACTTCTGTATCAATTAAAATGAGGAGCAGAATATATATACATACAGTATATATTAGGCGATGCAAGATTGGCACACAACCAAAGCCAAAGGTCATGGTGGCGGCTGCTATGGAAATATTATTTAGGACACATTGGAGAGAAAAAATTGCGTCTATTTCTCAAAATGCTCCCATGCACATATATGAATCGTTCAAAATTTTTTAATAAATTGGATTCAGGCATTAATTCGCATTAATTTGCAGTGATGTGTGTGCTGCACAATGCAACAAATGCACAATTAGTTTTCTTTGTTTTTCTCAGAATATATCATGAATTAATTTGCATTGAATATGAAAAGTACAAAAAAAAACAATTTGCTCATGTTTTTTTTACAATGAAATTATTCCAATATATCGCTTTTTTGTTTGTCAGTCAAATTGCATTCCAGGAAGACAGTAAATGCAACTAAAAAAATAACACTCTTGGAAATATGTATGGATGGATTTGATGGCGTTCATTTGTGGCTTTTACGTGACCAAATGAAAGAACTGGCCATTGAAAGATGGAAGAAAAATATCAATTATAAAAAACAACGCAAGACATGTATCAAGCGTGGTAAAATTTTTTAATATTTAAAATTAAAATGAGAAAAAATATATACCTTTTTGTTTATTAAATGGTCGAATCACACGCGTATATTAAAATATTCCGATTGTTTTGTCAAAAAAATTGCAATTTATGTTTTGCACATGCAGCGGCATTGTGCGGAGACAGAGCAAAAAAAGAAGAAAGTAGGAATGAATAAAAAAAAGAAAGAGTAAAACAAAATAAATAAAAAAGCAGCGCATGTTGCGCACACCATTCTAATTTTATTTTGCTTTCGCTAAAAAGTCTCTTTTTCTTTCTTTTTCTTTTTTTTTTATTTTTTATTTTTCAACGTTTCAGTAAATTTTACACGCGTAAAAAAACAAAATAAATTCTCGTTCGTGCACATACCTTCTTCCCCTTCCCCTCTTACTCTTTGTCTATTTGCGTTTACTAGCTTTTTCGCTGCATCATTTCATTTCATTTCACACATATATATATATAGATATTTTACTTTACTTTTATTTTTCCATCTACATAATGACCAGTGCTGGATCCATAGCATTCACGCCAGTGTCTCCCAGAAACGACCCAGCAGCAGCAACATCAGCAGCAGAAGCAGAGAGCAAAACACTTTGGCAGGCGATGATTTAACACCAGCTGAACGTGAGGATCTGATTAATGAGGCCGAATGGGGGTTCCGTAGTTGGCTTCGGAAAACAGGACCACAAACAGGATACGTCTTGTATCCCAGTACAAGGCAAATACTAAAGTCGCTACATACACTGTATGCGACCTTGATGAGGTTGACTTTACAGATATTACAATGTGAATCACACCAGGTGGTGTGTTTTCTTTTTCTCCTTTTTTTATTCCCTCGGTGACAAAGTCATCCAGTCAAAAATCCATGTTTTAAAAAACAATTAAAAACATGCTTGTAAAAATATTTTTAAACATTTACTCTTCTTTTTCTATAATATAATATTGTATTGCAATTAATTAATGCCGTTTGTATTCTATACACACCAAAGGTGAAAAATCTAACTATTTTGTTTTTTGCTCAGAACCAACAGGTTCATCCGCATCTTCAATCACCTCCATATCCTCAGCATCAAACTCGGTTTCAAGTTCAGCCAATGGCGTAGCCCACAGTTTCTCCAAGTTATAAGTTTTCCTTGCCTCAGCTGTCATCAGATGAACCACAAACGATCCCAAATCCACAACCATCCAATCCTCACTCTCCCTCCCATCCACATTAATCATAGCTGGCACCTGCATACCCTTAGCACGACTCCTATCCTTAATAGCCCTTAGCATAGACTCAGACATAGCCCGCATATGCCTAGTGCTCTTCGCCTCCGCAATAACCATCCGTGCAGTCCACTCACATCTGTCGGAAACATCCATAACAACTACATTTTCCGTATCCATTTCCAAAACTGCCCGACAAAGCTCGAATAAACTACCTTGGGCGAAATCATCCACGTTCACTTGGGGTCTTCCCAGATGACTAGCGGCGCGTCGTTTCCATAGGGGCTCGGCAAAAGTCGTATCAACATACCACGAATCATCACCCTCTACTTCTACTCCCTCTTCTTCATGATTTTCATTCAAGGTGTCGAATTCCGGGTAGAGCCCTGGGACGGTATGTGGATCAAGTCGTTCAATTTCCGGTGCCAGATCAGATTGACGCTGATGTTGAGCGAGTTCTTCAGCAATATCGTCTTGCGCCTGTTGTCTATGAAGCTCCTTTTCCAAATTGGATGAATTAGAGAGGGACCCTGGTGGGAGAGCTGGCGGAGTGCGGTGGTAGTGAAAGTCTTGTTTTTTTGTACAAGGTATTGGGAGTTGCAGAATAAGTGTGTGCGTGTGTATTTTGTTAGAGCAGGTTGCGCGAGTCGCAGGTGTTGGGTTATTTTCCACATGCTTTTTTTTTTTTAAAAATGAATGATTTGAGAATAATTTAATAATTTGTGTTAATATAAAAATTATAAAAAAGATAAAGAAAAAAGTAAGAGTGAGTGAGTGTGAGAAAAATTGTAGAGAAAAATTACTATAATTTTTTTTTTGATAGAGTGAGCTTTTTTTATTTTTATTTTTATACCGATCAATCAATCGGTGATTTATGTTCATCCGATCAAGATAAATAAAAAAATTGAACTAAATTGTATCCAGAATCATACTAATATATTCAATATTTGTCGATATAGTATCTCTTCTTTTTTAATAATTCAAATGATAACTTAAATAGCAAAAATAAGAAAATTGTAATTATATAATACAAACGAGAAAAAATAAAGAAAATTAAAGAAATCTATACACAAGAAAATTAAATAAAAAATAGTAAAAAAAACCCCTTCCCTTCCTATTCGGTTAATGTTCTTCATCAGACTCCTCTTCCATGATAACACTAACAGGTCTTCCACCACGCAAATACCCAGCATTACTCCCCTGTGTAATGGAAAACTTTGGAATCACAGCCGCCACTGGAGGGGGAGCAGCAGCAGCAGCAGCAGCAGAAGGGGGGGTTGTAGTTACTGGACTTTTCAGCACCCTATTAGCCAAAATATCCTCAATCGCCCGATTAACAGCCACAGCCAGTTCAGCAACCGAACTCGCAGGATACGCCGGAATAAGCACGGCCAAAGCACGCTCACAAACTAAATAAAACTCGTTTGATTCCAACTCCACTACACGTCCCAAATCCGCCAAAATCCGGCGCAAAACCGCATGCGCTTGCGCCAAAAGCGCACTATTGACGACCACAGATCGAAGATCAAACGATGGCAACGAGCCTGGCGATGCAAGCAAATTATCCGTTATATGCAGTCCCAGCCCACCACCACTGGCATTCTCATTATAAGGCAGCAGTGACAGGGGCGCAAACAAAGATGGCTGTGCAGACAGCTGTGGCAGTGGAGGAAAAGTATCCTCGGGTTCCGAATCCGACGACAAATCCTGCATCGGATTACTCTTCTCCCTCGCTTCACTGAACCTTCTCAAGTAATTACTCTTAATAGCTTCGTAGTTTGCCGGCGGCAAAAAATTGGCCTCAGCCGCACGCCTCTGGGCATCCAAATGCTCAGGCGAATACCATACGCGATTCATAGACAAAAACGCCGTAACCGGAATCCACACATTGTAAAACGGAACGGCCAAGGCGCTATATACGAGGAAATACACAGCCAAATGCGCTTTACGCGATACCAAAAGGAGCAGCACAGTGGCGGCAAGGAAGGCGCCGGTAATTTCCGAGACGACAATCGCCGGGCTATCGCCAAATACCGAAATGACAATCTCCAGGTACAGCATGCAAGTGGCCGCCGGCGCCATGAACGGGAAAAGCAGGTGTGCGAACATTATTGGCCATACGCGCTTGCGCATGCGGCCACGCTGGATATCAAACAGCGTTACGAGTCGCGAGCGGAACAACTGGCGTTCATAGGGGTCGAACGCCGCCATGCGCGCGGGAGTCACTTCGATCTCAGCACGGCCATTAGACTCAAAGGCCCATCGGCACTGCGGAAACCGCCGCACCAGCCTAGGCACCAGCAGACAGTCATTGGCCGGCCACGTGCGGTGCCGACAGCGCACTGATGGTTTCATCAGTGCGTCCATTGACGCCACCAGCTGGTCATCGCCGAGACATGGCTCGCCATCGGCCAGCCGCACCCGGTACATAGTGAAGAGCTGGTCGGTCGGGCAAGTGGTGCCGCTTAGGCTCTCGCAGATTGGCGACACAAAGTGTCGCAGGTAGAAGGACACAAAGTGCAGCAGCTGCGGAAGCGACGCCGGTCGGCCCACGGGGTAGAGCGCGCCGGAGAGCGCAATGGTGGCGGGCTTGCGGTGCATGTGCGCAACCAGCTGCGTGATGGCCAGCGGGTCGAGCATAATCGAGGCATCGAGAAGAAGGCACTGCGCGAGGTCGCCGGGCGCATGGCCCAGCTGCGTCATCTGCGCCTCCAGCTCCTCCTCGAGAAAAATTGTCTTTGCGGTGTTCTGTTCTTGCTGCTGCTGCTGCTGCTGCTGCCTGGCCCTGGCCCTGCTGCTCGCGCAGGCTGCGGAACAGGTTAAGCACCATCATCAGCGAGTCCACCCGGCCCTGGTACGCCTCCTTGGCAGCCACCACATACGCAATACGATGTCTTCCGCACTCATAGAAACCAGAGTACACGCGCGCGGCGCCCAGCCCCTCACCAGCGCCAGCGCTATTACTGGCGCCGTAAAACTTGGATCGCTGGCGCCGCCGCCATGCGACAGAATGCGCAGGATGCTTCCGAGCACAGCAGCGTCGCCGTCGTTGATCACCCACAGCAAGTCTGTGCATCGGCATGCGTCGACCGCGCAATTCCTTGCAGCGTGCGCGTGAGAGTCTCGATGGGCTCGTCAAAGCACGGCACAACGACGAGGCACGATGACACGCCAGCCGCCTGCTCCTCGTCGCCTAGCGCCGCCGGAAGATGGCTGCTGGCGCTGCTGCCATCGTCGCCGCCGCCGCCGCCTCCTCCACCGCTGCTCCCGCTGATAACCGCGCGCCGCGCCCGAATGGCAGCGTACGCCTCGGCCACAACGAAGCGCACGAGCAGCAGCAGGAAATACAGGCCAAAAGTCACCCAGGCGACAATATTGGTGTTCGCGCAGGCAAACGGCGATTGGGTGTCCAGCACGGTGCCGCGCAAAAACAGCGCATCCATGCACTGCTTGTACAGCGCCGCGTCAACGTGCTGCAGCGCATAGAACGCAGCCGAAATGTCCTGGCCGGGGCGATCAATGAGCAGCGCGGTGAGGCTCTCGGGCAGAAACATTGTCTCGCTGCGCGGCGTGCGCATGGCGTCGGCCGAGCCATTGCGCATAATAGGGTCGGACGCGTACGCAAGGTACATGGACACGTCGTAGACGCTGTCGTCGAGGACCACCCACGAGGTAGCGGCGGACGCGTGGCGGTCGCGCACCTCGGACGCGTTGACCTTGACAACGCCAACTTTGCTCGCGGCAAACTGCGGCCAGGCGCCGACCAGACAGGCCGCGCCACTGGTCTGCGGCGACTGCGGGAACGGGCACTGCGCCGGAAAATCATCGTCCATGCCGGCAAACAGCGCCGACTCGGCGTGCCACCGCTCGACAAAGCGCCGCGCACTGTCGCCGGCCACGCACCGGTCCAGCAGCGCCGCCGTGCGCCCTGGCAGCGTGGGCCGCACGGCCGGCGCCAACTGGCCCAGCAGCGGGAAGACAGCCGACACGTCGTAGCCGCTGTACCCGTGCATGGCGCTGCCAAAGCTGGTGCGCGACAATGTAAAGTCGGCCACGATGCCGTTGGCCGCGACGAACTTGCGCGCCGCCACGTCGGCCGCCGTAAACGTCTGCGCTGTGCTGCACAGCGCCTTGGGCGCCAGCACGCCCCACATGATGAACGCCACGCTGGCCAGCGCGAACGCCAGAAGAAACCCGATAGACTCGGTGTACGCGCCGTTGTCGCGCGTGCCGAACCGGTTGTAGCCGCCGGGCATCGCGAACGCGCGCAACGCGCCCCAGACGCGGCTGCCTACGCTGCGCCCGGCCGCCGGGGGCGCGGCGCCGGGCTTGGGCTCGTCGCCGCCCGTCGGGAACGCGTGCATGCGCGGCGCCGGGCTGGGCGCAACGCTGCTTTTGCTGCGCAGCCGCGGCGCCCTCAGCTGCAGCCACTGCGGCCGCCCCCAGCCGCGCCGCCACCGCCACCGCGAGTTGTCGTGCGGCCTGGGCGCGAATGCTGGCGGTGACCGCAGCGGCAGAATGGTCGATGTGCTGCCGCCGCCAGAGTACTCGCCAGGCCGAATGCCCGGACTCGACACTGGCCAAGGCCGGATCGGCATGCGCCCCCCTCCTGTACTGCCGCCGCTCCGCCGCCGCTGCTGCCTGCGCCGGCCGTCTTCCGGCGCCGCGCCTCCAGTCGGCGCCAGCCGCGCTCCAAGCAGCTGCGCCCCCTCGGCGCTGCCCTTGCGGCGGCTAGCCACCATCCGCGCCAGCCTGCGCGACCGCAACGCAATGCGATTCCCGATCCCGCCGCCGCCGCCATTGCTGCCGCTCCCGGCATCGCCAACGCCAACGCCAATGGCATTGCCATTGGCGTTGCTGATATTACTGCCGGAATTACCGTCCAGCCTCCATCCATGAGGCGACATCGCAGCCGCCAGCTGCTGCTGCTGCCCGCCTCCCTGCGGCACAAGGCTGGCGGTCATGTCCTGGTCGTCGCATATTTTGAGCACCTCGTCGTCGTCAAATACATTATACGAGGGTGTGGTGGTTAAGTTTGCGGCGCGCTGGAATACGCGTTCTTCGAGGGGCGTGAGTGGCGATGAGATTTCCCGCGAGTGTGTTGTTTGTTGTTGTGTTGTTGTTTGTGTTGTGGCTGTCGTTTGTGTTGTGGCTGTTGTGCCGAGCGGCATCATTGAGTCTGATCTGCCAATGTTTATATTGAGTGAAGGAAGTGCAACTCCTTCTTTTGCTCGTTGTCGAAGCCTGGATGTATGCTGATCTGTGCTGCTGTTGCCGATCGGAGCTGCTGCTGCTACTGATGCAAATGGCCGCTGTATCTGGCTATTAAAGCGCAAAGTGTAAATGAAAAATAAAATAGATTTAGTTAGAGTGGACAACAAAAAAAAAGCAATAAGGAAAGGAAGAGGAAAGAAGGAAAAAGAGATACACAACTAGGTCTGTGTTGCAAGCGGAATAAAAAAAAGCGGGCAAAAGGTATTCTGTAAAAAGACACATGCCCCTTTCACACACTCACACAACTCTTTTTTAGCTCTTTTCTATTTTATTATCCCCCGCACGCTATTTCTCTTTTCACAAACAAAAATGCGCATACATACATACATACATACCATACATACACAAAGTAAAAAAGGGAGGGGGGGGAGAGACAGGAAAAAAAATAACAAATGTTATAAATAGCGCTCTTTTTTTTTAACCATCCAACTAACCAGCTAACCAGTTGGAATAAAAAAAAGATTTTACACCTTTCCTCCAGCTCTTTAAGCAAAAAAAATTGAAGTCTATATTTTTTATTTATCTGCATCTTGTTCTATCATTATCAAGGTTCCTTACTTTAGTTCTGATTTCATATTAAAAAAAACATCACTGTTAAAAAAATAAAACATCAGTCAACTCAACTTACCCTTGATATCATTTTGGTGAACGTCATTTTCTGCTGCCATTCCCGCACCTTCTTCCGATGATATCCACACTCCACTTGTAGTTGGCAAATACTCATATTCTCGCTTTGAACCCCTCCTGCGCATTTACTTGCTTTTTTTCTTTTTGAAATTTCAAAAATAACTGCGAAAATAAAATAAGAAAAGCTTAAGAATAATAATTGTTTGTTCCCACACTTTTATTTTTATTCTACTGTTTGGGTCAAGTTTGTTGTGTGGGGTGTAAAAATAAGGGAGAAGGAATCATTTACAGGTCTAAATAATAATAGTAGTAGGAGTAGGAGTAGTAATTTTCTGCATGTGTAAATAGATAATAATGAAAGAATGGAAAGAGGAAGGAGGAAAGAGAAAGGCGCTCGGCCCTGAGAAAACCTCACCTGGAAAAAGAAAGAAAAGAAAAGAAAAAGTCCAGAACCCCGCTGTTAATCAGACAAGGAAAGCAGGTGTCCCGTCTCGCCTCTTGCAATCGGTTCACCCGTCCGCCCATTCATCCCATCGATTAATTGATTTTACTTTAATAGAAAATCAATACAAAACATCACTCCTTTTTTCTATTTGCTGTCCTCGCCAACCACATCCTCCCACCTGCGGCCCTTGAGCAGCTCAACCAGGCCATCCTTGATCTCGCGCGCCTTCCCAGGCCCATCAAACGTCATGCTGCTGTAAAGCTGCACAAACGATGCTCCAGCCCTAGCAAACGCCAGCGCATCCTCCGCCGACGTAATCCCGCCACACCCAATAATGGGAATGCGGCCGCCAGTCAGCGGTACATCCTGCGGGTGGTCTCCAGGGCCAGGGACTTCAGCGGCGGGCCACTCAGCCCGCCCTCCTCCAGGGCAACCTCCGAGCCGCGCACCTCCGCAGGCCGGGTCCTTGTGGTGTTCGCCGTGATAATCCCGTCAATCCCGTACTCCAGCGCCATCTGCGCAATCACCCGCAGCTGATCTACGTCGTTGTCCGGCCCGATCTTCAGCACAACCGGCGGCCGGTACTCCGGCATCTGGTCGCGCGCCCGCGTCACCGCCCGAACCGTATCCTGCAGCACCCCGATATCCGACGCCGCCGCAATGTTCTTCACATTCGGGCAGCTCACATTGATCACAACATAGTCCGCATATGCGCCCAGCTTGGCTATGCCGCGTGTGTAGTCCTCGAACGACTCCGCCGCCGACGCCTTGTTCTTGCTCAGGTTAATCCCGAGCAGGCGGTCGGGCAACGCCGAGCGATTGACATTGCGCGTGAGCTGCGCCACGGTCTCCCCCTGGCGCTGGCTTTGCGCGCCAGCAGACGCCAGAACCGCGACCGCACGCGCTCAGCAAACGCCTCCATCCCCTGGTTGTTCAGGCCCATGCGGTTAATCACCGTGCCGCAATTATCCGCGCGGAAAAGCCGCGGCCTCGGGTTCCCCTGCTGCGCCACCGGCGTCACACTGCCGACCTCCACGGCGCCAAACCCGAGCGCAAACAGCGCGTCCACGGCCTCCGCGTTCTTGTCGAACCCTGCCGCCAAGCCCACGGGGTTACCCAGCCGCTTGCCCCACAGGGTAGTGGCCAGCAGTGGGTCGTCTGGCTTGCGGTCCACCGGGTGCACCCCATGCTTGAGGGCCGTGATCGCAAGATCGTGGGCTGCTTCGGCGTCCATTAGGCGCAGGAGTGGCGTGCTTATGTACTTGTGGATCCCGGCGCTGCTGTCTGTTACGTAGAGGTAGCCGAGGCCTCCGACTGCTAGTGTGCTGGCTGTCCAGAGATGTTGCGCAGCGTTGAGGGCGGCTGCGCCTTGCTGCCGAAGGACCTCTGCGCGGCTGACAGGCGGAGCCCGGGCGCAGCGCTGGCGCGGCGAGCGGCGATTCTAAACATGATTCCAAATGAAATGTAAGCTGAAAAATAAAATAAAATAAAAGGTAAAAGGTGAATTGAAATAATTTGAAATCGAATTTGAAGAGAAAAAAGAAAGGAGAGAGAGAGAGAGAAAGGGAGGGAGGGAGATAATGAAAAAAAGTGGTGATCGCCATCTTTTTATTTCATTGTTAGATTTTTGCTGCGTTTGAAAAGGCACCGGCGCCCGCACGCGCGTTCAAGATGGCCTTCACAGCCTCCACAGCCGCCATCTCGGCGCCCACACGCACCCTCACCACAGCCATGCCCAGGCTTGAAGCAGCTTTCAGATTCGCCGCAATATCATCGACAAACACGCACTCCCGCGGCCTCACATCCAGCAGATTACACGCCATCAAGTAAATGGCCTCCTCCGGCTTCCTCATCCCAACCGCCGCTGACTCAACAAAGCAACCAAACAGCCCACGCACGTGCGCATCCACAGGCTCCGCCCCAAAGCTATTGGTTAGCGCGCCCACCCGGTATCCCTCGGAACGCAGCCACCGGATCAGCGCAATTGTCTCTGGAATAAGCGACCGGGTTATTTCCACCATTCGCGCGTATAACACCGATCCGTTTATCCGCGCACCCGGCGATGTCCCCGATACCGTGGGCAGAACCAAATGCCGGTCGAGGCCATGCCGCTTGACGTACGAAAGGTAGGCCGAATTGTTTTGCTCAAAGTCATTGAGCTCGCGTGTCCAGAGATCGAGAAAGTCCTGGTGGGCGAGCTCGCCGCGCTCGTATTTTTGGAATGCGCCTTGGCTGCCTTGTCTGGATATGCTTACGTTGATGTAGTTGGGGGTAGTGAGTTTTCACGCTCGAACGAGGAGATTGCGATGAACGGTGATCGGACCACAACCCCGCCAATGTCAAATATCACAGCCTTGATAGGAGTGTGGCCAGACATTGTTGGAGCATAAAGCCAAGAAAAGAAGCGGTTAAGGACAGAAAAACAATCGATAATGAACAAGTGGGAGAAGCAATAAAGGGGGACAACAGGAGAGTCGCAATAAAAGCTAAGGGTGGATTATCCCCGTGTATTTAAACCCTTCTTGAAAAAAAACAGGCAACTCTAATTTCTCCACTCCAAACATGTGAAAATAGAAAATCACTAATTGTCCTTCTTGCTCTTTTCCACAGCCTCGACAGCCTCCGCAGCATCGACAGCCTCCGCAGCCTCCACGGCCTCACCGCCCTTGGGCTCGACAAGTCGGCCAACGGCCGGGTACTTTGAGGCAAAAAACCCCTCCCACTCATCCAAACACTGAATCTCCGACGCATCCAGCCCCTCCAGCGCGTCAATAGGCCCGTCCAAATCCGCCAACATCTCCTTTGCAAAGTCCGACTTTGCCAGCCCGCGCGACGCATCCCGGCCGGCAAAATTGGCATACGGCCCGCCCGGCCCATAGAACCCACGGCCACGCGAGACATCGTAAACTGTACCACGCACCGCCATCAAAACCTGCGTGCCCTCGTCGCGCCCGTCGAACTGGGCGAGCTCGTGTGGCGTGTAGTCTTTCTGCGCGGGAATCGCTGCCTGCTGCTGCACGGACCCCATGGAGAACGCTGGGGGTTGGCTGTTGCTGAAGTAGCTGCGCAGCGCGAAAAACACAAATATCCCGAGGAAGACGAGCGCGCTTGGGTTGGAGAATGTCGTTAGCAGCGGCTGGAAGAACCGTGTGAAAGACTGCGTGGCTGCATCGCTCATTGTGATTGTGATTGTGATTGTGAATGTGAATGAGAATGCGAATGTGGATGTGAATGTAAAAGACAAGCAGGTTGAAAAGATAAAAGAGGTGTCTTTGCTGAATTAGATATTTTTAAAGCAAAGCAGAGCAAAGGGCTTAAAAAAGAAGGAGTGAGCGAGTGCATGGGTTACGAGGGAGGGAGAGAAACAGGTGGCGCCAGCTCTTTGGTTGTCGAATGCCCATCGATTTGCCAATCTCGACAAGATCGTAAAGCGAGTAGCCAAGCCGTGCGCGCACACTGCAGTGGTAATGTGACCGGCCAGCTGCAGTTAAAACAGGGCCACTCTTTCCCTCGCGGGCCACACCAAAACTCAGGCCCCTCACCCACAACTCAGGCAGTCATATCAGTCACAGCAACCTCGTGCAGGTACGCGCCCAGCAGCTTGATGCCCTGGATGTAGTTGCGGCGGTCGATCTTCTCGTTGATCGAGTGCGCGCCGTCGTCGGCCGCGCCCATCGGCAGCAGCAGCACGTTGACATTGAGGTTCTCCTCGAATGTCAGCGTGACCGGAATCGACCCGCCCTCGCGCGTCAAGTCAGGCTTGACGCCGTACACGAGCTCGGTGGCGCGCGCGCCAGCCACAAAGTTAGGGTGGTTAGGCGACGAGTACCACCAGCGGCCGCCATGCGTCTCGATAACGCGCATGCGGTTCTTGCTGCCCAGCTTGGCAAACTCCTTCTCGAGGAACGCCGTCACCAGCTCGGCGACGCGCTTGGGCTCCATGTTGGGCACCGTGCGCAGCGAGAACTTGCCCTTGACCTTGGCCGGGATCACTGTCTTGTCGCCGGGCGAGTAGAACGCGCCCTCGACGCCGTGGATCGACAGAGTGGGGTAGCGCCAGCGGTGCTTCAGCGTGTCGCGCTCTTCGGCGTGGATAATGACGTCGTGCTTGAGGTCTGTGGCGAGCGCAACGTGGCTGAACTCGAGGTTCTCGTATGTGAGCTCCTCCTCGTCGGTCACGGGCATGACCTGGTCGTAGATGCCCGGTATCTGGATGCGCCCGTTGGTGTCGACCAGCTTGGACAGCAGGTGCACCAGGTCGACCATGGGCTCGTGCACGGTGCCGCCAAAGACGCCCGAGTGCAGGTCGGCGCCAGGGCCCTCGACCTCCAGGTGGAAGTAGCTGACGCCGCGCAGCCCGTGCGTCAGGCACGGCTTGTTCTTGCCCAGCCAGTAGTTATCGCTGATGCACACGACGTCCGTACCCTTGAACCACTTGTCAGCCTGGTCGATAATAATGGCATCCAGGCCCTCGCTGCCGCTCTCCTCCATGCCTTCGAAGCAGAACTTGAGGTTGACCGGGAAGTCCAGCCCAGCCTGCTTATGCGTCTCGACGCACAGCAGCCACCCGAGAATCGGGCCCTTGTCGTCCGTTGATCCGCGCCCGACCAGCCGCCCGTCGTCCATCTCCACGAGCGTAAACGGGTCTGTCGCCCACCCTCCTCGAGCAACGCCGGCTGCACGTCGTAGTGCCCGTACACAAGCACCGTCTTCTTGTTGGCGTCGTTGCCGTACTGCCCCAGGATCACGGGCGGCAGGTCGAGCTCCTCGCCCTCGAGAATCTGCTTGCCCGGGTCAATGCGCTTGCACTGTGCACCCAGCTGCTCCCACCGCGCCTGCAGCCACTCGCCCATGCGCACAACTTCGCCGCGCTTGGATGCGTCGCTGCTGACGCTCGGGATCTCGACGACCTCGCGCAGAGTCTCGATAAACTTTTGCTGGTTCTGATCAACGAGATCAAAGTACTTGTCGACAGTGTTTGCCATCCTAATTAGGGTGTTTAATAAGAGAAAATAAAAGGTGTTTGGTTTGGTTTGGTTTGGTTTGGTGGTTTGGTTCGGTTAGGTTCGGTTAGGTTAGGTTTGGCTGAGTAAAATAAAAAGATATTAATTGGTGAGTAAAGAGAGATTGAAGATAAAACACTTTGATGAGTTCCTTCCTTGGAATTGCGTTCTCTCACTCTCCCCTTTCTGTTGCTGCTTCTGCTCTACTTTGCCCGCCAACACCGCATACAAGATGAATGCAGCGTTGCGGCAGTTCTTTTGCAGCAAGCCCTCATTTTTTTCCTGCCGCTGAGAGTGCTTTCAGCGCGAGATGGGGTACAGCAAACAGCCAAAACAAACAATGTCTCCGAATCCATCAGTCTTTTTTTCTCACGCACTTGCCTTGTATGTGCAGCTCATGCCTCAATTCGGCTGTGTGGTAAGCCAACTTGCAATTCCATCTTTTTCCTCTCACTCCCCCATTCCTGCCGAGTTTGGAAATTTCCAAATACATCATCATCTTGCCTCATCGGCTCGGCTTGCCTAAGCTTTTGATTCGGTTCAACATTTTATGTTTTTCTGGTTAATCGCAGATCAACTTTTATTTTTTGTCAGCACTGCATGTTCTAAGCCTATGCTATTGGTCAACTGTGTTTACAAGATACATTTCTCCACCCTTTTGCTCGTCTGGCAAGTCATGCTCTTGAACTGAGCAAACAAACAGGGGGGAAACAAAGAGAGAAAGAGAGAAACAAAGGAAAATTGATTGAACGCGACCTTGGCTGTCCAACATTCTTTTGTTTTTTCCTTCAATTCTTATTTACATTATTTTTATATACCAAATCCAACCCTTATTTCTCTTTTCTCCTCTTCCTCTTCCTCTTCACTATCATGTTCAGCCTACACGAGCAGTTGCTCAAGCTACAAGAGGACGAGACAGAGATAGCGTCCGATTTTTCATTTGACGGCATCGACAGCACCATAGCCAAGCGCACGCTCAACGGACTGACAGACAAACTAGTAGTCAATGGCCAAAACATCAACGACACCGCGACCTTCCACACGCTCATGTGTTTTGCCCGCGACCTCCCGACCATCGATCCCAAGCTGGTCGCGCGCGGCCTTGACATGCTCGTGACGGCATTTGAGAACGAGATAAAGCAGGTGTCCATTGTGCTGTCGACGCCGGGCCAGGACCCGACGCAGCACGCGGAGTCGCTTGACCGCTATGCCTTTTTGTTTCAGTGGATTGTTGAGCGCGGAGAGTCTGTGGCTTCGCAGTCCAGGGCAGCTAGCGGCGCAGAAAAGACCAAGGGGAGGAAGCGCCGGCCGACGGTTGCTGGCGGCAGTGGCAACACGGGGGCTGCCGGCAGCGGGGGCAGCACTGTTGCAGAGATCGTTCCTGGGTGGAAGGACAAGGTCCTGGATATGTATATTCTGCTGCAGCAACTCTTGCAGCTGCCACTGGGTCGTATATGGAACTCCGTCCCCGAGCGCGACACGTTCATCGGGGTATTCACGCGCATCGCACACAAGGTTATGGAGAATCTGGCGTATACCAAGGACGGTGAGTTCATGGGCGCGCTGTTTACCTCCCTGTGCCTTGTGCTACAGAACTACAACGGACTCTACGGGCTGGTCACCATGATTACGCAGAATCTCCAGCACTACGAGCACCTTAGCGAGTCCATGGCTGTGCTTGTCCAGTTGGCGTACGAGAAGCACGAAGGCGCGCAGTTGGCCGACGAGGTGCTGCGCGATATTGCCGGCAAGGCGTTTAACAGCATGCACGATAAGGCCGGGCCCAAGAACGCCGCCCGCTTCCTGATCAAGTTCTCGCAGCTGGCGCCGCGCGCGCTCCTACGCCAAATGGGCCTGCTTATCCGCCACCTGGACTCCGAGGCCCACATTATGCGCTCCGCCATGGTCGACGTCATCGGCCACCTGACCCTGCACTTAGCCTCCCAGGACGAACAGACCGATATTGTGAAGAACCAGATCAACGAGTACTTTGACATCATCGAGCAGAGATTCCAGGACGCCCACTACTTGGTCCGCGCCAAGGTCATGCAAGTGTGTCAGTTCGTATGCAGTGGCCCGGCAAAGTTCCCCAAGCGCCGCCCAAGGCTGCTCGCCCTGGTCATTGGCCGCCTGGAGGATAAGGCCACGAATGTGCGCAAGCACGCGATACGCGCATTGACTGTTTTGCTCGAGTCGCATCCGTTTTCGCTGGACGGAGCAGAGCTCGGCATTGAGCAGCTGGAGGTCAGCTTGGAGAAAATTACTGATGAGCTGGCGCAGATGGCCAAGGCAACGCCCACACAGCTGCAGCCGAAGACGTCTGAAGTTTCCGCGAAGAAGCTGCCCAAGGACATTGACAGTGACGTCGAGGACGACGAGGAGGAGGAGGAAGAGGAGGGGGAGGGTGCTGATGCAGAGGGTGCCGCTGCTGGTCAAGCCGACAAGGGCAGAGAGTTTGACAACGCGGGCCTGTCGCCTGAAATGGCAGCAAAGGCCATGCACCTGCAGTTCCAGCAGCGGTACTACCGCGACGCGCTGTACTTTGTCTACCAGCTCAAGAGGCCCAGCCCGTTCTCCTCCAGCTCCTCGGATCCACAAACAAGGGCGAGGTCATGGAAGCCATGGACTTTTTTGTCGCGGCCGTCCGCTTCCGCGTCGACGGCGCGCAAGAGGGCATCCGCCGCATGTCGCACCTCATCTGGACGCCATCCTCAGCCTCGAACAGCGCATCAGCCTCTATCAACTCGTCTTCCGAGGGCAACGCATCGGAGGAAGCCAGGGGCGTGCGCGCAAAGCTCCTGGACTCATACATGCAGTTGTACCTGACGCCCAGCGAGCGGCTGAGCTCAGCGGAGAACACCAGCCGGATTACACGCAATCTCATTAGCCTGACGTTCGGTGCCACGTTGGCCGAGCTCACGTCGCTGGAGGAGCTGATCCGCACGCTGATGGAGGAGCGCCTGATTTCACCCGACGTCATCTCCAAGCTGCGCAGCGTCTACGGGTACACCAAACAGAGGCTTCCCCTGGCCCAGCGCCGCGGCGCCATCATTATCCTGGGCATGTTGGCCCAGGCCAACCGCTCCATTGTTACCGACGACATTGACCTGTATCTGCGCATTGGACTGGGCGACTACGGGCACGAGGACTTGGCAGTTGCCAAATACACGTGCATGATCCTCCAGTGTCTCGGAGCCACAAAGTCGAGGCGCCCCGGGGGTGCCGCCAGGATGGACGAGCAGGAGATGAAGAGACTGCCGATGAACAGTCCGATTTTCGACGGGTTACAACGCATCCTCGAGGAGCCCCGAAGGGACCCTGAGTGGTTCCCGGCTGCCGAGCAGGCCCTAAACACGATCTATGCGCTGGCTGATAAGCCCGACGCGCTGGCCGTGCGCCTGGTTCGCAACCAGGCCAAGCTGGTCCAAGCCCTGATGAGCCAAAGCAAGGGCATAATTCCCTGGCCAACGGCGCCACCGCCGAGGAGAAGGAAGAGGAGCGCGACGACGATATGATGGACGTTGATGAAGAAGAGACCGAGTCTGAAGCGCCGGCTCCGGTCGCGCGAAAGCTGGTCGACCCCTGGGACCTCACGCGGCTGCTCTTCATGGTCGGCCATATTGCAATCAAGGAGATCGTGCTTCTCGAGTCTATCGAGGCTGAGCTCAAACGGCGCAAGTCCGACGACGAGCCACGCCGCAAGAAGCGCGCGCCAGTCAAGCCCAAGGGTCGCGGCGGAGCCCGCGCTAAGGGTCACGCCAAGGAAGTTTCCCTAGAAAGCGAGGAGGAGGAGGAGGAGGAGGATGACGAGCTCAACCAGATTGCTGGCACGACCGAGGACGAGATCGGCGATATCATTTCGGCCATCCGCGAGCGCGAGCTGCTCTTTGGAACCACCAAATCACTGCTGGCTCTTTTCGGGCCTCTTCTCGTGCATGTGTGTAAGAACCTGGGCAAATTCAATGACCGCCTGCTGACCGTGCATGCGACGGCAGCGTTGGCCAAATTTATGTGCATTTCATCAGCCTTTTGCGAGCAAAATCTGCCACTCCTGCTGATCCTGCTGCAGCGCGCCAAGTCCCCAGTCATCCGGGCGAACATCTCAATTGCACTCGGCGACATCACCGTGTGCTTCAACAATCTGATTGGCGAGAACGTGCAGTACCTCTATGGCCCGCTGCACGATGCAGACACGAAGGTCAAGAAGACCACGCTGATGGTGTTGACGCACTTGATCTCAACGGGATGGTTAAGGTTAAGGGTCAGCTGGGCGAAATGGCCAAGTGTCTGGAGGACAAGGATCCGCGCGTCGCCGATATGGCACGCCTCTTCTTCTCCGAGCTCTCGTCAAAGGACAACGCCGTATACAATAACCTGCCCGATATCATCTCCAGCCTCAGCATGGGCACCGGTGCGGTCAACGAGGATAGCTTTGGGCGAATCATGAAGTTCCTCTTTGAATTCATCAAGGAGAAGGACAGGCAGACGGAGAACGTCGTGGAGAAGCTCTGCCAAAGATTCCGCAATACCACTGATCCGCGCCAATGCCGCGACATCGCATACTGTATGGCGCTGTTGCCATACAAGTCGGAGCGCAGCGTTCGCCGGTTGCTCGATGGCCTGAGTAGTTACCAGGATAAGCTGTCGGAGGATGCGGTGTACAAGTATTTTGTTGAGATTGTTGCCAAGAGTCGCTCGCAGTCGGCGCAGAAGCAGGAGATTAAGGCCTGATGGATGAGTATGAGTCTAAGCTTAAGGAGGCCCGCGCCAGGGCTGTTGGCGAAGACGAAGATGCTGCGCAGGCCGCGTTAGCTGCCGAAAAGAACGTGGGTGCGCGCTCACAGACAATGCAGCAGACTGACGCTGAGATGGATGAGGATGATGAGGATCTCTAAAATAAAACATTTTAACTTTATAAGACAAACCAAAATTATTTAATTTCTCATAAATGTGTATTTCAATATTACTTGTATTCAATACAGCTTCGCGATGAGAGAAAAATCGAATGGTCAGCCAATATCGATTTCGATATCAATGACAATTTCAATGTCAATGTCTACGTGTTTTTATTAAAAGAAAATTTTGTCCTTATTTTTCAATACTGACATTTGAAACTTAGACGCTCAGGAGCAGGCGGCGGGGGTCCTCGATGGCCTCCTTCAGCTTGACGAGGAAAGTGACGGCCTCGCGGCCATCGATGATACGGTGGTCGTAGGAAAGCGCGACATACATCATGGGTCTGATCTCGACCTTGCCATTAACGACAATGGGGCGCTCCTTGATCGCATGCATGCCGAGAATGGCGGCCTGGGGCATGTTGATAATGGGGGTTCCGTAGAGCGAGCCAAAGACGCCGCCGTTGGAAATGGTGAAGGTGCCGCCAGCCATGTCCTCGACGGTGATCTTGTTGTCGCGAGCCTTCTTGCCCAAGTTGGAGATCTCCTGCTCGACATCAACAATCGACATGCGCTCAGTGTTGCGCAGAACGGGGGTCACCAGGCCCTTGGGCGTGGCAACGGCGATGCTGACGTCGCAGTAGTCGTAGTACACCAGGTGGTCACCGTCGATACTGGCGTTGACCTCGGGGACAGCCTGCAGGGCGTGAGTGCTGGCCTTGACAAAGGCGCCCATGTAGCCGAGCTTGACACCGTGCGTCTTGAGCACGTCGTCCTTGTAGGTCTTGCGCAGATCAATCAGGTTGGTCATATCGATCTCGTTGAAAGTCGTCAGCGAGGCCGCGGTGTCCTGGGACTGCTTCAGGCGCTCAGAGATGCGCAGGCGCATGCGGTTCATCTTGACACGACGCTCGGAGCGGCTGGGCGTGCCAAACTGGACGGGCGACACGGAGGCAGCAGGGGCGGCCTTGGCAGCAACAGGCTTAGGGGCAGCCTTCTGGGGAGCAGCAGCCTGGGCGGCGGGGGCGGCAGCAGCAGCAGGAGCAGCGGCCTGCGCGGGTGCAGCCTCAGAAGCAGCGGGCGCCTCCTCAGCCTTGGGCTTGGACGCACCACCCTCGATGACGGCGCCTTCCTCGATCTTGAACAGATCCTGGCCGACAACGACGGTGTCTTCCTCATTGGCCAAGAACTCACGCAAGACACCGGCGACCGGCGAGTTGACCGGAATGTCAACCTTGTCGGTCTCGATTGACGCAACCTCTTCGTCCTGCTCAACCTGCTCGCCGACCTGCCTGGCCCAGGACTTTAAAGTACCCTCGGTAATCGAGTCGGCCATGTGCGGCACCTTGATGATTCTGTACTTGACATCAGCTAAAGTACAAAAAAAAGTTATATCAGAGTATTATTAGCAATACATGACAATCAGACAGTGGTCTATTTTTTTGTGTTTGGCGCAAACAATAATAGAAAAAGACGATTACTATTCACCGCTTATGTGTGTACAGATGGGCGGGTGGTGATGATGCCCACAGATATGGACTTTGAAAAAAATTGGCAAGGGACTAGCTGTGAGGCAGCGCTTGCATTACAGTAAAACTACGAGATCGGCATTTCAGGATGCAATATTATACTGCCCGCCCAGAGGTTATAAAGTAAGGCGCTACCGCCGCTCATTGAAAGCTCGCGCAATACACTCGTTTTCAATTTTTTTGGTGGGGACAGAAAAAAAGAACTTTGGGCTGAAAAGATACAGCAGACAGAAAAAATTCTCCTATTTATCCTATTTCCGAGTTTAAAATAGTTTAAAGAAGCAAATATTTTTTCAGTCAGCATTGATTTTGTTTTGGGTACTTACAGTAATAGCGCAGCGAGTTGCCCTGGTGCTTGGAAAAGACAGACCTAAAATTCAAAATTGAAAGGGGTGGTGTGGGTGATGTGGAATTTAGTTGCATTTGTTTCTGAGGGCTGCGGTTTTCTTTAAGTAGCAAGAGAGCGCTTCTTATAAGGGCCCTCGTCAGCTCCTTTTGTGCACCTTCGTTGTGCGTGGGGCTTGTCCTCTGCTTCGACGCTTCGTTCAAAGTACTTACTGTGCGCGCTGGAAGGCGAGTGCGCCGCTGAGTTTTGTCATGCTCGATGCAAGCATGGTGTGTCTAAGGGCGGGAGCCACGGACTGGCCCAGCTGGAAAGCAGTGCGAGTTTGCATTGTCGGGAATATATGCAAATATAAAAATAATGTGAAAAATAAAAGTAATTGAAAGGAGAAAAAACCAAAATAAATCAAGAAAAACAGGCATAGGCAAAGGCTTGGACACCATGGCTCTTTAAGCTGTCAGAAGAAAACCCAAAAAATCAAGATAAGCCCTGCAATTTTGTACTCGTGGATCTCGTAAAATTTTCCGCTTTTGTAGCCACATTTTTATTGCGTTGTTTGGCCAATCAGAGCAAGCCGATACAATTGATTGCGGTTGTCAGCCCAAAGTGGCAGAGGGGTACCCTCGTATCATTTGTACGTGGCCCAAGCGTTCATTTCGCTCGTTTAGCCGTACAAAAAAGAGGTCGCAGATTCAAGGGAGAAAAGGAGGATTTTAATTGATTCAAGCAGACCAAAAAAAGCGAATGTCAATTAATTTGCACTGCGTGCGGAGTTCCTTAAAGTCAAAAAGACGCCTCCATCTGATGCCGCTTGTATACACTCATAAATTTGGCCATGAACGCCTCAAGGTGGACAATCGACTTTTGGCCGCTCTGCAGACGGTGTTCGTAAAATGCAGCCTGGTGCACAATCTCGGGCTTCAGGGCCTCGCTCACGCCATCGACCAGGTGCAAAGCGATGGTCTTGAGGATAGTCGTCGGCGGAATGCAGTGCGTCAGCACCTCGTAAAGCTGCTTGCGAATGCCATCAGCTGCGCTGGCGTCTGCTGCCGCAACGCTGAATCTGCGATGCTGCGGATATACAGTTCCCACTCGGGCAGCGGAACATTGTGCGTGTCGGAAAACGGGTACTGCCGGACATACGCAGCCTCGAGCATCAGCAGGGCCCGGTGCAAGTTGCGCTTGGAGCTGACGGCTAGCTGGCTGGCAAACGACGGCGGCACTGTAATGCCCTCCCGCTTGGCCACCATATTGATGACCCCCACAATGTCGTCGACCGACGGCGCGGCTACGCGCACCAGTAGGCACCGACTCTGCACAGGCGAAATGATCTTTCCTGTCGAGCTGGAGCACAGGATGACACGCATGTTGCCCATGTACTTCTCCATCGTGCGGCGCAGCGCGTGCTGCGCATCGCGGCTGAGCGCGTCGGCCTCGTGCACAACGACGACCTTGAACTTGCGCGCGCTCGTCGTCGCCACCTGCTGCGTCTGCGCAATCTCCTTGATCAGATCCTGAATAATCACTCGGTCGTAGATGCCGGCGTCGCTGGGGTTGACCTCGATGTGGAAGTTGCTCGATATCAGGTTGATTTCCATTTTGCGGCGGCTGGGTGTCTCGAATATGCGCTGGCTGACCTTGAGCTTCTCAGCGCCAGGCCCGTATATTTCCCGCAGAATTGCTGCCACGCGCGTCCGCTTTCCTGCGCCCGTGGGTCCATAAACCAGCAGGTGTGGGAGATCACCAGAGCTCGACAGCTGCTTCAGGTGCTCTGTTAGGTCGCCGTGGAACGACAGCTTGTCCAGCGAGTTTGGCCGGTGCTTTTCAACCCAAAGTGCCATTGCGGAATGCCTGTTTTTTTGGTAAGAAAATAAATAAGAGGTGGGAAAATAAATAATGTGCGATTGGGAAATTTCAAAAAAGACAAATTAAATGCAGAAAAATAGGGAACTGACGTTGGAATTTGATGCCAAACGTCAATTTTGTTAGCGAAAAAACAACAGCTGCGCGAAAAGAAAACAGCTTCAAAATTTTTTGCTGCGCTCATTTTTCGCGTCGCGTTTCCGCACATTCAAAAGTTCAAGCATCAAAAATCACAGTTGATTTGATTTGTCACGTGTGGCATCAGTGATGGCCGTCATCGACAGAAGTGAGCACACTCCCTTAAAAAATTATAAATGCCGTTCGTTACGAATTTTGCGCAACAGAATTTACCTTTTTTTATTCGTCTTCCGGCCCTTATTATTTATATTTTTATCTTTCGACAATTCGCACGCTTGATTGCCTTTTATTCCCCTCTTGCACAACATTCGTCTTTAAACCCTAACGCCGTAATTCGAGCACATGGCGCGTACACAAGTAGTAACTGCGTCGGCGGCAGCAGCAGTCGACGACGACGACGAGAACTTTGAACTGGTTGACTATACGGCCGCCTCAACGTGGGAGAGGTTTGTTGCCTCGATAGAGGCCAAGCTTTGCCAGTGGCGCGTTAACGACGGCCGCAAAGGCGGCTTGGACATAGCTGAGTTGAGCGCCAAATGCCAGCACCTGTTCATCAAGCACAAGCAGTACAAGGATGCAGTCACTAAACAGATATCGGAGATGTGCACTCGCACAGAACGGCTTTCGTACAAGGGCGCGTCATACGCTCTGACGCTGTCGGTTCACCCGCTGATGGCCGCACATGAGCACAAGGGTGCTGATGGCATCGCGTCCAAGCAGATGCTCTTCGACAGCCAGTTTCCAGCAGTGCATGTTCCTGAGCTTGAGGTTGATCACATCAGAGAAATTCCAGATCCCGCGTGGCACCCGCTGCATCGCTGGACAGGGAATAACATTATTATTTACTGGCGATATCTGGGCGACGACAGCGACTGGGAAAACGAGTCGCTCGAAGGCACCGACGATTACAGCGTATCTCTAGAAACAGCAAAGTTGCTCATGTCGTCGATGAACATTGCTGCCCAAAATGTGCGATGTCAGCTGCCCATGTTTGTTCCTGTCGGGGACGCCTGGCGCTGCTTGTTCACCGGCAGGGCAATTGGCCGCGCAGAAATTATTGGGCAGCAGCCGCCGGGTAATACCGCTGTGGTCGTGCGGAAATTCGAATCTGTCAGCCTTCCGCAATCGCCCAATGCGTACTTACAACTGAACGGCTTGCTGGAACTATTTGCAACCTCATTCCGCGTGCTGGCGTATGCCCCGCGGCAGCAGCAGTCAGCAGGGAACGCGAGCAGCAGATCTGCCAGTGTCGTGGGTCCTGGCCAGGACTGGGATTTTCTTTCAAAGGCCGTTGACCTCGCCGCTTTGCATGAGTACCGCATCAAAAACACATACAGTCGCGAGTGGAACTCGTCTTCGTTGGACTTTCGCTACCACGCGGGCGACCTGAATGTGGGGCCGGCCAACGATCCCCTCCGGGTGATTTGCCTCAAGGCACTCTTCCAGCGTGCTCCGTGCGGCACCTATATTGACCCGCAGTTGTCAAGCCGCGACCGCTTGTATTTGAAGACTGCCACAGCATGGCTTTTGTCTGCCCAAATGTTCCCGGCCGACCGTGAGCGCACAATGCTGACTGAGGCTTTGGAGGACGCATTTGCTGCGTGGGCGCAGTCGTCAAGTGAGGCCAACCGCCACCGCCATCTCAGTCTGCCCGAACAAATGGAAGCGCATGAGGAGATTACTAGCGACATGCTCATTGACCTGTTCGGGTCATCCACAGCTCCACACATTACCCCGCCTGGACTTGAGATTGATACCGGAAATCAGCAGACAGCAGAGGAATTTGCAGCTAGACTCGAGCAGACATTTGCCGATGTGTACGCTGACGCCGACCCGCAGTTTCGCCCACCCAGCGCGGCCCAGCTGATTTCCCGCATGCCCCATGGCGCAGCGGTGCCGAGCAACTCGCTTCTTTGGCGGCTGAGCGAGATCATTCTGGTGGCGACCGCCAAGCAATCGACAACCTTTTGGCGCGCTCCCTCTATTATGACATTTCTGCGGCTCCTATGGTCTATGGCCCTGAAGGAGATCAGATGGCGGTGGGAGAACGCAAAGCTGCTGCCCCGGATCCCGACATCGGAAGACAACGCGGCCAGAAGGGACGGCGCCACTTCGGGTGCCGAGACACCAACACCCTTTCCACCAAACAGCTCTCAAACTGCGGACAGCGCTATTAAATCTGCCTCGGCCCATTTTAGCGTTCATCTCAGGTACTCACTAGTCTACCAGAAGCTCGAAATGCTCAACTGCTGCTTGGAGCGCAAGCTCATGAGGGACGGTCAGCCTATCGATTTGGACAGTACCATGCCGCACTCAGCTCTGGGCCGTCTGGCCCTAGACTCACCAGCCGAACACAGTTCGCCGAGTCCCTCGATGAGCTCAACGGGGCAGCGCAGCAAGCGGGTAATGACACGGACAGCCTTGCTCAGCGCATTCGCGCACACGTCAAGGACCAGATTCGAAAGCGCATAGGCGAAGGCGGCGTTGAACTGGGCCAGCGGGCATGGGCACAGAGCTCGCGCATACGCCGCCCTATTGGCCGCCTGCTGAACACAATGCACTTTCAAGACGGTAACTCTGGCGAATCCTCCGAATCACCTGCTGGCGAGATTGGCGAATTTGAGGAAATAAGGGCCGGCCCATACGCCAGCGACAGCGAGGGATTTGTTTCTGCTGAGGACATCGACTATGACGACAACGACGCCACGGGCGAAATTGTCGCTGAGGACATGTCTGCGCTGTCGTCGGCAGTGTCCGTACGACTTCCAGCTAATGCCGTTATTCCCGCGCTGCCGAAACTTTTGAGTACAATATGGATATTCCAGCAGCCGAGCACAGCGCATGTGACACCAATTATGTAGACCTGGCCATTTCTTCGAGCATGGACTCAACTTCGGGATTCCACCATGTCAGCGGCGTGTACCAGTTTGAGAGGCCGTCAGTCATGGCCAGTGGGACGCCTGTTACGACGCAGGCACCCCCTGCCCAGCGCTTCTCGGTCAGTACAAATTCCGCAACAGCCACTCCATCTTCAGAAACGACAGATCCTCCACAGCTGGAGCAACAACCGAAGCAGAAAGAAAGCGTCGGCGGGCTCTACCAGTCGGACTCGATGCGGCTACTGGAAACTGACCAGCCCATGTGGATCCCAAAGATCCAGCTGCCGCCCGTTTTGACCGAGGACATGCTGCGAGAGCGCGAGGCCATATTGATCGGATTTGGGACCTCGAACGACGGAGCCAAGCAGCGCGCTCAGCTGCAATGCGCGGAGCTCATATCCGACATGGAGTCGTTCAAGGCCGCCAACCCGGGATGCGTTTAGCCGACTTTGTCCGCTGGCACTCGCCCGCGACTGGGTTGTCCCCGAAGGCAGCCTTAGCGACAAGGACGGCAGCCTGAGCATGCGCATGTCAGGTGGCGGCGATGGAGAAAACCTCTGGCTACAGCTGTGGTCCGAGGCCAAGCCCATACCGGCAGACAAGCAAAAGCCGCTGTTTGACTACGAAATGGAGGCTGAGAAGGCCCTGCACTACTTGGAGGGCATACCCATATATGCCCTATTCTCCAGCCTGCTTCCGTCCATATTCCTTATCACATACGAGCGCCTGTACAGGCAGCCGATCGTGCACCGGCTGGAGTCGCTACGCGAGCGGCTATGCTCTCTGGGTAAGAAGATCGCCTTCCAGGTCAACTGGTCGGCTGTGGACCCCGAGAGCTCCGTGTTTAGCTCCATCATGGACGATCTGGAAGACCTCGAGGTGCAGACCAGCAGATGCGTGTCCCTGCTGCACAAGTTCCCCGAGCAGTACTCGCTTGTCCAGGCCCTGGTTGGTCGCGGTCAGGCCATAGTGGAGGATCGCAGGGTTCAAAAAATCGTTCTCAAGGCGCTGTCAAAGTACAACATTTGACCGTGGCGCCCGCCTGTCGCGAATATACGTTTACCTCCAACTTGCTTGGCCTGCGCTCGGATTGCGGTGCGTCTGCGGATACAGACATGAGCTCTGCGATGTCTCTGTGCAGCAGCGCATGTATGTGACCATCGAAGAGGACAAGTCAATTAGGGTCAGCTACACCCGGGTCAAGACACAGGGCAGTTTTTGAAGCTCTCAAGTTTCTGTCAAGTAGCACAAGCATAAACTCTTACAGTGCGGCCACGGCTGGCAGTTTCATCACAACGTCTACCCCATATATTAGCTTTAAATTGCGAGTGTTAATTAAACACATGGCCCCAAGTTTTGGGAGCCGCCGACTTTTGGCAGCTTTAGCATTGCCGGGGCAACTTTCGTAGTACATTTTTTATTATTATTCGTGCAGCAGCAGCATACACTGACAGATAAAATAAATAAACACAATGGAGCTGATTCGCAAGGGTCTGATCGCGATCACTGGAACCACAGGTGTCGGTAAGTCGCAGCTCGCGATAGAGCTGGCCCGCAAGCTCAACGGCGAGGTCATCAACGCAGATGCCCTGCAGGTCTACAAGGGCTATGACATTATCACCAACAAAGTCACTGCTGAAGAAATGCTTGGCGTCCCGCACCATCTCCTGGATTTGTCATTCGAGCAAAGAATACACTGTGCAAGAGTTTGAGCGCGACGCATTGCAAAAGATCCACGAGATCCACGGGCGCAACCGCGTCCCCATCCTGGTTGGCGGCACAAACTACTACATACAGTCGGTGATGTTTCAAAAGTCCTGGTCAGAGAACCGGGATCGCCCCAAGGCGGTAGCACTGGTGTGCAGCCGAATGACCACAGCTTCGAGCAGTCTCAGGTGGACAAGAGCAATCAGCAGCTGTGGGAGGAGCTAAAGTCCGTTGATCCTATAATGGCCGAGAACTGGCACCCCAACAACCGCCGAAAGATCCTGCGCAGCCTCGAGGTGTTGCACACCACAGGAAGAAAGCACAGCGAATGGGTCGCAGATAGCGAGGAAGCGCGCAGAAAGGAGGAAACACTGCGATTCCCCACCCTGCTATTTTGGCTGTACGCAGACACCCCCGTGCTCAATCAGCGCATAGATAACCGGGTTGGCGATATGATTGAGCGCGGCCTGTTCGGCGAGCTTGGCCAGCTTGCCAAGGACCTGAGTGATCCGCGGGCGTTCGGCGGATCGAGCGATGATTTCACCACGGGCTCAAGCAGGCCATTGGATTCAGGGAGTTTGAGGCTTATCTCAAGGCGGCTGCGACCGACTCCAAGACGTCCGAATTGGAGTGCGAGCAGCTGAAAGCAAAGGGCATCGAGGACATGAAGACATCGACTAGGAGGTATGCCAAGCGGCAGATAACATGGATTCGCAACAAGTTGATTCCAGAGTGCAGATCGACGCTGGGAAAGTCCACCAGGGCACACCCGTTTGTGCTGGACGCAACAGACCTGGGCCAATGGAAGTCAGAGGTCATGAACAAGGGACTGTCTATTGCCCAGAAGTTTGTTGGCAGCGCGCAGTTGCCTGAAGCGGCAGCAGTTTCCGACACCGCAGCAAGGCTCCTTGCTGAGGTCAAGGAGAAGCCCAACTCGATACTGGCATGGAAGAGGCACTTTTGCAGTGTATGCTCAAAATCCGCCGAGGAGACGCCCAACGGCGTTGCGCTGGAGGTCTGGCTGAATGGCGACGACGAGTACAACCAGCACATGCACTCGCGACAGCACAAGCACAACATCAAGCATCGCAAAAGGGTATCATCCTGGCACAAAAAGGACGGCGACGATGCAAGAGGCTGTGACGCGCCCTTGTCGAAGCGAGCCAACACGAATCTCGAATCGACCGGCGACTAGAAGAGACACTGACACACTTTACAGCATTTGACTGAGTAATGTTCACTTTTAAGAAGAAAAAACCACAATAAAATTTTATTGGGTAGAAATATACTCTAAATCCCCTTGACTCAAGTTACAAAGTCTACATGAAAAAAGGTCACATATTTTTACTCCTCTTCAGCGGTGGCCAGCCAGTTTGCGAATGGTTCCATGGCGGAAATCGCGGGGCTGCGGTCCTCGCTATTCTTCCTGGTGAACCATGCGGTGAAGACATCTTCGTCCAGCAGCGATGCCTTGTAGAGCGCACCCAGAACCTCCGAGGCCTTCTTCTGCCACGCCGCGGCGTGCTCGTCGTCCGCGAGCAGACGCTGCCAGGAGTTGAGCATGAGCGCCTGGTCCTGGGGCTTGGTCACGATCTTGGACAGCAACTCGGACTTGCGAGATACAGTTTCGGACACTCCAACAGCCTTGCACGGCGCGAAAAGTGCCGAGATGGCCACGTTCAGCAGCTGCTGCTTGCCCAGGTTGTTGCGGAACTCTGTGTGAGTGATCTCCTTGAATGCGGCCTGCAGGGTGGGCTCTTGGTCGCCAACGCTGGCCCTGGCAAAGGACTCGATGAGCTCCTTGGTCAGACGGTTCTCGAGCTCAATGGTCTTGCTGATCTGCTTCTGCTTCGGGGTCTCGTTGCTAGCCGCGCTATCCGCCAAGGGGCTGCCCATCTGCTGAAGAACCTGGTCGTTGACCTCGAGCACCTTGATCCAGGGCTTCTCGCCGCTAGCATCCTTCTTCAGACTGCCCGGCTTAACTGTCTCCTGCTGCCTTTTCACTGGGGTGCCCGTAGGGACAGCTTTTGCGCTGCTAGGAGTGGGGATCTTTTGCGGGACTGGAGTGACGATGGGTGCAGCTAGGGGCGCCTTGAACTCTGAATCACTGCCAGACGCCGCCGTCGGCGACTGCGCGTTTGCGGCAAACCTGAAGTTCAACGAGCCCTCGTCGCTGATGCTGGGCGAGCCAACAGCCGCCTGGGTGTTGGTGGTGTTGGACCAAGACGCATTTCTGGCAAAATTGGGGATTTGTGCGCGCTCGCTGGCACCCTCAAAGCCACCCTTCCTCCATGTCTGCGATTGGTTGGCAAAGTTGCGGTTGAAGCCGTTGGGGCCCTGCTCGTTCGTGGTGCGGGGTGTGTACTGAACGTCGCGAGGGGACTTGACCTGCACGGGCTGTTCAGGGGCCACACGCAGCTCGACATCGCCGTGGGCAAACTGGCACTTTTCGCCATACGGGCACGCACCCTGCTCGGCAAAGCGCTGGCAGGGCCTGGTCTTGTAAAGCGGGTTGTCATTGAACTTGGGCGCGGCTCCCTGAGGAGTACGTGGCTGCTGGCTCTGGCCCTGGCTCTGGCTCTGGCTCTGGCTCTGGTTTTGGCTCGGACTCTGCTGCTGGAATGACTGGGCCTGGAAAAACTGCGGCTGCTGGCTTCTGAATCCCTGTTGGATCGGCTGTTTCTGCTGGAGTTGCTGGGGCCTCTGGATTTGCTGCGGCTGCTGCTGCTGCTGCTGATTGTATTGCGGCTGCTGCTGGTATGACGACTGGGCCGGGCGTTCGCGGGGCTTCTCCTCCGAAACGTTCTTAAACGAGGGAGTAGTCGGGGTGGCTTCGCGAACACGCATCTCGCTCTCGCCATGAGCGAAAACGCACTTGTGGTGGTAGGGACATTCGCCCTCGCGCTCAAACTTCTCGCAGAGCTTGGTTTTGTAGCGCGGGTTGTCTTGGGGCCTGCTCTGCTGGCCCTGGTTCTGCAGCTGGTTCTGCTGGTCCTGCTTGTTCTGCTGGTCCTGCTGCTGCTCCCTATCGTTGAATCCACGGACAGTCCGTTGTCCATCGCTCACAGCAAGCTTCTTGAAGTTGCCCTCAATTCCAGCAGCGCCTCCACGTTGGGTGCGCCATCCGCCAGCACCGCCGTCGTCCTGGTTGACATTCTTGCCCTCATACTGGCGGTTGTTGTTGTTGCTGTTGCTGTTGCTGATGTTGCTGTTGCTGTTGTTCCGGTTGACACGGCTGACGTTGTTGTCGCCGCCCACGGTCTGCCAGCGAGGGCGCGAGTTGTCGAAGAGGATTTCTTCACGAAGGCCCTCGATGTAATCCTCAGCCTGAGTCAAGATGTTCTGCATGCTTTGGAACATCACTCTCTCCAGCGCCTGGTCAAGCGTGCACCACTGGTACTTCAGCCCGCTGCTGTCGCAACGGATCATGCCCTGGCGGGAGGACACCGACATACGCGCCAAAAAGTAGACAACCTGCTTGGGCTTGATACCGTCGACGTACTTGAGCTCGGCGCGGAATGCCTCGTCGGTGACAAGATCGCTGGCACTCAGGCCAATCAGATCAAGAGACTCTCTCAGCGCGCACCTAAGACAAAAAATTTTCAATAACAATATTTGAATTTGAGCTTGAGCTTGCAAAAGTGCATACTTTGGTGTTTTGAATCGAGTACATGCCATGTTTCTAGGTGCTCTGTAAAGCTGTGCGCGCCAACTTACTTGAGCTCGTCCTCGGCGCCGATTTTCCGACCCTTAGGCGGGTACCAATGCCGATGGTGCTCGTACGAGTCATTGAGCAGCAGGTACTCGATTGGCTTTCTGGGCGAAATGCGGTAGATTAGAAGACCGGCAAGGTTAATAGTGCTCATTATTGTCTACTGGGCTCTTACAACAATGGCAAACACAAATAGAAATAACGCTGGCCTCGGCGAGGTATAAAGTGGAAGGAGAAATGTAAGGGAAGAAAATGTAAGAAAAGAAAATTTAGTTGAAAAAAAGTAAGGAACGAGTTGAAAATATTCTGGTGAAAATATTTTAGCAGCGCCCTGTGCGTTTTTTCTAGGGTGCGACAATGCACTGCAGAAAAAAATGGACAATAAAAAATATTTGCCACCCGCTGACTCTATTGCTGTCTTTGTCAACAGCTACGGAATTCTTGGAATTACCCCCCTCCTTTGTAAACGGAATGGCTCGGAAAATGAGAGGCATTTTCTTGTGCATGAGGAAATGGTGGGCTCCCGCGGGTTGCTTTTGTTTGCATTGGAAATTGAGAATTAAGCAGCTAACGAGTGTGTGGTTTTGGTTTGTCCGCCGCTTGTAGTATTTGCGTTACTTTTCAAACCCCTGTCTCTCGGCCAAACTTTGTTGTAAACGATCATCCAGGATGTGGTTTAATCTTAAGCAAAGACTTGCGTTTTCGGTAACCCCTACAACGATCTTGCCTGTATGTGCCGTGCCCAAGCACATCAGCTAGTGCGAAACGTTGATCATCTGCTGGTTGGTGCGCCAATTGTGCATGTAAATTGTGCATGTAATATCTCCGATCCTGACATTTTCTCTTTCAAATAGCGCCCTTGCTGCTGCCTCGCTCAAAGTAAAGGCAGCGCTAACACAGCCTCATAGTGTTGTTTCTCAAAGACTTTCTCTATATATAATTTGCCAATACGATTAAAAAAAGGATGCGCATAGACGCAAACGGGCCCCTGCTGCTGTCGCTCTAGAGTGTCATGTTGTCCTCGAACCACCTGTTGCGCTCGTATTTTGTACCGCCCGGAGCCGTCATATATTTGTATGGCAACGGGTGCTGGTACTCCTCCAGGGCGTCCTCGGTCTCGCGCACAAGCTGCTGAATGCGGACAGGGCTTGATTCTCCGCGGTTAGCCTCGAATTCAGCGCGGATTTGCAGGGCAATCGGGCGCCAGTACAGCCTGTTCGGGTACCAGTCGAGCGATGTGTAAAGAGCCTTCTTGTACAAACTGCGAACGTAGCTCCGATGTACCGACATTATTATTATGTTTATTCCACGAGTATTGATGCGCGTAAAGTATAGTAATTGTACACAGAATGGAATGGAAATAAAAAAGTCCTGAATTAGCTGGGCAAAAAAAATAAAATGATTTTTAGCGCTTTATCTTCGAAAATCGAATCTACAGCGGAAAAATCGACCGGCTCAATCAAGTTTAAAAACATGCAGAGCAGCTCGAGCCGTGCTTATACGCGCTGATGGTTTGGCTGCAAAAGCTGGCCGGCTCACTGGCGGCATGACCTTTTGTTGACGGCAGTTTCGCTGTTTTTGAATTCCATTCTATTTGGTTGCATTTGTTTATTTTATTTTTTGCGCCTCCTTATACTCTTTTTTTTCCTGCTCATTCGAGCCTTGAATTTCACCTACGGAAAAGAACTTCACTTCACACCAACGACAGCTTTATGGCGAACAGCAACAGCAATGGCGACGACGCTGCAGCTCACGACGATGACATGCAGCAGCGGAATGTCGAGTACATTCTCCTGGCAGAGTTTGATATTGACCGCGGAGCTATATTGAAGCACCAGTACCCGCGGCCGACGGGGGCCGACGACTCGTACGTACACCCAAAAGCGCACAATAGACGTGAATTTTGCCTAGTATGTTCCACAATAGGCTGATAGACCTTTGCATGCTTTTCTTTTCTGCCCACTGACATAGACACCTGGCCGAGCTCATGCTGCCCGACGGAGCGCATGCGCGCGAGAGCGATTGGACAATGTTTTTTCTTAACCAAAAGGCGCCCGACGAAAACGGGCGGGTGTCGGAGGACGGGCCGCCGCTGCTGTACGTGCTCAACCTGGTGCGTACAAAGCACGACAAGGAGGTGCGGCGCGGTGCAATTGTCAAGGCAATGGCAGTGTGCACGCGACACCGGTTTATTCACATCTACCAAGCAATTCTCATGCTGGCGCTCGAGAACTACTACCGCGCGCCGACTGAGGACACACTGGCCGAACTGTACAAGTCGGCCAACCAAATGGACCTGTCGTGCATGCCGCAGCTGAGCCGGCACGAAACGACAATTCTGCGGTTTTCCGACGACCAGAACATGTTTGAGGAGCGGTTCGTGCAGCTCGAGTGCGAGCGGCGACTGCTGGGCACGCTGGCGCAGGACTCAGAGCGGCTGGATGTGGCTCATGAGCTGGGGCTGGCTGAGCTGGGCGCATCAGGCAGCGACGAGTCGGCGGCAGCAGCGGCCCGGCGCGGCACGGTGTCGGAGACAAACCGCATGCGCGCGGCGTCGGCGCGCAACAAGGACAGGCGGTTTTTTGACACGGAGATTGTATACTCGGGCGTCAAGCTGCCCATCCGCGTGCCGATGACCGTGTACCCGGAGGAGATCAGCGACTTTTCGCTTATTCAGCTGCTGACGACGTTCTCTGGCGCGCTGTCGGCGACGACCGGCAGCAAGGCCATGCAGCCGCACCCGCACCTGGAGTCCAGCGGCCAATACACACACTCGATCATCCTGCTGATGAACGGGCTGCTGACGCAGAAGCGCATCATCTTTCTGGGCCACGGCAAGCCGGCCGGCGAGGTGGCCAACTATGTTCTGGCGGCCGTGGCGCTGGGCAGCGGCGGCGGCGGTGTGCTGCGTGGATTCGCCAACCGCGCGTTCCCATACACCAACCTGACCAACCTCGACACGCTGCTGTCGTTCCCAGGCTACATTGCCGGCGTCACCAACCCGGCATTCGAGGAGCACCCGGAGTGGTGGGACATTCTGTGCAACATCAACACCGGCAAAATCATTGTCAGCCCGCTGCTGGCCATGCCGCCGGGCACTGCCAATGCAAACATGCGCTCGCAGACGGACTCACTGCGCCGCAGCTTGGACTCGGTGACACTGTCGCGCAACCGCTCCTTCTCGTCGCGCGACGGCAAGCCCGATAAGTGGAACAACCTGGATTCGGAATTCATCCAGGACCTGATGCTGGCCATTGAGCGCCACTACGGCGAGGTGGCCATTCGCGCTAAGGTCGAGAACTATGTGCGCCGCTTCATGTCGCTAGTGCCAATCTACGAGCACGAGCGCGACGGCGTTACGCGTCTGGGCGACCCCGCACATATGGCCGCTGCCGACAGCCGCGGGGTCGACGGCTACTGCATCTCCCCTGGCGACAAGGAGAGCAGGGACCGTGAGATCAGCTTCTACCAGACGCGCATTGAGGGGTTCATTGGCACCCAGGCCTACCACTACGCCGTTGCCGACTACGAGTCCATGCAGGCCAGCTGCTTTATCCGTGGCATTGACATTGCGCACATGGTCTACTGCCTGCGAAACTCCACCAACCTTGATGTCAACGAGGTCGAGGCCATCTACAAGCGCCTGGACGAGCAAGTCGTCACTGACGAACAGGTCACTGAGCTGCTAGCCTCACTGCCGCAGAGCCAGGGCGGCCTGCAGCCGCTGGCCTATGGCTTCTACCATCCGTCGCCGGCAATCCGCATGTACACCGTGCGCCTGTTTGAGAAGATCGAGCGCAACCAGGCAGGCACCCGCTACGTGCGCAGCACAAACTTCTTCCACCAGTGTGCATTCAGCAACCTACGTCACGCATTTTCCGTCTAAGGACCTGTGTGTTTGGACCAACTCTGCCTCTCTCTCTATCTCTTTGATACTATAAACTCTAGCGCAGCATTTTCATTTCTTCTAATTCTTCTTTAATTTTTGTCCTCTTCTTTCTCTTTCTCTTTTTTTGCACTTTGCTATTTCCATTTATATCTTCATCTTTATTTTTTTCGCCTTTCAGTTCCTTGCGTCCCACGGTGCTTCCTCATATTTTACTTTTTCATTTTTAGCCATATTTTTCATGTTTTAATAAAAATGCTATTCAACAGCCGATACTAATTGTGGCTCTTCTGCTTACTGAGCCTGCCTGCGCATTTAAAAGCCCTGTGACCCATGGAATTATCAACTGAACTCTTTACTTTTGGTTGCTCAAGGCCAGTCTCCAAGCGGTTGTCAATTCAAAAGTTTAGACAAAAGAGTCGCCTGATACGGGCTGAGTCTCCTTCTTACTCGAGTGTGCCCACTACTGGCGCCCCGAGGACTCCAACCACAGGGTACTTGACCGAGAGTCTCTGCTCCCAGTTATTCATGGCCAGCCTCTCAGCATCCGTGAATTCAGAAGTGTCAACGGGGGAGTCATTTGGTCCAGGCAGAGCATCCTCTTTGAGCGTATTCACTGCCAGTGCCTTGGTGCAATCGCGACCAGCAAAAACATTGTAGCTCTTACCCGGCCCGTAGAATTGCGGCGAAGTTGACACGTCGTACACTTTGCCGTTAAAACCCAGCAGAATGAGCGGGGTGGTGTCATTGTGCCCATTGTACTTTCTCAGCTCTTCCAACGTGAAAACCCGTGATTGCTTGTCGCTCATTGTTGCAGATGTGAATGAAATTGGGGTAAAGTAATAAAAAAGTATATAGTATAAAAATTATGTAGTAGGAAGAAAAATGATGCATGTATCACACACTGCATGATTTGCAAGTTGGGGATGATTTTTAAATTGCAATTGTGCCTGAAACCAAATAAACCACTGTGGCAAACCCCCAACCTTCAGGGTAACCTTGGAGATTGTTTATGCACTTGCTTTTACATTTAGTTAAAAGGCAGTGCATTAACAGTGCGTTAACACCTTTTGCAAGAGATAGGAAATTAAGTACAAGACCATGTCCAAGCGCGAAGCCAAGGAGGCAACCCTCTGCTGCAGCTACTCATCCCCACAGGCAGCGCGCAGATTTATTTATCCACATATCATGGCGGTTATAGCCATTAGTTTTTTAACACAGGACAGGGCTTCGTCAAATGAGCAAGTGGATCTATGAATACATTTTCTCTGGGCAAAGTGTGGATTTTTTTTCAGCGCATCAAATTCTAGTTGCTTTGCTTATCATACGTCTTTTTTATTGTACTCGTATTTTTGTTACTGTAATATTATGCTTGCAAAGAGGATTTTCACATTCTTTGGAAATGTATAGTGAAAACTTAATAATATCTGGTTGTATTTTCAGTCTCAGCGCTTCTATAAAATTTCAGTTTTTTTTGTAGTTGCTGGATGGGGTTTTCCAACACAGTAATGTTAGAAAGCGAGAAAATAGATACATTCTGCGAAATATAAAACAAGTAAAAAAAGCATGAACCAAAGTTAATTAATGAGGCCGATTGTCTATCACGCCACCTTGTCTCTCATGGGCTATATTGCATACCTGGTTACATGTCCCTATAACGAAAATTATTCTAGGGGCTGCGTGATTGGGATTTCTCCAGACCTGGATCTAATTGCCTGGCAATGGAAGTGTTCGCCAGGGTGTTGGTAAAATTAAGCCTGAGCACTTGCTCTGCCAGCTAGAGCATCAATCATGGCAAAGTTGGTAGTCAATGTGTTTGTTGAGATTGAAGTATCATCAACAACCGGCGTTTTTCAGGCGTCAAGCATCCCTTCATTTCCCGTTCGACCTGCAAGTCGCACTGCCCTTTGTACCAGTCGTTCTGTTTATCTACAATCTCGTGTACGAACACTGTTGCTTGTTCTTGTGCAATCATATTAGAGTTTCTTGACCAACATTATGTAACTGTCCTCTGCCAACTCCTTCCAGCCACACCTCATACCCAAGCACAGCTTCTTGTTCTGGTAGTGGGTGTCCACAGGCTTCTTGAGTTCCTCCAATATGGCATATGTTGGTCCTGGATACAGTTGAAGTATGTTGACCGTCTCAGCCAGGGGATCTGTGGCTGGATTCCAAAGATTCCAATGAAAGTCATTTTGCAACAGAATTGTGCATTTCCGTCGTGGATACATGAACATGTGGCCCTGTGTCTCGATGATCCAACAGCCAGGCGACGGGCCATAGATGCATCTCTAGTTCCGGATATGCGTCAGGGTACCATTTGCATTGTCTGTTCACTACAGGCATCAATACAATAATTCTTCGTTTTCAAATAGCTGATTTGCATAGTGGACATTACAAGGATCAGCATACTTGCATATTTAATTGAAAAATCTTATATTTCCACTTTCTGTGTATTTTGAGCTAAAAAAAGTATATGCGCACGGCACTATTAAGGAAACATTTGGGGCCAGAAGAGAGGCGTGCGCAAACAAAATAAAAACTGTCTTGCGTACTTAGACCTTGATAGTCTTCTTTTCTTTAGTTTACTTTCACAATACATATTTTTATAAATCAATTTACTTTCATTATAATGAAGCCTGGCCGCGCTCTGCACAGCGATATCCAACGCGAAATCAGCGAGATAGATGATCTTGTTCCCTTAAAGTTTCAAGCACAATGGGAGGCTAGCTCGTCGGATTTCATAAATAACCGTATACTTGACGAGCACATAACTGATACTCCTGATATTTATTTTTCGCCGTCAACCCAACAAATGCTGAGCTTCTGGCAGTTTAACAGCAGCGACAAATTCCCCAGCACCAAGCCCGTGCAAGAGACCACACTTCTCACACTGCTAGATAACACCGGTGCAGAGCTGGTTTTACATATGATGTCACTGACGCCACGAGCAAAAACTCATCTTGGATTCACCGTGAACCTAAACGTCGCCAGAAAGGGCTTCTCGCCAGCCGCCAGACTTTTTTACTTCAAGCTTCAGGTCGTCTATGATGCCAATTGCAAGTTTGTCCTTAAATGCCCGATTTATGATGCAGAGACCGCTAAGCTGCTGCTTGTTGCCCGTATGATATTCGTATTTGTGCCGATGGCAAAAATGCCCAAGCAAATTGAAGTGGCCAAAGCTTCCAGCTCTGACAATTCCCAAATTCGGTTGCCGCAGATCGATGCGCCCGACGTACAAGCTCTCGACAACAATAATCTCCTTGCACTCAGCCAAGTTATGAACTGTTTGCCCCTTGATATTGCGGATCACAAGGCTGGTTTGTTGAGCATGGCGCAGCGGCGAATGGCTGCAATAATTGACTTTGGCGAGAACATTGCTGGGCCAAAGTATTACATACATGGTGGCGTTTTAGCAACTGTATTGTGCAATGCCTCTTCGTTCCTGCTAACCAAAATTACTGGCGTCAGTATGATGCATGTGGCTACCACTATCTGGAACATCAACTATCGCAAGGGCATACGTGTGGCCAGCAAGGGCGTCGTTGTTGATGCAGTTGTCGAGGAGCCAAACAGCAAGGGCGAGATCATTATAATGACCAAGCTCGTTAATGGAAATGATATTTGCACGACTCTCGAGACAACAGTAACCTTGCCGAAGCTGAATACAAAGCTGTAATAATGTCGTCATTTCGGCACTGCGCATCAGCAATATATCAAGATATTGATCAGTAAACCTTATTAATAAATTTATCATATTGCCATATTTTATGAGTAAATTTTGCGAGCACCAAATATATTTTAAAAATTTTAATTATGCTCTCTCGCCAAGTGCTCAAGATGAATGTGCTTCCTGGTCATATTCATTACCAGCAACAAACAGCGGCTTGTCGTCGCCACCCTGTAGATAGTAGTCAGACAGTCGCACCCGCTTGCCATCCTTGACGACCACTGCCTCGCCCGATCCCCACTTGAACTTAATACTCGGCTCCGCATGGTTACTGATGCCGCTCTCATCGAGATGTCCCTGTGCGTTGGCCCACCAATCCTGCGGTCTGCGCACCTTGCGCCCTGAACGAGTGACAGATGTAGAGAAAGGTTTGGGCTCTGTGTACCTAAAGAACGACTTGACAACTCTTCGCTTGGGCGTGACGGTGCTTGAACTGGGCGTATCCACTGGTCTGTCGCCTAATTCCTTGTCTGGTTCAGAGTCAGAATTTAGATCCAGAGGCAGATCCTGCGGGAAATCATCCGATTCAGCGGCCGATACCGCTGAGACCGCACTTTCCTGAGCTGCCTTGGACCTTGTAGAGACAGGCTTTGTGGCGGGTCTTTTGCGAGGCGTTGATGTGGGAGTGCCCGCTTGGCCCGATGGCAAAGACGCCTTAGGCGTTATTGGCGCGCGATTAGCCGAAGATCTGGTTGTCGGCGTTGTCGGCGTGGCCTTACGCCGGGATTGTTTCGTCGGGGTGTCCATAAACACATTGCTCTCCTTTTTTGAGGTCGAGTCTAAATTCGGCTTTAAAGTCAGCGATGGCTGGGATGACTCGTCGGAGCTATCGATAATTCTCTTTGGCACATTTCTCTTGTCAGAAGACGCAGCCGGCTTTGATCGTGCTGGGACTAAACGCTTACTGGCATTTTCAAACATCTTGTCCAACTTTTCTATGTCATTTTCCTCGATTGACTCTAATAGTGCCGGCCGACGTGCAACCAACTCCGGTGAGTCATGTAGGTCCTCAGAATCGAGGCCCGTTGTACAGCTTGACTGTGGTATGGGACTATTTTGACCTTCATCGGCGGTAACTGCTGCATCTTCGCACCCGGTGTCAGCCCTCGAGGTCTGTTCTTCGTCACACTCCGTTATCCTGTCAATACCACCGTCCTCGAACGAATGCGACTCTTCAAGCACAAGCTCTGCTTGTTTTTCGGCACTTGGCTGATTGTTTTTCTGAGGCACAGATCTTCCGAACCCGCCACGAGCAAACAAGCTGGCGCCGCTGGTGTAGACCGAAGAGGCCTTGCGTGACTTAGCTTCTGCATTAGCCGCTGCTGGCGACCTGGAAAAAATAGTCTGTTGTGCGTATGTTTTATCGCTGAGCACCGACGAGGGCAAGCTCTCAAATCCACCATAGTCCTCGGTTGACTCTTCACGCCTCAAGGGTGTCGGGCTCTGCTTCGAAGCAATGCTTGTCCTCGGGGCGGAGACTGGTGGCGCCTCGTAATGCGCGCCAGGGGACTTTCTGCCAAAATCCGCTTCAATGAGCTGCCTCCAGTTTTGAGGAAACCCCTCGGCAAAATATGGAATAAGGTGCTCTGGAAACCCGTTTAACCGCATAGCCTCGATGTCTGCAGGACCGACCAACATGTAATAGGTACCCTTGTTGGTCAGCAACGTGCGGCCATCTACCACCCTTATAATGGCAGAGCTGCGCCGAACTGCCTGGCGCCCATCAGCCCTCATGATCTTCCCGTGAACGCTGACAGTTCCCCTAGCCGAGTCCAGGTAAGCAGACCAGCTATTAATATGGCACTGTGTTGTGTTGGCAGCAAGGACATGTGCTGGCAGGGTGCTTCCGGGGATAAACCGCTGATCTGGCAGCGAGTGTGGGCGCGTCCGAATCGGCTGTACAGATACCGGGTATTTTGACGGCGAGCGGTGAGACACAGACATCTTATGGTCAAAAACAGGACCACCATTAATACGTCTGGAAATACCGGCGGGCGACACGGCATTTTCACCATGTCGCGGAATGGGGTGGTGCCATGTTGGCGCGTTGTGTGTGGAGATTGGGCGCATTGACCCAGGTGGTGCGCCGCTGATGGCATTTCCAGTCATAATAGGCCGTGTGCTTGAGGAGGTCAGACCTGAGCCACGACTGGGCTGCCCCAGGTGGCGAGGGTATGGCGACTTTAGCACCTCGACATTTTTTATTCTGTTAAAAAAGTTTGCTGCGTCCTTATTGCCGCGTCCGTCCATTGCAAAAAAATAAATTGGAATTAATAAAATAAGATAACGAGGAATAAAGGCCAATTTGAATTAACAAAATGGTTTCATTTCGATTCGAAAAAAACGCGGAAGGAAAAATGAAATAACTTGTTTGCACACAAAGTTTGATCGACCTGTTTCTTTTTTACTGCTGCCCCTTTCGCCTTAAAAATTGGACCCTTTGTGCAATTTTTCAATCACAAATCCAAAGCAGAGCCAGACAAAAATAAGAGTGTTAAAACTTCAATTCAATTTATTGTACATAAATTTATCGCTGAGCATTAATGAACAACAATAAACATAGAAAATTAAACAACACGCCAGGTTGGTTGATAATTAGAGTGAAAAATACGCTTAAAGCTCCTGGGAGGGGTTGGCCTTCTTGGACTTCTGGGGCAAGAGAGTGGCGTGGATGTTGGGCAGGACACCACCCTGGGCAATAGTGACGTTGCCGAGCAGCTTGTTGAGCTCCTCGTCGTTGCGGATGGCGAGCTGCAGGTGACGGGGGATGATACGAGTCTTCTTGTTGTCGCGGGCAGCGTTACCGGCCAGCTCGAGGATCTCGGCGGTCAGGTACTCGAGGACGGCGGCCAGGTAGACGGGGGCACCGGCGGCAATGCGCTGGGCGTAGTTGCCGCGACGCAGGTGACGGTGGATACGGCCGACAGGGAACTGGATGCCAGCCTTGCTCGAGCGCGACTTGGGTCCGGCCGAAGCGGAGATACCGGCCTTGCCAGATGCGGATTTGCCACCAGCCATTGTGATTAAAGGTGAGTGTTGTGAGGGGGAGGGTGGTTGTGTGTTGTGGTTGTGTGTTTGCTCGAGAGCGAAAGGAGACTGAAGAAAAAAGCGTGGAATGAAAATGTGTATTGGTAAAGCACAAGAAAAAAAACCAGCAAAAATGAGATGGCGGCACTTGCCGGCTGTTTATATATGAGCAAGGGCGGTTGGTTGATAGAAAATGCAGAGACGCGTTCGTGCTGGAATATCGAGAAATGCAAAATTTCAAAACCCCAAATCGAATCGAGCAAGCACAAAGCGTAAAGCGTGCCTTTTGGGGGCTAATCAAGCGGGTGCATTCTCCTGCCAAGACGAAAAATACGAAATTGCAACGGCGCGCTGCAAAAAAATAATTGGACGCCTGTGATTGGCTGCCGTGCCTTTTTTCGCGTGCCGAAAATCGAAGTGTGTACTGAGTGCTCGATTTTTCAAAAATCGACAACCACAGCTGCTCCTCGATTTCAGCCAATCAGCGTCGGCCAGTTTATTTCTGACTTTTTTCGTCTTGCATTTTTGGATCTTGCGTCTCGCGTCTGGTGCCGTGCGGCTATTCTTGGCCCGTATCTGCGTAGTTTTTTGCATCTTTCGCGTGAGCTGGAGCCAGAGCGTCTGGCTGCGTGCCTCCGAGCACAGGCGCCGGCTGTTGTCTTTGCTGGTGCTGGTGCTGGTGCTGGTGCTGGTGCTGGTGCTGGTGCTGGTGCTGGTGCTGGTGCTGGTGCTGGTGCTGGTGCTGGTGCTGGTGCTGGTGCTGGTGCTGGTGCTGATGCTGGCACTGCCACTGCCACTGCCACTGCCACTGCCACTGCCACTGCCACTGGTACTGGTGCCTGTCTTTTTTCCACGCAAAGAACACTTTGGTTCAGCCTGGCTCGAAACAGAACCAAGACAATAGCACTGCTGGCCTTAATGCCTGCTGCTGCCAATGCTGATAAGGCGTCGCAGAAAGCTTTGGACTCTTGGGCTTTGCTGAGCCGAGAATGACAAAATCTAAAAGTGCAAAGACATTCGAAAAATCGAAATGCGCTTGGCCAATCAGCACGCGCCAATCGAGACGCGCTACCTCTGCTCGATTTTGAGGGCAAGAGAAAAACGGAAAAATCGAGTTGAAAGCGCGCTGCTCGATTTTTCTCAAATCGGCTCTTATGCCCCCCAAGCATATAAAACAGATGGCCGCCGCCCCCTGTGCTTGTGCACCTCGCGTTTTTTTCTTTCAGTCACAAACAACCACTTTTTCCCAACTTCTTTTTTCACAGCATTTTCTTTGCTTTTCCCACCCTCCACTCCAAACACCCACACTCACGCTCACACACCCAATTTCAAATGGCACCCAAGGTCGCAGAGTCCAAGTCCGCTGTCGGTGGCAAGGCCCCCGTCAAGTCCGTTGGCGAGAAGAAGGCCCGCAAGGCCGTCCGCAAGGAGACCTACTCGACCTACATCTACAAGGTCCTGAAGCAGGTTCACCCCGACACCGGTATCTCGAACAAGGCCATGTCGATCATGAACTCGTTCGTCAACGACATCTTTGAGCGCATCGCCACCGAGGCCTCCAAGCTCGCTGCCTACAACAAGAAGTCCACCATCACTTCTCGCGAAATCCAGACCGCTGTCCGTCTCCTGCTCCCCGGAGAGCTGTCGCGCCACGCCGTGTCGGAGGGCACCAAGGCCACCACCAAGTTCGTTGCTGCCTCCAAGTAAACTGTATGACAGTTTAGTGGTTGCATCTGGCATCTGCCAAAGGTTATGCTTACGCAGCGGTAGTTGTCACTTTTATACCAACAGTCGTTTTTCTATGTAATTATAATTATCAAAATAATAATGGAACGTTATTCTTGAAAAAAACAATTAGTGTATGCTCATACGATAATGTGTGCTATAAGGAGACCTAAAAAATTACATGTGTAAGGGTGAGCGAACATCCGCCAAACTTCTACAAAAAAATATATCTGTGCTAAGCAGCTTAGATGAGCTTGCAGGCTGTAAGCATTACTGAACAACCAAGTTTGAATGCAGATATCCAATGTGTTTGGTTGTTTTTTCTGTACATGGCAAAATGCAAGCTAATCCTACAGACGCCAAACAAAGGAACTAATAAAGATTATTGGAAAAGCATTAGAAACAAACAAGAATTCTTGAAATTCTAACAACCTAGTGAGGGGTGGTTTGGGTTATGTACTCAGCGAGGGTTTTGAGATAACAAGATAAAGCTTTGTGGGAGTACCTGACTTGAAATTGTATAATTAGGATATTGTACATAACCAGTGTGCTGGCAAATTTGGTTTCTATTCGCGCATATATTGAGATAAATTAGCAATATTTTGTAAAAGCATCACAGGCAGAATCACTGCCAGTTTGACATTCACAACCAATACTTATTTGTTTGTAACTTTACTCACTATTCTTGGAATTTATTTGTACATTTGTTCTGCTGACACGCTGAAATGCAACCGCTTTAGGTTGTTGTGTAAATAAATTTCTGGGGATTAGTGATCCTTTGACTTTTCGGCCTAAATATCTCAAAATTAGAATTTTGACTGTCTACTCGAGTATTATTAAGCTGGAAATAGACCACTATAACATTCTCAATGGTCTTTTATGATAAGTCAAGTCAAGCAAACATAAATATATTTTATTATATGCTTACGTTTTTCCAAATTTTCTCTAAGAGTTGACGCCAAAATGTATTGCATACTCGCACATATCAGCACACGCAACACATTAATACTAACGTGACCAATTTGTGCTAAAGTATCATTATTATATGCAACTTTACTTGTGCCTTCCAAATATATCAATTTAAATACTTGTTGGCATAAATAAATGGGGAGCTATTCAACGACTGCATGAATTTTTAAAGTTGCACAACTGAGCGCAGCACAAGAAAACAGGTTTATTCAGCTTTGTTACTGCTAATTAAAAATAAAATACAATTAAATCTGATCAACATAAATATAATCATGATTAGGTTGCACGCTCTCTGGCATTTCTGCTGTCAGCGGACATTTTGAAATGGTGCTTTTACTTTTTTTTACCTTTTTTGTTTTCGATCGACAATAGAGAAGCGCAGTAGCCCGAGCGTGCTCGAAGGGACAAACATCTTTCAAGTGCCTGCAAAATTCATTGAGACGGGTCCCTCATATGACTAAGTACGTTTATTTTTCGGGGAGTCCAACTCACATGCCCACATGATACTATTGTACATGGTCTGTGGGCCAGAGGCGTTTTCTGGTTAAAAAGGGGTGCAAAAAACGAATTTGGTGGCAGGACCTCATCTTCACATGCTGGAACGTTGTGCATGGATGCTTGTTCATCTGCTTCAGCGCGGCCATACACATGTTGGGCAGGAAAGCGGAGGGAGATTTCCAGATGTCGGTCAAGTTTAGTTTGTTGCACAGCAAAAAATTATGTAGAAACCGGCACACAATCCAAACAAATTGATTGGGGAAATTGTCGGTCGATCATTGGACCGCTTGAGCACTGGCGGACGTGCGATACAATTTTTCCTGCTGGCCCGGCGGAATTAAGCAATTCAGCAAAGGAAAAGCTCGATTTAAAGCATAACAAACAAACACCAGGCAGGCAGGCGAGGGGGGCGGGGGCTCGCTTACAAAGGGGCGCAATTGCGCATGACAGTCCAAAGAGAATAACATTTCCGAAGGCGCTGGGGTTGGAGAGCAGGTAAAGGCAAAGCCCATACTCGAAAGGAGGAAGAAAATGCTGGACAAAAGGGAAATCCATTCCAAAATTGCCAACCCAAATTTGGTCTTCTGAACTCTTTTCCCCCCACGCTTGAAACAACCCCCACTTTGGCCCTTCCCCTCTGTTTTTACACTTCGCCTCCCCACAAGAAAAAAGAGTACATTTTTTGTCTTTGTGTCAAGCTTTTGTTTGTTTGTTTTTTAGCAGGTAGTGCGCCGGCTAATACACGCGTGGTACAGCACACTACTGAAGCATACCTATCTTCTTTCCTTTCCTTTTCTCTTCTGTTTTCTTTTCTTTGGTTCTATCATCCCCGCTTGCTCTCCCTATTTCTATTTTCATATCCTCTATTGCCAACCTGTATCTTTCCCTCGCCGTTTTGTTATTTTGTCTATTTATTTATATTGTCTGTGCACTGCATTGCCCTCATTGCGCTACTTACATTTACACCATCTGTCCAGCATTTATTCTAATTTCTATCAACATAAACAAAAAATTACCTCAAAACTCGCGTCTTATCGGCAAGTACACTCACTCACCGTTGTTGATTATTATGAGCGCAGCAGCAGCAGCTTCTGAGTTCGGCAGCACACTCGCTGCCAGCGTGCCCGTCGACGCAGCCTTCAACATGTTCAGCCCGGACGCGTGGCTTTCGGCTGCTTACACCGCGGCGGGATACGACAAGTCGCAGTGGAGATGGGTCAACGGCACCACCTATTTGTCGACCTGGCAGGAGGTTGGCCTGGGCATGATTGTTTACCTCGGAGCCATCTTTGGGATCCAGTTCCTGATGAGATCGCACAAGGGATTCAAGCTTAACAGGCTCGCGCAGGTCCATAACCTCATTCTCACCCTCGTGTCGCTTGTCCTTCTGGTGCTTTTTGTCGAGGAGCTAGCGCCAATCATCTCCGAGGGCGGTCTTTTCTACGCCGTGTGCGACCAGAAGGCGTGGACCCAGCGCCTCGAGGTTCTCTACTACCTCAACTACCTGACCAAGTGGCTCGAGTTCACCGACACTGTCTTCCTGGCTCTCAAGAAGAAGCCCCTGCAGTTCCTGCACGTCTACCACCACACGCTGACCATGGTCCTCTGCTTCACCCAACTCAACGGCGCCACCTCGGTCTCGTGGGTCGTCATCACGCTCAACCTGTTCGTTCATGTTATCATGTATTTCTATTACTTCCTTGCGTCGTGCGGTATCCACCCGTGGTGGAAGAAGTACGTTACTACTCTTCAGATCACCCAATTCATCATCGATCTTGGATTCGTCTACTTCTGCACCTACCAGCTTATCGGCTCGCGTTACTACCCCTCGCTCCCGTGCTACGGTGACTGCGCTGGAACTGAGGATGCTGCTATTTTTGGCTGCGCCCTGCTGTCGTCATACCTGCTGCTTTTCATCCAGTTCTTCCAGCGCACTTACACCAAGAAGCAGGCCGCCAAGAACAAGCTCAAGACCCAGTAAGCAAGTACGTGCCGGATGCGTGAAATGTCTTCTTTTTCATTTCCCTTTGATTTACAGCTATTTGATTCGATTTCAATTTAATATATCTATTATTTTATCACCCACTATAGTCAGTGCATATTGTTCCATATTGTTCAATGTTATGTAATGTTTAATTCTGGACAATGTGCTCATATTTGTATGTTCAAAAAGCGCAAAAAGAGATAGTATCACATCACATTGGTAGGAACGTAATCGCACACGTAGCCATGCTACCAACCAACAACCATAAACTCAACTAGAACAGGGCATCCTCCTCACGCAGGTACTCGCCGTTATCGGACTGGTGGAACACAGCGATACCGGTCGGGTCAACCTTGCGCATATCCACGGTCGATCTCGCGCTGACACCGAACCCCAGGGGAACATCAGCCATGTTGTAAATTACAACGCCCTGGTGCTCAGGCATATCCTCTGTGACACGTCCAATATGGGCCTTGACAACATGGTTGCCATATAAGAAGGGCATCTCGCCGTTGGGCTTCACCCATACCTTGTATGTCGCGTACTGCGCCAAGTACGGCAGCGCCGTGATGTGCATGCGGAACTTGCCGGTCTTTGTGAACTTGCCGAAGCACACTCCCAGTGCAATCAGGTTGAGGCGGCCAATTGGCGTCGCCTTGCGCATGATGTCTTCACTGACATAGTACACGCGATCCTTCTGTAACCGGAAGCAGTATGGCTCGTCGGGGCGGTCGATCAGGTGGACAATGTTGCGACCGATGCTATGAAGTGTGAACAAGGGTTGAAAGGTCAGGTTTAGCGAATGCCACAGCTGGGTTTATCAGGTGCATTACCTTGGCTTCTTCGACACTGGGTTATGTCCTGTCAAAGCGATGCACTTACTATTTTGAGAGCTTCTCAAACAAAACTTTGGTCTCGTCGTCTGTAAGTGGCCGCATTATTCAGTTTTACGTGGTGGGTGTATCGGTGGAATTGAATTTGTGGGTGAAAGGTCAAATAGAAAATTGACGTGCAATAGACAAAAAATAACAACAAGTATAGACAAAGAGCAAGCAGAGGACTGTGAGACCATGTCGAGCGCTTTCTTGCTTGCACTCGCGATCCTAAGCAGCAAGCTGAACCAACAGCAGCAAAAAAAACTGAGAAAGCGAGTCCTAAAAAAGTGCAACTTTGTTTAATTTTTCGCTTTTTTCTGTCTTTGCAACAGGCAAAAAAATAATGATCCACTGATCGGCTAACTGATCAAATCAAGACACGAATTCGCGCTATATACATGCAAAAGAGTGAAAAATCGGCTGCCAGCGCCAATTTCGAGCAATTTGAAGGCTTGAAGTGGGTGTAGCTGCAAGTTAGAGCTCACAAAACGCACAGCAAAAAGGTAGGGCCTGTGTGTTCATCCTTTCTCACTAACTGGCTTTAATTATATTTTCAAAATGGTGCGTAAACAGCGTTAATTATTTGCAAGCAGTTTTGCACAGACAAAATCCAGATCGGAACAGTGTTTGCGCGGAGCGATGGATACGACGGCTTTAAAATTAGATGGATGCGACGGATGGATGCGTGGCAGGAATTACAGCCAATTTATGTAGTGTTGGCTGCAAACTCAAAATATCAGTAAATGGATACGCTTAAACAATATTGTTAGCACTCTTTGGTTTTTGAGGAGCTCTCAACACTAGTGGCGGCATTTTCAATTTTGAAGGGCAGCAAATGGAATGAGGGGCATTTGCAAATTTCGACCGATTCGAATTTTTGCATTTGCTGTCTGAGAGATCGCTCAAGCGCTTTTTTATTTCTAAGGGCACTTGTTTTGATTTGTGCCTGGAGGAATGGGAGGCAGATCCACGTTTGCTTTGGCGATCTCTAGACAACCTATTCAGAATGGTCCAAGCAGTTCTCTTTTTAAATGAGGACTGTGCCGCTGTTGATTCCCCAGCGCTCTTCTGCGCAGATACATTGCGTTTTTTGAAGCCGTTGCGCGATGCCAGTAACTCGCAGATAGCAACAAAACAACAGCAGCAGCCGTGTGTACTTTTACTGCTGCGCGCGCACATTCTACATACACTTGTTGCGCTGCAAACACCCACACGCCCTGTTGCATCAAACACACTTTACTAATACCCAAGCCTTTTTGTTTTTCCTCAATTATTTTATTTTTAGCCGACCCGTTTCTCCCACAACCGTAAGAAGCGCGGACACGTCTCCGCCGGACATGGTCGCATTGGTAAGCACCGCAAGCATCCCGGAGGTCGTGGTCTTGCCGGTGGTCAGCACCACCACCGCATCCACATGGATAAGTACCATCCCGGTTACTTTGGTAAGGTCGGTATGCGTTACTTCCACAAGACCCAGAACCAGTTCTGGCGCCCCACCATCAACGTGAACAAGATCTGGACCCTTGTTGACGCTGAGTCCCGCGCCAAGGCCCTTGAGAACAAGGAGCTTGCCCCGGTTGTTGACCTCATCAGAAGCGGCTACGCCAAGGTCCTCGGTAAGGGCAGACTCGACAAGAAGCGCCCCATCATTGTCAAGGCCCGCTACGTCTCCAGCCTGGCTGAGAAGAAGATCAAGGCCAGCGGTGGTGCCGTTATCCTTGCCGCTTAAGGTGTCGATTGAAAATAGACATTAACTGTTTTTAGCCTTTTTCCTTTAGTTGTGTGCGAGACCGTACACGGATTCAATGTATTTTGGTTTGTTTACGGTAAAACTATTCAGTTAGAAAAGTGGAGTGATGAGTTTATTTGATATTAAATTGAGGCTAAAATGAAATGTCAGATTTAGTTTCGTTGTGCTTAGAGCGTCGGGGAGTCATGCTGGTCCGTTGCCACGCTATCGTCGGCTTTTGGGGGCGTCAGGGCGGCAACAGCAACGGCGGCAGCGCTGCTTATGGAGATGATCGGCACGTCGTCATCGTCGTCGTTGTTGGTAATGTTGTTGCTGGGTTTGGCATCGACTGAGGTGACAGAAGCCTGGATCTCCGGCGTGTCGTTTGCGACGCTGTGGATGCTGCTGTTCGCGCTGATTGCAATATTGTCAACACCAGGCTTTGACGGCTCCCTCCCGTCGGTTGCAATCGTTTCCTCCGCGACTGTGGGCACCCTTGCTATCGGTCGGAGAGGCATCGACATAGTACCCGATGCCGATGACATGGTCGGAGTCTCTTGGGACTTACTGCGGTTGCGATTCACATGGTCATTGCTGTCGGCAGCAAGCTGGGGCATAGATATAGGCGTGGGCTCTCTCCAGGGAACGCTGATTGCGCTCGTGGCGCGCTGGGAGTGAATATACGGCGCACCCAGCGGCGACAGCTGCGAGCTGAACGACGGCATGTGGTTCAGCGCACTCGGCGAGTCCGGCTGGGGCGGCATGCTGGGGGTGCGTGTGAACAGCGTGGCCTCGTTCAAATTAGGATCCAAGTCGATGGCGACACCGTAGGAGCCGATGCGAGCGTAGAACATGCACAGGCGCAGGCGAATAGTCTCCATGTACAGATCCATGACAGAGCGCGAGGCAAAGATACCCTGGCGCAGGTAGCGCACAAAGCCGTAGAACTCGCACACTGCAACCAAGCGGTCGCGACACACAGTATCGATCTGGATCCACTCCGAATCGGCCTTGACGCCCATGCGGAAGCGATAGGTGCACTGACACTCGCGCCCGCACGCCTGGCAGCCCTTGGAGTTGTAGGCCACGCTACCGCTTAGACGCTCCCAGAGCATAGCCTGGCGGTGGCCATTGGCGCGCTCGGCCGCCTGCTGCTGGCGGCTCATATCGGCGGCCACCTGCACCGACATCTCCTCGACATGCAGGCGGTTGGAAGAGATGGCCTCAAGCACGTTGCGCACAGAGATGCGGGGCCTTGGGCCGAAGCGCAGACAGGGCTCGATGTCCTCGGTGACCACGTTCTTTATGTATGGCATGGTCATGTAGTTGACCAGGCGGTTGGACTGCGTCTGCGTGGTAAAGTCTCTGAACTCAGCAAACAGCACGTCGTCCAGCCGGATGGGCACACCCGATGTCGACGCTCCTGCCAATGACTTTGTCCCTGCCATGACAGAAATCGCGTGCATGCCCAGACGGAACCCATCGCCGTGCGCGCCAAACATCACGCTGCCGCTGCCTCCGCTTGCCCCGTTCGAGTTGTTTAAAAGGCTCCCATCGCGCTTCATCGAGGCGATATCCACGATGTCGCTGTGGTGGGAGCTGAAGCTACCTCGGCGGCTGGACGCAATGTTGCGTCTGACTACCAGCTCGTCGTACTCAGCGCTCATCTTCTCTATGCGCTCCTTGAGCTCCTGCGACTGCAAGGTCTCATTCGCCAGGCGGACCTCCATGTCAGCAATGATGTTGCGGAGGTGCGCAGTGGTCTTCTCTGCCTCGAACCGCGCCTTCTTCTCAGCGGACACCATCGTGTTGGCCTCGGTGAACAGTTTTTGGGTCAGGTCCTCGAGCTCGGCCTCGACCAGCTCGCGAGAGTGCGCAATTTCAGCCGTCATGTTAACCTGATCGACAAACTTGTCGTTCATCGCCGACAGGTCGTTTTTGAGCCCGGCGATGATGTCGCGCTGGTTGTCGATTTTCCTCGTCTGATCCGAAGAGCGCGTCTCCAAGTCGGCTATGTAATCCACATGCCTCGCTTTCTCGTGTGCCAGCTCGTTGATGCGTTGCGAGGCAATCTCAAGGTCATCCAGTGCCTTCAGCCGTTCGTCGTTCTGCTTGGCCAGCACTTGCGGCCGCCCACTGCACAGGCCACACACACCGGGGCTGGCCGCCAGCAGCACTCTTTGACACGCACACGCCGGATCGCACTCGCTGGGGTCACGTACAATGGACTCTGCATGCACTTCGGCTGCATTTTTGGGCGATGAAGCCCCCAAGTCCACGGCCGCCAGCGACGAGACTGAAGCCGAAACTGAGATGTCCTGGGGTGTCTTGTTATCGCCCAGGGTTTGTGTTTGAGACCTTGAAGTTGCTGTGTCCTTTTGCTGCGGCATTGTTGGGTCCAAGTTCTTTAGCGCCAGGGATACGTTGCTCAGCTTTTCATAGAGCGTGTCCAGCTCCTGTGTAGCCGTGCTTGCCGAAACCGCTGCAGTTGCCGCCGCCTGCTGCTGCTGAATGATATCCGCAGAGTCTGCTTCTCCGTGCTGCCCCTGGATGACAGAATTGCTACTAGCCAGCGGTGCTGACGGTCTACTGCTCGACATACTCTGCTGCGCTGAGGAGTATCCCGCTATGTTGGTGGTGAAGTGTATAAAATCAGGTGTGGCCATACAGCCAACAGGGTGCGATTGCTAAAGATACTTTGCTTGGAAGCGGAAAAAAGAAACGGTATACCAATAATCAGCTCGGGTGTAGAGACGAGAAGAGAAACACAAGAAAAAAGCACCGTCTTTTTTATCTGTTATAAAAAGGGGAAGCAGTAAAAATAACAAACAACAGTGGTTGTTCTGGTGGGAACGGCTGTGGGAAGTCGAATTAGTGCGCCTGCTGGCTGCTAAAGATTGTAAGAAAAGTATTGAATTTGCGAAAATTCAAGAGCAGAAAAGTGCGAGGGCCAGCTGTAGTGTGCAGTCTTCCTCAATACAAGCCCATGTCAACTTTAATTTTTCTCTTTTTTTGTGCGATGATGATGATGATGATGACTCGGGTGAATGAAAATGCCCATTGTATTACAGCCCGTAAAATAAAGGCTTATTAACAAACGCAGCACGTGGTCAGAAGAGAGAGGTGGGGAACGCAGGGAAATTGTCGGACTGTGCTTGCCCTGCCTCCTTCCCCGCTTACAATTAGCATCTGCTGCAACCATGTTTTTGCAAAGATGCAAAGCGTTGACGGCAATGCAGAGGGATTAATACAACGCACCAGCCATGCCGTAGGCCAAACAGCTGGAAGGCATCCGCCTCAATATTGCCATTTGCTTGTTATCTTATTTTGCATGTGGTCTCTTTGTACGCTTAAAATCGCACTATCTGTCTGCCATGGATGACACCGATACTATCTGTGCTGCGCACACTGCGCCCGGCAATTGCAATTCGCGAGATAAATAGGCTGCTTGCACGGTTCATTTCTCATAACATAGACAAAGCAGAGCTGAGTTGATGGCTCTTCTCACGTGATACGGCCCACATATACATATCAAATGTGGCCCTAATGATGTCAATTTTATTGGGGGAACGAAATGCGCCGCTTTTTTCGCAAAATATTTTTCTGACCCCATCTTCTCTGACGCACAATATCAATCGGATTATTTGCAAACAATAAAAATGGCTCTTCCTTCTGCTGATCAAACCGGCAACATGGCCGAGATGGAGATGCAGTGGGCAGTCAAGGCCATGCACCATGCCGAGACATACATGCAGCTGCTCAAGGCTGTTGGCGGAAAGAACTTTAAGCTGACGCCGATCGACGACGAGCTCTACAGTGATTTTAAGCGGAACTTCCCCGATCTCAATATTGCCGTGCTGAACGATGATGACTTCAAGACTGATATGGCAAAGGCCAAATGGCGCGAGTTCATCAACAAGTATGAGAACCGGGTCACTGACTTTAACTTTGGATCGCTTCTTCGCATTGACTGCACAGGCGACTATTCTGAGGACAACACGATGTTTGTTATGCGGACGCAGTTCTACTGCATTGAGATTGCCCGGAACAAGGAGGGTCTCAATGACTCTCACCACAGTTGATTTTTGGCTTTCTTTTTGGGCCCAGGGATTTAATAGATTATTTTCTAGTTCAAATAAAGAATGGTTCACGATTCCCTGAGCCGGATCACATGGAGGCAGGATAATAAGGGGTGAGACAATGAATTTCAAGGCTTGATTATTGCCTTTTCTGTTTCTTTTGTCGACGCATTTGCCATAGCTGACTGTACAATTCATTTTGTTTTATTTTAATTCAATTCAATTCACAAAATAAATGTCACATTCGCATTCGTGCTGCAACCACCAGTTGCCCGAGGGCTACATTCCCAAGCACAACACGCAGGCTTGCGAGGCTTACGACCACTTCCTCATATCGTCCGAGACACTTAGCCTCGACAGAGCCTGCGCTCTTGTTCGTGACGACTCTGCCGGGGCCATATCGACATTCGAAGGAACAACGAGAAACACATTCAACGGCAAGCGTGTCCTCCGGTTAGAATACGAGGCATACGAGCCAATGGCAAGGAAAGAATGGCTCAACATTGTTCAAGAGGCTCGCAGCAAGTATCATCTTTTGGGAACGGCGATGCACCACAGGATCGGCGAAGTGCCTGTTGGTCAAACGAGCGTTATTATTATAGCCTCATCTGCACATCGCGCAGATGCCATTAACGCAGTGCACTTTTTAATTGACAGCTTAAAGGCGCGCCTGCCCATATGGAAGAAGGAGATTCTAGACGATGGCTCAGGTGCCTGGAAGGAAAACGAAGCCATTGATCTCACTGTTCACCGGCCGGTTTCTCATTGAGCTTATACTCACTATTGGATATAATGCGCGTAGAATATAATGTATGTGCAAACCTTTGTATAAATATTTTTTATATTTTTATTAAACTATACATATATTGTTGCCCATCCTAAATATATTGGCGAGTTTTCTTACAATAATTTATATTTTATTCTGCCAATTTTTTTGAATCTTTATTCAGGTATTTCCTCAATTTAACATTATCAGAAAAGACCTAGGTGAAATATATATATATATATTGCAAAAACAAAACTACTTACAAAATGAAGTAAATATTTCGGTATTTGTATTGCTATTTAAGCTTCAGTTTCTGCTCCAGCGATTTCCCATTTTTCTCTTTTTTTATGACAAAAATACCTTCACGTATTTATTCATTTATATTTTTGTGCTTATTAGACTAATTACATTCGACAATGACCAAAACACAACCCATGTATCTTAAATTTGATAACCCAAGTGACCACCACCTTAAAACTCATGAAATACATTACAATCAAGCCTTTTGCATTACGCGAAGAAATATTATTGAATCGTTTGAAAATAATAAATGTGAGGAGTTGAAAATTGAAGATATGGATAGTTGAGAGTTTTCCGGTACATATATAATGGGGTTTAGCAATTTTGGACATTTTACATCCTTATCGAACATTGCAAAACAGATTGGCTGCACGGACATTCGTGTTCTTATTTATTGTATTAAAAAGGTAGGGAATATGACGGCTGGGTTATAAGCTTTACGTTGTCAGAAAACGGTGAATAAAATGCTCAAATTAATAAAGCATTATTTTATTCTTATATGAGCAGCTGAATAAGTAATTTATTAATATATTCCGAAAATACACATTTCAAACAATATCGAACAAGAATACACATCAATATTAAATTGTTTATTTGCGCAACACTACTCCTGTGTCACTACAGAAACTGTGAGTTGCTGCTCCAAATACGCCAGCGCATCCCGAATATCGTTAAACCCGTGTTCGCCGCCGGCTTCGGCCATACGCGATATTCTAAAGCGTTCGCGCACCCCATCACAGACCCTGGCAAACGCCACGCGCACTTGGCGGCGACTGTACTCGCGCACAATATTGAGCAGAATCTCCAACGCGCTGCCGTCGATATCCGACATTCCGATCAGATCGAAAACCACTGCCCTCGTGGGCTTCATTCTCGGATCTTCTGAAGGATGCACGCGCATGTCGCCGTACAGCTCAAGGCGGTTGAGCCGCGCGTGTAGCTGGCCAGCGTTGGCAAAGTAAAGAGGCTCGTCGACACGCACGATTAGAACGCCCTCAATATGCTGCACACGCGTCTCTTCCTCTCCTTCGCTCGCATTGTCGGAATCATCCAATATTTCGACGTCACCCGCATCAACAGTGTGCTGGGGGGTCTCACCGATGCTGTTGAGCGACTGCTGGCTCGAAAAATTCGGGCGCGAGATCACACCGTCGATTGGGTGGAATTCCTGATCATTGCTGGTTGACCTCCCAAGCAGCTTGATGCGTGGCATGTTCGAGCGCTTTATAACCATGACCAGCGAGATGACCACTGCAAGCAGGATGCCCGTCTCAACTGACGCAACCACGCTGCTTGCGCAGATGAACAGAAGCAAAAACAGGTCTGACCATGCTCCCACCTTGAACAGGAAAGATATGGCACCCGGAGTCGCCTCAAGCAGAGAGGTGACGGCGTCAACAATGATCGCGGCCAAAACGCCCAGAGGCAGGTGGTACAGGTAGGGCAGAACGCGCAAAAGCGATACCAAAACAAGGAGTGTGGTGACAATGCCCGACATCTGGCTGCGCGCCTTGGCACGGTCGTTCAACTTGCTGCGCGACAGCGACCCAAACGCAGGATACGCAGCAAATGCCGATCCGACAATGTTTGAAATGCCCAGTGCGACAAGCTCACGGTTGGACGACACGGCGTAGTGGTTGCGGCTGGCGTACTCGCGTGCCACAATTACAGACTCGACAACACCAATCATTGTGATTGTGATTCCCGACGACACAATGTCCTTGGTGTCGACAAGCGCCGGTATTTTTGGAATGCCAAAGTGCGGCAGGTCGCCGTCGACATGGCCAAATACATTGACAGCGTGGTTGACTTTGAGCTTTGCGAGCCATGAGACTAGCGTTGCCAAAATAATGACAAGCAGCGTGTCGGGAACTCCTTGCAGCCACCTGGCCGACTTGAACCGGGACTTTGCTATGCGCAGCAAACGCAAGAAGACCAGCGCACCGAGCGATATGGCTGCAGTCATCACGTGTATTTGGTCTAAATTCGAAAGCATAAACTTGAGCTCATTCCATGGCGACGTGTGGACAGAAGTTGGAGCTGGAAGTCCTAGCACAATCCGTGACTGTCCAATAAGCACCACAATGGCTGCACCGCTGATAAAGCCGCGCAGGGACGACTCTGAAATCATGGAATCCAAAAACCCGAACCGGAACATGCCCAAGGCAAACGTAAAAGCGCCTGAAACCAAGGCCACTGTGCTGGCAACGGCCGAGGAAAACGCATCAATAGTGTCATCAGGAGGGGTGTTGGGGCTGTAAGCAGCAAAAAGATGCTTCAGTTGGCTCTTGACGATGGTTCCGGTCAGCACCGATACCAGCGCCTCGGGGCCCATCGACAAATGTCGTGAAGTCCCTAGCATTCCATACACTAAAGCCGGAACAAGCGCCGTGTACAATCCGTAGACTGGACGCAAGTTTGTCAGCGAGCTGTACGACAGCGCCTGAGGAACAAGAAGACAGGCGACCATGAACCCAGCCTTGACGTCAGTGGCCAGGTTGCCAATATTGTAGTTAGGTAGCCAGCCAACAATGGGCACATAGTAGCGAGCCCGGCGCTTCCACCACCTGGCGCTAAACTGTCTCGTATGGCCACGCGTGGGTTCAGGGGCCCTTGATGACGAAAAATACTCTCGCCGCCGACTGCGCGACCCTGGCTGCACGATGTCGTGCTCGCGCACAGAGTCTCGGCTGGTCCCTAGAGTTGTGAGATCTAATTCCCCCAATGGCGAGTGCTGGCCTGGAAGTAATGGCATGCTCTCATCGCGCGACTGAAACGCGCCTGCCTGCTCCAAACTGGAGTGGCTTGCGCCGACTAAAACAAGAGTAAAAAAGTACCATGAGCGTGTTAGTGAAAAATTGCAATGCGCTCAGACAATTTTTTTTAGAATTTCAGCATTTGAGTTAAAAAAGTGCTTACCAGACGTGTCTTCTCTTATGTTACTGCTGCTGGTGCTGCTGTTTGGCCCGCTTGGCCTGTTTTTATGCGACATGGTGATAAGTTTGGCGCTTCTCTTGAGTGTGTCAGTGTGTGTCAATGATATACTATAATAAAAATGTTCGATATGAATAATAAGATATATGACCGAGAGCAGAGTGAAGAAGTACAAATGAGACTTTGAAGCGGGAAACTCATGTTTTAAATCTCAGCGCAAAGATGTAAAAAAAGAAGAAAAATGGCAGCTATGATTGACTTTGGTGATGACGATTCGATTTCTGAGCATAATAGCCAAACAAATAGTGCGAGAAATTAGGGACACACTCTTGGCGCCGAGTTAAAATCAACAATACAAAAAAACAATAAAATCAATTTGTACGTTCTGCGAAGAACATTGATAATGTATTAAAACTTTTGTGGCTACTGGAGTTGCGAATTGGCTACATGAGCTTCTGTGGAATATCCTTGTACCGCAGAGAGTGGATGATATCGCCCTCCTTGATATCCTCGAACCCGGCAAAGCAGATGCCAAACTCCTGACCCTTGGTCGCCTCGCTGATATCGTGCTTGATATTCTTCAGCGAGCTGATATCGCCCGTAAACAGCTCCTTGTCGCCGCGCAGTACGCGGGACTTTGCGCCCTTCGTCACTGAACCGACAGTAACACGGCTGCCGGCGATCTTGGCGATCTTGTTGCCCTTGAGCGTGACCTCAAAGACCTCCTGCACGACAGCCTCGCCCTGGATCTCTTCGATTCGAATAGGCTCGAGCCGCGAAGTCAACAGCTTTTCGACGTCTTCGAGCAGCCTGTATATTACGCGGAACGGCATAACCTCGACACCCTCGCGCTTGGCTGCGTTAAGCGTCTTTTTGTCTGCTTTTACGTTGAATGCGATGACCACGCCCTGCGAGCCCGAGCCCGCCATAGTCACATCCGACTCTGTCACTGGCCCGACGCCCGTGCTGATGACGTTGGCTCGAATCTTCTTGTCTGGAAGCTGTTTCAATGCGCCAGCGACAGCCTCGACGGTTCCTGACACGTCGCCTTTGATCACGACCGGAACGACCTGGACCTGAATCTCCTCAGTAGTCCCGCCAGAAACATCTCCGCTATGCGCACCCTTTCTGGGAAGCGGGTCCGGGTGCGTGTTGCGAAGGCCGTTGTGGAACTCCCAGACAGCCTTCTTGTATGCCTTCTCTTCTGCGCGCTCGCTGCTCTCGCGTTCATTGGTCTCACGCCGCTGCTCGTTCATCGCGCCAATTGTCTGCAGCTTGTCTCTGTTTTTGCGCTTGTCAATGCGATTGGCGACGACGTCCTTCGCCTGGCTCTCAGATGCGGCTTGCAAGACCATGTCTCCTGCCTGCGGGATCTCTTTCCATCCCATAACCCGCACTGCGCTTGCAGGCGTCGCCGACTTGACAGAATTGCCGCTGTCGTCAGACATGCTGCGCACCTTGCACCAGGCTGTGCCGGCCACGATGATGTCGCCTACATGCAGCGTCCCGCGCTTCACCAAGACGGAGGCGACGTTGCCGCGACCCTTCTCAACCTGGGACTCGATCACTGTCGCGTGCGTCGGGATGTCGACCTCAGCGCGGAGGTCCATCACTTCGGCCAGTGTAGCAATGTTCTCAGCAAGCTCGTCAACTCCAGTACCCTTTAGCGCCGAGATATTGACCGACTGGATGTCGCCGCCCATCTCCTCAGTCTGAATGCCGTACTTCAGCAGCTCCTCTAGGATGCGCGAAGGGTCAACTCCCGGCTTATCGCATTTGTTGACCGCGACAATAATCGGCACATCCGCGTCCAGTGCATGCTGGATTGCCTCCTTCGTCTGGGGCATCACGCCGTCATCCGCCGCTACTACAAGGACTACAATATCTGTCGCATTGGCACCGCGAGCACGCATCGCACTGAAGGCGGCGTGCCCTGGCGTGTCCAGAAATGTGATGTGGTGGCCGTCCTTCAGCTCCACCGAGAACGCGCCAATGTGCTGCGTGATGCCGCCTGCCTCGCTCGCAGTGATCGTGGAGTTGCGCAAGGTGTCCAAAAGTGTTGTTTTGCCATGGTCGACGTGGCCCATGATGGTGACAACCGGTGGGCGGTAAGGATGCACAGACATATCCTCGGGAATAGGCTGCGGCAGAAGCTCTGGGCCACTGTTCTCGGGGATGATCGGTACCACTTCGTATTCCAGCGCGATTTCAGCCGCCTCCTCATTGGTCAACAAATAGTTGTTGGCCAGCTTGTCCATGCCGATGTTCGCCATTTTGCGTAGCATGTGGTCGTTGGGGACATCGAGAAGCTTGGCCAGGCCGTCGACTGTGATGGTGATCGGCAGAACGATCTCCAGGCCCTTTTTTGGAAGCTTAAACTTTCTGCGCCTCCGCTTCATCTGGTTCTCGTCGTCCTGATCCGCGTTCTCGATGCGCTGGCCAGGCCTCCGGGGAGCAGCGCTTGTGCGATGCTTATGCTCAACTGGCTTCTTTGGCGCATCACCTTGCTTTGCATATTTAATATCCGGCTGCTTCCGATCTTGCTGAGTTGGTGACTGCTGCTCGAATTTTTTTGGCGCGTTTTTTTTATCTGCTGGGTTGTGGCGCCGGCCGTACTCCTGAACCATCCTTGAAAGTTCTGAAGACCGGCCCTTCAAATCCGCGCTGCCCACAGCATTGGCGGTCTTGGAGGCGCCCAGACCTGACGCAGGTTGGTTTTTTGCAGTCCCTGTAGAGCCCGTGGCAGGTGGCGAGTCCTGTGCAGCATTATTTTCGGATGCCCAAGCGACAGAAGGCAACTCTGTCTGTTTTGTTGGCTGGCCACGTCCCATGAAAAAGAACCTGGCACTTCCTAGCGCTGGCTTTGGCGAATCAACTTTGCTGCTGCTGTCCTCCTTAGGCTTCTGCTCAAGCTTTGCAGGGACTGCATGTGCTGTCTCTACCGTTACTGTTGGCGATGCTTGTTCGAAGAACGGCTTAAAAGTTGGGATCACGCTGTGCGCCGATTTGAGATTGTTCCGTGCGTGCCCGCCGATGACCGGGCGCTTCGATATACTCGGGTTGGTGGGATTTCCCGCGCTGGCGTTACTTTTCCACTTTCCCGACGTGTCGTTCGACTTGGCCTTGTTGAACTCGTTGCGCAATCTTTGTAGCCGATCAAAGTCTGACGCAGAGTAGTACGATCTCCAGATGCAAACACCGCTGCTACCGAGCCGCGGCGTGGCTTGCACGAGTCTGTTTTTGTTCGGAATTGCGTACATGTTTTTAACACATAAATAGTAAAAAGTCTGAATTGGTGTCTAAAAAGTGGGGAGAAATTCAATCGAAAAGCAAAGTGGAGAGAGCATGAATGTTTCGGTGCAGATCGCTTTTATCTCCTGTGCTGACAGAATCTGCATAAAATGATTTTTATTGGCAAAGTGGCGTGATCGGATTAAATTAGGTTATTAAATTCAATGAACCGCATTCGACATGCCTTTACTTGCTCAGTAGTTATAATGTTGTAAATATAACAAATATCTCCCCATTTATTTATGTTGACAAGTGCTAAAAATATTATTTTTGTAATTCTGGAGCAAAGTTGCATATAATAATGCTACTTTGGCACAACTTGACCACGTTTGGATTAATATATTGTGACATCAATTATTGCGATGTCACGTGACAATTGCAATTGGGAATTTGCGATTGTTTGAAATTGTGATTGTTTACGATCGCGATTTCTATTTTCACGGGCGATAGTTTCGAATAGATAAGCGGAGCTCTTTAAGCTCCCTTATAGTGGATTTTTAATAAAATTAGTTAGTACGAATAAGTTTTATTACATATATGTTGTTTGTGTTGTTTTATGCGAGTTTGCAATGCATTTTGGCGTCAACTCTTAGAGAAAATTTGGAAAAACGTAAGCATATAATAAAATATGTTTATGTTTGCTTGACTTGTCATAAAAGACCATTGAGAATGTTATAGTGGTCTATTTCCAGCTTAATAATACTCGAGTAGACAGTCAAAATTAAAAATTAGAGATATTTAGGCCGAAAAGTCAAAGGATCACTAATCCCCAGCAATTTATTTACACAACCTAAAGCGGTTGTATTTCAGCGTGTCAGCAGAACAAATGTACAAATAAATTCCAAGAATAGTGAGTAAAGTTACAAACAAATAAGTGTTGGTTGTGGATGTCAAACTGGCAGGGATGCTGCCTGTGATGCTTTTACAAAACATTGCTAATTTATCTCAATATATGCGCGAATATAAACCAAATTTGCCGGTACACTAGTTATGTACAATATCCTAATTATACAATTTCAAATCAGGTACCTCCACAAAGCTTTACCTTGTTATCTCAAAACCCTCGCTGAGTACATAACCCAAACCACCCCTCACTAGGTTGTTAGAATCTCAAGAATTCTTGTTTGTTTCTAATGCTTTTCCAATAATATTTATTAGTCGCTTTGTTTGGCGTCTGTAGGATTAGCTTGCATTTTGCCATGTACAGAAAAACAGCCAAACCCATCGTATTGTCAAAATGTATGCACTTAGTCAGCAATAGTGCCACATTATTATTCGCATATTTTCTCGAAAAGCAAGTACACATCATCATACAGCCCAGCCATTAATTATAAGCGGGAGCCAAAGTGCATAAAAAGCATTGTTTCTGGCATCCACGCCCGTAATATTATCACTGTTAGTTTTTGTGCAAGAGTTTATATTTACAAGTATAAGAAGTTTACTTGGAGGCAGCAACGAACTTGGTGGTGGCCTTGGTGCCCTCCGACACGGCGTGGCGCGACAGCTCTCCAGGGAGCAGGAGACGGACAGCGGTCTGGATTTCGCGAGAAGTGATGGTGGACTTCTTGTTGTAGGCAGCGAGCTTGGAGGCCTCGGTGGCGATGCGCTCAAAGATGTCGTTGACGAACGAGTTCATGATCGACATGGCCTTGTTCGAGATACCGGTGTCGGGGTGAACCTGCTTCAGGACCTTGTAGATGTAGGTCGAGTAGGTCTCCTTGCGGACGGCCTTGCGGGCCTTCTTCTCGCCAACGGACTTGACGGGGGCCTTGCCACCGACGGCGGACTTGGACTCTGCGACCTTGGGTGCCATTTGAAATTGGGTGTGTGAGCGTGAGTGTGGGTGTTTGGAGTGGAGGGTGGGAAAAGCAAAGAAAATGCTGTGAAAAAAGAAGTTGGGAAAAAGTGGTTGTTTGTGACTGAAAGAAAAAACGCGAGGTGCACAAGCACAGGGGGCGGCGGCCATCTGTTTTATATGCTTGGGGGGCATAAGAGCCGATTTGAGAAAAATCGAGCAGCGCGCTTTCAACTCGATTTTTCCGTTTTTCTCTTGCCCTCAAAATCGAGCAGAGGTAGCGCGTCTCGACTGGCGCGTGCTGATTGGCCAAGCGCATTTCGATTTTTCGAATGTCTTTGCACTTTTAGATTTTGTCATTCTCGGCTCAGCAAAGCCCAAGAGTCCAAAGCTTTCTGCGACGCCTTATCAGCATTGGCAGCAGCAGGCATTAAGGCCAGCAGTGCTATTGTCTTGGTTCTGTTTCGAGCCAGGCTGAACCAAAGTGTTCTTTGCGTGGAAAAAAGACGCACCAGTACCAGTGGTAGTACCAGTGGCAGTGCCAGCGCCGGCACCAGCACCAGCAAAGACAACAGCCGGCGCCTGTGCTCGGAGGCACGCAGCCAGACGCTCTGGCTCCAGCTCACGCGAAAGATGCAAAAAAACTACGCAGATACGGGCCAAGAATAGCCGCACGGCACCAGACGCGAGACGCAAGATCCAAAAATGCAAGACGAAAAAAGTCAGAAATAAACTGGCCGACGCTGATTGGCTGAAATCGAGGAGCAGCTGTGGTTGTCGATTTTTGAAAAATCGAGCACTCAGTACACACTTCGATTTTCGGCACGCGAAAAGAGGCACGGCAGCCAATCACAGGCGTCCAATTATTTTTTTGCAGCGCGCCGTTGCAATTTCGTATTTTTCGTCTTGGCAGGAGAATGCACCCGCTTGATTAGCCCCCAAAAGGCACGCTTTACGCTTTGTGCTTGCTCGATTCGATTTGGGGTTTTGAAATTTTGCATTTCTCGATATTCCAGCACGAACGCGTCTCTGCATTTTCTATCAACCAACCGCCCTTGCTCATATATAAACAGCCGGCAAGCGCCGCCATCTCATTTTTGCTGGTTTTTTTTCTTGTGCTTTACCAATACACATTTTCATTCCACGCTTTTTCTTCAGTCTCCTTTCGCTCTCGAGCAAACACACAACCACAACACACAACCACCCTCCCCTCACAACACTCACTTTTAATCACAATGGCTGGTGGCAAATCCGCATCTGGCAAGGCCGGTATCTCCGCTTCGGCCGGACCCAAGTCGCGCTCGAGCAAGGCTGGCATCCAGTTCCCTGTCGGCCGTATCCACCGTCACCTGCGTCGCGGCAACTACGCCCAGCGCATTGCCGCCGGTGCCCCCGTCTACCTGGCCGCCGTCCTCGAGTACCTGACCGCCGAGATCCTCGAGCTGGCCGGTAACGCTGCCCGCGACAACAAGAAGACCCGTATCATCCCCCGTCACCTGCAGCTCGCCATCCGCAACGACGAGGAGCTCAACAAGCTGCTCGGCAACGTCACCATCGCCCAGGGTGGTGTCCTGCCCAATATCCACGCCACTCTCTTGCCCCAGAAGTCCAAGAAGGCCAACCCCTCCCAGGAGCTCTAATTTTTTTCTTCACTCTGTAATATAAAAGAACTTAAAATCATATTCTGTTTGCTCGCATATTTGCATTGTCAAGCATCTTGATGAAATCGTAAGGATATCCTTGGTTCTGTTCGAATCTCCGAACTTAATCGATATAACCATGCACGCGATTTAATGTATATCCAATATCTTTGCTAGTTTGGCCATCAGTGCTTGCGCCGTAGCGTCTGTTCTCAACGTAGATAGGAGTATTGTACTTGTTTTGCAGCTGTTTTGTGAGCCTTACTGCCTCCGATTTAGGGCTTGCCGGATTCACATCGTCTCGTTTCGGTTGTGCGCATCTTATTGGCCAGTTTTTTGCATACTGCTCCGCTGATCGTCCCCGCCCTCCGGGTTGCGATTAAATTTGTCGTCCTGCCATTGTGAATTTTTGGCACGCCAGTTCTTGCGCCGTTCATCCCAATATCCAGGCTGCTCGTGCTTTCCTTCTCTGTCGTTTTCCCAAACTATTCCAACCCATTTACATTTTTTAATACCACAGTTCTCTGTTTATAAACCCAGGATCCCCCCTTTGCGTGTCGGTCAAACTCACCCTCCATTCCCAACGAAACGTCCGAATTTCAATAACGGTCCATCATCTGATTTGTAACAATGTCTGACGAACTCTCTCCCGCTGCCCAATTCGCCGCCGCTGCCGCTCAGGCAGCTCAGGCGGAGGCCGAGGCTCAGTCTCTGTTTGTGTCTGCCGTGCCTGCTGCTGTCGAAGCCGCCGACAACGCCACTGATGAAGACGATGCCTCTGCCCTTCCCGTTGTTGTTCCCGACACGGTCAGCGCATGGCCCGCTACTGCTTCTGCCATCGATGTCGATAATTCTGCTGCTCTTGATGGTGTCCCTGCCCAGGATGATGCCGTTTCCAACGACGAAGTCACTGAGCACTCATCGCCCGATATTGCCGGCGCTGTTATCACCGAAGGCGATGTTGCGGAGCCCGCCGCCATTACCAACATGTTTATCAATGCTAATGTCGCCGATTTTACTACACCTACTGCTATTTCGAACGTTTTCGTGGATGATGGCCACGTATCGGCTGCTGCTGCTTTCGAAAACGCCACCGCAGTGGACTCTGCTGTTGCCAGCACCTCTGGTGACCACGATGACACCGATATCAACGAGGCCCCGAAGGTTGTCACCAAGGCACCGCGCAAGCCCATTGATCTGGCCGACGAGGAGCTCTTCCCCTCGCTTGGCAGCCCAGCCACAGCAACCACATCTGTGTCGTGGGGTGCCAAGTCCTCGGCCAGTGCCGCCAGCGCCCAGTCGATGGCATACCAGCTGAAGCAGAACCAGGCCACCGAGGTTGTTGACTTGCCGATGATGCAGGACCCCGTGGGCGATGTCGCGCGCAAGATCATGGAGACCACCAAGACGCGTATCGAGATCTCACACAACCGCGTGCTCAACACCTCGACGTACTTGATCAGCGGTAAGCCCGATGCTGTGGCGCGCGCCAAGCGCGAAATCTGCACCAAGCTCTCCCCGCGCATTACCAAGGTTGTGCAGGTGCCCGCCATGGCACGCGCCCAGATTGTCGGCGTCCGCGGAAAAACCCTTGCGGGCATCCAGACACAGACCGGTACTTCAGTGACGCTGGGTAAGTACAACGACAGCGGTAGCGCGGACCTGTTTGAGCAGATAGATGTCAGCATCACAGGTAGCCATATGGGCGTTGCCGCAGCCGTGGCTCAGATTGAGGCTATTGTAGACAAGCGCACAACGAAGCGGGCTGTCAAGCTGGCGGAGCTGCCGCGTGAGGCCAACGCCATGCTGGTTGGCAAGGGTGGCGATACCCTTAAGGCTCTGCAGGCCGCTCACCCCGGCGTGCAAATCCGCATCCCCGGCCCAATTGATGTCGATCAGGCCATTGGCGTGCTGGGCGAGCGCGATGCCGTTCAGGCGGCTGTGGCCGAGATCACCGAGACCGCTCGCCTGTTGATGCAGGGCTCGCAGACTGTCACAGTCAGCATTCCAAAGCGCCAGCACCGCTTCATTGTCGGTGATGGCGGCTCCACACTGCGCGATATTATCGAGGCCACTGGATGCAGCATCAGCGTGCCGGCGCCACGCAACCCCTCAGACCAGGTCACCGTACGCGGTCCCGAATCCAACCTGGTGCAGGCGCTGGGCCTGGTGATGACCAAGGCCAATTCCGTGGTTGTGCAGGTTGTCGACCCGACAACCATCCACTCGTACCCCAGGCCCCTGCTCTACGCTCAGCGTGTGCTGCAGTACCTGAGCGAGCGCAACCGCTTCCTGCGCATCGAGAGCGAGCACGGCGTGCAGCTGCGCGTGCCCTCGAACGCCCAGGCCCAGGCGGCCACATCCCCTGCTCAGGTGCAGATCGAGGTGCAGGGCAAGGACGCCCACGCAGTGGCGGCTGCCAGCCAGGCGCTGATTGCGCTGCTGCAGGCATTCCCGCCGTACCATTTCAACGGCATGGATGTCGAGCCCCATCTGCACGCTCTGCTGGCAGGCCCCGATGGGTCCAATCTGACGCGTCTGCACTCTGTCCGCTGTGTATATACGCTGTTCCCGCGCGACTCTGCATCGTCAGCTATCTTGGTCGTGTATGAGGGCTTCAACCCCGACGTCGACCGCATCACTGACCCAGCCGAGCGCGAGCGCGCCACCCGCGACCTGCTGCGCAAGACCCTGGAGGAGTTCCGGACCACTGTGCAAAGCGACGACACCTATGTCACCAAGGTGGCTGCTGTGCCGGTCAAGCTGCAGGCTGTGCTGGCCGAGCCCGCCGCCCTAAAGTCCATCATGGAGAACGCCAAGGCCACCGGAGATGGTGTCGGCCGCGTTGTTGTTCGCTTTGGCTCGGTGGCACCATCAGCGGCCGAGCCCGAGAACACGCGTTTTGAGCGCAAGAAGCACGAAGCGCAGCTGCAACCCGATGAGGTTGAGGTCAAGGGCTTGGCTACCGCTGTTGACCGTGTTATTGCCGAGATCTGCCGCCGTGTCGACGCTGCCACAGAGTACGAGAAGCTGCACTCGTTCCGCTCGGAGGTGACTGTGCCACAGGTCCTGCTGGCCCGCGTCATTGGCCGCGGTGGTGAGAACCTCAAGCGCATGCAGACCGAGCACAACGTCAGCATTGACGTCTCTGACAGCACGGGCGGCGCCACTGGTTCGGTCAAGATACAGGGTACTGAGACTGATGTCAATGCAGTGCGCAGCGAGATTCTCGAGTTTGCCGAGAAGATGGCTGACCAGACGTCCGAGATTGTCAGCGTGGCAGCAAACATCCATCGTTCTTTGATTGGTACCGGCGGCCGGTTTGTCAAGCGCCTGGAGGAGAAGTACGCTGTGCAGATTAAGTTCCCCTCGTCGCGGTCGCGCAGCGACAAGCACGACGACGAGGACAGCGGTGCGCCATTGGCGGCTGACCAGATTCGCATCCGCGGTGGGCGCAAGGGCGTTGAGGGTTCCAAGGCCGAGCTGCTGGAGCTGGCTGCCTACGAGCTTGAGCACAACCACACGGTAAAGTTCAAGGTACCCGCAGCCGCTCTCCCGCACATTGTCGGTCGCGCCGGCTCGCACATCAACGAGATCAAGGACGAGAGCGAGACACGCATTGATCTGGGGGAGCCCACTGATGGCGAGGTCGAGGTGACCCTGATTGGTACGCGCGCAGGCACCAAGCTCGCCCGCGAGGCCATCGAGGCGACTGTGCTTGAGCAGGAGTCGCAGGTGGACATCACCATCGAGGTTCCCACCAAGCACCACCGTTTCCTCATTGGAGCTGGTGGCGGCCGTGTGCGCGAACTGGTGCAGCAGGCTGGCGGCGACCCCGACCTGATGACCGGTACCGGCGCCTGCCGCGTGCAGTTCCCGCGTGCTTCGTCCGAGAGCACTGGCGAGGTCAAGCTGAAGGGTGACCGCGCGATCGTTGATGCTGTGCGCGCGCGCATTGAGCAGCTGGTTGAGGAGCGCGAGAGAATGGTCACTATCCTCGTTCCCGTCCCCGTCTCTCAACACGCGTTTGTCATTGGTCGCGGCGGTGCCAACCTCAAGCAGATGCAGGAGGCCCATTCGGTGGAGATCTTCTTCCCGCGCGCCGCCAACCGCAACGCGCCCGCTGCCACTGCTGCTGCCGTCGCTGAGACCGAAAACTCTGCCGACGTGCGCATCACTGGCTTGCCCGAAAACTGCGAGGCGTGCAAGGTCGCACTGCTGAAGCTTGTCCGCGAGGAGTCCACAATTACCGTGCCTTTGGCTTTGCACCAGCGTCTGGGTGGGCGCCAGGGCTCGCTTTGGCGCCAGGTCCGGTCCGATTATGACGTCCAGGTTGATGCCACGCGTGTCGACAAGGCACCGGTCCGTCGCGTTGATCAGTCCGCCACTGTTACTGACCCCGAGAATGCTGCTCCGGGCACCGTTGTGTACCGCGACATTGATTCTGAGCTTTCGGGTCTTACCGCCGACTGGATTCTGCGCGGTGAGAAGAGCAAGCTGGCCGACGCGATTGCTGTTGTCCAGAAGCATGTGGGCGGCGAGGGTGGCGTAGAGGCGCGGGTGAGCGTCGATCCCCGGAGCCATCGCCATATTATTGGCAAGCAAGGTGCGAATATCGCAAAGATCCGCGATATGACTGGCTGCGTGGTGACGGTACCTCGCAAGGGCAACAGCTCGCACTGGGTCACCGTGGCCGGCGAGCGTGCGGCCATTGCCATGGCGCTTGACTTTATCAGCCAGCTCATTGAGGAGCGCGATTAATCAATGCCTATTTTATTTAATATATCGTATTAATTACAATACATATATTTATGTAACAGTCTCGGCTAAAGTAGACAGCTGGTTCCATGCGCCAAAATAGAAGCAATGCCAGGATAGTGCAACACGCCGGATTTAACTCACTACATCAGTTTTTGTACAATAATATTTCTCTTGTCATCGAGCACGATTTATTTATTTTAAAAAAAACTACTTTTTACTTTTTTTAGACATTTTGTAACTCGATCAATGGGTCCATCTTCTCTCTGTCATTTTTCTACCAAATCTTTTGCAAGCGCTTTGCTAACCAAAATTATGCACAGTAAATCAGTTGTTACAACATTTGCACCTTTCCATATTTTAAATTGCTTTCCTTCTCCAGGAACAACCGAACAATCCTTTGTAATGTTGTACATCCCAAAGTTAGATCGATCTATATAATTATAGCCAAACACTGCATGTAGAACGTCAACCACCATATCATGTGTATATTCATTGTGGAGTCCGAAAAAATATACTTTCGTCGCAAATTTAGGCCCAGTAACGAGAAAACGCGAAGTGTACTGACCAAGTTCGAAGAGACTGACGTTGTAGCATTCATTTTTCTTGACTGCATCAGAACAAGGAAAAACCTCATCGACAGTAATGTATTTTTGAGACGATAGAGATAATGTGGGCTGTACTGTTGGCTTTCCACTAATTATATAACCCAAAGCATATTTTAAATTGACATCGCAATGTTTAATCAGATTTTTTAAGAAAATCGGGAAATGGCATGTCTATTGAAACTTTCCATGGCCCATTATATGCATTCCTCTTACCATTAACCTTAGGTTTGCAGATGTCAATTGATATTTCCAAGCTTTTAGACATTTTGACACGAAACAAAGAATTATAAGAGATAACCAATATAAATATAACAGTTAAACTATAGTGTATTAAGTTGTAATAAAATAAAAAAGTGGAAAGAATGAGATGAAGGATATGCTCAAACCACAATATTTATTTGTCTGGCCAGTATTAAAATTTTGCAACAAAAGCCAATCCTCTGTGCGCACATCCTTTCCCTCACTTGCGTACTTGCTGCCAAAGGATTTGATAAAAAAAGCAAAATTTGAATATTTGTGTATTTCTCGCATCCATCCACACATAATTGGCACTTTTAAGTTTATATGCGATAAAGAGAGCCAAATTATAAAAAAAATTACAACCGCTATCTGAGCATTTAAAATTAATTTATTATTGTGAACCCCACGGGGGGCTTGCAACCCGGGCTAGTGACCCGGGTTGAGACCCGTCGGCGCGCATAGATTCATTGAGACAGATGTGGGAGTTCGGTCGATGCCCCGATTCAATCACATCAATTGCGAGGCCGCGTGGTATTTATGATTGAACCTGTTTTTATCCAAATAATGAAAACAGCAGATATTGGCGCACTTTTGAGGCGCATCAAGATAGCATTTGCTTTGCTAGTTGTTTACATGTGAGCGGCACTGGAGATGCCGCGCACTTTCCATAGTTTGCTTCTGTTATATACTGAGGTGTTCCTGCCATGAGGACGAGAACACCTCAGTTTTTCAATATACCTTTATTTACCTTTCTAACAGTATTCCCTGTGACTGCTCAGTTGATTATTGGTACCTCCTTGGTCACGCTTACAACAGTATAAAGAAGCTCAAATGAACGGTTGCAATGAAAAAGGAGAAAACCTTGTTAAAGTAAACCTATAACTTTCGGTTTAATTATCATATATTCTCATTTATCATATTGCATAAATCTCACTATTTTCAAATTCCTATCACATTAATTTTTATTTTTATTTCTTGGATTCGATTATGCGTCCATGATGAATCCCATTACGGCATGACATATGTAATGCCTGTTACAGCCATGTATGTTTTGATATTCGAGCTACGGTTCTCAAGACCAGTCAGATATTTTATTTCTTTAGTTTATACAGCCTAGTAACTTTGTTGCTCATGCGTAATTCCAGTGGCTTGTTGCTCGCTGTGACGTAGTAGAATCATTTTTCCAGCCAACAGCTGTTTGCATTACTGCAATCGATATTGACCGTTGACTAAAGATCAATTCAAATAATATTTGGTGAATTTATTTGGTTTTATTTTTAAAAATTGAATTAAAAAACTTTGCGTTCCAACAACTCAACAGTATAAACATTTCTGTACCCTCGGTTTTCATCACTATATCGCCATGTATTTATTAATATGTATAACAATTTACCCATCTATTGCTTATCCAAAAGTCTATTAAACCCACCTTTACGGTTCATATACTGTCTAAACTTTCTCTGTTTCTTCACATTAGCAGCTCCAATATCATTCCCTGACACCTTCTTCCCCTTTGTAGTATCAAACCCACCAAAGCCCAACAATGCGTTCATCTGCTCCTCCTCCGTCATTTCCAATAACGCCTCTTCACTAATACCCACCTCCTCCTCCAGCTTTGGGGCCATCTGGCGTTCGGGAGATTTTGACCTGCTATCGCGGGCCAACGGTCTGTGTGTTTCTGGAGATTTCGACCGTTTCCTAGTATCGCGTCGACTGGGTGGAGATCTCGGTTCGTAGGTTTGGTGGTGACTGAGTCTTTCGCGCGACCTGTATCTGGGTGCTGGCAATGGCGAACGATTGTCCGTAGTAGTGGTTCGGGTGCTGGGGCGATTGGAGCGTTGTTGTTGGTGGTGGTTGGTGGAGCGTGTGGGTGAGCGGCGTCGGGATGGTGAGCGCGAACGGTATGATCTTCTGCTATGTCTGTCAGGTGACCGCGAGCGTCTGCTGGATTCTCTCGGCATGGTTTTGCAGTGTAAATACAAAATATTATTTCTTTGGTTTAAGAGCACTATTGGTTTTTTTGTATTCAATAAAATAATGCAGGAATTTCGCAAAAAACAATTAATCCTTGATTAATAGGCATTTGTTTGTATAATCTTATAGTATGGTGACAATGAATTATGCACGTGTGTATTTTCCAAAACGCTCATGCAAGAGATGACGTTAAAGCGTGGCCTAAGGAACTGTGAAACATCAGACCAGATTTTTTCCAATCATTGTTCTGCTTCTTTTCTTTATTTTCAATTTATTTTAATCAATTATAATTTCTCATCGTTCAATACTAGAATGTCTTCTGTCACTTGCTCAATTTCTGAACAAGTAATCTCGGGCGTCAATGCGCTGCGGTTCATCAAAACGACCATCACCAGCAAGCCATTCCACGCATACGTTGCGAAAATCGACGCAACACAGACGGTAGTTGAAGACCAGCTAGACGACGTCACGGATTTTCCCACGCTGATCGATGAGCTGCCAGACAATGAGCCGCGGTACATTGTAGTGAGCTACCGTAAGGAGCACGAGGATGGCCGGGTGTCCTACCCATTGGTATTTATCTATTATTGCCCCGAAACGGCACCGCCACAGAAGCTCATGCTGTATGCGAGCACACAGACGTCATTTGCGAATGAGACAAAGCTGGGAAAATCACTTTTGGTCGAGGATAAGGAGAAGTTTAGCGAGGAGTGGGAGGAGTTATTTTATTAGAATTAATAAAATCTAGTTTAGCATATTGTCGAAATCAAAATCAAAATCATCTCCGTGGCCACCGTAGAAATCCAAATCGTCTTCGTTTATTTCTGCAATAGCACCTGCCATGGAAGCGGCGGTGGAGCCGAGAGGAAGAGCGGATGATGCATGGGCAAGGTACTCTTCTTCCTCGTCCCACTCCTCCGGCCTGTTCTCCGGCTTTGTCTCCGGCTTGGTTTCCGGCGTCGACGCGCGCAGCTCAATCAGATTCCGCGTAATGACCGGCTCCACAGCCTTACCCGCCGATGACTGCTTCAAAAAAGTCATGACGCACTCCATAGCCATGCGATTATCCAACGGCTCAGCCTTATAATGGGCCATCAACGAGGGACTATCCAGAACAACCATGTATTGACGGAAAATCCACGCCGCCAAATCAATCATCTCTGAGCGATTCGGATAAGTGAGCTGGTCGTCGAAGAGCGTCAGGAGCCTTTGCATAATGGGTTTTTTGAAAAACAAGTGTGGCCGCTGGTGCGTGATGGCAATACGGCGGAGCATGGGGAAGACGTGTTCGATGGCTGAGGGCGGGGACAGAAGGTGACTGTAGGATTTGACCACATCGGCGACAGCAAAGGCCGCCTCGTACCTGCTAATGTTGAATTCCCGCTCAACTAATACCTCCTCCACCTGTGTGACCAACTTGGACTCGTCACCAATATCCTCATCGTCCATTTCCTCAGCCTCAACCCCAAGGTCCATATCCATGCCGGCATCCATCGTGGACTGCGACTTGGGCACTCGCCGCTTCACCTTGGTCCTGACAACCATACCGGCCTTTGTCTGCGCGTAGTCCCGCAGCGTGTCCAAGAAGGTCTCTGTCAACCTAGCGACCTGCTCCAAAAACGCGCGTGTGTTCTTCCTCGGCTTATAAACGCGACACAGCATGACGAACAAATCCAGGGCGTCTCCATCATAGAACAGATTGCTCAATATGTTGTCTGCCAAGGAATCGAGCTTGGCGCCGCGCATCTTGCTGAGCGACAGGAGGGTTTGCTGCAAACAGTACATGGCGGGCTCCAGTCCAGTCCAATGCTTGAGCTCGACGTATGCGCTGGCACAGCGCATCACTTGGCCAAACACATGGGTTTGCACCAATGCGCAAGTGCTTCCGAGGTCAATCGCGGGGTTGGCCAAGGATATGTCGACAAAGTACGCCGAAACGTACATCAGCCGCGGGGTGAACCCATCCACCACAGTACCGTTCATCCGCAAGTCTTCAAAGAGCGCCAGAGTAAATGGGTTGAAGCAGCTCTCGATAAATACGGCGGCGATGCGACGCAGGGTGGTGATACTAGAGGGATCCACAATCCTCCATTGCAGATCCACCGATAGCGTGTCTGGGCGTCCTTGGGTTTATCGACTTTGGCGCGCCTCTTGAACAAGTTGGCGAAGGGCCGCAGGACTTCGCGCGTGCTAAACACTGGCATGATGGTTCCCTCTCCTGTGGAGACTGCGTAGACTCCGCCAAAGTTGTTATGCCGACTGGACTTATTATGCGCCTTGCTGTTATTTTCGGGGCCGTCAAACCACGTGTGGTGCGGCTGGTCAAAGAGTGCGGAGACGGGGACGCGGTAGAACAGGTAGTACACGATGTCCAGCAGTGTGGGCGGAGATCTTTTAGCCGTGGCTGGTCGGCGGACGACGAGATCAGGGTGAGGAAGAAATCAGCAGCCAGCTGGTCCTCCAATACGCCAATCAGCGTGTCGTGGGTTTCGACCTGGGCGGCCAAGCTGCCGGACGACGGGGACACCAGGGGGTCGGGTATGGCCAGGACATTTCGGAACACGTACAGAATCCCCTTCACCAGCATATCCTCCCTCCCATCACCAGCGGCAGAGCTCTTCTGCCTGACAAACCGGACGGCCACAGCGAGCAAACATTTGATGACCTCGGGCTTGGCAAATGCTCTTTTGTATGATCGCAGAACGCGGATAAAACGCATCTTGACTTCATCCGACTCGGACTCCATACTCCAGGTGAGAAACACGAAAAGCTCGACGCACATCATGACAGTTTTCAAGGCGTCTGTGTCGGATGCTGTTTGCTCGGGTATATGTGGTTGGCGGTGATGGTGAATATAGGGATGATGTCGCGCTCGAGCACTTGCCATTCGCCCAGCCACTGCAGGACGAGTTTGCCGTCGCCCTGTTCGTCCATCTGGATGTACCGTTTGATGTCCTTTAGTGAGGCGAGGCAGTCTTTGGCTGGCACGTAGACCATTTTTGCATTGGTGGCTGCGGATTCATCTGTGTTGGGCTGGAGGTTGCCAAGGGACGAGCATGCTGACAAGACGATGTTGCGGTACTTGGCTATCTCCTCGGCAACAGCTGCATCGCTGTAATCTTCGTTGTATGCATCGGCGTCCACATCCATTGTTTATTATTTTTTCTTTTTCTTTACTTTTTCAAGTTGGTGTTGTATAAATTAGAGAATAAAAATGAATTGAAGAAGAAAACCAAAACAATAAATAAAGAGCAAAAAGAGAAGCAAAATCAGAAAACGCGAGAGAAAAAAAAAGAATTTAATGAAATGGGATGATCAAATTTTTTATTTAATACGCAGCCTGAGAATGTTCAGTAGTAGTCTCGTTGACCAGAGTGACGATCATACTGTACAAGTAGTAGAAGAAGCATACAAGGTAAAATCCAACCTTGCAAAAGTTCTCCCTTTTGTGCTTGGGCAAAGTGCGGAAAACCTCAGTGGCATCGTAGAACTGGCGCGAGCTCATGACCTTGCGAATATTCCAAGCGACCAACGGTAGGTTAATGAGCATCGATGTCCATTCGCCCAGAAGCAAAAACGTAACGAACAAAACCAGCTGAGCGACCATTTCGGGCATGACGTACTAACGGTAAAAAAAAGAAAGAAAATTGGTCATAAAGTGAATTAGTTGGAAGTACAAAAAAGGTATTGGATAGTGAGTTGAGCATTTATGTTGTTCTGTTCTTACCATGTTGAGGTTGTTGGCCAGGTCGATTGGATTGATGTAGTCGCATTCGAGATCGGTAAGCATAATGACAAAGTACACGGCGCCGAAAAGCAGAGCGCCGGCAAAGATTAGCGCGAGAATGTAGAGAAAAGCAGTGAATGACATTTTTGTGCAAAAACTTTAAAATAAAAAAGTGAATTAACAAGTCTATAATTTTAAAACAAAAAGAACAAATTAAGAGAAATAAAAATAGTTATTTGTTACAAAGGGGAGAAAGTGATATTGGTGTTCTAATTTTTTTGACGTGTGCAGAGAGTAAGCGGGCGTTCAAACCCAGGTTTCAGGAACGTCTCATTTGGCCCCATCACATGAAAATAGTGGGAAAAAGTAGAAAATTAAAAAGTGTGAAGATTGAGGAGGCGAGGCGCAAAGAAAGGCCTTACCCTGTTTTTTTACAGGTCATATCCATATATTGTCCCTGGATTGCATTAAATCAAGTAACTTGATCAAAGGCAAAGGCAAAGGCCAAGGCCAAGGCAAAGGCAAAGGCAAAGCCAGAGTCAAAGTCAAAGCAAAGCTAGAGTCAAAGCAAAACCAAAGAAAAATCAAGGCGCGTCCTCAGCATCAAAGTACAGCACGACGGGCTCCAGGCCAAGCAGCCGCGCGTTCTCAACATCAGCGCAGCCAACAACAGCAGCAAACTCAGGGGCCACCTCCAAGTAGGCATTGGTAGTGAAGGCACTCTGAGCGAAGGTTTCTCTCAGCACGCGCCTGGCAACAAGCTCCTGCACAACACTGGCCACCCGGCACACGGACATCTCCGGCACACCCACAATGCAACCACCAGCCACCAGCGCAGCCACCTTTGCCGGCATCTTCTCAACCCCGCGCACATACTTGATCAGCCGCGCCAGCGTCATTCGCTCCTCCACAGCCGCGGCATTCACCAGGCTGAGCGCCACCGCGGAGCAGTCAACAGCGACTGTGCGCCGGCAGCAGTTATCGCAAACCATGCATGCGCCCAGGTCCTCTTCGGAGCCCAGCGCATTGAGCAGCGTGGCTTTGCGGCACCCCCGGCGGCCCTCAGCATACGCGATGACGGCGCGCGCACGGCCTACGCCCTCGGCACCCAGCGCGTCAAAGCCCCAGGCAGCCAGCCGCGCGGCATCCAGCCCGCCATACATCAACGCACACTCGGCCACGCGGCCGTCGCGCCCGGCACGGCCAGCCTCCTGGTAATACGCCTCCAGCGTCTTGGGCGCGGTCACGTGTAGAACGAAGGCCACGTCGGGCATGTCGATGCCCATGCCGAAGGCGTTGGTGGCCACAACGACGCGCAGCCGCCCGGCGCGCCACGCCTCGTGCAGTGCGCGCTTGTGCGTGCGGTCCAGCGCGCCGTAGTACACGTCGCAGGGAATGCCATTGGCCAGCAGCGCATCGGCCGTGTCGTGCGCGTCCGCGCGTGTCGCGCAGTAGACGATGCCGCAGCAGGCGGGCGGGCGCGCGGCAACCCAGGCGGCGGCCTGCGCAAAAAGCGCACCGGTCTTGGGTTCGACAGAGAAGCGCAGGTTAGTGCGCCACAGTGGCGCTGTGAAGACCAGCGCGGATGTGCCGAGGATGCGCTGGACGCTGGCGAGGACGCGCGGCGGGCATGTGGCCGATAGTGCCAGCAGGGGGGTGCGCGGGAAGGCGGTGCGCAGCAGCCCAAGCCGCCCGTAGTCTGGGCGGAAGTCGCTGCCGTACTCGCTGGCGCAGTGGCACTCGTCGATGGCGATGCGTGCGAGCCGCCCGGCTGCATAGACGCGCGATAGAAGCGCAAGGAACTGCTTGCTGCCCACCAGCTTCTCGGGCGCCACGAACAGCAGCGCCAGCGGGCCGGGCTCGGGCTTGAGTCTCTTGTGGTTGTTGTGGCCGTTGTGGTCGTTGTGGCCGTTGTGGTCGTTGTGGCCGTTGTGGTCGTTGTGGCCGTTGTGGTCGTTGTGGTCGTTGTGGTCGTTGTGGTCGTTGTGGCCACTGTGGCTCTTGTGGCTCTTGTGGCTCTTGTGGCCCTTGTGGCCCTTGTGGCCCCTGCCTCGCCCGCTTCGGCCACTGCGCGCAGCTTGGCGCGCACCTCGACAGCGTTGCGCGACTCGGACGTGTATGCCTCAGCCTCAACGCCCAGGGCGCGTAGCTGCATGACCTGGTCATCCATCAGGGCAATCAGCGGCGACACCACCAGGGTCAGCCCGCCATTGCGCACCAGCGCCGGCACCTGGTAGCACAGACTTTTTCCGCCGCCCGTAGGCATCACCGCAATGCAGTCGCGGCCATCCATCGTGGCATTCACCACGGCGCGCTGCACCCCGCGGAAGTCCATGTGCTTGAATGTCGTGCGCAGGATTGACTGCACTTCGTCTGACCACGCAAAACTGCCGGTTGCGTAGTGCAGCTTGGCTGCGGAGTCCTGTGGGACCTGTTGCTGTTGCTGTGCTGCTGTGATCTGCGCTTGTGCGCGGGTTATGCGCGTAACTAGTGATTGGCGCTGCCGACGGAGCCGCGCGATGTCGGTGTCGATCTGCGCGAGATCGGCTTGGAGCGCCTCAAGGCCCAGTTCGGCGCCATTTATGCCGTTGTCAGCGCAGTTGTCAGTGCTGTTGTCAGTGCCGTTGTCATCATCGCTCACGCCATACATTCCAAAATTCGAGAAAGGGGGGAAATAACTAAACTGAATTCAGGCTGTTGGGAAAAAAGATCCAAAAAAGAGGGGGCAAATAAAAAACCTTGCTCTCTTTGTTTCCGTTCTGTTCGCTGCTTCCACACACACAAAAAATATTATAAAGCAGAATGATATTCTTATCGCATTTTGCCCGATCCACCGCCCGTCCAGCCGCTGTAACTGCTTTTGTTTCTGCCGCTGGGTGCCAGCAGCGCCGCATGCTGGCGACGATAACTGGGTGGGGCGCGCACGCCGGCGGTTTCGCCACCGGCTCCTCTTCGTCGTCTGCATCATCTGCGTTCCCAGCCAACCTGGCCACGCCAACGCCGCTGACAATCCCAGGCCTCTCGTCCTCGGCACAAATCACTGCCGTGGGTGCCGGCACCAGCCACGCGCTCCTCGCCGCAACAACAGCAGCAGCCCCGGGGGCCGGCGCAACGACGCAGCTTGTAGGATTCGGGCTCAACCGCTGCCACCAGCTGGGCGCCACCGCCTCCAATAGCTCTTCGCTAGTGTGTACGCAGCTCCAAGGAGTGGTGAAGCAGATTGCGTGCGGCCGCGAGCACTCAGCTGTGCTCCTGCAGGGGCAGCGGGGAGTGCGATGGAGCTATGGGTGTGTGGCAGCAACGTGCACGGGCAGCTGGGGCTTGATCCATCACGGCGAAGTGCAAAGTGGCACAGGGTGGATAGTTTGGCGAGCGTCCTGGGGGTGGGCGAGGGTCCGGTGTCAGTGCACTGCGGGCTGGACCACACGCTGATTCTGACAACATCTGGCCGGGTGCTAGCCATGGGCTGGGGCGCCGACGGCCAGCTGGGCACCGGCACAGCGGGCGACTCAATGCCAGGGATACCGCAGGTGGTCTGCAACCTGCCGTTTCCTATTGAGCAGCTATCGGCTTCGACGGATTTTGCGCTGGCGCGGGACTCCGCCAATAATCTGCGATACTGGGGGAACGCCGAGTATGGCCAGGCGATGACTGGCGCGCCCATTGACCAGGTGCTCACCCCGCTATGCGTCCCCTTGGTGCCACATTGCGCGCCTATCCGCGATATTGCCGCCGCCGGCACGCTTTCCTTGGTGCTGGACTACGGCGGCCATGTTTTTGTCTGCGGGTATGGCGCCCTGGGCTTGGGCCCCCGGTGTGTGCGCACCTTGGAGCCGGTGCGGATCCGAGCCTGCGCAATATTGTGCGCATCTGGGCATCGACCGATCGCTGTCTGGCCATGGATGATCGCCGCCGCCTTTACTCGTGGGGGCTGGCGAACGCAAAGGGCCGCCTGGGCGTGGTCAATGGGTTTGCCCTGCAAAATGTCTTTGAGCCAACGCTTTTGGATATTTCTCCGGACCTTGTTGATCCGGATCTTATCGCTCTGGGCAATGACATTGCTATTGTTGTCGGCCCCCACTGTCCCTGAGAAAAAGGAATAAAAATTGTTTCCGTGTGACCAGCACCCATTCCTATACTCACTGCAAAACTAACTGTCAAATTTTACTTTTGTCCGAGTTATGTGGTAAAACCCCCCCTATCCTGTACATTGCTCTATTCATCAATTTTGCTTTTACCACTTTACTCTCTCCAACAGCTCTTTCAATATCCACCCCTCTCACATAATGGAGTCTCAGATCGAAGTCACAAACAAGCAGTTTCCGCGCCACAAGCTGTTTTCCCGCGAGCTCGCCATGCTCATGTATGGCTTTGGTGACGAAATGCCGCCGCTGCCAGAGTCTGTAGATGTCCTGAAGATATCCTCATCGACTACATCAATGATATATGCATCCAGGCTGCCAAGGTATCCTCAAAACCCAGTAAAATATCAGTTGACGACTTCAAGTTTGTTTTGCGCAAGGATCCAAAGAAACTCGCCCGCATTGTTGAGCTCCTCGCTATGAATAAGGAAATTGAAATCGCACGTACCCTTTTCTAACAAACTAAAAAAATATATATCATTTGTACATTTTGAAACCATATATGGATTAATCGAGAAAATAATAAATCGAGAAAAGGTAATCATTATTGAAGAGTTTGGACGAGGGAGGGGCTTGGGCTGAAAACACAATACCATTGGAACCCAAACTCCCAGCAGATCGGCAAATGCCCAAAGCGTTTCAGCTCTTTCTTGTTTATTTATTTTTATTTTATTGCATCTGCATCTGTCTGCAAATATAACCCCATCTTCTCCTCTCACTTATCGCAGCCGCAGTAATGTTATAATCTCAAATATACTCGAATTACTCTCAAGTCAAAGCTTTTTTCTTCCTCCCGCACACACACACCACACCGCCACCTTCCAAATTCAAATTCAAATTCAAATTCAATTATTATTTTCCCCCTTGCACTAAAATAATGGACAATTCGGTTCCAATGTCAGAGTTTCGGCTGCTACCAGAGCAGCGCTTCCACAGGGCAATTATAGACGATGACATCCAGATGCTTCAATGGCTGGTGGGCAGCAAAAAAGTCGATGACGTCTGTAACAGGGGAGCCGACGACAACAACTGGCCATCTCTAATGCTTGCAGCCCGATACGGACGCCTGGACATTGCAAACTACCTTTTGGAAATCGGCCACGAAAACGAAGCCACATCAACGGACTCAAAGGGGAACACCGTACCAATGGTCAGCGCAAAGTACAAGCACGAGGATATTTGCCTGACTTACCTGGAAAAATACCCGCACACAATGTCTGAGGTCAATCGCGACGGAAGAAGTGCGATAAACTGGGCGGCGCAGAACGGTCTGAACAGGGTTATTGAGTGGATACTGAGCCATGGCGGAAACATTAATCAGCGGGATATTGATGGAAATACGCCGCTGCACCATGCTGCGTCTTGGAACCAGTATTCTACCGTGACCTTACTTTTGGAGCGCGATGCGCAGATCGGATTAAAAAACCACAAGGGTATACGGCAACAGAATATGGGTACTCGTCTTCGATGGAAAAACACATTGGTACGACTGTAAACAGACTACAGTTTAAGCGCCAGCAGCTCTGCAGAAACAAGCAAGTGTCTTTGTAACAACTGCCACTGCCATGCCGCGCGACAGTGTCGATATGACAACGGCACCGCCTCCGACAGCTGTTCCTGTAATAGAATTCCCTTCCAAACAAGTGTCATTATCGCCAGATCATTTTCAATAGTCATTGAAGCATCTATTTTTCTATACAATGTTAATTTTTATTTATCTATACACTGCAACCCACAGAACCATGAGTGATCTAAACTAAACTAGTCTAGTCTAGTCTAATCAACCCGCAACGACGTCTTTCTGTTGGTCTTGACGGCATCATCAATGCTGTTGAGCAGCTGTGTGTAGTACCCTTTGTGGGAGACCGGATCGCTGATTGCTTCCGACACTTTGTACTGAGACCGGTACCTGTTCGACACCAGGTTGTTCAGCGCATCCAGCTCCTTCTGGACAACTGTAATTTCTGAGTTAAGCTGGTCACCACGCAGTGCACTCAGCTTGTCAAACTTTTTGTTCATCTGTTGCTTCAGCACGCTCTTGTAACAGTGAGTAGGCCGCAGCTTATCCATTGGCCATAAGCTGACGGCACGCTGGTACGCCGCTTGAAGTTCGCCCAATTTTCCAGATATGCGAGACATGTTTATAAAGGTACTACGCTTGTTAGCTGTTGCTGCCGAGGATAGTTGTTAAAGGTTGTGGTAATCAAAAAAGAAAAGAAGATAAGAAATTCACAAAAATTTAAAATCGAAATCGAGCAAAGCGTAAAAGAAAGTTGAAAAAGAAAATTGAAAAAAGGGGGGGGGGAAGGGGTGACTTTATCACAATTTGCGCTGCGGCCAGGTTAAAATTACGTGGGAGAGAAAATAGATCTCTAGGTTAAAATTACACCAAAGGACAACAACCTCCCCCCCCACACACACACCCAAACCCAACTCTAACTTCCTTTACTTGATGGGCGGGCCGGCATTTTGCGTCAAACTCAGCATTCTTTTGATGCATTTCCATTTATTCTATTTCAACCCTTTTTATTCCATTTCGATTTCAAATTGCAAAAAATATTTTTATATTCTTACACAAAATGGCGCACGAAGCATTACTCGAGGCCCTCAATGGCCCAGCGACTGCAGCTTTATTCACTGGCTGCTCAACGAGAGCGAAAGCCTGTTGGTTGAGCTCGAATGCGCTCTACAAGACAATGCGACCGGCGACACAGCGGCCAATACGAATCTGCTGACTAAGGAGCAAGCGCTGGAAGTCTACGAAAAGCTCAGCCAGAGTCTCCAGGACCCCAATCGCAAGCGCTAGCGCGCGGCCTTCAAGATGAGTATGTTTTGGTCGGTGCCACACTGTTTGATCTGGCGGCGACATTCGGAGCATCTCATCAGAAGCGCGCCCAGGATCTTCTGGTGACCTGTACGAGCGCGCGCCGTGGCTGGAAATTGAGGCTGTCGCATCCTCGGAGCTTTTTATTGACCAGCTCGTCCAATTTCAAAACGTTTACTCGCAAGCCGCAGAGCTGGTGCTAGCAGCAGCGGACACTGAGGCCGGTGGTATTGACGAGCACTTTCTTATAGCGTTGTGTTCTGACTTGGAGTGGCAATTATCCATGGCCACAAGCTGGTCGAGCCTGGTGGAGGCCTGCCAGCCCTTGGCCGCAGTTTTTCTTCAGGACAGCCGGTGCTTTCTGTCTTTAGCCAAATCGTGCGACCTCACAACAAGGTTGATATCTGGACTGCGCAGGCCCGCTCTTGGCGTGTCGTCCAGTGATGTTGATCGGTGCAGTGGTGTGTCCAAGGCGCTAAAATGGCACTGGGTCGGGTTGGCCCACTGTTCGTTGCGGGCTCTATTGGGATTAGACTCAGAATCAAGTATAAACTCGGCAGCAATACTAGACCAACCCGACGGCGGCTCCGTGCTCATGGAAATTTTGGATTCCTTAGAGACCACTGAGTCTCAGCTGGTGCCATTCAGCAACGCCCCGTTTCTGTTCGACCTGGAGTTCCGATTTGGCCTTCAGAATATGCTCAGTCAAACACTACTGGGCTCGAAAACCTTGCTCGACGACGCTCAGATAGATTACATTGTCATGTCTGTGGACCAGCTGAAGGACATGGCCGACCCGCTGTACCGCGACGGGATGGAGGTTCTGGAAAGCAGGGTTTTATACGCGCGATTGGCGGCAGAATCGGCAATACCCGCCTTTGGGACAGACGCTGATACTGACTCGACTGTGGCCGCAGCCACAGAAAGCGATACTTTTGGCGATGACGACGCGGCAGCGATTGTTCAGATCAGCGAATTGATACCAGATTTGGGCGCAGGCTTTGTTCGCGCGTGCCTCGACCACTATGACCACGACCCCGAGGCCGTGGTGAATGCGATATTCGAGGGTATTTTGCCGCCGGTGTTGGACGAAATGGACCAGACGACAGAGCACTGGCCGAGCGCCAGTGACTCGATGCACGTCGAAAGCGCTGAGGAGCTACTGTCGCAGGCCAATGGCGTTCTCGGCAACCGGCGAAATATATTCGACAACGATGAGTTTGACATATTCCGTCATGACACGCTGGACTGGTCGCGTGTGAATATTGGCAAGGCCAAGATCCCCACTTCTGCTGGTACGCCCAGCAGCGATATCAAGAGCCGGGTCATGCAGATTGCCCAGCGCATCGAGGATGAAGACGAGTACGACGACACATATGATGACACAGCCCAGGACAGCATACTTGATACGCCTGACACGGACGAATTCTTGGCGGCGCGGGGCGCAAATAACCAGCGGGCCAGCCATGGGCCGCCAACAAAGGAAGGCCCCAGCGCTTCTAAGCAACCGGCAGCCACAGATCCCACTCGCCGCTGGGAGGAGGTGCTGGTGCGCCAATTTATTAGCGACCCTTCGGTTTTGGAGCGGAAGAAGGGCGTCCGCAAGCTGCCGGCGCGCCAGGCACTGCGCACTCAAACGGAGCTTTCGGACGAGCAGCTTGAAGGGTGGCTCACGATGTTCCAGCGGAGTTCGCGTAAGCAACAGATGCTCGCCAACTTTGGATTTGGCGTGAGCAGCCTGCCATTCCCAATGCCAGGGCAAACAACGGCGGTGGAGGCGGCGAAACTCTCGAGAGCAACCATGTCGAAGGTGCTGGCGAAGGACAAAAGCCTGCCGGGACAAACTACAGGTACAAGGACAAGAACAAGGCTAAGATTGGCAACCACAACCGCAAGCAGCAGCAGGCACGTAAGGTGCGCAACACATTGGGACCGTAGGGTGCGCCCAAATATAGACAACGGGTTTTAATGGTTCGACATCCGGTTCCTTTATGTATCATTTATCAGGTTATCAGGGCATGTTGGCTTATTTGAATTAAAAAAACCTCTAAAGAAATTGCATTACTTTGCGAGCGAGTCCTCAGGGATCATGTCCAGCAGCTCGTCGGATTCAATCATCTCGCTGACAATGTCCACGCCACCAACCAGCTCGCCGCTAATGTACAGCTGCGGGAAAGTCGGCCAGTTAGAGTACTCCTTAAGACCCTGGCGCACCTGCTCGTCGGTCAAGATGTCAAAGTACCCGTACTTAATGTTCTGCCCGTTAAGCATGTTGACAATCTTCTTGGAGAAACCGCACCGCGGCTGGGCGGCTGTGCCCTTGATAAACACCATCACGGGCGCGCGCTCAATAAGCTCCTTCAGCCGCGTGTTCAAATCCTGCTTAAACTCGACTGGTGATGCGGCACTGGCCGTCTGTCCGGCAATACCGTTGGCAGCCGCGCAGCTGTCGGCAACCTCCTTAACAATCTCGGGGATATTAGCGCCATCGATTTTCTTGAGAACCTTGGCCTTCTTGGCAATAATGGTGGTAGGCACGGCCGAGATCTCGTACGCCTCGGAGATCTCGCTGAAGGTCTCTGCCTCGATCTTGAAGAACTGTGTCTTTGTGTATTTCGCTGCCAGCTCGTCGATGACGCTCTCCACCTGCTTGCACTGTTCGGCCCATTCGGCCCAGAAGAAAATAACCACCTCTTGGCTCTTGCTCTCGAGGGCCTTGCGAAGCGTGCTCTCATCCGTGAGCTGGATCAGGTTGTTCGCGACCGACATTTGTTTTTAAGAATTAACTGTGTTTACGAAATGAGATTGTGACTTGAATAAGAAAAAAATGTAAGGAAAAAAAAAAAAGAAAAAAGAAAGTGTCTGAAAATTGATTTCTTTTTTATTTGGTAGAGAGAGGGTCAACAAAATTTAGTTTTTGCTTTTCAAACTGCCCCAGGGGACGCGAATGTGTTTGTCCCTATTTGTCAGCTTGCGCTTAATGCTGGCCTACGCATGAAAAGAAGCGATGACGAGTGCAGAAGGCACTCAAAAAAGCTGAATTTTCACTCAGTTTTATTTTCAATTCGAATTTTTTCCCTTGTTTTTTCTCTTCTTTTCCTTGTCTCGATTTTAATTATACAAATACACGTTATAAGCTCGCACCCACACATTCAATTCAACAATCAATCCGAAATAATGCCAGCAGTTCCGAGCCCCCAGGAAATCACTAACCTCTACGAGAATACGCGTGCGGCACTGAATGCGGACAGCCCCGATCTCGATGCAATCAAATCGCGCCTGTCGCAGCTCAAGGTACGGCACATAATGCACGCCCCATTTTGAACCAGAATGCTTACGTTTTAATGTAACTGAGCGCAATACCCGCAGTTTGAGGGTTGGTGTTTTGCAATGCGATTTGTAAACAATATTTCCGAAACTAAAAAAATCCGCTCTTTCTCTTTTTTTTACCCGTGAATTTGCGGATTATTATCTAGGTCGCGCTCGTTCAAACTGCCATACAGGACGCGCACGTAGCGCAGAACGCCTCTTTCCAGTCATTGAAGCGGAGCATCTTGGAGATGGGTGCAGAATTTTCGATCAAGACGGGTGACATTTCGGCGTTCGAGCGCTACATGGCGCAGCTGGAGGTGTTCTACTTTGACAGCCAGTTTGGCCTCGAGGAGTCCAAGGTCATGTACCCGCTGATCGGACTGAACCTGCTGCGCATGCTGTCAGAAAACCTTATTGCTGACTTCCACACCACACTTGAGCGCATCGGCCTTGACCAGCTGCAAAGCAACCAGTTTATCGTGCACCCGGTAAAGCTCGAGCAGGCACTGATGGAGGGCAGCTACAAAAAAGTGTGGCAGGCACGCGCCGAGGTGCCCACACCAGAGTACATGTTCTTCATGGACATTCTGATGTCGACCATCCGCAATGAGGTCGCTTCGTGCGTCGAGAAGAGCTACGCGAGTCTTCCCTTTGCCGACGCAAAGTCGGTGCTGTTCTTCACCAGCATGGACGAGTTGCTCAGGTTCGCCCAGGAGCACCGGTGGACTGTGAGCCCGTCCGAAAAGCGCATCACATTCCCATTGACCACCGAGAACACGCGTTTGTTCCAGGGCGAGAACATCATGAAGCAGACCCTGTCGTATGCGCGGGAGCTCGAGCGCATTGTGTAGGCCTATTTTGTTGTTGAAGATCTTTCCATGTTATTATTGCGTTCATGTTCGTGTTCGTGTTCGCATTTTAATGTTTTGGCAGCCAAAAAGGCAGCATTCTGATTTCAGTCCACGGAATCTTGTTGCGCCTTGCCAGTCTTGGGACTGCGTTTGGTTTTGTTGGCTGCAAAGTGGTTGGGGGATGAGGGGGAGAATGCGCAGATCGATGCTCTGGATAGTAAAATTCGGAAACATCGTTTGACGGTATTTGTTTCTCTTTCATCTCCGCTTCTTCAAACTCTTTTTTGCCATTGTAGACGCTTTTGACCAACAAAATAAACATATAACATCCATGTCTGCCTCCATTACTCGCGCCTTTGCCACTCGTATGCCCAGCCGCACCTCCGTGTTCGTCGCCGCTGCCAGCCGCCGCTTCATCTCCATCAAGCCCATCTACACCGCCGAGGCCACGGCCACTGGTGGCCGCAACGGACGTGCCGTGTCGAGCGACAACGTCCTGAACGTCGAGCTTGCTCTGCCCAAGGCCCTCGGTGGCCGCGGCGAGGCTGGCAAGACCAACCCCGAGCAGCTCTTTGCTGCTGGCTACGCCGCGTGCTTCCAGGGCGCCATGGGCCTGGCTGCCAGCAACCTGGAGGTCAAGCTGCCCGAGTCGAACACCGTAACGGGAATCGTTGATATTGGAAAGGACTCTGCCGGCGGACTCGGCCTGGCTGTCGAGCTCCGTGTCAGCGCGCCCGGCCTGGACACGGCTACCACCCAGAAGGTCGTTGACTTGGCACACACGATCTGCCCCTATAGCCGCGCGACCAGCGGCAATATCGACGTCAAGCTGACCGTTGTCTAATCCGCCTAGCCTAACAATTTTTCTTGTTGACTTGTGCAAGCGAATAAAATGAATGCATTGTTGTTATTAAACTAAAATGTGGAACTGCTACTCGCCAGCATTGCGAGTAGCCTTGGTGCTGTCGGCGCTGTTTGGCTGACACTGACGCCTGTCCCCGTCTCCTTTGTGTGGTGTCGCCTTGCACTCGCGGGTTGTTGGGCCGCTAGAGTCCAAAGAGGCCATGTGGCTTATGCCCGGGGCTCCAAAGATTTGGCTTTGGGCAGTGCTCAGCATCGACACAAAGCTCGCAAGCTGGCCATGGATGTGGTTTTGCTCGGCAACAATATCGTCGATTTTCACTCTGCCGTCCTCGAGAATACTCTCCAGACGTATGCTCTGGTTGACCAGAGCGTTGTCCGTTATGCATCGTAACTTTCTGGCCGAATCATCAATGCTCTCGGCCCAATCCTTGAATCGACTGCGCAACTGGTCGCGCCGGGAGACCATATTTTCAATGCAGTCATTAATGTCGGTATGCATATTGTTCGTGTTGTTTTCATGAGTGTTGTCTGTATCTTCAAATGCACGCTTTTGGCCTGCCACCTTGTCCTTTGAAGAGTTGGTTGCAGCAGAACTATATGTGTTTCCGGCTGCTGAATGCGGCTGACTGACGTCTCCAACGCCGCTGTCCGTGCTGCTTCTGATGTCGTCAGAGCCGAAACTGCCGATGCTATCGATACTTTTGCTGCTATGGTTATCGTGGTGTCTTTGTGTGCTGTTGTCAGCTATGCCGTTGATTATGTTGGCGACCGCCATGTTTGTATATGTTTGTGTGGAAAATGCAAAAAAGTTATTGTACAATGAGGAAGCTACACATACTCACATACATAAAGGCGCTTTTGAGAGAGCATTTTGACTGCGTATATGCTATAAGGACGAGCACATGCACCCAACATAAGGTTTTTAATGTGGCAGTTATGTGGTCCAATCTCATTGCTCCAATCAAAACAGCCCAACGACTTTCGCACTGGCAGTTCATGCGTGTCGCTTTATTTTTCACAGCCAAAAGCTGCTGTCGTATTCCTTGCCAACATTTTCAAGTTCAATAGCATTGTTTTCGCTTCTATTTTTCGTTTCTTAAAATTTACTCTTCACCTTAATCAATTCACATTTATATATTTTTCCTTTAGCAAGCAAGCAGCAGCAGCACCAACAGCGAACTTTTATTTCACACCTACGACCCCGAGCGGAATTTATAGCAGAGCGAAGAACAATAAAAAACACCGACGATGCAGATGCTTACAAAGGTAGGGCATGCGACACAGATGGGCTGGCAACCACCATGCGCGCGCGAGATGAGAGATTCCTGACAATCCACAAATGCACTAACCACAAATGTTGGTATTTCTCTTGTAGTTTGAGACTAAAAGCAGCCGCGTCAAGGGTGTAGCTTTCCACCCTAAGCGGCCGTGGACCCTGGCATCTCTGCACAACGGCAGCATCCAGCTCTGGGACTATCGCATGGGCACTTTGCTCGATCGCTTTGAGGAGCACGAAGGTACGTCAGCCAACACAGTCGCCAATTGAAACATGTGTGTGCTCCCCCCCCCCCCCCCCCCCAAACAGCAAACAGCAAACAGCAAACAGCAAACAGCAAACAGCAAACAACACACGCTAAACCATCTTTGACACTTACTCTCCTTTACACAAACTCTAGGTCCTGTTCGCGGAATCTCATTCCATCCGACTCAGGAGCTTTTCGTGTCGGGTGGTGACGACTACAAGGTAAAGGTGTGGAACTACCGTACTCGCCGCTGCATCTTCACTCTCCAGGGGCACTTGGACTACGTACGCACAGTCTACTTCCACCCCGAGCAGCCGTGGATTATCAGCGCCTCCGACGATCAGACAATTCGCATTTGGAACTGGCAGTCGCGCCAGTGTATTGCCGTGCTCACCGGACACAACCACTACGTTATGTGCGCTCAATTCCACCCGACCGACGATCTTGTCGTATCGGCCTGTCTTGATCAGACCGTCCGTGTCTGGGACATCTCTGGGCTGACCCGCAAGAGCGCAGCCGGCGCGCAGCCCATGATGACCGATCCGCTGACTGCCCAGCGCATGGGCGCTCAGGGCGACTTTTTCAACGTCACCGACGTGGTCGTCAAGTTTGTGCTCGAGGGCCACACCCGAGGTGTCAACTGGGCCACGTTCCACCCGACGATGCCGCTGATTCTGTCCTGCGGCGACGACCGCCAGGTCAAGATCTGGCGCATGAACGACTCGCGCGCGTGGGAGGTGGACACCTGCCGCGGCCACTACAACAACGTCAACTCGGCCATGTTCCACCCCAAGCGCGAATTCATTCTCTCAGACTCGGAGGACAAGACCATTCGCGTGTGGGACACCACTCGCCGCACGCTGCTGCAGACCTTCCGCCGCGAGCAGGATCGTTTCTGGTGCTTGACCGCCCACCCGGAGCTCAACCTATTCGCCGCAGGCCACGACAACGGCCTGATTGTGTTCAAGCTCGAGCGTGAGCGCCCGGCAGCGGCCATCCACCAGAACACGCTGCTTTACGTCAAGAGCTCGCAGATCTACATGCACAACTTTGCTGACTCCAGCGATCAGCCGATCGTTGCTATTCGCACGGCGCCCGCCGGCCAGTACTTGCCGCCGCCGCGCACAATGAGCTTCAACCCCTCTGAAAAGGCGATTCTTCTCACGAGCGACGCCGAGGGCGGCAGCTACGAGCTGTACACCCTGCCGCGCAATCTCACCGGCTATGTCGCCGAGGCAGGCCAGTCTCGGCGCGGCACCGGGACGTGCGCGTTTGGACCGGTCGCAACCGCTTTGCCGTCCTCGACAAGGGCGCACAGCAGATCCTGATCAAGGACCTGTCGAACCAAACGACAAAGACCATCCAGCCCCCAGTTGCTGTCGAGGCCATCTTTGCTGCGCCCGGCTCGCAGCTGCTGCTGGCCACTGCGACCTCGGTCATTCTGTTCGACGTGCAGACCCGCCAAACTGTGGCCGAGATCAACACCGCTCCCGTAAAGTACGTTGTGTGGAGCTCCGACATGTCCACCGTCGCCCTTCTGTGCAAGCATACGATCACGCTGGCCAGCAAGCAGCTGGAGCAGCTATGCCAGGTGCACGAGACCATCCGCATTAAGAGCGCAGTCTGGGACGATTCGGGCGTGCTTTTGTACACCACGCTGAACCACATCAAGTTTGCGCTGCCTCAGGGCGACACCGGAATCATCCGCACTATCGACAATCCTGTCTACCTTGCGCGCGTGCAGGGTGGTGATGTTCACTGCCTGGACCGCGAGGCAGCGTGCAGACCATGAAGGTTGATCCGACCGAGTACAAGTTCAAGCTGGCCTTGGTCCACCGCAACTATGAGGAGGTTGTTTCGATCATCCGCAACTCGAACCTAGTCGGACAATCGATCATTGCATACCTGCAGAAGAACGGCTACCCTGAGATTGCCCTGCACTTTGTGCGCGACGACACCGCTCGCTTCGAGCTAGCGCTCGAGTGTGGCAACATGGACATTGCACTGGAGACCGCCAAGGCCATCGACAAGCCCGCCTACTGGGACAAGTTCAGCCAGGAGGCGCTGCGTCGCGGACACGTGCAAATGGTCGAGCTGGCATACCAGCGCACCAAGTCATACGACAAGCTGTCATTCCTGTACAGCATCACTGGTAACATTGAGAAACTGGCCAAGATGCAAAAGATCTCGGTTATGCGCGACGACCCCCAGTCGCGCCTGCAGAACTCGCTCTACCTGGGCGACATCGAAGACCGCGTGCGCGTGCTGCGCGAGTCGGCCAGCTGTCACTTGCATACCTGACGCCAAGACGCACGGTCTGTTGATGAGGCTGAGTCGATCCGCATCGCAGCGGGAATCGAAGAGGAAGACATTGTTGGCGTGCCTAGCACCGGCCAGGGCACTCTGCTGTATCCTGCGACGCCCATTGTGCCGGCGCCAGAGCTCGACTGGCCGCAACTGCATGTCAGCAAGGGCATCTTTGACGGGAAATTCAACTTTGGCGACAAGGGGCCAGCCCGCATCCCGGCAAGCCGCGCGCTGCCGATCTGACCAACGCTGTGGCCGACGGCGATAATGTGATGAGAGCAGCGGCGCATGGGGCATTGACAAAGATAGCAACAACTTGGGAGGTGCCGCTGCGCGCAACGCATTTGACGATGAGGGTAACCTCGCTGACGATGCCGAGGGCGACTGGGGGATTGAGGATGACGGCGAGCTCGATGCAGATATTGCTGCTGAGGCCACGGCGGCCGCGGCGGCTGGTTTTGTGCCGCCGCAGCCCGGCATCAGCGAGCTTGAAGTGTGGTCGCGCAACTCGCCACTCGCCGTAGACCAAATCGCGGCGGGCAGGTTTGACCAGGCGATGAAGCTGCTGCGCGACCAAGTCGGCATTGCATCGTTTGACGCGCTCAAGCCTGCGTTCCTGGAAATATACTCGGCATCGCGGTCTGTGCTAACCACAGCGCCATTTGCGTCGGCAGCCCGCATTCCCCTGCGGCGCAACCCCACCAATGCCACCGAGCGCTCCCAGTTCCTGCCAGCGCAGATCTACAGCCTGGCGTCATCACTTGAGCAGCTGCAGCAGGGATACCGCGCAACCACTGGCGCCAAGTTCGAGGATGCGCTGGCTCTGTTCAAGCGCTTGCTTCTGTCGCTGGTTTTTGTCACTGGGGATTCTATTGAGGACGCGAACGAGATCAAGCAGCTTCTGCAGATCAGTCGTGAATACGTCATTGGAATCAGCATTGAGCTCGAACGCGCAGCCGTGTCCAAGGAGGAGCCGACCGACGAGAATGCCACCCGGCTGGTCGAACTGGCAGCTTACTTTACGCATTGCCAGCTGCGTGCAGACCACGAGAAGCTTGCCCTGCGCCTGGCGATGAACACGGCGTACACGCACAAGTGCTTCAAGGCGGCCGGCGAGTTTGCACAACGCCTTTGGATCTGGTGCCCGCCCGCCGATTGCCGAGAGGGCGCGCAAGATGATCACGATCTGTGACCGCCAGAGCCGTGACACGCTGCCCGTCAACTACGACGCGCGCAATCCGTTTGTTGTCTGTGCAGCGTCGCACACGCCCATCCACAAGGGCGAGGCAGCGGTCAACTGCCCCTACTGCCAGGCAACGTACAAGCCCGAGTTTGAAGGGAGCCTGTGCCGTGTATGCACAATTGCCAAGATCGGAGCAAAGGCCAGGGCCTGCGCTCCCTTGCTTCATCTGCTAGGCTTGTAACTTTGCAATTGATCCAGATCCATCTATTCTTTATTACTTTTGGCACTAAAAATGCCATTCCTTTATTCTACATTATCAATTCACATTTTTAACAAGATAGCATGTGTGTGCTTATGTGTGTTTGTGCTAATGCTAATAATAATAAATTTTAAATCTAAAATATGGCTCTCCCGATGGCTCTCAGCGCAGCGCGAAACTACAGCTTTTGGATGACAACGGCGCTGGCGCCGCCGCCGCCGTTACAGATCGTAGCGCAGCCAAACTCGCCCGACTTGAGAAGATGCGTCAGGGTGACAATAATGCGGGCACCGGACGAACCGATCGGATGACCGAGTGCCACAGCGCCGCCAGCAATGTTGACGCGCTCAGCGTCCAGGCCCAAAATCTTCTCATTTGCTCTGGCGACAACACTGAAGGCCTCGTTGAACTCCCACAGGGCAATGTCCTTTATGGAAGGCCAGCGCGCTCAAGCGCAATGGGCACGGCCAGCGACGGGGCAATGGGGAAATCAATGGGCAGGGTCGCCGCATCGGCATATGACACGATGCGGGCCAGGGGCTTGACGCCGAGCTCCGACGCTCTGTCGGCAGCCATCAGCAGCAGCGCGCTGGCACCATCGTTGAGCGTGCTGGAATTGGCAGCGGTGACCGTGCCGGTCTTCTCAAAAACCGGGCGCAGCGAAGCGATCTTGTCGAACTTGACGTTGGTGAACTCCTCGTCGATCGAAACGATCTGCTCGCCCTTGCGCCCCTTGATAGCGACAGGCACAACCTCTGCGTCGAACATGCCAGCCTTCCAAGCGCCGCGGCACGCTTGTACGATTCGATGGCGTGGGCATCCTGCATCTCCCTGGTAATGCTGTGTTTGCGAGCAGTGTTTTCTGCGCAGTTGCCCATATGGAAGTTGTTGTAAGGGTCCCACAGACCATCTTTGATTATTCCGTCACTGAGCTCTGAGTGGCCGTACTCCTTGCCGCGTGGCGCGTAGTAGGGCACATTGCTCATGCTCTCCATGCCGCCGGCAATCATTGCGGGCTGCGCGCCCACCTGGATGTTTTGCGCCGCCAGCATGACGGCCTTCATGCCCGAGGCGCAGACCTTATTGATGGTCGTGGCGGGCGTCGACTCGGAAAGACCTGCCTTGATCAGCGCCTGCGTTGCCGGCGCCTGGCCCTGGTTGGCCTGGAGAACATTGCCCATGTACACCTCTTTCACGTGCGACGAATCGATAGCTACAAAGAAGAAATAGAGCTGTCAATATGCGGAATTAAATTAGGTTTGGTGCGAATTTATTGAGGATTTTCCGCCGATCGTGTAAAACTGCGGTTATATTGGCACTGTACCTGCTTTGTCGATGGCTCCGCGAATGGCCACAGCACCGAGCTCAGATGCAGTGAGCTTTGACAGGGATCCGCGGAAGCAGCCCACGGGGGTGCGCACGGCAGAGGCGATGACAACGTCGATGAGCTTGCGAGTAGACATGGTTGATTTGCTTTGGTGTAATATAGAAAATATAAATGCGTAGAATACAAAATATGAGAAAAATGCGATAAAAATATAATCAGGTAAATGAGAGAGAAGATGCGTGAGGTTTTTCAAGCTGCATCCTTTTTCTTTGCTGGCGCACCTTTGTTTTGCATTTTTCTTTCACATTCCTGGCTATCCTGCCTGCCTGCTTGCGAGCGATTACAGCGTGAGATAAGATAAAGAGGGCACATGATTCAATTTTCCGCTATCTAAAACCTGCATTGCAGTCGCAGCTAAGCCTGGGAACAAAAAACGTATCGGCCCGTGCTAATTCAGATTGTGGCTTGTGCTAATCGATCAAGCCGATGGCAAATTGGTAGCACGCACATGCGAGCCACGGCTCTTTATAAAACGGGTTTATCTCGAACGGCCAGTTGTGGCTGCACCTGTCGAAAACGCTTTTGTTGGGACTTACTGCTCGGTCTCGCAGAACCAGGGACTCTGGCTGATCATTTGACCTGAACTTGATGGTCGTGTGGCAGAAGAGCGTACTAAACAAAGCCGTCGCTTTGATTTCGAATGCCACAACATCATCTGACGTTTGTTTTTATCACACTGTCGACGCGCATGCACGAGCAGATTAGCTCGGAGCAATGACTGTATTCTGTAATACCATTGTGTAATTTTTATGCGAGCGAGCATAATTAATGATGCAACAAAGACAATTGCCTTCTCTCTTTGCCCTGCTTCGCTTTGCTTTGGCCTCTCAGCAAGGCACGCGAAAACGTAGAAGGCGGCATTACTGCTTGATTGGCCGAGCGGTTGCAGGTCATTTTTTGGAAGCCGCAGCATACAGTTTGCTTGCCTGTGCAATCCACTTGAGAAAAAGAAAAAGAGGGGAACAACGAACAACGAACAACGAACAACGAACAACGAACAACAGAAGCAGAAGCACCGTTTTTACACGATTTGTATGAGAAAAGGAAAACTGGCTATTATAAATTCGAACAATATAAATAGAATATTTTTCTGTTTTCACTTTCTCTTCAATTTCCATTTTCTTCTGTTAGCATCTATATCTCCCCCCTGTTTTCCCTTCTTTTTTCTCCGTCGCATTTATTCTTTTTTAGCACTATCCACCCGTCTCTTTCTTTCTCTTTCTCTTTCTCTTTCATACTTAATTTTTCTCTCGCTTGTTTTTTATTGACCAATATTTTATTTCCAAATACTACTTGCCCCTTTTACCGCCTTGCTAGAGTTTCTAAGGAACATTTTTCTCAACACAGCTCGCACTCCACCCACTCACAGCTCACTCAGCCACCGACATTATTCCCTTTTGTCTTGGCATTATTCTCCCTCATTGAAGTACTGTCCGCCACCTTTTTTCTCTTGCATCTTTATTCCTTTTTCTACTCCCTACTTTTCTTCTTCCGATCCATCCCCCTGTCTCTGCTATCAACAACAGCAGTAACAAAAAACACCGCTTTTCATTTTTATCTGTAACCCGCACACGTTTATTATTCTCTAGTTTTAACGAAAAAAAGTATGGAATTTTCTCAGCGCCCCGCACACCCTACGCTCTCCAACGGCGCTCACGGCTATATGTCAGCGACATCGGCAGCTTCTTCCCCCGCACACTACCAGTATGCTTCGGCAACAACAGGAGGTGCACAGCAGCAGCAGTTTTATAGCTCTGCTCCCTCTGCTCAGGGCTATGCGCAGCACTCTGGCGTGTCTGCAGCTGTGGCAGATGCTGCATATCCCGGCGTTCCGCGTCGTTTGCCCTCGTATCGAGCTCTTGGTGTCTCAAGAAGCGGCAATCCAACAGGTATGTGATAAACAGCAGCTAGGCTCGAGCTAAAACACCCGATTTTGTAAAAACGATTGCGCATTTTTAAAATGAAAACAATATTGTGCTGAATGCCGCACTCCCATGTTGGGATCATTGTTCGAATAGTGGGTTGCAATTTGCAACTACACAATGCCATGCGTACACTCTACTAACAATTTTTTGCGTCCAATTTTCTCCTTTTGTAATTTATAAATTTATCTAGGTGGCGTCTGCCGGCGGTCACGCATCGCACGACCCCATGGCCTACGCTTCGCAGAAGATTCAGCAGCAGCAGATCCAACAGTTTCAGATGGCAGGGCATGTCGATCACCGTAAGCAGACCATGATGCCTGGTGGTTTCGGAAATGGGCCGTATGCAGTTGCTGACTCACAAAAGGGATACGGCATCGATGTCCCGCGCCGTCTTACTACCAACGCGACCCGGAGTCTGCATCGTCGCTGTCATCGCAAGCGACGCTGCTCGAGAGTTACTCTCCATTGGCGCAGCAGCGTGGCCATGCCAAACAGTCGAGCTACGCAGGCGATTATGAAATGAGAGCACCAGAATCTTTCAGACTCAGAAGCCGAATCACCAGCCCTCGAACTCTGTTTCTAGCATGTGTGAGGAAGACGTGTTTGCTGCGGCGAGTATCCTGATGAGCCTACGAACATTCAAAACGCCGTGCTGAGTTTTTTTTGGAAAGGAGCTAATAAGCACCGTTTAATTTCCCGCTTATCCTCGCATAACAAATCTTGTAAAATAAAAATCACTGTAACAAATCCTCAACCTTCGGGGTAACCTCGGAGATTGCATTTACGCACTTACCTTCACATTTCATTAAAAGGTAAAGTATGTTAACATCTTTTGCCAAAGGTATAAAATTAAATGAGATTATTTGACCGAGACTCAGCAGCACCAGCAGCAGCAGCAGCCAGGCGCAAAGCCAAGGAGGCAACCCTCTACTCATCCCCGCAGGCAGCGCATGGATTGATTTACCCACATATCATGGCAGTTATAGCTGTCAGTTGTTTAACACAGAACAGGGTTTTGTCAAAGGAGCAAGTAGATCTGTAGATCTATTTTCTCTGGGCAAAATGTGGACGTTTTTTGTCCAGCAGAATCAAATTAAAGCCGCCCGCTTATAAGGCGCCTTATTTTTGTACTTATATTTTTGTTATTGTAATATGTAAATTGCAGTAGAGCTGCGATTTGTGATTTATGATTTGTGATTTATGATTTGTTCCTGTGAGCTGAGTTACGCAGAATAGTGCGGGTCGAATTAGCACTAATTCGTCAAAAAAGTACTCAAAGCATTCAAGGAACAGCTTCAATAACCCTTTTCACGTGAAATTGGCCCATACACAATGCCTATTTGTGCGTGCGTTGTGGTCAGTGGTAAAAATCCAGGCCAATTTTTCGGCAGAATATCTTTTTGCTTTAAAACCTCTCCATATTTTTACACATTCGATCAAGCAGCGAAACAATGATTACACCGCGATTCAGCGTCCGCCAGGACGAAACACGGGTGTATGTTACGATACATGCGCCTCACGTACGTGCCCAGACGATAGAATTTGACGTTGATGAAGACCAGTTCAAGTTATTTGCCAGTCCCTACTATCTGCGCCTGACTTTTCCCGGCAAAGTGGTTGAGGACGAGGCGGCAACAGCCTCACTAGATGCAGCAATGGCGACATTCTGGTTTCTCTGAGCAAGCAAACTCCCGGAGAAGAATTTAAAAACCTCGACTTGCTCACAAGCCTGCTAGCGACTAGGCGCGAACGGGAGTCAGAGCAGACCGAGAGCGATGGCCGTGCTGGGCGTCCGGGCATTGAAGAAATTGGTGGACCATCAGCGTCGAGGACCAGGAAGCGATACTTAACGATGAGGAGTTTGAGTGGGAAATCCCTCAGTCGCTTGCCAACCCAGATACTGACACATTGCTCATGGGATCGGCAAAATACGGTTTCAACGAGCAATACGTTGGATTTTTGGAGCATGTTCATTCGACAGCCAATGAGATCAACGAGGTAGAGGACCCAGAAAATATGTCTGCTGAGGATCGGCGGCAAAGACGGGTTGCCATCGAAGATGCAAAGTTTGACGAGGATACTATATGTCCAACTATATCAACGACGAGGACATCCAGCCGCTGATTCAGTACAAGACGGCAATGTACTCCACTCTGCGCCAGATCCAAAAGACCAACAAGGATGATACTACCGCGGGGGTGACCAGCACGAGCGGCGGCGATTCCAGTACCAATAACCTGATAGCCCAGCTCGAGTTTACCGACGAGGAAAAGAAGACAATGATGGATCTTCCACGCAAATCACATATAATTGCCAACCGGCAGGCCGTATATCTCGGCCTGGTGGACATAGTGTTTGCTTATTCCCTCGATCAGCGTGCGAATCTGGGGGAGTCCACGGTGGAATCTGCATGGGCAATTGGCGCGGTGTCACCCTCGCTATCAAACTTGGAGCAGTTTACTACCTTGCAGTCCGTCCTTGTCGGTTGCTTCCGCCGTGGGCTGGCGTACCCGCTTTACCGCAATTGGGAGCTCTGCGAGAAGGCGCTCGAGGATGTGTACGTGGTTTTCAAGCTCGGCCGCCGCGCGTTGCTAAAGACCATGCTCCAAGTCAAAGAGTTATTTGACAAGCACGACGTGTTCTACGTTTATAGCAAAATATTCCTAGACGACTATTGCGTGTGGCTGCAGACCCAGGCTAGCGACAAGGCGATCCGTTCACTGGCTCATAAGCTGCACAGCTTTGAAGTCGAAAAGGATGATATTGGCTGGAATCTGGACGCCTTCGAGGACCTTGCCTTGCAAACCTCCGAGAGTGAGGCTGAGGAGGATAGCGAAGTTGTGGATGCTGAAATGGGAGAGATGGCTGGCGAAGTAGATTTTGGCGAGGAGCATGTTGACAACGATTCCGCCCACTTGGAGGGGCTATCACTCGCTGCACAGGGCCGTGTGCAACCAAGCGAGCAGCAGGTTGAAGAAGTGCAGTCAAGACGGAAGCTGGTGCAAATTATTGGCGGCGACAACGACAACATTGTTGACACTGAAACTTCCTCCAACTCTAATGTTGGCACTGATGTTGGCGCTAGTGTGAACGCTGGTAAGGACGCCAATGCGGACGCTGCCCAGGCGATATCTGCGTGGGATAATGACACTGTTCAGTCGCCTGCCACTGCGCTTCTTTCGAGTATTATGCAGTCGGGCAGCGCTAGCGGAAACGATACCAAGAGTCCGCGCAAGAAGCCGCTCATTGAGCTCATTGACGACAACTAATATTGTGTTCCCTGAGATAGTAAATACATTTATTTTTTGAAATCGTTGTGAGAATGTGCTGCGTAAAAAGTTCATTTTGTATTTGCAAAAAAAAGAATTACGGCGCGAGCACATTCTCAAGCTCAGAACTTTTGTTAATGTGAATATTTTCTCTTTTTTTACGAGGGAGGCCCAGCTAAATGCTTTTATTTGTTTAAAAGCTATTTGCTTATATTAAACTAATTACGTCCAAACATACAGAAACACGCACTAATTTTCTAAAACAACACACATGCAGCTCAAGGATATAGCCAAGGTCATCATGCTATTGCTAAACCGCAGTTCCGCCACTTCCGAAAGTGCCATTGACCAGTGTCAGGGAACGAATGGTACGGATATCGCGCAATGCCAGCGGCTTTACGGGGGCGGGCAGTTTCGTGGTCTGCCCGACTGCACATCGGGCGACAAACTGACAATCAACAGCTGTATCAGAGGCATGGCCAACGAGCTGCTGAACATCATTCCTTGCGACAAGGGTGTTTTCGGCACAGAATATCCCAAAGCGTTCCTTGAATGCATATCGAACCACTCAGGTATGGTGTACATGGTGGACTGCAATAGCTGCACATGCACGTGTGAGGGTTTTCCAAGTGTACCAAGAAGGGATGTCTGAGCTCGCTTCCAAGGCCATCATGAGGCAGTGCGACTAAAAGTTCACAATTGGTTTAATTGGAAATTTTGATAAATCCAGGATAAAATAAATTGCTGGTTACCGCGTTTTCGAGATACCAATAACGTGTTTAAAATGTTTTATTTATTTATTCATTCATTGTTCAAACTTGCTTGCGTTTTCCGTTCGCACGGGGCCCGCCCATCCACATCGGAAGATCAAAACTACACGCAATATACCGCCAACGCCATATATTGAAAGCAAAGTTGTTAATTAATGTTTTGTGAATAGAAATTCTAACAGCGCCAGAACCGAGGGTGCATGCACGAATACACGCGCATAATTATATTTTGGCTGTCGTCGCAAATGAATGCAACTATTCATTCTTTTTGGTGTCCAACCTGTATTTGTCCTTGGGGGCTTGTGCGTTCCAGTAGTACACCATCTGGGCAGCCAGGACGCCGTTAGCAATGGTTGCAAGAATGACGCCGAGCAGTACCAGCGAGTCGTCGACCTCGACAAGCGTGGTGAAAAGGCGGGCGGCTGTGCCAAAGAAGTAGTTGAAGACCGCAAATGCAGACAGCTGACCAGTGTACTTGTTCTTGTGAATGGTGTATATCTGCGGAATTCTCGACGAAATGACCAGCGGGATGGTCAGACCATATAGGGTCGACAGCAGAGATCCGCCGATAAGCGAAATATCGAAAAGGGAATACGTGAAGGCGAGCAGCAGTGCACCGGCAATAACACCGAGGCCTGCACGGCCGGTGAATGACATTATGAGCAGCGTGATTACAAAGTTCTGTGCGCCAATAAACAGAGCCTCGCCGTATGTGGTGAACGCGTATCCCTTGCGGAAGTTGTACGCGATGGTAATCACATTGGCCAGGATCTCGAGGATGTACGAGCTGAGGCTGATTCCGGCAACAGACTTTGACTTAAGGATTTTGAAAAGCTGCGGCAGCTTGACGACGCAGCCACCAAGCACGATGCCAAGACCAAGACCCTTGGACAGTGCGTGGCGAAGGCAGTGCGGCTCGAGGATGTTCAGCTGGTCGACAAGTGTGACAGTGCAGTCTTCGCTGATGAGTGCGGCCAGCGGGCTGCGCAAAAGGTTAGGGAGCCACGAGGCGGTCATCTCTCTGGTGAATATGAATTGGGGATTGCTAATTGCGAATAAAAGGATCGTTTAAATGTTGAGCAGAAGAAGGGAAATTCAAAGAGCGAATTAAAGGACAAAACAGCGAGGACGAAAAAATAAAAAGGAGAGAAGGGATTAAAAATAAACAAAGGAATCCATTGGCCCTTTTTCCCTGCGCGCACAATAATGCCAGCGCATTTTTTGAGTTCATGATTATCTGAGATTTAATTTTTTTTGCTTTTTGCGCAAGGTCAAATCAAACGGCACCAACAGCAACAAAATCGCATATTAGAAAAATGATTGTTCACATATGAAGGTTTAACGTTTTAATGTAATATAAAATGTATATATGATCTTTATTGAACCCTAGAACGTTGATTGAAACGATAGAAATGAAAAAATAAAATAGAAAAACTGAGCAAAAATGCCGAAGCAGTCGACCACCAAGGCCAATTTTGTAATACCACACTGATTGAATGGCCAGGGCTGGGCTAAGAGTAGACGGGCTGCCAGTAAATTGCAAGCTAATATGCTGTGCAAAAATTAAAGACGATACTGCCATCCAAAGCTGAGCGCCCAAGTGCCCAGACAAAAGAGGTTCCTCCAAAACAAAAAAGACGTTGACCCACAGCCTCCCATCCCCTCAGACTAGAGTTGCTGCAACAGCTTAGGCGCTGTACACTGGAACACTACCATCCTCGTAGGTGGTATTGGCATGGCCCTCATAGACAGGAGTCATATTGTCATCAGTAGTGGGGGTGGTGGTCGTGTTGTGATCAGTGGTGGGGGTGGTGGTCGTGTTGTGATCAGTGGTGGGGGTGGTGGTCGTGTTGTGATCAGTGGTGGGGGTGGTGGTCATGCCATCATCGGTAGTGGGGGTGATGGTCGTGGTAATTGTCATGGTGGATGTCGACGGGCCGGGGGTGGAATTGGTGGTCGGGGGAACAGTTGAAGTGCACTCGGTGGTCGGAGGAGGGACTTCAGTAGTGGTAGTTGGGGGAGGGACTTCGGTGGTGGTGGTCGGAGGAGGGACTTCAGTGGTGGTGGTCGGAGGAGGGACTTCAGTAGTGGTAGTTGGGGGAGGGACCTCGGTGGTCGGGGGAACAGTTGAAGTGCACTCGGTGGTCGGAGGAGGGACCTCAGTAGTGGTAGTTGGGGGAGGGACTTCAGTGGTGGTAGTTGGGGGAGGGACTTCGGTGGTGGTAGTGGGGAGGGATCGGTGGTGGTAGTTGGGGGAGGACTTCAGTGTGGTAGTTGGGGGAGGGACCTCGGTGGTCGGGGGAACAGTTGAAGTGCACTCGGTGGTCGGAGGAGGGACCTCAGTAGTGGTAGTTGGGGGAGGGACTTCAGTGGTGGTAGTTGGGGGAGGGACTTCAGTGGTGGTAGTGGGGGAGGGACTTCGGTGGTGGTGGTCGGGGGAACTGTCGTAGTGCACTCGGTAGAAGGATGAGAAGGGACAGTGGAAGTGCAGCTCGAGTGGGGGACCTCAGTCGACGGCTCCTCATGGCCCTCGTAGGTAGGAGGGATCTCAGTGGAAGGCTCTTCAGTGGAAGGCTCCTCAGTGGAAGGCTCCTCATGGCCCTCATAGGTAGGGGGGACCTCAGTTGATGGCTCCTCATGGCCCTCATAGGTAGGAGGGACCTCAGTGGAAGGCTCCTCAGTCGATGGCTCCTCATGACCCTCATAAGTGGGAGGCTCCTCAGTGGAAGGCTCCTCAGTGGAAGGCTCCTCAGTCGATGGCTCCTCATGGCCCTCATAGGTAGGAGGGACCTCAGTCGATGACTCCTCATGGCCTTCATAAGTGGGAGGCACCTCAGATGAGCTCTCCTCAGTGACTGAGTAGTTGCTGCGCTTGACTAGGCCGAGCTGGGCATCAGCAGGACTGGCAATGGCAGCGGCAGCCAGGGCGACAAAGAGGATGCTGACGTTGAATGAGGACTTCATTTTATAGACCTAATACGTTCTTGTTTAAAAAGGTGATTTGGTGAAAGCAAACAGTGTGCTCTAAAGAAAAAGGTTGAATAGAGTTGTTTTATAAGCGATAAAAGGCGTGTTCCTGTCTGTAGTACCAGTCGGTTGCACTGTTTGAATTGCTTATTGAGAGAGAAAAGCGAGAAGCTAGAAGAGGTTAATGATGATAATAATACAATTTGGATGTTTAGTCGGGGAATTGCCGCGTTTATATACGATTTATTGTGTTGGTGTAAAGTATGCTTGTTATGCTGCCAATAGTGCAAAATAAAACCTGTAAATATTTTTGTATGCTTGTGTGTGTGGGGAAATTTTTTGTGCCAGTATGCCAAATATTTTTTAGCTGTATATTGCTTACAACATAAAGGATATTTGTGCTTGCCAAATGTGTTGTTGAAAATCTTCAAAGTAGGCGCATGCAAACGCCATGTTCAAATCGTATTGTCATGACAAATGGGCGGAGAAAAAGATATTGCAATGTAAATGACAGCGCTTATTTTGTGCTCTATCGATAGTATGCGCAATATACAATGTGCAATGTTGAAAATGTTTATTGCATTTTTATTAGCCGCATGCTCAATGATATTTTATTTATAAAATATATATTTTACCCCACATTACTGAGGTGGAGAAGTGTGACTGACTCCATGAGGCCAGTCTGTTAGCATCTAGAACCCCGAATTGGGTTCCGATGAAATACGATAATAATTAAGACGCGTGGTCAACATGCACTCCCAATGCATGTGTGTGCGGGGAAGGTGGAAACAAACACTCGATGTTTACCACTTACATTGTGGCAGTGTGCGCCGACATTTGATGCAATTGCAGTTGAGAGCTCGTATAGTTACCAGAATGGCGCTGCTTGGATATATTATGTTAAAAAGTTTTTGTTGAGTATAAATATACTATCATTCCAAATCATGCTGCCTGTATCCCCGCGTCACGGCGGCTATCAGAATATTGAGCGCTGCTATTTCGTCGCTGCGACCCTGTATTTGTCCTGGCAAATCATTTTGCGTGACGTGTCCGACTACTACCCGCACTCTTTCAGCTTCCGGCAGAGCTCGCGCAGCATATGTATGTCCTCTTGGTCTAGCAGGCTATCCAACTTGAGTATCAAATACCACAGCCAGATGCTCTCCGCTCGCCACAGCTTATCAGCCGCCAGCCATGCGGACATCCACTTTACAAGTCTCAGGGCCATTGCTTGATCCATCACAGCTAGTGCGTGCAGCATAGCTCGGTTAGTTGGAGAGTTACCGCTGGTCTCGTAGCAAAATGTCTTCCATTCGCGGGAATTCCCACTACCCGGGAGGGCAAAGTCGTCAGGAACATCGACACTGGCAATCATGCGGTTGAACTTGGATCTCTGCTGCATAAAGTACTTACGAAAGTTCTGGCGCCACTTCTCTGTCGATAAGACCACTTCGAGTAGCGGCGGCGACTCAAGCTCACTCGCGTCTTTGCTGCATTCCGACTGCCGGTTGCCGCTGCGCATGCTCAGTGTGGTTTGGGAAATAAGATGCTCGCGGTTAATGGCTACGGCGATTTTTGGCGCGGCTGCGGCTTCCATCATTACGCGCAGCATGTACTGCTCGCCGCTCTCGGGTTCCTGGTCCAGATCTCCAGGTGAAACATTGTTTGATATGGGAAGTGCACCGCGCTGGCCGTATGCAAAAGAGTCATTGTTACTCATACGCGATATGTGTATAACAAGCAAAGAATTGGCACGGATTAATATAAGAATGGAAGTGCTCGACAGACCCAAATTGCTGGGCGCGATTTTTGGGCGCGACTGCTTTAGCACTGGCTGGTCGATCCAACAAAATTATGAGACAGGCGAATGGTTGATTCTTTGATCAATCACAATACATTTTTTCTTCAATTCTGCAACTGTTTTTCTTTGCCTTTTTTTGGTTGCCACCATGAACAACAGTTTTCTCTCTTTGCTCGACCGCATTTCACATATAGCACTTCAATTCCTCTGCTTCAATTTATATAAAATTAAACAGCCAGCCCCCTTTCCACTTCCGCATACATACATACATACTTTTTGTCACCTTAAAATGTCGTCGTCAATGAAAAAGTTCGCGCCGCGTCGCGAGCACAAGGAGCGTGGTCAGATCGCCAGCCGTCAGAAGCTTGGCCACCTCGAAAAGCACAAGGATTACGTGCTGCGCGCGCGGGACTACAGCGGTAAACAGAAACAGCTTAAGCGTCTGCGTGAGCGCGCAGCGGCACGCAACCCCGATGAGTTCTACTTTAACATGGAGCGGTCGCAGATGAAGAACGGTCAGCATATCGAGGAGCGCAACGAGGTGATAACCCCCGAGATGCAGCGCCTGATGGACACACAGGATATCACGTACGTGAGGATGCAGCGCGATATCAACAGACACAAGATTGAGCGACTGCAGAGCGAGATGCACATTGTCGACACTACAAAGAATGTGCACTTGGGCCCGCGGCACACCGTGTTTGTGGACAACGAGGAGGAGGTGCGCACTTTTGATGCCGCCAAGCACTTTGACACGCTGCCCGAGTTTATGAACAGAAAATTCAACCGGCCGACGCTCAGCGTTCTTGAGGAGACAGACATTGCGCGCCCTTCGAACAAGGATCTCCGGGCTGCGGCGTCGCACGGGAGGCCAAGTTGCGCGAGCTCAAGGAGCGCCTGAGCAGAGAGGACTATCTCAAGCGGACAGAGTCGGAAATGGAGATTCGCAAGGCACTGCGTGAGAAGGGCAAGAAGAAGAAGGTCGGCACGGATCGGCTGGGCCTTGCCGTCTACAAGTGGAGGGCTGAGCGCAAGAAGTAAACTGTTTATTGAAATGCAGTGTTGAAGTGTTTGTAGCGAATAATTGATTAATGGAATTAAACCCCAATTCTATACACACGAACATTGTGTGAATTTTATTTGTATTGTCTTGGAAGAGAATGGCGCTTAGCACATTCACTTGCTGTTGAAATAGCAGCCTCTTGTCAAAGCACTCGACATTGGGACCCACCTTTTTCTTTTGCTACTATTTATTTCTGACGCACATTTGGTGCTATATTTTCTTTTTTTGCCTTTCGCTTATCCTCTACATTCCGGCAGCGCCCAACCTCAATCCGATGCGTAACATCGCTGCAACAGTGACTGCGGCAATGGCTGGCTGGCTTTGTCTGGCAGGCACAGCGCTGGCACATCGGACGCGGCCAACAGAGAAAATGTACCCTGTCCACCACGCATTGGGCACCCGGGGCTCTCCGAGCGCTCGGGCAGTGACAATACAAACCAGGCGGATACTCTCTGGCATGCATACGACTCACTGTTCTCAAAGTCCAAGTACATCGACTTGACGCACACTATTACGCCCGACATGCCCATTTGGCGCGGGTTCGGCAACATTACCTTCTCGCCATCAGTGAGCAAGTTCACGGGGAAGCGTTCGCATACGACAAGGATGGGTTTGTCGCCACAGCGTACAAGCTGACAACAGACCAGATGGGCACACAGCTCGACGCGCCAGCGCACTTCAACCCATACTTTGCTGCATCTGACGAAATCCCGGCGACATTTGCGCTGCGCAAGCTAGTGGTCATCGACGTTTCGCCAAAAGCGGCGAAGAACAGCTCGTACGCGCTAAACATTGACGATATTGTGCAGTGGGAGTCTGTGCATGGACGCGTCCCCGTGCGCTCAGTCGTGTTTGTGCGCTCGGATTGGTCAAAAGCGTGGCCACATGTCGATACTGACGTGTTCCCGCAGGTGTCGCTTGAGGCTGTGCAGTTCTTGCACCTCAAGCGCAACATTTTGTTCCACGGTCACGAGCCTCTGGACACCGACATGACACCCAACTTTGCAGCAGAAAGCTGGCTGCTTGCGCATGGATACGCTCAGGCGGAGGGAGTCAAGAACCTGCACTTGGTTCCGGCCACTGGATGTCTGCTGAGCACAGGGTTCCCAAATTTATTGGGGGTGCAGGCAATTATGTCCGCTATGTGGCCATCTGCCCCCCAGAGTGGCCCAGCGGCGTGGCTCCCAATACAACACCCGAGGCACCGCTACCACAGTACTCTGCCCCATTAATTTGGAACGAGCAAAGGGGTTATCGCTCGCGCGTCTGAGAATGATATTGCGTATCTTGCAATTCCACCACAGTCGCAAATAATAGACCTCGTTGATTGTTTTTGGGCTTGCGATATCTAGCTTATATTTACTTATTTGACAAATATTGACAATTTATTTGTCATCGTTGTTTGGTTCTTGCTCGCAGCTGGCATCTCGACTTTTATTCAGAACAAAACAAAATCTAATACAAAAAATGCTGACTACAGAAAATTACACCAAAAAATCAAGGATACGCATGTGGAAAAAAGGAGGGAAAAATAATGTGTGGTTGCGTTGTTAAAGATAGCATCCATGTCTAATAGTAGAACGAGAGAAATGGCAGTAGTCTCTTGCTGGAGAACTGGTGCTACAAAAAAAGAGAATTGAACAAGTGAATGGGCGTAAGTAGCGTCTGAGACGCTTTTCGCCGCAGTCTCTTCTGCTAGCTGCCTGTAGAAAATAAAAATAAAACAAAATAGATTAATTGAGGTCACCCCTTGCGGTTATCTCATTGTGTAGAAGTGATTTGCTGCTGCGCCTGTTGATGTGGTTGCTGCGACGGCTGCTGCTGGTGGTGGATTTGAGCCAGCCGCTTGTAAAACTCGCGGTGAATGGGCTGGCAATGGCCGTCATGGTACAGCATGCGGGTAATATGGAGAACAGACATTAGCCGGTAGTATCTCTCGCTTTGACGTGGGTACCCGCCCTGGCTGTAGGTCAGCACTTCGTTTGAAATGTGTCGCTCTAGCTTATCCACGTCAATCTGTGCAATGCCTCCGCGGACAAGCCCGGGCTTTGTGGTAGGGTTATGCTGTTGCTGCATAGAGGCGACTTCGGACATTGCGTAATGTGGGGGTGTCTTTTATAATATCGGCCAGCTTGTGTTCTGGGCGCGGGTGGTGAAGAGAAACAACGGGCGGGGGTTGGTTCACAAATAAAAAATTAGGCGGGCGGATGAGTGAGTGAATGAGTGTAACGGCGAATGGTATCTATGTTCTTCGAGGTGACCACTGCAGCGAGCTATTGATGACGGCAGGTGAGGGCAGGTGACGATTAGGCGTGAGTGGCTAGGTTTTAGAGGTCTTGATGAAAAATTTTACAAGGCTCGAGTGGAATGAGTGCCAAAAAATTGAATTGAGTGAGGAAAAACAGACATGAAAGAGAAAAAGGCAAAGGAAAAGCAAGCGGACGACCAAGTTATATAACAATTTTTCGCTCTCGATTGCCCATCTCTCCCGTGCCTGCCATTCCTCAGCGACATAATTACATCGACAATGGCTGGGCCCAGCACACAGGGCCATCTTCATTACACCAGAGTTGCTGCCATTCATTTCGACCGAAAGCAGCCATTGGGCAAGACAGAAAAATAAAAAAGCAAAATAGGCCATGGTGCGGCACACCTTTGTCATCTCTTAACCAGCTTTTGGGGTGCCCTTGTCCGAAGCAGGAAAAGTACACACAAATTGAAATGTTTATGCATCAGAGATGGAGAATGCCGCTCTACGTCATTCCGCGTAATCCATTTGTTCTTTTGGAAGTCTTGAAAGGGCACCGCCAATGTCTCGTGCATGCCACATTCGGCCTATTTTTGTGCGCCCCCCGAAAGTGCCTGGCAGGCCGACACAAAGCTTTTCTTTTTTCGCATGGTTTGTTAAATCTGAAAGGCAAAGCTTGATTTAAAAATCAAGAAATCAATTCTCGCGATGAGTCAAAAATATAAAATGGCCTGCCTCGGCAGTCAAACGAAGGCGGGAAACGCCAAAAAGAACAAAGAGAAAGAAAAGGAGTTTCTTGCTTAAAATTAATCACAGGCTTGCACCTTTTCTCTCGTTCTTTCGTTATTTTATTCTTTTCTCTCAAAGCATTTTTCTATTCTTTTAAATACTCATTCAATAAATATATTACATTTACAAATCATCCAGTTTTTTCCTGTTAATCCCGCCGAATCACATTACTCAATTAGTTTCGTTAAGGCAATCAAGCGCTGCTGCCAGCTAACACACTCCGAGAAAAACAGCGTACACGCGCAGGATATTCGAGCAGGATAAACAGCCACGTTCGAATTTGATATTTACTCTTCAATTAAACAAGCGTTCATACGAGCATTTATTTTTATTACAATTACTCAGTTATGGCGAGCAATCCAGGTCCCGCCGCAAACTCCAACCCTACTGCGGCAATCAACAAGCACCTCTACCGCGACTACCGGGCTGAGCTGGCGAAGCTGACGTTTAGCTCAAAGCCCATCATCAACGAGCTGTCAAAGAAAGCGGAGGCCAACGTTGCTGAGGCAGAGACCATAATTACGGCCATTGAGAACCACCTGCGCTTCACTGTGCCCAAGCTCAAGCTTCCGGCATTTTACCTTCTGGACTCGATCATTAAGAACGTTGGCGGAATGTATGTGTCTCTGCTGCACGGCCGCATCGGCAAAATTTTTGTCGAGATGTGGAAATCGGTAGACGACGAGGTCAAGGGCAATATGGAGCGCACGATGGGCACCTGGCGCCACGGGTTTGAGGGCGGCCACAAGAACGTGTTCCCCGACTTTGTACTGCGGAAAATCGAAGAGGATATAAACCGGCTTAAGGCCAAGGCCAAGGACCTTACACCGACTCTTCCAGAGACCAAGGGAGAGGACCTGCTGGACGACCTGACTAAAATACAGTCGTATGGCAAGAAACATGCTCTGGAGCAGCGGCAGCAGCTGATTCAGCGTGAGGTTGTTGCCAGGGCCGACAGATACGCCAATACTGCCGGCCAGGACCACGCCGCGAACAAGAGACGCCGCATGCCGGAACAAGAAAGGGTAAGTGTAATTTTTGAGCAGGCAAGGCCAACGTGGCTAAAAACAGCCTTGTTGATATGCTTGTGTTGTAATATTAATGTTTATGCACCGCAAAGCTGTTTTTCGTTGTATTTGTGATTACTGGGTGATAAAAGGCACATTCGAAAAGTGCGGTGAAAGTGACAATGAAGTGTTAAATTTGCAGCTGCTGCCAATTTAGCTCCCACGTTTGGAGTTGCTAGTTTTTTATTTTAATTTTATATCTCCGCAAAATTTAGTGCACCCCTCCACATCTCTTGCGAATCAAAATTGCTAAACAATATGATGCTTTATTGTAATTACCCGCTCCGTATAGCCCATCCACAACCAAGACCTGTTGCGGGAGGTCAGCAATGCCCTGGTGAAGAAGCAAGTCGAGCTGTACCGCTGCCCTAGCGATGTGGTGCTGTTCTCCGCCATCAACGCCCTCAAGAAGATAAAGGCGAGTGTGGCCGAGACCACTCTTTCGCCCGAAAGAGTGAGAGAGATTCGTCGGCAGCTATTGGATCTTGATAGCACCAGCAACGCTGATGCCACCAACCCTCAGAATAGCAATAACAGCGCTCGCGCGCAATGGCATGCTGGCAACGGTGCGCCTGGTTCGACCAGGTCTACGACGCCCCCTCACCCGCCTCCAGCACATGTGATGGCTGGAAGTGTCCGGCACGATAGCAGCAGCCAATCTACAGCATTCCCGTCGCCACAGGGCCACGGCGCTTCACACGGCGGCCGTGTCGGCAGTCTGATTACCCAGTCACCAGGAGCAGCAATGCCAACCGATGCCAACCAACTCTTGCAAAATCTGATGTCACGGCCCGATTTGATGAGCAGCTTGAGCAAGGTTGCACCTGGGCTGTCGACTTCGCTGGGAGCGTTACTGGTGCCCCAACACCAGGGTTCTGGCTACAAGTATTTCTCACAGCTGGAGCCGATTCCGCTGACCCAAGCATCTATTACAAGGTATGTTTTTTGGATAAACGCACGCTAGTATTCTGAAGTGTTTTTTTGCTATTTTTCTTTGCTATGCTATGCTCTGTTGTTTTGTAGTTGTGCTTGTATTTGTACTTGTCTGGATGTGCGTAAAGGCACTTTTATCGAGTGCGCGCCTAGTGCCTTGCACTGGCGCCTAGTAGTCGGAGGATGCATATATCGGCTTCATTGCTGTTGCAGTAGGACAAATAAAATTTTCTATATAAGGTCGCCGCACGCGCCTTTAACACATGTATAGCTTTTTCATTCTAAAAAATCGCCCTGAAAACCTTACCAGTTATCAAGAGAGAAAGAGTGGGGAAAAAAGGAGAAAAAGAGCGTAAAACATGCCGCCACCGACGACATTGGAAAGCAAGTGCCGAGTGTCCCCGTTGCAGCAGCTAATCCATACATACATGCGTTTGTCCTGCCGGCTCTTTGTTCTTAGAAACTGCTCGCATATATTAGAATATCATTTAACAACAAAAAAGAACATCTTACTATTGCGCACATTTTGCTTTCCAGGCTTGTATATTCAATTGTTTCTTTGTTTGTTCGCGTGCATGCATGCAATAAAACGTAATTCAGCGCGACACAATATACTGATACTCAACAAATGTGTTTTTTTGCTTTGTTTGCGTCAAAAAAATTAGGACCAGGCCGGGCCTCTTCAACATCCTCTACGAGGGTTTCCCAAAGCTGTGCTCGCAGTGTGGATGGCGGGTTGCCGACACTGAAGAAGGCAAGGAGAAGATGAAGAAGCACCTGGACTGGCACTTCCGACGCAATCTGCGCTCGCAGAATGACCGCGTACAAAGGGCGGCGCCACGCGGGTGGTATGCATCGCGGACAATGTGGGAGGCAGCTGCTAACGACGATGATGTCGTGATGGGAAACTCTGCCCAGGGCGAGTCGAACACCAAGGATGAGGGCGCGAATAACGCAAAGAACATTGAGGAGCTGAAGCGCAAGACACTGGCAGTGCCTTCTGGCTACAACAATAGTCCATGTGCAATTTGCAAAGAGCCGTTTGAACGCCGCTTCAACGAGGACGAGGAGGATTGGCAGTTTGTCAACGCGGTCGAGGTCGACGGCACCATTTACCACGCCACGTGTAATGCAAACCAGACAAGGTCGATTGGGCTGCTGCCTTCTCCTGTAGATTCGACCAGCGGTAACCAGTGAATTTTTTATTGATTTGGTTAATGGATGATTGCATTCTCAAATTCAAGCTGCGCGCAGTGCGGTGCGCTGTAACTTTGTTGTTTACTTTTCAGAGTGGCTAAAACAAATACAAAAATAATAGTATTGAATATTGAAAATATTACCTTGACTTTGTGCGATAAGCCACTGCTACCAGGTTTGCATATTTATGCACGATCTGCAGGCTCGGAAGTAGCGCAAAGCGGCGTTTAATGTAGAGATTTTGAATCTCCTGTTTTCCACAAAGTCTCTGGATTCTTTGTTTGTTTGTTTGTTTGCTACCTGTCTTGCGAGTTATTTTTCCTGCCCCAAGAACAATGGCGGGCAATATTACGACACATTTATAGATGAACAATGTTTAAATAAATAAAACTGACGAACAAGTTCATAGAGCGACAGCAGCAGCAAAATAAAACAAGAATATACAAAGCAAAATTTTATTTTTTGGTTTGATTTGCGACAGGTATTGTAAATAGGCTTTCAAAGGTCGTACCATGCCCTTTGCTCCTCAATGCTGGATGCCACAAGAGAACGCTTCCATCCCAAAAAAGTAGGTCCCCAAGGTGGTGATTCAGATAAGGGCGCGCAAAAAATGCTGTGGTCGCACCAGTTTACGGCACTTTCAAATAATGCAGCTCGGGAACTGGCATTTTGATTTTTAATTAGAGCACGCACATAAGTGGCTTTAAAAAAGACAGATTTGCACATATCTGTATGTGCAAGCACGTCTGCCACCAGTCTGACAAGTCAACATGGAAAGCGCTTTCTGACAAATTCGCTTGGCAGAAGAGCAGCATAGATGTGCAATGTACGATGTGCAGAGTGTGGGCATCCATGTATAGAATGTGCTATCGCACAGGGATACGCTTAAAACAACCTCGTATTTTTTATTTGGGTTTCTTGGCTGACAACCGGTGATTGGTCCAGATGCGGTCATTAAAAAACATTTCACTACACCAAAAGGGATGTGCGTTTGTCATTCCAAAGGCGCTAGCACGGGTTTCCTCGATGTCTTGTTCGGCAAATCTTCAAGATATCGATTGGGTAGAAATACAGCCAAGGCTTGCGCTTCAATATGGCGGAGTTTGTAAACTGTCAAAAATAGTGATTTGCACAATTGGAAGTGCACAGCACAGTGAACAGTACTTCTCACTTCAACATCCAATTTCTCATTCATCCGCCGCTCTGCAAGCGGGTTATTGCGCTGTCGCACGCAATGGGCCATCTGTTTTCGCACTATCCCTCATCCTCAGCCGCATCCAAATTCCCCAGAACAAGATATTGTGAGTGAGAAAATAGCAGGCAGGATGTGCAAATAAATTTGTTGCAGATCCATTATATGTCCAGTGAGCCACGCACGCACGTACGCACGATTCCTTCGTGTTATGTGCTCGCTTGGCATTTTTCTGTGTCTGAAAATGAAATTTGGAGTGACTTTTTTTTCTCATGCAATTTTTTGGCTGTCTATTGCTCACCAAGGTCGTACATCGAACACGGTCTGCATATTTCAGCTTGTCCATCACTATCCATTTTAGTACTTGAAATTTGTTTATTTGTTTGTTTTGTATTTGCTCCTCGTCGCATCATTGCATGGCCACACTGGCCACTGGCCCTGCTCGGAATTTGTCGCAATTCTCTCTCGTTTATTTATTTATTCCTTGCCTTGAGCCCCCTTTCCCCGTTTTACTTCATTGTCCGCTCATCCGATTTCTATAAACCTAACCTACAGCTCAGCGCTCCCACGCGCTCACCTTAGCAATATGAGCGACATTGCAATTTTTTTGACACAGAGCAAGCCGGCTGTTCAGATTCGTACTCGGAGGCATGGCTACTTTTGTTCTGTTCTTAATTTGCTGCATGTATGTATATATAGCCTGCCTCCCACCTGCAGGTCCACTATAGTTTGTCGTCCTACATTTAGCTAGTTTTTTATTCATATTCTTATCCCCATAGAAGCAGAGCCTTTCGGCCTAATTATCGCATATATATCTTTATTATTACTAATTATTAATTATCCCTAAGCCTGGCAGTTTATCAGGTAAGAACGAGGGACAGCGTAGACCCTTTCCAGACCCTTTCCAGACCCTTTCCCCCTTTTTACTTTGTCGCTATTGTAAACAAACATTTAGGGTAGTCTACTGTGGCAGGCCAACGCACAGTATCCCTGTTTCTGCCCATCCCCTCCTTACTTTCCTTATTTTGTTGCATGTTTGATACTGTTTATGCAAGCAATTGTTTAGCAAAAGAAAATATTCATATGCATGATCTGGGTTAAGCGTGCGCATGCGCCTGTGCGTTAATGCTGCATGTGCGCCTTATGTGCCTCTCCTTTACCGAATTGCACCCCCTTTTTCTTTGCCTTGCTCTGCTGTGCGACTGCCCATTTCATTCAACACTAAATTTGCTCGATTTACTGGATTGTCGTTCTCTTTTCCAGACCCGATTTTGTTTTGGCAGCAGCTTCTTGTCCCTTTTCAGATACTGTGTAATAGCAGTTGCATTTGGGAAGCCTAAAGTGCACCCCCTTTTAAATCTACTCTGTATTTTTTTTGATATTCCGCGCTCAGCTGTTTTTTTTGGATTTACGATTAAAACAAAAGTAACGGACCGTACTTGCGTCACCCCTTTTTTTCTGTTTATATTTGCTTGCACAAATCAAACACGCAGCTCATGCCGAGTATCGGATTGTTCGTGATATTGTCCAGAACAGTCCTTGTCGGTCTTTTGGAGTGTTTTTATTGCGATGAAATAAGATAGAAACGGCTAGAAATGAAAACGTCTCCCAAACACGCGTATGCATACACTTGTCGCTTTATCACTCTCTAACATTATTTTTCTGTTTGTTTTACTTTTAGGTTTTCCACTAGCATCATCATTATCATCATAACCATTATCACTATTTATTACTATATCCACAGTCACATCTTCAAGCTTTCTCTCCATCTGCCTATCCATACATCTATACTTCTGTCCATCTCTCTGTTAATTCAAGCCTGTATTATTCCTTGTAACAAAAAAGCCTTCAAGGACCAATCAAAAGAAAAGAACTGCAACAAAATGAACAACTCTGATCAGCATGTTTACCCTCCCCGGTTCCCTGTGACGCAGCACCAAAGTCAGCACCAGCTGCCAAGCTCGCAGGGACATCCTCAAATGCAGCAACAGCAGCATTTGGCGTCTACGTGGAACCGCCAACCCCATTACCAGCGCCAGCAGCCGATACCTCTCCCGGCACCCACCTCGCACCCAGGCTATCCCTCCTCGCAAAATCAGCCCCAGCAGCCGTACCATTACCAGCAGTTCCAGCAAAAGACCCAGGTGCAGGGCCAGTCTACATGGCACAATGCTGCAGGGTACATTGTTGGAAACCAGCACGCGGCAAACTCCTACTCCAGGCACGCCACAAGCAGCCCACCGGCAACGGCTGTGCCTTCCTCCAACTGTGCGGCGGCGCTGACGTTGGCAGTCTCTAACCCACACGCGCATCCTTACGCTCACTCGCATCGCAGCAGCAGCGGGAGCGGAAGCAGCTCCCCCTATTCACTACCATCGATGTCCGTACCATCACTCCCATGACGTCGGTGACTCCTCTAATCAACATTATGTCTGGAGGCCACACCAACATGACCAACAAGCATACCACTGCCAATAGCATCAAAAGCGAGACAATGTCTGTCAAGCGCCGGCGGAGAGCAAATCAGGACTCAGAGTCGCCCATGCTCAGTCTAGCGACATCTGTCGTAAGCGCGATTCGCAGTCCATGAACAGCACCAGCGAGGTGCCAGAGAATATAAAGCGCACTGAGGATAGTCCGTCTGTGGACGGACAGACCGAAGCTGAGGCTGCTCGCATTCTTGAGGAACGTCGCCGCCGCAACGCGAGTGCCTCTGCTCGGTTCCGCAAGCGACGCAACGAGAGGGAGCGCGAGCTGGTCAACAGGTGCTTGTTTCTGGAGCAGCACCTGCTGCAGGCCATGGGAAACAAAGCGTTTGAGGAAGTTATGCGCAAGGCCCCAGCTGCTCCGCCATCCATCGATGGCGTCCCGATGCTGGCATCGGGACGGCGCTCGATCATTTCATCGTCGGTGTGAACTCGATGTCTGTCACAACATTGTCACGCACGCAGTCGCCCAAATACGAGGACGAGGATGCTGACGAGTGCGACGAAGACCAGGTGTCGACGGTGCACTCCTCGCCGACGGTCAGCGCCGGCATCTCTGTCAGCGCTTTGACTGCGCCAGCTTCTGTGGATGACGTCTGGTCAGCGTACTTGACGCTCAGCCAGAAGATGGCCGGAGCCCTTCAGCGGATTGAGATGCTTGAAGACAACAAAAAGGAGAGCGCTTAACCGCTTTGATACGATATTTTATTGCAATAATAACAAATAATATATTATTACGCATCACTAGCACGTGATATGTACCCTTAAACAGCACCTGGTTCTGCGACAAGAATCGTGCGTGATCGGAGATGTGCGCGTGCTGCAATAGCATCAGCGAGTCAATTGGCATTCTCAAGCTTAATATCGATGGTATATATTTTTTATTCGCATATCGCGCAAATTATTTAAAAAAGAATGAGCAAGCGCGACGCGTATGAACATAATATCAGCCAGCTGCTGGAGGATGTTAATGAGCAGCGACAGCAGGCGTACCGTTTTGCGCGCGCCATGGAGCAGAGCATTCTCATTGACAGCAGCGACAATGACAGCGGCGACGAATACAGGATACCGCCAATAAAAAAGTCAGTCTCGCAACCAGCCCTAATTTTAGATGAAGATAGTATCACTAGAGGCAGCTGTCGAAGCGTGCATTTGACGGATTCGCCGCCAGCCAGCTTTCTAGACGACTTTGCGCGCGATTTTGTCGAAAATTACAAGCCCACACACCCGCCAGCCCGAATACTTGGGCGGCTCACACAATACCCTTGCCAAAGAGTAAAATCAATTCGCCGGGATGCCGAGTCCGACGTGAAAGGCAACGGCGGCAATGGTGCGAGTCGAGGCGCGCCCGCAAAACAAATATTTTGCTTGCCAAAAGATGTTGACTCGAGAAAATTTGATACTGCCAGACACAATTACTGCACTCCGACTAAATCCGGCGCACGCCGCCAGGCAGATTCGCGACGAAGCCCAGCATTGCCACAGAGTGTCTATACGCAGAGTAGCCTAGAGACTCTGCGAAAGCCAACAAACCGGATAGAAATTGAAACACCCCAAAGGTCTGACATATTGAGGACTCGCGAAACGCCCGGAATATTTAGCGCGCACAGAGCTGTTGAACCACAAGCTCATCCGGTTTCTCAGAGCGAGTCCGAGACGCACAGAAATATGAGTCTGTCGAGCAAATTGGACAAACGCTCGCGGCGAGTGAAGGCGAGAGCGCAGATTTGCAGCCGACTCTGGACGAGAGCCGGATGTCAAAGATAGACAGAGCAGCTCGAATGCAGCTGTGGGACCGCTTTGGCACAACGGACAGATGCCGAACGCGGAAAGACGACAAAGATGATGAGCGAATATTGGAACTCGTGCGGCTGGCCGAGCAAATGACGCTCACGCCCAAGGCTGGCCGCCCAGAACAGCCCCAAGATACAACTGTGTTGGGCGGACATATTCCGATGTTAGAGCGCAATCCGTCTGCCACACTGGCACTATGCAATCAGACCAGTTACCACATGCAGGCTGGGACCATGTGCTGGATACCCGGCGAATGGGAGCACTGGGCAACGTTTGTCGGAACAAGTGCGCCTCCAATGGACGGCGCCGAGATGCACCGGCGGCTCGACTGGGTACACGACCGACATATCGATGCGTGGCAGCATGGTTTTCGCGATGAGTTTCTGGAAAGCGGCAAGCTGCGGCGCACGTACCAGACGCTGGGCATCGAGCTACATGCGTACCCAGATGGCAACATCAAGCGGGTGGCCTCTGCAGAGCACAGGGGGCAGCCATGCACGGCCACAACCCTGTTTTTGACAACGGCGACTGGCAATGCACTGTTGAGCCGCACTCCGACTTGTATTACTTTTATTGCGACGAGCGCGTGTGGCATTATCAGAATGGGCCCTGCTCCGAGTACCGCTATCCTGACGGCCGCATGGAGCGCATCGACGCCGACGGTACCAACACCGTGGTGCATCCGTCGGGAGAAATAAACGTGCAGCTGGGCATGTGAAATACCGGCTGCCAGTAGATACGCCGGGCCACCAGCCTAAGCTCAGACCGCTTCTGAAACAAGAAAATTTCCCCTTTTGGTCTGTTCCCTGCAGGCATGTGGCCGCAGAATCTGCGTCAATACGGTCGGTTGATTATTCTCTTGCACCGTGTGATTCGAAAATAGGTGACAGCGGCCCCCTGTTTGATTGTTTTTTTTCCACGCTTAAGCGCCCGCTCTCACATGCAACGGGAATGAAACAGAGACAAGCTGAGAAGGGTGGGAGGGCAAGCAACAAAACAAGGCTTGCGCCTTTCTTTCTTGCTCATCATCGCTTTCCATCTTTCATTAAATATTATTGTTACTATTTTTCTCTTCAATCAATCATGAGCACAGTGCTGAGCCTAGTTTCGGCCGCGACAAATAGTGGCGCGGCCAACGTATACGTCAAGTACACCAGCATGCTGGCGGCAGGGACAAGGCCTGTCGGTTTGGACAGTACTTCTCCCGCCTTTTGGTGTACCTCATTTCGCAGCGCATGAGCGCCAGGGGAAAGACGCCGGCCAGCATCGAGTGGATGGCCACCTTTGCCAAAACCCAGGCCGCCATGGCCACCACGCGCAAAATGATGCGGTCGGGCAAGTTCATCGACTTTCTGCAACTCTTCATGCGCTCGCTCAAGAACAAGGGAGAGGACGAGCTGGTTCACCTGCTTGGGCTGTTCCACAAAGCCAGCATGTTCGTGTTCATGGCGGCAGACACCCTGGGCCTCATGGGCAGCACGCTGACGCTGGTCAGGCTGAGAGATCCGGCCAACGTTACGCGGGTCGGCCAGCGTGGATGGCTGCTGGCCATTGTGTGCCAGCTGATATCGGCCGCGTACCAGCTCCACAACATCTCAGTGCGGGAGGCCGATCTGCGGCGCGTTAGGATGCATGTGGAGAAGGCTGCCGACGTCATGGGCGACAGGGAGTGCGCAGTTGAGGAGGAGCTGATCCGCAGAAACAAGACCCAGCCACCCGCCAGCTTGTCGCATCGGCGCTGGACCTGGTCATTCCGGCCAAGGGCCTCGGCCTGCTCAACATCAACGAGGGCCTAGTCGCCCTGGCCGGCACAGTAACATCGCTGATGGGCATCCAGGACGTGGTGTCTAAAGTTTCGTATTGACAATAAAAAGGGAGCCCCAATATTTACAGCATGCACATGTGAACAAATTTAATTAGAAATGTATGTTAATTAAAAGCTCTGCCGCAGAGGCAGTTTTCAGCTTTCGGAGCACAATGCCATTGGGCAATAAAAAAGATGGAAAAGAGGAAACGGCTTTCAAAGGTTTAATTTGCGCATCGACACAGAATCGATCTCTCATCGGTGTGGTCTGGGCCAAATTTACCACCTTTTAGCTATTTTGTGCTCATGTTGAAACAGGAAGAATTTATAGAGTTTATTTTTCTACAGCAAAAACCGGGATATAAATTAAAACATGTACAAGCAGTATTAATGAAAAAATTGCGATGGCTGTTCTACTTTTCACAGCATTTTAAAAAAGAGCCGCGTGTATGGCGATGCCAGGCAAATGCAGCATGAAGAATCGGCGGCGGCCGAACATGCCTTGTTGATTGCGAGCATCCTATCCAACAGGCTCTTGAACGAATCAAGGTTTGGAATCTGCTCCCGGTTGTACTTTTGGATTTTGTCGACAGCAGCGTAGAACTTTGTGTGGTGCATCTCGCAGATGCTCTCTGCCACAATCAGCGACTCCTTGGCGACCAGCCAGTCCTGAGGCGCTTGTCTGTTGGGCAATTAAACAGGCCATAGCTCGAGTGCCGCACAGTTAGGCTCATTGACGCATGCGAGCAGCCCGAGTCCTTGCGGCTGCCTGGCGTCGTGGCCCTGCTGCCGGCGCTGGCGCTGCTGCTGCTGTTGCTATCATTGCTGCCCGGCGATACTTCCTGCGGCGCGCTGGCGTCTAGCGCCTTTCGCCGCATCTCGCTGAGGTGGATCAAAAGATCTTCGGATTTGGCGTTGATGCCCAGCCAGACGTCTGCGTACAAGCTGCCTTGCGGGAAATGGATGCTGAGGTGGTACTCTGGCGACAAAATGATAATCTCGTGCGCTGTGGGGTCCTCGGGCTGCTTTCGCTGCTGCGACATTATTATATACACTTGATCTGATTATTTTGGTTAGTGTTCTTTGTTGTTAAAGAATGGAGAGGTGTCCAGAAAAGATAGAATAGAACGACAAAATGGAGAAAAGGGCGTTAAAAAGTTACTGTAAGATCGGAGCTGTAGCGGTGCAATGTCCACGCATTTTATAGTCGCACCGACCTGGTTTTTGAAAAGAGAAAGATATATAAAGTCAAAGTTTGAACAAGAGCAAGAACAAAAAAAAAGCCCGTTTCCGGACTCCGTCTGGGTCTAACATTTTGCTCGAGAATCTGAGGATATTCAAATTTTGGAGGACTTTGGCTTTATTTCCCCTTCCCCAAAACAATTCCCCGTGCTGTTTGCTTTGCGCGGTCGTGCACGCGGCAGATATTCAAAGTCGACTTGCCAGTGTCAAAGCCAAGTCGGTCAAGCCGCGCGCACGCCGCCTGAATCCAATCAAGCGTTATTTTCTCCAGTTTCTACACACCCAAAAACAAATAAATAAATTTTACTTTATTTTTGGCACTGATAAATAGAATTTAGCCCGGGTACGCAGATAGACCAAGCATGGGTTGTCTTGAAATGGGGAGATCTCACAGTCAGCCCTTTGCTTTAAGAGATGGATGTCAAAATGTGGGCGCAAAAGCACAGCCCCCTGCTTTGGAGTCCAAGTCTGCTCTGCTGTGTTAGCTTGGGACTTGTTGGCCAAGCCTCGAGCTTGTTTTGATCTTGCATGTGGTAAAGGAAATGCGTGCTGTGAGGCCCTTATTTGCATGGAGCTCTCGATTCGATCAAAGCCCCACAGTTGCCGGCCGGCTGCACCCCCGGCTCGCCGAGCCACCACGCATCGGCTCACGTATAGTCCTGACGTGCGCATGTTCGGCTCTGTGCATATTGACAAGAGAAACCCCCAGGCGGCAGTGAAATTCACAGTCCTTTTTTATTGCCTTTCTTGAATTACACATTTGTACTATTTATTCGCCCATACACACACATACTCTTTAATCTAATGTCGTCGCTGATAGAAATGACGCAGGGCTACTGCCCGGCGTACTCGCCGTTCTTTGGGTTCATGGGCGTAGCCTCGGCAATCGTGTTCAGCTCGGCAGGCGCGGGGTACGGAACAGCCAAGGCGGGAATCGGAATCACAGGCGCAGGTACCTTCCGGCCGACAATTGTCATGCGGGCACTTATTCCGGTTGTCATGGCCGGTATCATTGCCGTGTACGGGCTAGTGGCGTCGGTGCTGATCTCGGGTGACATGGATCCGAAGAGCAAGTACTCGCTGTTTTCAGGCTGCATCCACCTGGCATCGGGGCTGTGCGTGGGCATGACCGGGCTGGCGGCGGGCTGGTGCATTGGCGTCGTCGGCGATGTGGGCGTCAGAGGGTTTGCCAAGGAGCCCAAGCTGTTTGTCGGCATGGTTCTGATTCTTATTTTTGCCGAGGTCTTGGGTCTCTACGGGCTCATCGTGTCGCTGATCCTCAACACAAAGGCCAGCAACTCGATGTGCCAATAACGGGTCTGCATCCTTAATTAATTAACCAACCATCATCATCGCTCAAGCTTTAAATACACTGTGACTGCAATTCATATTAACTGTGATACAATGAAAGCCTATTCGAAAGCCTAGAGCACAAACTTGTTGCGCACCTCGTCCAAGGGAATGTCCTTGTGGAGGAACCCGCGCTTGCCTCGCCGACGCCGTAGTCAGACGAGCCCTGGCCGTTGCCAAACAAGTAGTACTTGTATATCGTCAGGCCCTCGAGCCCCGCCGGCCCGCGCGCGTGCGTCTTGTTGGTGCTGACACCGATCTCCGTGCCAAAGCCGTAGCGGAAGCCGTCGGCAAAGCGGGTCGATGCGTTCCAGTATACGCCGGCCGCGTCGACCCGCCGCATGAACCACTCGGCGTTCTTGCGGTCCTCGGTGATGATGGCGTCGGTGTGCTTGGATCCGAGCGAGTTGATATGGTCAATGGCCTGGTCAAGCGAGTCCACGACGCGCACAGCCACCTCCATGTCCGAGAACTCGTGCCCAAAGTCCTTGTCTGTGGCCTTGGTTACCAGCGCAGCCAGGCTGGGCTCCTGCGCAATGCCAGCAGCCTGGATGGCAGCCAGAGAGCGGTCGTCAGCGTGCAGGCGGACGCCAGCCTTCAGCAGCGCCTGAGCCACCTCAACGAACACTGTGCTGACCAGGCTGCTGTGGACAAGCAGCGTCTCGGTTGCATTGCATGCCGCCGGGTATGTGGTCTTGGCATCAACAACAATGTGCACGGCCTTCTTCACGTCGGCGGACTCGTCCAGATACGTCGAGCAGATGCCATCAGCATGGCCCAGCACCGGGATGCGCGTGTTGTTCTTGATGTGTTGCACCAGCGAGTTTGATCCGCGCGGGATACCAGGTCCACATAGCGGTCCATGTCGAGCAGCCCGCTAATCTCGTCCCTGGTCGAGACGACCTGCACCGCGCGCTCGGGGAACTTTGTCTGCCCCTCCTGCGCCTCCGTCGTGGCAATGGCGTACTGGATGGCCTCTGCCAGCGCCTGGTTCGTACGTGTGGCTTCCTTGCCGCCCTTGAGGATCGCTGCGTTGCCCGACTTGATTGCCAAACAGGCAATGTTCACGACAACCTCGGGGCGCGCCTCAAAGATCACCAGGCATACACCCACAGGGCACACCACTCGGTATAGGTCCAGATCTGTGTCCAGCTTGCGCGCCAGCGTCACTTGGCCAATGGGATCTGCAATGCGGTCGACGTCGTCAACGCCCTGCAGCAGCGTCGAGTATTTCTCTCCGCCGCTGCCTTCGATATCCAGGCGGCTAAACAGCGATGATGAGAGCTTGCCAGCCTCAACCTCCTTCTTTGCTGCATCTTTGTCCTGCCTGTTGGCCTCGACTATCTCGCTGCGTCTCTCAATCAGCACCTGCTTGATGCGCTGGAGTACAGCTGACTTTTGCGCGCTGGTGATTGTCTGGAGCATGTTGGATGCCTCGCGGGCCGCGCGTGCTACTTGTTCGGCAGACATTATTGTACAAATGAAAATAGTTTTATTCTTGGCTGTTTTGATACAAGTGCAGTAGAAATTTTCAACAAAAAAAGTAAAGATAAAGATAAAGAAGGGGCTGCCAAAAGCTGCGTGCAGACGTTATATATATATTTTTGCCATGACTGCAATGACGCATTTAATTCTGAAACAGGCTTTGGACCTCCCAGCTTAGGATTTATCAGGCCTTAAGCCCTAACCCCGCAGCATGCAGATGCCACTTGAATGCCGACGCCGTGTGACTGTGTGACCGACTGACCAGTAACGCGATTGGATCGGTGCTCCATTGTCTCGTCTCGTTGTCTTGTTTTCTTGCATAAAGCGACAGCATTATTCTGTGCGCGCGCGAAATTAAATTAATTCAAGATTGTCAAGCAGCGGCGACAAAAGAGACATCATACGGAACCCAGGGATGGGAGCTGTGACTGATGACACTGACGTGTGTCTCAGCGTAATCTTGGCGCATGGTATTTGCAACTTGTAGTTTGTAATTTGCAATTTGATTAACATCATATATCTTATGTTCCATCTTCTACAGTCTATAAATGCCCGTTCGCTGCTTTGGGCGTGCTAATTCGCAGATGCCACCTCGGGGCCAGCAATGGCCCTGGCTGCCGGGGTATGTGGTTTTTGGCTCTGCTTGGCCTTCCAGCTCGACCAGCCCAGGTATGTGTTCCAGAAGAGACTCATAGTGCTTCCAAAAGGCACGCGATATGCCAGCGGAATGACGCTAAAGTTGATCAGCTGGGCAGCTGGCCACAGCGCATAGCTGACCAGGAGAATGTCCATGTACTGAGTGCGCCCGCGCTCTAGCAGCTCGGACGGCCCAGTCCCTCAAGCGCGCCCATCCCGAAGACAAAGGCACCCGTAGCGAGAGGTGCAAACACAGCCTGGTCGATTGCGACGCGCTTCAAGACCATCCCTACGCGCTGAGCTGCCGACTGGACTACGTCCGATTCGCCCAGCTTTTTGGAGGCCGCTGTCTTTATCGTGCTGCCTATCGGAAACCTCCAGTTGAGGAATGCGTGCCAGCGGTATGAAAAGGGTGTGAAGGCTGCGCCGTAGGCAAAGAAGCGGAGCGCCTGCACGGGCTCGTACCCTGGGATCAGAGAGCTGTTTTTGGAAGCAGACTGTGTTGACTCAGGAGTGCGTGACACTAAGTACTGGGCAATGGTGTTCCCCGTGGCCGAGACGCCCCCGCTAAACAGCGCCAATTTGAGTAGCTGCGTCGGCGTGGCCATATTGTGTCGTGCTGTTCAAATAAAAGTTAAAAAAATAATAAAGATAACAAGTCAGCATCACCCGCTTGCTTGGCCCGCGATTGCTTGTACAGATAATCGAAAATGGGTTCAAACCTGTGAGAATAAGCATGGCGCCAACACCACCGAATATGAAAAAGATGTGGGGGAAAAGGAATTGGCCACCTCGATTATGTGCTGCTCGGGCTCTTTCTCGTTTGATGGCGGAAAATAGGCATAGACAAATTCTGCGCATATTTGTCCCAATCGCCTTTTGCCACTGCTCGCGTGAACCGAACAGAAATCCCCAATCCCTCGCTGAAGCAGTTGAATATGGGCGCATATTTAGGCTTGTTGCAGTATTTTGTTTCAAAAGCGCCGTCTGACTCCAGGCACTGTTTCTTTAGGTGAGTGGACTGCATCGTCTAAAAGAGGGGGCAGCGTTAATAGGCATGATCGGACCGTGAGGAGACAGAAGGAGAAAGGAAAAATGGTGCCGCTTTTATGTTGTTAAATGTAGTAGGAAGATATGGCAAACAATCCCCAAAGATGGGCCGCTCAAAGCTGTGGCAAAGATTATAAATGAGCACCTATGCCAATAATAGGGCGATGGCAAAATATGTATTAGCGAGGATGCTGGTCCGCCAGAGTGGTCGAATGCAACAAGTGGAAAAATAAGTGAATAAGGAAATCTACGCCGGTCCATGAGTTAACATCCAAAATTTTGTGACCTGCGCTTGCAGAGCTTCCTTGCTGTTTTGACAAATTGTCCGATTAATGCGCCGAATTAAAAGCATGGTGGATGACGATGCGAGAGGTTGGCCACGGAAAGCCCACAGGCGAGCGGCCGTGCTCAAAGACCATGAGAGTGAATAGGTCCATAGTGGTTGACGGCCATATGATTCACAATGCGTCTCCCCCATAAAATTAGACTTGATCATTTCGCAAGTCTTTTTAATATCATACATCAACGTTCAACTTTCTACTCTTTTTTCCTTACTCTTTTTACGTTTGTCACGCTTTTCTTTTTATTATTAAATTTTACAGCTGTCGATTGGCAATGTCCACGTCTGAATCCAACCGCTTTGACATCGTGCAGTATTACAATGACCTCGTTAAGAAGGACTCGAGCATATCGTCGCCTGTCGCGGCAGTGAGCAGCCTGGTCAGAGCAATTGAGGAGCAGAACGCAACAACCATGCTTGAGTTTATGATGATTGTGCGCACGGCGTGCGAGGAGCTGAAGAAGGCGACAGACAACTCCATCTCGCTGTCAGCAGGCTGCGACGTGTTCTTGCAGCAAATGTCGCGACTGTCGCATGCGCAGAGCGTCGACGAGTGCCGCATGGCGTTAATAAAGGCTGGCACAGACTTTGTGCAGGGCGCCGGCAAATGCCGCGAGCTTGTGGCGGAGTACGGCAGTCCGTTCGTGCGCGATGAACAGACGATTCTCGTTCACTCGTACTCGCGGGTCATCATGGGCCTTTTGCGCCGCGCTGTCAAGCAGAACAAGCGCTTCCGCGTTTTTATCACAGAGTCGCGCCCCGACCAGAGTGGCTTCCAGGCCGCTGAGGAGCTGCACCAGCTGGGCGTCCCCTGTGAGATCGTTCTGGATGCGGCCGTCGGGTACATAATGGAAAAGGTCGACATGGTGCTTGTTGGCGCCGAGGGCGTCGTTGAGAGCGGCGGCCTGATCAACAAAATTGGCACATACCAGCTGGCCATCATCGCCAGGGCCGCGAAGAAGCCGCTTTACGCGCTGGCCGAGAGCTTCAAGTTTGTGCGCCTGTACCCGCTCAGCCAATACGACCTGCCCACGTACAGAGGCGACCTGCTTTCGTTCAAGGACAAGGCGGAGGCCAAGGTCGACTGGCAGTCCGAGCTGTCGCGCAGCAACCCCATGCTGGACTACACGCCGCCCGACTTTATCACGCTTATGTTCACCGATCTGGGCGTCATGACGCCCTCAGGAGTCAGCGACGAGCTGATAAAGTTCTACCTGGACTAGACCTATGCGCGCCTAGATCTAGGTTATCACTTTTGCAAATAGAAATCTGAGTGGCATTTTTTACAAAACAAGCAAAAAGACATTGGAAAATGAAAAGGGGGCGGTCAAGGCTGAAGCACGTAGTCCACCGTACTTCCTGGAACCGCGCATTCGGTAGACCCAGAAAACACTGAACCATTAGCGGCACGAGCGGTACCAACCATCGCTGGTGCGCTGGGTGCCCCGTAGATGAAGCCGCCCTCAGTGACGCCGCCAAAAACAAAAGTGGACGAAGAACTGCTGCTCGAGACCAGCACTGGTGCCTCTTCCTGGAACTCCATGCCAGAGAAGTCGGCCGCGCCAAACCGCACAGCCACGCTTGCAGAATCGACATTATCCTTCAGGACCGACTGCACAGTAGCTGCATTGTTTTCTGCTGGAGGACGTGCCGCCATCATAAACTGTATGAACTGGCCCGGCGCAATGTCTTGCAGCGTGTCGATCGCCAGCCCGCCCTTGGCCGGATCGCCTCCGGTCACTTGGAATACAGCGCAATCAACAGAGCCAGCGACTTTGCTGCCAGTAATTTTTGCAAACAGGCGGTCATCCAGGACAACATCCCCAGCAGTCATGCGCCGCTTGCGCACACTGGCAATCAGCAGATGAGCAGCCTCACCGTCCTCAACCTCCAACACGACATTGCCCTTACTCCGCTTAATCTCGAGTGTGTCGCTGATGGCCTCGAGGCCTCCATGTGTGACCTGTATCTGCTCAACGGCGCATGCGCTGCGAGTCGGCCTGCCTTGGGCGCGCACAAAGGCAAATCCGATTACGCCGCTGTCTTCCATGCCCGCATTGCCTAACAAAGTATACTCTTGACCGTTCAAAAATGGCGTTTGCGAGCCGACTATGCCGATCTTTGTCGCCTGGGGGAACCGGGCGTCTAGAGCATCCAGCACCTGTCGCGACTCCTTATCTGCAGCCATGATGATGAGCTCGACATCAGACGGGTCTGCTATTCCATCACCGAGCTCGTGAGGGAGCTCCAAGTGTGACGCTGCTTGGGTGGCGCTGGACTGGCCCACTTTCCACTGGATGTCCTTTTGGTGCTTTTTGAAACGGTCGGTGACTTCGTTGTGCCACCGACCGACTGCCACTTCGCGTAGTCTCTGTCGCCCATGTATGTCGCCTATAAAGAATGGTCGAGCCTCGAGTTCTCTGTCGCGCATTCTGCATCTGACAGGCTGTTTACCCTGGGCGTGTGGTAGAGAATTGAAAGGCCGGGCGCGTGGATGCCATCGGCGCTGGCTAAGATCCGGTCGACCACTGTGCCTGCAACAGATACGTAGGCACTCGGGTGTCCAGTTGCCTTTGAGGTTGCTTGTTAGCCGGCTGATATCAGACGCGGAGTATGACTGTGACACAAGCACGAAGCAGCTGTCGTGTGTTTTCTCCTGAGGCTGCTCCCGTGATTGCGACTGCACACTCTGCTGCTTCTTTTCTAGCGCAGACCGTATATGACCGGGCATTGCAATATGGCGGCGTCCAACGATCGGTCTGTTGATGTGGCTGTGACCCACAGCCTTCTCTGTGTAGCTTTCCCGTATCGACACAATTCCGAGCAGTATCTGGCAGTAAGTGCATAGTGTTTTACAGTTTATAACGCAGAAGAGAGAAACGAGAGATAACGCAGAAGAGTAACAAAAAATGAAAAGAGAGACACGGACACGCAATGTCGGGGTAATTGCACACGACCTCTGCGAATCGACCTTACACCATGCGCCCAAATCCGATGATCAGAAAATTGGCCAAAACCGAATCTCAAAAACCAACAAGAAAAAATCAATAGGTCTCCAGTTGTCACTATGCTCATCGGCGCCCCGCTGAGCTCTTTTTATCCTTATCCATCCATCCATACACACACATACTTTTGATACCTCGAATTTGTCACCTTAATTCACAACACAGCACAACAATGTCGAACCTGCAAAAAATTGATTTCCAGCCGACAGATACCTGGTACGAGGAGCAGACAAATACTGGGACGGCGTGGCCTCGAGCGTTGACGGGATGCTCGGCGGTCTGGAAGAAGTGCACGGTCCTGATGTGCGTGACTCCTTGGCTTTTATCCAAAAGCTGCGTGCAGACTCTTCGCTCAAAGTGGGCTTGGCCTATGCGTGCGATTGCGGTGCAGGCATCGGCAGGGTGACAAAATACTTTTTGACCACCCAGTTCGACAAGGTCGATCTGGTCGAGCAGAACAGCAAGTTCCTAGACACCGCCGCCACGTCATATTTGAGAGAAGAAAAGGAGTCTGGCAAAGTTGGAGACATGTTCCCAGTTGGTCTGCAAAATTTTACGCCTGCCAATGGCAAATACGACGTGATATGGTGCCAGTGGGTGCTCAGCCACCTGACGACGAAGACTTCGTTGCGTTTCTCAGGCGATGTGCCGGTGGCCTGGCGCCAGGCGGACTTGTCTGTATAAAGGAGAACGTGTCTTCGAATTCGTATGTGATCGATAATGAAGACAGCAGTGTTACAAGAGCGAACTCGATGTTTGAGACTTTATTCAAGGCGGCGGACATGGCTGTTGTTGGCCGCCAAACGCAGACCGGCTTCCCGCAGGGGCTTTTCAAGGTCAATATGTGGGCTTTGCAGCCCAACTAATGTGTCTGTTGTTGGAAATATGCGTTTGCGAGATGATAGATTTGATGTATATTTGAAAGACGATATATAAATTGAAATTTTGATAATGTTTTTTCCCTGCGCTGCAATAACTTAGCCTGCTACTTGCTATAATTTGAAACCTCGCTCGCAGATATGAACTTATTTGATACACTTGCGAAACATCCTAAGCGGCGTCCGCTTCATACGTCGAAGCTGACTCGTACGTCGATGAATAATTATCCACTACCACAGCGGCCGGGTAGTTGTTTGCGCGTAACTGGTCTGATATGACGCAGTTGGTTCTAACATTGGGTCTGGGTAGACGTCAGTCGAGCAAGTCGTTGTGGTGTAGTCGGTCCTACCGGCAATACCCCGTGGATACTGCTGTCACAGATCCATACGGCGTCGTAATGTAGGACGTTGAATACGGCGCTGAGTACAGCGCTGTTGTGTATGTCTCTGCATACGGGGCTGTGGCGTATGGTGCCCGTATGGATTAGGGTAAGGCGCCCCATACGGTGCTGTAGGGAATGGAGTAGCGTAAGGCACTCTGTATACATGAGAGCAAGGCGCCGAGCAGTAGAATACGGATTGTGGATTGTAAACCTGTTGCACTGGACCAACCTGATGCGGGCCATTGGGGAAACAAGGCAAATTACAACAATTGGGGTCTGGGTTGCAGCCAGGATTAATTCCGTAGACCAAATTACCAGCAGAACTCTGGCATGAGCCCCCAGGGCACGCGATAACTACACCCTGCTGGATTCCATACCACTGTATATAACATCCAGTGATAATACCCGGCCCACACTGCTGTGCAAAAGGACGACACCCCTGTAGGTATGCGCAGCCCTCTGAGGGTAAGAGCTGCAGTCTAATGGTACTGTGTAGTAAAATGGGCCACATACTTTTACAGACGAAGTGGGCGTCGGAGTGGAAGAGCATTTGGGAAGTGCAATTGCGGCACTGATGATAATAAAGACAGCATCGGATTTAGACTGGTTTTCGCTATTGCCGGTCGGGTATCAGGCTGTTTGAATCATTGCACTTTGGCCATACAGTAGCATCTGTAGGCAGTTATCCTCAAAATAAATAAACTGCCATCACATGGGCTCTGGCATGTCAACGCCGAGTTGCAATTAGAGGTGCGTCCGACTTGCGCTTGCCCTGAAGCCTCTTGCTTTTAAGCATTTGGCTGTTGCACCATCTCGTGTACCGTGCACCCTGCTCTGCATTTTCTCTGCCATCCCATCGATGCTTTCTTCGGGCCGAGCGCAGCCATAGCCGACAAAAATGGTGCGTTCAAACGCTGAGGCCGCGTGAACAGTCAGAATGACCGTTGCTACCAAGGCTTTCATGGTGTATAGCGTATAGTGCAAATATGTATATGTATATCTATGCTGCTGTATAGTAAATGATTGAAGGCAAAATTTTATAATTTAGTTGGTACTTGGGAGTGACCGCATCCGCCGCGTTATATATGTAAATTATTTTCACCACTGTATTATTTTGACAAGTTGAATATCGGTTACGAAAATAGGTACTTTTCAAATGTGAAGCATTCCATTTGAACCCGCAAAATAAAGCCACATACACGGAATATATAAATTTGAGCAGAATATCATTATTTAGTAATTCGATTTTTAAGGTCCTATTACCAATTATAGCATAAAATCTGCCACAGTTTAGGCACACGGCTATGCATGTTGCCTTACTGAGATTGATTGATTACGCGCGTGGCAATTAGAAATGATGATAGGTTTTATTCTAGCTTATTTATATGCCAGGGAGAACATATAAAAGGTGTGGCTATCGGGCAGCCAGGAATTGTTCTCCTTGGAAGAAATAAATATCCTTTTTGATTTATACCCCTTTGTAACAAATCTGTATATTCATTTTCAGACACAACAGCAAGCTAGTAATGCGGAACGGAGAGTATTATGCAATTGAAGTACCAATTTTTAAAAAATAAAATGTTCTCCGCCATTTCAACCCGCTAATCGTCCCATTTAATACCCTTAATCCCCTATCGAGTGTATAAAACTACACAAAAATAATTGAAATGGTGAGAGGGTAGGCGGAATACTTTATATTTGGATAATCATGTGGAGATGGTTAGAACACAGCAAATGTCAGCGGCACTCGAGTCATGCGTCAGCAAGAAGACGCTCAGATGGAATTGATTGATCGGGTTGTGCTTCTTGATTGGAATGGCGATCAAGACTTCTGCATTGCTGCATGCCATTCTGTGGCAATGGCAGCAATGTCAATTGTCAAGCTTTTCTGTTTTTCGTTTTGCCCTTTATTATTATTTTTCGTAATCTCGTATTTGCTATATTTTAACAGTACTTGAACCATGGGCCTTTGCGACGTAGGTAGAACGACAAGACTCAGTTTAGAATTTGGACGCAGTGTTTTTAATTCATTCCAAATGGGTGCGCACATTCACTAACAGATGATGTCACACAAGTTGGCATCGAATCTCCACGCAAATGTAGGCACCCGAAATTAGAGAGGCGTACGAAGATGTGCGCAACGGTAGGTGCTAAGCAAATGCTTGACTTTCCAACTCGGAATTGTGATGCAAAGACGTATGAGCCATAGTGCTAGTTACACCAATATTAAAACTTAGTGAAATGCATACCATATCATAGACGACACCCAGACGAATTGGATGCTGCTGGAGTTTGATGAAAATAAAAATAATGTACTCAAGGTTGGAAACAAGGGATCAATGGCCTAGACGAACTCAAGAAGCATCTCAAGGATAATTCTGCGGCATTTGGATACATCCGCGTGCCCATGTCCAATGACGAACTGTCCCTGCGGATAAAGTTTGTATTCCTGGTGTGGTGCGGTACTAAGCAGGAATCATGCGCAGGGCAAAACTCAGCGTCCAAAAGGCCGAGGTGACCAATGTCATTAGCAATTCTTCGATCGAAATTGCTGCGTCGGAGCAGGATGATCTGGACGAAAATGAAATAATGCTCATGCTGAAAAAAGCAGGTGGTGCAAACTACGACAGGCAGGCTTCCGACTACTAATAATTGAGTTCTTTTTTAATAAAAACTGCCGTATCTCGGCCACTTATAACATTTTACAGTGAGCACTCAATACACCACCTAATATATTGTATACAAAAAAGTAGAAAAGGACAAGTCTCACTTATTCATCAAGTAAGGGTATTTGTTCTGCAAAAGAATCGACAGTTTGCCATGCCCGCGGATGCGCTCGCAAAATCGTCGGACATGTCCATTAGGCACTTTATGCATTCCGCGAGCAGCGTCAGCTGTTGGTCTGGCATCAGCGAACTGCCCACCATTTCGTACACATTGTCCATAAACGCGGCGTAAGAATGGCACTGAATGCCTTGAATGTGCGGTTCACCAGCACGCCCTGTGCGACACTGGCTGCGGGAGCATATTGATCTCTGACCCGGGGATCGCTGCACCCTGAGCCTCCACATCCCCGCCCGTTGCCAGCCTCACGAGACTTTTGTACTTTGACATCTCAACAACCCACGTCCACAGCGCCACAGTTGCCTCGGCGCGGCAAGTCTTGTTGGAATCGGCAATGCCATGCGCAAAATAAAGCTCAGCTTGCCAGTCAACCAGGCCCAAATACACCTCTACTGACTGAGCAACCTCCCAAGCTCCAACATTGATCTTGTGCAAAATGCACCCAAGGGACGATATGGATACAGACCTCTGAGCGGAACAGTGCTTCGAGACAAATGCAGGAGCTCTGGAATCGTGTAGCCTGGCTTGTCGGGGTCCTCTCCGTGGTGGTGTAGGCCAGCTTGGGTTGGAATCTCTGACTGCTCCTCTGTCATAATCTGGCCGTCGAATGCAAAGCGAACGTGAGATATGGGCCTTGCCAAGAGGTTCTCCTGGTCGTGAGGTTCGTATTGTCATTTCCGGCCATTGCGGCAGCGTCCTTGGCATCCCTATTCCTGTCTTCAGCACAGCATGCTCCATGGGCGATCTTGCCTGGTTGTGACCCAGAATCCACGCGAGTTTGGCCTCCTCGACCATCTCTGAGGGAAAATACTTGCGTTTCATGTCGGTGTAAAACTCGCTGTCAGCACCAGTCTCGTTGTTGTCGACGTCAATAGTACCTACGCCGCGATCCTTGTGACACTGGGTATTTCAGTGCCGGCTCGTCAACCCACTCTGCTGGCGGCGGAGGCGGCGGCAGAGTGGATTTCGGGTCACCAGTCACCGGACCATCCATACTTGAGCCTGGCTCGGCAAACCGAACCTGCTTGGGCAATTTGGCATTATTATTTTCTTCAGGTTCGGCAATGATTTCGCTTTCACTTTCAGTACTGCCACTGCCATGCTTCACATTATCTAAGCCGGTGCTGAGCGCGGTGCCCCCTGCCCAGCCTGCTTTTGCTTTCGCTGCAAGAGCCGCTGGATTAGATCGCTGGAAAGCATGGACTGAACCTCACTCTGCGCCTCGAGAATTTCCTCGGCAGACATGTTCCTAAGTCGATCCTCATTTTCCTGTGAGACTTGATCGCGCATCCCGGCCCAATAAGCACTACCCTGCTTGTCTGCTGCCTGCGTTGCCTAGGCAAAGTCTCATTGGCACTCTCTTCCGACCGCGGGTTTTCGCTTGTAGCGACATCGGTAGATATTTCTGGGAACCCACTTCGCGCAGCTTTAGCTGCGGTGCCACTACCGGATCAACTACAGAATGCTCGGGCACAGGCGCCATTAGCTTGGGCATAAATGTTGCCGCGAGACTGTGGTTATTTGCACTGGCCCCTGGTGTGGTGTACACAGTTCTGTCCATAGCCACCGTCCCTCCGTTCTGGGATTGCTTGGCCAGCCTGCGCTGTGCAAACAGCGAAAGCTTTTTTGGTTCTTCGCGCGGGTGCCCCTCATTTGTGCGCGCCTTGGAAACACTGTCATGTTCGGCCAGGCGCTCCTTGACCTCAAACTCTTTGATGGCGTCGTTCATACGCTGCGCAAAGCCAACATGTCGCCTGTCGGTTCCAAACCATTGTTTCTGCATCCTGGGTGGGCTTAATAACAGGCTCGGCAGGCTTGGCGGTGCGACAATGTCAGAAACCGGTGCTTTTCTGTGCACTGTTTCGACAATCTCTGGTGCCTGGCTGCGACGAATGACCTTTGCTGCCGGCTTGGTTTTACTGCTGAGAAACTCGCGCTCCATTGCCTCCAGGTCATCGTCGCCCGATCCGAAGTCAAAGCGACAGTTGTCTTTCACCCTGTGTGTGTTATAAGTGTCTTCCATGGTAGTGTTTAAAATTTTAATGATAGCGTAATAGGTCAAAATGTGCTGTTTCCTGCAAAAATACACAATGACAAATACCCCAACCCCATGCATTCGAAAAAACGGGTGTTATCACGTGGATTCGAGCGATTTTGTCGAATTGAAAACTGAAAAGCAACAAGTCATCATCACCCGCTCGCTTCGCTCGCTGATGGAGGACAATAGACATAGGCCAAATTCTGCATAAAGTTGTCTCAATCGCTTTTTGTCACCGATCGTGTGAACCGAGTAGGAATCATCAATTTCTCACCAAAGCAGTTAAAGATGATGCGTATGCTTAGTCTTGCGAAACATCTGTTCCAAAACAGCCGTCTGATTTCTGGCTCTGTTTCTTTAGGTAGATGGTCTGCAACATCCAAAGAGAGGTCATGATAGTTGCAACTTGTGTCATGCCATCAAGAATGGAGGTAGCAACGCTTGCAACTGCATTTTGGGCATCTAAAAAGGCAGGTAATAGCAGGCGTGGACAGTGAAATGGTGACTGAAAATTTTGGAAATGAAAAATAGAGAAAGGCAGAAATGATGGTTCCGCCCAATTATTAAATGTAATAGTAAAAGCAAAAAACTACATTTCATCGACATTGGGGTTCGTAATCGACTCTACGATGTACTGCTCGACGCTGGCTGCGGGCTTCCACATGAGTGTCTTAACTCGCCAAGCACACGCTTTGAGAACTGACCATCAACAGAGCTTCCAGTGGTGCCATCATCCTGGGTACACGGCATGTTGGCACTAACGATATCTCTCCAGTGCGCTTCTTTGACAAGCCCCTCGCGCACAGCCTGAGTGATAAACGCGGCGGCAAGCTGGGCAGATACCTCGCGAATGCGCTCGATGCGCGGATACAGCTCATCACCTGCCTTCTCCTCCTCGTTGCGTGAGTTTGCCAGCGCTTTTGCAACAGCATAGAACATTGTGTCGGTGATCCAATCAGGTTTGCAAAGGACAGCGCCGAGTCCGATAGCGGGAACACATACATGTTGTTTCCCTGGCCTGGCATACGAATGTCATCAGTGCCGGGATGGTGTACTCAGGGAACGCTGTGCCCGATGCAAACAGCACGCGGTTATTGGTGTAGCGCATGGCTTCCTCGAACGTGCACTCGGCCTTGGTCTCGGGGTTGGACAGCGGGAAAATGATGGGGCGCGACTGCGCGTTGATCTCGTTCATGCGGCGAAGGATCTTCTCGCTGAACGCGCCGTGGACGGTCGACAGGCCGATGAGTGCCGTCGGCTTGACATACTCGAGCGCATCTTCGAGCGTCCCGCACTGCACATCACCATTGTCATGACGTGCAAAGCGGGATTTCTGCTTGGTCAGAACGTCTCCGCGGTTGCAGTAATCAGGCCGCGTGAGTCAACAAACCAGAACAGCGCGCCCGCCTTGTCTCGAGGCATCTGTGATCTACAACAAAGTAATCGACCAGCTGCCTGGCAACACCGACGCCGGCAGAACCCGCCCCAAAGAAGAGGATACGCTGGTCCTTGGCCGGAATTCCGCCTGCTTGACAGCCGAGATGAAGCCACCGAGGATGACGCACCCGGTGCCCTGGATGTCATCGTTAAAGCACAACATCTTTTGGCGCCATTTATCGAGAAGGCCAAAGGCATGGCTGGTGCTAAAATCTTCGAACTGTACGAGCAACCCTGGGAACTCTCTGTGGAGGCCCTGCAGTACCCTTTCAGTGGCCTCATAGAACTACTTGAGAGAAATAAGAAAAATTGCGGATGCATGTAAGTATTATCAACTGGGAATCTGCATACAATCAGATCAAGAATACTAATACAATGTTTGTTAGCACTTACAGTGTTGTCGTCAGGGCGGCGTTCCCGAGTGCCCAGATACAGCGGGTCATTCAGATACTGCTCGCTGTTGGTGCCAAAATCCAGAACGATCGGCAGAGTGCGCCCAGGATTGAGCCCGGCTGCGGCAACATAGAGCTGAAGCTTGCCGACAGGAATGCCCATGCCGTTGACACCCAGATCGCCCAGCCCGAGAATACGTGATCCGTCCGTAATTACAGTGATCTCGGGGTCGATTGGGTCGGCCATGAGCTGACGGTAGTTACCTATGACCATATCCATGTTTTCAGTGTCGCTCATGTGATAAACAGCCCAATTGACGTCTTGAATGGGTACAGGAATGGATAAATGTGGGAGTAATTTAGACACGCCTCTCCAACAGTCGGTGTGTAGATAATTGGCGCGATATCCTTAAAGTGGTTTAGCACCAGTCGAAAAAACAGGTTGACGTTGAGGCTGCGCAGTGAGGCAAGAAACTCATATTTCTCCAGGCTGGTCGACTTTGACATCAGCTGCTGGTAGGCACGCAGCTCCTGCTTCGAAAAGTTTTCGATGCTTGACGGGACTAGCCCTTGAGGTGAAGAGCTTGGCGCATTTCGATGGGCATGGCTGTTCCGGCTCTGGTACCGATCAACTCCATGGAGTTTCTGCGACTATCGTTGCCATCAGACATTGTAGGAAAATGTGTAAAATATAATGAGTATGTTTATACAGTAGTTTTATGGTGCTGGGGTATTGGTATACGTTTTGTGAATAAAGAGTTAAGAAGAAAACCAAATTGGGAGCCTGGGATTGTGGTTGTATTTATACTTTTCAAAATGGTTTTATCTGTAGCCGCTTGGTTTTATGTAGAACCAAATATTCTGTATTTTTGTCATACATCTGACTGTGCACAGCACCATTTGCTACTGGCCTACTTTCGCAAAGTTAGCTTTGTACAGCTTGACTTGTGTGCAGTGAGACCTAAAGCCAGTCAGACGCAATGCTTTTGTGTTGGTGGTACAAAACCAAAAAATAAGTATATGGATGAAGTAATGCAACACTGTTCTTTTTAAATTTTAATAAATATATATTTATGTAGTTACTATAAGTTTAATGTTCAGAACAAGCGAATTAAGCGGTTAAAACCCGTTTCAGCTCGCTTAGCTCAGTCGGTTAGAGCGACGTGCTAATAACGCGTAGGTCACAGGTTCGACCCCTGTAGTGAGCAATATTTTGTTATTTTGATTTGTGCTATTTTTAAAGTTAAATATTCAGTCTTTTTGCTCCTGAACAATTTTATGTTGTTTTCTTTTGGGTGTTTATTGAACAAGCTACAATTGTAATGATATCTCGCGTCAAAAGTGGTTGGTGACAAGGACAATCTGAAACATATACTTAATTTGTGACCAAAATACGTTTATTTTGCCATGGGCTTTTGGTTATTTAAATAATCCACAAAATATATCGATCCCAGAGACTCTCGGCGTAGAACGCTATTAACTTGAAAAATTGCTGTTCCGGAACAACATCGGCACGAATGTCACCTTGCCATTTGCCCACGCAACAGTCAGCAATGCCCCCGGTTCGAAATTTGGCGCAAAGCCAAACCACGATGGTATCGGAAGCCCAAGGCGCACCCGCTTTTTATTTGTAGCCTTGTCCTGCTTTGCCACGGGTGGGGTCGAGAGTTCATCTGAACTTGTTGCCTCTTGCGGGTGTTGTTTGCCCCAGTTCGGCCCACGGATATAGCCAAGAGGCATGAGCGCACTGGTGTCGCCGCCGGCGCGGAAGAGCGCCTGTGAGTTGACGAGGTAGACTGCGAGAAGGAGATGTCTGATGATGCCGATCATCGTCAAAGCCGACTACCAATCGCTGGCCTTTTGAATCCAGCGCAAGCGACTTAATGGCACCGCCTACCGAATGCGCTCAGAGTCCTCGCTGCCATCAGAAGTGGCTGTGGCGTGCGCCAAGAACGACGAGGCCACTGTGATCTCTGCATCAAGCGAGGGTGCGGGCTTGTAGAGCGCAGTGCGTATATTTCGGAGCTTTTGCCAACCGCAAAAAACAGCGACCGCGAGTCTGGCGACCAGGCAAACCGGCTAATGTTCCGTGGAAGTCAGACCACACGCGCGAAGTCCAGCTTTCTGTCTCCCAAAGACGCAGCTGTCCGTTTGCGTGCGTCGACACTAGGTGGCGCCCATTGGGGCTTATCTCTACCTGCAGGGCAGCCGATCTGCTGCTGCTTCCAGAGCGCTTCAGCGGTGTGGCTGTGCCCAATGCGACGTCCCAAACTGTCAAATGCCCATGTGACTGGTGGCCGGTAATCAGCCACTGGCCGCTGGGGCTGAACGTCAGGGCAGAGACGCTTGCGCTGGAGCGGTGGAAGGCCGTCTTGTCGGCATGTGCAAGCCGCGATGGGTATTGGTACTGAGCAGCAAGCGGTGGGAATGCCATCAATGTCATCCACGACGAAAACTGCATCGACCCCAAGCTCGGCGCACTGAGCGGATTTGCTGAAGGCTGTACGTTTGCTGAAGGAATTATTCCCCACAGACAGACGCCCGTCGAGCAGCCCACTGCCAGCGTATAGCCACAGTTCGGCTGCCAGGCCATGGATGTTATTCCCTGCATGTACGCATTTTGCAGCACGTTGGGGCACCAGGTGCCGCTCCCCATGTCGTACAGAAAGATCGTGTTACTAGCACGGTGCGCGATGGCCACCAGCGACCGGTGTGGGTGCCAGGCTATGCAGCTGATCGGGCCCTCCGACTTGGCTAGCATGTTCCTCTTCCCCTCCTCCTCCTCAACCTCCATCGCGTCTGCCCTCGCTGCTGACGCTGTTCCAGGCACTTGTCCAAATACAGCCGATGCCAGCGGCCCTGGCAGCCAGCTCTCGGCCACTAGCAATGACCGTGTCTGCATGTAGTTAATAAGGTCGGATGCATTCTCTTTAGCATTCCACAGCCACAGCGCATGCGATGCATGGTTGAAAGCGCCGATTTGGCTCTGGCCTGGCCCTTATCTTGACGAGCCGTGCTCTCGGAATCAGACGACTGCTGCTCTGTTTGTCTGCGCACAACCGAATCGCCGCCAACAGCATCTTTAAGTACAGAACGCGGTATGGGCTGTTTTGCGGAGCTGGAGAACTTCCGGAATCATAATATGAGGGAATGCAATGCCGCCGTTGCGCACATACTGCAGCAAACCGTGTCTTGGCTGTCACGCAGATGTATAAATTTCAAATCTGTTTCGCCAACCGTCACTGATTCCTTGGATGGGGGGCGAATCCCCCTCTCTTCGAATGTCGAAACCACTCTATACGCGCTCATTGAACAATTGAGAAAAAATATAAATGTAAATAAAATAAAGCATGATTGGAAATCTGAATGGGTTTGAAAATTAAAGTCGCGTTTGTAGATTTTCAAACCCCCAAATGGCAAACAAAATGGTTATTCGTGTTTGATCAAATCACAGTAATCTCTATCAACCAATATTAAATAGCGTATTGCTGATTATATTCACTCACCTGTTTTGTCTACTGGGTTTTTTTGCCGCATATTCCACACTTGGTATGTAGAAAATCAGCTAAAAATGTGCTACTATCATTTAAACCGCAATAATTACATATTTACCCCACACAAAGTACTTGCACTATAGAATACGCATTTAATCACAACTATTTGTTAGCCATAGAATGTAACGGTCTACATCTGCATACTTGGGTTCACCATTACTGTCTGAGGGGATAAAGAGCGACAACATTTGCAAATATTTGCAAAAAATCCAAGTTGAAACAAATTCTTGTTTGAACTTATTGCTGCGGGTATCACCATGCCCTTGTACCTTTATCACAAATTTTATCTTTAACCCTGCAAACTAACGCAACCATATTTTTTTATATTTCATACCCACCTATCGACCTATCTACCTATTTACGACATCAATTAATTTTTGAATGAGACAACTAGCTCTGGTTGTCTTGTTGATTGTGTGTAGCGTGCTATGCGCCCGCGCACGGGAGTTTAACATTAACTGCAACTCAAACCTGGTCATGTACTGGGGCCAAAACAGTCACGGCGCCACAAGCCCCGGCGAAAACCAGCTCCCACTCGACGAGTACTGTGACAAAGAAGCCGGTGACATGCTGGTTTTGTCTTTTCTTTCAGAGTTTAACGCCGATGGCCTGCACCCGCCCATTCTGAACCTGGCAAACTCGTGCCTAACTACATTTGACAACTCGACGTTGCTACACTGCCCCAACATTGGCAAGGCCATCGAGAAATGCCAGAAAAGGGGCAAGGCGGTCATACTTTCCTTGGGCGGTGCCAGCGGCGCATACGGTTTTACTAGCGAGGTGCAGGCAGAGAGATATGCGGACAAAATTTGGGACATGTTCCTCGGCGGCACCGCGCAATACCGTCCGTTTAACGGAGCAGTGCTGGACGGCATTGACCTGGACATCGAGGGTGGCTCATCTATTGGTTATGTTCGTTTTGTCCAGCGGTTGAGGGAGAGATTCATTGAGTCGCCTGGAAGACGTTTCTACGTGACAGCTGCACCCCAATGCCCGTATCCAGACTTTTATTCGGGCCCGATATTAGATAACGCTTATCTGGACATGGTGTTTGTGCAGTTCTACAACAACTACTGCGGCGTGGACAAGCCCAATTGGTTCAACTTTGAGCAGTGGCATGAGTGGGCCACTACAGTTTCGGCCAACAAAGATGTGCGTGTTTACCTCGGTGTTCCCGGCTCGCCGTTGGCCGCCAGCACTGGTTACATGCCGCTGGACAGATTGGAGGGCTTGTCAACGCGACCCGGGAAAAGTTCAACACGTTTGGTGGTATGATGGTCTGGGATGCTTCGCAGGCGGATACCAACACGGTCACCCGGACATCACGTTTGTCGATTTGGCAAAGAGGCTGCTGGATTCTGACAAAAAGTGCACCGATGGCTCATTCCAGACCGAAGCCGCTACCCTGACAACAACAAAGAACCAACGGTCCACGTCAAGACGCTCAGGGAGAAGAAAAACACTGGGTCCAAGGTTGCTGACCGCGCTCCTCCCACGTCGTTGGGCACCGTTCTAGCACTACAAGCAGTCCTATCCAGACTTGTACGATCACAAACTTGCCAAAATTGGCGACAAGATGGTGGCTCTTATTGGCGGCAAAAACATGGTGACTGATGTGGCCCGAAACGCAGCTGGTAAAATAACGGATATCAGCCAGCAGTCGGACCAGAGATGCAGCCGCAAAGTGAGTGGTATGACACTCAGGCAGATCACTCGTGTAGCGACAGGCTCTATTTCAAATGATGGCGAGGGTATCGACCCGAAAGCGATTCCTCTACCACCACCGATAGTGCCGACAGTGAGGACTCTCCGGTTGAAGAGGTTGCAGAAAATACAGATCTGACTAATGACATAGTCAAAGATTCCTCTAAGGGTTTGAGACAGATCCACTGAGCCCCAGGAGACAACATTAGAAGAGAGTGCCGAAGATAGCACAGAAACAACCCCCGAGGACAACAACGAGACCACCACCATGGAGACGACTAAGCTGCTGTTTGCTACCATTACCAAGACACGCAAGGTTCATATTGTGACACAGCACGTCACCAAACGTGTCAGAAAACCACCCGGCAATGGTGCCTTGAATTTGCTCACCGATTGCAGCACAACCACCACAAACAAGACCTTTCCATTGTCACTCCAACATTCCAGTTACCCATCGCGCGCTGCCCGCGGGCTGACCAGCCTTGCATTGGTGCTGGGTTTGCTTGCAACGGTTACGAGTTTGGCCAGTGCGTAAACAACCGCTGGCTAATGCGGCCGTGTAGCACTGACCGTGTTACCTCGTGCTTCAACGCGGGCCCTGATCTCGTAGCATGCGACTTCCCCAAGGGCCGTTCACTGCAAGTGTGCGATGACATTTTATCACCGCTTCCCTACGGCCGATTTGCATCCAACGTTCTTTTTCTGCGTGCCTCGGACCAAGAGCGCGCGCTCAATACCCCGGTATACCCAGTTCCTTCTGGCCCCGTAAGCACAACTACCCACGCCAAGAAGAAGAAAAAAAGAGAAAGGACAACGACGACGAGTCAAACAGCGAGTCGGAAGACGAGAATGACGAGTACATCTACAACAAATACGGCGAGAAACAAAAGAAAACTGCGACGCCTACGGTTACCGACATGGAGCTTATTAAGAAATCGTCGGGAGTCAACCTCATTGACGACCACAACCGCCGCGAGGATCCAGCCATGCTCATGGTCAAGACCCGGCAGCCTACTTTGGACCAGACGGCCATGTGCGAGTGGTTACTGGAAACATTGTTGACGATCTGTGCAAACATAACAAATTTGGAATAGCAAATAAGCCCTACGATGAAAATCCGCCTGTGAATGACCCCGAGGAGGCCGACGAGTATAGCGACAACCAAGATTTATGCGCAAGCGTGACTTGGGCGCTTGGACAAGATCCAACAGTTTGCAGCTAGCTCGGCGCCACAGGGAATTTTGCCTACTGCGCCAGCCTCCGAGTGCAGTGCGCATGCAGGCGCCCTTTCCAAGCGCGATGTCAGTGACATTACTGGCGCATCAGTCTCCATGGCACACATCGGTAAAAAGCCCTGGCGCTCGCAAGTCGAGGACTTTTATACTATCTACGCGCTGTACTCGGCATTCTCAGGAATTTCCAATGACATGACCCGCCAGCAGTTTGAACGTGTTATTACTGATCATATTGATGGTGATTTCCTTGTCCCACCTAGTATGATGTCTCTGGCGGGCCGCCCGCTGCTTGCTCGGTTTACATTTGTCCCCTGCGCGGCGAGGATGACGACTTTAAGCACTACCTTTCAAAGGACGGCCAGGTTGAGGAGGATATTCTGGTAACTGTGCGGATGCTGACCAATATCCGATTCCAAAGCGCTGGCGCGTTGCTCTGCCTCTGCCTCTTAATGCCACCATGCTACACACTAGCCGAGGATTATTTTACGCTGATGACCGGGTGTCTGCCGAGGTTAAATCCATGTATATGCAGCGCGTTGCCTTCTACAACGATAACATCCGCTTGAACACCAACAAGAAGCAGTCCGGTCCCGAGTTTCAGCGACTTGAAGATTTGGCAGCGGGCCACAGTTCTAACGCAACGGACGCCACCAACCGGGAGTTTACCGATGGTCCAAACTATGACAGTATTCGGCGAAACTTGATTTCTCCATCCGTGATGATGCATATTCTCCACAAGAGCCAATACCCCTCCAGAGTTCCTCGACGAGCCAGTTCCTAACGACCCTGCTGGTCGCCTGTACGAGGTGCGCTCCGACCCCGATAACGAGAAAAGCAACAACATGGCAATATCCTTTATCATTCGCGTGAAAACACACGCTGAACCTGGAAGGCACGTTATTAGCACGTTGCCGCACCCAATATTGAGCTTCATTTCCACATACTAGTTTTTTTTGAATATTTCAATTGATAACTTTAATTAAATCAACACAAACCAATTTTTTGATGAAGATTAAAGGCATATATTTTATTCCGATTAATTTATAAATACGAATAGCGCGCTGCTGCCAGACATGAAAATATAGACAATTTATATGATGTTTCATATTTTAATTGCAGATTTAACCGATCATATGCCTGTTTTAAATTTTAAAACAAACCATCCCCCCCCCACTTTTTCCACGTTAATGTGAAATAGGGTATATAAAACGACCTCGGACGAACTTCGATAAACCAAAATGGTTAAATAAAAATGATTAAATGTTACAACTCTTCAGCTAGATGCCTGAAAAAACATTTTTATTTACATTTTGCATTCGCATATTTTCTTTATATTTACTTTTGCAATATTTATGACTCCCCTGCTTTCTATAACATTATTTTTCCTAATCTGTGGGGCAGTCTCTCAGACTTTCTCTTTTGTTTCTAGCATTATCATTGCTACAGACACCACCCGTATCCGGTATGTGGCTGGCAACGAGCTGTACCTAATGTGGGTATCCTTGGCAGGAATATTGACTACGTGGTGTGTTGGTCACATTTCGGTTAGCGCGTATCGAGAACGCAGTGACAAGTTGCATCATAAGGCAGGAATCAACTGGCTTCCAATTGGTGCCAAACCACAGATTGCTCTTTGGGCCACTTATATAATTTGTCTGGCATTGCTTGCTGCAACAACGTCGGCTTTGCTTTACGACCAACAAACCTCCGAGCAGTTTACATGGATCAGTATCAGCTATCTGGCGCCAGTAATCTCGGCCTTTACTGCATTACCAAAACTGGGCCAAAGGCTTTGCCAAGCGACGACACGACAGGGCGGCCACACCACTGGGATAATTGATGACTGTTCGTCGACCTTTTCTTTAGCAACTACAATGAGCGTGCGGTGCCCACAAAGTCCGGGAAATGAATCGATCATCAGCGAGCAGAGCGGCGCCAGCGACAACACAAAGTGCACGGGTATCTCGAAATTTTCACGGGATGAATATAAAGCAGCAAACCCCCCGTCGCTGTACAGTGGACACTTACCATATCATCGTAATGACCGTGTGCCTCGCTGTAAGCTTGAGCACCTAATGTCCCCTATTTTTTACGTGCTTGAGTGCAGAGTATTGGCTGTATTTGCCGCCATGCTGTCAATCGCCATGTACTCCATACTCTGCCACGCAGCTCTTCAACAGCGCCAGCACACTAAAAACGCACCCGCCAGCTATGCTACACTTGTATCTGCAGTGGCTACGTTTCCAGACAACATAGACCGCACCGTTCGCCTGTCAATTAGTTGCAAGGGTGTGATGCCGCCGGAGTTTATAACGGCCGAAAACACAGTACCCCAGAAGGCTACGATTGTCATCGAACATATGACTGGCTATCCTTCGCTTGTCAGCAGATCGATCCAGAAAGCGCTCGTTGATCAAAGCCATCGCGTCTGCATCTACGACAGACCTGGGTACATGCTCACCCCGCAGGGCTATTCGCCGATTCCCCCATCCTCGGTGGAGCAAGCCCTTTTAAGCGCGCTTAAAAATTCGGGGGAAAGGGGGCCGTTTTATGTTGTCGGGCACCACTCAGGATCAGAGAATGCACAGCTATTTGTGAAAGAAAACCGCGGCTTCGTTGTTGGGATGGCACTCATTTACCCGACAGATATCGCACTCCAGGGGCTGCTTTCAGCGGAGCTTGGGTCTGTTAACAGGACTGCCATATCGCAGGCCATTGGCAACAGCAACTCATTGCTACTGGATACATCTAGCTCTGTTTTTTACCTCAACTACCAGCGGGCGCTCGCATCATTGGGAATATGGTCAACTGAGATTCCAATAGTAGCTAACCCCGATAATAGTAGCGATGCAGCAATCGAATGGGCACTAGAAAGTCCCAATCTAGCGCAGGCACAATACTTTGAAAAATCACAGCGGCACATCCTCAGTGAAGCTATACTCCGCACAGACGAGATGGTATACAATAATGCTACAATCCCAGTAATCATCTTTGGAGCCGGTACTAGCAATGCCGCCCAAGCCAAATATCTGTCGGCCATTAGTAAGAATTACGCAGTCGAAATATCGAACTTCAAGGAAAACCAGCCGCTTGCTCTGAATAATGTTGCACGGCAGATTTCTTGGCATATCTCTCGTCTAATTTAAACTTGACATATTATTTTTGAATCTGTTCATTGAAATTAATTTTTATATTATTATATTAAAAACCAGTCTGGGCGAGGCGTGGGCGAGGATAAAAGTGCACTGACAGCGGGTGTCGATGCCGATAAAGTTGTCGAGAAGACACCAGCAATGGCAGTTGTTTGCAGGATACAGTCAACACAATTGCAAGCTAGGATACGGTGCAGCTCACACACGGGCGACCAGACACGCCAGCTCCAGAAAACCGATGTGTGCATTGTATGGTCACCCGGTCAATGTTGTTGGTTTTGCTGTTGATGCAATCTGCTTTTTTCTTGTCCAAAGTGTTGTTGACGCTGCTAACACTTCTGCTTTTGTCTACAAAGCAAACATTGCAAGCAGTGTTGCCCAACATATATCTGCTTCGCATCACCCCCAGTTGTAACCAAGTTGGAAAAATGGATGCGATATTGAGTCGCGCAGCACAAGCAGTATCTGGATCATAATGCACGCAATTAGGCCCAGGTCTGGAGAATTCCCAATCTCGCCGCCCCTAGAATAATTTTCGTTATAGTGGCATGGAGTCAGGTCTGCAATGGTGCCCATGACAGGAAAGGTGGCACGGTAGAAAACCAGTATTATCATCAACTTTAGTTTTTGTCTTTTGCTTGGCTTTATGGCTCGCTCAATGTATGTATTTTATCTCTCTGTGTGTGTATCATAATCTGCGGTGCTTCTGCATTTTATCATTATTTTCTGGTGCTATTCGCAGCTCAGTTATCGCCATCAAGCGGAAATTCGGTGCTGTGGCATGCAACAAACCGATATTATACAAGCTGCACTGCACTTGCGTTTACACTGCACTGCACTCAACGGGATGCCGTAATGATTGCAAATGCAAATGCAATTGCAGATGCAAACATACTTCTGCTTTTGGTATAATTGCGCGGAAACATCACATCCATGCATTTAATAATATAAAGCAGCTGCGCAAATGTTTGCCAGCAAGTGAAAAGGACTGGCAACCCTCCCAACACAGGGATGCAGTAGCTAAATTATGCAGTTTCGTTGGCCAGTGAGCAAAAGTTGCCAGGACAGGACAAATAGCCACGACGTCGCACAGGACGGGTTGGGGGTGGGCGACGACTGAGCAGAAATACAGCCCGACAGCATTGCAACTGGCGAGGAAACAATACCTGTTATTTGGAGCAGGCATGCGCAGAATTTTTATCGTTTCACCTGCGCCATTATTTTGAGCCAAAATATCTAATGTGTGCTGGTTTGAGAAAACACCCGCATCACCCATTGTTGCTAGAAGAGCAGCACCCGCCAAGCGCGAGGTGGCTGAGCACGACAGCAAGCATAATGCTGAATCCTGGTATGCAAAAGAAACAAAAATGGAAGCAACACACTTGAAAAGAAAAGAATAACAGATAACGCAGGCCAAATTGGAAGAAGTGTCATGGGTGAAATTGCAAAAAAAATAAAGCGGCAAAAACAAGCATCACAAAAGTAATTGGAATCGCTCTCGGCTAGGATCGAACTAACAACCTCCCGATTAACAGTCGGACGCGCTAACCAGTTGCGCCACGAAAGCAATGAGCCAATTATATCTCGTTGAAAACATGTTTTCTAAAAGTGTATCTAACTACCCCCACTTTCTTTTTTACAAAGAACCGCGCATAAAGCCTCTTTTGGCCGTTTTGTCTTTGCATGCTAAATAAATTGCGTGTAAACGGCCATTAGACTTGATTGCTCGTGCATTAATTAGGTTTTATTAATTTAGATAGCAGCGATATTCGCCATACAAGTACTCCGGTTGTGTCGATCATTGATATTTATATATAAATATTATATAGTTGATATTGTTATGTAAGAGGGGGGTGGGGAGCACTACTGTAATAATGTTAAAGAATGGGTGTGAAATTATAAAGGGTTTTATTACTAGTGTTTCTAAAGTGCTATTATCGCCGGCCTCGCCTTATATATATCTCCTTGTATTTGTGGCACTCACTGGCAGTTGTGTGCTCTGTTCGCGAGAATTGGCCCTTATCAAAATAACCCGGCTCTCTGATATGGCATGTCTGTATTCTTGCGCCCAGCACATCCATTTCAGGACAGGCAGTATGTCTGGATGTCAATTGTGGCGCCTAATTTGATCCCCTGTAATTTGGCCTATATAAGATCCATCTGTGAGCTGACGAGAGTCTGTCTCATGATTTTCGCCCTCAGCGTCTACCTCCATATCCTCGGGCTGCGTAACAATATATTTCTTATCTTTATTAAAATACAATGCAGAGACTAAGAAAAAACTAAAAAAAATATAAACATTTTGCTGCATAACGCGCCCATTTTTAATTTTGCTGTATTTTTAGGTGGTATTGACAAGTTGGTGCTGCGTTGATGCGTCTGACACGTGAAAATACGGCCATTTGTTTTGTTCTAGAGTGAACAATTTAGCCCGAGTTCGGTTCTTTGCCACTGCATAGAGGGCATGTGCATACCCGGTCGTTGTGGCAGTTAACGTAAGGAGAAGCGGTCTGGGAGGGAGTAACCATTGCTGATAAGTGTCGTGTGTATATTGAGGTTTTGATGGGGGGGGGGGGGGGGTGAACGTGAGTGCAGGATTTGTGACCAAGATGATGAAATTGTATTCAGGGTTGTAGCTGTAATTGTATGAATGATGCCAGGAAGTTTGTACTGGGCGGGAGTTAGCTCCGCTTTTATATGTCTCCAATGCTACGCATAAATTACCTTTTTGCACATTTTTAGTGTTGTTCTGGTTTATGTTTATGCGCCTGCAATAATTACAATTTTGTAAATCACTGCAGACGTATGCTTTTTTAGGGAGTAAAATTTTTTTCAAACTTGCACGCTATAATAGCAGCAGATTTGCATAGACTCAACCGGATTATTTGGTCTTTTCCCAACTGTGCATCTGTTTTGGCACTTAAATTAATTGGCTCGTTGGGGGATATTAATTTAGAGTGCATGCATCCACATCTGATATGATAATGCGGACGTCAAAAGCACTGAGAAAAGAATTCCTGTTTGTACCCGTGTTCGCATGAATTCACTATTACCAAAAGCAGCAGTTTGTTACACAGGCATAGTTTGGACTAACGCATCACTGACTGTTATGATCACTATAAATGTATGTGTTGGTTGTTTTGTGCAGATGTTTAATGATTTGTTGAGTAATTGAAAAAGTGCAATTACACATCAGACGTTGGGGGCTGACAAACTAAGACAGGATCAGACTTGTTTTGTTTTTGGATGCGATATGTGTGATTACTTTCGGGCAAGAGAAGACACGCGAGCGACACCAAAAAACAAAAGCCACATTTGTGCTGGGAACGTCTCAACTGCATCTCGACATCAGTTTATGGTGTCCGGGAATCTTGGAAACATTGGGGATGCAGATGGCAGATCCCCATCCCAGTTTGGCCATATTAAGCAAGCGAGCTGCGCATCGAAGGAGTATGCGCCATGCATGCACTTTGCACCCTTGCTGACGCTTGCAAATACAGCCGGATAACCCGTGATGGTTCACCAAAAAAGGATGGTTTAAATTATGATTTTGGTCTGATTAGAACTAAGAAAATAGCTAATTGAAATTACTGACAAATGCGAGATGAACATTGGGGACTCTGTATTAAGCACGCTCCCCAACATACTATCAATTAATTAATCAACCGGATATGAAATATCGGTGTAAACGGTGAGAAGGGCAGCAGTCTAACATCTGGTACTCAGACTATTTAGTGGCAAAAGTGGATGTCTAAAATAACAGGCTATTTTTATTTGCGGCAAGCATTGAGTGATGCAAATATTTTTAGAGCCGAGCAAGCAAGCCAGGACATGAGATTTAATAAAAAAAGCCCTAGAGCAGAAGAACAGGATAAAATTAATCAAATTAAAGCACCACCAAATATATGTATGCTATATGAAAAATTGCAGAACACACAAAAAAGGCATCAATTACTTTTTTGGCTTATTTTTCAACTTTTCAACAATGGTCAAGATTGTGTCATCATCTATGCGACCTACAATCACATCAAAAAGATTACTGAGTCCATAGTTAAGGGTCTTGAAAAGACCGATATCATGGTCTGCCGCTGCTAGATTGTCGAGGCATTGCCCAAGGATATTCTGACCAAGATGTACGCGCCCCCAAAGTCTAACCTGTTCACCATTGTGGTCAGCCAGCTACAGGAGGTCAACAGCTATCTTTTTGGTTTCCCCACTAGATACAGCACCGCGTCGGCCCAGGTCAGGGCTTTTTTGGCTCTATCAACCAGCTCTGGACTAAACAGATTCTCTTGGGCAAGCCGCCGGCCTTTTTCAGTATGGTAGCCAGGAGGTCACGGTCTTCATGTCCCTGCCTATTCTTGCCGACCACGTCATTATCTTCATTCCCTTACTTATGCTTACCTTCACTTGTCCAATAGTAGCAAGGTTATTGGTGTATCTGCCTGGGGCGTTGGTACCATTGCCAACGGCGATGGCTTGCACCAGCCCTCCGAGAACGAACTCGCTATTTTTGAGGCTCAGGGAATGAGCTTCGCCAAGGTCACTACCAAGCTGGCCGCACTTAAGTTTTGTAATTTTTTTTCTGTATACTAGTATTTTTTGTTGTTTTACACTCGGCTGTTTATATTTAAATAAAAAGGGTTGCTTGAAATTCAATTTTACTATGCCAAAAAAGTAGTTTCCCAGACTCTCTACAAGTAGCGCACGCGGAAAAACAAACTATTTTCGCGGTGCGTTAATTTTTGTTACTTGGTTGTTAATTGAACATGATAAATTGTTGATGTCGAATTTTCCAGATTCATTTTTTACCTTTTTTAAATTGTCTTACTTTGTTTTAAAATGCTGTGTTATGTTCAACCTGTACTTTCAGTTGCGAGAAATGCCGCCGGACACAAAACAAAGCAAAGCAAACCCCTAATTGAGCCAACAAAACACAAGCATAAAGCGGAAACCCCCGAGTGTGCACTTTTTCTACAGTTGCTGTCAGACCGATTGTCGTGCGTCATACGGCTGTAACCCCTAGATTATAGCCAAATATCGAGCCTATACTATATACGCTATAACTAGAATATATCGCAATCATAAATATTATCATGCAAAAAACAACCGCAAAAGGCATCCTCAAAACCTCCCTTTTCTCTCGCGAATCCCGGCTCGACATAACCATCCAAAGCAGATTACAAGTCACACACAATCAACTGTCTAAACTAACGCACCATGCTGCCAGCAGAACAGTTTTTTTATTCCCTTCAAAAAGCTTAGGTTTTTACTCCACCGAGGGCCTGTGGTAGGGAAATACTTAATAACAACTGCAAAAAAGCCGGGGTTCGCCACCAGACCTCACAACCTCGGCGTTTTAAGCAAATATCTTCAAGCTGGGCTGCGAAACCCCCGCTGGGCTTTCACACCAGCAGCTGCAGCCACAAATAAAGCAAGTGTCATATTGGCCTCACATTCATCTATCCAGCTAAAATTCTCTATTCAACACAAAAGCAGTCACTCCACGCCACAGATATGCTAAATTACATGCACTCTAATTGGGGTATGTCCACCAACCTCGCAGCACGCACGACTAAGCCCAGCTGCCCCCTCCCACCAGCCACGCTGGCCAAGCACGCGAAATGCTGAGAAGGATTGCCAAGCCCAGGGCGCACTGAGAGATAAAGCAAATGTGATAAACATAAGCAACCATGGCATAACAGCATGAAGACAGTATGGAAAAAGAATTGAGAATTAACCAATATTGGCACCATAAAAAGCTTACTGTCCAAAAAATTACAACACCTTTCAGGATAAACGGGGGGTGTTAATGAAGACAGCTGATAGCATGTCATTGCGTTAGTAGACAATCAAAAGCATGTGGCAAACCCACCGTGAATAACACCAACAAACAGGCATTCGGTCATATAAGAAGAGAAACAGTCGAGGCGGCCCTCAAAAAAAGGAAAAGGAAAAGGAAAGAAGCTGAAAAATGTCGCCTTTTATTGTGTGGCCATGGCGTGACTTACGACATAAAACTTTCCCTTATTTCTCTTTTTCTCCTTTATTCCATTCCATTTATTTCCATTTGCTTCTCACCACTCGTACCCTGACCCTTACCCACTTTGGTTTGAAGAGAAAATAGCACAAAGCAACGTGCAAATAATGTTTACATGTGAACAAATATGCGCGCATAGCCAAATCAAGCCGCACAGCCTACCTTTTCCAAAAATAAAAAAGAACCTTATGCACAGTTGGCCAGCATTGTTTATCCGGGACACAGTGAGCGGCTTCAATAGAGTCAATTATTTGCATACCACGGAAATTCTAATAGACATTTGGAGTGTAAATGAGTGTGCCTTTTGCACATATCACTACAAGTTGCAAATTGGGGGTTTGCAAATGTTCTAAGCAAACAAGTTTTAATAGTGCATTCAGTGGCAGACAATAAAATACTAATGTTTTGAATGTGTTTTGTTATTTATAAAACAAGTTAAATAAGCACGTGCAATGTTAGCCAAAGAGCCATAAAAGGCAAGCATCTACTTGAAGTTATAAACTCCATTTTTTGTTCCACGGGAGCTTCGGCACACCGATCCAAAGGCCCTATAAATCGAAGCAAACATTCGGTTTTTTGTTTATTTGTTTATTCTATTACACTTTGCCAACATGGACAACAACAGCGACAGCGAACACAGCAGCGGTCACGGCCACGGGCACAGTGGTGGTCACGGCCACGGTCATGGTCATGCACATGGCCATGGTCACAGCCATGAGCATGGGGGTTGCAGCGGCGACCACGGTGACCCAGATCTTGCAGGTGCAGCCAGTAACCAGGGAGAAGACGAGGCCAAGGCGTTGTCCGAGGTGATCGCAGCGTTTTTGTTCTACAAGCAATACACTGTGAATGGCGGTATTTACCGCCGGCTGCACCACCTTGACAACCTGTCCGAGCGGCATCGCAGCATCGTTTCGTCGGTGGGAACGATAGACAAGATCAAGAACGCCGAGAAACTGGTCCGTGAGAACCAACAGTTCCTGCTGAGCCTTGTGCATGCTAGCACGGTTGACTCCATGCCTGATCCGGCGGACAGCGAGAGCGGGTTCAAGCTGTGGTCCAAGAGGTTTTTCGAGTTCAGAGAAAAATCGGGCAAGTCGCCGGTGGCAGACCAGCATATGGACAAAGTGTACAGTGTGCTGAAGCAGTTTGTGCGAGACTGGTCGGAAGAGGGCAAGGAGGAGCGGGAGCAGACGTACGGGCCGCTGCTGGAGTCGCTGGAGAGTGAGTTTGCGCAAGTGCCTCCCGAGTCTCGCGGCGACCTGCGAGTTTTGGTTCCCGGCGCGGGGCTCGGGCGGCTGGCGTACGAGATCTGCTGCCGCGGGTTCAGCAGCCAGGGCAACGAGTTTTCGTTCTTCATGCTGTTTGCGTCAAACTTTATCCTCAACAGTTCCGAGCAGGTTGGGCAGTACATGATCTACCCCTTTGTGCACCAGTTCTCTAACGTGGTGCGCGCCGAGGACCAGCTGCGCGCGGTGCAGATTCCGGACGTTCTGCCCAGCAAGCTGCCATTCCCACAGAGCGCCGAGTTTTCCATGACTGCTGGCGACTTTATCGAGGTCTACAGCGGCGACGAGGAGAAGGAGCAGTGGGACGCTGTCGTCACCTGCTTCTTCATGGACACGGCGAAGAATGTGTTGGACTATCTGGATGTGGTGTGGAATGTCATGAAGCCCGGTGCAGTGTGGATCAACCTGGGCCCGCTGCTGTGGCACTTTGAGAATGTCGCCGACGAGTCGTCGATTGAGTTTACGCGCGACGAGTTTGTCGATATTGTCAAGCGGTTTGGGTTCGAGTGGGATGAGCAGCAGTTCAAGGAGTGCGTGCCAACATCATACACAGCCAACGGCAGGGGCATGCTGCAGTACACGTACCGCAGCTTTATGAGCGTTGCGCGCAAGCCCAGGTGACAATGTATGAGTATATGAGTATGTCTATATTGCTGCTAAAACTAATAGACAAAATAGCGATGGCGCATGCCTTGGCATTAAAGTAGTTAAAAAAGGTGGAAATTTGTGGGCTTAGCGCTTCTTGGAGGTGATGCGGCTGACAGCGCTCTTGACGGCATGGGCGCACTTCTCAATCTCCTTGCGCGTGTGTGCCGACGAGACGCAGATGCGGATGCTCGAGTTAGGTAGGAGGCGCTCGTGCTCGTCGACGTACTTGGCCGGGGTGAGGAGCACGCCGTCCTTCTGGGCCTCCTCGACCAGCTCGGCGAGCACGCGGTCAATGTCGGTCTTGGTCCAGGCGCCGCCCGAGCGCTTCATGCGCACAAGCGTCTCGGGGGTCAGTCTGATGTGGATCAGCGGGCTTTCAGGGTCGCCGTCGACCTGGAGGCCAGGGATGCGCTTGAGCAGCGAGCGCATGAGGGCGGTGTTCTCGTGCATGTTGGGCAGGTAGGTGTCGGGGCTGGCCTCCAGGGCCTGGATGGCGTCAGCGGCGGCAACAGTCAGAATTCCGGGCATGGACGCCGAGTAGCAGTAGCCCAGGCCCGAGAGGCGCTGGTGCTCGATGAGGTCCTTGTCGGCGCAGCAGAAACCGCCCGAGGCGCCGATGGAGTTGCAAAGCGAGCCGATCAGCAGGTCAACCTCGTGCGGGTCGACGTTAGAGTGGTCGGTAAGCCCGGCACCGCGCTTGCCAAGCACGCCAAACGAGTAGGCCTCGTCGAGGATGATGCGGAACTTGTAGCGGTGCTTCAACTCGACGAGGTCCTTGAGCGGCGTGATGTCTCCAGTGTTCTGGAAGAGACCCTCGTGATGATGAACTTGCGGGGCAGCACGTTCTTAGCGCCGCGGCCGTGCAGCTGCTTGTTGACGTCCTTGAGGATGCGCTCGAGGTCAGCCATGTCGTTGTGCTTGTACCAGTAGACCTTGCTGCGCGAGAGCATGATCGCCTGTTGAATCGGCAGGTTGACGCCCTCGTCAGCGACAATGATGTCGCCGCGCTTGGAGAAGCAGGGGATGACAGAGAGCGTGGCGGCAAAGGCCTGGCTGTACAGGATGGCAGTCGAGTGGCCGATGAAGGCCGCAACCTGCTTCTCAAGCTCCATGTGGACGTCGAGCGTGCCGTAGAAACCCGGTGGGCCGCAGGAGCCGACGCCATACTTGCGCAGGGTTTCGTGGGCGTGTTTCTCAATGTCGGGGTTGTCCAGGAAGCCGAGGAAGTTGTACGAGGCAAAGTTGAGGAGTGGCTTGGAGTTGGTTGCCGACGCCAGACGCACCTTGGTGCCGTTGGGTCCTTCGATCATGATGGCCTTTTCGAGGGTCTCGCGCTCAAATTCGGTGAGATCGGGGACGAGTGGCTCGGGTTTCCAGTCATCGACAAGCTCGTCGACTTCCTTCTCGGAGAGGGTGATTTCGTTGGTGCCGATGTTGTACTTTTGCTTGGTGATGTACCAGATGATGAAGCCGATGAGGCAGACCTCGAGGAAGGTGCGGAAGGGGTCGTCCTTGTAGGAGTTCTTGATATACCTGATGCCCATGCGGAAGGAGAAGTCCCACGCGGTGTGGAAGAAGCCGCGCTCGGCGGCTGGGTCGCCCGCCGACGGACTGGGGGTAAGAGGGGCGAGAGTGTCGAGAGGTGGGTCCATTTCGAAAATGGCAAGTAAATAAAAAATAAGGTGAAGAGAAGAGAAGAGAGAGAGAAGAGAATATAAAGATGGCAATTGTAATTCGAGATGCGCTTTGAGATTTTTTTTTTTAAAAAACACGAAAAAAAACAGGCGTGGTGTGGTGTGGTGTGGCCCAGTGGCAAAGAGCGGTAAATCAAAACAAAAACGGGGGGAGGGGTTTACGCCCTTTCGAGCAGTTGGCCGAACTTTGAAACTGAAAATGGGCTTTTTGAACTTTAAAGTCTGTGCCAATCTGAAGATTGATCCGATCGATTATCAGATTAGCAGGATCTAAGAAGCACATATGGATTATATTCAGATTTTGCGGCTGAATTTGGAAGAGTTTATGCTAGCCCGCTTTTGGATGCTTTTTAAGCGTGGCAAAATACACCATGGTCCAAGAACAAAGCTCGCTGTGGGGTTTGTTGTTGGAGCTCGAGGTTCGACTCCTCGGCGGCGCTGTAATAGATTAACACTGGTCGCCAGAATTACGATTATGGCTCTACTCTCTGCCTCGCTACCGGCAGCAGCTGCCGGTAGCGGCGGGCGAGGGAGGGGCGGGTCGCAATAATCAGTGTTGAATTCTATAACTTTTGAACAAAAAGCAAAAGCAAATTTTTTTCTTGTTTCAATTTCGGAATTAGCCTTTTTCATTTTTCTACACCTGCTCTCTAGTACCACGACGACGAGTCCACGACGACACCGCCTCCACTTCCACTTCCGCTTCCACAACCACTTTGGCTGACGGGGTTTGTAGAGGCTTGCTCGCAGCACACACGCACACGCACACGCACACGCCGCTGGCACGTATCACACCAGCGACAAAGCACAGGGCCCGTCTATGAGTGTTGGAGGATGGGGCCGAGCACTGAGGATTCTAGCACAGCAGCACAGGCCCAGCCATGGGCGCGGGCGCCGGATCAGCTCACACAGCAGGTCGAACGACGACGTGCGGGAGGCCGTGGACGCGGTGGTGCGGCTGGCTAACGACCGCAAGGTGAGCGTCGCAGAGGTCTGGGGCGCATACGACCGGCTGCGCATGCGGCGGCTAGTGCAGTATCTGCCGTTCGAGGCATGGGAGGAGCTGCTGAAGACGTGCCAGCGGGCGACGGACCCAAACGTTGGCCCAGCGGCGAATGGCCCGGCAGCCAGCAGCTCTGCAGCGGCAAAAACACGGCGGTTTCCGGTGCGCAGCAGGGAAGGCGAGCCCAGCGCGTTCGCGCGCGAGTTTGCCGGGCGCTCGGCGCAGTTCTGGACGGCGGCGATGGCCAGGCGGCGGGCGCTGCTGATGCTGGGCGACATGCAGGGCGCGGCGCGCACCAAGCACTACAACATCGTGCTGGACGTCGTCAGCCGCGACAGCGCAGCGTCGGCCGACGACTTGGCGGCGCTGCACAGCGACATGCGCATGCGCGGCGTCGGCGAGGACACGGTGACGTTCAACACGCTGCTCAACGGCTGCCGGCGGTTGCACGCGTGGCAGCGCTTCGGCGACACGGCCGCGCACATGCGCGAGCGCGACGCGTGGGGCGTGACGCTGATGGACGCGACGACGTGGGGCACGCTGGTGCAGGGCCACGCCGACAACGCCGACTGGCCGGCCGTCGACCGCTGCCTGGCCGAAATCGAAGCAGCCGCCATCGCCGAGCGGCCGGCCTTCGCGCACACGACTCAGCTGTGGGCGACGGTCGTCAGCGCGTACGCCGCGCGCGGCATGGTCGCGCAGATGCTGGCGGCGCGCGCCACGGCGCAGCGGCTCGGGCTGGTGCTCAACGCGCACGTGTTTTCGCCGGTTTTCGCGGCGCTGCACCGCTGGCGGCGGAGGCTGGCGCGCGCCGGGCGCAGCACGCGGCCGGCCGTCGAGGCGGCGCTGGCCGAGGTCGGCGCCATGCGCGCGGCAGCGGCCAGGCCGAACGTCGTGATGCTGACCAGCATCGTGCTGACCGTCGGCCTGGGCGGCGGCGCGCCATCGGCCACGCAGGCGGCGCTGTGCGAGGAGCTGATGGCGTGCGCCGACGACGCCGACGCGCACGCGGCGCTGCTGAACGTGGCCGGCCAGGCGGGCGGCCGCGACGACGTGCGCGCGCTGTGGGCGCAGATGGGCGCGGCTGCGGCGCCGCCGGTGGGGCCGCTGGTGACGCCGCGCACGCTGGCCGCGTACATCAACGCGCTGGCGGCGTGCGGCGACCACGGCGGCGCGGCGGCGGCGTTCTACGACCACACGCAGGCGGCGGCGCCAAGGCCCGCGAAAGGCCTGCCTGCGAAAGGCCTGCCTGCGAAATCCCCGCCCGCGAAGTCCCCGCCCGCGAAATCCCCGCCCGCAAGGAGGCACTCGCTCGTCCGCCCCGACGCGGCGGTCTTCGAGGCGGCCATCCGCGCGCTGGCCCGCGCCGACCGGCATCGCGCGTGCGTGCGCCTCGTGCGCGAAATGGCCGCGCTGGGCGTGGCGCCGACCGCGCTGGCCGTGCGCCACGCGCTGCTCCCGCCGGCGCGCAGCCAGCCGCGGTACACGCGCGCGTGGTCGCTGCCGCTGGCGGTGGCGCGCGACCTGTGGGACGCCGTGGCGGCGTCGCGGCGCGCCGTGTGGATGCAGCAGCGCGAGCCCGGCGCGCAGCCCGTGGTCGTCAACGACATTGCCGCGCAGCTGATCCGCGTGGCGGCCGTCGCGCGCAACGTGGCTTTTGGCGAGGACGTGCTGGCGGCGCTGCGCCGCGAGGCCGCGCACTTTGGCGCCGACGCGCTCGCGCGCCTGCCGCCGGACCTGCAGTGCGCCCCCAACGTGCGCGTGTACACGGCCGTGGTGACGCTGTACGCCAACGACGCCGACCTGCGCGGCATTGCGCGCACGTGGGCCGACATGCTGCACGCCGGCGTCGCGCCCAACCTGTTCACGTACACGAGCCTGGTCGTTGGGCTGCACAAGGTGGCCCTGCGCAAGCGGTGGCGGGCGGCGCAGGAGGCTGCCGAGCGCAGCGATGCCAGCGACGCCGACCAGCCCCGCGCCGACCAGCCGGCCACGACCACGCAGGACGACATGATGCGCACATCGAGGACTGGCTGTTCTCCGACCGCGCCCCGCCTGACGCCGCGCTGCCCGAGCTGTTTCTGTCCGACGTGGCGCCCGACGTTGATCTGCCGCTCAGCACGCTGCTGCTGCGCTACCACGCCCTCCGCATCCGTGACGCGGCCGCCAGCAGCAGCAATGAGAGCGGCACCGGCGATGGCGATGATGCCGACCAGCAGGCCTCCGCGGCCGCCGACCAGCAAGCCTCCGCAGCCGCCGACTACCAGGCCTCCGCGATCGCCGACGACAACCTGCACCGCGCCATGCGCGTGTGCCAGGCCGTTGAGCGCGCCGGGCTCGCCCCCGACCACCGCTTCCACGCCGCGCTGGCCGATCTCTTTGACGCCCACGGCGACCACTCTGGCGCTGACCTCGTGCGCTGCCGCATGGATGCAAAGCACCGCCCCGGTCAGTCATTTGGAAGCTGATCCAACCGCGCCTGATTAAATCAAGCCCTCCCCCCTCCCCCCCCACTGAAAAGGCGGCTGCATTCTCCCAGCGCCCTTCCTTCTTCCTCGCTTGCTTTTTATCTTTCGCACGAAAAACACTTGCTTGAATTTCTATTCATTTCAAATACCAACCGCGACGTCGCCGTCGTCGCTGCTGTCGCTGCCGTCAATGTCTCGCTACCCGAAAGTCGTAACGCCGCACAACCTACTGCTTTTTGCCGCCGGCATGCTGCTCACGTCCTCTGCCACGTACGCTGTGCTGGCCCCGCGGATGCAACGTACAGCCGAGCTTCAGCGCCAGCTCAACAAAATCCACTGCAACATGTACTGGAGCATGTCGCTCGTTCAGCGCAAATCACCGCTCCTTTTGCATTCCCCCGCTGTCGCCAAGCCCACACGGCCGCCCTGGCCCCAGTGCTGGTGGAACGCCCGCGTTTTTGACTTTACGCACTGGGCCGCGCAGCCCGGCTTCCTGGTCCACCACTCGGGCCAGGCTCGACAGCTAGCTGCAGACGGGCTTGCCGCTGCTTGGTGCCAGACAAAACATGCCGCTGCTATTGCTGCGAGAGACCTGGCATTGCACACGCGGCATGCCGTTCACTGGGACGCCGCCGTGAGCCTAACACAACAACTTTGGGCCGACGAAAAATCGAAATGGCAGCTCGCTCACGCGTCCGCCATCGAGGCTGTACACCCGCATTACTCCCAGCCTCGTGATTCCTTTAATCCTCGGTGATGATATTAAAGTCTTGTACATTTCATTATTTTTTATTTTCGTTTTTAAAGTATCAAACTAAAAGCTGATGAGGTTTCCTTCATCCGCACTCTCAGCCGCCTTCTCAGTCGCGCTGTCGCGCGGGTAAAACAGTAGGTGCCGGTAATAGTCGGAAACTTTGGCGTCGCGGCTGGGGCAAATGTAGTCCATCACTTTGGGCGACCCGTCCGTGTGCCTGTGCGTTTTGCTGAGCGTGTCCAGCCCCAGCTCTGTGCCCACGTCGGTCATCTGCGGAATATGCTCCGCGAACGGCGACTCGCTGTTATCGCTGTAGGTCGAGTGCCGGGCATATCTGTATCGAGCCGACACATTGCTCAGGAACCCATCATTGTCGTGCGGCGTGCCGATCGAAGAGTGGAACGCGCTCATTGTACTCGATGTCTTTGGCTCGTAGGAGCCGCCCAACTCGTCCGCTAGCTGCTGCAGCCCTAGCTCGTAGATTTGCTGCTCGTGATGAATGTCTCTTCTCTTGCGCGCACTGCGACGTATGACAACCACTAGGCTGACAATGAGGGTTATAAACGCCACTGCAGCAACAGCGATTCCGGCAATGGCGCCCTTGGACAGCTTGGCGTGAGATGGCCCAACCACACGGTCATCGCCAAGAGGAACAAGCGGCGTGTTCCCCGTGAACGCATCCGCCGAGAGTGCTGTCTTTTGCTGCAAAAATGGCAGGTAGTAGCTGATGTGCGTGTAGTACGCCAGCGTATTGTTGTTGCCACAGTAGTCCAGCGCCTGGCCATTCGGCGTAGCAAACGTCGATAGCACGCCCACGAGCTTTGCTACGCCCTTATCGTAAATGACCAGTGGCCCTCCATAGTCTCCGAGGCATGGTCCAGCTCCTGGTGTCAGCTTGTTGCGCGTGCATATTGCCCTTCCATTGCTGTTTTGGAACAAGTCCACCCCGCCGCACGAAGTGTCGTCACCAACTGTCAGGTTGGCATAGTTCAATGTGTTGCTGGTGGCAATGCCAATCTTTTGTGACGAGCCCCAACCCATGAACGAAGCGACTCGCCGCTGAAGATATCGCCGATATAGACTGGAATGCGATTCACCGTTGAAGACACAAACTTGGTCAAGTTAACTTGAAGCAATGCTATATCGTCAACACCCGATGTCGCATTGTATGTACTGTTGATAATGATTTTGAGAACACTTGTATTCGGCTGGTCAGCCTTGTTGCTTTTCCCAAAGCCCACGTTGACTGTGCTGGGATCCACTGCCTGCCCTGTGGCCGGGTCATACACGCAGTATGCCGATGTGACTATAAGTTGGTCTGTCAAGATGGCACCAGCACATGCCGTGTTGTTTGTCGCTGATGGTGTCGATACAAATACCGTGTACGGGAAATCCCCATCTTGAGCCGCACTACCACCGACCACCCGCTTGGAAAATCCCTGAGCTGTCGCTGTTTTGCCAATGGGGAATAGCATTGCCAATGCAAGCATGCAGACGCCCTGGACAAGTGTGTGCGCTAGCATCGTAATTTTGTGCAAATGGTTACCACTTGCGTATTTGATGATCTTTGAATATGGTGTGTAAGTGGTGGTAGGATAGTATCGTGGCAAGCGCAGAGAAAAATATCTGTGACCTGAGCCAACAAAAGTAAAATAAATTACGAGATGGTAGAGTAGAGAAATAAGTATTTTCAGAGCCGGTTTTTTTTGTCCTAAATGCGAAAATGAAAATGAAAAAGAGAGGTTAGCTGGCTGGTTTTTCTCCGCCTCGAAATGTCCAAAAATAAACAAGCCAAATGACAATGAAAGACAACATTTTAAAGCACACGCGTGCCCACACGCACACATACATTTATATATACAACCGTGCATACCAATGTACATTCAACGCTCAATACACTTTTGGAATGTGGAAATAGTGACCAAACAATGTGTATAAATAGGTAAACGGACAAGTGGAAATCACGCCCGCAGCTGCAGTGCGTCTCAACCTGGCTGTTCCTAACTGGCTGGCTGACTGGCTTATATAGCCACAGACAAGAGGAGGAACGTATTGTTTTGTTGAGCTTTTTTGGCTGTTATAATTTGATCAGCCGGTCCGTTGTTTCTGAAGAAAGAAAGAAAGAAAAAACAATAATATGAAATTGGTATTTCAATAAATTTCCGCCATTTTCTCATCAAATCTCGGCTTTCTGATTCGGATGCATGTTGCCGGTGTATACAGGATTCTGCTCGGCACCTTTCAAAGAAGAATCTGAACTGTCTACCAAAATAATATTGCACTGTTGTTGGTTGTTTTCAGCAAGAATACTTGCTGTAAGCACTTTATTTTATGGAGACTTGTGCATGCTGCCTGCTACGTTCGACATATCCGTCCCCAATAATCATATTTTGGTAATTAATAACCTTGCCAGTTCCAGGGTACTTTGCGGTAAAGTGCCAAAATCGCTGCTATTTGCCCATGTAAACATCAACTAGCACGCTTCAAGTGTATTTGTCTTATGCGTGCTGGACATTGGCCACTAATAGAAACATCCGAACTGTTGTTCCCATGGGTTGGGGGGAAGGATAATAATAAGCGGAAATTGTTCATGCATATGGTTGGAATGAAATGCTAACAATAGGTGTCGTCTCTAAAATTAGACAAACGAAGCACGGGGCAGAGCTGACAATGAAAAACGGGCGGATTGACAAAAAGGTGTGTAAATTAGCACAGTCGCGCAAAATGGACGGTGTCTGTTAAATGCAATTTCGACGAGTTCCTAATAAATAGGCGCTGTGGCCAAATAATGTTGCTATTAGCTTTTCGCTTTTCGCTTTTCGCTTTTTCTTTTTACATTTTCAGTTTACTACACATACTATCTTTAGTAAACTCCACACCAACACCATCTATCTCACATCCATGCGCTTCCACATTGCTACGCTTGCTATAATTGCTCAGACTGCCAGCGCCCAGTTTGAGTTTAACCCTGGCACCTATAGCAGCTCGGAGCTGTTTGATATAATTTCTGGATACTACGTCAGTTATGCGTCCATATGGGAGGGCCAGCTTACCAGCGCCCGGGCGTCTCTGCCCGGAGCGTACATGCAGCTCACATCAATTTTTAATACCGACCAGATTCCCGAGTCATTCAATCCGGCTTTTGTAAGCAAACTCGTACAGGAGCTAGTTGAGATAGGCCACACGACTGTAGTCGACGCGCAGATTGACAGCAACACATTGATTTTCACTTTGCCGCCCTCGTCTTCACAAAGCACACCTGCTGTATCACAGACTAGAACCACAGAAGCTGAATCGTCGCCCTCACCAACACAAGCCTCCGAGACAACACGCAAGTCTGTTGATAACGACGTTTTTACTCTCATTACAAAATCAACGTTGAGCTCAGAAAATAGCGAGCCAAATAAAAGTGGAAGTACTAGTTCAGCTCAGCCAACGCCAGCAGGAGCATTCTTTACACAGCAGCCGTTGCCGCACTGTCTCTCGCATGTGCTGCATATTCTTTTTAAGTGTATCATAAGCGCATTGGAGCAACAAATATTTATCATTTAAGCATGAATATAATGATCGACACAACCAGAGTACTTGTATGGCAAATATCGCTGCTATCTAAATTAATAAAACCTAATTAATGCACGAGCAATCAAGTCTAATGGCCGTTTACACGCAATTTATTTAGCATGCAAAGACAAAACGGCCAAAAGAGGCTTTATGCGCGGTTCTTTGTAAAAAAGAAAGTGGGGGCAGTTAGATACACTTTTAGAAAACATGTTTCAACGAGATATAATTGGCTCATTGCTTTCGTGGCGCAACTGGTTAGCGCGTCCGACTGTTAATCGGGAGGTTGTTAGTTCGATCCTAGCCGAGAGCGATTCCAATTACTTTTGTGATGCTTGTTTTTGCCGCTTTATTTTTTTTGCAATTTCACCCATGACACTTTTCCAATTTGGCCTGCGTTATCTGTTATTCTTTTCTTTTCAAATGTGTTGCTTCCATTTTTGTTTCTTTTGCATACCAGAATTCAGCATCCATTATGCTTGCTGTCGTGCTCAGCCACCTCGCACTTGGCGGGTGCTGCTCTTCTAGCAACAATGGGTGATCGGGTGTTTTCTCAAACCAGCACACATTAGATATTTTGGCTCAAAAAATGGCCCAGTGAAACAATAAAAATTCTGCGCATGCCTGCTCCAAATAACAGGTATTGTTTCCTCGCCAGTTGCAATGCTGTCGGGCTGTATTTCTGCTCAGTCGTGCCACCCCCAACCCGTCCTGTGCGACGTCGTGGCTATTTGTCCTGTCCTGGCAACTTTTGCTCACTGGCCAACGAAACTGCATAATTTAGCCACTGCATCCCTGGTTGGGAGGGTTGCCAGTCCTTTTCACTTGCTGGCAAACATTTGCGCAGCTGCTTTATATTATTAAATGCACGGATGTGATGTTTCCGCGCAATTATACCAAAAGCAGAAGTATGTTTGCATCTGCAATTGCATTTGCATTTGCAATCATTACGGCATCCCGTTGAGCGCAGTGCAGTGTAAACGCAAGTGCAGTGCAGCTTGTATATATCGGTTTGTTGCATGCCACAGTACCAATTTCCGCTTGATGGCGATAACTGAGCTGCGAATAGCACCAGAAATAATAAATGATAAAATGCAGAAGCACCGCAGATTATGATACACACACAGAGAGATAAAATACATACATTGAGCGAGACATAAAGCCAAGAAAAGACAAAAACTAAAGTTGATGACTAATACTGGTTTTCTACCGTGCCACCTTTCCTGCATGGGCACCATTGCAGACCTGACTCCATGCCACTATAACGAAAATTATTCTAGGGGCGGCGAGATTGGGAATTCTCCAGACCTGGGCCTAATTGCGTGCATTATGATCCAGATACTGCTTGTGCTGCGCGACTCAATATCGCATCCATTTTTCCAACTTGGTTACAACTGGGGGTGATGCGAAGCAGATATATGTTGGGCAACACGCTTGCAATGTTTGCTTTGTAGACAAAAGCAGAAGTGTTAGCAGCGTCAACAACACTTTGGACAAGAAAAAAGCAGATTGACATCAACAGCAAAACCAACAACATTGACCGGGTGACCATACAATGCACACATCGGTTTTCTGGAGCTGGCGTGTCTGGTCGCCCGTGTGTGAGCTGCACCGTATCCTAGCTTGCAATTGTGTTGACTGTATCCTGCAAACAACTGCCATTGCTGGTGTCTTCTCGACAACTTTATCGGCATCGACACCCGCTGTCAGTGCACTTTTATCCTCGCCTACGCCTCGCCCAGACTGGTTTTAATATAATAATATACATTCCATTACCACTACTATTGCTTTCCCCGCATCGGCGCTCGTGCTTGCGCTTGCCAGCGTCGTGACTGCTTGCGGTCGCGAGTGTACTTGACCCAATGCAAAAGAGATGCGCTGGATCCGGTTAATCTGGCCATGTACACACACAAAAAACATTTACACACGCATATTGTGTCAAAAATGGCACTCGCTGAGTCCGCGGGCCACACTGGCGCGACTCTCAAAAATAATAGCCATTACAAACATCCACACTCCTTCTCTGTCTATCTACCCACCCATATATCTATTAGATCCTTGTCTTTGCTTTATTGTGCTTTTAAAATTATGTTTACATTGCCTTACTGCCCTAAAGTTGTCAATAAAATAGTTATGCAGTAGCATTTATTTTCGACTGCATCATTGTTTATTTGTTTATTTACGTTAAGCATGTGATGTCGAATCAAAATCGAAACTAAAATCAAAAACATGCAAACCAAATTATTGGATAAATTGTAAATATTTACACCGATCATTTACCACTGAAGAAAAGAATGGGACTACAAACATTTAAAAATTCAAATATCCTACAAATCGACATCTTTCCTTCCCATCCTGATTGCACAGCAACTCGGCACGTGCTTAGAAACTAGTGGCAATAAATAGTCCACTATGGTTGAAGCTATTAATCGTTGCGCTGCTTCTTGCGAAGAGAAGCTTGGGCTTGGGCAAAATCTCGGGCATCGCTGTAGTAGACTTGGGTTCAGCTGACTCGAACTGTGCCTTTTTGGGCAATAAACGCAGAGACTGCTCGCCTGTAAGCATGGCATTGAGGATAGTGCAAAAGTTAAGCACCGCGGCTATATCGCGATTCCACTTCCGTCTGCCTGATATCAGTTTTTCGCTATCCTTAATCTTGGTTCCATCGGACCTGAAGGTTTGCAGGTAATTTTCTCTCGTGGACTCGATACAGCCTGGATGTCAGGTATTGTGAAGCAAGTTCCAATACAAGTCATTTGAGGTGAAATGTGATTAATGAAGACACGTAGCGAATTGCATGGTTTCCCTTGGCAGAGCGGACAGGGTTGCCAAGCAGTACCAGAAAAATCACCAGAAAGAAAAAGGGATAAAAAAGGGCATGTGTCCTTTTTATTTTGGAGGAAAATCCAAACTTCGTCTGTGAAGAATATATGATTTGTTTTGCTTATTCTCCAAACGAAAGAAAGCACATTGCACATTTTGCCTATTTTCTCTTTCTCTTTTTTGATAAACACAACATTATTTTCTATTTCTTTTTATTTTTCTAATTCCCATCTGCAATTTAAAACAACGCACTTTTACTGAAAATGTCGATTCATTCGCTGTTCCACAAGGTGGCCGAACACCTAAATCCTGTGCTGAAGAACTCAAAGTTCAAAGAGACTGGCGTGCTGACCCCCGAGGAGGTATGGATATAAACGAGTCGTGGTGTTTTGTGCACCATATTATTACTCCACACACTTACATAATACTGACATCAACGCTGGACTTTCTTATTTTCTAACTGTAGTTTGTCGCGGCAGGTGATTATCTGGTATTCAAGTGCCCGACCTGGAGCTGGTACGTTTTGAGCATATGCTTTTTGTTGCTGTTGTTTCTTCTGGCGCTGTCGCTTTGTATTTTGAGCCTTTTCTCACTAAACATTATATGCATTATATTTTTGTGCAACTTATAGGGATAAGGGATACCCCAACAAGCGCCGTGACTACCTGCCTGCTGACAAGCAGTTTTTGATCACGCGCAATGTGCCCTGCCTGCGCCGCGCTGAGCATATGGTGTTGGTCTGGACGTCGAGCTTGAGCAAGTGGGCGACGACGGATGGGTGTCCGCATACGCTGGGCACAAGGGCGTCTCTGCACAGGACGAGGATGACATCGAGGAGATTGGCGACATCGAGGATTCGGACGTCAAAGTCCCGACTGCCAGGGAAATCGAGCGCCTGACCAAGGGCGTTGAGGAGGTCGAGATCAACAACAGCGAGCAGGATCTCGACACGCCGCTCGGCCAGGCTGCCGAGGAAGACGAGGGCGATATCGAGGACATCCCCAGCGACATTGACGAGATCCCAGATATCGACGAGCTCGACGAGTTCGAGGCTCTGGAGGACAACGATCCGGCCGCCAACACTGCCAGCACGTCCAAGAAGAGCGATGCAGCAGCTGGTGATGATGAGGACAAGATCCTGCGCACGCGCACGTACGACATTAGCATCACGTACGACAAGTACTACCAGACGCCACGTGTGTGGCTGTTTGGATACGACGAGCGGGGCAAGCCACTCACCACCCGGCAGATCTTTGAGGACATTAGCGAGGATCATGCCAAGAAGACGGTGACTATTGAGACACACCCCCATCTGGCTGTGCAGCAGGCATCTATTCACCCGTGCAAGCACGCACATGTGATGAAGAAGATCATTGAGAGAGCTGTTGACAGCGGGCGGAGAGAGATTCGTGTCGACCAATATCTGGTTATCTTCCTCAAATTCATGAGCAGCGTGCTCCCAACCATTGAGTATGACAACACAATGTCTACAGACATCTAGACCAAAGCGGGCGCAAGGGCACAAGAGAAAGCGGGTTTACCATTTACTAATAAAGCTATTCAAGATATTTTGTAAACATTTTGCCCGTGTTGAGTGTCAGAGTCGCTCTGCGGGCTTTGGTGCCTTGTTGGAAGCTTGCTGCTTGGCCAACTCGACCGGCACTTTGCACTTTGTATTCGTCTGTTCGTGTTCAGTCATCAGTCTGACAATGGCAGTGCCTGCTGGGCTTGGGCGTTGAATGGGCGTATATGCTGCCACCCCTGTGACCAGAACTACATACATGCATCATGTCCTTGTTTTCTTGTTTGCTGGTGACGCGTCACGTCGGTAGCGCGCAGTCGGAGTTGAAAAGTGCGTGACTAGAGGCAACAAAAAACTAATTTGTTTTGTAAAGTGATCACCAACACTCTTTGCCTCCCCCCTCTCCTCCACCGCTCACAATCATCGATCTCATAATCGCCTGGAAAAGCACGTATAATTTTATATTTCTCGGTTTGGGGTTTTAATTCTCTTTCCCTTTCTGTTTCTACATTTCCAATATTCGCAATATCATTAATTTTTAAACCCAGCCTGTTAACAATGTCATACATACTGCCGCGACCACTCAGCTCCACGTCTGCTGCCACGGGAATGACGGCTGCTTCTGCTGTTGCTGCGGCTACTGCTGCGCTCGAGGAGCAAATGCTAGCGGGCAGAGCTGACGAGATCCATGCCGGCACCATCAGCCACAGCAGTAGCGTTTCCACACCCCCAGCCCACGGTTCCAGGCGCCCCCAGGAAGGTGCAACACACAGGAGGAGCGTGGCTAGACCACCAAAATCGACCCATGCGTCAGTAATTCGGGTAGTATCCGAGGGCTCGCCGCTACCAAAACTGCCGCCCATCCCTGCCCTGGAAAAGCCCAATTCGTTGTTTGTCAGCACTGCTGGTGGCTTGCTTTCCACAAGCCTGCATCGCTGCGCAGACTCAGTGGACAAAGAGCACGGCACAGACGTTGCGCTTGAGAATGTGGCATCCGAAAAGCTGAGAATGGCACACATGATGGATCTGGATTTGGCTACCACACAGCGTCCCCCGGCAAAATCAAGGCTGGGCCTGCCCGGTTTTAAGTTTGGATGGCGGCAAAGCAAAGCAAAGCAACAGATGCAAGGCGCAGAGTCATCAAGTGTGCCCGTTTTGGCGACGACAAAGGGCAAAACAAGGTGGACAGCTCAGGATGTCGATGCGCTCGCCGAAGCCAGCTTGCATTACTGGAATAGTGGGTCACATGTCAACTTTGAGTCGCTGGCCGGAAATCTGGGACGCGCGCCGAACGATGTCAGTGACATGCTCGAGCACACGCTGCAAGGTTACGTTCGATTTGGCAGCACACCGTGCTGGGCCGATAAGGACCACTTTTTTATAATGGGATGGGCAGCTGCCGAGTTCCCTAAAAACCAGCTACTCAATCCAGTTGTAGGCGGCGACAGTTCAGACGACCACGTGCTGAAAGCATGTCCAAGCTCAGCTCGTGCCTTTCTGCTCTCAGGTGCGTATTGTGTTTAGCTCGCGAATTGCCTGACTTTGCCATCGATGGCGGCAAAGCTGCGCACAGTGGTCATACTGTTTTGACAGACTTTCGAGAAGGAATGCGATCGCATGAATCCGCAGTGGTGGTCGACACGCAAATTGCTTCGTCCTCTCTTCTGTCTTTTTCGAGCGGCCCTCAAGCCGCAAACATCACTACCATTCACGGCAAAGGCAGTAAGAGTGCCAAATCAATACCATTTGTTATTCCAGACACAGGCTCATTACAGGGCAAATCGCTGGCAGCATCAGCGGTACCACCCGAAGAGACCGAGTTGGAGGGCACGCCTTCCACCGCCCCTCTGTTTTCTTTTGGAGCGCGGCCTGTGGTTGTGAGTGGACTAAAAAGTCAACCAACACTTAGCATATTGAACCACACAGCACGTGGCAGGCGGGCTCGAAGGAGCTCATATCACCACGGAACATCGTCTATATTTTTAGCCGAGGCGGAAACGGAGGCCATAGAAAGCCCAGGCTCAAACACATTGCTGGTGGTGCATCAAGGTGGCATGGTTGCCAGCGCTGCTGCCGATGCCGATGCCAATGTGGTTGCAGTTGCAATCGCTGCGGCTGGGCGTCCAAGAGCTAATACTGTGGCTTATAGCCAGCTCAACAGCAGAGACATATTTAAGTATGGTACTGACCACAGGACGCCACAAGATGGCGGAAACGTTGACGAGTCAAGCGCGCAAATGCAGATAGTCGCTGCGCTTGATGACCCAGAGCTCTCGCCCGCCCAATCCCATCATGCCTTAGGGATCATCACAAGCGGCAGCAATCTTGATGTGCAATTTTCCGACTTGGCGGCAGAGACCAGACTGAAAGTGCGGCGGTTTGTCGACAAGTTCATTGCAGACTTCCCGGCAGACTTTCGGCAACGCGTCGACGCACAGAATGCGGGAAAAGATGGACTTTGCGTCACAGTCGACCACTTTGAGAACTTCGAGTACAACAACGATGCATTCTACAAGGCGATCGAGACAATATATCGATTCACCGGCGGCAGCACGGTATGCACACGAAACATGTTTTTCCACGTTCAGCTTACACACGCCATCAGACTGGATTGTATACCAGAGTCCGATGCGAGCTGGTTCCGCATCAACGAGTTTGCCACCACCGTGTTCAACAAGCAGATCGAAGACGCGCGTTTTATTATTTTCCAAGCGTACACTGATATGACCGACAGCAACAGTAACGGTACTGCCACTGCCACAGGCAATAGTCCTGGGCCTGTTAGCACTGCCAGCGCGCCTATTGGCAGCCGGATAGCAGTAGTACGCGCAGACCGCTCGAGTAACTCTGTAGTCAATAGGGGGAATGTGTCTGCCTCACTTTTTGAACGCGCTTTCTATATGGACAAGCTGGCAAATAATTATGTCAAGTTTTTGGTGGACAACATGAGCGATGGGCTTTCTCAGCGCGCGCGCGATTACGGGCTCAGACCGATGCCTGTTGCCCTGCAGGTGGATGAGGCATCTATGCTAACGTTTGACGTCGAGATCCGCAACATGCTGATTGAGTTTATTTGGGAGGATATTCCGCAGTCAACGCTCGAGTCCAAAGAAATTGCCCTGCTGCGCGCACTCGAGCTGCTCAACAGCAAACTTTCAAAGCGCTTTGGGCTTACTACTGGGCTTTTACAGTCTGCATTGGATGACCAGCGCAACGAGGATGGCAATTTTGCTGACAATTGCAATATTGAAAGCATTTCGGGCCTGGATAATATTCCTGGCACGCTGAAAGCTCAGGTTCTGGGAAGGGCGTTTGCGCAGTGCTCATTCAACGAGACTAAATACTTATTTTTTGAGGCAATGCTTCACGACCATCCGTTCCGGCCTGTAACGCGCGACGAGCTAAAAGAATGGAGAACTCGCGACGGCAGTCCATTTGGAAAAGACGTTGACTATGAGCTCAACACGCGGCTGTATAAGTATCTGCAGCGCCTACAGTTTCGCCCTACAGCCAATCAATGGCTGCAGGCCAGCGCTGCTGCCACGCTATCTATGCTTTACCGTACTCTGGGTGCCGCACTACATAAAGATATTCTCGCACATATCGACATCTCTGCGTACGAGTCTCGATTTAGGGACATCGTGATTAATGAAAGTTTGGGCCCTGCAAGTAACGGTCCAACTTTGGGCTTGTCCCAAAGTGAAAGTACCAGCAGGTCACGGTTGTCAGCATTTGGCCGCCCGCCAAAATGGGTGTCGTTGCTGGCTGAATCCAGTTCTGACAGAGGGCATACAAACACAGCGCGACCGCAATATTTATTGCCAAGTGATGGCATTCAGGACGAAACCACACATCTTTCTGTAACATCTCGAGCCTCTTCGCCGCTTGGATCAGAACCACTTTCAAGCAATGCTGCGAGTATTGCCTCAAGAGGCGGTGGCAGCAGCGGCAGCGGCAGCAACAGCATCAGTGTTACCAAGGACAGTGGCGTCAGCCAAAGCAGTAGGCCAATTTCTCCTGGATCCCCAAAACTGCCTCGAATGCCACGTCGCATTTGTCGACCTCACCGCAGCCTATTTCAAACAGAGAGCCATTCCATTACCACGATCAACATGGGTCTGCCATGGCCTCGCAGAGCGCGTTATTGCCCTGCGCTGTTCCAGGGCCTATGCCTTTTTACGGATACCACACACCACATTTTGCTCACTTATATGCGCCATATGCTCAGCAAATTGATCCTGCGCAGCAGCTGTCGGTTGCATATGGTGCAGCGCTGGTATCTAAAACTAATGGTGCCTTCTGTTATCCAGAAATTGTAGCGGCCCAGGGCCCATCTCCTGACATGCTCGCAGCAGATGGGGCAGCTCACGGGGGCACACGCAGCGGCGATGGCGCAAGTATGAGCATGGTTTTGCAAAAGTTCAAGGAAATGGAGGATTTGATTAGGCAATTGCAGGTTCAGAGTGGTCAATAGATTACATATATCCGGATTTTTATAATACATTTCACGTATTTATATTTTAAAATCAAGTTTTTGTTCTGTCTATGGCCTCAAATATTATAATTTGACAAATAATACACAGTTGGTTACTGTGTTGCAATCGCATTATGCTTTTGTACTACTGCGCTAATATTCTGTCCCTTTTAAGAATCGGTAGTTTACTTCTTTTTATTTGTTTGCAAGTTCAAAATGCGTTGTACTCAAGCGTAATATGAGGGATATACTAGTGCAGAATCATAGAAATATGGTGGACCAGTACTAACGACTTCTGTCAATCCCAAATTTTCTCTTCAATTTTCCTGGGTTTTCCGTCCACACATACATCATTTTTTGTTTTGTTTAGATAATCCATCCTTTTTCGTACACAATATCATTTTATCAGCCCACCCCAGCCCCGACAGACATACTCACACCTAATGTCTTATATTCCATGGCAAGGGCCAAAGCTGAAGCAGGCTCAGCAGCAGCCAGCCACGAGGCTGGTAACCGAACCAGCGATGTACGACTCCCCGCATAGACATGGTGGACGCATTAATAACAGCCGGCGCAGCAGCAGCATTGTCAGACTGGCCACCGCTGATACAACTTACGGCTGATTGAGATTCTCGACCCCTTGTCAATAGCCCGTCCACCTGCAGAAAAAAAAAGCGTGGTTTGCTTTCTCCCAGCGCGGGTCAAGGGCACGCGCTGCAGCTGAATACACCGGCAACGAAAGATGGCTGGGTAGGCTCAAAGGCGGGTTTGCGCATACCACTGACAAAGGTGCCCACGCAAACTCTGTTGGAAGAAATCCTGCGCCAACACAAAGGCCGTGGGATGCCACTGAGACTGTATCTTTGGCTCGGACCAGTCATGCGTTTTGGAAGAGCGGTCGGCATGTTGACTTTGGCCTCATGTCCAGCAACTTTAGCAGGCCTGTCAAGGACGTCAAGACTATGCTTCGGCTGATGCTCCAGGAATACACTCTCTGCGCTCAAAAATCACACTGGGCAGTCGACCAGGAGCTGCTGGTAAGGAAGTGGGCCGCTATTGAGTTTCCCAAGTGCCAAGTGCTCAATCCGAGCAGAGACCATCGCTGGAGACCAACCAGTTTTGCATCCGTCGAAAAGTGTCTTTCTTTGATCAAGTGTCGGGAACCTAACAATTCACCAAGAGCTTTATCCAAAGTCACGCTTGCACAGATCCAAGATGTTGTTGATGGCGAGCTCGTGCGTTCCCTTGCTTGCAACCAGCCTGTTATTGGCCTCGAGGTTTACGCGCCGGCTGTGGCTGTGGCTCCCGAACAGCATCCTGCCAGTACTTTAGATGCGCAGTGTTTGCAATACTCAACCCATCATCAGCCTACAGGCGCAGACCAGGCCAATGCTTGGGCGTTTGCCCCCGACAGCAATGTGCCAGTGCATTCAGATAAGCAATTTGACGCAGCCTGCGGCCTACCAGTCACTATTGATGCCAGTGTTAATTCAAGTACCTATGCCAATGCCAGCGCCAATGTCGACTCTGATATAAATTTAAATGCCGGTTCCGAGCCAGCTGCCAACAGCATTCCTTTGCGGCACAATAGTATTGGTATGATGAGAAGAACGCCCCGAAGCAAAAAACAGCGCAAGCGCCAAAAGCTACCAGCAATTGTCGCCGAATTTCAAGAACCAATTGACATGGATGCAAGAGAGGCGGCCGATATTACGGCAGGCCTCACAATGCCGCACACCAGTCACCATGACAATAAATTGCAGCTTGGCAGCACAGTTGGTGATGCTGATACTACCTCAAAGCACCTGGCAGACGCTCACAATATTAGCAGGCCCGATGAAGATATCGAGATGCAGTTTTTTAATGTCGCAATTATACAGCGCAAGTTTGTCAGAGGGTTTGTCGAGGATTATATTGGGAGGTTTTTTGAAGCGTTCTACTTTCGGGTCGCCATTCCAGACATGTACAGCAGACATCTTTACAGGCCGCTGAGCGAGTACAGCCATGCCAGCAGCAGCATAATCGACCTCGATCTCTTGGCTTCAATTGAAAAGGAGATGCTGAAACTCAATTTAACTGATGCTGCCAGCAGCTCTGGCCAAGCACTGGATCTAAACTGCAGCAACCACCACTTCCACCTAAGTTTGATCAGGGCAATTGGCGAGCGCTTTTCCCATGACAAAGTCGCTGACTGGCCTGGCATCGACGCCTACGCGACTGCCATTTTTAATCGGGTCATAGAGGACACACATTTCCTTTTCTTTGAAGAGTACAAAGGGCAAGTAACTGGCTGCAGCTCTGCCTCAGATACTGGGTATATTCGGTGCATCAAAACCAATGCTGTGGCCGCGCGCATAGATTCGTTCAAGCAAGAATACTATTTTTGTCTGGTGTCAAGCCTGCTCACATCAAGGTACGTGCAAACAGCAGGGCGCCAGAACTTTCTTGCCCGTGCCCGACTTGCCGGATATCATCCCGTGCCCACAGCCGTTGCTTTTGGTAGCGACCTGAGCGAGGAGAAATTCGAGCGCGAGCTGGATATTTCGTGGTCAGATGTTGCAATTCGCAGCGAGCTGCACAGTTTGATAACAAATGCAATTCCGTGTGCCACCAGCAGGTCCATTATGATAGCCGTGCAGCAGTCCATAGAGGTATACAACAGGGCAATAATCGAATGCGTAGATGGGTTGTGCAAGGAACTGAGCGTTGCTCTTGGAGCCATGGACGTAGCCGTTATCAAAAGCGCTGACAAGGGGATACTTGCGGCCATCAAAAAGTCGCGGGGCGCAATGTCTGTCGACATGGCTTGTGTACTAGGGCGCTGGCTGGGTGAGCAGTGGTTTGATCGTTTGCAAAGGGGACTCGTCCGGGCGCTGATGGCTGACCACCAATTCATGCCAGTCCCTCTGGCTGATGTCCGCCGGTGGATCTGCGAAGACCGTTCGCCGAATGGGAAAGGTGTGGATTTCGTCCTCAACACCAGGCTCTACAATTACCTCAAGCACATGCGCGTGCTGATGAACGAGGCCAAATGGCTCTATGCGAGTGCAGCGGCAACATTGCGGGTCATAGAGCTGGCAAAGTTACATCTACAGAATAAGCTACTTCTAGACCACATTAGCGTTGACCGCTATGCAAGTGCATTCGGGACTTTTATTCGCGCATCTGGATCGCAGCAGGCCTTGGCTTGCATATTGCCTAATGCTACACTTGGCGTTGCTTCTCCCGAAAATACAACGCTAGGCTCTGGGTTGCACGTCAGAGATCAATGCCCGACGCACCAATCTCAGACAATTGGTCTGGAGCAGGATCCCGAAATGTCGCGGATGCCCTTTAAACATGTCTCCAGTGCGCTACACTTAAACACGTCTCTCCTCAGCCTCGTGCCAGACCGATATGCCTTCCAATACCACAGATGTCAGCGGGTGCTCACAGTGCAATGTTTCTCACCAACACACTTCTGAGGTCCGGCTGGGGAGCCTAGAAATGGAGGTGACCAGCATTTACCGAGAAATGCGCGACGTGGCTGGCATGCGCCACGATATAAACAAAATTCTAAGCGTGCTTCGAATCAGGAGCTCGGGGAACATTTGAAAGCCCAGGTGCCGCCATTTGAGAGTAAGCGGTAGATGGCCGTGTTTATTTTTTGTTTATTTTATTTTGCTTATTTTTAAATTACAGTCGGAAAGCGCCACAACACATCTCTCTGCATGCTGATAGACACTACATATGCTAAACCTTGAAGTCTGTGAAGCCAATGTCATGGTCTACGCAGGTGGTCACCATTATTGGCGCGCCGTTGCCCTGGGGCTTGACAAAGGCTACCGAGCTGACGGCGGATTTGTGGGGGCGGTATATCTGGCTGGCTTCCCGAGAACACCTCACATAGCGAGTGTCCCAAATGGCCACAATGTCGCCTCCCGAATCTTCGAGTTGAGAGCGGCGGAATGGGCAAAATACCAGTCCGCCATCCGGGTGCCACGCAGGGCGGGTGTACCGCGAATATGTTCCTGCGTCGCTCTTACCTAGCACCAGCACCGGCGGCATCTTGGCTAGACACTGACGGACATCTAAAACCTGTATCTGCTCGCCGCTGGTGCCGCAGCTGACCATCATCAAGTTCCTGTTGGTAGGGCAGATGGATATGCAGCCAACAGAGCTGTTCAGGCGCGTCTCATGCTCATACACGAGGTTTCCGCTGGAGGCGTCGTTGATGCAGATGCGGCCAGTCTCGGAGCCAGATATGACGTAGGCCCGCGTGCTCTCATAACACAGGGCTGACACGCGCGACTTCAAGTTACTTTTCATTCTCAGCGACCCTAGGGTCCTTGCAGCGTGACCGTCAGTTACTTCAAGCGACCGCAAAAAGACGCTCTTGTCGTTGGAGCCACCGCTGAGCATAAATGCGCGGCTGTGGTGGCCCGTGTCAGCGCCAGGCAACCCCTGGACAACGGACACTGGGCTATCGTGCGGCGAGTCGTCGCACCAGCGTTGCACAGAACGAATGTTGAGCGAGCCCTGGCGTGGTTGCCGCGCCAGAGCCAAGAGTGAGATCTTGCCCGCCGGGAAGTCAGTGATCGCTGGCTTGCGCATTCCACTGACCAGTGCCAAAAGCGACGGCGACAGCTGCGCCATGTGCTCGACAAAATCCATCTCAAGCTGGTCCTCGCCAATCCTTTTCTCCAACATGCGAGTTTGCGGGTTCCAGAACATCACCGATCTATCCATGCCATACGCAACAACCATCTGCTGGGGCAAGCCCTTAAACGAGCACGGGAATGCCTCCCTGGGCTTCAGCTTGAACGCCGGATGCAAGGTTGTTGCGAATTGGTACGGGCGAATGGCGCTCTCGCGCGACATAATCCCCGAAACAGTGTCTTCGCCCGCAATGCAAGTATCCCTGCTTCGAAGGCACCGCAGAGACCCGGCGTCGGCGTCGGCCTCAGGCGCGTCAGAGCGCCTGCGGGGCCGATCGGCACATGCGTTTAGTGGACTACGTGCGCCAAGCGCAGTTGTGTGCGCCCGCCTTGCCAAATGCGGTACCATTTTGTCGTGCTGCACAACCTCCTCAACAATGTCTTCGTCATCCTCATCATCCTCATCGTCGTTGTCGTCTCCAAAATAACTGTTTGGGCCGGCCTGCGGCTCATAAGCCACGATTCTGCGTGGTGGCATCTTTTGGGCGGGGCCTGCGGCCACTGCGTCGCTGGGGCTTATTGAACGACTGTCTGCTCCCCCATGTCGATCATAGTGATAGTCGCTACGCGCAGGCTCTGCAGAGACCGCTGCTGCGCCTCGGGGCGATCGACGTCAAGCTGGGTTCCAAACAGCTGGAACATCGCCTTTGCCGCGTGGTGCATCTCATCAGCCGCTCTCTCTGCGAGCCTGGTGTACTTTCTGTGCAGCTTGCGGTTGTGCTCGTACACGTCCCAGAGCACCCGCATCTGCGCATCGCTGCCCTGTCTGTGTATTGCGCTGGCCAGCATGCCTTCAATAACGCCCTTGATTTCGTCAGACTCTCCTTCGCTGGACACGCTATCCTCCTCTGCCGCGCCCGCCCTCAATGGTCGTGCTTCTTTTGACCGCGGTTGGTAGCTCGCAATAGCACCCATGTCGCGGGTTTCTCTGCTAGATTCACAGGCTATGCCAACAGGAACGGCTAATTTCAGAGCCTTGTGTTCTGTTGCAGGAAATTCGCTGCGTGTCAGCGCAGGCGTGTGCTTGGGCGAAGTAATTTGCCTTGTGCACACGCGTTTGCTGCGAGGCTCAAAGTCACCGCCCCAGCCATCGCCTGCGGGAACTGCCCTGCACAAAGTACTAGAGTGTGCAGGTGTCAATGTGGGCAAAGCCATTATCGGCTCAGTCTTGTCATGTGTAGACCAGCTGGTTGCTGCGGTAACTGAGGATAATATGATGGGCGCACCTTTGGCCACAAACATGCTGCTCGCCGAGCCCTGGTTGCTATCGCTGCCAAATGCATTGCGCGACGCTTCTTTCTTGACTGCTACATTGTTCTCACTGTCGTTGCTGTTGTCGCTGTTGCTGTTGCTGTCGTTGTCGAGGGCATTAACGTTGCTGCTGTTCGCGCTTCGAAAGAGTCCGAATCGCGCTATCTTTCCCATTTTGTCGAATTTGCGCAATGCAAATGTGAAGTTGCAGATGAGAGCAGGAGAAAACAAATGAATAAAAGCGATGATAAATTTTTATAAAAATAAAAAAGTGAATAGAAATGGTCTTCTGACTTTCTACTTATTTGATCATGCCTGTCTGACTGCCTGGCGAGAGTGTAAACTTTTTTATACATTTTTTGAAAAGGAAAAGTTGCAAATGAAATCAACACTGAAGAAAAGGATGAAATAACAAATATCTAAAAAAATTCAAATATCCTACAAATCGACATCTTTCCTTCCCATCCTGATTGCACAGCAACTCGGCACGTGCTTAGAAACTAGTGGCAATAATAGTCGACTATGGTTGAAGCTATTAATCGTTGTGCTGCTTCTTGCGAAGAGAAGTTGGGCTTGGGCAAAATCTCGGGCATCGCTGTAGTAGACTTGGGTTCAGCCGACTCGAACTGTGCCTTTTTGGGCAATAAACGCGGAGACTGCTCGCCTGTAAGCATGGCATTGAGGATAGTGCAAAAGTTAAGCACCGCGGCTATATCGCGATTCCACTTCCTTCTGTCTGATATCACTTTTTCGCTATCCTTAATTTGTGATAGCAAATACTGGAAAGCAGCAGCAGCACAGAAAGAAATATTTACTTGGTTAAAGAGTAACCTGCTGCTAAAAATGCTTATGAATATTTCACGTGTTCTAGCTTATTTCTACATTTGGTTAAAGGTGTTAACATTGTTAATTTTAACGAAATGTAAAGGTAAGCGCGTAAATACAATCTCAAAGGTTACTCTGCAGATTGGGGATTTGTTACAGTGGAGTGTTCGCAGCATACAAATTAAGAGAAAAAGAAAACGCACACTGCTGTGCATGCTGGTTTGGGAATACTCACACAGCAGTGCTTGGCTTGCTTGCCTTGCCTTCGCAAAAAAGCACATTAGCCGCGACCAATGAAGCGGATGCGGTACCACAGGCTTCCCAGGAAACGGAACGCCGAAAGGCCAGCGACAGACCAGAAGATAAACGTCAGATAGTAGTTGTGTGAGCCTGTTAGATCGTTTGTCGTGGTGATATCGCGGAACCAGTCCGCGAAATGATCATGACCAGAATGATGTTGGTGCACATCCACGCAAGCACAAGCGACGTGCGGAAGATCTTGTTTTGGTCCTCGCGCTTTGTCTTGATATCGCGCTTCTCGGGAGCCTTTACCTCTGGCTTGCTCAGGTTTTCAATCCAGTTCTGATAGTCGACATCAATGTCAGCATCGTCATTCGCGAGGCTGAGGTAAACGACGTCCTTGCCGTCCTTCTTCTCGACCTTGGCGTGACCCAGATCTGTGGCCAGGCCGGTGTCGCCCTTGGTTCCCCACGACACATCGTGCGTGTTACAGAAGGCATACACCATCAAAATGTTAATGGACGAGGGCAGCCACAGCGTGTACTGTATGAACGACGTGAACATGTGCCAGGGCTCAAAGTACAGGAAAGATGAAAGGAAGTAGACGCCGTAGGTCGCAGCCATCGAGATGACAATATCGCGGAACTTTGCCTGGTCCAGCAACGTCTCTAATCCATTGTCATAGTCGGTATGCACCGCCGTGTAGACCACACCGTACATAGCGACGTAGGTAATCAGAATCATGATGATGGTGAACAGCGCCACTGAGAGGCGGTAGATTGCCTTTGTGCCTTGCGGACGGTTGCCGAGCGATAGTACAAACTGCATGATCAATGCGATAATGTACAGCTCGCGGAATACCTCCATGACGTAGTAGCCGCCGCCATGGAACGGGTCAGCGTTGATGCTGATCGGCACCTGACCCTCAATTGGGTGTCTACGCGAGTCGTGGATGGTCTTGATGTTCTGCTCAAGGAAGAAGTAGGCCAGGTAGAAGTTGGCAATGGCGAACCATGAGAAAACCATGTTGATCGTCTGGTAAAGGAACTCGATCGTCAGCATCACACGCCGATACAGGCTGTGCGCCGTACCGAACATGCGCCACCAGTGTACGATTGCGTAAAAGGCCGCGAAGAACGAGCCGTTCAGCCAGCGGCGGCGCTGCGAGATCAGCTCGCTGAGAGTGTCGGGCACGTCGGTGATGGCCTTGGCCTTCTTGACGTAACGCAGTACGTAGTTGCAGTTGCGCTTGGCAACCAGCTCAAAGCACAGAATGCGATCCTCGGCCAAGTACATGTTGGCCTCGAAGATGCCGCTGTCCGAGTCGCCGCTGTGCATCAGCTCGCCCTTGAAGTAGGCTGACAGCGGCCCGACGCCCGGAGAAGTGTCCTGCAGCGCGGCGTAGCGGTACGCGGAGAAGGCACCTGGGAGCACAGAGATATAGCCGAAGATCGACTCGAGCGGTTTGTCCAGGATGTTCGAGATTTTGTACTCAAAGTTCTGGGCGGCCACCAGAGGGTTGGTAAACACGAACTTGCAGCCCTTGCCGAGGTCGGCGGCAATTTCTCCGCAGGCGCCGGCTACGCGCTCATCATGGTCAAAGCTCTTCCACAGGTGGTAGATCGACGTGCTCGTGGGTTTGGTCCCGACGTCGATGAGCACGCAAACCTTAGGGTTGAGAATGGTCGAGAAGGCGTTGAAGAACCAGCGGTGTGAGTTGATCTTCTTTGCGTTCTTCTCCTTCAGGCAGAAAAGCACCTGCACAGGGGGCATTTTCTGCTCCGACCCGAGGTACTGCATGTTGGCGTCCAGGCACACCTGCGCCGTGTACTCGAACAGGTGCGCCGTGACATCCTTGTCCTTCACAGTGTTCTTCATCACGTCGGGCTGGAACGCACCGATGGCGCCCAGCACTGAAAGCACGCGCGGGTGGATCTTGGCGCGCCCGTCCGACACGATACACACAACGACCTTCTCCCAAGCATTGGGGCCCCAGGTGCGGCTGTTGGTGCGCGAGCACAGGTGCGCAATGTTCTTCATCACGGCTGAAAACGTGCGGTTGAACAGAATGTCGTCCTCGTTGTACATTGTCAGCACGATGAAGAGCTCGGTCTCGCGGCCCATCAGTGCCGGCCGCAGGTTGTAGCTCTCTCTCTTAAACTTGTTGGGGTCGCATGTGACGGCAGTGTAACGCATGTGCGTGAACTCCTTAGCGTCCTTGAACTTACACTTCTTCAGCAGCGCTTTGGGGACGGGGCGGTCAATGACAAGGTTTCCGGCAGTGAGCTCGATCCTCTTGAGGTCGCGGCGGCGCTGCGATTGGAAGCGCTTAAAGTTGCGAGCCCCCGGCGGCGGCGCGTTCTGCGCGTCGTACAGGCTGGCGATATGCGGATCGACCTCGGGCATAATCCGGGGATCGAGCTTAGCGGAGGGCGTGTTGGCTGCCTCTCTCGTGATGCTGCTGCGCCCGTCGTCGGTCATAGCCGGGGTTGACGTGACAGATCGCGCCTCATTCAGCACAAACGAGTGGGCAAGAGGCCCCCCCACAGGCTGCATACCGGGCATTGGTAGGGGCTTGTAGGGCTGCTGCTGCTGGTTCGGATAAGCCGGGTCGCCATAGGCAGGGTCTCCGTAGCCCGGGTTGGGGTAGTCAGCGGGGTATTGCCCTGGTTGTTGGCCATACTGGTCACCTACATCAAGCAATGGTTTAAGGGCACGAGCACGGGAATTAGTGACCGGCGTCTACCTGGCTCAAAATATAAATTACAAAGCAAAACCAACACTTATTGTGCTGTGATGTGTTGTGCACACTTACCGTGCTGAAAGTAGCCGACGCCAGCGTCGGAAGAGTAGTGGGAAGACGGGTCTTCCGCATTCGGGTATCCAGAGTACATGTCATACTGGTACGGGTTGTTATGGATTGGCGCCGGGGCTGTGGTCTCGAGGATGTCCAGGTCGCTGCGGTTGATGTTGCCCGGCTGCTGGGGCGCAAAGTGCGCCTGCGGCTGTCCGGGAGCCGGCTGGCCGGGACTGGCGTACGAATCAGTCATGTTGCGGTCCAGCATTTCGTACTCTCCGGGCGACCGTTGCCGGCATTCGGGGTACCTCTCTTCTTGTTGTCCATGGGAATCCAGAAAGCGTCGGTTGTGTGGCTTTGAGCGATGCGCGTCTCCTTGCGGCGTTGTTTGCTTTACTATTGCGCGAGAGGGTGTGTACAATAAAAATTTTAGCAGAATTGCAAAAAAGGAAGAGAAAATAAACAAGGCAATCGTATCAGGAGAAAGAGAGGGAGAGAAGGAGAGAGGGATAAATGAACCCCAAAGCTGTGCGGTGTGTGAGGCACTACCGGATGCAAATGCGAATGCAGATGGTGATTGCCTTTGTAATTCTGAACGGCAGATGGATGGTGGAGTGGGCACCAACAATGGCTGGCAGTTAAAGAGACAGGGGGAGAGGAGGGAGAAGAGAAAGGGGAATATGAGTGCCCGGCAGCAGCCGCTTGTTGGACGCAGCAGCATCCCCTCCCTCCCCTTTCTTGAACAAGGACAGAAACAAACTTCTGTTAAAATAAATACAAGTGTGCACACGCCCATTTTGATTCGCGGGTATTTTTATCAACATGCGTTGATTTTTCGAACCACACGTGGGGATTAACGCCGCCATTGTCTTCGATGCCCATGGATTGGGAGCCCAGCAGAAAGAGGCATGGGAGCGGTGGCAGGGAAAGTGGCATACAACTAAAGCCAAGGCCAAGACTAGAAACAAAGCCCAAGCCAGTGCATCCAACGCAAAGGAGTACGCGTCCATAGAGCAGAGGGCAGAGGGCGGAAAACAGAGCTCGATGCAAACGAGCTGACCGTGTTGTGCAGCTCGCGCGTGAGAACGAGTGTCGTCAAAAATTACCCGAATAAGCTAGTTGCTGCCAAATCAAGGTTGGCGATGAAAGAAAAAATCGACGTCCATATTGACACATGCACACTGGCGCTCAGCCGTGATTTTACAGTGGGTCAAATTTCATGCGGCGCTGTTCTCCACTGGGAAAGCAGCACGATACGGCACCGCAGCGACTGTTACCTTTTGCTGTGTGACTCGAGTGAGCGAATGTATCGATGCTGGTGCTGGCGCTGGCGCTGGGCAGTTGCAAAGGACAGAATAAATAAACGAATGCCGATATGTTCAGACAAAATATGTATAAAAGTGCAAGAGTTAAAAAGACAGCAATGTGGGCAAAGGGAAGCAAGAAGTGGTGTGGTGCAGTGGAGCCAGACGAGCAGCCAGTCTCTTGTTAATTTTTGCTTTCTCTCAGTCGCAAAAAAGGAAAGGCGACGAAATAGTACTAAAGTCATACGAAAACATGACTGGCCTGCCGGCCCTTTACTTCTTTTTTGTTTGTCCCTTTGAAGCGTGCTATAAAAAAATCCAGCGGGCGAAAATCTGAATGCAAATCCCAGCGCCCCCTCTACTTTTGCCACATCTACGCGCCGTGTTCGCACAACGTTGGTTGGGCTCCTCGTACTTGGACTCACGCTCACATGCGCTACAAAGGCAGTGCTGTCTGCGCATGGTGGAATGGCCTGCATGCATACATCCCATACAAGAGCAAGGAAGGATGCTTCATGGGTTGCAAAACAAACATCCAAATTCAGACTGAGGGGAACATGCTTGCTTTGGTTTTGGCCTTTTCAGAGACTATCAGGCGATTTGTGCTGTGACCTTAGTGTTTTTTATAAAGTCGAGTGCCTATACTTACGAAATCGCGCTCAAGATTCAAACAATGAATGCAGAGAGACCGGGCAAAATGACAATACCTGTACCAGTTTGTTGGCCAGCCCAATGTGCACAATCACCTATAAATAGCTGAAAAAGCCCTATTTATGGCCAGAGAAAACGGCATTCGGGATTAGCATATCTTTGGTAACAACAAATAAGATCTATTTTCTCTCCCTTGGCATATCTTTGGAGGTTCTATTTTTGAAACGTCCCTGTCACCCTATCGGTCTGGTTGACTCGACCAACAACCCAGTGGCAATCCCATAGCCCCAGATAGACAACCGGTGACAATCGAGCAGACAGCATCTGCGTTGGTCGAGTGCGACTGGCTCGCGCAAACACAGCTTGTTTTGAGCCAATAGGCCTATGCTGCTCAGGCCCGTCCTGTCCTGTCCTGACTACCGGCCAAGCTTTGATTGGGCTAAAAAAACAACCAATCCCAATAAACCAGAAAAGGGACAAGCCGAATGGGGCAAGTGCTGGACCGCTTGTATGCCTGTGCGTCGCGACCTATTTTCCCTCATGCCTGTGCCTTGCAATGAGCACATTTGAAGCGACGATCCTTTAAGTATTGGCTTCATTTTCCATCTTATGCTTCTACATGTGCAGGCTGCGAATTCAGGCTTTCGGCAGGGTATTTTCCTCAAAGCGCCCTCTTCTCTCTTCGCTCTTTCCCCAGGCTCTTTGTCGCTTGTCGCTGCCTCTTCATTAGTATTTTTCAATGTCTTTGCAGTTTCCAAATATAGTTCCGCGCCTTTCAAATAATGGTGCTTTTTCTTGCTCTCTACACGCTTCTGTTTGCTCGCAATCTCGTAGCAATATCAGCACGTTTTCTCCTCTTCCTTTTTCTTTTCTATTCTGTAAATAATATTATTTTAATTACTAACTCTTTATCTTCGTAACGACAACACTTTTTTGTTTGCTCGGCAGCAACAACAGCGACAGTTTAACCTTATTTGTGCCCTTTGACTGGGGCTTTCCGCACAACCTCTACTTTCTACTCTAACTTTTACTTTCTTCTTTCTACTTTCCCTCACCCTTCACCCCTTGACACCTCCTTGACTCAGCCGCACTGCCCTTGCCGTCGCCTCCATTAATCACAAAAACAATCGCTGAAACTTCATTCTTGAAAACATTCTACTTTAACAGAACAACCACGCAGACACAAAACAACATCAGAGCATGATGAGGTCTCTATTTACACAGTGGTTTCTTGCAGCAATCGTGGCACTGCTGATGGCCACATCTAGCACTACAGCAGCGCCGGCGCCAGCGCCAGTGCTAGTGCCCGTGCCGAACAAGTCTGCATCACCCGCCAAACATATTGTTCTCCGAGACAGCTGCCCGTCCAGCGACCCAACGCAATTCCCCTGCGAGGCGGGTTTGTCATCTTACTACATCCCGCAAAGCAGCCTCGAGTGTGCCCACTTCATCTGCCAGGTTGACAGTAATACTGTTCAAGTAATCACAACCGATTCGGAGACCACCCAAAAGAAATCAGTTGCCCTCCCAGCTGTCCTGGGCACGGTCATCCCTGTCGGCATCATTGGAGCTGGTGTGCTGCTCTTCTTGCTGCGTCGCCGCCACAAAAAGCAGCGGGCCATGGATGCTCAGCACGAGGATGCTAGATACATGTCGAGCTATAACAACTTGATTGACGACAGCTCCGCCAATGGGGCCAGATCCAATCGCGCATACTCGTCAACGTACAGCGTGAGCAAATGGCGTGACTCAGCAATGCGGGCACCGGAAACCCCGGGCTCACATGCCTCAATTCCCATTATTTTCTCGGCAGAATATAACGGCGATCAGGCACTGGGCTACCGCGAGACCAAGCTGTACAACACTGGCACACAGGCAAACGAAACTGGCCAGTGGGCATCGCCAAACGTCGTAAACCTTAAGCAAAAGCCACAGCTTGTGGTTCTCGGCGGCAACGCGTCATTTACGGGAACAGATTTAGGAGCTGACACTACTAACGTCCAGGTTTTACGCCCGGGAGGCCAAAACAGCAATACTCAAATTACACCTGATACGCCACTAACACCAGAGACGCCATTTGCATCTGCTGTATCAGATATGGCCATGCCTGTCACGTCGCAGATGTCTGGGGTGGTCCAAGCAAATCGGCTGCAGGGCAATCGCGCCATAGAATCAGTTCAGAACCAGGACCAGTCAGCCCCGGGCTCGCCTCTTCGCGTCTTGGACAACGGGTGGGACAGTGATGCGGATGGACCAGAGTATTATAGTGAATCAGAGGGCAGCGGCAGTGATGCTGAAGAAAGCGATAGCGAGTCTGAAGAAGCGATAGTGATTCTGAAGAAAGTGGCAGTGATTCTGAAGAAAGTGGCAGTGATTCTGAAGAAAGTGGCAGTGATTCTGAAGAAAGTGGGAGCGAAGCTGAAGAGAGTGGTTCTGAATCTTCAGAGTCCTCGAGCGATATTGAGGGCGGCGAGGGTGATGCAAACAATGCAAACAATGACGAAGATACCAAAAAAGTAGCGCTGAGGCCTCTGACAACTACAGTGAGTCTGAAAATGGCGAGGAATACGACTCTGACAGCCAAGGTGATGGCGAACGTGATGGCGTCCCGGATGATGGTGCCCCGGATGATGACACGGACGCATCTTACGAGGAATACCCCAAGTCAGAGCTAGAGTCGGAGGCTGAAGCAGAGTCCGAACTCGAACCTCAATCAAAAAAATTGCACCAAAATCAATTGACACTTGGTCCTGAGCTTAAATTTGATAGCTCAGATCTGGATTTATTCTCCAGTGATCTGCTGAGTGCGGCTCAAAATATTGGCGCTGGCCCATGAACAGCCAGCCAGCTAGCCTTGTCCGCTTGCTTGCTTATCACAAAAACGTATACTTTAATATAATTATAATTATAAATAATGATTGCAAACCTTCCTTGGCATTACCAGAATGATAATGATAATAGTAGTCTGTATTCGTTGTATATAGCTTTCATTTACACATGCAATATAGTTATTTGTTTGTATGCACATGTTTTTCAATATACATATTTGTGAATATTTAAAATATTGTCAACTAATCAAGTGCAATTAATCAAATGACATATAAACTAGACATATGAAACTATATGAAACCATTAGCGCACTAACGACAAAAAATTATTTGTTTTTAATTTTACATGACGAAAGGCAAATGACTTCTGCTAAACATAATATTGGCAATTTATAGCTACAGCTTTTAAGGTTTTTCCATCATCTGGTGCAGCACAGCAACACGATTTGGGTTTGCGCAAAGCTTCAAGTAATGCGGATCTTTCAAACCAAGAAAGCCAGGACACGCCAGGCTATAATAAAAAATGAAACATATGAATAAAAATAGATTGAAGAGCTTGAAGCGCCGGCCAAGCGGTCATACTTTGCCTACAAAGTACCTCTGCACCAGTAACATGTATATAATAAGAAAAATGGCAGCGGTAAGCGGCATACAATAAAAATGTTAATGGTTTGAATTAAAAGTTTTGCAAATATTAAAGCAAGGTAAAATTGAAAGGAAAAATAAAAACATGTACACCAGACGAATGTCAGGTCGTGTCGCATCGCAAATATATAAAGGGCGGAGTGCGCAAGGGGTGTTCAAAACGGCGGAAATGTGGGTTGTGTTCTTCGAGTTGGCGATGTGGCCCGCTGTGTGCAGAAGGTCTGTCAAGATACACCGGTGCAGCGGTCGATCGAATTCTGGGGGGAGCGATGGGAGCCGGCGGTAGTCGGCGATGAAGAAGATAAAGATGCCTCTTGATGAGATGGTGCCTGCTGCTGCAGGTTGTAGGTTGTTGGCGGTGGGTGTGGGATTCGCGCTCTAGCTGACGACATTATCCATGCAGAGGGGCCGTTAAAGGTGCTGCTTATGCTAGGGCCATAGTGCCGAATGCTTGATTACGAGGATGCGAGGGTGCGTGTCTTTCTGACCCGTAGTTCAACGACTTGCTGTGCATTGGGACTGAAGGAAGTGGGCGCAGTGTGTCCAAGTACACAGGGGATCCAGGATCGCGATCAGAAGAGTTCGGTGACAAAACAGCACCATGCTGCGGGAAACCAGGCGATGTCTGAGGGCGATGGTTGCTTATCGAAATTCTGCCCAAGTGGCGCGCCACGTCGTCCTCATCGACATAAAGTGAGCTGATGTTAGCCGGCTGCACAAAACTCTCGTCCTCGCCAAGCTCCCGCGCAATGTCCAAAAGAATGTGGACTCGGACAGCATAATATGCGCGTTCGATTGTTGGTCAGCTCGTGGTGAACGTGGCGTTGACATTAGCATTGTGCCTGCCGTTGCTGTCTTGTGGGGCGGCGCGCCGTATACACCTCGGCGCCGTTCTGTGCCACGACCAGAATTTACAGTTGCAGGGGGGGTCCCCTGAGACGACGAGAACATGCTGCTGCTCGCAGCAGAATCGGCACTCTTCAGAGGCAGCTGGCTGTGCTGGTCAGCCAAGCCAATGTATTCAGGAGAGACAATGTCCCAGGTGCTAGATGTGTTCGGCACATTGCCATTCGATGGAATGAATACGCTCAGACCGTGAGCGCCAGATTTAAAGGGATTTCCGGAATCAGCACCGGTTGTGTCGGTCATGCCCATAGATACAGCGCTCGGAAAGGGTGAGACGAATGACTGCATATTCAAAGCCAGACCGTGTTCCGATGAGGGGGTGTGCTGTTATCGCCGCTCAATGCTGCGTCAAACTCCAACTTCAAATCGTCTGGAATATGCAACCTCTCACCATGCGGCTGTAAGATATCAAGGCTCAAGGAAAATTCAGATCCACTGTCGCCACGCGGGCCGCAGGCGCCAAAATTGGACGCAGTGGCAGACACGCTCGAAACGATACTGGCTATGCTTCCAACAACATTTGTGCTGTCGTTGCGCGATTGTCGCTGCGTAGTTAATAGCAAGGAGCCGGGGCCAGAAACAGAACTGAGATCGGGCGCTGCATACAAATTGATGTCGTCGCATCCGGGAATGATCTCCACAACTGACATTGACCTGCGCTTTGTATACGCGGCTGCGCCATCTATGCCATCTGCGCCATCTGCGCCAGTCGGCCTGGGCTTAGAGCTGAAAGTCTGCTTTCCCAACTTAACCAAAGACGGCGAGGACCCGCTCAGATTGAGCGGCAACACGCTCACCGCATCTTTTGAAGCCTGAGAACCCCTCACACGAGAAGACTGTTGGCGTGCCGGTAACCCTTGAGCCATAGACGGCATGCTTGTCGCAGCACGCGCACGCTGCTCCCAGCTGGTCTGCGAGCGAGTGCGAATATCTAAAGAGTTGTCGGCAAGCAATGTCGATGAGAATGGCGGGAACTCGTCAATGGTGTGCGCTATCTTGCGGCCAGAAGATAGGTTGTCGGGGATTGGTGACAGCTGGGTACTGGTGCTGCCACCAGTGGTTGCAATGCCAAACTTCGAAGCGTCCCCAGCACTAAAGGATGACGAAGCGGCAAGCGTTGGCTTACCAGCGTGCCCCGCGCTGTTGGAGGAGTGTGATGGTGTCGACCCAGCAGAGACTGTCTTTGTGAGCTGGGATCCTTGGGGGTTGGGCTGCAGCGTATTGGCGCGGCGTGATGGGACCATAGTCGAACTTTTTCCTTTAAGCTTGTAGCGGCCAAGAACCGTCAGCGGCGTTGAAATTGTCGAGTGGTTGTATGGCGACGACCCCGAGGACGGGCCAATAGTTTCAGTGGTAACCGCATTGCTGTAAGCCGATGAAAACAAGTTTGTAGAGTCGGCACTGGAGGCGCCCTTTTGAGCACCAGATCCCGATACTGATGCCGAACCTGATCCCGAACTGCGAAGTTTTCCAGACGAAAACAGATGGCGAGCACGTGAGAACAGCTTGCGTGGAGCGGCGGATACTGCAGTCTCGGCCTTGACGGATGACGAGCTACCAAGCGCGTTCTGGCCAAACAGCGATGCCAAGATACTGCGGTTATAACATTGCTGCACGCGGCGGTGTTCAGGATAAGCAAGCAGCACGTACTGGTACATAGTGACGGCCTGTTCAACCAGGCGGCACAGTGCCGGCCAGTTGTCAGCAACATCGCGTTCCTCGAGCAGTTCAGCATATGTCTCCGTCTCGGCACTGTGCGGAAGCTGCGAGTCCAGCGGCAAAATTGTTGATACCACGTCAAAGTAGCCATCACCAGAGTCAATTATGCGGCAAGCCTGCTGAGGGAAATAAGCAGGCGGCGCAGCAGGCGGGGCAGGCGACCCCATCTGACTGTAGTCCCACACAACGGTCATGTCAGCAGCCAGGGCGCTGGGGCAGCCGTGCCGTGACCGCGCATAGTCGGCTGCATCCCAAATGCGCACCGTCCATGCTTGTCCGCCGACGTCTACACGGTCCAATTCGGGGTGGCCCAAGCTAGCAACTGGCAGCACAGCATTTGCATTGGAACTTCCGTTTGCATTGGAATCTGCACTAGCACTAGCACCGGAACCAGAACCAGACTTTGTCTTGCGGTGGTTGCGGACAGCCGCGGTAGCCGCGCTGCTGCTGCTGCTGCTACCCTGCCGGCTAAGCGACGACGTAGACTCGAAACAGCGTGCAATAGAGCGCTCCCATGCGATGTTGAGAAATTCAAAGAAAGCGTCGCGTGTCAGCGGGTGATCGGTCTCAAACTCGTGCAGCGACTGTGGGTACCAGTAGCCATGATCTCCGTAAGATTCGTACGTGGCCTCAGCTGGGTAAAGTATCCGCGCAAACTCTTGGTGCAGCATTTCGGACGGTAACGCTGGCGAAGTGGCTATGCCGGATTCAAGCGATACAATGGAAGATGCTGATGACCGCTGCCCCGAGGGGTTGGCGCTGGGTGCAACCGTAGCTGCCCGCAGCCTCGCCACTGCACCTGCGGCCTGCACGTCGTCGGCGCCAGAAGCGGCACCAGCTCCCCCGGATGGGTAGCGGTGGATGTAAAATGAGCGCGAAGATGGGTTCAGACTTTTCTCTAGCGTGCTGACGCGCGTAATGTCGACCCACCCGGCAAAGCGGCCCCAGCGTTTACCGCGACTCGAATCACTGGTCGTCGACAAAAACGCTGTGGCTGCAGGTATGCTAGATGAAGACCCAGAATTGGGGCCGGTGCCGCACGTGCATGCTGTCTTGTAATCGGCGCCAGACCCCGTCTCAAGGGCCGTGCTTGTACCTACACCAACACTCGCATGTACGGGGCAAGCGTGGCGCAGCGCGGGCTGTGCAGTGACCCGAATGCCGCCGTGGTCGCGCGGAGGCCAGAAGCGCTCGACAATCATTAGCAGGTCAGAAAAGACGAGCAGGCTCACAGGGCGCTTGGGAGCACTGGTCGCCAGATCGATTTCAGACGCGTCGATGGCGCCGATAAACTCTCGCGATGCGCTGATCAGGTTGGGAGGACATCCCTCGACAGTTGTGTGGATGCGGTGCAGCTCAGCCACAGACTCGGCGACCTGGTTGTCTGCAAGCTGGCCGATTTCGTTCACGCGCTCGAGCGCGAGCTGTATACACGCAACCTCATCCTCTTCGGCGACAGTGGCCTTGAGCAGATCCGTCAGAAGCAGCGTGTATCGAGGAATCCGCTGAACTGGCATGATCAGCAAGTCGCTAATGCCCAGCTTGCGGCACTCCTCGCGCTCGCGCGCGCGGTTCAAAAACGCAGCGTATAGCGGGTTCTTTGCTTCCAGCTCGCGCGATGTTGCCAACGCGTGTTGGTAGCCGTTGATGTACCGCTTGTATACGTGGAAGTCAACGAAATGGTCGCGGCACAGCGAGCCAATTGTCTCGCGTGGATCCATTTCTCCAGCCGCCCACGCCTCCAAATCGCCCAGAAAGCGCTCGTTAACCTCGCTGACTCGCTCGATATTGCCAAATATCACGTGGGCATCGTACGCTGGGATCAGCGTGTTGTTGGCCGACCGGGCTGCGGACCGCAGAGGCACGACGTAGATATCAATGAGCGCGCGCAGCTTTTCGACGTAGCTGCGCTCTGTAGCTATCAATTCCTGGATGATATTCGTGCGCTTGGCTTCGAGCTCCTCGCGCGTCTTCTGCCGCTGTGCGGTCTTGGACTCCGCCTTTGTGTTTGCCTTTGCGTCGGCCTTGGCCCCGCCGCCAGACTCGCCTCGCATCCTTAGGTTGGCGCGCTCCAGCGAGCGCAAAAAGCGCTGGTGTGGCGGTGACACGTTGGCCGCATGCGCTTGACCTGGCGCGCCCACAACGACAAAGTCAATGCGAAGGCGGCGCCGGAACAGTCTCGGCTCAAGGTTGCGCAGCAGTGGCTTGAGGTGGTCATCACGTATCTCCGTAAGACTCTCCGTGGCAACTGCAAGATCACGCTGCTCGCGCTCGGCCGCCAAAAAGCACTGTATCTCCTCCATCAGCAACGCAGTGTCCCCCTGGCCGCCCTCTGCAAGCAATGTGGATGTTTGGCTCGCTGACACCTCGGCTTTGACCCCGCCGCTACAGCCACTCGTCTTGAACAGACCGTCCATAAAGTCGCTTATTTCAGCGCGCCGCAGCTCAATCGAGCGCTTGGTGTTGGACCGCTGAAGGCCGCGCTTCGCCCTTTGCTTCTGGCCATATTGCTCTTGGCGGCCCGCTGTGTCGCCCCTTGCTTCTGACTCTGTGTTAGTTCTGCGTATGGTCTCTACGACCGAGCGTCCCCACATTGCGTCGGCGGTGTTGCCGCTGTGGTCCTCCTCTGGAAATGCGCCCACACCTGCGCTCGAAGTATCCGCCGCCAGGCAGCGGTTGCGCAGCGCCGTCAACAAGTAACCGCGGCGCTCGTCGTCGGCCTGCTGAAAGTACAGCCGCATCGCATGGTAAAGCAGCATCTTTTGAGGTGTCGGGCTCGACAGTCGGTCCAAGTCTGTTCCGAATACCGGCTCGTCAATTACCATTGTTGGCACATAAACCACGCCAAACTTGAACGGCGTGCGCACCAGCGCCTTGTAGCACTCATGCGACTCGCGAGTGCTGATGGAGATGCATATTGGGCCAATTGACGCCTCGTAACCAAAAAAGTTTGTGTGCGGCTTCGGAACGAGCGCGTTGAGCCAAAACTCCGTCGCGTACTGGCCGTCGTTCTCATTATCGTTTGGAATGTCGTATGCGCATCGCGAGTTCGGAGTCAGTGCTGAGTTCGACGAGTCTATCGTGGCCTCATCCGCGCTGTACTGGCTGACACTGTCTTTAGTCATGATTGTACCATCTGGTTCGCCCATAGCCCGGAAGCTGGCTCCTCGCCTTGCCGTGCCAATTCTCAATGATGTTTGCTTGCGCCCGCTAATTGTTGCGCGCCGCGATAGTGAGGGCAGCAAAGCGGCCCCGACAAATTCTAGGTGCTGCGGCTTTTGCAGCTGCAGTTTCAGTTGTGGTTGCGGTTGCTTCTCTGGGTACTTTTGCTGTGGCTGCAGTACCGGCAATGATGCGTCCTGTTCAAATAGGCTGGGAAACTCGGTCTGTATCAAAGCTGGCTTCGCTGTGGATGCCAACGTTAAAGTCGGTGTTGACTTTGTTGATGAGCGAAACGTAAACTCAGCGCGCGGTCTTGAATTTGATCGAGACGCCAAAGTTGATAAAGAGAGCGATGTGGTCCCTTTTAGAACGCGCTTGGGTGTTAACGAGCTGGCCCTGCTGGCTGAAGCGTTCCTTTCGGTGCCAATAATAGAGGTGTTAGTGGCGGAGCTCGCACTGGGACTTTTGGTTGGCGCAGCACCTAATGTGTGTGTAGTTGTAATTGTGGCTGTGGCTGTGACCGTAATTGTTTCAGGCTCTGTGTCTGGAGCAATGGTTGCCACGCGGCCGCGTCGTGTGCTGGTTGGTGCCCGGTCAAATCTGCGCGCGGAACTGCCGGTGTGGTCCAACTTTTTCGGAGTGTACAGTGACGATGCCTCACTGCTAGTCACTCCAGCGATTATCTGAGCCTTTGGTGTCGATGATTGTGTGCGGGCCTACAGGTTCAAAATACCGATAGCGAGTTGACAAAGAAAAGAAGCAGTCGCAAATTTAGGTTTAGCCAGCTAAGCCACAACGGCCTTGTGTGAATATAAAGCAAAGTCATTTGTTTTGTTTTCCAGAGCCAGGCAAATGCAAAAAAGGACTTTGCCCTTTTATTGGCTTAAATTTTTGTGAAGCGGTGCTTTCTGTTTACCATTTTGGCATTTGTACGCCCTTGGCGAGTATGTGTATATATGAATGTGGTTGTATGTGGGGGGCTGGTGCTGGCGTTGGCGGTAGAACAAAATATTTATAGAAATGTAAATTGGAGGCCTTTAAAAAAAATAAGCGAAAAAGACAGGTTGCAAATTCGAACTGGCGTTGGTCGTATGGTGAGCAGTTGCCAAAGAGGGGAGAAACCCAACAAAAAAGCAAACAGTTCAAGCATGAGGTCGTGTCAAGAGAATAGAGACGGCCGCACTACTAATCGTTTGTCGCGTGCGAGACTGCAAGACTGCTAGACCTTTTCTTTGCAGAGACGATGAAGCTAGAGGTGTGGCAAGGCTCACGAGACACAGCAAGCTCTAATTAGGTCGTACATTTTGGCCCCGAAAGCGAAATCGAAAGCTTCTCTGGCTTTGCACAGGCCGGAGGGGATTTTGGGGGCAAGGGGGACAAGAAAAGTGGGGTTGAATCTGTTGAGCAGCAGTGCTAGACTTGTTTGTTGTTGCCAAATAGTCTCACCCCTCCCTCCCCCCTTCTCTTCGTAACTGCTCTTTGCTTCGCCGTTTAATAGGCAAACAATAGTCGCTGTGCGCTTTGGGAGATAGAAAGGCGAGTGAATGGGGACTGCGAGGGATGAGAACGACAGTGAGATAGTGAGATAGTGGGATAGTGGAATGGCGACGCGCCCCCCTCCCCCCATATGGTGGTGGTAGCGGGGCCTGCTGTCACCAGGAACAACTGTGGGCCTAGAGACACAAAAGGGAATCTCGGGCCAAGTGCGTATAGTCAGCTTTACCTTTTTCAGAATCCGGTCCAGATATAAAACAGAGCTGGGCTAACAATTGAAAGGCGGCGTGTAATCAATGAAGGATATGAATATGTATAAGTATGAGAATAAGAATAGGAATAAGAATAAAAATAAGAATAAGAATAAGAATAAGAATAAGAACAAGAACAAGAACGAATATATGAATGTAAAAATCAGTTCATGTTTCAGACGCAGAGGCAAAAAGCGTCTGCACATGGGCGGGGTTTAATCCCCGGCACTATTGAAAATCGCCAGCAAGAGCCCAAAAAACCCACTTCTCAGCGCTGGTGATGAGCGGCATGACTGCATTCAGAATCCCTGTGGTCCTCGATGCTCGATGTCACGATTCGCCTGCCCAACCAATCGCCTGTCTTCTGCAGCGCATGCCTGGGCTAGCAAAGGAGCTATAATAGAGCCATGCGGATCCCCTCTTCCCCTGCCATCGCTCGCTGCTGGGAATTTTGCACGCATGCTTTGGTTCGACTAATAAACATAAACAAGCATGGAGCCGTGGCAGCTCCCGAGGCTAGAGCCAACCGCTGTGTGCGTCTTTTCACCGTTGGCGAGGTTGAATGCGAACCGTGACGGCACATTACTCATGCATGGACCGCCCCCTGTGCGATGCGGTCTCCTTCACCATCAAAGAGTCACGAGGCTGGACTTGTGGAACACGGGACCTGATGCACTTTGTTGACTTGATTTATCAGATCAATGACCCAGTATCCTGGTATTTTATGTGGGGCCGGCTGGCGACAGACACACCAAACGTCCAGCTATTTGTTTTATTCGCACCCCGTTCAGTTGGGCCGCCAGCCCATTTATCACCCCCGCGCCCACTAGCCAATAGAGGAAAACAGATGATTTGTTTTTGATTGCATGCCAAAAAAATTACGCGACCACGCTGCTAAAAAAGAGCCTATGGTTGTTTGACGTACTAGTTCCGGCATTGGTACTGGCACTGGAACTGGTATTGACGCTGGAACTGGGACAGATATCTGCGGTTTACAGGAAAGTAGAGCTCCCGGATGCGCTGGCGCAGCACGAGCAACTCATTCGCCAAAGCCACACATAGCGCCAACACGCGAGGGTTTGAAACCAACAAAGCTGACTCACATCCTGCGCTGATACCACATCGGCAATCCAGCTTGTCGGGCAGCCACGCGCGTTACAGAGAGTATCGGATTGGCCTAAAGTGCACGCGCCGCTGTCAATATTTAGTGTTTTCACGTGCTGAAAGGCTATCCAGTCCCAACTTTCCTGGTGTTTAAAAAATGCGCACGGAGCAGAAGCAAAAAATAAAAATAAAATACAAGATCAGCCAGCTGCAAATGCAAATGGAAAATACAAATGCAAATGCCATCAATGCAGTTAGCCACAGCACGTTGTCCTTAGCCCTGGGGCTTTTCTGCCCGTGTCCCCGCCATTTTCCTTCTTCTTCTCTCTTTCTTTCGTCTTGTCGTCATCTCAATCAGACTGCTACGCACTTTTCTGTCTATTTTTTCTGTACCTTGCTCCCCAACTGCTAGCCTCCAACTCGCTAGTAACTGCCTCATCTGCCTTTATTTACGTCGCGCCGACTTTGGATTGCTCCGCCGCTCACGCCTAACACAAAACCCTGTCGGCAACATCTCACCGCCTTTTGCGCCATAGACAGTGTAGTAGCGCTTGCCATATCACACACAGGCAGACACACAAACCCAAAGGTAACATATTTTTGCTTCTTTTAGGGCGGGTGATGCATCGTCGCTGCGCTACTGCCCCTTTCAGCACCGGCACAGGTACTGTCATTGGCACTAGCACCAGCACAGGTGCCAACCTAATCTACTTTGTTTTTTATCGGCCTAAACAACTCTAAAACATTGCTCTGTAGCTCTGTTTTTGAGGCTACGTTTTTTCTGCTCCTTTTTTGCCTGCCCCCGCCCCTCTCTCCACCCCCAAAAAAACTTGAACGTTCGTGCCTGCTTGCGCCTATCTTCTTCTGTTCCCTCACTTTATTATGCATGATTCCTTCTTTGTATTTCTCGCGCATATCCAGATACCAAAAAGATCCCGCATACTAACCAACGACGCCTTCTTGCAACATTTCCATAGCTAAAAAAAATGAGCTTCCAGCAGCAGCAGCAGCAGCAGGCGCTCTCCACCAGCCAAATCGCACGTTTCTCAGAGATTTTTGATGCCTATGCGGATACGAAAGCAACCCCGCAAGGCCCGCCGTGCATGACACCGGCGGCGTTTGTGCGGGCGGTCACCCCCTCAGCCGAAACCGCTGTAGCCCCCAAAAACTCACCATATGCCGTCTTTTTTACTATCGCCGACAGAGAGGGTCGTGGCCTGCTTACAAAAGACGACTTTATCGAATTCCAGGCGCTGCTCAGCCAACAAGATGCTGCCAGCAGGCTTCCGTTCCGCGCGGTCTCGTTCAGCGCCAACACAGATACAATTCAAACCAGCGCTTTGGCCAGTCTTGTCAGCGACGACGCAGCAGCCAGGAACTATCTCAAGGGCAAGTCACACATATCGTACGCCGAGTTTGCCCAGCTCATTGCGTTGGCGCGGGCTGACCGCATTCGCAACGCCTTCTCGGCTGTCGATGTGCAGGGATCTGGCTCCATAAACCCCGACAAGCTGTGTGCTATTGTAAGCGAGTTTGCCCCAATCGACCCTGCCAGCACTGTTGCGCAGCGCATTTTGCTGCTGCGCCAATCGGCGGAGAGCCCGGCTGTTGGGTACCCGACTTTCCTCGCTCTGGTCAGCCTGCTGAGCAATCCCATTAATATTCACCGTGCCATTGATGAGGTTGTGCACAGGCAGTCGCCCAAGGCGCCGGTCTCTATAGATAAACTGGAGATCTCACAGTCGGAATTTGCTGGCGCCACTTCCCTGCTGACGCCTCTCGAGATCAGCGTACTTTTTACTCTGGCTGCCGGTCAGGCCGCCACAGAGGCAACCACACTGGGCAGCATTAACGCTGTTTTGGACGCATGTTACACCTGCCTAGCGCCGGTGGCCACAGAGAAGGGGCCGGTTGAGAAAGTGCCTGCCCATCAAAGCCAGCAGAAGCCGTCGCGCGGCGCGATGCGCGAGACCTTGTTTCAGGCGTATAACTTTGCCATTGGCGCAGTGGCCGGCGGCATTGGCGCAGCTGTAGTCTACCCGATTGATCTTGTCAAGACGCGCATGCAGAACCAGCGCGCGGCTGTTGTTGGCGAGATGATGTACAAAAACAGCCTCGACTGCTTCCGCAAGGTTATTCGCAACGAGGGTGTTCTGGGACTGTACCGCGGCCTTGGCCCACAGCTGGTCGGCGTAGCTCCCGAAAAGGCCATTAAGTTGACAGTGAATGATTTTATGCGCGCACGCCTTACTAGCAAGGACACTGGCAATATAGCCTTTGCCAACGAGCTCATTGCCGGTGCATCTGCAGGTGCCTCCCAGGTTATCTTTACCAACCCGCTCGAAATTGTCAAGATCCGTTTGCAAATCCAAGGCGAAATTCTCAAGGACGCCGCTGGTGTTATCACGCCCATTGCACGCCACGGTGCGGTGACCATTGTCAAGGAGCTTGGCCTGGTAGGCCTCTACAAAGGTGCGTCTGCCTGTCTTCTGCGCGACGTGCCCTTTTCAGCTATTTACTTCTCGTGTTACTCGCATCTCAAAAAAGACGTATTCCGCGAGGGCGAGCGCCAGCTAGGAGTTGTTGATTTGCTTCTTGCCGGCGCCATTGCCGGCATGCCTGCAGCCTACCTGACCACCCCAGCCGATGTTATTAAAACCCGCTTGCAGGTCGTTGCTAAGAAAGGGGAGACTGCATACAACGGTCTCTTTGACGCGGCCCGCAAGATTTACAAGGAAGAGGGCTTCAAGGCCTTTTTCAAGGGTGGCCCGGCACGCATCCTTCGCTCGTCGCCGCAGTTCGGCACCACTCTCATGTGCTACGAGCTTATCCACCGCATGGTGCCTTTTCCCGGCGAAGGCCACAACCCGACTTCTGACCGCTCATCTCAAAAGACACATGAGCTTTCGTCGCAGACTGCGCTCTTCCATGCCGGCAGTGCACTGCGCTTGCTGCATGACGCCAACTATAAGTTTGGCACTATGCGGCCGCCGCAAGCTCCGTTCTCACCATCTTCACCATCCTCTTGAACATTTTCTGTGTCTGCTGCTGTTTGAAATATACAATTTTATTGGCGTCATTCTGTATAGTATTTTTTATATAAATTGACATTAACTCAAGATTTGATATCCGAAGTAAAAAAATTGACTAAGGCGTAAGCAAGCATTTGTGTGAAAAGCCAAAATTGTCGTGCTCTATAAAAATGTGGGTCTAAATCGATATATTCAAGTCTTAAAAATTACTTACTTAACTGAAAAAGGGGGCAGCGCTGTAAACATCATGGTATTCCTTGATGTCAGCCAGCAATAACAGAAATGTGTATAGTGGCCATGATGGCGATCTTGATTCTTGAAAAGGGAAGATAGTGGCTTGAAATGTGTGTTGGGCACCACATCACTCCCTACGAGACTGGTCGCTAATCTTGTCCCAGTACTCCTGAATCAGATCCAGTGAGTCAAAGTTGCTTGTCGGCTCCCAGGTGCTGTCGCCATCAAGCCAGTCAACTAAGTAGCGGATACCACCACGTGTGTTCTTGTGCCTGGTGATGGCTAACACCTCGGCGTGAGTCTCATCAAAGTCGGGTGCTGATGCAAGAGGAATAAGCTGTGACGTCGTATAATTGCGCGGCAGTGGTTCACGTGTCATATCCTCCAATTTGTAGGTGCCAGGTGCTATTATAGCGACAATGCAGTAAGGACCAGTATGCTTGGCCTCAAGTTTGTGCATGTTGTGCGAAAGGAACACAGCGGTCCCATGTCGCCTTGCGTCCTGCCACTAGCTTGCTGATAACCTGGCTGGCCGTCTGCACTGTACGCTCAGCAGCACCATTGGCACGTGGATGGTATGCTGTAATCAGACGATGGTCGATGCCAGATGCTTGTGTAAGGTGCTTGGCAATTCGGTTAACAAACTCGCCACCATTGTCTGACTGAATGATCTTGGGGAAGCCAAAATTGCCGAAAATGCGCGTCCAGAGTGCTGCAATGGTCTTAGCTTGCTTGTCTGGGATAGCCTCTAAATACACAAATCGTGTGTGAATGTCAATCAACACATGTAGGTAATTGTTGCCATTGCTGGATGTCGGGAATGGTCCTGCCAGGTCGACAGCAACATGTTGGAATGGTGTATCCGACGAAATGGTCTGCAGTTGATGGTGCACAACTGGTGTGTTGTTGTGCCGCTGACAGACAACACAAGTGGCAATGTAGTTGGCAATATCCCTGCGCATACCTGGCCAAGTATGACCAGCAGCATGTAATGCGCCTGCGACAGCTTTAATGCCAAAGTGCCCCTGCAGGTGTTGCTTCTTGACCAGGTTGATGCGCTGGGTGGGGTCATCGATTAATACTTGCAAGGCATGCGCGGCTGCAACCGGCATGTCTTCACCCCCCACAAGTGCATTGTACACACGAGAGAGATGGTCAGGGAGGATGTTGTCAACTCCTGGGCGATGCACAACTGCAAAATCGTAGGATGAAAGCTCCTCAAACCAGCCGATCAACATGGCATTCAGATGATCCTGGGAGTGCATGTAGGTCAGCGCCTTGTGGTCTGTAAAAAGCGTGAAGTGCCGACCGTAAAGGTATTGATGGAAGCTGCGTAGTGCATAGACAATTCCCAGCAGCTCGCGCTTGGTAGCCGAATAATTACGCTCAGCGCGGTTGAGCGAACGTGAGACACATGAGAGATAATGATGAACACCATTTGCATCCACCTGGTAGAGCACTGCACCAATGCCAGTGTTGGACGCATCTGTTGCCACTTGGAAAGGCAGATCATCATTAGGGAATGACAGTGAAAGCGCATGTGCAATGGCCTGTTGCAGATCACCTAGTGCTTCTGTGTGCCTATCCGTCCAGGCTGCAGTGAGGTTGTCTGCATTGCGAAGTGCATCGAGTGGTGCTGTGACCATGGACATAATTGGTATATGCTCGCGCAGATAGTTTGCAACACCCAGGATATGCTGAAGCTCCTTAATCGTGTGTGGGATGGTCCATGATTCCACCTGCACTAGGCGCTCTGGATCCATTTGTTTGCCGCTTGGTGTGATCATGAAACCCAACAGCCGAATACGTGCTGACATAAAATGACACTTGCCAGGATTCACAACAAGGCAGTTTGCCGTGAGAATTTGCAGCACCTGCACAACATGCTTTCTGTGCTCCTCAACTGACCGTGAGTAGATGACAATGTCGTCGATGTAGCAGAGCGCGAATGGCATGCGCCCAAAGAGTTGCTGCATCACACGTTGGAAAACTGATGGCAGTGTCTTCAGACCAAATGGTGCCCGGCGGAACACATACTGTGTGTTATTCCATGTAAACGCCGTTTTGTACTGGTCCTCTGGCGCTATGGGAAACCGGTGGAATGCTGACTTGAGGTCGATTGTCGAAAAGACGGTTGCACCTGCAAGCGCGGCAAAGATGTCGCTGATCAGCGGGATGGGATAAAGATCTGGCTCCAATATAGCATTCAGCTGCCTAAAATCATGGCAAATTCGATGGAGTGTTTTATTACCGCTGGCATCTTTCTTCGGAATTGGGAACATCGGTGTGTTGAACACCGACAGCATTGGCGCAGTCTCAATAGTGCCCGTCTCGAGCCACTCAGTGATCTGTGCGTCAACAACAGGGCACGCTGCATTGGCCAAAGGGTACTGTCGTTTGAATACAGTCTTCCCCGGCTGTGTGGGCAGGCGCACAAGTGCCTCTGGAACTGGACAGGCTGCGTCTGCCGGAGTAGCTTGATTTGCAGCAAGCAGCGGCTCAATTACAGTCATTAATTTTGCACGTGGACTGTCAAAAGTGGTGTCGCACTCATCGTGTATGAGTGATGGTATTGGCGTCTCCATAATCACTGTTGGTGCAAAGGCGTCAACGAGCTTGAAAGGCACATTGGCCAACTGTATACCAATCCGTGCAAACAGCGGGCGTCCAATGGTGATCTGGTATTTCGCGCTTGAAGGGGCAACAAAGCATGAAACCATCTCATCCATTTGGCCACACTGCAGGCGCAGTGGCACCGTCATCCTGTCGACCAGGGATGGCTTCTCGCCAAAACCGGTGACCTGTAGCATGGCTGGTAGGGTTGCGATCCCATGGTGTGCTACAAACTCTTGGCAGAGGAGCACTGTGTCAGCCCCACTGTCAATCAACGCCATCGCGACCTGCCCGTCGATGTACAACGGTGCTAGAGGTGGATCGGCGTCCACCGGTGGCTGATTAGCCCCGGTTACATGCGTCAACCTGACATTGGCTGACTGCACTTTCGTCGGGCATCTGGATGCAAAATGTCCGACCTGGTGACACTTGAAGCAGGTCACACTTGTTGAGCCGTTAGTCATGGCTCCACCCGTCGTGGGCTTGGTTGTCGACACTGTCGCTACTTGCTGCTTCTGAGCATTGCAATCAGTGGAATTGTGTGTATGTGAGCGATGGAATTCACACCATTTGTTGGTTGCCTCCTTGCTCTTGCTGGCATTATTGCCATTACTGGCCCGGCCTACTGCACCACTAGCTCGGTTAGCAGTCTTGGTGTAGGGCATGTGTGCCACTCGTGCAGACTCAAGGAAAGACAGAAGGTCTCTTGGTGTGTACTCCACCTCTGGCAGGTGAAGTTCGACATAGTCCTGAACCTCGGCGGGCAGTTTCCCCAGCATCGTCCAAAACATAAATTCAACCTCGGAACCCTTTGCCATGAAGCGGCGGTGTAGTACCAGCTGGCGCTTCATGCACTGGAGGGGCGTTTCACCCTCATCAATCGTCAGTTCGCTGAGCTGGCGTGCCTGCCTGGCGCGATACTGAATACCCAGGTAGTGTGCTTCTATCTTACCACGGGCTATGTCCCAGTCATCGATCTTGCTACAGTGGTCGGTGAAGAATTCAAGCAGTTCACCGCCGACATTAACCATAAAGTGCCCACCCCATTCTCCAGGGCCCATCTTAATGGCATTGAGCGCATTTTCGAAATGCACAAGGAAATCGGCAAGCTCCATCATCGACTTGTCATTCACACCAAATGTGGGGAACACAATCTTAGGTTGACTTCGAGGGAGTGCTGACTCAGTGGAGAGGCTGCTATGGCTTGGTTCACTAGGGAGGAACAATGGGTGTACTTTCTTGTAGTTAAGGTAAATTTCCACTTGCTCCTCAACCTTCTCGCGCGACCTAATCGTCGTCGTAAAACAGTCCATTAGGTCTGCAATCTCGTCTGGGTTGGTTTGCATCAGGCTCTCGACCAGCCTGGTTCGCTGAACACGTCTCCACCATACCTGAAGGAAGTTGTCCATTACGCGGTAAATATCTTCGTCGTTGTACGCATCATAATTCCCTTGAAGTATCGGATCCTCAAAGACGGTAAATGCAGTAAAGTTGTCTTCCAGGCCCAGGTTGTAGGGGAGTCCTGGAGAGCGGCGTCTAAGTGCCATAGTTTCTGTTGTTGTTTTCTTTATAGATGATGAGTGGCACGTCTGCCGAAATATAAACTTGCAAGTTTTGAAATAAAATAAAATAAAATTGGTTTTTACACCTCACAAAAAAAAATATGTCGTGCTCTATAAAAATGTGGGTCTAAATCGATATATTCAAGTCTTAAAAATTACTTACTTAACTGAAAAAGGGGGCAGCGCTGTAAACATCATGGTATTCCTTGATGTCAGCCAGCAATAACAGAAATGTGTATAGTGGCCATGATGGCGATCTTGATTCTTGAAAAGGGAAGATAGTGGCTTGAAATGTGTGTTGGGCACCACAAAAATTACCATATTGTATTGAAAAGCAGCTATGAGGGCGGCAGACATGTGTGGTAAAACTCCAATAAAATTTGGGGAAAGCTGTGTCGTGAAGAGCATTGC